AGCCCGTCGAAAAGGATACATCCAGCGGGGAGGATCAATGACTGTTCAGCAAGGGCAGGAGTCTATTCAGAACGAGGTAGTTGCGGAGCAATTGCAGAATAATGCTGAGAATATTGATTCAGCATTACTAATTGAGCAGCCAAAACGTGCTCGTACAAAAGCACCAAGCAGGTGTAGTAGATGTGGTTCATTTGAGCATAACTGTAGAACCTGTACTTTGTAATACTGGTGTCGTTATTAGTATAGCTATAATATTGTAATTGCAATAAGTCGTCAAAGGCACATTGGACGGAAACTTGACCGGCTCGGTAGTGTGACCGGCTCGGTAGTAGGGTACGTTAATCCACGTCCCAGTTTATTTTAATATGCTCTATATACATATATACATGCATACAGACTATCTCTAGAACTCCAAGTGGGATCTTTCTGGTGCTTAAGAGCCACACAGTAACAAAACAAGCGCAGTACGAGATTTGCGATCCAGACTCGGCCGCCAATCTTGCCACCAGAACTTGTCATTTTCAGAAACGAAATCTCCAAACCAAATTAGCTAGGTGTAGAGACAGATCTATCCGATAAGTTTTTTTAATCCAGAAATAAACTCTTGAATCATATTTTCAGTACATGTGTTGAGTAAAAGATCGCAAAGCTTATGCTCCGCAGGTGTAATGTGATTTTGCTGTGCTTTGAGATGGAGAACGTAAGTCAACACAACGAGCGTGCGAGCTGTGAGATATGGACAAGATGCATGCTGCTGGGTTTGCCCTCAAGCATCATTGTGCATGTACACGATTCCCAGCATGCACTGGCCGAGAGTCTCTGTCATCACTTGCGCATTGGAGTGATCAAGTGTACCTGAACCGCTTCTTGTCTGCTCAAAAATCATCACCAGTGCGGCAAAGTGAAGAGCATCAAATTTGAATCCTGTCTCTACAGCCTGGTTACAATTGTCACGCTGAAGTACTGTAATCCCCATCTGGGGTCACTCAAAAACATGAATACAAACGCACAACACATCGCAGTCGATTCGATCGAATCTGCATAAAACGCGATGCTCTACAATTCACTGTCATCCTCTTCGAAACTGGCCTCCGATTCATCCTCGTCCTCGTCATCCTCGTCAGCAATATACTTCGACTTCGCTTTCGCAGCTGCAGCGCGACGAGCGGGACGAGCGACGGGCTTGATCAGACTCTCGTCTTCGTCATCGACCTCACTGAGAATTTCATTAGCCAAGCGGTCGACAGCATTGTCTTCGGCATCAGAAGAATCGAGGACGGGCTGTTTCTTAGCGGCAGTCGTGGCGACCTTGCTTGGTAGGCTTCCCTTCTTTGCAGCGTAGGCCTTGGCTGCAGGCGAGAGCGCAGAGGGTTTGGCCAGAGCGGCCAGAGCCGAAGACGCACTGGCTGCTTTCTTGGGCTTGAGAGCCGGAGCTTCTCTTGCCTTAGCCTTGGGCACTGTTTTGGCTTTCGCCGCGGCCGCGACTTTTGGAACAGGTTTGGCAATGTCAACCTCCATTGTGTCCTCGTCTTCGGATAGCATGGTCCGATGTGCCGCTTTCTGCGGTGAGTTCTGTGCCAGTGTCCCCCAGTCCGTCTCGTCATCAGAAATCTCAATGCCCGCGGAAGGCTTCTTTGACTTCGGCATGACTGCTCGTGAGGCGAGATCTTGCGCCGCTGATGGCGGGTGGAACAGACGCGTCGGCCCCCCGGCACTGCCACTGCCGATGCCCTTCACCATTGCACTGACGTCGTCAAGCAAGTTATCGCCTTCGTCGGATGACATTTCATCGTCGGAGTCCTTGTCGATAGTGTATACTTTGCGGGCCACAGCTCTTCCCGCGCGGGCAGGCTTTGCAGCTGCTTCTGCCGCGACAGCAGCGAAATGGTCATCTTCGTCGTCATCATCCTCATCCAACTTGACGGTCTTCTTCGTTGCAGCTCGCTTTGCAAGTGCTTTGATAGGCAAGCTTGTCTTGGTGTCAATTGCGGAGCCAAAAGCAGTATCGAGAGTAGTCTGACGATCCGCAAGTGGTGCGACGACTGGCTTCTGCTCGATAGCATTGACAATTGGCTCTTCAACGCCATCGATCAAATTGTAGACGCCTGCCGGTTTCGGCTCTGTCTTGATTGCCAACAAGCCTGCCGCGCCTGTTGACTTGACGGCGGGCTTCTTCTTCTTAGGCACGGTGAAATCCTCATCGAAGTCGCTGTCGTCGCCTTTTCGTTTCTTGCCACCTTTGGCACCAATACCCAACTTGGTCGATGCACGACGTCCCTTAGCGCGGACCTTCCGGTCCAGCTTAGCTTCTTCTTCCAATTGCGTGTGCCACTCCTTGAGCAGTTCGTCAAGATCCTCGTTCCAAAGATCCTGCACGGATCTGCCAGTGAGGGCAGTGAGCTCGTCTTCTTTGTCGCCGATTTGATTGAGCAGCTTCTGCACGCGCTCTTGTGTCAGCGACCAGATAGGCATGCTTAGCAGGTAATCGTAGTCACTGGCGCCCGCAGCAGCATCTGCCTCACTATCGTCTTCGTTGTCTTCGTCGGCTATTTCCTCGTCTTCTCCCTTCTTCTTGATGACAGCAACTTTGGGAATGCGTGTGAAATCGAGCTTTTGCAATTCTGCCACAAGTGCGGTCTTCTTCTTCTTGCTGATCACAAGCTTCCCGTCAATAATCATTTTCACGAAGCGTGCTTGATTCGTCAGTTTCACAAGTACGCGCTGCATCTCGCTGAGCAGGAAGCTCTTGCGCTTGTGATACGCCTGAAGTCGCACTTGGTAGAATTCTTCCATGATGTCCAATGGTGTTGCATACTTCTGAATTCTGCCTTGCGCATCAAAGGCTACGAGATTGCTGGTTGTCATGGTCTTTGCCAATTTGAAAAGCTCCTCCAGCTTGTCCTCGTTCTCCCTCAGCTTCTTCTCCTCGACCTTGATGATGAAGTTGACACGTTCTGGGGTGTTGTACTCGGTGTAGTCCTTGATCCACGACGGCGATTTTTCGGCTTTTAGGATCTCTTCTAATTTGTCCTTGAAATCTTGGGTCCAGTATCGCACGGGCAATTCAGAAACAGTCACTTCCGTGTCCCCGGTTTTGGTGATGGTGCCAGCAAATTTGAACTTGTCCTCGGCAATTTGCTCGGTCTCGCCGGTCCAGCCTCGGAACCAAGGCTTCATTGGCAGCATATCCTCCTTCGAGCCTTGCATGCGACGCTTGAGGTTCTCAATCACGTCTTCGGGGCGATAGTTGGGAATTGATGTGCTCCACCCAGTGCCGATGCCGTCAGCACCGTTGATCAAGACCATGGGCACAATGGGCAGATACGTTTCAGGCTCGATCGTCTTGCCATCGTCAGTGTTGTACGTCAGTAGCGCATCATCAGATTGCATGAAAATGCGACGGGCGAAGGGGGAGAGTCTCGTGTAGATGTAACGAGCGCTGGCTGCATCTTTTCCTCCTTGCAACCGGGAACCGTAGTTGCCACTGGGTTCCAGGGTGTTGATGTTGTTCGAGCCTACGAAGGTCTGCGCCATTCCAGTAATTGTTTGCTGCAAGGAAGTATCACCATATGCATACGCGGTCTGGCCGGAGACTAGACCTGCCAGCTCGACGACCTTTGCATCCTTTCTCAAGTTCTTGTTCAAACACGTGTACAAGACCTTACGCTGTCCAGGCTTGAAACCATCGAGGACTGAGGGAATTGAACGCAGATTGTCCGCCATCGAGAACAAAATCAATTCCTTGTTGATGAAATCGTCGTACGAAATCCGGTTGGACGCATTCATATCGAGATAAGTTCCAGGCACAAAGTTTTGCAGCCAGACTTTACGTGCATCGGCTTTCTTCTTTGAAAATGCAAGATCGATGAGCTCTGGCTCACCATCCTGCATAGCATGGAATTCTTTCAAGTGCTTGTCGAGATCAGCAAAGTAAATCTGAGCATCTCTGTTGTCCGAAGTTCCCAACCCCTTGAGATACTTATGGTCCCATGAGCTTCCGCTGTGGCCCGGCTGTTGCCGCCATGCTTCGTATTCAGGCATGGTGAAGAAGGTGTGCTTTTCCTTGGGCTTCTTAACGTCACCCTTCCAGACTTTGACGATCGGGGTAATGAATTCGAGTAAGAATCCAGGAATTTTGAGCAAAGAAGGGAACTGCACTTGTAGGAAGTTGATAAGGAGACCCTTAATGTGAGATCCGTCGTGATCCTGATCGGTCATGATCATCAAATGACCATATCGGAGACTCTTCGTGTCTGTGTATTCTTTTTTGTGTTGCAAACCCATGAACTTTTTGATGTTCTGGATCTCAGAATTCTTGGAAATTTGATCGATCGAGGCGTCACGCACATTGAGCAATTTTCCTCGGAGAGGGAATACTCCAAAAAGATCAGAGTCGACAACGGCACGACCAGCCAACGCAAGACCGACAGCAGAGTCACCTTCGGTCAGGATCAGAGTGCATTTGTATCCGTCTTTAGTACCAGCCTTGTTCGCATCGGTGAGCTTCACGTCATTCATCCTCTGACGGCGTGATCCATCAGATTTGGCCAGGACTTTATCCGCCTTTTTCAAGGCGAACTCGATGATGTTGCTGACAGCCTCTGTCTTTTCAATGGCTTTGAGGAACTTTTCGCTCACTTGCGGCTTACTGCCGAAGGCGCTCGGCTTCGTAGTCAGCTGCTCCTTAGTCTGCGAGGAAAAGGCCGGGTTCACAATCATGCACCGTACGAAAAGAAATATGTGATTCCGAATCTGCGCTTTCTTCAGCTTGACGCCACCTTTGTTCTTTTTGTTCACAACTTCTTCGAGCTTGTCACAGATTTGATCCGCAATGTAGTTGACATGCGAACCGCCAGCTGTCGTTGCAATGGAATTGACAAATGAGACTTGCTGGAATGATCCGTCAGATACTGCAAATCCGATTTCCCACCGCTCGTGTGGGTTGTCGATGATGATGACTTGTTCGGGCGTTGCTCCCTCCTCTTGTTTTGTAAGGCTTTCGGTCTTGATGGCCTTTGTGTACATTTCCATGTATTGCTTAAATTTGGAAATCTTGATGCGCTCTCCATTCAAGTATACCTTGACGCCAGTGCAAGTACCTGCCATGTCGTAGACCCGTCGCTTGACTAGGGCTTCGAAGTCTGCATCCATGTTATTCATGCCGAACTTTTCAAAGTCGGGTTTGAATGTGATTTGCGTGTAGTCGTCGCCGCCTTTAACCTTGTCGATTTTCGCCGGCTCCTTAACGGACATGTTCTTGCGCCAGGTCTGCCGATATCGTTGTTTGGTTCGAGAATCGACGGTGTCGAGCTGGAACTCCTTGCTGTAGATGTTGGTGAGTTTGGCACCGTATCCATTTCGACCACCGGTGACCTTGGCTTCCTTGTCGTCATAGTTGGAAGAGGTGAGAAGATGACCAAAGATCAGCTCGGGAATGTATATACCTTCGGTGCCATGAATCTCGATGGGAATACCGCGTCCATTGTTCTTGACGGATATGGAGCCTTTCTCGGCGTCGACTGTCACCCGAAGCTCGTTCATATTCTTGTCATTTTGCTTATTGTCTGCCGCGTTCACCAAAATTTCGTCGAATATCTTGTACAAACCCGGGACAAAGCTAACTTTACGATTCTCCATCAACTCAGTCTCCGAATTGTAGACCCATAGCTGCTCAGTGGTGTACTCCACAGAGCCAATATATGTGTCCGGACGCAGGAGGATGTGCTCAAGCTGTGTGAGCTTCTGGTATTTTTCTGTCGCGTCCTTTTGCGATTTGGTGACCGGCACCGACGCTTCGTTCTCAAGTTCAGCGAGCGGCGCTGCCGCTGCCTTTTTCGACACGGGTGCTTTTTTCTGTTTCTTCGCTGAAGGAGGTGTGTTTGAGAGTAGTGTATCATCGTGAATGGACGCAGCCTCTACGTCGGAGTTCTCTTCGTCAGATTCCGGCTTCGCGCGTTTTTTGGTCTTCGGCGCAGCTTTTGCGGGCTTTGCGAGTGTTGATGGTTTTGTGGGTTTGGGTTTGGGTTTGGGTGCTGCAGCTTTCTTTGCGGGCGCTTTTGCCTTTGCGGGCGCTTTTGCCTTCTGATCTTGTTCAGCATGTAATGATTGTACATAGGTCGTGAAGCATGACTCACCGCTTTGGTTGGAACCTCGAAGTCGCTTGAGGCATCAACTTCGAAGGCAGACACGTCCATAGAGTCGTCCATGGTGGCTAGGTTGTCTCACTTTACCCTGAAGGTCGAGAGACACAGGAGATTAGGCTTCAGCTGTTCGCGTTGACATCAATAGAGTAAATCGATTGAACGCGCAAACAAGTGCGCGACAGAACAGCGCAGTGGCGTGTCTGTAAAAGGTGTCAGAACGGCTGCTCGAGTCTGGCATCAAGCCATTTGTGTACTGATTCTCAGAGACTCCATCTCGCAAATGTCCACATACCTAGGTAGTGTTTATTTACTTACGTCGCAGGTGACGCGTGACGGGTACAGCCGAGCGCGCGTGTTCGAAGGGTCTGCGGCGATAACTTGAGATTACCGTGAACGGCACAAAGTGGTTGCATCGTGGCTGAATGCTGGAAGATTACATTCACAGAACATATCTGCCATACTGTACTTGCGTAAGATCGCATCAATAACTTCTCGTTATGCTGCTATTACAAATAACCATGATAATTGCAGGTGTGTTCACATGAGCATCCAAGAAGTGAATGACGATTTTGTCGTATTGGATGTCTAGTCAGCGACTTCGTGTAGAGTCGCTCTGAGCTATATGCAGCCGCTCAAACCTGCACCCATGTCAGAAAAGAGTTCCGCACGGAGTTCTTCAAATTCTTCTTTCGAGAGGGAAACAGGGATCATCACGGCGTTTGCTGCCTAAACTCGCACAATGGGCTAGCCCGAAAATATTGCTAAATTCATTCCGCGCATGTCTTGTCAGTGGCATGGCGTCGGGCTTCCAGACATTGCCCAAATCCAGCTCAGATATTGATGTTGTGGCATAAATGAGTCAAGTCGCTTGCGCAAACTAGCCATATGTCCGTCCGGGCTGCAATAAGTGTCAACTGTTTAGAGGTCAGGAATTGAAAGTCAAGGACAAGTCCGGCCTTCGGCAGATAGTCCTTTCAGCCTTCCACCTTCACATCTTGCACGTCTGGACCAACTTTGTTCTTGCGTCGTTTCTCACTGCGCCGTTGCCTGCGTTCCTCGCGCAACTTCTCATCTTGCTCTGTTGCAATGGCGATCCTCGTTGACAGGTCCACGGTATCTCGGGCCATCTCCTCGTCGCGCTTGCGCTTCAGGTACTCGAAACGCTCCTTGACCTCTTCCAAGGTGGCAGTTTTGACTTGGCCAGTCTCTCCCGTAGCGATCAAATGCTGCCTACTATTCAAGTGATCCACAAATTGCAGATTGTCTTTGTATGTAAGATCGCAAGCATCACAGTAGAAACCAGCGCCTTTCCCCCGCTTTCCCTGGGACGCGCCAGCGGGAACGATTGTCGTTTTACCAATTTGTTCCGCAACATTCAGTCTCGCCTTGCGAGCCTCGGTGTCGTGAGCATCAGGGGGCGTGGAAGCGCGGCGGACGTATTTCTTGCCGGCGACGGCTGCTTCGTACCTGGCTTTGCCCTCCTCTTTTATTTTCTTTTCGCGTTCAGCCGCTTTGGCTGCATATTCCTCGCGATCCCAAGTACGTCGAAACGACGCATCGTTGTTTGAGGCTGCGCCGTACGCGCCCTTACGATCGGTCATGTCGATGCCGGCATTGGATCAGTCCGGTAGTTCAAGTGGTGGGAGTAAAGTTCAGGACTCGGAGCTGGCGCGGAAAATGGCAGAGGTCTTAAAAGCTCTGACCATCCGCTCGGGTTGGCAAGCTGCAAACACAGCGACTTCGACACATTCCTGGAGTAGGGTCAACTTTAGTCAAGATAACATTTCTGTGAAACCACTTGCCTAGACACACACTGTGTCCTGGCTTTTGAAAGGGAGTAATGTTTGACTGTTGGCAGAAACTTGCGCATACAGATCGGGTGTACCGACGGTACCTTTTGGGAACGGTCCATCACCATGCGGATATGCGCAAGGGAAGAGTGGAGGGTGTCGACGCCGCTGCAAACCCTGGTCGACGTCATCGAGTTTTACAGACTTGAGGGGTAATAAATCTATTCATGAACCCAGTGTACACATACGGCAAACAGCACACATTGGCTCCCGCATTGGCTGTTGCCGCTCAGCGAACCAAGCAACGAGACCTGAGGCGGGCGTGGTCGTAAACATCAACTCGTGTTGTACTTTTTTATTGGATTATGTGCTACTCAGCCTTCTTCGAGGCTTCACTTTCCATCCCTGCTCGACCGTCATCAGCGTTGGACGGCTTTGCCCGACCTTTCGACCGTTTCTCCTGCACATATTTCCAGGACCTGCCCACTCCTGATGTGAAAACACCCTTGATAGTCTGCATCGACGCAGGCCATGAGACCGTTGATCGTACCCCTCGGGCCATCTCGTGCGGCAGATTGTCGTCCTGGGCAATTCGTCGCTCGAAGTCGCCGCCCTCACGCCGCCCGAAACCTGTGGGATCGTCGTCCTGCGACTCCTGCAAAATGTCGGAAAATGCGCTTCCTGGGATTTGGAATTTTTGCTTGTATTGGTAGTAAAGCTTTCGTCTGAAGGCCTTCGGCAAGCGTCTCACCATGTTACCACGCTTGATCGGATCCATGTCTTGACTGAGCTTTAAACCTTCCTCTCCACCAAGAACATTGTCTAGTTTGTGATTGGTGCCAGTGTGCCTAATGGCGTCCTCTTTCTCCCACGAATGATAATCAGGAGTGCGGGAATCGTTGAAGCTGATGTTGGGCATGTTGTCGATTAGTGGGACGTAAAGCTGACGAAAGCCTGGAAGCTGCGCCCCGACGATATTCGAAACCTTGTTCGGGCTCTCAGACGCGAGTAGAGAGCTCATTCTAGGATCTCCAAGGTATGAAAGACCGGCGATACGCTCGTACAATTGCCGCTCTGTGAAGTACTCTGGAAGCATGAGAAGCGCAGTCCGGAGGGCTGAGATCAAATTGACCTGATTTGCTAGTCGAATTCGAGGATCGTCCCTCAAAATCTTGACGGGCTTCTGCAGACGTCCAGCAAGGTACAGGGTATCCCATTCACTCAAATCGCGGGCTAAGGTGTCCAGGTTCACAACACCATATTTGATCATGATGCCGTTTACGGTGATGTAAGGGTTGTAGTACAGGCCAGCTCCCCAGTCATCCTGCATGTGCGACACTATTGCTGAACTGTTGGGCAACCACTTCAAACCAGAGTAATGGTCTGGGTGTTGGGCTAAATTCAGACTATGCCAGTGTTGGGTGTGGCTCACTCCGAAAACGAAGTCGATGACCTTGGCTCCTCCTTTCTGCCATTCTTGAACAGCTTTAGGGGGGTTTGGATGGGGACTCAACGCATCAGCAGTGTTGCCGCCCGAAGACTTCTGCCCAAACACTCCAGAGCCATAGGCGAAGGCGTAGCGAATGGGTGCCTTGAATTGCCAGAGAACTTGTCTCAACGACTCTTTGAAATCCTCGTTTATCCGTATGTGTTGGTTGTGACCGAAGAATCGATGAGGCAGATCTTTGAAACTGCTAATATTGTAATCTGTGTCATCTTCCCAATCTACAGGTAAAGAGTGTTGAGCAACATCGTCGCTCGGGGATGCTTTAGATTCTGTGGACTGCGACGAAGCGGAATTTACGGAGGTGCGTTTCTCATGCCAAGTTGAGCTTCCGTGTGGTTTTCCTACGGAGGAAGGAGATTCAGACGGTGACGAATGGGAATAAGATCTGGTAGATGTATGCTCGTGTCGAGACTGTTGGCGACGCAGCTCAGACTCCGTCAGACCGCGGAGCACCGATGGTCGGTAGTGCCAGGCCGCTTGTCCGAGAAGAAAAGAATTGGCGCCCACTAGAGAATGGAAGATTGACGAGGCCTAGGACCCGATCAGCATTGTGTGAATGAATTGCGCAGCTAGCCAGATGGCATTGGACGTACAGCCAGCCTGGGTAATGACATCGTTGCGTTTGTGTTTTAGGTCCGGGACATCAAGCGAGGTTAGGAGCGATCAATGTTAGGTGTATTTGGTCGCCATGATTGGTTGAGGGAGTGTCGTCAGTTGGAGTATTGTATCAGCGCTGCACAGGTTTCGAGTGTGGTTAAAGGAGTGATTTGCTACAATGCAGAAATGGCGCATCCCAAAGTTATTTAATCGAGTGGACATTCGGTAGATCGCAACGGGCCACTAGAGCTTGTCAGCTTCCGGCTATAGAAGCTCTAGCCCGGGAGTGCATATCGTCAGCCCTGGCCCTGTGCCCATACATTTCTTGAACCCTTGAAACTCGATTGTTGTTGTTGCGATCACGTGGCGCCGCGTCAGTCCGGCGCAAACTGGCGCGCTGCACCACTCAACACGACCAATGTTGTCATCGGTTGTTTACATACGCATATCTTGCGTGTGCCATGCTGCGCGGAGAATATTTCCACCCTTCTCAGCATTACACTCAAGCAATCACTGCTCAACATGGCTCATACGGGTCCCTCGTTCGATATGCAGTCGTACTCTGTACGATTGGACACATTCCTACTTCCGCACCAACTAAGTAAGCGACGAGCCAGTTCGCAAACAGCAAAGAAAAAGGCCGGTACTATTGAATGGCCGCATACTCTTCCAGCGCCAGAACAAGTATGTTGAGCTGGTTTTCTTACTCGCTAAAGAATGCGACTAACTCGTAGTTCAGCTAGCAAGAGCCGGATTCTTCTACCAGCCAACCGAAGATTCAGACGACAATGTAAAGTGCTTTATGTGCGGCGTCACCTTGAACGCCTGGGAGGAGTCCGACAATGCCGTTGAGGAGCATCTTGGTCACTCGAGCAATTGCGGTTATGCGAGAGCCATCGGCGTGTCGCGCGGCCCAGGCTCATCGCAGGAGCCTGAACATCGAGATCCGATGTCGGATGACATGGTCGGTGCGAGACAATCAACGTTCACATTCGCTGGAGGCTGGCCACACGAGTCTAAAAAAGGATGGAAATGCAAGATAGCAAAAATGGTTGAGGCGGGATGGTCATGGGATCCGAATCCGAACGTAGACGAGGCCAATGACGGTGTTACATGCTTCTACTGCGATCTCAGTCTCGATGGCTGGGAGCCAAAGGATGATCCGCTAGAAGAGCACAAGAGGAGAAGCCCGCATTGCAGATTCTTTGAACTCCTCGAGCACAATCCAAGGTCATCGATGAGCGGCAAGAATAAAAAGTCCACGAAACGCGGGAAGGCCTCCATTCGATCCAGCACAGCAAGCAAGGCCGGTCGCTTGAGTTCGCAGAGCATCCTCAGCGAAGTTCCGAGTACGGCGAATAGTTTTTCAGAGCTTGATACAAACGCAACCATGTCAAATCTGGATGAAAGTAGCCTCTCAATCGCTACAACCCAGAGTGAAGCATTAAAGACGATCAAAAAGAAGCCAGCGCGAACCAAAACTACAGCCAAGGGTTCCAAGATTCGCAAGACAAGTGTGATGGAAGATTTTACGGAGAACAATGTTGCAGTTCAGTACCCGGATCTGGGCCTAGCTGTGCCAACGCCAACAGATTCTGAATCTGAAGACGTGCAGGCTGCGGCGCATTCTAATGCCAAGTCTCAGAAAAGCCGCCAGGTGGGGACCAAGGTAAAGGCACCAAAATCTGTCAATGTCGAGTTCGATCCATCAGATGCGGCAGTACCAAAGAAGAAAGGACGAAGCCGCAAAGCCCAATCGCAGTCTCAGCCGGAGGATGCTCGGGTCGAACACAGCACACAGCCAGCGACACCGAATGCTTATCTACTTATGGCGGAGAGATCGGACGAGGTGGCAAATCAATTGCATGACGAACTGGAATACTCGATGGAAGAGCCAGCTGAGGGCGAATCAACAACCATCGAGGAGGCGACGAAACCCAAACTTGGCATGAAGCGCACATCTGATGGCCGTCCCAAATCTCTTGTCTCCACATCAGGTGCCGCGCAAATCCAGAACATTGACGGGAAACCAGCTGCGCCAGCGAAACGAGGCCGAAAACCAAAACCAAAGCCAAGCGAAGCAATCGAAGACGACTCTCTCGTACACGCGAGCAAAGAGTCTGCATCGCAGCGACCTTCTGAAGGCAAGGCGGTGAAAACTCCCAAAGAAGCGTCAAAAACAAAGAAGAAATCTTCTGCCAGCTCGAAAGCCGATCTTGTCTTTGAGCAAGAGATCTACTCAGACCAAAACAACAACGATGAAGCAGAAATCGAGCTTGAACTTGAGCGAATTGCAGCTGATGAGAATCTGCAAGACGCCATCGCAGTTGAGCACGGACTTGTGGCAGAATTTGAGGCCTCACCTTTGCAAGATCGAATCAGCAAAGATAGCCAAGAAATTCGTGCCCTCGAGCGCGAAATTCATACTGAGAGTCATCATGATCGGACAATACATCCGGCTCTCGTCGCATCACACTTGCTTTCCCAGCCATATGCCAGTCCCAGCGGGAGTGACAAAGAGAACAATTTAGGATCGAGTCCGCAATACAGTGACAAAGAGAACGAGCCGCAGTCAGCCGCACGATCATTGGTACAGCGCAATATCGCAGCCGTCATGAACAGCCCTTCAAAACCCAGCAAGATACCGCTGGCCCCTGGTACTCCTAATCGCTCGCCTGTCAAGCCACGCGTCAGCCCGAGCAAACAAATATCCCATCTTTCGTCCACAGTTCCGTGGTCAGCGGTGGATCTAGACGTGGCCTTGACCGCATCGCCTCAGCCTACGCCGGGGCGTTTGAGTCAACAACTGGCTGTTGCCGCGGGCATCCTCACGAGCCCCGAGAAGTCGATGAGCGTGGAGGAATGGATCCGATATCGAGCTGAACAAAGTGAAGCTGAGCTTAGGAGGCGGTGCGAGCAGAAGGTCGCCGCCTTCGAGACAGAAGGCTTGCGTGCTCTACAATCTTTGAACGGCATGCATGTTTTAGCGTAGACTTTCAGAGCGTAGCGAATAATATTAGATGAGCTCAAGCATGCAGGTGATTTTGAGGAGCAATTTGTTGCGATGGTTTTGATTTCCCACGTCAGTGAATGATATGCGATGCACGATTGCATGCGCCCTACCAAGGCACTCGCCAAGCGGGTACTTGAGCGCGGGATTGTGCATGCCTTGACCTTATCAGCAAACCCGGAAATGGCAACATTACAAGTCAACATTACTATGTGATAGGCCAGAGCTGCTTAAGCTGTCTGCCCGTGTTTCGAAGTATCTTTCACATCACTCCTTTGCCTTTGCTGAATCGAACCAAGTCGCTAAATCAACTCCTCAAGCAAGTCTCGGAGCTCGTTCAGCACGAACTGTGATCTCCTACAATACAAAGGCTTCCCCCAATGGCTGAATCTACGAAACCTTTCATCACATGCCACGTGCTTGACACCAGTGCTGGGCGACCCGCGGCTGGCATCGAAACCAAGCTCAGGCTTGTGTTCCCAGCAGAAGCGGCAACGGTATCCTGGTCAGGCGTCACTGACAAAGACGGCCGTGTGACGGCCTGGACAGCTCCAGCTTCCAAAGAACTCAATGACTTCGTCACGGACTTGAAGAAGAACTTGTTTGAGGACGAACAAATGGTGTGGGCTCTCACCTTCGCCACTGAAGCATATTTTGGAAGAGGCAAGGCCTTCTGGCCAGAAGTGGAATTGAAGTTTTCCGCATCAAGGGACGAAGATCACTACCATGTTCCGCTGCTCTTGAGTCCGTGGAGCTTCACGACATATCGAGGATCATGAATTTTCTGGGCTGATGAGACAGGTAGCGAGCACACACATCGGGGGTTTTCACAAAATCGCCGCACTCTTTCAATTATTGCGACCATATTACTGGGCCACAAGAGCTTGCAGTGAATGGCTTACTGTGAGCATCTATAGTAGGGCGCGCTGCTTGATATTTACGAACCTTCAATGTATTAAACGACGACCACAATACTCAATTCCATGAATATTATGTCTCAGTATAGTCTACATCAATCAAGGTGATTCAATTCCTCATCAATGACATTTCGAAGACTTTTAGCTGTCGTCCCAGAATTCGGCGGAGGCCATGATTGCTGTCGTTTCCTCAGTTCCTCAGCAGCGAGTATCGCTGCAGATAATTGCATGAGCCTGCCATGGACAACATAGCCCTGTTCGGCCAAGGCCTCTGCCAATTCAAACTGATGATTGTCTAATAGTTCCTCATTCGGCACGACAATAAGGGGCACAGCAATTCGTAAAGCATCCAGTATGGTACCAGAGCCTGTCAGTTTCAGTACAGCTCGTCGCAGAAAACTCGTGAGGAGGCGCATATACCGGCGTGACTGATCACGATACCTTGCTTATCAGCCGTTCCTTTCGCGGCTCTCATGTGACTGGACAAGCCAGACTTGTCGAGGTCGAAGCCTTCGACGATTAGATTGCTGTTCTCATCAGAACTCATGCTTTTGAAGCACGCATCGTAGTGTTCTTGACCGTGTCGTCCATACTGTACGAGCAGCCTGTCATAACCCAATTTTTCGAGAGTCTCGCGGACATCAGCAGCGAGCACAGCTTTGATGAGACCGCTAAAGGTGGCTGTTGCACCAACCGTCACGAAGCATGTTTTCATGTTGGAAGCGGTCATTTAATGATGCCCCGAGAGAGTGGCTGTGTCAATTGAGATGCAAATAATCTCTGCACTCTCATCATGCGGTATCTACCTAGGTATCCTCAAATATGCGTCTGGCGATTGGGGGGACAGGGCCATGGACCCGACGCCGGGGCCGGAGGTGAGCACGGACCACTACATCTCATGATCTCCGTCGCGAAATCAATCAGACAAGAAAGATTCACATACCATGGCCGCATCAATTGAACGCTTATGCCACCGTTTGGCGACGGCCGCGGTCCGACCGTCTCGCCAAATCAACCCACTTACAAGAGCGATCGACACTCGCCTCCCTCAAAGGACGTCAATAGCGCAGAAGGAATTTCGACAATGCCGAGCCTTTCACCACAACACAAGATACCTTACAGCAAACTCATCACATGCCTCGTTGGACCCATTATCATTCGACGATCTCTTAGAGGATGCTGTTGACGAAGACTTCGATGTCGCGGAAGTGAGCTCCACTGGTTATGCTGAGCTGGAACAACATCAGGAGGTCCGGGAGCTGATGCGACTTGCTGCCTGGGAAATGCCTTTATTGGGTCGACTTGCAAAGCCATTTGTGCCTCCGAAGACAGACAAAAGACCATTGAGATGGCGCTATACAACATACTTTGGCGACCCACATCCAGCGAGTCGCAAAGTCGTTGTGGAGTTCCGTGTACATGACCTGAAATTGGAGCCGAAAGCCGCTCTGAAACTCAAAAAACTTGCGGGTGTCCGGTACAATTCAGGAACAAAGAGTGTTCGTATGAGTAGCGACAGCTTCGACACGCAGGCTCGTAATAAGCGCTTCCTGGCTACAGCCATTGAAAATCTCATCCGCGAAGCGAACGACACGACCACAGACTCTTTCGAGGACATTGCGCTAGATCGTCGACACTCCAAGCCGAAGCCTCAATACAACTTTCCGCACAGCTGGAAGATGACGGAAGAGCGTCGTGCGCAATTGGAAACTAAGAGACTACGAGAAGCAGCCTACAGTGCGCGACGCATTGAGCAGAACCCTGATACCGATGGGCTTAGATTGATTGCGGCCGAGCACGAGCAACGATCCCAGACCGTCGAAGAGCCGGTCATGGTTGCAAAGGGTCGTGGATCCAGGAGGATTGCTTGATCTTGCATTATGTGGGTTGAAATCCCAGTATTGAACCCCGTGGCGTGGAGCGGTTTGGCTGTAAAATAACAATGTAACAATGATCCCGGCTGCTCCCTATTTTCCTGCAGATATCGAACAATCAGTCTATCATCGACACTCAATTACGGCTAACTAACGGACACATCCATCGAAAGTGAAGTTGCACACGACCGTCGGCGTAGCAAAGCTATTTAAGGAAGAACATTCCGCTCAACTTGTCGGAACGAATGCATTCCAAGTTATCCGTGATTGGTTTTAACGCAGCTCCACACAAGGTAGCGCAAGCTTAACAAGACGTAGAACAATTGCCGTTCTGTTTCTTTGTCGCTTTGAGGTATCCATTTTTTGTTCCCGAATGCGCTATTCACATCCCTTTTTGACTTCCAGCAACAATAACACATGGATGAAAGTCAGCCACCAGCGTCTCCCTTCCTTCATCCACACATTGACTCATTCATCAATCGATTGACCTCGTCGGCGTGTTACGTGACTGCTGGCACGCGCGCGCGGCTATTGTTCGCCCACACCTGTGACAGCTGGCGACAATGTCACGCGTCCGACTCAATGATGAAAACACGCGTGTGCCAGCAATCAACGACACTTTCCGGAATAGGCAGGACTTCACTTTCACTGATAAAAGCAGTGTGTCCTCTAGGCAGCGAGCCATTTCGTGACACAAAGTGTACGAGCACTGTTGATAACGTCTCACAGCATTGCTTCACATTGTCTTTATCAACATCTGAACCTTATTCCATCTCATTCATCACCGACTAGCCATCATGGCAAAGTCAAGGCCTCCGGCGGCTGCTGCTGCTGCTGCGCCTCGACAGACGGCAGATTCTCCACGTGGTGTATTCAAGAAAGGCGTCTCCAAGAGGACGAGACGTTCTCCAGCCAGGGCCAAGTTAGAAAGCATTGCGCCTCAACTCTGGCAATGTAGCAACACAGCATGCACAAATCTTGACAAAACAGCGAGAGAACGAACGATCACGGGCCGTAAGGCTGTTAGTGATTTCTTTGGCCGCAACAAAAACTCGACTAAAAGCATACCTGATGATGTTTGGGGGTGGCTGTGTAGGACATGCTATCAACGAGGTCGTTATAGAGCCACAGCACGGGCAGGCGTTCAGCCACATGAAGAGGCTAATTGGTACCTCATGCTCATTCGTGACCAAGTTAAATGTCTCAAGATCTGGCGGCCAGAAGCGACATTCACCATCCAACTTCAGGCTGCCGCTGAGCAGCGCTACCGCGAGTACTGCGTGGCATTGGAGCGACTAGGAGGGGATCGAGCAGTAGCTGAAGCCAGCGTGACCAGGCCTGGCAGACAGAGCCGGAAGAAGGATCAGCTTATTGAGGATCGCGGGCAGACTCTTCGGATGAGCCACGCCAAGTACATCAAGGAAAATCTGACTGGCGCCAACACGTCTTACGCCGACATCGAGAGTGTTCTCGATTGGATGCAGGGAGAGGTCGACGACGGACAAATGCTTCATCTGGCAGCAATCGAATTCCTCATTCATCCACAACGTGACGACGAGCCGTTCATCGACCCTGAACAGAACTCTGCTATCTTCACAGCTCAACGTCGTGCAGCACTGCCGACGGGCCGTCAAGAAATCGAGCCGCCTAATTCAACAACATTCACGAGCGACCACCCAGTTGTCTCCACTCTACCTACATCACCCGGATTATCCTTCACCAACTCTTCCACCAAGACAGAGACAAATCTACCTGGCTACGGCAACTTTCGTCCGCTTGCAGATTACGCTAAGCCGAGTGACTCCCTGGCCAACATTCCGCTCTATCAGCCTCCGGGTCCAATCAAGATCTCGCTCAAGCCAAGCGGATCCAGAGGCGTAGCTTTGGCAGAAGTATCTCCTTCCACCTCCAGCACTCAAGCTCAAGACGAACGATGCAAGAAGCCCAAGGTATCCACGCTCCTGCAAATTCTCAACGCCGAAACTTGAAGCAAGTCTATCATTTTCCGGGTTTGAAATTTCTTATCAACTCCCCAGTGATTGCCCCCAAATCTTTCTTTATAGCCGTAGCTCTCGCAAGTGGCTGATTTATGTGACTGTGGAACGAATTGTTTGCTTTTTGTTTGAATTGGATGATGCAAATGTTCATGGACTGGTCTGGTATTTGTCAGATTCCGTCTCAGCTCGGAATCAATGAAGTTGTGTTGCGCGGGATCAGATTCGTTGGTCCTGAGGCTTCCCGTTTAGTAGATACCCCCAATCGGATGCAAACGTAAGTGCTATAGTGCCGTAGCTCGCCAGAAAAAGCGTTTTTGTTGAATTTGATACATGATTCATGTTCGTCAACTACGGTATTTTTTGATGCTACAGGGCGCAAAAATCAATGCAGTTATGGTACAAAAGCTTGGTCTCGCTTTGATTCGGCATTTCCACTGTACAATTTGAATGTCACCTTCGCGGCGTGATCCCACCGGTCCATTCTTCTGGCTGCCATCCTTCACTCGGTCCTCCCTTCGATTGCGATTTCTCGTATGGACTCTGATCCTTCTTACTCTTCTTCGCCTCTTGCAATTTGGGTGCTTCCACTGCAGTCCTGACGCCCTGTCTCTGCACGTCTTCCGTCGGTTGGTCCACGTAGCCACCTGGGTCTTTCACACCGATTGCCGGCTGTGGCTGCTGCCGATTGGGCGAGTCGAGGTAGCTCGGTTGGCTCTTCCAACGTTCGTCGGCTTCTGCGGCAAGTCGCTGCATGGCGCTGCGTCGGCAGACTTCATACTGCTGCTCTTGTGTCGTAGGCGCAACGGGTCGAGTGTGTCGAAGCCATTGGTGCCATTGGGCTGTAACAAATTGGTTAGAATAACGGATCACAAGATCTTTACAACGATCTTGCACTTGCGGGAGATTTGAATATCGGCGTAGTGTGTTGATGATTGCGAGTATTTGACAATCCGCCGCCACCGGTTTGCGTTCAATGCATCTTTAAATTCCCAGAATGTGTTGCCAGCCAGATCATGACCTGCAAGGAATTGTCGCCGCCATGGAAGGCGTAAAGCTTTCCAGCGATACCACAATCGAAGGAACGGATTGGGCACGGGCATGAGGAGGTGAAGTGAATACAGATCACGGCCTCTCTAATGTTGTCGTTCCAATGAGAATGCTGGAAATAAAATTACTACCTCGTCGGTCGAACTCTCGATTGATGACATCGACGTGACAGGCCTTTCCCAATTGAGAAGCATAATTGATGTCCCTTCCAACCTGAGGCATACAGCTGCCCCACGAGTTCCGCCTGTCATCCTGGCGGCGGGGGCACACTACGTAACAGCCCTGGAGTCCAACGTTCCAGGTATTTCATGAGTGTGGTAGTCTGGTTTCCCTTACCTTTGGCATGTGATTTGGATGACCGCACCAGTCTAGACTTGTGTAAAGCCTGTGAAAGCGACGTGTTGCATGCTTTCTGTCCGACGAATTTACATTCTATCGCGTACCGACCTGCTCGACTTTCTGCCTTTTTTGGTAACAACCTTCGATCTCCGTTGCTCACCGGGAAATTGTTCATACAAAGGAAGCCAAACATCGATATCTAGAATTAAAACCCGACATAATGGCTGACGAAATGGCGCCGAGCTTGCAAGCGCTTCTTGATCAGAAGTCGCTGAAGTGGATCTTCGTTGGTGGCAAAGGTGGTGTTGGCAAAACAACAACATCATGTTCGCTGGCCGTCCAGATGGCCAAGGTCCGCAAGAGTGTCCTCCTTATATCCACTGACCCGGCGCACAACCTTAGCGATGCTTTTGGAATGAAGTTCGGCAAAGATGCCCGTCCTGTGACCGGGGTTCCCAACCTATCCGCAATGGAGATCGATCCCAACGGCAGCATCAACGACTTGATTTCAGCGGGAGGCGAGGACGCGCAAGAGGCTATGGCCGGACTGGGCGGTGTTGGTAGCATGTTCCAGGAGCTGGCTTTCAGCATTCCAGGTGTAGATGAAGCCATGAGTTTCGCTGAGGTCTTGAAGCAACTCAAGGGCATGGAGTACGAACTCGTCATCTTCGACACCGCGCCTACTGGACACACTCTGCGATTCTTGCAATTCCCAACCGTCATGGAGAAGGCGCTAGAAAAGCTCAATCAGCTTTCGATGCAATTCGGGCCGATGATCAACGGCCTGATGGGAAGCCGGGGCATGCCGAATGGTCAATCATTCGACGAGGTCGTTGGAAAACTCCGCGATCTGCAAGCCACCATTGGCGAGGTCAACAAGCAATTCAAAAACGCGGATCTGACTACTTTTGTCCCGGTTATGATTCCCGAGTTCCTTTCCTTATATGAGACCGAGCGTATGATCCAAGAATTGGGAGGATATGAAATTGACACTCATGCTATGGTCGTCAATCAATTGCTCTTTCCCAAGAAAGACAACCCTTGCGAGCAATGTAACTCTCGACGGAAGATGCAGAAGAAGTACCTAGAACAGATCGACGATCTGTATGCTGAGGATTTCCATGTTGTCAAGATGCCACTGTTAGTAAACGAAGTGAGAGGCGTGGAAAGCATATCAAAGTGAGTGTTTTTGCACAAAGCTACTGGGACATCAAGGTGGTAAATCTGGTACTTGACGACTGACAAACCATCTGTTTAGATTCAGCGAAATGTTGGTCAAGCCGTATGTGGCTCCAGAATGAGACACGGATCAAGGATTTGACGACATGCGAAGCTTTCGTATGAGCGTTGTAGTTCGTGCATAGGCAGGGAGGAGACTTCAAGTCGATCAACGCCGAAACGACTTCGATACCATGGAACTTACTACTTCGCCGGCACGCAAGGGCTGTTTTGACTACCGAACTCAAGTCAGAGTTGAAGCAGGAAGCAGGAAGCAATAATATGACTCTGCGATTGAAAGTCATAGAGACCTTGATAATTCTATGTATGCTCCTTTCCGCATCCATGCGAAGAAAATATTATATATGCAAGACATCCGTCAATCATGTGCAGGCGATACCTTTCACTGCTGTATCTACCGCCGTGGACCCCAACTCCAAAACCAACCATAAAACGCCTGACATCGAAACAACCCAAATGGGGAAGGAGTAGTCCAACCACAATAAAAGCAGCAAAATCTTTTGGAAGAAAAAAAGAAAATTTGAAGAATGAGTGTGTAGCGCCGATCATGCGGAGCCAGACGGCTTCCAGTGCCGTCTGACCTCCATCGTCGGCATCCTCTTGCTCTGGAACTCCTCAGCAGGCCAGCCTTGAACGGTAGCCTGAGTGTCCACAACATCACCCGCCATGACGAGCGTGTGTTCCAAGAGACAAGAATCCTCTTCCATGCGTGCGCCCGAGAGCAGACGACTGCCTGTGCGGAGAACGCTGCGCGATCCGACAGAGAGCGGGTTGAGGTCAAATTTACCACGTGTGTTGATGTGGCCGACGAGACTAGCATCGTCAACAGCGACGCGGTCACCGAGCGTCAAGAGATCGGGCTCGGTGAACATCAGGGAGGGGTTGCCTGATGCGAAGAGGGCACAGTCTGAACCGATTTTGGCGCCGAGTGCGCGGAAGTACAGCACGACGTAGTGTGTGCCGGTGAGGAGTCCGAGGATGCCGATGTTACCGTAGCAGCGACGACGGAAAGTCTCGAGCTTGAGGAATAATTGCCATCGTTGGCAATAGGAGGATTTGTCCCAATCGTAGTTGCCAGGCATGCGTCGGCCCATGAGAATCCATTTGGCGGCGATGGTGAATGCCAAAACAACGATGCTCTGGAAGGTCATCATAGCCACGATGAGAACCCAAAAGAAGATGAACAAGTTTGCAGGTCGCATCATGTTGTCGCGACCGAGAAACCCGTGCGGGTGGGCTAGCCAAGTCTTGTTCTGGTACATGTGACCAACGACCTGCACTGCAGCAATAGAGCCTGCGTTCCACCAGGTGGCGCTGAGGACTGCTGTAAGAGTGCTGTAGCAGAAGATGGTGAATTGGCCCCACACGCGATACGAAGCCTTGCCCTCGTAAAAGGCACGGCCGAACGGACTTGAAGATTCGGGTTGGATCGTCGTGGTTTGCTCAACAGTATACTCGGACTTGTGTAGTGGTGATCTGCGAAGGGGAGGCATGACGCTGCTGGCGAACGAGTCGAGCCTGTGGGCCTGAATTGAAGGCTTTCGGCTGTCGGCAGGGGTCTCAAGCGCTGATTTGAACCCATCTGAGTCTCCATAGTGGGATGGCGCAGGAGAGTACGGGCGTGGCTTCTCGATAAGGTGCATGCTGGATCGTTCAGAATCAGGGAAAGGACGGACGATCGTAGTGGCAGTGGAACTGGCGGGCGAGTGGCGTGGCACGATGTTGTGGGCGTTGATCGACTCGTAGTACTGCTCTGTTCGGTGGCCGCTCTTTTCAGGACGCGTGGATTCGACGGAGAGGCAGACTGCTTCGTTTTTCTTGTTGCCGACCCAGGTGGTGCCATCGGCGTACGCCTTGTTTCGCTTTGCCAGCGCACCGCTTCCCATCACAGTCTTCTCTCCAAGCTCGGAGCCAGGGAGGAGGACAACGCGATCAGCGACCATGGCGCCGGACTTGATGCGGACGTAGTCGCTACCACCACCGTCTGAGGTGACAAGGTGCGATCGGGAACCAAAGACAACATCGTCGCCAATTTCCAGAAGATCGAAGCTCTGGATCGAAGGACCAGTGCCCGGCCAGTAAACGCGTCGACCAATCTTAGCACCCATTGCACGTGCAAAGGCGGAGGTGCTACCGTAGTGAGTGCCAAACAACTCGGTCAACTTGTGGAACTTTCCGGCAGGTAACAATGTCTCCAAGAGCTGCATTCGGAATCTGGTCATCTGCGAGCGGTCGCTAGCCAAGGTCGGCGTAATGCGGCCACAGAACAGATCGAATATCTTCTTGATGGCCACAACACAGGCAAACCCGAATAGAGGTCCGAGACATGCGTGAGCTGCCAGAGCGGCGTAATGCCATCCAACACGGGTCGGGCTTGCGAACCAGATGATGATCGATTGCAAGAAGTCTTCAAAGTGATCTTCGGGTGCGCGGATGACCAGGGCGACCAGGCAAGCGAGCCATGGCAGAGCCCCGAGGAAGGCGTTGAAGACCGTCAACGGAAGACCGAGGAAGATCTGCAAGGCCCAGTGCGCTTCAGGAACACTGCTTGCGTTCAAGTCACGGTTGCTCTCTTCCGCATCGAGTACTTCCCAGCTGGACGAGTTGGGACCAATGCAAGTATCGGCGGGGACACTGGTGCCGGCAGCAACTATGGCGCTCAAGCCGATAGAGGCCTTGCTTCCGATGGTGATACGTCCGAGGTACATTGAGGTGTTGCGCTCAACTGCGAAAGGACGGATAGTGCAACGTTCCAAAACCGCATCGTCGCCAATTGTGATCAAGTCCCATTCGCCGAGACGAGCGTGCTTGTTGATGATGACATTCCTGCCAATCTTGGCTCCCAGCAATCTGTAGTACCAGACGAGCGACCAATTTGACAATGCAAAGACGCCCGGGCCACAGATCGCGACAACCTTTTCGACGAGCCACCATTGCGTGTGATAGCGGCCCCACATCGGATAGATACCTTCTTGGTGATTGCCAATAACGATCCATTTGAATGCGATAGCCACGAGCGGGCAGACGATCCTCGTGACAGCACGGCCAACGGCCATAGAAAGTACCAAGTTGAGCAGACGACCAGGTAGACTGTCAGTGGTCGCCCATGGGAACATGGCGGTCATCGAGTAGATGAAAACGGTCCATGTCAGTGCACGCTTAAGTGGCCAGATAGCCACGAGAGGAAGCAGCTGGATGACCAAAAGGAAGGGATTGGTCGAGCTGCAAGTCTCTGCACAGCCTGGGAGCAACTCCTCTTCGACTGAAACCATCGATTCAGTGCTCTCTGGTTTCTCTTCCAGCATGCGATCATCAATCACTTGCGCCAATTGGGAGAGTGTGGGATTGGCGAAGAGGATATTGATGGGAAGACGGAGCGGATATTCCTTGCGGAGCGCGTTCAGCATCTTGCCAGCGGCCATGGAATCTCCACCGAGATCGAAGAAGTGGGAAGTGCTCGAGAGATCGCTGACCGGGATTGACAGAATCAGAGCGTAGACCTTGGCAACGACAGCCTCGGTGCCAGAGAGATTGTGAGTCACATTGGTGGCTTCAGGGGTGTTCAGCAGGATGTCCAAGGACGCAACGTCAATATCACCAGAAGAGCGTCGAGGAAAGGCCGTGTCCAAGACGCGCACCTTGAAAGGAACGTTGTATCCGTGCAGACCGCTGGCCAGCTTCATGATCAGCTCTTGGGAATTCGCGGCGGTCACAATAGATGCTCCGCTGACGCTCTGGTTTCGGCTCGGGGCAACGATCAGCTCTGGGTAGAATCCGGTCAGATCTGGCCTCACGAAGCTTTCTTGGGCATCTGAGAGGGTCTCATCGGCAAGAACTTTCAAGCAGTAGTGGTTCATCTCGAGCGATTTGCACTGAATGGGCATGCTGAGTGATGTGTTGGGCGGCGGGCAGACTGCCTCGTAGTATCGCCCTGTTGGTGGCGTGCTGTCGCATATTGAGGGCAGTCCCAAACGCTCCGCGAGCTTAATGCGCAGAATCTTGTTGTTATTCGTGGGTAGGCCGTCGTCCATGTAGACGAGTAGCACAGGCACCTTGACGGAGCTGAGCACTGATTTGACCGACTCTTGTATTCCTCTCAAGCATGCTCTTTGTGCACCACTGGGTGTGACCACTGCGATTCCGACAACCTCCTGAAGTACATCGTGAGTCACACTGAAAGCCAGAGCTTTGCTGACGCGGCCGTAGATGTGTGAATTAGGCTTGCTGGCAGCCACGACAATCGCTTCCTCGACTTCGAAGGGGCTGATTAGTTCTCCGCCGCGATTGATGACCTCTTTGCTTCGGCCAGTGATGTACAAGTAGCCTTCGCTGTCCAGGTAACCCATGTCGCCAGAGTCGAACCAACCATCAGCTGTGAAACATGATCGGTCGATAGTGTTGTTGGCGCGAAGGTATCCAGCGAATACAGGAGCACCGCGGACGCAGATCCGACCGACAACGTCAGTTGTCTGAGGGCGGTCGTGGCCATCCAAGATCGCAATCTCAGGCCCGACGGTCACACCAGAGGTTCCAGTCTTCTGCAGGCGGTAGTCCAGAGGCGGTGTCGAAATGGGCATGCATTCAGTCATACCATAGCTGGGAAGGATTGTGCAATCCAACTTTTCTCGTGAGAAAGTGTCACGCAGCTGAATGGCAAGACTCGGTAAGAGGCCACCAGCAGCATTGCAGATTAGTTGAATCTTGCTCTTTGCAAGACTTTGTGGTCTGTCCTCAGCTGCTTCGAGGATACACTGGTGCATGCTGGGTGAGGCGTAGTACCAAGTCGGGGAGTGGTCCTCCACACAATCCCAAAATAGGTTGGCATCGAATCCTGCGCAGCAGATCACTGAACCTCCGGAGAAGATCGGCGCGAACAGATTTCGTACGAGACCGCCGACGTGGTTCAGTGGCATCTGATTCAGGCATCGCATTGATGGGGACAATCCCCATGATTCAACAACCATGGCGACTCCGCAGACCATTGAGTGGACGGAGAGAGGGACGAGCTTTTTAGTCCCTGACGTACCGCTTGTGAAAAGGAGAATACCGGTGTCGTCTGCTGCATTGGCCTCGGGCCGAACGACTGGTGACTTGCTGAACGGGGCATGAACAAGTCTTCCATTGAGAGTTCGTACTACGAGATCCATTGAGTCGTTCAGATCGATGAGAAAGACTTCGATGCCAGCCTCTGAAAGCCAAGCGTCCTGCAGTCCGAGTCGAGTGACATCTTCCGCGGATGCAAGGACAATGTCGGATCGCGATTGTAATACGTCGGTCTTGAACTGCTCCTTGCCAACGCCATTACCGTGCGCCACTGGTGCGGCTGTATAATATGTAGCGGTGGCCAGCACCGTGATGGCTAGAAGAGGACCATTAGGTAAGGAGATCGCCACGACGGGCTTGGGGTTGGTGGTCTTCGCTCTCGGAAGCTGGAAATTCCTGACAGTCGTGGCCAGGTTGAGATGGTGGCTTGAGCGGCTAGTAATAGGATCAATGATTGCTTTTGATGATGACGATGGATGGTACAGGTCGAGAAGGGAAGTATATGAAGATTTGCACTGTGAAGAGACGTAGTTGAGCATTGTGGTCTCAAGTTCCGAAGCACGGCCGGCTTTGGCCTGCTCTGGTAGAAGCTTCCATAGCTCTGTGTGCGTTCTTTGCAACTCCAGTATGGGCCAAGGTCCAGAGACGGAATCTAGAAGTGCGGAAAGGGTAGCCAATGGAGCGAATGTCGAGTTTGCTCCTCGAGGGATCTCGGCCAAGAGCGTCGCGTGGTCGATTGGCTTTCGTGATGAGGCCGAGGACAGGAACCGGGCACAGGCACCGGAGGCGTCCTCTCGAACGAAACTTGCTGCGAGGCCAGCCATGTTGGATCCTCCAAAAAGAAAAAGGTCCTAAAACAAAGGTGAAATGAAGCTCATGAGATGGATGTCACGGAAAATTTCGCCATGCACTGTCGGATCGATGTTCGGAGAAAAAGAACGGATATGCGAGGCTGATGAGCCAAAGATATGTTGTCGTTAGGGGCCTTGGTGATCTTGATATAGGCCAGATATGCAGGTGAAGTCCGGAATCAACCAGCCGTTCGCAGGTTTCTGTCGTATTACCTGATGTCGAACTTCGCTAGCGTTTCACGACAGTCGGCAAGCCAGGCGAGACTTGTGTAGGAGAGAAGAGAGGGATCAGTTCAGTGTCGTGGTTGTTTTGAAAGGTCGAATAAGATCAGCATGCATCAAGCGGTTGGCCGGACGAAGTTTTGAGTCTCTCGGAAAGAATCGTCGCTGAGACACTGGGACACACGAGATTTCAGAGTCGATTTTCGGAGGTGGTGAATACAATCGCCCGGGAAGATAGTCGCAAGCGATGGCCAGGCTGATAAGATCATGCTATCGCTGATGTCAGGTCAGAATCGTCACGGTCAACACCATCTCCCCGCAGGATTTCTTCGCTCGCGTTCGCATGCCGGAGCCAACACACCATTTGGGGGAAATGGTGAGGATATGTGGCGTGGCATTCGAAAAGCCGGCGAGGGCGATGTGTATGCATCGTAGAAGCGCAGTGGAAGAAAGTCCACTTCAACGGCTTTAGTCATGTCAACACGAGCATTTTCCAGGCCCCTAAGACATGAGGCTTGCACGGATCGGGCGAAGACTTCGCATGAGGTATCATCTGGCGTTACGAGGCGCCGCCGCCATGCCTCCGATGTCCATCAACCCCTACACCCTCCCAGATGCGCGGCGTTTCCAGTAGTGCCAAACACTAATAATTGAGGGCACCACAACAGCGCGCATCCACCTCCACATACAACCAGCGTTCTGGCTGGAGCAAACCTCGGGTGAGATGATGAGAGTCCTGGGCTGTAATGGAGTGATGTACCAACGGCACGGTTGTCTTCCCACTCTCTCTGTCTCTCCCTCGCAGCAGGCATCATTTGTCTTACACACCTTCTTTTCGCGCGCTCGCTCTGATGGTGCACCACCATCACTGCTGCTGCTACTCCCGGCCTTGCAGTCAACAAGTTATCGTCGGTGATTTACAACCCACGCGAAGATCATCGCCCTTCGGAGCTCCACCTAGCTGGGGAACCGCGACATCGCGTGAGGACCCATCGGACCAAAAGGGTCGCGACCTACATAGGATGACCGTCCGCTGCATAATTCTCGTGTCATTATCTTTAATTGGCATCAGGTGAGGATTGGCGGATTCGGGCCGGCCGGAGCGACTCTCTCAACGGTGGGGGGGTCTTATTACTTTCCCAAAACAAAAAAACAATGTGTACTCTGTATCCATTGGGCCCGAGTCATCATTGTCTTGGCCTGTCAAATACACTCATCACTACTAAGACAGCCAACATGATGACCTACTGTAGACATGCACGCTGCCGTCACTCGGCGACGAACGACCGTTCAAGGGCCTGATCACGGGCAGTGTCTGTTGCGCCCAGCTATTTTTCCTGTGCGCGCGGTACAGCCAGCAACTCGTAAGTGGCGCCTGCCCGACCACTGCCATCGTGAGATAAGTAATATACCTCGTCTGAGAGAGCATACCGTCGCGCGCGCCTCAATTGCGGAGAATGTAAGCCGCGGTCTCGTGAGATAGAGGGGAGTCGGAAGGCGACGCAGGCGGGCGTGGGCGGTTTGGAGAGGCGGGCTGCGTGTTCCTGAACGCCACAAGCGGTGATATGATTGGAGTACCTGATTTGATGGGCTTCAGTCACGATAGAGGAGCAAGGCGAAGTGTGCAAGCCACCTTGTCTCGTAGGACACTGCAGGCGATCCACCCTTCCGCTGTGGGCGAGACCTGCCTTGCATGGCTCAATGCATGATGAGCTCGGCGGAGGTGCTGCATGAGTGAATATTCAGGATGCGGGAGGTTTTGTTATCTTGTCGATCCCATCTCTCGACGCAGGGCGAAAAGGAAACAACGCCCCAGTGTACCGTCGACATAATCAGATGATTTGTGGGTGCCATACGTCCTGATGCATGGGTCGGCCGTCATCATACAGAATATCAGGCACATGCGAAATGCGTGTCTCTGTTCAGGAAGTTGAAAGCCTCCCACGGCACAACCACCTGCATACAGAATCATCACTGTACAGCTTGGGAGGGGGCAGGGGGGGCGAGGGAGATCTCATCAGCGGAACGAACGCCATGCCTGTCTCGCTGCCCATTATTAGCGGCCGGGTCATGAGAGCTTGGCCAGACGTCGGCTCCTCTGTGCGTCCAGACGTGTGCTCCTCCCGCTGCTCCTCCTCCTTTTCGTCCACCACCACTCCTTTTGAGCTAAGAATAATACACACCACGATGACGATGCAGAGAACACAGCATAAGGATAGTCCTGTATTTGTGCACCGTCGCACGACGCCTCTATTCGGCAATATTATGCCGTGCACAAGAGTGGTCCCTTCCGCCCGACAGTCATTATGATTCATGATCAGCCATGTTGGTGAATATTGCGCGGGTCAGATTCGATAGTAGGATTGCTAGATGTTGCTTGCATGCCGTGAACACTTATTATTTGCGTGCTCGTATTATGCTCAATGTGCTGTAGGGTACATGACCTTGGGCTTGGCAAACACGACACGTTCTCGAACAGTTGGTGGGTTTAAAGGAATCCATGCCAATTATCGCTACGCGTTTCTTCAGCTACCGCTCCCCTGGCTCATCCGCGGCCGGACAACGGTGGCTCGCTCCCGGTCAATTTTCTGACAAGGTTGCTCCCGTCGCCTCAACGGAAACTTTGGACGTGATCGTACCTAATCCACAGGTCCCCGTCACTCCTGTCGCAACACAGTGCACTCTTGACACGCCTGTGACACGTCGATCGTGATTAGTTCGATCATCGCCAAGAGACGTGGCTTAATCTTTGGGAGATCATTCAATTTTGTGGTAACAATGCTGCATGCGGTGGATGTTGCTTCGTCGAGTCAACTCGTGGTGGTAAGAAGCGTAGAATATCCCGAATAAGCAGGAACGTAGGTATACGACGATCCGCACCTCACATGCCTCGGCAGCCTGCAAGGTGCAAAAACTCCATACGGCGAGTGCTCGGCGATGCTGTGATCAGATCCGAAATGGGCAGCCGCATCTGCCGTCAATTATCTCTCGATATAACATGGTCTCCACACATCCTCGCTCATCGAAACCTCCAACTGCAACGTCGCGAGTGTTTCCGTTCACTTATTATTATCACTATTCCAGACAGGGAGAAGCAATGCCCTGACAACCTCCCTGTACCATAGAACAGCCCACCTCAACCGGTACCGCACTGTGCCGCGCCCTGTTCTGAAGAAAAAGGTCAGGCCCTGTGGCTTGAAATGGTGGCGGCCTCTCCGGCAGCGAGCGCGCTGACCGACGTTCTCCGGATGGGTGGCCAGCCCTGAGATTATCCGAGATCACCTCATGTTGTCCTCGCGTCCAGGCAATATGAAGGAGCATTTAAGTGGTTCAAGGCCCACGATCCCAGTCGGACCACTTTCAACTAAGCGACCCAAGGAAAATTAGACGACTTGCCCACGCGAGCGAGTCCCTTCTAGCGGACTTCTACAGAGCCTCGAATATTCCAAAAGTCCGAACTCTCAGGTGTCATTTTCGTTCACATGAATCTCGCGCGCGCTACAGCATCTGGCCATTTTTAAGTCGTAAATCCAATCGCATCGACCCGGAAAATGTGAAAATTCACGCACCCCACCGTCCAGCGTCCCCCAATTCTCTTTTTGAGCGCCCCCAACGCCCCTACCGCGCGCCCTCGCCTGCGGAGCGGCCCTTGCGGCCATCCCCGAGCTACTCAGCGTATCTCCCCCTATGCTTTATTGGTTGGACCGTGTGGCGTGAGATTTTCCCGCCAAGGTCTCTTTGCACTCGCGAATGCGCTGGCATCATATCGCCATACACCGCATGTCTTTTCAGGCGCCAAGTCCTTGCCAATCTGCCTCGAAAGCCTCTCAGCGACGGCATTCTCGCCTGGTTTGAAGAACAGTGCTTTCCACGACTTTTCGTCAGTTTCTGGCTGCTTGCGCATCTCACGTTGAGCGTTCTCCAGCGCGGACTTGTGGTCGGCCACGCCTTGCATATCGCCCTCATCGATCGCCTTGATAACACCGCCCCACGCGGATCGCGACTCCCACGGGTCCTGCTCGTTGGGAGCAAGCGTCCGGAAAGGTGCAGGTTTAGCTGATGTAACATCATATGTTGTTATCACGGTCCCGACATGATCTTGAATCTCAAACTTATCAGACCAACTACCGGCAGCATGGAATAGACGTTCTTTCCGGCTAGTATCGTCTGCACGATAGATCCCTGCCTCGACGTGATTCTTCGTGCCGCCCAATCCCAACAGTTTTGTGCCGCTGAACTCAATGTCTGCCACATATCCAGCAGATGAGATGATCGAGTACGATCCTTGCAGTTCAGGATAAGGCGATCTATGGTTCTGTCAGTTGTTGCCATGGAGCACCACCCGTTCATGCACATGTCAACGTCACATACCCTGTCAATATCCCCTTCACCTTAATGTTGGGCAACGGAATCAGGTAATCCTCATCGAACGCATCTATATGCAGGACGGCGTGGCCAATCTGCTGGATGTTGACAGAACCATTGAAGGTGATTTCTTGTCGTGTATAGCCTTCCGCGCGAATGCCGTTCTTCTCGTTCCACAAGTAGCAGGCGGTCACTGGGGGATGATGGCTCACTTGCTCCGCAACGAGTTTGGTTTCATCGTTTTCAGGCCCACAACTGCCGGTAAAGATCTCACCCAGAAACGCATTCAACGGCTTCTTGGTTCCTTCGCTGGGATCGCGCCCGGCATATTGTTGGGCCTTGAGACTGGCGAGGAACCAGGTCAGGACTGCGAGCATGCGCTTTGCTGCATCCTGCTCTTGCGCAGGCGCACAGAATAGATCTGGTTGCTCAATCCAATAGCGCGGAAATTCTGTCGTGGACTTGTCGGCGAGGACAAACGGTGGTGCCGTGATGTTGCTCAGATCGCCCTTGATGGTGGCCAGCGACTGCGGTGGGCGGCAAGAAGCGCATCAGTGGTGTTGTCTCACGCCGTGCGGCCACGTGTGGATGACTGGGAAACTCACTGCCAGGAAGTCTTTGAGACTGCTTCGCTGAGAACTTGTTTCTGCCATGGCGTTGGAGGTGTCACTTTTTTGGCGCAATTTGATTGATCGATGCACGTCCGAGCCAGCGATCTGCGATGTCGTGTCTCAGGTTGTGTCTTCTTCGGATGATTGACAGCCACTAGTAAGTAAATGCGACTCTGATCTTCCAAGCGTACCTAGGTTGGTCACGGTGATAATTGTTGTCGTTGTTGGTAGCGGAGCAACCTGATATGACATGTTCAGCATGGCGTCATACACACACTACATACGGGCACTTCACAGTGACGACGGGCTGCTGCGTACAAACATCTCTACACACATCTGCATGTCTACCAAGATCCAGAGGTTGGCACGCTCGGCGTCGCGGCAGAAGCAGATTAATAACAAGCGCTGCTTGATAGAACTAACTACATGCCTATGATCGGATCTCTGCGTACAGTCGTGTCTCGCTACCTACTTGATACAACACTTGTGAATGTGGCCTTGTTGTCATTCATCATGTACTCACCCAGGCTCGGAAAGTTGGCCTCGTGAATTATTTTTGACATGTGCGACATGGCTTACCACTCCCAATACGGTCATTGCGATTGTTTTGGTTGTGATATCAGTGAGTGGATGCCCGGGCGTGTATGCGTCTATCGAGGTACTGTACATCACACTATGCCTGCCCTGGTGGGTTCTTCTGTCGCAGTCATTCGGTGTTGAATATGGCGAGGTATGGAGGCTGCATTTGCCGAACCGCTATTTGCATTGTCACCTGCAGAGCTCGATCATGACGTCAACAAGCGGCCGAATATTCCTTTCCCGGAGTTTGGGTGGAACAAGAATGCTGTCTGCTGTTCATGGTCGATGCATGCAAGTGAGAATCAATCTGCTTGTCTTCCAAAGCCGAGTCCTCTCGGCGCATAGTCACCGACAGGAAGGACCATTCACGGTTCGTATTCCAAATGCACACACAGCAGGATGAACTGTCTGCCAGAAGATGTCATCATGGAACACTCAGGTGCAGGTGCTCGATGTGAACATCGATCGTCACTCGAACAGGGCTGAAAACCAAATTACGGTTCGCTCGCAAATAACCCCAATATCAACCCTAATGCGACATCCATGGAAGATCAGGATCAATGGATCAATGGATCGTTGGATGTTGTTGTCTGCCATGGGTGCAATCGATGATCCAATAGATGATCTCAATTAGGTATTTAACGCCAACGACAACTTCACGTTAGTATAATCGGGTCGCCGAAATGTTTGGACATGAACTGCGTGTGTGACGCCGCGGTTGAAAATATATTGAAATGACTTTTATGCAAACAGTCCTCCCAGATGTTAGGAGCGTTTACCACTAATGTGCCCAGGCGATCTTCACCACAGTCCCGACACGGAACCCTGCACCACTGCCTTCACAATAATCCATGCGACAAAGTACTGTCCTTCGCGATAGGAAGATCCATGGCTCCAATGCGAATTGCCACTCTTGTAGTAGCTGATGGATTTTAGCCGCGGAAGGACTGTTTAGACATTCCAAGTTATTACCAGCTAGGAGACGTTTTATGGCCCCTGAAGCACGGAAGTGGACCCGTGCTTTTCTGACGTGGACAGGAACAAAATGGTACATTACTATCCGCACAATCACTTGACAACGACCTTGCGCGACCCGTGAAGATATGCTCATCTCCGAGTGCTTTACTTGAGGTGAGGTATTTCGTGCACTCTTGGAATCAAAGCTGCTAGCTCATTTGATCGCTCATTCTCTCTCCGTCGCTCACGTTTGACGGTCGATTTGATATGGCTCGTGAGTGTCCGTCGATATGCCATTGATCAATCCCTTCATCCGCCTACCGTTACTCGGACGCTGGACTCGCCGGAGGGCCCGCAGAAATCGAATGGCCGCGCAATCCCTCATTCTGTTGGTCGTCTTATTGATTCTCATACCGGTCTATGTGATCTATAAACCGCCGCGACTCCTCATCTCGTATTTCCAACGTCGCTTTCCCGAGGTCCTATTCCATGTCAACACATCACAACGGATTGTGGGACTGACCATTGATGATGCGCCGACTCAATACACTTCGGCCATCCTCGATATCCTGAAAAGTCACAACGCTTCAGCGACGTTCTTCGTCATTGGTGATCACATTGCTGACCGGCCCGAGCTGCTGAGCGACATCATCCAGGCGGGAAGCGAACTCGGCAATCATGCAATGCACGATGAGCCAAGCGTGTCCCTGTCGAGTGCCACGCTCGCCAGCCAGATCGTGATCGTCGACAAGTTGATCGACAACGCGCATGAGATGGCGGGTATCGGACGGAAAGCACATTACTTCCGGCCCGGGTCCGGTATCTTCAGTCGTCGCATATTGGATGTTGTCTCATCGACAAAGTATCGGGCAATCCTTGGGAGTATCTACCCCCACGATCCATTCATCGAGTATTGGTGGCTGAACGCATGGCACATACTGAGCATGCTGCGGCCCGGGGCTGTGATCATCTGCCACGATCGGCGGTCATGGACGATTCCGATGCTGCAGTACGTCATTCCAGAGATGAAGAGGCGAGGCTACCAGGTCGTGTCTGTCTCCAAGCTTTTGGAGCTCACAAATGGCTGAATAGGCCAATTCTTTGGGCTGCATGCCATTCGACCTAGATTCAGCCGTCAGATCTACGATTCTACCCTGCCCTGATCTGGCTGCCCTATTTGAGTCGATCCGCCTCATCGGTGTCTTGCCTGCACTTTCTACATTGGATCGGTCCCGGGAATCAGGGTGGACCTTTGGGTTAATGATGTCTTTCAAAGGCCAGAAGTTCAAAATTGCAAGCACTGCGGTGGCGACAGTATTTTAATATGCAGGCATTGTTTCATGAGCAGGAGTACAATGCTCCCGTGACCTTGCTCAGACTGCATGCAGCCGTCAACAACGACGCCAAACTGTCATCACAAGACCCGGATGTCGCTGGGGGACTTCAACTAGCGATACACGCATGAACGACAAGATCGTATGTTTGCCGAAGTCTAATATGTACTGGCTTCTAGCATCACAATATCTCTATCGCGCCGCGACGGGCATACATGACGGGACTTTATCTCTTTGCCGTCAGCCCATTCTCTAATAAGCTTATCATGTCATCAAGTCTGTCGACCACAACATCCGTGCGATGATCATCTACGAGATGTCCATTGGCCTCGCTCCGCAGCAGCACCGTGACAGCACCCGCGTCACGGCCTGCCGCCATGTCATCGACGCTATCACCGACCATAATCAGGGGCAATGGTCTTTGCTCTGGTGCTGTCTCGGGCACGTCTGCGCTCGAGATGATGCCCCACGAGTGCGCGATATGCAAAAGCCCAGCGGGTGAGGGTTTCGGAGGTCGGAATTCTCGCGTGATGACGGGCGAGAATTGCTTGATGGGGCTAGGAATGTGTGTTGTCAAGAGGTGGTTAACGGGAGCACTATGGTTTAGTACAATTTAGCATTTGTTGATATTCCGGGAGGCATGTGGTTATATGAACACCACGACGAATGTGATGGTCGTCGATTAGAAATTAGAAGCTAGAAAATACGTACTCGAAGTTCCTGGTACAGATCGCCTTGAGGATAGCCTTACTATCCAAGAACGACATGAGTTCATCCAGTCCTGGCTGTGGCTTCTGTAGGGACATGGCCTCTCGTTCGATCGCTCGTATCTTGTCCATGCCTTCAGTCTGCTGAGGTTCCGGGAGGGAGTAAACATGATCTAGAATATCGGTGCCCTTGTCGATGCCCAGTGCGGACCGCATTTGGCCAAACATGTAATTCTGAGGCTCGCACAAAGTTCCGTCCATGTCGAAAATAACGCCTCGCAACACATCGCCGCCGTTGCCCTGCGTCTCATGGGATGCACTGGCACGAGCAAGTGGCGCGAAGCGCCTGGCATGGTTGGTAGTCATGGCGTATAATCGATTGATAGTATTGGTGTAAGGTTTCACGCGCGCGGGACCAAGCTGGGCATGTCCACGCAGAGTCGTTTGTGCAGCAAAAGCGACACGAGTGTTCGAAAAGACGTTGATAGCTCGTCGAGCAGCAGTAGCTGACATTAGACAGATGATCGACACTTTTGTTTGGTGAAATCGCCAAAGTCCAATCACGAATGAGAATCCCAATGACGTCCTGACATTGACCTCACTTCCGCCGGGTCTCTTTGCGGCATAGTGGCCGATCAACCATAATTCACATGAATGTTAGTTAGGGTTGTGATTGGGCTTCACAAATGGATCTAGAGACAAGTTATCCACGCCCACGACGACTTGGAAGTGCTGGGTTGGCATTGTACGGCAGATGGTGTGATGATCAAGACTTGACATATTCGAATATGTCCAGCGTATGTGACGACCACAAGACAGGACATCTCAGGGAGGAGCAACGCGCACCTGTCCGTGATGAAAGAGGAACCCCTGACCTTCGTTGAACGCGAAACTTTTCAAGACTCTGATTACTTTTACATAGTGTGAAACTCATCGCCGGGTCGTCAGCTAGCTTGTCGCTTCTGTCTCAACGCCATTAAAACAAGAATAAGTAATAAACACAGCCGTTAGCTACCCTCCAGGTGCTGCGGTTCAGGATTGAAAATAGCCAAACGAGTGCGGTGAAACTAAGAACGCATCGTCAGTGTGGGAGTCGTCCATTTGATTTACCAGAGACTGTGCTTACTGCTGGTAGCTTCGGTACCACAACCGCTAGTGTTGCGAGAAAGTTGACCATGAAATATGCCAGGTCGTAATGGGTATAATGTGTGCTGATGAGGAACAAGCATATAGGTACGGCGAGGAGGAACTTCTTCGCCGGGGTATATTGATCCTCGTTGTCAATCTGCTCCCACATGTTGAGGTTGTCGTACGCGCCGGCGTTAAACTCGAAAGGAATGCCGCGGACCCAATGGAACATGAGGTAACTTCCAAACATGTAGGTCGTGTTCGTCAAGGTCCAGGATGTCTCCTGTGTGATCGAAGGTACGATATCATAGACAATCTTCAGCAAGAGAATAATGATTATGTGGATCATCCAGGCTCCTGCATTGGCAATGTCAGCTATCAGATGGCTCCAATCATATTGCCTGTCCAGCATGTCGACTGACCTTTGGCATTCACCCATTGTGAATTCAAGTTGGGCAGTGCTGCCTGATCACTTTGTTGCTCCAAACTCTCAGGCGGCTCCTGATACATCAGACTGCTACTCCTCCGCCTCCTGGGATTGTCCTTCTCCTTGAGTGTTTGGGAACTCATCTTCTTCTCGGCTGACTGCACACAGGCCGGGGCCGGCGGAGGATTGACCTTCTCCGCGAAGGTGATGCTAGATCGCTGCAATGTGGCGGTGGAAGACAGTTTGGCGGTGTCGATGGGTTGCTTTGATGGATGTGAGGATAAGAATATGGAGGGCGCCAGCTTTTCGAGACCGCTGCGAGGAAGATGAGAGGTGATTGCCGTCACAAATTTGTTCTTCGGTCCAGTTTCTCGCTCCTGTAAGACAGTTGTGTGATTCTCAGAGAATGTTATTAGGCGGAGGTCTCGAAAGGTCTATTGTTCCGGGCGTGGCCTGCAGGTGATCTCCGTAACGCGGGCCGAATTTCGTAGTAATGCACGTGACAGTGAGGATGGCCAGACGATCGCCAGGTGTTATGACACGGTATATATAGAGAGTCTTACTCTGATTGCCGATTGGTTTTGAAGAGGTGAAGAATGCTTGTCACTGCAACCTCAAAGATGACCTACTTTGATTATCAGGCACTACATCTTGGAAACTGGCCATTTCCAAGCTCGGACACTGGGCAGAGAGATACAGGGTCCTGCATGCATGCATCGACGTGGGATTCCCTCGTTCGGGAAGTTAATTGTCGCTAGACGCGTGCACTCTGGGGCCCCTTCTTGCATTTCTATGTTAATGCATAATGCGGACCGTCTAGAAGTATTTGGCACATAGAGATATTCGTAGGATTGACGCAGGTCACGTCGCGCATCGGGCGGCCCAGTGCTTTCGCGATCAATCCTTTTTCGCACAAGGGACGAATTCTTCGACCCTTCCAAGGTTGCTTCGTAATGTTGGCTGGCACCAGTAGGGACCTAGGTAGTGCTGCCAAGCCGTCCAACGGCAAGTGTCCAAGCCGACAGAACGTGTGCACTGGCCAAACGCGCGTTCGCCGTCATAACAACAACAACAACAACAACCTTAGAACGCTTTGAACTTTCTGAGGACGGTGATGCGAATATTGCAGGAGACCTGTCATACGTAGCGCAGTCGCAGTGCAGCAAAGTTCTACGATGTCGGACTCGGGTTCAGAGGCTGACTCTCGAGCTGATACTGTCGGAAGGAAGCGCAAGAGAGTTACTGGCGTCGACTACTCGAATGTCACGACATCGATACAGATCTCCGATACCGAAGACACAGATACCTCACGCCCTTCATCACGTAGGAATAGCGAAAATCATGTTGTGTATGGCTACAAAGATTCTCCGACCAATGCCCCTCTCGAAGGTCGACCTCCCAGCCCGGGACTGAGTATTGAAGGTGGCGAAGTGGCAGCATCGACGCCACGTTCAAAGGAAAGCGGCGAACTGTCCAGTGATGATGAAGATAGTCCATCAGATCTCTGCTCACCTGGCGAATCTAGCGGAGAAGAAACGTCGTCGCATGTTGGTGACGACTCTGATGATGATAGCAGAGATGGTGGTTCCGATCGTTCGCCCAGTTCAACCGGCATGTCCATCTCCTCGGGTGATGACTATGAGCCTCTTGGAACTGCTGACAATCACAGCGACCGTACCGATCTTCGCCTCCAAGATGTCACTGAGTCCGAACAGAGCTTGCAGTATCGTTATTTTCATCTCACCAACCCCGACGTGCTTGTCTACTGCCTTTGCTGTGGGCTGCGTGGTCATATCAGTGCGTCGTGCCCTGAGCGTATTTGCACACACTGTGATGTGGTCGACCAGCACGCATCGAGTGCCTGCGTTCAGATCCGCAAGTGTACACGCTGTCGCGAGATAGGTCATGATTCGTCTGTTTGCGCCAATCGTACGTATCGTGGTCCTATCTCTTGCGACATTTGTTGTCGGGACGGTCATGTTGAAGAGGAGTGTGCAAGACTATGGTGCCGTCAAATAATACCCGACTATTCGACTGCACATAAGATTGACGAAGATCTCATGCACAAAGTATGCTATCGTTGCGGAGAGAGTGGTCCTGACGCGCACTGGGGCGATGATTGTCCTATGTATCACCGTGATACTTACACGAGCGCGCAACTGAATCTTAACGATACGTGGAGTGCGAGACATGCGAACCACTTCATCGTCGCCAAGAGCGATCTACAGTCCAAAGATGGAGTTGAGACTGGAGATCAGGGAATCGAGGACACAGTTGATGATGGGTATGGCTGGTAAGTCGGTTCGGGCAGAATTCTATGATTGATCGCAGAACTGATTGCAATTTCATGTAGGCAGATGAAGCTGTTGGATTCGCTACTGGATGACGAACGAGGTTGACGGAGCATGCGGGCGCTGTAGCAACAATGTAATACTGTACAATAATGTAGGTTTATGATTGTAATCACTGTCCGACCAAGCCATTCTTCGAGGTCAGATGTGGCCAACGTCACCCATCGATGAGAGTCTCGCATGCAAATATTTTTAAGCAATATTACTCTCCATAGGTATATGAGCAGGATGTTATTCACTGATCTTGTATTCACTGTAATGTCTTTGATCTCCGATAGAAAAGTGAGCGACACGAGAACGGACATCTCGGTGATACCTCTTCCATCGTCCGGTGACTTGCGCTAGTCCTTTTTGAGATGATGCATATTCATCCCCAGCTCTCGGGAAGTACCCGTCGGCAGCCCTCCCCTGCCGAACCCCCATTGATCAATTTGACTTCCACCCTTGGAAGGTTATCTTCATGACTTTGGTCTTATTATCGCTACGACATTAACGACGAATTGAGTGGCAATCATGGAAGAAACCGCCAAGCTGAATGCACTCGAGGAGGGTAGTAGCAGTGCCCAAGGCAAGGTGTTTGAACGACAAGCTCAGCCTTCTCTCTACGAGCAGGCGCTCCGAGCTCCGCGTAGGGTAAAACTTCTCGCAGCCATTGTCGCAGCATTGGTCCTCTATTCTCTAGCAGGTGGTACATTCTTCCGCTCGCCTATCAAGCACACAAAGTACACTCTCGTTCAGACGAGAGTTCTGGGCTACGGAGGTAGATGGCCTGGCTTCAAAAAACTCAAGCACCTGGTCATCTTCGGTGACAGTTACTCTGAGACTGCCTTCAATCCTGATGGACCACTCCCAACGGCTGAGGACCCCTTGGGAAACCCTCCAGACCATGCAGCCTGGACCTCAGCAAATGGTCCTAACTGGGCTATCTTTTTGCCCACCTTCTACAACCAGTCTCTTCTAAGGACAATCAACCTTGCTGCTGGAGGCGCTACCATGGACCAGGACCTCATCCCGCAACACAGTCCTACGGTTAGGTCTATGAAGAACCAAGTGAGCGACGTATTTGCTCCTAAGTTTGGTGGCTGGACCCCTCCGGCGAACTTCTCATGGGCACCTGAAGACAGCCTTTTCATCTTCTGGCAAGGCATCAATGACGTTCACAACACGTTTTCGTGGTCAAACAAAAGTGACGTCCAATACAAGGTCCTGCAACTCTACGCACAGCTGGTGGTAAGCTCTTAAAATTACAAGCCCGACGTCGACCTGGAGATAGGTACTGACAGCGTTGCAGGACAAGGTGTATGAGAACGGAGCGCGCAACTTTCTCTTCCTCACAATTCCTCCAACGGATCTATCGCCGCTCACCATGCATGAGGGGCCTGTCGTACAAGCGGCTGAGCGTGCAGATATCAATGTGTGGAACGACAATGTCCTCGACATGGCGAAACAGCTTTATGCGAGATACAATGATGTCTCTACATTCGTCTTTGACACGCACGCACTCTTCAGCGAGATCATCGCCAATCCTTGTTCTCATGCCGAAACCTGTGCTTATCAAAACACCGATGAGTGGTGTCCGGGCTGTAAGTCAATGGAGACCCGTGCATGATCCCGAATATTGTATGAAAAGATGTACTGACTGTTTGCTACAGACAAGACGACATTGAAATCTGTGAGCGTTCATTGGAAGCATCTTGATAAAGTCATTCCGCTGACAAGGTTTCTTTTAGTGGTATACTAAAATCGACGAATGCGACTATGCGATCGACGAATACTTCTGGAAAGATGCCCTCCACCCGACCTTCCGTGTGCACAACGCCACGGCCAAGAGCATTGCCCACTTCCTGGAAAGTATTCCGGCTCGTTAAGGCACGAACTTTCATTTGCTTCCATGCATGTCTCCAATACGGCCCCGGAAGCAGCAGAGCGGCGAACGTGGAAGGTGGGATACTGGACAGGCCGCGTCGGCTGGCCTAGCATGGGTTTTCCAAACTCTCAGCATACAAATTCCTGCCGGAACCCACTGCTCTGGGAAACGACATGTACACAATATTAAGTGGTTTATCTGTTTAATCAAAAATTACCTTGATTGTTGGAATTCAAGCCAGTCATCTGTGAATCGTTTGGATAACGCCCTTGGCAGTGCGGCCAACATCTATGGTGCATCGACTTCTTGCCTATGATGCCAAGTGGAGACGGTCCAAAATTAAATTTGCACAAATTGAACGACAGGCGCTTCGATCGATCGTCGCTCTTCACCTGTACCGCTACGAGACCTGACATCTATTGGGTATGCGCAGCGTATCCTGAGCTGCATTTTCATGCAGCGAGACAAGACGAGGCAAGTACTGGATGCAGCACAGCCGGTGAAGTTGGTAAGTAGACAATACCGCAGCCAATGTTCAACCCATCAAGACGGGAGCTATACTCCCATATAAGTGGCGGTCTCAATAATTTGGGAATCCGCCCTTTTTGAACAGGTGCTGTGGGTCTCCGTTGTGCCGCATTTTGACTTTGCCTCTGTCGTGGGACCTTTTGCTACCCAAACCGGGCAGTAGAAAAGTAGATCTACTCTCTCCAACAGACCAAATCCAAGGCTTTTGACGTGCGGCCTAGTTTCCAACAAAGCCACGCGCGATAAGGTGTGTTTGACAGAAGCTTGGACGAACTATAAGTTTGTTGGTCTCCAGTTCGGTGGTCGACAAGGTCAGCCGTTTTGCAGAATTCCGTCTGCGCCGCAAAGCTGCAACTTCCAAGTAAGCTGTGCCTCATTATGGAGGCTTGAAGTACTCAGTAGGTGTAACGAGATTGCGAGTCAGGTGCCATGTTGAACCGTCTGAACGATGAGCAAGGCTGTGTTGCGGTTGAGCTTGTTTGGAACCACGCTTTAGCCGAGCTCGCTTCTCACGCGATATTCAAATGTGTCAGGCCGAGGAATTGAGAGATATTGAGGTGAAGCACGCTACGGGCTTGAGTAAATATGGGTCATGATTAGTCGGCCTTGACATTGTCGAGCCATGTATCGCGAAGATAGAATTTCGTCTACAATGGTGTCATGGAGACACGCGACAGACCATGCCGACACATGGAATTTCTCAGCGTCTACCACCATATTGGTAGGTGCTCCTCTGCTCCACCCGGACGTACCAATTTGCGACAATTCGCCAGGAAGATGCCTGAAATGGTGCACAATTTCCCGAAAAGGTCACGAACATGTTGGCCGGAAGAGTCGTGGCAGCTCGGTTATGGTCGTGGGCCGCGAAAGAATATCCCTGCAGGGATGGGATGGACGGAGCTACAGCTGCGAGGAAGATGCGCCACGGGCGGTTACAGCGGGAGGGTTGCTGCTCCAACTTTTCCTGGAAGCGCCCGGCTGAAATGATGAACTCGTACGCCCCGGCAGCATTTTCACCGCATTACAGAGCATTACAGCCAATCTACACAATACTCGCCCTCGGTGCCGTGCTCGTACATGGCAGTGGTAACACATCGTGAGCTAATATGATGGCTGTGCGTTCGCTTCTCGGTGCAGGATGCATGCCTGTGTTATGCCTGCCGGAGATTGCAGGCAGGCGGAAAGCACACCCATTTACGTGCACGACTCCATCCTTCCATGACACGCGAAACGAGTGAGGTCGAGATAGATGTTGTTGGTCTTGTTGGAAAGACAACCCGGTGGACGAGCAGACTGCGCCTCCGCCCTGTTGCAAACCCACGGGACGAAGACAAAACATCAACCTGTAGTCATGTCGGCCGTGGATACAGTGAGGGACGTAGGAGAGGCAGTTGGCGGTCTTCCTTATCTCCAACAACTGAGCGGAAGGAGGAATTGTTCGCTGTTGTGTCTGTGCGGGACGAACGCGACGACTTTTCTGTTGCCCTGCGCTGCGCAGCGCTGCGTATGCCCGTGCCCGATGTTCCCGTTCCCACATGGCTGCTCCCTCTCCGCAATGTGAGCTAAATGCGTCCCCTCTCACTGCCCGCCGTCCATTTTTGGCTCGTCGATCGCTGTCCCAAATTTGTTACACACCTTCACACGCTAGACCACCCTTCAAACATTGCCGAATATCTACGGCGCTACATCTCTTGGGTCGTGGGTAAAAGCATGTCACAGATCGTGGTTCAATTCTTATATCTGTCTCACTCTGGCACCTTCTTTTGATGTTGATCATCTTCACTCGCTTCAGCATTTCGTCATTCCCAACTTCCTCGAGCAGAATCACCACCGATCATCCATATATAGCAACCTCATCCACAACACTCATCCACGACATTGACCAATCATGGTGTCCTTTTCGCTGAACACTCTCAGCTGCTCGGTCTTACTATTATCGTCATCAGTCTTCGCCCGCCCTGCGCCCGATGCGGTTCCCGTCGCCGTAGCAGTCTCCCTTGATTGGGGTCGTCCAGGTTCACATTCCGCTCCACCTCCACCTCCATTGCCATTGGCCTCTGTGGCTGCATCAAACACCGGCTCAGCTGCCCTGCCGCCTCCAACAGGACAACCCAAGTATGTTCAGCTAGGCCTGGGCTTCCAGAACTACACTTGCAATGGCACTGCATATGTTCAGACCGCACCCTCATCCGGTGCTATCGCCAACCTCTACGATTTCACCGACGACCTGACCCCGGCAAACCTCGACACACTCTCGCCAGCCATCCTCAAGAAGTTCGAATCATGCCTCAAGGCGACATCATGTGAACCCAAGGATGGTCAAGACTGTGATCTCTGCCACGTTCTCGCCATCGCCTCAATAGAGCCCGATGCCCTCAGGCAAACAGGCTTCCACTTCTTCGACCGTCCCGCAGGCGCTCAGGTCCCCAACTTCAACATCTTCGAAGCGGGCGACTTCCTTTCTGCCAAGAGGGCCGGCGGCGTCAAAGCCCCAGCTGGCTCATACACCGGCAGAAATGGACTCGGCACGATCGACTGGCTCTACCTTGTTGACAATGCCAGTGGCCGGAGCCATGGCCTCTCATCCGTCTACAGAGTAGAGACGGCTGGCGGCGTGGCACCAAAGACTTGCGATACTGCTGGCACACAGGCCTTCATTCCTTACGCTGCACAGTATTGGTTCTACCAATAGTTCATTCCTTCCACCGGTCGAGCTGAGGCTTACGACATATGAACAATAGCTATACCCGTTTTGTTTATTTGGGTCAAAATTTTCTACCGTCAAATATGAAGGCACGGCATGAAAGGTGTTCACTTTGCGATCGAGCTTGGGACTTCGGCTCTCAGCACGTTATTTTTGGGTTGGAGACAAGATAGAATTTTATTTCGAAGCGTACAATATATGAAAAGTTTCCTCACTGCACTCGACGAAATCTGCTGGTTTGGTAGCATCCTGTATGGCCTCGGCAGAAATCTCATCTGTGAAGACGGCCCGAGTTGTGATTTCGCATTGAAACCTCCTCCAATGTTTAAGCACATCCTTCGCCCCGCTCGCAGCATCTGAGGCTGGATGCAAGCGAACTGTGGAAAACGCCTGCTGGGTAGATTATTGTGATGACAAGCAGTGGCTGCAGGAGACCTATCCCAGCGCTAGCAATGACCATGCAGTAGGCACAATTACCTGCATCGTGTGATGGAGCTGAACACAACGCATGGGCGACTGAACAGGAATGATTCACGATGGTCAGCTGGTCTGCCGCATTTGTATCGCAATGATAGAGATGCCTTGCAGCAGAAGAAGAGCTCCGTGCCTATTTCGACACTCAATGTCCCCGTATGTTGCACCTGGGCCTGCGAGATCTCTGCGGAATTCTGCCCGGATCCAACATGCAGGAACCCGACAGCAGGGTGCACGTGACTGTCGGCAAAGCTGCCTCAATGCCCACCTGAATCCGAACCCTGAGACGTTGCAACAAGAATTCCACACGCGAGCGCAGGTGTCCAGATCGATGTGAGAGAGAGTAGCAAGATCGGAATTGGAAGACCATTCACGGCCATTGAGGACGAAACCCAACCATGGCAGGCACTCTAATGCTGGCGTTGAGGCTGCTCTTAGCCTTCGCGCTCCCCTTGATCTCAGCGCTGAAATTCGACATCCAAGCCCACCCGGGCCACGAGTCCGCGAGCAAGGAACGCTGCATTCGGAATTTCGCTGGAAATGGTCAATTGGTCGTCGTGACTGCGACTGTTAGTGGCAGCCGGGGAGATGGACAGACATTGAACATGCACGTAAGTTCAAACCAGCATAGGAGAAGATAGGAATGCACGCAACAGTCATTGATTCTGACTTTCTGTTCACAGATCAAGGACGCTATCAATAACGACTACCACCGTCCCCGGGACGTCGTCGGCGAGAACCGCTACGCATTCACATCACATGCCGACAGCCCTTTCGACATTTGTTTCGAGAACATCATCACAGGCCACACCAATGTCGGAGCCCCGTATCGAACAGTAGAGCTCGATGTGGACGTCGGAGCCGACGCCAAGGACTGGACTTCCATTCAGGCGGACGAGAAGTTGAAGCCGATCGAGGCCAGCCTCAAGCGCATCTCCGAGGTGGCGAAGGAGATTGTGGATGAGATGAACTACCTCAAGGAGCGCGAGATGATGCTCCGCGATACAAACGAGAGCACGAACACACGAGTCATGTATTTCGGCATTGGAACGATGGGGATGTTGGTCGCACTGGGCGTCTGGCAGATCGTTTACCTACGGGCGTACTTCAGGAGCAAGCATTTGATTTGAGGAGACTATGGGCGTGGGAAAGTAAAAAGGTGCGATGGATGGGCTAGAAAGACGTAGGTGCCCCGGAATTTAGGGCCACTCAGGTGTATATCATATTTCCAATTGATGATTTGAGGAATGCCAAACGCCGACGACCAAACCCGTCCTTCACTCGGCAAGTGGGTCCGGAGTTGGATCCTTGTGTGCATTTAGGTGAGAGGTGAAGATTTGCGAAGGGACTCGGTATCGCTCGTTTTGCCATTTCCGAATTGCAGCCTTCCACAAATGCCTAAAACAACCACTGTCGCTCTTCCTCAGCGCTTCTTCAATCTTGTCTTCTTTGAGATGTGTTCTCAACGATCTTGCACTCGCCTGTGATTGGCCACCATCTTCAGAATCAAAAGATGTTGCAACGTGGGAAATTGGTCGTGGAGACTGAGAAGAGGAAATTGATGGTAGTCTGGGATGCTCAGCTGGTCTAGTGACTTCGCTGATCAGCTTGTCCGCCGTTTGTGGTATAACAGCTACACCATTCGCCGAATTGAGAAACGGACGTCCTGGAAGTACAGGTTTCGGCTTCTATGCGCCCTAGATCAGTGAAAACTGCAACAGTGATCACTGACGATGCGACTGCAGAGCTAACCGTGTCGTCCTCGGAATCAGCGCCGGCGCCATCGCTCTGCCAAGCCTCTGGTAACTCGACTGGACATTTCTGCGATTGATGATGTACATGCTAGAGACACCTCGGTCCAGTGCGTGGATCTCGCAGATTATCTTTCTGCAGAGAGAGTAGAGCGTCAACGAAGTCTAGAGCGACATTATTGTTCTTGATCAAGAGCTCGCGTATCGAGTCCGAGAGTGGCACTGGAACCTCCTTCGATGCTTCGCACAGCGCCCGGTATGCTGCCGTAGACACCAGGAAGGTGCGCATGACGTTGAAGTCGTGAGTGTAGGCATAAATGTAGTCGATCCGAAAAGCTGGCGCCGTCATATCTTCAGCGGCGTAGTAGTGCCGTACCATATCCATGACTAAAGGCTATGTGAGTATTCTGACTTTGTAAAAAGAATACACGAGAGTGGCTGACCATCATTCTGAAGGACCTCAATCTCAAACTTCCGGGCAAGGACATAAAGACCGAGGTAATGATGCAAGGAGTGAAAGTCGTCTGGACCAGCAAGCTTGGGGCCATTGGCAAGCCATTGCGAGAACAGAGCCATGGCAAGTTCATCAAGGTCTGGGAAAGTCTCCGACTCGGGACTTCTGAGCATGCCGTCATGCCCCTGTTGTTCAGCCAAGCTCTTGCGGAAGTATGGGCTGATGGCAGCAAGCTGGGTAGATGCAAAGTCGAATGCCTTATTGCTCTTGCCGACGTACAGTGTCACGATGCGGCTTGGGGTCTCTGGTTTGCGCAGAAGCTTATCTGATGGCGCTGCCTCCACTGAAGGGGAATCCTTTCGTGCGAGTAATTGTTTGTTGGTGACAACAGACATCTGTCCAACGGATGCAGATCGGCCACTAAATGTGCGGTCGGGCCTGGTTTCAGGTCGAGGGGAGCTGGCCATCGTACTCAGATCGTCGCTATGCTCAATGACTCGCCGAGAGCCAGACGCTTTCGCGAATCGTTGCGTGTTCGAGGACATACCAGGAGGTGAAGATGATCTGCTAGGAAGATTGATAACAATGCGAATTTCCTTTTTGAGAGCTCCGAGGAGAGATTGTGACGGGTCTCAATGGTGCACAACAGCGTGTTTAATATATTTGATTAGGCCACGAGGCCGTGCTAAGTTTGGGATGCATCAAGATATCAAGCAATCACCTGCGTAGGTGTGTACTTACCAGCTGAGTTTGGCGAGACCTCCCTTTGAAGGAAGGAGCAGTCCCGAGTGATGCGCGAGTGTATCGGTGGATCGGCGATGAAAAGATCCCTACCACCCTTTGACATACGCTTCATCTGGAGTGTCATAATGTCGACGTTCGCGATGCATATATGCAGATTTGGACGGAAGCGAATCAAAGTAGAGCTTTCGGAAAGACTCATGTTCACAATGCTCGTCTGCATACTACCTATATATACATTCGCTGAATTGAAGCAAGTCAACATAGTCAAAGCTCATCGGTCAAAGTTCTTGAGCTCTGGCATGAATCCCAGGCCGCCACCGCGACGATCCGTTGAACCATCGACCTGTTGTCCTGCGATGTGAACTTCACCCGCGCTGCGATCAATCACGTGCTTCCTCAGCATGGAAAGAATCTCACTGTTCTTCCAGCGTGCGGGCACTGGTCGATAGGCAGGCTTGAAGGTTCCCACGGTTTGTGCCCATTCACCACTACGGGGTTTGCCCACACGCCAGCCGTCGGTCTGCGACTTGGGTCCGCCGTCAGGGGCGAGGTCCTTACCCTGCACGTCCGGAGTAGCCATTCCAGGACCGGCACCTTCCGCGTAAGCCATCGATGTTTGCGGAGCCTCTTGCGTTGCCCAGTAGTAGATGTCCCAATCATTCTCGTCCAAGAACATATCGTACTGCTGCAGTTGCTGTAGTGTCATGGTGCCCAGGTTCTCGTTCGCGAAGGTTGACAGAAGTAGATCAGACTCTAGAGTGCCTCTTTTGCGGGATTGGTCTATGTTCGAACGGTTAGCGTCAGTAAGTGGCAGATACACATGCGATTAGCTTACACACGAGCCGGGCACGCATCGTGTTGGCATCTTCGCCGGTTCGGCGCAAAGGCTCAACTCTGAATGTGCCACCCTCGATTTCACCTACACCTAGCTCTGCATTCACGCCCGACTCTGGCTCTCCCTGCTGCGTCCCGCCGGTCATCTTTTCAGTGTTGCTGGGCACAGAGTCCTTGGGCACAAAGTTCGGGTCCACGCTGCTGAGAAGCTCTGGCGGCGCCTTGTCTTTACCGATGCTAGGCATCTCATTGGCGATGGTAGAGGTGGTGTTGGTCATGTGTGGGTTCAAGGGCTTCTCTTTCATGAGCTTGCGATACTCCTCGGCAGTGTCGTTTCCACGCTGGTTGATGTCGATGAAGCGTGCCTGTGCATTGCTGAAGGTCCGCACGCTGGCGACATTGCCAATACGGCATGATCGGAATACAGATCGTAAGGCTGCCATTTTCTCTCGATTCAATGGATTTGCTGAAGAATGGTGGATTTATTGATGGACAGTGTCGAGTACGACGCAGCGAACATTTGTGAATCGCGCTTGCAAAGAAGCTCTCTCAGGGTCCAGGCCATTGGCGCTGAGTGGTGAGGTCATGTCTGCATTCATCTAGACCTTCGTGCCCAAACTCTTAGGGTACGGAGAGTCCTGGCATTTGCAGGTGTTATCGCGTAGAAGGTTCGCATTCAGAGCAATGACTCCATGACAGACTGTATACAGCGGAAAGCAGTAGATTTGGTAGGGCGATGAACATTACAGGAAGTCGTTGCGAATGGCAGGCGCAGTATATCCACGTGTTGTGACAAGTTGTAAGCTTCCAGTAGCCTGCACTTTTCAAGGGACGCGGCGGCTCCGCTTACGAAACACAGACACAGCAGAGGTCAGCAGCGACGTTCCCGAGACCAAATCTTGTGGCGTGACGAAAGAGACCATTGAAGGCACCGATGAGAAGAGCTCACCGCTTACACATACGCAGCACAAGAAAACCAACAACTGAGACCGTGTGACTGATGACTAGAGACATTCGCGTGCAGATGTCTAGCCTGACATGGCCAAATGCGGCATGTACAGTACCTACAGAGTGCGATACACCGTTGCGGTCTGTGTCTTTCGCCTCCCCCGACCTCGGCGTTCCCTGAAACATTGGAGGAACCAGTCTGGGGAGCATTGGCGCCATTCCAGCTCTGGCCGCACCATAATGTGAACGGTGCACCCTTTCCCAAGGTACATTGCTCTCTCGTATCTAAACACTCATTCGTTTGAGCAATTCCATCTGACGAACAACTGTGCGTGAAAAGGAAATGCTGTGCAATGTCATTAGTGATGAGGCGCAGGCGGAATTCATTAACGACGTGATGCTAGCAACTGCCAATCGTCTAACCTGGCCATGGTGAATTGGGATCATGTGCTCTCGATGGAAAACAATTGCACAGTCACAGCCAGACCCGATGATAATACTCGGCGTGATGCTGAAATCGCAAAAGGAGAAAGTCATGACCAGGCACGAAGGTACAGCCATTGAGTCCAGGGAAATCCAGACTGTGCGCCGAGTAAGCCGAACACTCACTCCGCAAAATGTGAAGCTCCAGCCAGCTGGGCCTGAGTCAAAAATTCTGTGGCATTGTTCATAGCCATTTAGATCATTTTCCTTCTCCTCCTGCCTCTCTTCATCCTTTCATCACATATCCAAACATGGCTTCAAAGAACGCGACACGCGCTCTGCGCGCCTCATTGAGGCAGATTAAGACTCCTCAGGTTTCCCAGCGAACCTTCATCACCGCGGCCAACGCTAGCCGTCCGAGTCTCGTGCCTGCTCAGAAGATCGCAGCCTCTGCCTTTGTGCAGCAGACCCGCGGCAAGAAGACCGTCGACTTCGCTGGCGACAAGGAGGTCGTTTTCGGTGAGCAGCAATACCTTGAATGGAGAAACGATCGACGCTGACTCTTCTTTTCCTCTCAGAGCGTGCCGACTGGCCTCGCGAGAAGCTTCTTGTACGTTTGAATCATCGAAAAATCGCGTTGGTACCTACAATATCTGCAACATGTGCTGACGTAGCTTCAGGAATACTTCAAGGATGACACACTTGCCCTCATCGGCTACGGTTCTCAAGGCCACGGTCAAGGCCTGAACCTTCGCGACAACGGCCTGAACGTCATTGTTGGTGTGCGCAAAGACGGTGCGAGCTGGAAGGAGGCACAACAGGATGGATGGGTCCCTGGCAAGAACCTTTTCGACATCGACGAGGCCATCAACAAGGGTACAATCGTCATGAACCTGCTCAGTGATGCTGCACAGAGCGAGACATGGCCTCACATCAAGCCGCTCCTCACCAAGGGCAAGGTCGGTGCTTTCGGCACAGTTTTCGCATGCAAGTTGCTGACATTTACTAGACTCTTTACTTTTCGCACGGTTTCTCCCCTGTCTTCAAGGACCAGACCAAGGTCGAGGTTCCCACTGACATTGACGTGATCCTCGTCGCGCCCAAGGGCTCTGGTCGCACTGTGCGCACTCTCTTCCGTGAGGGCCGCGGTATCAACAGCAGTGTGGCCGTCTTCCAGGACGTCACCGGCAAGGCCGAGGAGAAGGCCATTGCCCTTGGTGTCGCCGTTGGTTCTGGCTACCTCTACAAGACCACCTTCGAGAAGGAGGTGTACAGTGACCTTTACGGTGAACGTGGATGCCTCATGGGCGGCATTCACGGCATGTTCCTCGCTCAGTACGAGGTTCTCCGTGAGCGAGGCCACTCCCCCTCGGAGGCTTTCAACGAGACCGTCGAGGAGGCTACCCAGTCGCTCTACCCATTGATCGGTCAGAACGGCATGGACTACATGTACGCCGCCTGCTCGACCACCGCCCGTCGTGGTGCTATTGACTGGAGCAAGCGCTTCAAGGACACCCTCAAGCCTGTCTTTGAGGATCTCTACGACAGCGTCAAGACTGGCAAGGAGACTCAGCGCACCATGGAGTACGCTGGTCGCCCTGACTACCGCCAGGCATTCGAGAAGGAGATGGAGGAGATCCGCAACCTGGAAATCTGGCGTGCCGGCAAGGCCGTCCGCAGCCTGCGACCTGAGAACAAGTAGACTTTGAAGTGTGAGGAAGAGAGGATGATTTTTCTTGTGTCTTGTCGCAACATCTTCTGGGACTGCTAAAAGCAATTTTCGCGCTGGACAAAGTATGTAAAATATTTTAGAAATGCGCAAGGTGACTTGTTTGTAGTTGTATCAGATTGGGACACTCTCATCTTTCTCCTCGCCTCCTCGTGCTGTTTGCTGACATCTTATGATGCTTCGTAGAACTGGGAGAGTCTCGTTATCGCCGCTCAAGCGACGGCATGGCTCGTGTTACCATGTTTTCTTGTGACTACTGGCTTTGGACATGCCCTCCGGCTATTTGGAATACACTCGGGGAGCATATAACTTTATATAATCATCACGTGTATGATGTGGGACGATGCGGCACATATTCGAACTATAATAACAAGTAGCCGGAACAACGAGAAGCGAACACCCTCTTGGACATCCATGGTCCACGACGGGGCAAATGCGTCAGTCAGCATGAGCGTGGCGCATTGAACAGATATCACATTCGTGTCGACTCGGACACAGTGCCGCAGATCGTGAGCATCGCCATTGGAGTTGGTGATCAAAACCTTTGGAGAGATCCCCAGAGCTGTTCGGCACGGGATCGAATTCTTCTTGGAATCTATGCAAATATACGCCATCGCAATTCCAGGTTTCGATCGTGAAGCGTCTGGACCCTGTGACGTTTGCGGTTTGAAATAATGCACGCGCATTGAAGCACTGATAGCACCGATAGTTAATGATCACTCACCCATATAGAAATGCTCGACCAATTGTTCTGCACTCCCAGCTTTTTTTTGATGCTCTGAAGATTAAAATTGATTTCATTATGCCCATCATGGCGAACTACCTCTTTCCGCCGAACAGCCGGAGGCGACTGCTCCCTGGAACGCACTGCGATCAAGTCGACCAGGAGGCCACGCGTTCATCCACCTGAAAGTCCAGCTACAGAGAGCTCCTATCCATATCCATGTGGTCATCCTCTGTGACGAGAGACACTCCAATCACTCGGAGAACATCCAGCTGCTCAGTATCCTCCCGGCCGTGGTGGAGGATATGATCCCCTCCTGCGCAAGCTTTCCTCCGAGTCAAATTGTGCAGGCATACTCATCTGTCCACCGATGCCACTCATTGAGTGGTTGAGTGCGCCGCTACTGCCATATTCATGCTTCACCACGGCGCTTCCCAATGTCCCAAGGCTTGAACCTGTGCTACTCTCCTCGGAGCTCAAGTGTGGCATCGTGGGTGTTGCATACGATGCCTGCCGTAAGCTTGGCTCTAGCGTGCCGAGTCGTATCCGGTTACGGTCTGTCGACGGCCCTGGCGCATCCGCCATGGATATCCCTGTGTCGTCTGAATCATTCGAGACCCGCTGTGTTACCACCATCCTCGGCCCCTCTCCTCGGATGCTGCCTCCCAGGAGAGCAGTGATGGGTGGTAGTCTCTGATCGTTCTGAGCATAAGGGGCCTGCTGCATATGTGTCGACGTAGCGTGGCGCTCGTTACGGAACGTCTGCACGATGTTGATAAAGGTGTCCGGCGCCGTGCTCCTGTCGAATCGCGTTGCTCTGATTCGGTCAAGGACGATCAAAGCTTCTGGTTCGGGACAGTCGCGCATCCACTCCATTGATTCGCCGATACGATCGCGCTCTTCTTCAAGCTGCTGACTTCGACGCCTGAGTGCCGCCCAGCGGCTCTCTCCCTCTTCTGCTTCATAGACACATTCACTTCCCAGCGACTCGCACTTTGTGCAAATTGGCCTTGTTAATATGTCAGTCGTCGTGTCTTACCACGAGCTTCGACCTTGCAGGCTGACCTTTTTCCGTTGCACTAGAAGAATTAATTCATCAGTCCCTGACAACTGCAGTCATATTGGTCGAGCCAATCTTGTGCACCTTGGATTTACGTCGCCGGCATGCCTGGCATGCGCTCTCTATCAACGTCCGTCTGGCACGACTTGGTCCGGCCGGTCGGCTAGGTCCTGAAGGGCTATCGCTTGCCCTATCTCTGGACTGCTCGCCCGTTGACCCGGTCGGAGCCAACAATGGGCGTCCGGCAGAGGACATTCAGTGAGTGAGGGCGAGGGGCAGTGAAGTTCAAGTCGCACAGGACACTTGAATGCTCGATCCACGCAGACGAAGGCGACAAAAGTTCGAACGTCACGATGATCTGGCACGCAGGCGGGATCGGGCGGGGATAAAGCAAAGCTCTGCTGTAGTTTTGCTCGGCCAGATCGACAGGGCAGGTAACGATCGAAACCTTTCCAGCGGACGACCATTGCTTCGTTGATGCCCTGCTTGCACAGTAGCACAATAGGTCGACCCCATATTCGCGGCAACAGTATTTTTGTGAGGCTATGGGAGGGAAAAATCTGCATCGACGATATACATCGTAGGAGAGAAAGATGAACAAAGCCACGGTTAGCGAATCCGGTCGCGTGCCTTTCTAGGGGAGAGATTTCACTTTTCCCACGCCGGGCGCCTGTTTTAGCATTCAATGAGACGACATATCATTGAGGCTGCGTGGAGCAGTCCGATGAAACGTTGTGATCAAGATGCAAATACTATATCATCAGACCCAGGACATCGCCTGTTTCCATTGTATGATGGTTAGCTGATCCGGCTTCGCACGTGGCATGGAAGCCTTGATGTCTACAGTGAAGACAAGACGCGCTCGAAGCACACGTACGACATACAGTCCCGACATTGAAAGAAGTCCACGCCATCGAAAGTGAAAGAGTAGGAGGGAACGTCTGCGTCCCCGCTGGCTCTCTAGCCAAGACGCTGTCATCTCGATCCACAGCACATTTGCAGATCGCAAGCCCTGTAAAGAAAGGGTCATCGGACACCAGCAGCACTACTAACCTTAGTTCAGTTCCGACGAGCAGATCAATACTTGTATGTCTCTGGGCCCAACGAAATTCGATTTGACAAAAGTAGACTCGGCCATGCCACCAAGAGTCGGCCGGGCACATGGCACGCGTGGACACCATGTAAGAATGACGATGAATGATGAATGGGGGCCCATCCTTTTTTAATAAGAACTGGACGTCTGCCTCATCACTTCCGTGCGAATACTCAGGGTCATAAGCTCGATGTTGTCAGCAACCGCGAAAAGTGGGGACAACCGCAACTGTAAGAGACGCAATTCACCTCAGCATTGACCCATTTATCCGGGCTGATGTATAGGATGGTTGAGGAAGAAGCTATCCATTAAAGGGAATGATTAATGAGTGGTCTATGCCCGCCTGTTGAAATCTCTATGACGTTGAATGCCGCTCAAAATCGATGTGGCCCGGCGACGAGAGTGCCAGACACTGATTCATTAACTTTCGGCTTCCGCTCCGACACGGGAAGTAAATGCAGGTGTGGTACTTCCGAGTCCATTCGTCGACACGGGCGGTAGCCTCCGCCACTAGTCGGCTATGCTCATCTGAGTACTTGTGCGACATCTCATTGATTTCTTTACTCGCGTCGCCGATCTTGGATCGCGATTACTGCAGATGCTCATGATGCTGTAGATGTCTTTCCTGATCAGTCACGCTCTGATGATCTCGGGCAATTTGTCAATCCTTCAGACTGAAACTGATGCCCACCTGACGACATGCTAACCCCGTCAGCTTCCAGAAACAGTATGTCCCTGAGGAGACGTCTGCGTTTTCTGGCTCACTTGGGCTAATCACAGAGCTGCCTACCGTATCGTGATATTCGGCATACCATCGCCTGTAAAACGCGCCTATCTCAATTTGTGAGAACATCGTTCACGCGCAATAGAAATCGGAGAGCCTGAAACCTCGCAATCCTATGCTTGGGTTCCCTCGAGCAACCACTGCACACACATCCGCGCGGCCGACTACAGGGCCACTGTAGTTCATTCTTTACAAGCACCAGTGCGATGACGAGCGATAGGATCATCGATGCGTGCTCCGTGACGGGCACGGGATACCCTCCGGCACCGTATACTTAGCCCGCTGGCAATTCTCAGGTCCCTGAGTTAGGAAAAAATACCTCCTCACTTATTAGTCAGTGGTGGTCAGCTTGGCAGTTGGACGTGGGTAACCTTCGACAAAGGGCAAGGTATCTCCCGCACACGGGACGTACTGCACAGTGTGCAGATCGTTACTACAATAGGCAAAACGGACCTGTCTCCCAGTCGATATTCCACTACTGTGATGGTGGACTCGGTAGGCGGTCAGAGCCTTATCTCGTTCATGTGTACTGTGCTGCCGATAAGGGAGGGAGGCATTGTGATCTTGCGTTTGGACCCAAATGTCCTGGCATGCATGCCTCTTCACGATCCGATGCGTCCGGCTTTGAGATCATGGCTATCTAGTGGGCGCCATACATCGGCGCACGAGGCTGGGCGGCAGTGACGCTCCCGATCTTCCAGATGCGAATGACGAGGTGTGATAGATGGTGCAGAACTCGATGTAAAGTCAATCTTAAGATCCCATCTCGGATGGTTAAAATTAAGGTGTGGTGTCGGCCGGGTTGCTTCGGCTATTATCTACGTGGGCGGCCCAGTCAGACAAGCAGACGGCCGGCCTGCCCACTCCGTCGGCACCAACACTAGACAAATTCTGATCAAGGTTCAGGTGGAATTGGTTGATGGAAAAGCTAAATTTACTTAACACATATGTCCTGGACTCTCTAGGGCTTTCTTCACATGTGGGCTCGTTGAGACAAGCTGGAAAATCTGCATCTTGACTTTTTGTATTATGCTATCTTTCGTGAGGAATAGTGATTCGTTAGTCAGATCAAGTCGTAATCTAGGTGGCGAACGAGTGCTCAGCGGCGTAGCTGATACGCCTTCCAAGGGAAAAAGAATGGGCGACAAAGAGTCGCGCTCGACATGACTGTCTCGAAAAGTGTGCAGGACTCGGCCAAATCTATACTCCATCGCTAATCGCCATCACTATCATAAAGTCGTTTTCAGAATCGATCCGTGAGCATGAAATCAAAAAGTTTCGCTGTCTAGGCTGTCCAGCGATCCAGCTACAGAGAGAGAATGTCACAGTCAGCTAACGGCATGCGGAAAGGATCTCCGGAGAAATGATGTACTCACCTTCGCTCCTGGCAACAGGCTTGCGACGTACCGTGCCACCGACCTCGTAGTGTTGGACAGGTTGCGCTGGTGCTGGGCTCCGAGAACCCATTGGGCGGGGTCCGGTAATCTTTCGGACAGTGGGAGAGCGCATGTCGATCGCCTTCGTCGTGGCAACCTGTGGCTCTGGTGTGAATGAGAGATCACGCTATATCTAGAGGTTAGCTTCGATCACAGTGCTCGGGTTCTCTCGACAGACTCACGTGGCTACTGCGATCGGTCTCCAGGCTATACCGGACTTCCTCGATGGGCTCCAAGAGATGCCCGGACCCGTATGGGCTGGAATAGTAGCCGCCTTTGCTGAAGCCGCTGTTGCTATATTGAGGTTCCCAATCCGGCTCAGGCTCTGGCTCGTGATAGACCTTTGGCTGCACAGGCGCCTTTTGCGAAGGCACTAAAGGACCATCGTCCTTGCTATTCCTCGCGTAATTTGGACTGTTCATGCTCACCGGGCTGATGGGCTCGAAATTGGCCAATTTATGCCGCGCTAGACCGGCCGTGCCTGAGGAACCCCAGACTGCCGGATCGAAGTCGCTGACGGTGCGCTGCGATACGTCAGAGTTGGTGCCTGTCATATCGTCGAAAGTATGCGCTTGTGACTCAAGCGTATTCTGGTGGCGCGGCGTGGGTCCCGCTCTGGGCTGAGGATGTTCGAGGAGAAGCGAATTGCGGTGCGCTTGGTACTTGGGATCATCGAAGGCAATGTCATCCTCATCATCCTCATACTCATCATTGTCATCATCATACTCGTCCCTTGCCTTTGAGGATGCCTCAGATGGAATGAGCGGACTTGGTGTTCGTGTGTGTTTGCTGCTTCGACTGCGAACACTTCGGGTCTCGCCACGCGCGTTGGCCCGGTTTTGCTCACGAGCCAGACTCTGTGTGGAGCGGATACGATCGTCATCCTGAAGTCTGTATTGCCCCTCGTCGTAGTTTTCCAGTGCTGAGCCTGATCGAGAAGCTTCCGAGACTGATTTGTAGTCGTACGCGGGAGCGCTACCAGCGTTAGGACTGTCCAAGGCACTCAAATCGGGCGCGGCCGATGATGCTGTCGTCTTAGACCATCGTGAAATTTTGGGAATGCCAAAGATTGAGGAACCATTGCTCTTGTGTTTGCGTTGCTTGTCAGGTGTCGGGAGATTTGCAGCTTGCTGCGATGACTTCGCGTCCGGTCCCAGATCTCGCATGTTTTGCAATTCTTGTGTCGGAGTCAGCATGCGCTCGTTGTTCTCGAATTGATGTCCAAGAACGTGTTCCTCATGCGGCTCCAATTCGTCCTCATCATCTTCGACGACAGTGCTCACTCGAGTTGTAGAGCCGCGGCGGCCGTCGTAGCCGGAGTGAAATTGCTGCTTGCCGCCAGAAGGCACGGGAAAGTGGCCTGACTGAGTGGGAGTACTTGAAGATCCACTGCGATCATCGGCTTGTTCATAGCCCGGCTCGCCCGCAGCACGCGAACGCTCGTAAGAATCGAGGCTCGCATTGTCGAATGAGGCCCCCGACGGGCGCGGACCACCTTGATGCTTGAGATCTTCGACGTTATCCAAAATTTGCATTAACATGTCTTCGATCTTGGCAAGATCTTTAGGACCCTTTCCGCCAGTAAGTCCCTGCAAAGCACGTCGAAGAACGCCCTTGCGTTTAGTTTGGGTATCTTCTTGTAGGGTCCGCTGAGGCGTTCTTGGAGACGCCGTGGGCTGTGGTCGAGGGCCGCTGAGCACCTTTTGTGCAGTCTGTTCCCCTACGCGACCCGCTTGACGCATGATGAGCTTATCCTGCTCGGCGATGAATCGCTTCATTTCGTCGAAAGATTGACGCATTTCAGCTGCACTGCGCACAAGCGCAACCAGCATTTCAGTGTCGCGTGCATTTCGTTGCGCATCCCGAACAGTGAGATGGTCCATCAAAGCCACAATGTCCTTGGACTGGATTCGGTCGATTCCATTGCCAGTGGCACTGTCGTACAAGGGCGAAGCCATGCCGTGTGAGTTGGCACGGTAATGTCGCGGAGCCTGACTTGTCGAAATGGATTCCCCGTCATGGGCGTTCATGGCTGCCTCGTATTCCTCAAGATCTTCCTTCTTGTACATTGGCTCACCGCTGGGAGTCAGGACGTCGCGAGGAAGGTCTTGCGTATCGCGGGCGTAATTGTCATTGCGCAGCGCGGTTGGACTTCCGCTTGGTTGGACGTCCCTCTTGAGTGCGGCAGTCCTGTTGCGGCCGAGATCAGGTGTAGACCTCTGCGGCTCGTCTGCCTCCATAACTTGTCGTCCTGCACCACCAGAAGAAGCACCTACCAGAGCAACGCCCGCTCCAGCTAGAGCGGCACCCGTGATCGCTGTTCCTCGCATGCTCTGCTCACTATGATTGTGCTTCAAGTCGCCCGCTCGGTCCGCCTCTGGCGTATACGGCCAACTTTCCTTCCCTGTGGGATCACCGCCGAGTGGACCCTGGATAATCGATGGATTAGTCGTCAGGTCCGACTGAGAATCGTAGTGACCAATCTCAGGCATTGGGTCATCCGCAAGCGGAAGACCGCTTGCGTGCATTTTGGGTTGCTCTTCGAACGACTCTCGGAATTCCTTTGCCGGACTCTGAGCGGGCGAATGCGTCGCTGAGCCATGCTCTGCAACATCCGCCAACCCTGTAGCCTTCCCTCGCAACGCTGCCCACCGGTCCTGACTCGGTATTGTCTGACTGATCGTGGAGCCTTCATAGATTCCAGGGCTGTCTTTACCGAGCGCTCGCAATTGCTCCGCCATCCGATTGCTGTAGGAACCATTCTGTAGAGCAGGACTGTCAGATGTTGAAACACGATTGCTATCTACTGTTGATGGGTCCAAAAGAGAGGCGACCGCCGACTCAACATCGACAGGGCTAGGGACGAAGCGATGGTCGAGCCCATGTTTGACCTGAACAGAGTGGACAGCATTCTCGTCTGCGTACTCTTCGTTGTCATCATCGTCAAGTTGTTTGCGCCGAGCATCATCCGCGTAGGAAAAGCCTCGCTCGTCCTGAGGATAAGGGTTGGTCTGGTAAGAATCGCGATTTGACTCTCCCATGGAGTCGCGATATCGATCATTGACCGCACGCTGTCTGTCGAACCACGCATTTGCAGTCTCTTCTCCGGGCGTGTGGACGCTCTCGGGTTCGTTGTCGGCAAATGAATGCTCCAGAGGTGTAATGAACTCATCGCCGCTAGCATCACGAGACTGCTGACGTGAGCTGGCCAATTTGGCTGTGGGCAATGACTCGTCTGAACGGAAATCTGACTGTGAAGCTTTAAGGTCGTGCAACCGACCTCCAGAGCGTGAAGATGCTCCCCGGAGTTTCAAACTTTGTGGAACGAGCGGTTCGTCCTCAAAATGTTTCTTCAGGCTAGACACGCTTTGCGCCGGGCTGGCAAGCTTCCGTGGAGAGGTGGGCGAGCCATATCCGTCAGCATCCATGTGCCGCTCCTCTACAGTCTTTGCCAGCGCAGCTGTTCTCGACTTTGAGCGAGCTTTCCCGTGTGAACCAGTAGGACTACCCGGGCTCGCACTATCTCGAGTGAAGTAGTCCTTTTCTAGTGTTCTGGTCACAGATGTGCGAGTAGGTGTCCGGATAGAGCCCGGTGTTATCGCATCACGAAGCGAGCCGCGCGACACTTCGCGCATGATTGCCGGAGCCTCTCCCGAGTTACGAAGATGTGCTCGGTCGGAGCCACCTGAAAGGATGCTATCCCTGGTGACTTCCGAATCGTTGATGCGGCTCGCGAGAGGAAGGGGTGGAATCACGCCTTTTCGAGCTGGCGGTTCCTCTACAGGCTCGGCTAGACTGGCAGATCGACTACGACTCCCGCGAGATTTACTTCGCATTTTGCGGCGCTCGTGCATATCAGTTTGGGAATCGTGATGCTTCAGCGCCGCTGCCGTGAGTCCACCTCCAGCAATCGCAGCTGCAACGGCCTTTCCTCCTTCGTTTTCGTCCCGTGATACTCTTCGCACTGAGCGTTCCTCAGTATCGTAGCTGCTCCTTCGTGAGTGCTTGCCTGAAGATCGGCGACTCGAAGATCGGTGTTCGGAGCGTTCGTCCCGATGTGGCCTCCGCACCTTTTTGCGTTCAGAGTCACCGCGAGACAGGACTGTGCCAGGATCATCGCCTTCACGATTCAGAACAACCTTCGGTCTGGAGGCAATGTTCGGCGAGCTTGAGGATTTGCTGACCTGGCGCTGCAAGTCCGAGGTTTCGTAGTCGCTCGACTTGCTGTGCACACGTCTGTGCTCATCGAAGGATTGCAGATTACGTTCGGTCTTTTGCACCTTTTGATCTGCCTTCAACGCATTGATCTCTGGAAGGATCACGCGTTTGATGGTATCTTCTACCATTTCCAGAAGCTTAGGATTGTTCGTCACGCGAGAAGCCTGTGAGCTTCCCGAACGATAAGACTTGCTAGAAGAGAGGAGGCTGGATTCTGCCCCGCTAAAAACATCGTCGTCTGGTCGAGAATCTTTCCTGGCACGCGTCCGGCGCTCTCTGCGCGGGCTGTTATATTCATAGTCCTTGGTACCCTTCTCACGGCTCGATGGGGTTGCCTTCTGCTCGGAAGAGCTGGCGTTGAGCTTCTCCATGACTTTTTGCGTGAGACGCTCTCTGCTCACGCTCCTACTACGATCTCTCAGTGGCGCATTCAGAAAGTCGGCGTCCCTGACCGTGCTCTCATCATCGTTGTCAGGGAACTGACTGACGTCGCTTGCCGTCTGATAATTGCCGTCCAGCATACTGTCCGGTGGCATAGAAGAGATGTTGGAATCAATTGGTGCGTAAAGCAAGCCGCGTGAGCTTTGTGCAGTCGAGATTTCGCTTCCGTCCTGAAGCACCTCGATCTCGACCGGCGCTCGTCTTGAGGAAGTCGCTTGAGGAGGATATCCTAGGTCGGCGTCTTCGTCCGGCGATGTATCCTGCTCAGCGGACGTGTTTCTCAATGAAATGCGGCGAGTGTATGATGGCTTGCGATCCGAACCAATGCCTGTGATTTGGACAGCACCTCTCGCCGCCGGGTGTTTTTTTGTCCCACTTGGCGTGACTTTGACCCTCACGCTCGGGCGATTCTTGCTCTTGTCACCAGACTTGGAAGTCTCAAAATATTCGATAAGTAGACTGGTCTGACTTTTCTGCCGACGATGATGCAAGCCTCCTTCTCGTCCAGCATTGATTTTGTGTGTCGAGATAGTGATTGGACTGCCGTCCTCAGGAATAGAATACGAGGTTTTGTCGGTGCGCGTTGTCAATGTGGTGCCGACTTCAGTGTCGGGACCAGAAGTTTCGTCCGTAGATTCAGTAGGTGCAGGTAATGGTGGCCGACGAGTATCGAGACCCATGATCACGATGCCCGGTTAATTTCATTCATCACTGGTTGTCGTAGCTTTGTCGATGTAGCCAAACAGTATGCATGCAACCGCTAATGACTTAAAAGCTGAAATAGATCTTCACATGTATGAACTTTCTCGATGCTGCGAAGACGATGTCTCGGAAGCGATTCGGCAGATGTTTCCGATGACAAGCGGCAAGTATCAAATCGTGGCAACAGAAGCGAACTCTTGAAGTACCAGTCAAACGTCGGGACCGGAACGTTCGTCGCGTTTTGTTGTGAGACACTCGAATGTTGATGCGCTGTCCAAGAACGTGGGGTCGACAAAGTACAAGCAGAAGCGGCAAATTATTGAGAACGCACGCCGATGCTGTCGTTGCCTCGGATTGTGCCTCCCGATTGCCAGACGTCGGATCAGCCCCGACAACGCTCCGGGCAGGAGAAATCAAAGAGCGGATGTAGACTATCGATCACGACGACAGTCTCTTGATATTATGGGTAATTGGAGTCGCTAAACAGCACGAGTCGGGCCATGCGCAAGGTGCCAAGGCCAACTGAATTCAAGCCAAAGCGCGCGCTCGTGCCCCGAATCAAAAGGCTTTCTGGCTTTGACTGGCGTGAACTGAGCCGCCCTCTCCGCTGGAATGTCTTTTTTACTTGGGTTTCCCTGACAACAACTCGAAATGCAACGGTCGGAGCTCTTCTAGTCTGTTTCTTAGTCCTGTCCGATGACGAGACCGTCGCCCATTCGTCCATTCATTTACCAAGTCATCGAAGTGTATTCCGCCAATGGTCTTTAAAGATGCTATCATGAAATACTAGACGGAATCGTGGACAGTGTGACCCGTACGAATAGTCTGCTCACGAATGGGAACATGCGGAGTCCTTGTGTGCATACCCTGCCGCAGGTTGGGTCGCAACGAATTTACAGTAGCACGGTGGGGAATCTCTCACCGCAGGGACAGTCTTGCTGTTATGGAATGCCTGCATTCCTATGAGAAGGGCCGCGTGCATGATCCTTGCGAACGCAACATGCATCTATCCGTGCCTTCAATTTGCTGTTGCATCTCATCACAGTGATGCCAATACGACGATGTGATTGAGAGGAACACATGTCTCTCTAGGCATCATTCACGATAGTAAATAGACAGTCTTTGGTCCTGAGAGCCAATTAACATCACGTTTGGTATGGCAACGCTGGCCTTGCAGCACGCTTCTGCATTGAAGCCCACTGTTGCATATCGGCCCGCAATCTGACGCTGTAGTCTCCCGCGAGACAATCACGCCGACAGCCGTTCACGCCCCTCTATTCGTGCCACCTCATCAGAGGAATGTTGTTCCCATGCTCGCCCAATGGCTTGTTGACACACAAGAGAGGCCGCGGAATGATGTGGTTGATCACTGTCATCACAGATCCGGGTCAGCAGCGCTTCGGTCTGTGTATGTGTGCCCGGAAATTCGTTGACCAAGAGACCTCATTGGAGCGTGGGTGTACGACGGATGTGCAGGCGGCTATTGTATTACAGATTTAACTTCGAAGCGCAGTCAGTTATGGTGCTATTGGTCAGGCTGTATCTCGAGCGCCATGATGAAAGTCATAAACGGGCTCGCGATGTTCAGAAAACATATCCATTGACGGGTCAACGAGCCTTTGCATATAAGCCCGCGACAACGGTTGTGAGGTTAAGATGGGTGCAGCGGTGGACCCGTTCTGATGGTAGCGGTACTTTCATATTCTATTTGCATTTCTCGCGGTACGATCTGAAACACCTCGATAATCTGGGAATCATCACGATCGTATCGCCTGGTCCGAATCCGTTCTCCTCACGTGATGAAACGTCTCTGTCAGGACAGCGTCAAACCTCTGCAGAGTGTTGTCCTAAGCTTCTCATCTGCACATATGTATTGACATTGCTGCGTTGTTCATCGCATGGCGTCCAATCCTCCTTGCAGCTCTCTCTCTAAGTCTTGACCATTCGCGAATGAAGTTGTCTCCTGTGGCCGAGGGTCCTCGTATCGACCCTGTGGGAACTGGTCGGGAATAGGTACTTGACCGCCGGGCGCTGGAGCACCCTGGCCTTGTCCCAGCGGAGCTGACTGTGGCGCACGAACGGATTGGCGGAATTGTGCGACCTCTGCGAGGATCATTTGACGCATCTCTGGAATCTCTTCAGCTGCCTCAAAACCGAAGTCAAACGGCGTAGGGCATGTGGGCTCGTCCGAAGCGTCGTGCCAGATCGACAAGTAGCGATGTTCGAGCGACTCCTCAACACCGATGCGCTGACTCGGGTCGAAGGCAAGGAGGCGATCAAGAAGGTCCAAGGCATCTGGGTTGGCGCGCGGAAACAGCTGCGCAAACGAGATCTTGGGCATGTATGGCAAATTACGCACATACTCTTGTGCACGAGGCGAACCGATGCGTGCAAGCGTGGCTTCAGACGGCGTACCCAGGAAGTGCAGAATTTGATTCAACTGGTCGACGTAGTCACGACCTTTGAAGAACGGTTTGCTACCGAGCAGCTCGGCGAGAATGCAGCCGACAGACCAGACATCAACTGAAGTAAAGGCATTAGTGTGCGCGCTCGCCTGCCAGCTCTTTCATGTTGTGACACTCACTAGCTTTTGTGTAGCTTTGGAAGCTAAGCATGATCTCCGGTGCTCGATACCATCGTGTAGCCACGTACTCCGTCATATATCCAGCATTCTCATCCGGGTCTACGCTGAATCCACGAGCGAGACCGAAGTCAGCAATCTTCAACTCGCAGTCAGCATTGACGAGTAAGTTGCCTGGCTTGAGATCACGGTGCAGAACGTTTGCGCTGTGGATGTATTTGAGGCCGCACAGGATCTGGTAGATGAATGACTGGAAGTGAGCGTCTGTGAGTGGTTGTCCAGAGCGGATGATTGCTGCGAGATCACACTCCATGAGTTCTATAACATCGTGTCAGATTTGCCATCCAGTCATGCCATGCGACTTTTACATCTCCGCCGCAACACACCTTCATATAGATATGCCTCATTGAAATTGTCAGGCCGTGGGATATCCATATCATACAGGCAAGTGATGTTACGATGCCCCCGGAAGTGCTGCAGAAGCTTGATCTCTCGCAAGGCACGCTTGGCCAGAATCTTCTTGCTGAAGACATTGGTGATCTTCTTGATGGCGACACCTTCATTGGTTTGGTTGTTCGTCGCCGCGCAAACAATACCATAGGCACCTTGACCTAGCTCTTTCGTGACTGTGTATCGCTCGTCGACAATAAAGTCTTGGTTGAAGACCTTGAAGACCTTTCGGCCCGAGAGATCGCTCATGGTGACGAATTTGTAGTTGGCGCCGCAGTGACGATTCTGCAAGGGTGGGACTATCGAAGCCCAGGTTCACGCAAGCAAAAGCGGCAGTCACGAAGGCGGGTGAGGCAGGAGATCTTGCTTGATCTTTAAAAGAAATAGGAGTCACAATCGGATAACATTGACATGTGGGCATTCAAGGTGGGTGGACTGACTTGCGCGGCGCAGACAACCATGGATGGACCCCACCATCCATGCGCTGGGCTGGGAGGCCTAATAATAATTTGTTAGTACAGTAATAATGCCCGCAATCACGGTCCTGCTAGAGGTACTACTGTACTGTAAATAATTATCACCCTAGGAAAGGTCCTCCGCGCTTACAGTCCATCCGTCTATGGTCGCAGGTAGTCTCCGACCTCAATCGGAGTCGTTTCACCGAACGCTCCGCCTGCTCTCTGCACAAGTGCATCAAGCTGTGCATGCAGGACTGTACGAATCTCTAGCACCGCGCGCTTCGATGCTGTTGGAGTGACGGCGATCTAACGGTGCAGGGTCGGGAGGAATCAGCACTCCGGCGCTTTCCACGTACTATCAATCTGTCCAGACACTCACGTATGTCATCACTGTCTGCAGCGAGAGTATGCCGGAGTCCTTCCGTGCCAACAGCAGAACAAGCCGAGAAGCTTTTCGTGTCGCCACTTCGAGAGCATATGCGGGACTACCGGTGTTGTCTCGCATTTGGTAGGGCCTATACGCCTCTCTTACTATCCAGTGTAAACAAACGACGGCGAGCGACTGGTAGAATCTGGTTCGCATCAAGTTTCGTCGTCTCAGAATTCTCATGCGATTCTTTTTATTAGAGCACCTTGTTGTCAATCAGGGTCACCAGTGTGGACTGTGCAACATCTGGAGTAGTGATGATGGATTTGAGCCTGAAACGTTCACCGCGGAGGCACTGTCCAGGAGACCTGGCAGCAGTAGTGGATGCAACATTCATGTGAGGAGTGGGAAATTAATTGATGCACTCTGCTGCCGTTCCCCTCTCTCTTCTCATGGTCGTTCATATTTCATGCGTTTCATCAGCGTGGAAGCATCTGCTGCACAAATAATCCTATAGCTGCAAGACCCTGGACAGATTCACCGTTGATCATGAGTGATGGGTCGTAGAGCACGAATAAGGCTGAACAGTTGTGTCAACACGGCACGAAATACTTCGTCTTGTCCAGAGCAAACAGAGTAAATGCGATTCAGACGTTCGAAGACGCCATACTCAAAGTGGCGTGGAGAGCGGTTCGCGGGACCGAACGCACCAATCATCTGCATTGCGTGCGTGTTAGCAGCAATTTCCAGTCGCAAGACTCGCAAGTTGCAACCCCCAGCACGAGTCGAAGGGTCTCGCGCGTGCCTCGGCAAAGGCGATCAAGATCTGCTCCACATTTGTTCTTGTGAAGAACGGGCTACTCACATGCTTGTATGCGGACGGACAGTTTCCATCACTGCCATATTCTCGCAATTCAATTCCTGGGTCATTACTGTAACTACCACGAGGTTTCTTGCCTTGTTCTCTTCCTCTTTCTCGTTTAATTCCGCATCATACTTCGCCATTGCATCTACAATAAGATGTCTTCCCTCACATACACTCCCGTCGAGGAGATCCCCGCCCTCCACAAGCGCGTCGTCGCCAAATTCAACACTCACACCACCCGCCCGATCGAATACCGATTGAAGCAGCTGCGTAAGCTGTACTGGGGCCTGAAGGATGAGGAGACGGCATTGTTGAATGCCTGTCTGTCGGATTTGGGCAAGAGCCATTATGAGACCTACCTGACTGAGGTCGGCTGGGTTCTCAATGACATCGTCTTCATGACCCAGAACCTTGAGCGTTTCGCAAAGGACGAGAAGGCGGCGGATACCAGCCTGATGAACTTGGCCATGTCCCCGCGCATCCGCAAGGACCCCATGGGCGCCGTCCTCATCATTGGCGCCTTCAACTTCCCCATTCAGTTGACTCTCGGACCTTTGGTCGGCGCCATCGCAGCTGGCTGCACCGCCGTCATCAAGCCGTCTGAGAGCGCCCCCGAGTCGGCCAAGATCATGGAGAAGGTCATCAAGAAGGTTCTGGACCCGGAGGCGTATGTCGTCGTTCAGGGTGCCGTACCGGAGACAACTGCCGTACTTGATCAGAAGTGGGATTTGATCTTCTACACCGGAGGTCCGACCGTCGGCAAGATCATCGCTAAGAAGGCTGCCGAGACTTTGACTCCCGTCGTCCTCGAACTTGGTGGTCGTAACCCAGCCATTGTCACCAAGAATGCCGATATTCGACTGGCCGCACGCCGACTTCTCTGGGCGAAGCTCCTCAACGTCGGCCAGGTCTGCGTCAGCCAGAACTACATTCTCATCGACAAGGAGGTCCTCCCCGCCTTCGTCCAACAGCTTAAGGCTGCGCTCGCCGAGTTCCACCCGCGCGGCTCACAGAACAATGGCGACTACGGCAAGGTTGTCAACGAGCGTTCGTGGCAAAGACTGAAGGACATGCTGGACAACTCCAAGGGCAAAGTGCTGCTCGGCGGCAAGACCGACAAGGCCACACTATTCTTCGAGCCGACAGTTGTCGAAGTCACCAGCCAAGACGATTCTCTCCTCGCATCAGAGTCCTTCGGCCCATTGATCCCGATTCTCGCGGTCAACAACCTGGACGAGGCCATCCGGATCGCCAACACCATCGACAGCACCCCACTCGGTCTCTACCCATTCGGTACCAGCGCCGAGACCTCCAAGGTTCTCTCCCAGACACGATCAGGTGGTGTTTCCATCAACGACGGTTTCTTCCACGCCTCAATCCCGACCCTCGAGTTCGGCGGTGTCGGTGGCTCTGGAAACGGAAGCTACCGTGGCAAGGCCAGTTTCGACGCCTTCACCCACCGTCGTGCCGTCACCACCACCCCTGGCTGGATCGAGTCCCTGCTCGCCGTCCGATACCCTCCCTTCACCAACGCGAAGCTCAAGCAGATCAAGGCCATGACTGACGGCAAGCCTAACTTCGACCGCAACGGCAACGTCAAGAACTCCCTTCTTCTTTTCATTTTCGGATTCGGTGCCAAGAGCCTTGTCGGAGCCGGAGGTAAGTTTCGCGAATTCCTCACATCTCAGAAGCTCGCGCAAGTACTAATAGATTTCCTAGGTCGATGGTTGACCGTCGTCGCCATTGCTGCCGCCGTTCGCCACTACAAGTCCAACTTGTAAACGGTTACCAAGCCCCCAAACCTCCGAAAATCACCTCCACGGGGCGGGACATGAATGGATATTCCCACGCCACGCCATCACGGAGACTCTCGGTGTACACGATGGAATTCCCAGCAATTTCCCTTCACTTTGTTAAATCATGTCTTAATGTCATCGGGCAGTATCAATATTTCCAAAAAAATGATGAAATTTTCCTCGCCATTTTCCCCAAACGTTCCCGATGTCGTATAAATTCTCAAATCCGTGCCACAATCCGTTCTCCACAAGATCGCATCCCGAACCGGGTCCAGAGCGCTCTCTTCCCTTGTCGCCGCCCCGAAATCGCAACCTCGTCGCAAGTTCCGCGTCCGCGACGCCTCCCATCGGCGATGTCCCAGCCTCATGACTACGATCATCTCGTGCGCGCGCCCGCGCCCAGTCCGCTTCCCTCCCGGTCCGCGTCCGTTGAATTCCTCGATCCGTCGACGTTTCCCATCCCAGACTGCCCCGGTGTGCGGTGATTCGTCGCGGGGCGTGAGCGCGCTACCACGGTGTCGAATAAATCGGTGATGGGATCGAGGTTGTCTGCCGCTGAGGTGCCGGAGGTGTACGGGTACGACATCATGTCTGCTTGTCTCACATGTCGTGTGGCACCGAACTTTCTCGAAATGGTCATTGCTACCGTCTTGGACCCTGGCATGACCACATTATGCTTATTGCCTAGGTAGGTTATGATGCGAAAGTGCATTCTGGGAGATTCTGCTTTGCGAGTCTGGTCGATGAAATGATGGAATTGTCAGAAGTTCTAGAAGTTCTGAAGGCTTTCCATGCCGTGGTCTAATTTTCGGTGGAGTAATAAAGCGTAGATATTTACATAGAGACGTGGTCGGCAGCAGGGTTATGCAAACTGCATGAGAAAGAGCAATCGAAAGGAAAGACGATTGTGAAGGCATATACGCCCAACAAACATACAAACAACCGTGACAATGTAGAGCCTTTATGCTTCTTATTAGGTATGATGATACAGGTGAGGCCTCTCGAGGCCAGACTGAAAGTGAAAATCTGCTCTGGCCCGCAGAAACAGGGATGCGTTGCGCAGAATGAATGCAATTTGCATAGCAAATTCGCCATGCATACATGGGTATGTAGTACTTTGTTCTCGGAGATCTTGGAGAACTCACTCCGGGGGACTGCCCCAGATCAGGCCAAAGAGCGTGTCCACGGTCCACTAGTCGTCAATCTCGCTCTCCGGTACCAGCTCCTGGAGCTCATCCCCTTCGACGATCGACGAGTGGCCGTGGACGTCCGGAACTGGTTGCTGCTCCTCGGCTGCCTCCTCTGGCACGCCGTCGAGGTCGGCTGGGTTGGCTTTCCCAGTCATTTGCCATCGATCGCCTTTGCCGTCGATCTCGCTAGCGGACTCGGCAGCTGTGACGTAGACTTCGTCTGTCGGCGTTTCTTGATCAAGCGGACCGCTGAGCGAGACTTTGGATTTGGCGTCGAAGAATGCGAGGCGGTTCCTGCCTGGCGTGGTAGACTCAGTGTCGGATGGGGTTGGTAGAGGGTCCTTAGAAATTGTGCTAGGGTCATGAACTCGGGTCTTGTTCGTCGCATGATGTGAGTCTGAGCTGTCGGGTTTCGTCGATTCGGTGTTTTTCAAAGACTGCTTTCCCTTGGAGCCACAGTCACCGTGCTGCGCACTCTTGCCGTCCCCATTGGAAGTGTTCGAAGCATCATGCTTATCGGACCAGTATTCTAGCTTGTGTATATGATCTCTGGCGGCGTGAACTGCCTTCAGGATGTTCTCGTTATGACGCACCCGTGAATCATGCCGTCGGGTCTCGTCGTCGTCTCCGTCCTTGTGATCATGCGACGCCAGATCCTTCTTTTTCTCATGGAGCTCGTCGTGCGTGGCCACCAGGAAATCCAACACTTGCCGTCGTGACGCCTGAAAGATGAACATGCCCATGATCTCATCCATGCGCTCGGCTAGGTACACGAGATCGTCGTTGGCCTGATCTAAGAATTTGCGTATAGCGTAGATTTTCTCGCGATCTAAGCTTGAGCGGCGAAGGGCAAGGAAAAGATCGGCAATATTATCTATGTCCATATTTTCCACAGTCATCTCCAGCACAGTGAGCTTAGCGAGAACATTGACGGCATTGCTCGAAGCCGCACGGCTGTCGGTAATCGAAGGCGATCGTAGGTTTTTGGTGTGAATAGTGAAGTAATCCGGATTGAGATCGTGTGCCTTGTCGCGGCCGACGCTCGGTAGAGCGCTGCGTTTCCTCACGCGCAGCCATCTCCTTCTTCGAACGAAACTGTGAAACCAGGGATGGGTGCCGTGCCAGGCGAAAGTCCGCCCACCATGGCCAACAAAAGCAAAGCTGTATTCCCATCCCTCCTCGTCCACATCGCGGCTCATATCCACATACCAGCTCTTCCATGTCCACTCCCAGCTTGGATCCGGGACCTGTGCGTTGCGAATGTCTACGGGACTTGTGCGGAAGTCGGCATTCTGCCATGGCTTTGGGTCCGTGGGTAGCAACGAGCTCGAAGAATACTTGGGTATTCCGAAGAGAAATGCTCCGCGCTGGTTCTCGTATAACACATCGACGACTGTGTCCTTTTCCTGTACTCCCGTGCCAATGTTGTTTTTCCTTTTCACTAATGCCTTGGCGCGATTTTGTGCTCTCTCCAGATACTTCTTTTGCAAAGCCCCACTGTCACCGTCGGCCGGCTTGACATCTTTGTTGTCGGAATTCGACGGTGGTTGAGTTTGCTCATCATCATTCACATTGTAACGTCCCTGACCGTAGCGCGCGTATTTCTGTCTGTTTATCTCACGCCGCAGCGATTCCTGGAAATTGGAAGATTGGTGAGTCAGGCGATGGCGTAAGCTCGGCTCTCTCGAAAGTATGGCTGATGTAGTGGAAGGCGTACTGCCTTGTCGTGAAGTTTCGTCGCCAGGGTCTACGGTCTTGTCCAGCAAGGTGATCGGTTGGCCGATGTGGGAAGTTTCTGCTGCATCACGGGTGCCATCGACGAGGTCAGCGCTGGAAGTCATGACGAATGCTTCCAGCACATCAAGGACGTGACAAGCCGACGGAAGAAGTTGTGTTCAGGCGCGTAGGATATATGTGAATTATCAGAGAACGGTCGCAATGACGCGCTTCACACAGGAAAATAAGCTGGTAGGCGCTGAGCCGACACCATACTGGTCTTGGTTTTCTCTTGCCAGGACCGATCGTCGAGCATATGAGACGGCGCGCCGGCAATTGTCACACACGCGATACCGTATAGGAGGCAGTATCGAGCCCTTAACGCTCGTGGCCCTCAGAAAATTGGCGAGAAGGGCGAAGAAAGCCTGGAGACAGCTACATAATCCTTCGAGAACCAAGTGCTTTCTCAACAGAGAGAGAAACTTCCCATGTGGAAGCTATTCATGGCAGCCACTAATGATGCTACTGAACGTTCAGTTCAGGGATGCTGGGCTTTGCGGGACACACGCCGACCAGTCTGCGATAACTTCCGGCTAACTTCAGGTCCACCGGTATAGATTCAAGGCTGACTGCAATGGCATTTCTGACGTGTTCAGGATGTTGCCGACTTCATCAAAGGGCATGTTCAGTCATTGCGGTCATTTACATTCATGAATGAGTCGATTGCCGATCGGCGCGTCCTCACGTGTCGCTGTGGACAGGGCATGAGATCGGGCGAAGGGTGGAGTACATGTGCATAGGGCAAGTCCATTGGTGATATCTGGCTGACATGTGAAATGATTCGACAAAGCAGCTTGAGCACCACGCTGGTGCGTTGGTGTCTATGGAGACTATCCTTTTCGGCGTCAAATTATTAGTGAGGTTGATTGAATATCTTTGACCTTGCCCGCAAACGAGCCGCTGCGCTCATTGAACCGCCATCGTGTCAATGCATCGATGCGTAAATGTCATTGTCAGGACGCTTTCGCCGAGTTCTCAGCCACAAGTCTGATGACGTCATGAGGACTCAAATGAGAAGACATGCCGTGGTGGTTGCAGTCCGGGTAATGCGCAGTCGCAGTCCAGCATGTACTGTGCTGCAGTCCAAGCTCTTGCTTAGAGCTACACCTGGGCAGTAAACAGATGGACAGTGACGTAGGTCAGGCCACGCAGCGAAGTGCTATCCACTACGTACTATGTACTGGGCAAAAGTTGGAAACAACCTTGCAAGGCGAGAACAAACGTGATGAGACACGGACGCAGAGACAGACACACACACACATACAGCGGCTGCGCCATTGAATACGGCAGACCAACGATAACCGCCCGCAACAACAGAGATTTATTATGTGCGTGAAGTAGTCTGGCGACACTGGTGGCCTCGTGCTGGGCGCTGTGCTCTGTCATTGGTTCGGAACTCGGACCACCGCTTCTGCTGCTGTCTCGAGGTTAATAACGGAGAGGTGCAGCCTCTTGTCATGCATGACGAAAGCTATCGTGATTTGAAGGAGACCGCTGCCCGAGAGTGACGAGTGCGCGCAAGATCGCGATGCGGCGGGTGAATCAATGGTGTTATGATGACCGGGCAAGAGCTCCTACTCCTACTCCCACTCCTACTGCATTGCCGCTACGGTATCCGTCTCGTGCGTACCTGGTCGGCAACCTTCTGTCGTCACCACCGAGGCTGCAGTAGGTCATTGTTGGTTTGTGTTTGTGTTGCGCTGAGCAGCAGCTCTCCCACCACTCTGCTGCGTCTCGACCTTAGAACCTTCTGTACTTACCTACTTGCCTTTTCACTTACCTCCGTACTCCTCTCTCACTCTCACTTCCTCACTGTCCAATACCTCTCACCACCGACTACTGTAATCGTAATACCTCGAGCATAACCTCATCTCCACCGACAAACCTACATCACAATGTCTAACCGTCTGACTACCTGGCTCGGTCTCGGTGCCGCTGGAGCTGTCGGTTACTACTTCTACCAGTAAGTCGATCTCATTCGCCATAGGACGATGAAATTCGTGACGAGAACCTCACAACTAACGTCTTTTGCAGGGCTGGTAAGCACAGCTTCATCCGACTGCGCGCCAGCATCGGAGCGCAAAGCTGCCGTGACGTCGCAATTCGCTAACCCTTATCACAGGCGGTGACCCAAAGCTCGCTGAGAAGAAGTTCGAAGGTACGCATCCGTCACACGATCTCTCGTCACTGCGCAATCCACTTCTTCCAAACAGCTCCAGAATTGACCAATCCCGCCCACCAACAGCCGATGCCGCCCGCGTCTCATCCACCGTCAAGGAGCAGATCCCCGGCCAGGCCAAGCAGCTCCAAAAGGATGGCGAGCTGACCCTCCAACACGCCAAGTCCTCGCTCAACTCTCTCGGCAAAGACATCAAGACCGAGGCCAGCAAGGCCGATGCGAAGATCAACAAGCTCAGCTCCGAAGCCGCCTCCAAGCTCGACCAGACCAGCCGCGATGTCCAAGCCGCCGGCAGCAAGGCCGTCAACGAGTTCGACAAGAACGTCAACGAGGTGAGTGACTCATCCACATACGATGCATCAAAAGCAGGAGAGGGAATGGGGTTTTTCTGCCATGCTGGTGGCCAAGGCCATCGCTGGGCTGGCGGAGATGAACATCCGGGTGGGGATTGATGGCGAGAAGTAAAGGGCATGGATGCGACGATCACACCCCGAGGGCAAAATATGCTGACCTATGTTCTTTGCAATAGGGAGCTGCCAAGGCCAAGAGCGGTCTTTCCAGCTGGTTCGGCAGCAAGTAAATCATGGATTCACGAATTTAACTGAGACGAATTCGGGAGGAGGCGCCGCGTATGGGCGGAGCATGTCGAGAAGGCTGTACTAACTATATGAAAGACGCACCTGGAAATACCATTCCCAAATATCACAAAGCTCTCTCTCTCTCTGCTCAAAAATGACTATTGTTTTCCATGAAGGGAGCCAACGTGCTGCCGAACGATATCGTTTACATGTGGCACAATAAGTGACGCGTCCCACCGCACAAAATCAACGAACGACGCGCACGAGCACGCATGTTTCGCAAAGCCATCATCAAACTACTCAGAAAACACACCTCTCGTAGTACACGATAAAAAAGAACAAAGGCCCCCCGAAAAAGGTTGAGAGAAAGAGATCTCACGTGTGAGTAAATTGATCAAAAGCCGGCGAGCTATAGGAGAAGTTATGCGTCGTCCTCCCAATCTCCTCGTCTTCCTCCGTTGTCGCCGACCGGACGGAGAATTCGGTGTTGCCGCCGAGATGGTGCCCGACGCTTTCCACCGTCGGCGACGCCGCTGAGAGCATATGGGCGTAGACCGGCAGGGGCGAGACCGGCATGCGCTGTTCCGATGTCGTTGTTGTCGTCGTGGTTGTCGTTGCTGGCGTGGACGAAGTGAAATTGGTGCTGTTTGTGGGATAAGGGACTGATGTCGATGATGTATGATGGTGATAGGATGACGATAAGGAGTTCGTTGCTGCGCCTGGTCTACGGAGGCCCGGATATCCCGGGCAGCCTCGATTGTGGATGGCGCCGGTGCAGAGACATTGGTCCGATCGCACGGAGCCGTAGAGCTCCGGGAGGCGGTGTTCTGATAGGAGGCTGTTGTCGGGAGAGGATGATCGCGAGGAGAGCGGTGAGATGGATGTCACGGAGGGCGTGGCGGACATGGTGTGGCGGCGGGCGGTGGCGGGCTGGACACGTGGCGGGCTCGCGGATGTGGCAAAAGAGACGTCGGTGTCGCCGCGGTCGTCGGGGTGGAAGTAGGCGCAGGTGCGAAGGTGGAATGCTGCATTGCAGCCGCAGTGCGGTGGAAGGGTCCGTCCTCCGGGGATATGGACGGGATGGCTGTTCGTAGGTCGTCGCCGGGTATCCATTAAGCTGTGATGAAGAGGTCTTGTCAGTCCCTCTGCTGGATCCGAAGGCGGCCTGAGTTCCCTCTGTGAGAAATTGATCGTCCCCACAGGATGGAATCTCGGCCTTGATGTGGGAGGATTACCGTTTGAGTCTTCTTCTTCCAATGGACCGGTCCCGGCTCGTTCGATGAGTCCGCTCATGACCACCGCATGCGACTTCCTGAGGTTCTTCTTCACGAAGCCCGTCAATAGGACATTGCAGCGCATGTCGACTTCCTCCTTGATGTAGAGACCCTCTCGAGGAGCGTCAAGTCCAAGCTCTACCGGTTCTCGAGGTTCGCCTGGCATGCTTCCACAGACCAGCCATTTGCCCCGGAGATCCAGGCCGGCGGGCGCGAACGTATGGGTTTGTAGACCATTGGGAAGGTTGTAGAAACATGCTTTATATGACACTTGTCCGTTGATACCAGGCAGATAGTTTATCCTAGAAATATTCGTGTCAACAACGACAACAGCAACTCAGGATACAGTCTACTCCTGCAGCATCACTCACCTGTCTGTAATCTCATACTACGTTGGTGACAGGTCAGTGTTTGATTCTCGAGCGCGAGCTGATCAAAAAATGCGGGTCGCAAAACGAACCCATGTTCCAAACTCTGCCTCGTCTTTGCTCGCTTGAGCAGGGGCCGTCGTCTTCTCAAAATGGAGCACCAACGGGTTGACTCGAATCATCGCAGCGTGATCGTGCAGCTGTGCAACTGCGGCATCGCGGGTGACGTTTGAGGGCAACGGTGACGTCTGTGTCATGAGAGATCGTGTCGACATCGTTGCGAGCTCTGCGGGCAGCACCGGCCAGCTACCAACTTGTATCGTTTTGGGTGTACGAAAGCAGAGTCGTTCGAATTATAGATGTCCGATTCGATGTCTTGTCCCTGCAGCTGTAATGGGAGGAAGAAATATCCAGTTGGTGTTGGACAGACGTGCGTAGCTCTGCTGATTCCCTAATTGACCGGGATCGATTAGTCAGGCTTTGCGCCTGAACGCCCAACGTTTGCGGCTGTCCTTGACGCTACTTCGTGTTCCCTCGATAAGCTACGGACGCTTCAAAGTCGAAGGACATGGATCGTGAGATTTCCGAACTCGGCGATATTGGACTTGCAGGTCTTGTTATTGATGAACAGGCGGTCTTTTGTGATCAGAATTCTCCGAAGGGCTGTTTTGCCTCATTGCTCCCACGATTCTGCAATCAGGGCTGATTCTCGCCTCCGGTTCTGTGTTGCTCGGCCGCACACGCGAACAGCGACTTTGGCGATGGAATCGATACTGCAGCGTACCTAGGTAGTTTAGCAGCGTACAATAACAAGTAAAGCTGGCAATATAGCTCTGTTTTCGATGTACAGTAATGAAGACTCACGGTTCGATCTAGTCAGTTCAGTCCCATCAACCAAGCCTCGCCCGTTGCAGACCGCAGTCGGGCCGTTTGGCCCGGCATTGGGGCAAGCCCTCCTATCAAATTGATTTAGATCAGACGAAACTCGTGGAAGCAAACTCAATATGCTTATTACTGTAGGCCCAACAAGGACGGCTCGTATTGCACATGGCTCACATTATAACACACCATTCCGTACTTGACTGCGAAACTTTCGAATTACTACTATATATTCTACGCAAGTACGATCGGAATTGATGTGGTTCTCATGTTCTGGCCTCTAAGTGTATCGAAAGTCAAGGGCTAAGTTCAGGTCGGAGTGCCACCAGACGTGTCTCATCACACACGGACTAAGCAGTGAAACGACGTCACGACGATCGCTTTGTTCCCGTCGCTCTTGCGCGATTTATCACCGCCAGTTGTACGGGAAAAACTCAATCCGTGTGATTGCCAGATATACTTCTGTGCTCCTCCACTCGTGTTTGAGGCCGTATACATAACATAAACCTGGGCGCTATCGACTCGGGCGGATCAATTCATCCGTGAAGCGCCATAGTTGATCATCCGCTAGAAAGTGACGTTGATTGTTGGTCGCGTGCGCAGCTACTACATTTCCATCCACCAATCCTGAGAACAGTATCTCGATGTTTTAATCGTTAGCACAAAAACAGAGAATATACCTCATTCGAAACTTGGCACCCGCGCTTCGACCGGTCACAAACGTAGCGCCTATTGCCCTTCACAAGACATCGTCAAGTCGATAGCATGGCCTGGAGCCAGCTTGAACCGACGCCCGCCCACTTGACATATCTGCTCTTGTCCGGTTTTCTCATCAGCTATGTACTTTTCGTGCGCTTTCTTCGCAATCGACGTGAGTACAAACGCGAGACTTTGGATTATGTACTTGGGACCATATCTGACATTTAAGATGCCTACAAGTGCACCTGAGCGAGCCTCCCATTGCACTGCTTGTCGGAGTCATCTTGGGCCCGTATTTACTTAACTGGGTCACGCCTTCTATCTGCAAGAATGGAGAGTGCACCAGCGATCCAGCAGCTGGTGGATGGGGATGGGTGGGTACCTGTCGTCTTTCTGTTCGAACGAACATCAGGATCACATTCACTAATGCAATACATTCATTCCCTAGGGTGACAATGTCGTCCAGGAAATCACACGGGTCATTGTCGGCATCCAGTGCTTCGCCGTCGGCGTAGAGCTGCCGCCACACTACGCGAGTCGGAAATGGTCGTCAGTGATCATGATGCTCGGTCCGGTCATGGCATTCGGCTGGGTCATCTGTACAATTTTCATCTGGGCCATCTTTCACACCAGCTTGGCCTCGGCATCAGTCATCGCTGCAACCTTGACACCAACTGACCCAGTGCTTGCATCGAGCATTCTTTCCAACAGCCAGTTCTCGACCAGAATTCCCAAAAGAATCAAGCATCTGCTATCTGCCGAGTCGGGTTGCAACGATGGTGTCTCGTTTCCTTTCCTGTACATTGGGCTCTACCTATTAACTAAAACATCTACCGGAGAGGCTGCGAAAGACTGGTTTCTCATCACGCTTTTGTGGCAGTGCAGCGTAGGTCTGCTCATCGGAATCGTTATCGGATGGTGTGCACAAAGGATACTTCGCTTTAGTGACAGTCGCGGTTATATCGATCCTGCGGGCTTAACTTTGTTCTGGCTATTGATGGTGAGTCTCGATCTACAGAGGATCTCCGCTCTTAAAGACTTGCTAACATATCGCGTCAGGCAATACTTTGCGTCGGAGTAGGCTCTACGCTAGGCTCCGATGACTTTCTTGTCGCATTCGGAGCTGGTTACGGTTTCGCGCGCGACGGTTGGTTCGCCGAAAAGATCAAAGCCGCAGAATTGCCCAAGATCACAGACATGTTGCTGAACAGTGCCATGTTCCTCTACCTCGGTGCCATCATGCCATTCGACTCGTTCAAATCGCAGGATGTGACACCCTGGGTCACGCCCGGCAGGCTCTTTGCACTTCTCGCGCTTGTCCTTCTATTTCGACGCCTCCCGATTGTTCTTGCTCTATACCAATGGATCCCGGACATTAAGAGTTTCAGGGAGGCGCTATTCTGCGGTCACTTCGGACCCATGGGACTAGGAGCGCTCTTCCTCGCTATGGAAGCAAGAGGAATCTTGGAAAACGACGAGGCCATTCCTGATCCTCATCCTCCCAAGTATGATCAACCATACACTGATCGCGAGCAGACAATCAAGATCATATATCCCATTGTCTGCTTTATCGTCCTCGGTAGCACCTTGATCCACGGCTTGAGTGTACTTGCTTTGAGTTTGGTCTCTCATTTCTCGCGACCGAAGGAATATCGTGCCGGGATCACGGCGGCTGAGACCGACCCACTGCTTGAAGGAGAACATGGGAGCGAGGAGAGTCGCATTGATGAAAGCGAGAGTGATCAATACGAGCAGATCGAAGACGCCTAAGATTACGGCTTGCAGCAGCCTGATAAAGAAGTTGCACGATTCAGCGCACCATCTCCATTGTTAGAGATGAGGAAATCCGCTCGAGACGCCATGTTTGGCGCAACTTTCCATTCAGGATCGTCGATGTTGAGTTCGCAGGGCCAATTGGGCTTCGAGATACGGATAAATCTTCGTTCATAGCGTCGCGCTATCAAAGACAACACGAGAGCGTCCATTCGTCTCTTTGTTGAGCTTTTCCATTACGCTCGCCACCAATGGCTTGGAATAGACCGCCACACCGAGTTCCTGGCTGGTATACCAACTGGCACGATCCATGTTTCCGCTTCCGAACACGACAACCTCGCGATCAATAAGCGTCAACTTCGCGTGCGACTGAACGGGCTCATTCGCCGCACCGGCGCGAGGTTGATAATAGGAGATATGCAGTCGGCCTGGAGGCAACAAACCCATCTCTATGTCACTCTGACGTGGCTTCGATTTCGAGATGTCCTGATACGTCTTGATGAAGCGACGTACGCATCGATCGGTCGTGGTACCGGCTGTAACCAGCTGCTCGAGTATCATGAGTCGCGCACTCGTCAGAATATGAAGCTTCACGCCGCGTCGTAGAGCATCCGTGAGGCCTTGTAGCACGGGTGGTGAAGTTAGATTTGGGGTCTGAATGTAGATCTCCTCGCGAGCGGTAGCGAAGAGCTCTAGAAGCTTGTCGTTCAACGGTGTTTGCGGTGGACGGGCGAAGGACTGCCAGGGCAGACGGAAGTTGGGATTGCGATTATGCGGCGACGGAAGAAACAGACACTTTGATACAGTGTTAGTCAGTACATGTAGAAAATCTCCTGAGCATAGAAGAAAAATCATCCTTACCTTTGTCAAATCATTCCCAGCTTCTTGAATATCGACCGTCGAGGAAGCATCCCATCCCGCCTCCTCATCCGATCGAGAAGAAGAAGAAGCATCCTGCCAATACTCCATCCAAAACCCAACAAACTCCCTCACAATCGGGCCCGAAAACGATATACACACCTCAAACCACTCCTCCCAACTGACATTACAACTCGGCAAGTACGCCCTCCTCCGATCCACCACCACAAACTTCGGATGCCACACACTAAAAGGCAAAAAGAAAATACTCGTGACACTGACATCCAACCCCTGCAGCTCTCCCAAATCCCTCGGCAATCCCAGCAACTCCCACCACTCCCGACTGGAGTATACCCTCGGCCGACCACTCCCGCCGAGGATTTTCTGCACGATCGACGTCGACGAGAACCCTATCCTGACGCGCACGCGTCGGTGTTCCGCGACTGCCCGTGAATTCAACGCAAGGAGACTTTCGCCTAGAGCTTCGAGGGAAGGCGAGCGCGCCCAGAAACAGGTCACCAGGAGGACTTCATGTTGGGCGGCTTCGATGGCTGGAAGGAGCGTTTTGTGGTAGATGTCGAGGCCGGTGCCGAAGGAGATGTCGCCTATTGCTGCGGCGCTGGACGACATGGCCGCTTGCTTGTTGTCCCCTTATTGTGTTGATGGAAAAGTCTTACGGAGTGCCATGTTTGGTTCCTTAGGATCGGGAGACAGTTCATTACATGACCAAGGTTGTTGGAAAACTTGGCGATGGGCAGACGTTGTGATGTTGACGTAGGGAGGGCTGTTGTCATTCTCAGGTAGGATTAGGGTTATGCTGCACCATGGTCGAAGTTGCTGTTGGGAGAGACACCAGAAGCACGTATTGTATGAGGATAGACTGGACTGAGCATTGGGATAAATGGGGGTTCACATCATGACTTCGTGATACAATATATACAAATGGGACCGGTTTCATTCCGGAGCCTCAGTTGTCATAGTCCATGGCAGCCTGCATCTAGTATAGCTATGATTTGCCTTACACTGACACAGGCGATCGTGTCTCAAGCGGCAGGATCTTGAAGCGTTCATCCACAGCATATGATGGCTCAGCGCTTCAGTCAGCTTGGGAACGATGCTGAGTAATGGACATCTGATACGACCAATTCTGGCTCTGAGTCTTTGAAGCTCACGCCATATCGGCGGAGGATCAAGAATGCCATGTCTTATATCTTCAAGCGGCACTGCGCTCGCGGCCATTTTGCTTCGTCGCTCAAGGCGAAAACAGGCAAGATACGAAACCCCAAATATCTTGGTATTATCCGGACATCGTCTGTGGTGCACCCGAGGGCGCGTGGTCGAGTCATCAAGCGGCAGCTTGTCATCGCACAAGGACTGTTAGTGTCTCTTCAGCCCATTTCAAGCAAGTTAATCATGCCGCAGATGGAGTGCGCGTTCTGTGCATATTCCGTCGACTGACGAACTCGTATCCGGATCCGAAGGAACAGCATGGCGACTTCTCTCGCATCACCATCTTCGCCCTGCCATTCCGCCAAGCGCTGACTGTACAGATCGAGTATGATCAACATGACATCGTAAAGGATATCGAGGTAACGTGGATCGACAATATATCGACTGATGAGGTTGAGGATAGGAATGAGCCTTTCCTCGGAGCGGTCAGCCAGGGCAGTGCGTAGTGCGCTGCGATGCCGCAAGGCAGTGATGAGTGTCATGAAGTCGTCTCGATTGTATCCTTCACGCCATGTATCCGGAGGCAGGATCTGGTCCAAAGCATCTGCATACTTGCCCGAGCGCAAGCTCCTCTGCCAAGGCTGTAACTTTTTGCTCTTGGAGCGATCGTTGCCAACGATGACGATATCTGCGCCTTCGCCGCGAAAGTCCTTTCCACGGTCTCGCGCTAAGATACCCTGACGCTTGTCCTTCTTTTTCTGACGTCGTTCGTACTCGTCTCCTTGTCCTGCCACGATTGCATCCATCTTTTTCTCCCGCTCCCGAGCCCTAACCTTTTCAGCGCCTGCGAGGCGAGTACGAATAGACAAGAGACCTGTCTGTAGACCGACCGCGAGATGTCGATCATCGCGGATGCCATCCTTGCTAGCCGGTGATTGGACGACAGCCATACTGAGGATGGGCGCCGGGTATTTGAATCCGGCTACCACTTCCCAATTCGAAGTATTGTGGACCTTGAGATGCGCATCCAGGCCACCGGTGAGTATGCGACTTCCGCCTTGTGCAACGGCCAGCGATGTGACGGTCTTCTGATGTGCGCGGATGACATTTTCTGCGCGGCCAGCGAGCAGATTCAAGATTGTCACATCACTCCCCGCAGCCACGGCCAGCGACGAGCTGCTGAGTGCGAGAACATTCTCGACGGGTGCGGCCAGTTTGAAATGCATTGCCGGACGATCGTTCTGTTGTCTGGTATCCCACACGCGCACGGTCTGATCGTAACTGCCGCTGACGATTATATTTCCGCCTTGCTCAGGCAAGAATCCACCGCTTCGCACATAATCCTCATGTCCTAGGCCCGTCCACTTGGCAGCATCCTCTGTTAAGTCCCATATTCGTACCGTGCGATCATCACTACAACTCATGAGTTCTGTCAGGGTGTGTGGGTTCCACCGAACCAGGTGCACCGGTAGTTTGTGTGCAAATTCGCCCTGCCATTGTCGAAGAATCGCTCGTGATGACGTGTCGAAGGCTTGCACAATACCGCTTTCGCCTCCGGCAAGCAAAATCCGTCCATCCTTTCTTAGAGTACCGGATCTTGCTGTGTCGTCGGCTCCGAATCTGCTCACGGTCTTGACCAATTTCCTCGTCTTGGTGCCATAGATCTGGATTCTACTCCCGCTGGTCACCGCGAATGTGTCGGCCTGTGTGCCAGAGGCATTGGCGTCAGGGATCGTGATCGACGTGATGCCGGCGTTATGCGGTGATGGCAGCAGAATAGGATTTTTGAAGGTTGACCAGTAGCTTTGATCAGCAGTCTTGGGCGCAGGGCCGCTCGCAGCCCGCAAAAGCGCTATGGGTTGAACCTCTGCTGCCATGCCCGCTGCAGGATATTCGTTTGGTCTGCCGAATCAATCGACTAGGCGCAAACATGCAATGACCTCGAAAAAGATTCGCCTTGGCAGTCCTTGTAATATCCAGATTGTCTCGAATGGTTGATAAATTATTCTGAGAGTCCGCGGCAAAAATTCACGGAGCGGGCCGGCGCAATTCCGCCGAGTGATATTGCTCAAGCCCTTGGAAATTTCTTGGAAGGCTCCATCTGGAAGGATGCGAGCACATGGAAGCACGCATGGAAGCCCCGGCGGAAGTAATTCGTTGTCTGGCGCGTGTCGATGGGATGCTGCAGGCGGTCTAGATACTGCGTGGTTTTCGTTGCCGCTGCTGCTGCCGCCACCCGACAGAAGGCTCCCAAGTCTTTGAGTTGATGGGATATCTCGGGATGCTCTTGGCGGTCGCGCGGCAGATGCGCGGCACTCCTGCAGCAGATCATGTGTCGTCACAGATGTGCAGAGATAACATCGAAGTCTTCCGCCAAGAACTTGTGCTTGCATTTCACTCCGTGCAGGTGCGCATACCCCTGCAATGAGATGCTCCTGATGGATCAACATCAGGATAACACCCCGTTCGTGTGGAGCGGCCTATCTTGCAGCGACTGCAACGACTGCTGCACCAAGCCGCCGTCGTCATATAGAGCTATTCTGAGATCACTGCAACATCTTCATGGCCCACGAACACCTGGACAGGCATGAATAGCAAATGCAATGGACATCGCTGACGACCAAGAACAGGCGACGAAACATTCTGCAGCAACGTCAAACCTGACTTGTAGGCAGCACACGTGGGAAGAACAGAGGCCGCGATAATACGAAACATGTGCTATCTATAGAAACTACGTGATTCCGTTCAAGAACCTTTCAGCGCTATGCTACCAATGATCAGCGCTTCTGCGTCTTCACCCACATCATCTTGACCTTTCTGTGATGCAGTGAGCTTGTAAATCTTTCGGATTCGACCCGGGTCGTGCACCTTGGCCAATGCGGCATCGGTCAATGGCAGCATTTGGCCTTGCACGTAATTTCCAAGGTGCGTTTCGATGTCAGCGATGACGCCGCCAACTTTGATGGCGACGATGTGCTTGCTGTCATCGGAAATGCCAAATCGGCGGAAGGATTCGGCAATCTAGGTATAGCGTGTGAGCGATTATGCATGTTTGGACCACGTGCATGTCTTCCACCGGCACCCTTACATTGTTGTTTGGCGACAGTGCGAAGACTGTCTCAGAGTGTACATTGCGAGTCTTCAGTCTGCCCGCCAAGGAATCATTGACAGCTCGAAAGCAAGCAGCCAGGATGTGATTCCTCGAAAGTAGCTGCGAGCAATCGAGAAATGCATACTCGAAGTCCGTGTTGCCTTCGAGCAGCTGCTTCCGTAGGAAGGCAGCGTTTTTCACATCGGCGAAGAACGCCAGATGGAGACGAAGCTCAGGCTGCAAATGCGGGAGATCGATGGTCTCCATTTGCGTGGCTCTCTCGTGGAGGAAAGGCGGCTAGGGATGGGAGACGGTAATCGTCGGCTATGGTGGTACCAATGTGCGTGACTCTTACAATCACGACCAAAAGGTGACGTGGACTCTGATTGTGTCCAGAGAAGCCAGACAGAGACACAGTCAGCTGAAAGAGGAGAGACTAGTATTGACTTTCCAGGGATCCGATGTGATGAGAGTCATCAATCTGAATCAACCCCGGAACGCGAGCTGTGCGAGGTGTGCTGTGTGTACCTAGGTACTGTGCTAGAACGATGGACGAGAGTCCCAGGGCCTCTGCGATAGTACGTAATTTTCGGTCCAATAGGTTGAAGCAGGACGACGGCGCGGTATAGTCGTACCTAAATGGAAATAATGACGAGCGGGCGAGAGCGCTGCTCACGATAGATCGGCCGGGCATGCAGCGAGGAATGAAGAAACCTTGCAAGCTAGAGTCTTCTATTACCATCGATCAGTTGAAACATCAAGGCTCGCGCCGCGACACGGATGACGGAAGCCTCGTGTTGGCGAAACAGGTGGTGGAAGTCAACTGAGGTAGTGATTGCTGCATTGGGACATTGTGTCAAGCATTGGAGGGGAAAGTGTGCCGGAGGATTTGGTGGGTGCCCGGTGTGTTTCCAGCCCGAGTAGTCTGCCTGAGCGGTTGCACGTTACCATATTCAGTGTTCGCATGGGCGGGCCACGCACGCAATTCTGTCTAGTCATTCCGTCCATATCACATACGATATTCCTCCAGAGCGATTGGCAATATACTGTACATCGCGCAGTCCAATGCACAGTATTTGGCTTCGGCGGGTCCGCCACCAGATTTACCATCCATCCTTCGTCATTCCTGCGCGGGATGCAGCCCGCTTCTCTTCTTGGACATATATCGTCAAGACGTCCGTGCCATATCAAAGTTCCGTTAGCCTCATGTCTGTTCGGCGCGCTCACGCTTCTTCATTCGTGAAAAAGGCCACGCGCCCAGCACACCAAGTCAGGAACAAATATGGCTAAAACGAATGACCCATGCTACCGGTGCTGCCGTTGGTACCCCTACAAGTCCTGAGCTTGTCTGCCAAGGTTGCTTCACAGACCGGCGAGCTTGCATGCCAATGCATGTCCATTGGATCGTCGTTGGCGGTCATACCGTGTCGACTTGCCTCAGGGAGGTTATTTATGGCTGAACACTTTAAAGACCGGGCGGCATCTCTACTCCAGGCTGTGAGACATCTTCCATATCTGTCGTTGCAGCTTATCTTTCCCTGAGCCAATCGACCTCATCGAGTGAGACTCGAACCTGGCCAAACAAGACACAAGACAAAATCACCCTTGACCAAGACCAACCGCATATGTGCCATCATCAAGCAAGACTCTTCACATGGCAGCGTATTTGTGAAGGCCACTCACAGTGAGACTACGCAAGCGCTATTTTCCGTTCGGGAATTTCCTGTTGGCTTCCAACCTTAAGCACCATTTTTTTGAGGCCTACGCGAGGGTTTTCATTTATCTTATTCGCCGCATCACGTGAAAGATCGGATCGTCTTTCATGTTGATTGCTCCTGTTCTTTTTTGAGGGGCCCATGAGACCAAAGTGTGCCCGCCGATTGTCATATTATCTTTTATCAGAGCTCACGGGCCCGAGGCCATACAGTCGGAGGCTCTGCGCTTTACTGTTATGCAACGCCCGTGGGCAATGCCATTGATCGAGGCATACACGGCTACTTCCATATCTGTCTCGCAGTCAAGGTAGATAGTATCTGGCATTCGCTTGAGGGCGTACAGCAGCTCCGCAAGCCGTTTCCAATATGCTTTCACGGAGTCTTTCAACCGAGACTAAGCACGACCCTAGCCATAAAAAGCGAGATGTAGGAGACAATGATGGCGGAGACTTTCTGTCGAAGCGCTCTCGGGTCGAAGAATCCTTTTCCAACATCGATCTGTCGACCTTTCAAAAGAAGAAGTCACCCGTCGCTACACGGACTGGACAAGCCTGTGATCGCTGCAAGATACGCAAGATCCGATGCGATGCTCGCCCTGAAGGATGCTCTCCGTGCATGCAAAACAACACAATATGCAGGACGACAGACCGGATCACTGGCCGTGCGACCTCACGTGGCCATACTGAAACCCTTGAACAGGACAACGCTGCTTTGGCCTCATACCTACTCGAACTGCAGCAACAACTACGGGATCATGGCCTAGAGCCCAAGCAGTCCCCTGAGGACATATTGTCATATCTCTCAAGCGAACCCGGATCGCGTGCCACTTCATTTTCGGACGCGGCACAATCACATGACAACCAGCCTCGCGGAAACGCGCGCTCGCCGGACACTCAGATTAGCCATCAGCACATTGCACTTCCTCATTTCCGAGCAGGGTGCGTGGGCGACAACTATTTCGGCGTTTCCACAGACAACAACGCCCTTGGTTCAATCGAAGGAACATCATTGGCACTATTTGGTACTAAAATAGACCTGGTGGAGTTCACAGTAGGAGAGGGAGATCCAGCAACCGCGCCCATGTCATATCACAGCTTTCTACGATATGCCTTTGCTGAGACGAGACAGAGCCACTGTGATCTACCAAGCTTCGAAAAGTGCAAACTTTACGCCGATTGGTACTTCCGCTCATTCCAGCCGTTTGTTCCAGTCCTCTGTCGCCTTGATTTTTCGTCACTTTTGAATCGCATTTTTCTGGAGGCATACCAGCCTAGCCCTGCAGAGGTTGTCATGGTGCACATGCTCATGGCCAGCATGGACTTTCAGATACATGCCCGAAACGCAGACGAAAAATGTCTTCAAGACTCAGTGCAGCATTATCACTATGCTATTGGCTTCGTTCCTGAACTTATCGCAAGTCACACCTTGGAAGATATGCAAGCACTGACGATGATTTGTGGACACCTGCGCTGTCAACCTCGGCCCGGGGCGGCTTGGTGGTTTACGCATACCGTGATGAGCCTGGCGATAGAGTCCGGCCTACACCGTTCGGCCAGTGCCTGGAAAGGCTCTTCGTTCAATCAGGATCCACATCACCTGGAAATGCGCAAGCGAGTGTTCTGGACACTGCTATTTTACACTGTTCAGATAAGCGGCAAGCTGGGTCGTCCAATGCCTTTACGCATCGAGGATTTCGACATCGAGGTCCCCAAGGCAATTGATGATGACCTGCCGTCGGATCTTGATCTCTCACCTTTCAGGAAATGCACCTACCGGGCGGGCATCGAGACGGCCAAATTGATGCCGATCGTCCTGAACATATATTCCACGATATACACCATCAACTCCACTGGGCAATATGAACGAAACGCGAAGAGGCTTGGGGACGAGCTCGATACGTTCTATGCTAGCATTCCAAACGAACTAAAGGTCGGTGAACACACCAAGGATGAAGCTCGCGTTGCCGCACTCTATCTTGACTTGCTTGTTGGGGAGCACCAATTACTGCTGCATCATCCAGCCGTGTGTCGGACACGATCGCCAGAGGTTATCGCTCGCAGTCTTGATAAGTGTTTGACTTGGAGCACCAAAATTCTGGCTGCAGCGGTACAACTCAAGTCCTTCAAAAGTCTTGATACCACCTTGTATGGTACCACCACATTTCTTGCCGCGATTTTCATCACCCTCTTCATCATGCAACAAAGGAGAAAGGAGATCACGAAGAAGAGTTTCCGGCAACTGCAAGTCGACATTGAACTATGGCTGGACGTCTTCGGGGAAGTGGGCCACCTTCTTGGTATGGCAATCTTAGATTTGTGTTCTGGACTATGCTGACTCTCTGATAGGCACTGGCACAAGACTTCGCACTGCTGTCAAAGACGTATGTGATAGGTCACTCGCAAATATCGGCCAAGATCTGGAACTACAGCCCACGACAAAGTTACAAGAGACTTTAGATCGTTCCAGCAACATTAATGCTTCCCATACTGCCCAAAACATCACTCTTGGGAATGAATTTGGTCCTACACACGCAGCATTTGTGCCATCGACAAACTTACGCAAAGACCCAATGCCACATTATTCCGAGAGTGTATCAAAGCCACACAGCATTGATCAAACACAATATCTTCCAGAGGCGCCGTTCACATATTCACAGCCATACGGCAACCAGGCGGCTGTGTTCCCAGATTCAAACCTCTCGAACTTCATCCCGAGCAGCGACTCATATCAAACCACCGCGGCTTCGATCACGACGAACTCTCCTCAGAACCAGCCGCAGCACCACCATTCTCACCTACAGCACCATCCCCTCCCCCCATCAATAAACTTCACGCCCCCATTCACACCCATGCCCTCAAATTTCCCCTTGGGCCTAGCCTTCCAACCTCAAATCCACAACCTCTCCCCCGAGCAACAGCCCGTCCACTCTCTGTTCCACCACCCGACCTCCGCCGCGTGGCGCCACTTCGCCGACACCCTCATGCACAACGTCGGGGGGCAGGGCCACAGCTTCGTCCCGGAATCGCCAGCCCTGAACTTACTCGACGCCGGCGCCGGACCCGCCGCCGGCAGCGAGCTCGATCTGGGGATGAACCACATCGTCCACGTCAGCGGCATGCAGGTGCCGCTCCAGAACGACGCGAGTCAACCCTGGCCGCAGATCCACTATGCCAGCGGCGGTGGGGGACCGGCGGTGATGTGATGGACGACCGTGAGGGACAGAGGAAGGGAGGGAGGGAGGTAGCGTTCGTTTTGTACACTGTCGCGTATGACTTGTTGATTCCCACGAAATGCCCCTTCGATTCTGGATACACATATATTTCTAGGCTGGACCTACTCCCGATTAATCCGATTTTCTCCCGAGAGCATCACGCTCGAACGCGAACGAATCTCCTGTGCTCATGTTTTGTTTTTCGTTGTTTTTTTGGCCCCCAGAAGACATCTCCCGATCCTGCCGTGGATGCCGTCCCAAAGGGAACCATGCTGAAACGGCATGGACTGCATCCGTTTCAGTAAGGGGTGAGCGCGGAGCGAGCGCGAAGCGGAAAACTCCGCCACGCGGATTCTCGTCATGAAACCGCCCCCCGGATAGTCGGTGGAGCTCGTGTAGACAACAAATGAGATCTTTACAACATTTGGGAACTGCTTCCGGGAGCAGCTGGGACTATGGACAATGTATGTTACAAAGCTCTGGTCGCGGAAAGACTCCACCCCCACACGCGCGCACACTCACACAGACAACACACCTCTAAAGTACGACTCCGTTGCCATCTTGTTCATCAATGCGAGCCTTTCTTTGTCTCCAAAAAATAAAGTATATCCTCGCCTGTCATCCACTCCCGCATTTCCTTCTTCCTCGCCCTGGAAAGATATAAGTCTGGCTCGTCCCTGAGGGAGGGTGGGCGAGTTTATCTGTATTCGGGCTTGACGAAGTCGGCCATGGTCTTCGGCTCGCCCTCGTACGGGTGGATGAAGTACGAGCTCTGGTCGTGGGGCTCGTGGTGGTCGTCGTGGCCGTGGCCGTCGTCCTGGGGGCCGACGTACTCCATCTTGTAGACGCTGCCGCACTCGGGGCAGCGCTCGATCGGTCGGTCGCGGGAGGTGGTGAGCCAGATGACGACGTGGGAGTCGGCGGGCGAGCCGGTGCAGCCTAGGTATTGCTCGTTGCCGAAGGATTTGACGATGATGGGGTCCTCGAGCGTTCCTGTTTCCTTTGTTCAGCTCATCTTCTCTGCTTTTTTTTTTCTTCCGTCCCGTTTCGCGATATCCTCCCATCGCGCAGGTTCCGCCTCCCGTGTTCCCTGGTTTCGGTGGCCTTTCGGCTGGACTTTTTACGTACCCTTGCGGCTGGCGTCGAGGGGCTTCATGTCGAAGATGTCGACACCCTGCATCTTTCCGAGAATTTCCAATCGCTCGAGACCGGTGGCCTGTTCGAGATCGCTGGGGACCTGACCGGGCTGACCTCCCGGAGGCATGAGGTCGTGCTCGCCCTTGACCTCTGTAATTCGAAGAGACAAAAAAGATCATCCAGGTCAGCCATTGGTCCTACCACAGAATTCCCATCATGTCGGGCAATCATCACTCACGGTCAAAGGGCACCAAGCTGGGACCTGAGTGGTTTTCCTTGTGCTCCGCCTTGCCTATCATCGCGCGTCAGTCAGCCATAGCTCCATCCTACGATATTTCATTTCCCTCCTCGCTCGTCGGCAGATCTCGGAATAGGGCATTGGGTTGGCATACATTGTCGCGCGGAGACGGCGAAGCTGCGGTAGGCGGTGGGGCGGAAGACGGTGCGCTTGACGAGCGCTGGGCCGGCACGGCGGAGAAACATATTGGGTGGTTGTGGGTGGAGTGGAGAGAGTGTTGTTTTTCGTAGATGTCGTCGTCGTCAGAGTCAAGCTGGCGAGGTTGTCTGCTTTGCAAGGAACCGAGCTTCAGAAGGAGAGCGGTAGTTCCCGTAGATGGCCTTGGCGCGTCACTGCCGGTGCGGCTTGACGGGCGATGATTAATTGGCGTCTTGTAACACGACACGCTCATCTCAAATATTCTTCTTCTCGGACCTTCGAAATACGCAGATGCTGTTACTGTGCAGTCGCTTGATCTGCCGATGATGTATGAGTGATATGACATCTTCAGCTTCATCTGGGATTTCCGCCAGATCAACGCGACATGCTGTTTTCTATGCGCGATTTCCGCAGCAACCAAATGGCTGAGAAGTCATCGTATAGCATGTGAATACTGAAATTTGGATCCAGATCGTAAGAATCAGCAATCGAGCAGATCCTAGACGAAGTTCTCGTCACATGCACACCAATTGCACTGTATGTAGGCACAGTCAAAACATCAGCGCACAGCATCTCGTTTCACTCTCAAAGCGAAAAGAGCCTGCTCATGTAGTCACACGCGACACGATGAAAGATTGAATGTATACACCGTACGATAACTTCCGCGAAAGACCTTCTCATGATCATCAAATTCATCAACATCAACCATTGCCGTGGTTAAAGCTACCCGCATACCACGCTGAAACGCCCCCTGACCAAAGTATGCACTTCATCCGAAAGAATCCACTTACTGCTCCCGGATCGTATTGCTGGGATCGGATGCGTGTCTGGGCGACCGTGAATGAGGACTGGAGCCACCTGAAGACAATTCATAAGGCATTGTCAAGGGCGTCTCGTGTTGCTGCGGTGTGGACGGCGGCGGATAATATTGCTGCATCGCCGGCGAGGTAGGGGTCATGTGCTGCTGATGCGACACGGGTCGCGGTTGGTGAATGTCCTGTGCTGGAGCTTGACGCGGCAGCGGCCAGTCCGATCGGTTCTGCACCGGCGAGCTCTTGAATGGATCGTGGTCTGCGTCGGCTCTCGTGGTACTTGGCGTTGTAGCGGTCGACATGATGTGATGATTGTAGGAGGGCGGGCTACTGCCTGGAGCCTCGGCCATGGCGGATTCGGCAGACATCTCTGCAATCGGCATGGATTTGTGATGGCGGGAGACATCCCTGCGAGTGGAGCTATTCACGCGATTGCGGCGACGGCGCCGGAGACAGAGCCAAACAAGAAGGAGCAAGAGTGCAAGGCCGACGACTCCGCCCACTACACCGCCGGCTATCGCCCCCGTATTGACTTGAGAAGGCGAAGAGCCATCTGACATTAAGCCAGGCGTGCTGGTAACATGTACATCTCTTGTAGCCGTTCGACCGGTCAACGGAGCAAGTCGTGTCATGTAGACTGCGAGATCGCTGTCACCGAAACCAGATGTTGGCGTAACTACACTGGCGCCTCCCGTTGGACTTCGAGATTATGGTCAGCTTGTCGAACAAATGCGATCCGTCATGTGTGTCCGAGCTCACCTGCCTCCTATAACCTCTTTGAGGTTCGGAGGAACCCGATAAGACGTCACGTTTGGCAGGAATTGATACCACTGCGCGCCGATGACATTTTGCGATCCTGGCTTTTTGTCAGATAAAGATCGACAATGTAAAAATGAAGCTCTTACCGAGATCTAGATTGTGTTGTGCAGCGGTCAGAGGACTATCGCAGCCCGTAATGCTCGAGTTGGGAAAGTAGCCGCCCGTGATGATCATTTGTGCTCCATTCACGACTGAACATGAGGCACTGTGGTGCTCGTAGCCGGTGCCGTTGTAGTACTAGGAACGATCAGCCTGCGTTCACGGCGCAACACGAACGCACTTACATTAGTCCATGTGAACGAGGGGATCGAAAGTATCCAAACGTCGTTGAAACCCATGCCTTGCTGGTCTGGTGGAACGGCACCACCGTAGAAATATCTACGGGAAGGTTAGCAGTCGTCGGTAAGTCTCAGCGATTGTCTACCGTACATGTTGTAGGACGAACGATCCTGTGCCCAGGCTGCACCACCACAGAATCGACGGCGCATAGGTGGCGCCGTGCCCGAGGTGGTTTGCATGTAGAACTTTTGTGAGGCAATATCGAAGATGTGAATCTCGTTCATTGGCGATCCGGTGAATGATCCATTACTCGTTTGTTGAATACCTCCAAAGTAAACCAACATGCCAGAGTCGCTCACAGGCAGATAGAACATCACGCCTTCTGCTCGCGGGGTGCTATCGATGAAGCTGACGTTATTCCAGCTGACAGGAAGAAATGTTAGCTGAGTGTGACTGTCCATTGACCTGCACTGGCCATGCTGAGCATCGCGCGTCGCCTCGGCAATGTCAACTATGAAAGACTCACAGATCTTTGGTCATGTCATATGTGACCAATCCTTGTTGCGCGACCGGGTTTCCTTGATGTCCAAGGGTAGTCGCATTGTTGGTCCATCCTCCGTAGTAGTACGCAACGCCTAAGAGCAAATCGAGAGTTGTCAGCTCGAGCAGAAGAATAAGCGCACCATCTGTGAAGCTCACCCTTCACTTGGTCCACGGCCGAGGCTCCGAAGGATGCAGATTGGATCCCATTCACGGGAGCTGAAGTCAGATTCCAGGTATCGTAAAGCACGTCGTAGAACCACAGGCGTTGCGCGGCGGGAGGAGAAGTCGACCAATTGTATTCACCGCCCCAGAGATAGATCAATTTGTTGACAGTGTCCGGCCAGAACACGGCTCCGATGGTCGAAGGAACGTAACTCGGCTTTGATAGATTGGCGTACACGGGAGGAAATTGGTAGTTGCTCTGAGTCGTCAAATCGGCATAGTACAGGAGGGAGCTGGTGAAGTTCTGGCTCGTTGGAGTTACAGAACCACCATAATTCACATAGCCACCGGTCGAGTACAAACGGCTGTCAATGACGGCTGCCGATTGTCCAAATTTCCTGCATACGTCGGCGATTGGGTCTGGGCCTTGAGCGTGGATAGACGTAGACCACGACGCGAGCAAAAGGGCCTCGAGGCTGAAAATTCGCATGCTGCTATGTTCGACCAGCAAAGGCCGGGATACGATGGACGGATTGAGTAGATGGCGAATCGCCCGGCGACATGAAAGACTATGCTTCGACGATGTCTTCTTGGTCCCAGAAAGCTGGCAAGGTCAATGGTGAGAAGAGAGGAGAGGTTGAGGCTAGGGAGGAGGAAGAGCAAGGATGATGGAAAGACCACCACAGTTCCGCCCAATCTTTCGCGAGCTTTCTCGATGACAGGGAAAAGATGGTGTCTGTACGCTTTCGCTTACCCAGCTCGCCGGGTCTGGGCGGCGGGCCTCGCGTTTGTGCTACACGCGCGACATCGACTCTGACCACCATCAATTGGCAAGTGCCGCACATGTGAAACCGGAGCAATAGCACGCTTTCCCGTCCAGATAAAGAAATCGGTGGGCCCGCTCGAACGGACGACTTGCTCGTCGAGGAGTAGGTAGACACACAAGAACCTTAGGCGATCGATTGTATGCCCCAGCCGGTGTGCACAGCCTACGCCCATCGAACATTCTCATGGAACGATAGAAGGCAGCTTACCAATTGCACATGAACGACCTGCCGGAGCTCCATATGTTATGTCGTAGTCGAGATGCTCGCTTGGGGCCGCCGATCGTTCCGCCTTCGTCCTGTCCAACCAGTATCGACTGGCTCCAGGTGCTGTGGTGTGACTTGGCGGAAATTGATGCGTCCGAGACACTTGCACCGATGATCCGTAGTGACGAGCACGGTGGACGATGATGATGAGGAGGAGGAGGATGATGATGATGCAGACATCCACGTCCTTGACTTTCATGACCGATCGTGGTTGTTTTCGGGTTGCGTCGCAATGTTGCGGAGACGTTCTTCTTCTTCGTCTTCACGACGCCCATATACATGTCGAACGTCTCATGGACAGACAGTACATACACTGGCCATGGATCAGTGACAACAGGCGATTCCATGCTGTCGACTCATGCAAGAGCGCAGGCATCTCACGTGAGCCCTGGAGGTCATCGACCGTGAATCGCAGGTGCTCAATCAACGGATGTACAAGGAGCAGCGCTCTCTGCAGACATCCATCAGCAGCGACGATGTTGCTGTCAGGTGGCCGGACACCACGTGATGCACACAGTTCACCCATACCTGCCTCGTATTGTAGTGTAGTAGGGAAGCGAACGTTCATGCGGGTACTTCACAGCTTCACAGCTTGACACCTGCCCAACTGGGCGGACAGTCTTCTGCTTTTATCACATGCCGATCACCTTTCACCTTTGGGAGAGGCATCAATTGGCATCGATTGGCATCAATTGCCGCGCGACGGTCGTTTCGTGCATCTCCATGTCTTATGACTCGACCGCAAACCGTGGTGAGCGCGTATTGATTCCGCCGGAAGCGGTGTCCATACGGGCGCCGTCGGAAGGCTTATTTATTATTATTCATCGGGCCGGATTCATCATGAGATTGCGCAATGCGCATCGCATGTGAAGCTCGACACAAGGCGCGACGAGGTACATTCACTTCGAGTTCGTTGTAGCCACCGTCTCTTGCTTGCCCCAGCGCAAATCTGGTTGATGTCCGTCTGGTTGATGTCCATTGCATCTTGTTGTCAGCCCTCTCACTCACCCGCCCGAATGTACGCCCTACATGACATCGTATCACGGTAAGAAAGTGCTGGTGAAGGACATATACATCGTTGACGCCTGTGCTAGCCCATACGGGTAAAGTCTCGCAATCCGGAAGGACCCCCAGGGCCGTCGACAGCGAGGCCGTCGGCGTCACAATCGTGTCAATCTTCAACAGTCCAGCTGCGCCCCCAAAATATTTAGTTGTCCAACTTTGGAAAGGCCGTTCGCAAGATCCACATGGGTTCCCTGCAGTCATTATATTATCATTATGATCATTACCCTTGACGCCCGTCCGCTATTTCACTGGACCGCGCAAGGGCAACCATGCAAGCTCGAGCTCCTCGAAATCGATGAGTCAGCGTGTTGATCAGGAACTTCCCAATTTGAGACAGTGGAACGCGCAGGTGGTGAATCATTGGCAGCCTAAAATCTGTCCTGCTTATGTCGTTGTTTCTTGAATGTAAACCTCCCTGCAATTCTCCAACAATACCCACAATCAGAATCAGGGTCGATCTCGATCGTATCCCAAACGCACTGGACCATATTTTACGAACTTCGAACCCGGAGAGTTATGCTACTGCGATATCAGATCTAGCTGGTCCTAATCTGCTCAGGTGATCAATCGCAGTCGTCGTCATAGATAAATATGGCCTCGACCACGAGCCACAGCCCTTCGGCGCCTCCATTCCGAGCGGCCAGAGCGCTCCCTCTGGCATGTCGTGAGTGTCAACGCAAGAAGACCCGATGCGATCGCACATATCCATGCACCCCATGCACACGCGGAGGAATCCCTTGTGTGCCTAGCACAAGGAAGCCACGAACCAAGGCTGGCGCCAAAGCGGTGGATGCTGAGCTTCGTTCGAGGATCGCGAAACTGGAGCGCTTGGTGGAAAGCTTTCAAGGAGAGGAGCCCAATCCCACTTCCAGTAATGGATCAATCTCTCCCAAGGACGCCGAGAGTTCATCGTCGCCACCACTCCGTTCCCGCACATCAGATGCTTGCAGTGCCACTAGTCCAGCCTCGCCAAACACCACCAAATACATCGCTGGAACTTTCTGGCATTCGTTGACGGCTGAAGTGCACGCGCTCCGAGAAGCTTTCGACGATGACGAAGAAGGAAGTGACGCTGAAGCCGAGTCTTCGGACCCCAGTCCAGCGTCACAACCTCAGCCGTTCGATCCGTACAATGCAGCCGCAGCCGGCTATGAGTTGCTCCTCTGTCCGCCCGGTTCCGTGTTCGTCATGCCTGGTGCGCTGAACGATCCTGACGATCTCCAAGCGGAGGCTCTATGGCAGGTTTTCCTCGAGCACGTTGAGCCGGTGTACAAATTCCTCCACGTGCCGACACTCCGCGCATTCATGGAACGCGGCGAGCCGTTATATGGCCAGGATGCGGAATCCCTCTGCAACAAAGCGCTCAGAGCCGCGATCTATTTCGCCGCTGCGGTGGCGATGACGGAGTCGGAATGTCAAGTCTACTTCTCCAAACCACGAGATCAAGTCGTTTCCCACTTCCGGAAGCACGTCGACCTCGCGCTCCACGCGGCGGACTCGTTGAACACAAACGATCTTGCGACTCTACAGGCGATGGGATTGTACATTGTAAGTGGTTTGTTTTAATCTTGGGAAGTTGTCGATTTTAATAAACGTCTAGACTTCGCTCCGAGTCATCGACAGCAGCCGAAGGGCATGGTCGCTGATGGGCTTATTGGTCCGCATAGCCCGTGGATCATATCTCCATCGCGAGATCCCGGGGGAATCGATCTACATAGCCGAGCTTCGCCGTCGTCTGTGGCACAACCTTGTGTTCCTGGACTGCTACTCATCCGTCGATCGCGGTTCGGAGCCGGCCATTCATCCCGACTCATTTTCGCGACTGCCGCCTACGCACTGCAACGATTCCGACTTCGGCCCCGACTCGATCGCTCTCATCCCCCGCGAAGGAGAAGTGACGGACATGACGGTCGCGCGCGTCTCGCAGGAGGGATCGCCGCTGGTCCTCCGCCTGAGCTCGCCGGAGGATGCCGTGAGCAGCGAGACGTGGCAGCAACGGTTGGAGTCCGCATACAATTACCAGCGGAGCATTCAGACCAAGTACCTCCAATACTGCGACCCGGCCGTTCCCCGGCATCTCATGATCTTGGGCATCGGCTACGCCGCCAGTCATTCCATCATCCTCCGGGCCGTCCGACCGATCCACTGCAGCCCCACGAGCATCCCACCCCGCGTGGACAGTCCATGGGTCCTGCAGCTGGCGGTCAACATCCTCCGCCACTGCGACCGGGCCACGAACTGCGGCAAGCTCGATGGATGGCGGCTCATGCCTTGGGTGCCATGGCACGCCATCGCCGTCGCGCTGGCGGGCCTCTGCTCGATCCGAGGCACCCCGCTAGCGGACGAGGCGTGGGGATTGGTCGACCGCTCGATGGCGTACAACGCGGCCATGGTCGCCGACAGCCGCAACGGCCTGCTGTGGAAGCCGCTCGAACGGCTCCGCCGGAAAGCCGCCGTGTTTCGGGACCAATCGAGCATGCCGACCGCGCCGCCTTCACAGCCGAACTTCCTCCCCGACATCGACCCCGCCGCTCCCTCGATCCCGGACGGGTCACAGCACCAACGACAACAACAACAACAACAACAAACATTGCCGCCGGGCGACACCATGGCGACCTACGACCTCGGCTTCGACGAGGAGATCCTCCTCCCCGATGCGGGATTCGCGTTCTCCGCGGAGATGCTGTCGAGCCTGCCGCCGGCGGACGCGAGTTGGTTCGATTGGGAGAGCATGGTGAAGGACATGGACGACACGGGGATGAACGGGATGCAGATGGTCTGAAAAGGGAAGAGGAGGAGGAGGGGATCTTTTGGTTGTTTTTTTCTGTCCCTTCATCTTTGAGGGCTGTTTTCGGGCATGATTCCAGGAGACATACTCACCTCTGTGCCATTATATGAGCATTTTCATCGTTCCGACTATGTACCAGGCAATCTACTTCTCCTCTCCTTTGAGCAAAGCAAGAAAAAAGGGGGGAAAGATTAAGTTTTCACGAATGAAGGAATGAAAGCAGTATGAGGGGGGGGAAGGAAAGGAGATCCAAGCTCTCGACTCAATCTCTTCTCTCTCTGTCCCTCTGGCCCTCTGTCCCTCACTCGCCCTCGCCATCGAAATCTAAAAACTCCTCGCCGCACCCCCGTACAGCCGGATCGCCCGGCAGAAATCGCTCACCCCGTTTGTGAACGCCCCCTGCAGGGCGTCCTGGCTGACGTCGATCAGCGCCAACTGCGCCCTCTGCAAGTACGCGATGCCCTCGTCCGCGTCCTCCGCCTGGGCCGGCAGCGGCTCCCCCGCGAGCGCCTGCGGACAGGCGCTCGGGCCCCCCGCCAGGAAGGTGTTCCGCAGGTAGAAGTCCAGCGCGCGCCCCGTCGAGCTGTAGTCCGTGGTGACCTGCTGCTGCGAGAGCGTCGCTTCGTGCGCGTAGTCGGAGATGACGTGCAGGATTTGGCCCTGGAAGGATTGCAGCGCGGTTTGGATGGAGGCCGGGAAGGAGGTGGGTCCGCTGGGTGGGGCGGTCGCGGTGGTGGTGCTGGTGGGTGCGGAGAGGACGCCGGTGGCGGAGAGGAGGGTGGTCAGGAGGATGGGTTTGGGGGAGAGCATCTTGGGTGTTTCAGTTCTTGAGTTTCTGTGGGTTGTTGGGATTGCTTGGTCGGGATCGAATTGATCGGGGTGGTTTTGTTTTTCTCTTGTTCGGCCTGGGATAGGACGGTCTGTGTGAGAGAGAGAGAGAGATGTATGTGGTCGATGGAGAACGGCCCTTCGTGTTCTGCTCTGATGTCGGACTCCTGAAGGATGTGATATATATCTGAGCGTAGCGTGGCGTGGCGTCGTTGACGGAAATCCACTCTCGAGGCAGGGCGGTTCCAGCAAGCAAGCAGCGACGTTGACTATATATAATCACCATGGATTACTCCATCGCCTGCTGGAGAACTATAAATAAGAGTGAGAGAGGCCAGCGCTAGTGGTCTTCCATCCCATGTCACCATTCCATTCGCATATGCAGAAGGCGCGCGAGTCCAAAAGTCAAGCTAAACAAGAGATCGTCGGCCGACGACCGTGCCGGCGGCGAAGCGAGAGAGAGCCCTTTGCGCCCGTTTGCCCCCCTCCACCTGCCTAAATGCAGGTGCATCACTAGGCGGCGAGCAGCGACCGCTCGCTTAAATCTGTATAATGACGATGTCGCATTGCTCCATTCATGGGAAGAGATGAACGGGTCGCCTGCAATACTACTGCTACTTTCCGCCTTACAGTATTTGCTTTTATCCGTCAATCTCAAGCGCTCTGCGGCGATGACGACGAGGAGGACGTTTTTGCTTTGTCTGCCGATGGTGCTACTACCCATTAACGAGAGCCGTATATACGCACGACGAGGGTTTGGATCAGTCTGAAAAAAAGCTCCCGATCGGAGATGCAATGAACTCATTTCGCGCAAATTGGTACCAAAATCGTATATACTTTCAATGGTAGGGGGTATTAAATTCAATGCTACACACATGCAATGCAGTAGAAAAATGCGACTGGTCTTTTCATACACATGTTTCGAATTCCCAAGGTTTTCCTCATCGTCAACTCGTGAGTCGTCATCCTCATCGCCTTGTGGTCTAGCTATGCCCGGCCTGCGAAAAACCACTCCCTTTTGCACAGCCAGTAGAGATTGACGTTTTACCGTCCGACCGGAAACACGTTCCTCATCGTCCGCTTCCAGGCCGGTATCCGTCGGGCTTCCTCCGCGTCGGGATCCATGGGCGCGGGTCGAGGGCCCAGCATTGCGAGAGCGCGCTGCCGGGCCCATTCCCGTCTTCCGTTGGGATTCGACGGCGGGGCGGCGCTCGCGTGGTCATTGTTCGGGGAACTCGTGTGGTGCTGCGGTTGGCCTGGTGAAGAAGAAGAAGGCGGGAGCATGTCCGTCATGGGCTGGCCGAATTCGTGGTCTTCGTGGCTGAGGCTGTCGTTCCGGGTCCGAGCGCGGCGGAGTTGGGAGAGGCGGGAATCGACCCGGTGCTGCATGCGGCCGTAGAAGCCGTGGAAGGTGTTCGATCGGGACAGACCGGGGAGGTTGCCGTCGTGGGATCCTCCGGGGTGCTGGTGCTCGCTCCCGTCGACGCGTTCTCGGATGCGGCGTACTATGCGTTCCCGGCGCACCATGGCGTTCGTGACCAGACGAGGACAGTAGCCGCGCGGGAGAGCGCTCTTCTTGCACATCGGACAGAGGCTGCTGCTGCTGCTCAGAAAGGCGTCGACACATTCCGGGTGGAAGATGTGTTGACATGGAAGTTCCCGGACTATGGTGGCGGGGATCCCTTGAGCGGGTTGCGCGGCGACGAAATCATCGAGACAGATGGCGCAGGTGGGTTGTGAAAGCGGCGAAGGACTGAACGAGCTCGTGTACTGGTTAGCAGCTCGCTGTGTCGGATTTGCCTGGTTGGCCGAATTCGATGCTTCGTTGCTCTCGGATTTCTCCTCGACATGGGTGACCGCAGTCTTTGGCGGAGACGGGCGGATAGGAGCGGTGCTCCCGTATGCGTATAGCGGCATGTTATTCAGTACGTCTTGCGGGACGGTGAGCCGCTTGATACCAAGGGCCTCCAGGTCCACTTCGCCATTGGCAACACGACGTCGTAGAGACTGACGCCTTCGTCGCTGTATGTATTGCATGATCAGGATGGTCAATGCGACAATCGCGAGCAAAATTCCGAGTACTATGATCAAGAAGACCCAGAGGGATGGATATGTGAAGGGTGGTTCTAAACACGATCAGCCACCATGACACATCATCCCATCGCGGCGATTTGGCTGCACTTACCGATGAGTACGCGCGAGGCCAGGCGAACGTAATCTCGAGCATCGTACAAAGTGCTCAAGTTTGACCCGTAGGGGGCTTGCGTCAGGTTGCCACTGTACTGCCCGCTCGCACGGGCGATCCGAACACCATCGAGGCCACTGATGGCCCAAACCGGGTACTTGTTGTCCCTCATCCATGCGCCATTGTCGCCGAGGTCCCAAGCGGACGAGTTGGCATCAGGGGGCGACATGGTACTATTCGTAGGAGGGAAGAAGATGAAACCCCGGATGGGATCTCCTCGGGCGGCGGCGAAGTAGTTCAACGTGCATTGTGAGCTGATCCAGGGCGCCAGGCCGATGAGGTCGATGAAAGAACTCGAACCGGGCAAGTTTGCTTGTCGGGTCACGTTGGCCGGGATATATGGCGCACTCAGATTGTTGCAAGGATCATCGGACGCCAGATTCGGCACATAGAGATAACCGGTGACATCGGAGCCGTCCGTACCGGTGGTGGACAAAGTCACGATGCTTTCGGACGCGAAAGCGAAGGATATTGAGGGATCCACGTCGGTGGGTCTGGTCTGGTCCGATGGCGAACGATAATCGGGATTAGGAAGGTCGACGGCTCGGACGACCAAGCCACCGGCGGCTATCGATTGTTCGGTCAGCATGGAGGAACGGAACCGTTCTGGATTGTCGCGATCTGTTGCAATGGACTTGGGTGGCCAGGACCAAATTATTTCCATCAGAGGGAAGGGTGGGTTGATGACATACTACTCATTTTCGCTGACCGCGGATTCGCAGTTATGGTGGTCCCTCACAAAGGACGAGCTCGATGGGCGCGGATGGCGAAGGATTCCGTCTGGGAGGATTGCGCACGGAGGGGAGTGGGCGCGAAAGAATTATTACTGTCGGAATGGATCCATGATGTTTGGGTGAAGATAGCATACGATCATGCGTCTCCCAAGTGTAGGGCGATTTGTAGTCCTGGACTGCGCGATCAGTAGCGTGGTCGAGGCGGGATATGGAGGATCCGGGGAAGATGGTCAAGCTGGAATGATGAGAGGACAAGACTTGAGGCGCAAAGAGGAGAGAGAGAGAGAGAGAGAGAGAGAGCCAGCGAGGAAGGGTCCTGCAGGTGGCGGCAGTGGTGGTGGTGGTGGTGGCGTTGACGTGTGTGTGCGTCCAGTCCGGATCTCTCAAGCGGGAGGGAGATACCTCTGTTTGTAGATACTCAGTATGTACTGGAGTCCCGCTGTTGAATACTGCAGCTGTACCGGAGAACAGTAGACCGTACTCATCCAGTCGATAATTATTATGTCCGTCACGCCTGAACGATAACGAGAAGAACAATAAGAATAATAAGAATGATAACAACGAGCAGAGGAGGAGCGTGCGCGCAGGGATGGATGATTGATGATATCACCTGGAGATGATGATTTGCAGCAGCGCCCGGCCGTGGTGGAGAAGGAGGGATTGACCACCGCAAATCTTCTTCTCTTCGGCGATGACGGCAGGGAGCGATAGAAGCACTGCACTAATCATAAGGATGGGTAGCGCCCGAAGAAACGGTCCCATCAAGCAGAGAGTGTGCGTATACTGATCACCAGGAGAGGGAAGGGGGAGAAAACAACCAATTGATGACGACGGAGGGGGAGTCCAGGCAACTTTTGAAGTCATAGGACCGAGAAATCAGTGAACAGCGGGGCGCAACCGTCGAAACAATCCAGTGATACTGAAGACTCAGTCCAGTCCAACATCGGGCTGGAGGTCGCCCACAGTTTCACCCTTTCTGGTTGTTCGATGGGCGGCTCCTGCTGCTGGCTGCTGCTGCTGATATTGATGGGATCTCCATGGTGGTATCCTTCCAAGCTCACCTACGTATTTTATCATTGTATTACTTTATTATGATGATGCTATTGCTGCAGCTTATCTTTTTGTCCGCGCGGCCATTCTACGACACAACAAGTACACCACTTATTCGGCACAAGAAGTGCTGCTGGATACAATGCCGGAATGGTGACATATCATGGACCGCGACGACACTCCTCTCGCAGCACACACTGTACCGGAGAGTGTATTCAACCGCGACAACCAAAATCCCGAATGGTTCCAAGGTTGTCACATAAGGTTCGGACAGTCCACACATGTCCAAGTCGGTTCTTGTCCCTCGCCCATGTTTTCAACACGCGTGCGAGACCTGGGCGGATTTTGACTTCGAAGGGTGAACAGCTTTCAGTCGCGCCACTCGGTCTCATGTGCCATTGACCTTGTTCAGGTGAGGTCCAAAAATCCCCGTCGAGGATCATCAACATCCATGGGTTATTGCTAGCCTTCAGGGCGTGGCTGAGACATCCGGTTGCTCAAACTGCAGGTGGTCTCGGCACAAGCCCGCTTTGGAGGAGACTCACTGCGGCTGAAACCAGTCCTCTCCGCCATTTCCGTCACCGTGAAGAAATGTTCCCATTGCTGAGGAGTGGTCAACACTTCAATATTCAGGACAGTGCCTGTATTGAACCGCAGCCAGATGTAGTGGACATCACGCCGCACTCTAATCACAAGAATAGAAGTGCTCGTGCGATCGTCGGCCAGCTACTGCGAACCCTTCTCTCTCCACATTGTGATTAGTCGTCCCGTTGGATTTCACATGCAGCAGCAGCAGCCGCCAGCTGAAATAGACCCGATGCGCCCGAGTGCATCCCCCCAAACTGTGCCGCATCGAATTCTCAGCCTCCAGCTACCCATTCACCTACTGTACTATTTATACAGCATACAGTATATAGTAGCTATTTCCTGCCTGTAGTTATTTAGATACATACATCGAACTTCATCTCGCATCGCAGCACATTGGAACTCTACCCACATCCACGGACGTCACCGAATGATACACGCCCACGACAACGATGGATGACAGCAGCAATGACACCTCCCACTCGTTCGTCTCATCGCCAGCCTGTCTCGCCTCGTGAGGCACTTTCTCGACCCGCCTGATTCACATCATCATCAACCGTCACTGCCCGAAAAGCCCTCTCTCCACTACCCGCGACAACGACAACAACAACAACAACCACCACCACCACCATGTTCGCCCTCCCGCAACGCACGCGCATCATCGTCCTCGCAGCGATCGTCCTGATAGTCACCGTCTTCTTCCTGGTCGCATCATCACGTCACTCCCGACTCCCCGTGTCTCTCTCGATCATCCCTGGGCGTTTCGGCTCGAGGACCAGCACATTGGATCAAGTCTTCAATCAGACCCTCGGGGTATGTTTTGCTAGTAGGGAAACCCACGCCCTTGGTCTTGGCCGTTCAAGGTCGCGGGTTTTCACGTGACTGCTTGTCCGCTAATTTTGCTTACCGTGGACCTTCTGTGACAGTTTGAGAGAATCTATGCCATCTTTCTCCCCGCCCGCACCGACCACCGAGATGCCATTGCCCTCGCGGCCGCTTTCACGGCCCTGGACATTGATCTCGTCGATGGCGTTGATGGGAGTTCGGTTCCATCGTCCGCTCTTCCGCCTGATGCCGCTGCCGCGAACCTCGAACCGGGCTCGATTGGATCATGGCGTGCACATCTCAATGCACTCCGGACGTAAGTCGTCGGAGGTGGATCTGTACAGTGACGGTTGCTAATAGTACCCAGCATCGTGAAGCAGAACATCTCCACGGCGCTGATCTTGGAAGGCGATGTGGATTGGGACATCCGCATCAAACAGCAAATGCAAGACTTTGCGCGAGCATCGCGTATGCTCGTTCAGCCCCTGAGCGGGAGCAACGACGAGGGATTCCTCGATCCTACCTACCCTCGACCAGCCCCTGGACAGGATCCTTCAGATTTCATCGTCGGACGAGAGAAAGTCCGAGATCCAATTTCGTCACCGTACGGCGACGTGGACAGATGGGATGTGCTATGGCTCGGTCACTGTGGCGCCGAACTCCCAGCTGCGGATGAATACGGCAACGCGCCCCTCGCTCGCATCCTCCACGAAGACGACGAGACCGTCGCCGAACCACAACATCTCGAACCCGAATGGGGCTCCGACGACTACAAAACGCAATTCCCCCCTCACACCCGCGTCACCAGCAGGACCCGCAAAAACGTCTGCTCCCTCGCCTACGCCGTCACCCAACGCGGCGCCCGGAAGCTCCTCTACGAGATCGGCCTCCGCAGCTTCACCGCCAACTTCGACCTCCTGATGCGCCACGTCTGCGACGGAGCCGAAGGTCGCACCATGGCCACCTGCCTGACCGTCCAACCGCCGCTCTTCGAACATCATCGCCCCGTCGGCCCGAATTCCCGCGTCAGCGATCTGGCGGAACACACAGGCTACACCGAGGAGGCTTTTACGATCAACATCCGCTGGAGCACGCGGGTGAATTTTGCGAAATTGGCAATGGGAGAGACGGATTATATTGACACGCTGAAAGATGGCGAGCCGGCCGCCCATAAGGCTGACTCGAAGGGTCCCTGAGTTTGGACGAGAGCTGCATTGGAGATGTGCCATGGTTGTAACATAGGAATCACTCAGCAGCGACCATTTGGGATTACATAATCGTGGACCCCTAGTCTGCACATGCGACGCACAGCTTTGATAGACATCAATCTCATTGCATCATACACCTGCACGCTTCTCACGATCAAGCTTTGCTCCTACCATACGAACAGTCCCGATGTCGAAGAATCCCACGACGACTTCTATGACATGACCAGCAGGAACATAATCCATCCGATCCAAGCCACGATCCGAAATTCCCACCTCTCTCGCCCCACAAGCCATCCCACCGCACCGTCTCCACCGACGGCGATCGCCAACCACCGTCCGATCCACCACCAACGACACAGACCGACGATCCCACTAGATCCCGAGACCATGACCCCCGGATCCTCCCCGAACAGCGATTCCGCTCCGCCCGCCACCATGGCCGCGACCCTCTCGGCCACATTCCAGGACCAACCCCTCTCATCGCACCCGAGCCACTGGGACTCGCTCTGGCGCTCGCGCACCACCCCCTGGGACCGCGGCGGGTCCAGCGTCGCCCTGCAGGACGCCATCGCCGAGCACCCGGCGCTCTTCGACCGACCGCCAGCAGCAGCAGCAGCAGCAGCAGCATCCGATCCTCCCCGACCGCCTCGGAGGAAACGCGCGCTCGTCCCGGGCTGCGGCCGCGGCTACGACGTCCTGCTCCTCGCCTCGCTCGGCTACGACGCCTACGGGCTGGATTCCTCGGGGGCGGCGATCGCGGCGGCGAAGCGACACGCCGCGGAGAACCCCCTCCCGTCCTCTCCTCCCTCTTCTTCCGCCGAGGAAGGGACCACCCCCGGGGCGGCCGAATTCCTCGAGGGGGATTTCTGGTCGGACGCATGGCTCGCGCGAACCGCCACGAGCCTCCCTCCGTCATCGAAGGAAGAAGGACAGGTCCCCCAGCACTTCGATCTCATCTTCGACTACACCTTCCTCTGCGCGCTGCCGCCCTCGGCGCGGGGGGCCTGGGCCGCGCGGATGAAATCGCTGCTCCTCCCGCGGGGCGGGAGACTGGTCTGTTTGGAGTTCCCCCTGCATAAGCCCGCGGGCGCGGGCGGGCCGCCGTTCGGATTGAGCGAGGAGATCTACGTCGGGCTGTTGACGGGGACGGAGACGGACGGGGCTGGAGAGGGGGCAGGGCCGGAGTTGACGAGGTTGGGGAGGTGGCGGCCGCGTCGCTCGCATGAGGGCCAGCAGGGGAAGGACTATATCAGTGTTTGGGGCTACGCGTGAATGGAAACCCTCAAGGGGATGTGGAGTGGCACTTGGGTATTGATTCGTTCATTCCGTTCGTTCGTTCGTTCGTTCGTTCGTTCGTTCGTTCGTTCATCCATTCATTCATCGTCTAAAGAACTGTGGTATCATAAGAAAAAAATCCCGTTCCTCCTCCTCTCCTCCTCCTTCTCCCCCCTTACCAGGAGACACCCCGCCCAGTCCTCCGCAAGGCTCGTGAACCATCAGCCCGCAGCGCGCAGAAGGGGACGAAATGGGGGTTTCAACCGTCCCAAATAAGCCTCCCTGTGTTCCCCTCTGAGGGTGAAAAAAAGAACGCCAGATCCATGCCCCCCTCCCCTTTTTTTCATCGCCACTCGCATAGAAAACCTCCAATTTCCGAAGAAAAAAGAGAAATGATAGAGAGAAAAACGGGGGAAAGCAAAATTACAGCCCACCTTTCTCCAGATCCCTCCCGTCGCGCGGCCTCGAGACCTGCACCTCGACCCCCTCTCCCTTCAGCCTCTCCGCCTCGGCGGCCGCGAGGGCCGCGCGGTCGAGTTTCCTCCGCTCCTTGCGGTCCTCGCGGCGGCGCTCGAGCTGCATGGCGCGGATGAGGGAGGACTTCTCGCGGATGCGGCGGCCGTAGCGGTAGAAGACGAAGGGGATGGGGATGCAGACGGCCTCGAGGAGGCCGAGGAGCGTGCCGGCCCAGTTGGCGCCGAGGGCGGCGTAGAGGGCGGGCCCGGCGAGCGGCAGCACGGCGCCCATGACGGAGCGGGCCACGGCGTTGCCGGCCAGCGCGGACGCGGCGTAGATGTTGTAGGACTGCACGAGGTAGTTCGTCGCGTAGATGAAGACGCCGGCATTGCCCATGCCGAAGGGGATCTGTTGGGGTTTTGGACGTCAGATGGGCGTGGGAGTCCGTTTTGGCGGGGGGGATGTTGGTGAGGGGGAGAAGGAGACACTTACGCCGGCCAGGATAGGGAAGATCCAGTGCACGTTGGGCGTGCAGGTCCAGGCGAAGATGATCTCGCCCGTGGGGATGAGGATGGCCGCGACGCAGACGATGCTGACCATGGCTTCGGGGTAGGGTTTGCCCGTCTCCGGGTCGAGCGGGTGCGAGTTGATGATCCTGCGGCAGACCGGCTCGAGGGAGATGGTGGTGAGGCAGCCGACGCCGATGCCGAGGAACGCGAGGCCCGTGTTGCTCGAGGACCAGCCGCGGATCTCGGTGAAGACGATGGGATACGCGACGAAGCATAGCTGCGGAGGGGAAGTCGCGGTTAGTACCTTCCACTCGGTCTTTCGTAGCTTCAGGGGCCGGGCTTCTCTCAGAAAAACGTACATAGAGGATGCCATAGACCAGCGCGATGTACAAGTCCCAGAAGATACTGGATTCAGGTCAGCGGATATGAACTTCCGAAGAAAAAAATAGACGGTATCGGGCTTACCAAATCGGTTCCGTGACGGTCAGAACGAAAGGACGAGAGAGGTTGACCTTGAGCGCAGGGAGGAATTCCTCCTTGTCGTCGAACCGACACCAATATCTGTCATCGTTGGATTCACGGCGCTTCTTCGCGGTCAGGCGCCGCAATATGACAGGTGCGTACGTCTCCGGAACGATGATCTGCATGACGAGACCCACAGCGGAGCCGATGAGGACGACCCAATTCGTCCATCTTCGAGAGAGAGAAAAAAAAAGGAATCACAAGTCAGCCTCACAAAATCTCAACGCGCGACAAGGCTGTCGTGAAGAGGCCTCTCCACCGTCCAGACTCACCTCCAACCCAACAGCGCAGCAAACCCACCGATCACCGGTCCGAGCACCGGGCCGTTGATGGGCCCTACGCTCCAAACGCTGAACGCCAGAGCACGGTAATCCTCGTCGACGATATCATTCACGGAACCGGGCGCATTGCTGACCAACGCACTCGCACAGAAAGCGCCGAAGAAGCGGATCACCAGGATGGTCGTGATGTTCGGCGCCACGGCGCAGCCCACGACGAAGACCAAGAACAGGGACGTCGCAACGATGTAGATGAGCCGTCGGCCGTACATCTCCGACAGGGGCGCGAGGACCACCGCGCCGGCGGCCAGGCCGCACAGATAGGTGGTGACGCCGAGGATGCCGGTCTGCTTCGAGATGCCCCACTCCTCTTGCATGCCGGGGATGGCGGAGGTGTAACTCGAGGAGTAGAGGACCACCGCGGTGGTGCTGTAGCTCATCATGGAGATGACGAGGCATTTGAAGGCGAGGGACCAGTTCTGCGGGTTGCGTTTGTCGTCGGGGCCGGTGAAATCGACCTCGAAGGCGGGATCTCGACCGTCGTAGTTGGTGGAGGAGGCGGCGCTGCGTCGGGAGATGGTGGGTGTGAGACGGTTGGGGACCACGCCTCCGATCGCTCCGGTATGTGATGTCTGGGAGATGTGTCGGGAGAGAGCGAGTTGATCGGCTTCTTTCTGCTCTCGAGTGGCGATCGGGCCGGGTCGGATGGAATTGGTATCGTCGTTGGAGTTGGTGGAGACGTATGATAGGGATTCTTCAATGGTCATGGTCGAGTGGCGGCGATCCGATACGGTCATGGCCTTGTCCGGAGACTTTTCGATGCTTGAGTCTGCCATGGTTTGTTCGGCGTGAACCAGCACAGAGGGAATTGGCTCTTAGATCGTGTGCAGGAATGCTTGATAGCCCTCGAAGAGGTTTGTACTGTATGTGGATTGAAAGAAGGCCACAGGTGGCAAGTGATATATATGTATATATATATATATATATATATATATATATGGGATCAACGATGGACGGTGAGGTCGCCTCCGACCAAACAGACGCTCAAGTCACGAAAAACAGAAACACCAATCGTCGGGGAGCAAGGGTGAGAAACATTCGCAGCGATCATAGCAACGACGACGACGACGACGACCATATGAAAAGGCATGACTGGCGAGCGCGAGTCATAATGAGCAACACATGGGCGACACCCAACCGGCGTGGATCGTCTGGGAAAAGGCCCGACATTGGCATAGGATTTCTGGCGGCGGCGGTAGTGGTGGTGGTGGTGGTGGTGGTGGTGGTGGGTATCGGCACTTCGAGCCGGGAAGCTTCTTCTACAGCTACCTGCAGACGGACAGACAACACTCGACCATTGGCGGCGGTAGAAGAGTGGCAGAGGATATCGACCTTACTATTCGTCCCAGGAAGGTGATCCGCCTGATCATTGGCGGCGATGCATCCGGCGGCGGGAACATTGAAGGGCGCGGGCAAGGGAAAAAAAAAAAAGACTGCCCAGGTGGAGCCCATGCCATACAAGTGCGGTAACGTCGTAGTGGGCTGGCTGGTCCATGTGCAGCAGGTGGTAGCCCTGGAGTGTACCCGGTCGTATAGTATAGTACTGTAGTAGAGGATACCCAGGTAGTAGTATAGTAGTAGTATAGTATAGCATTAGTATGCGGTGGGCTGGATCGTGACCACCTGCAGGTGGGTGTGCAGTTTGCAGGAAAGTCCAACATGACAGCTTCATCACTTCCCCGGTAGCCGCGCCCGCCCTAGTCGCCAAGCTACATCAGGTCAAGCCCCGAGCGCGGGATTCCAAGTCGCAGGCGATGATGATGACCATGGTGGATGGTGATGAAGAGGTCGTTTCATCGAGGCCGGTTCCGCTCCTTCGCCATCGTACGGGTGGAATGTTTCCGCGCGGCGGGGCGCAAGGGATGTCGACGGACTTCAGAGACTTCAGCGCTCTAGTCTGGCTCATGACTACTTTGCGGCATTCTCTCGATCATGGATCATGGAGTGGACATCGCAACAGTCTCCTCATTCAACTGCGGTCGTCCTACGGTGCATGATGCATGACGCACACTCCATACGTTTGCTGCAGCGGAGGAAAGCTTATCGTCATGACAATTGGAATCAATTCACCACCGTAGACAATAATGATGAACGACGGATGGACAGCATATGCAGCACATGTGCCTCACCTTCCTGCTGCATGAGGCAGGCCATTCCCGTCTCAACATCCTGAGAGCTGTCGTGGATGTGATGACGGACGAGATGCGCAGTCGGTGAAGTTTCTTCAGAGATCGCTCGCATTCGCTCAATCTAGCGCCGTTGTTGAGATAACCAATTGATCTTCAGAGCGACAGCAGGATCGGTGTTGAGTCAGGCCGGTTTCCAAATAGTCATGACGATCACAGGACTATTGATCATCATCATCATCACCAGCTCCCCAGCTCCGGGTCACGAACCGCGGCGGGCGGTCGGGCCGGCGGCGGTGAAGACAAAGCTAGACGACGACGTCTGGGAGAGGAAGCTACAAGGTTTCGTCAAACCACCAGGGTCATAAATCCCGTAGAGCACACCTGCAGACTCCCATCGCGGAGCTCCCTGCACTGCTGCAAAGGAGGGAAGGTGCAGGTGTGGATCACACGGGGAACATGACTGGGGATCCCGGAGGCTGCTCTGTAGCTGGCTGCCAGACGGGGGGATAGAAAAGGGGATGTGGCAATCCTCCGCCATTGTTCAGCTACTGTATGACTCTGGGAGGATGAGCGGCGCAGGACTGGACGACTGCACCCTCGTCTTGGACATGCAGTAAATCTGAAGTTACGGATAATCCCTCATCCGTGGGTTGCGTTGGGCAGTACACCTAAGATATCATCGTGAGGAGTCACGGCCTCGTATGTTCGTGTTGAGCAGGCAGCGGAAGGCGCTCCGCGTGGGAATTCGTCTCGATCTGGGGGCTGACAGCCTGTGGCGTTTTGGCGGGGTCTGCCCTGTGGGTTCCAGTGGTGTGGACGGAATGAATCGACGGAATTTGCGGGCATCTCTCCAGCCCTGGACGGCCTTCTGCTGTACATGGATAGGGAAGAGGATTGCTGCACTTTCGTACTCCTCGCCGTCTACAGGTCAGGATATCTGCATTCCACAGGCGTATCGGGAGTCCTCAACGGAAAGACCTGTGAGGGGGAGATTTTCACACCACATTGTTGAACACGGACGACCCCGATGGCACAACGCGCCGATGATGACTCCCGCCGCTGTGCCGAGTGTAACCATTCCCGAGATCCCCACCAGCACCTGGGGCCTTTTCTCTCTTCCCTCTGCTTCGGGTGAGGCTCTGTAGCAAATGCCGCATGATGGAGGAAATTTTCCTACACTCCCACGGACTCGGAAGGATTTCTTTTTCCTTTTTCGGTGCCCGCCAAGTCATCCACGTGTGCCGATCTGCCGGTGCAGAGGGCCCGACTTTCTCACACTCTCTGGCAGCAGCCGGGCGGAGGGACACACGCACACGGAAGCTCGTCCGACGACAAGCGCGGAAGGACAGTCGTGGCTTTGGGATTCATTTTCGCGGTGTGAGCACTTCTTCGTAGGATCTCTCTGATGTGGCTCATGATGCAGTAGTTGTCAAAACGAGGCACGTCTTCGCTCTGCTCACTTTGTGTGCCAATAATGGACGTCCATAAATATATTGTTCGCCAGAACGAGCGGACGTCATCGTGGAGTGACGACAAACTTCGCTGGGGCTGGACTGGGACCTGGGATGAGGACTGTCCCGCAAATGTACAGTGGCTGTCCGATCCTGTGAGGCGACGAGCTGCTAATAACATATCACATCCTCTATCACTCTCCAGTACGAGTTCCTCGTCACTCGACGGGAGAGCGGAAGGATTTCTCTACAGCATGTCGGAGTTTGCTTTGCACAGGGAAACCCGACAACCCAAACCCTAGCCGACGATAGGGTCCGGCGAGATCGGCGAATGGGAGAAGAAGCAGGAGTTCTCAGCGGACTCCATTGACCCGTCCTGTCCTGTTCAACTTCCTGATGATCATCTATGGACAGATACGCCCGTCGAATTAGGAACATATACACGCTGTTGTAGCAAAGTGGAGTGAGGTCATCATCCCAGACTGACCGATAACAACATCAAAGGTGGTATATCCCGCAGGAAGGGAAACTCCCAAAGCTCGATGATAAAGTGGGAAATCCACGCATATCCTCGCAGACGATGAGCATTTGCGAGCGACGACAGGATGAACTATCACGCAACACGACGGTATTTAGTCTCGCACCGATGTCGCAGTCCAGTAGTTTCTCGCGGTGCTGGGATACAGACTGGTGAAGATTGGCACCTGGGCGGGTAATCATCATCAGCAATCTGGCAGCCGTATACGAACAGGGTCATGAGGAGAGATGCGACATTTGAAATTCAATTTGAATTATGATCAAGCCAACAAACATCATTCAAGTCACGCGATCTTTTCTCGATATGCAAGACTGGGCCGTTTAGTCGACGCGAAGTGAAGTGCATATGATGCGTGCAAAGAGAGAGCGAAAGAGATGTTCCCATGTCCGTGCCAGGCCCGTCGGCGTTGCAACGGCCATACGCCCCCGCACGGCATAAGCCCGTGTTCCACCTGGCGGGAACAGTCTCGACGCCCGAGAGAGAGAGAGGAAGAGAATCGATGAAACGGCCGTGGCGCAAAAACGGCCCCTGTTTCGCCCTTGTCTCTGCCCCGGACCGTCCCATTCAATAATTCCCTGGACCGTCTGACTGATGTTCAGTGAGGACAGAGAGAAGTGGGAGCTCGCATTTGCCGAGCCGAGGATGGATGGTTAAAGCTGTGCAAGCTCGGGCTAAGCCCTTGGCCTCTACTCGACTTTCGCGCGCGCTCTGCAGAACCAGGCTGGTCAATGCCCGGGCCAGCATGGCAACGCACGTATGGTCGTGTGAGGTCGTGGTGTCAAGAGACGCATTCGATGCGTGGGAGAATGATTTCATTGCACTGCTCGAGGGGTTGTTTCACGTTGGGTTCCATGGGAATGTTTGCAACGTCCGTGGTTGGAGGACACACCAATCTTTTTCGAGTCCAGCGGGTTGAGTGGACTGCAGCAGACAGAGGTGAGCGGGATGGTCTGCTGGTCGCAACCCGCACATACAGGACGTAGATCATGGTATTCATCATCACTGTAAAATGAATGGCAACGTTGATCCTGCAGTCCTACAGTTCATCGACCTGAATGCATGACCTGACACGGAGCGGCGGGACGTGAAGAACATGTGGTTGCCGGCTACCGACGCCCGAAGTCGCGAAATTGTGGGGGAAAGGCTGGATTATGGCCGATCACACGCGCGCGAAACGAAACACACGCATCCATGATAACCGAAGAAAATAATATTGGCCTTGGTTACCAGACCCAGTCCGCTCTGCCTCTGCGGAATTGGACCTCGGACAATTGACGAGACGCCCGCCCGTTTCCTGGGTCAGGTTCATGTACAGGACAGGACAGGACAGGACAACAGCAATGGGCCGGGTTGGATTACTCTACTGCATTGTATTCATCACAGTGCCGCTGCATTGGACCCATCACCACCACCACCAGGCGGGAGGTCAATTGCCCTTTTTTTTTTTTTGTTCGTCGCCGTTCCCCTCCTCGTCCGGCCGGTTAGAGTGTACGCGGGCGGCGTTGATCATGAGGCGCATCGGCGTTGATCGGTCGTGGCCCATGTCTTTGCCGGGTCGACGAACAACATCCCACTGCTGAGATGCATGGGCAAACGAGTTTCACATGGCAATGAATGCTTTCTGCCCACCACACATCGCTCGTTTCTCGGCCGGCCCTAAGTAGACCTGACGAACCGTTCCCTTCCTTGACTCCCCCGCCGGCCTATACGCTATACAATTCTTAATTGCCGGTGCTGTGTACTGTACAATCGCGCTGTTGGACTGTAGCCGGAGAGGTAGTCCAGTCTCGAGCATAGTCTCGATCTCATAAACACTTCCCATCTCCCACATCTCTCCTCCCGTCTTCTCCTCTTCGATCCTCTTTTCCTCATCTCTCCTCTCCACCAACCTCTTCTCACCCTCACCACTCTACTCATTCACGTGAGCGAGTCTCTCAATCATTCAAACTGGCCGAACGACTGAAGCAGATTGTTTCGTCCGTCTCCTCCGCCCTCACTCCCACCAACTCCACCTCCTCCGTGACCACCAACATCATGAGCGGCGACGCAGAAGAGGCTCAGTTCCAGCAGGAGGTTGCTGAGCTGAAGCAATGGTGGACCGACTCCCGATGGCGCTTCACCCGCCGTGCCTACACTGCCGAGCAGATCGTCTCCAAGCGTGGCACAATCAAGATCGAGTACCCCAGCAACCAGCAATCCAAGAAGCTGTGGAAGCTCGTTGAGGGCCGCTTCAAGGTGAGTTCTGAAGCCAGGCATCTTTTTCTTTTCGTGGAAGAGCCGGTGGGCATTGAGTCTTGAGAAGGATTCCGATCCCACAAGTTCGAATGGAGCACAAGAACAAAGAGACGCAGAGCAGCGAAACTGACTTGGAGTTTTCCCATTCTCAGGAGGGTACCGCCTCGGCCACCTACGGTTGTCTTGACCCCGTCATGGTCACCCAGATGGCCAAGTACATCGACACCGTCTACGTCTCCGGCTGGCAATCATCCTCGACCGCCTCGACCTCCAACGAGCCCGGTCCCGATCTTGCCGACTACCCCTACACCACCGTCCCCAACAAGGTCGAGCACTTGTTCATGGCCCAGCTCTTCCACGACCGCAAGCAGCGTGAGGAGCGCCTGAGCGCCGCCCCCAGCCAGCGGGCCAACATCGCCAACACCGACTTCCTCCGACCCATCATCGCCGACGCCGACACCGGCCACGGCGGTCTGACCGCCGTGATGAAGCTCACCAAGCTCTTCGTCGAGGCCGGTGCCGCCGGCATCCACATCGAGGACCAGATGCCCGGCACCAAGAAGTGTGGACACATGGCCGGAAAGGTCCTCGTCCCCGTCAGCGAGCACATCAACCGCCTGATCGCCATCCGCGCCCAGGCCGACATCATGGGCGTGGACCTCCTCGCCGTCGCCCGTACCGACTCCGAGGCCGCCACCCTCATCACCACCACCATCGACCCCCGCGACCACCCCTTCGTCCTGGGCTCCACCAACCCCGCCCTCCAGCCGCTCAACGACCTCATGATCGCCGCCGAGGCCGCCGGCAAGACCGGCGCCCAGCTCCAGGCGGTTGAGGACCAGTGGAACGCCACCGCCGGCCTCAAGCTCTTCCACGAGGCCGTCGCCGACACCATCAACGCCGGCGTCCACGTCGACAAGGCCGGCCTGATCGCCGAGTTCAACCGGCTCGCCAAGGGCAAGTCCAACCCGGAGGCGCGCGCCATCGCCAAGGGCCTCACCGGCGTCGACATCTACTTCAACTGGGACAGCCCGCGCACCCGCGAGGGCTTCTACCGCTACCAGGGCGGCTGCCCCTGCGCCATCATGCGCGCCATCGCCTACGCGCCCTACGCCGACCTCATCTGGATGGAGAGCAAGCTGCCCGACTACCAGCAGGCCAAGGAGTTCGCCGACGGCGTGCACGCCGTCTGGCCCGAGCAGAAGCTCGCCTACAACCTGTCGCCCTCGTTCAACTGGAAGGCGGCCATGCCGCCCAAGGAGCAGGAGACATACATCCAGCGCCTCGGCCAGCTCGGCTACTGCTGGCAGTTCATCACCCTGGCCGGCCTCCACACCACCGCCCTGGTCAGCAACACCTTCAGCAAGGGCTTCTCCGAGACCGGCATGCGCGCCTACGGCCAGCTCGTCCAGGAGCCCGAGATGGAGCAGAAGGTCGAGGTCGTCACCCACCAGAAGTGGTCCGGCGCCAACTACGTCGACGGCCTCCTGCAGATGCTCCAGGGCGGCATCTCCTCCACCTCGGCCATGGGCAAGGGTGTCACCGAGGACCAGTTCCACTAGGTGCCTCCCCTCCATCACCATGGGGGAAGGGCACCTTTCGGGGGAGAGATGAAATGTTGTACGTGTACATGTTGCCCAAGGGCAGGAGGGAGGGGGATCACGGGAGAGATCAGAAAGAGTCGCTCGAGGACACAGCAACGACGGAGACACGACGCGCACGATTCTGCGTCTTGCCCCCTACGGGGACGCATGCTCCGACCGGCGCCGTCGAGTCCCCGTCGCCTGTCCTTTTGGACAACGAACGACCTTGGATGTCACGGTGAACAGCCCGCGCCGAGGAAGGACGAGCAGGAGAGAGGAAAAAAAAGGAAAGAGACAACCCCCCCACCCAAAAAGAACGACGATACCCATCTTCTCTCATCACGCGAGCGAGGCATGGGATCCTCACCACGCCCACTCTCGTCTACTGATTGTTGATGTACGATTTCGGAAACCATAAAAGAAAACCAATAGAAGAAAACAAAAATAACCAATGACTCGAGAAAACTTCACACAAGACTTGCCCTCCACCCCGTCCTCTCGAAAAGTCTTGTCGCTATGAATACCAATGTGCAGTCCTCGTGATTATGATGATGAAGGTTTCCCCCAATTGTGACGGGACAGTGACGATCCCACTTGGAAATATCCGTTCACTCTCTGTGGGGCAAACATCGCAGGATGTATCTCGCGGGTCGGACGGCGTGTCGCGTTGCGCCGCGCTTTCCATGTGGGAGGGACCTCGGCGTTTCGGGGCCCTGCGTCTTGTCTGTCTCTCTCGGACGGAGGGGTTCGGCGGTTTGCCGGCTGCGGCCGCGCCTACTCGTCCATCTCAGATGTTCCACGCCCGCCGATCGATGGGAGGGGACGTCGCGTTGGTTGCTTGGGCAGGTGGTATGTACTGTATTGCAGTTCACGAATTCACTTGTACGAACGCACGTGTATCACGGGATGGGGTTGTACCAAATGCATTCGCCTTGATGGCGTTCTGAAAAACTTCCAAAGCAGAAAGAAAAACGCAAATCAAATCAATCACCACCGGAAAGCGTCCATGAATATCATCACTTTGCGAAGTGCAAGAATCCTCCAGTCTTAGACAAAACGCCTGTCATAAATGCATAAAGTCCCCTTGAGGCTATTCGCATAGCTCAGTCGAGCCACCGGATCAATTGCTCAGCGTATGGGCTAGAAAGAAATGCCACAGTGCCGACCATACCCAGTACAGCACCGGCCGTGACGTGTGATACCTGTGTCGCTACCTTTCGGACAGTAGCACGACTAGGGAGCGTACGCAGACGACGTATCGGACGGCTTGCTTGTGGTTTGAGTTGTCCTTCTTGGGCAACTGCCAGCTTTTTGGTGGCGGGTTCCTCTTGAGCTGTGCTCGCCCTTTCGACATCGCAGTGTTTGCGTTTCTTCTTTTCAAGGGTGTCGATGACCCTCTCCGCCACACTGTCTTGCACCGGTAGTACGTCTGGGTTCTTTGCGACAGTCGCCGTGGTTGGAATGCTCAGATTGAATTCCTGATTCGGCAAAACATCACGGAACTCGATGCTCTCCGGGAAGCTCTCCTGATGAGCGCTGCGAACGGGATCGTACCACTGACCAGAGCTGTGGTTGTGAGTTGTCGGAGGTGTCGGCAGACTTGCTACCAGAGGCGACTCTGTGACTTTGCTTACTAGAGCTCCTGCTTCGGACGGTTCCCATGTTTGTTGATCCGTAAACGCAGGCTCGACGACAGCGTTCTTGAAGGGTTGTCCATCGTACTTCTCAGAGCTCGTGTATACCGGAGCAACGATGCTGTCGGTGTGAATATGCTCATCGCCGGAGTCAGATCCATCGTCGCTCCATGACTGGTCCCTGTCGGACTCCTCTCGGACCTCATCTTGCTCAGGCTCATCGTCAATATCACGAGGCTCGACAATGCTCTGACCTGTACCGTGTACTGATCCAGACTCCGGAAGCGCATTGTGGTATGCCAGTGACTGAGACTGGCCTAGACCCAGGTAAGACTCTTCGATAGACTCCGGGACCACGAGCGTAGCGCCTACTTTGCTTTGCTCTGGCGTGGCCATCTCGTCCTGTCCCTCCGCAAAACTGTGAGAGCTCATGCCGTATATGATGTCCTCCTCTTCGTCTTCGTCCTCTTCCTCGACGAAGTCGGAATCATAGCCATAAGTCGACGGTAAGTGTTCGGATGGAGGCTGGCGATAGTGGTTGACGACTAGTCGCACAGCTTGAAAGTTTTCTGCACGTCGAGTTAGCCGAGAGTTGGAGAATGCAAGTGACGTTGCTCGATGTGAGGTGACGTTCTCACCTTGTCCTCGCAACACTTCGGCGCCCAATTTGATGATATCGCCATCCTGCAGTACGACCTCGTTGCCGTCTGTGAGCTGCTCTTCATTCACCCAGGTCCCGTGTAAGCTCCCTGTATCACGGACGCTGATTTCGCCATCGTTGCAAAGGAGGACAGCGTGCGAACGGGACACCACTGGACAATCGAATCGACAGTTGTTGGAAGACGGCAAGAGCTTGCGGTCCGATTTGGAAGAACGTCCGATTACGATACGATCACCATCGTCCAGATCGATATCTCTTCGTGTCAGCTTTCCCTCACCGAGCAGAGTCAGGCTGAAGCGAGCCACTGAAGACGAGCGAGTCAGCTGGTGCGTTGATTTGCTGGACGTCACCATCGCCTGCGTACTTTGGGATGCCATAGCAGATGACTTGGGAACGATGCTGTTCTGTCGGTCTTGCTTGAATGACTCCTTTGGGTTCGTATCGATGGCGAATTGAAGACAAGCCGAAGCGGTAGGATCACGTCGGAAAGGCAAATCCAGGCAAACTCACAACAGTGGCCAGGTTGGATAGGAAGGATGTCGGAGGTTCAGGTGAAGTGTCACGAAGTTGAGAGGTGGGAGCGACGGTGTAGCGGGGTTGATGGTGAGGAATGAGTATGAGTGAAAGAGAGGGAGAGAGCTATACATATACTCGACCTCTCACGTGAATTGACTGGTACCGGCGGCAGCAGCACTCAGGGTGAATGTAGTCGGCAAAGGTGTCCGACGTGATGTATCTCCTCTGATGGTATTGTCTGCCGGCGCTCAGCGGATGCGAGTGGAACCAGCACACGGTGACTGTGTCCACACGAGCGACTGCCGTTGTAATCGAGGTTGATGCTGACGAGGACACGGGTACGATGAGCAGCGGACGATGCAACTGGAGCTCACTGTCACCGGTGAACAAGTAACGATGGATGGATGAGTTGATGAGCCGGTGAGTCACTCGGGCTTGGAATCACCTTACCTTGGAAGCTACTACAACTGAATGCTGGAATGCTAGGAAGGCGAGTAGATAACGACGCCTGCTGTGAGATGGTGTAGTAATGTACTGTAATAAGAGACGGGTCGAAACGAAGGCACGTGATGCTAATGATGCTGCCGATGATCACGTCGAACGCCTATGAAGGAACGGCAGCCTGGAGTTAGTTCCCCACCTGGGCACCTTTAGGACATGACATGTGCCTCGTCCGCGAATACCACACATGCGGCAGTCCCAGTGCGGCGTACAACTAGACGTTGATTGCGACATCTACGACTGTTCTTCACCATCACCTGTCCGTGTTGTCCTGTTCTCGCCCGGCAAGGAAATAGCCCTCGTTAACCGGAGAGATACCTAGTCGAAAGAGGTCGGCCTTCGTTCCAAGATGCCCAGGTGCTTATCGCTTATCAGTCGGGCCTCGTGATTGATGAGCTGGATAGCGGCATGGAGGTACATACAGTAGCGACCCCCACTTGCCAACCCAACCCAACCCAACCCAGACGACTGTGACGGCCTGAGGCCGCAATCACTCTGATCGGTGGAGTGAGCGAGCACACGATTTCGACTGAGGCCCGGGACTTTTACAAACATCATCGAACACAACGGAGACCCTGATGATTCGAATTTACTAACTCAGCCGCCCAAGGGTGCATACCTAGGTAGTAATGCAATTGAACGATGAGGACGCTGGAGATGGGCATGTCATTGCTATGTACAGTACATATACTAGATAACCTTTAGATTAGCTGACCTTGGAATGGAGCTCTTTGCTGCCTTCCGACACTCGCTCGTTATGCATGGCCCGCCTGCTAGCCCCGAACTCGCGCTTCCCGGCCCGCGCCGCCTCCAGTGTTCGGTCAGCCCCACTTGCAGATGCAAACTCCCGCCCAATATGCGGCTCGTTATGACTACACCACCCTAGGATAAATTGACGCCGACGCAAATTTCTCGAACGCGCCGAACAGGTCGCAACCCGTGCATCGCCCGCGACACGACAATGACCATTGCACGATAGCGCCAGCTTCGAATACCTTCTTCGCAATGGAGACTCCTGCGCCGGAAGACTTCACCTCCAAGGAGCAAGTCATCGATCAGGTGCCCAAGCGCATCCGCTCTCTCCAATTCGGTCTTCTCAGTCCGCCTGATGTCGTCTCACAATCCGTCGTCCAGATCGTCGACCGCAACCTTTACGACATCAGTACCACGGTGGGAGCGCCTCGGACATTGACGCGTCGTGGTCCACTGGACCAGCGATTGGGCACATCTTCGAAGAATGGCATCTGCGGTACGTGTGGGCAAGGATTGAAGGAGTGCAATGGTCATTTCGGACACATCAAGCTGGCTTTGCCATGCTTTCACTACGGGTATCTCAGGAGGATTATCGAGGCGTTGAATTGTGTCTGCAAAGAGTGTAGTCGAGTCGTCCTGCCAGAGATGGAAAAGAGAACATATCTTCGACAATTGAGGCGCCCGGGTTTGGATGGCTTGCGCAAGGATGCGATCATCAAGCGCATAGTCGCGGATTGCCGCAAGACGAAGAGATGTTACCATTGCAACGCGTGGAATGGGCCGGTGAGAAAGGCCCCAGGCAACCCAGTTCGGATGTTTCACAACAAATTCTTCACCTACACGAGTTCGAACGCCAAGAGCAAGATCAAGCCGGATGAGATGCAGACGTTTGAACGATCGTTTGAGGAGGCAATCAAGGCGAACCCTGAAATCGATCGCCACATGAAGCGTGTCGTGGACGATCTCACACCGTTGCGCGTCCTGAACATCCTCAAGAATGTGCCAAACGCCGAAATCGAACTCCTGGGCATCGATCCTAGCAAGGGCGGACGACCCGAGTATATGATCTGGACCCATGTGCCCGCCCCACCGGTCGCTATCCGTCCATCTGTGGCTCAGGAGACAGCAAGCACCGAGGACGACATCACGAACAAACTCGGCGATATCATTCAGATCAATAATCTCATGGTCGCTGCTCTTCGTGCCGGACAGTCACTAGCCAAAATCATGGAGATGTGGGACTTTCTACAGATTCAACTGGCGATGTACATCGATGGCAACATCCCAGGACTGTCCAGAGATCCGGCATACGGCAAGCCTATGCGCGGATTCTGTCAACGTTTGAAGGGTAAGCAGGGTCGTTTTCGTGGAAATTTGTCGGGTAAGCGTGTCGACTTTTCAGGACGTACCGTCATTTCCCCAGACCCGAACCTTGCCATCGATGAAGTTGCCGTACCCTCACGCGTGGCTGTCAACATGACTTATCCTGAGAGGGTCACAAAACACAACCTCGAAAAGCTCAAAGGCTGCATCAAAAGAGGCGACAAACTCCATCCTGGAGCCAATTATGTCGTCAAAGGACGGACCGGTCGCCGCATTGTTCTCCGAGCTGTGACACAGAAAGGTGATCTCAAGAAACTGGCCGATCAGCTCGAACTTGGCGATGTCGTGGAACGACATCTTGAGGATGGCGACATCGTTCTGTTCAACCGTCAGCCATCGTTGCACAAGCTGTCCATCCTCTCTCACAAAGTCAAAGTGCGACCTTGGAGAACATTCAGGTTAAATGAATGCGTCTGCAATCCATACAATGCCGATTTCGACGGTGACGAGATGAATCTGCACGTTCCGCAGACCGAAGAGGCGCGGACGGAGGCCATCGAATTGATGGGCGTGAAGAATAATTTGGCCACACCCAAAAACGGAACACCCCTTATTGCCGCTATCCAGGATTTCATCACAGGTGCCTACCTCATCAGTCAGAAGGATTTGTTTTTCACGAGACGAGGATTCACTCAGGTGGTGAATTTCATGTACGTGGGGATGCAGGTGCGCGACCCGGTCACCTTCAAAGAATACCCTATACAAATTCCACCGCCCGCGATTTGGAAACCACAGACTCTATGGACAGGCAAACAAGTCTGGAATATGCTGATGAAGCCGCATCCCGACTACCCGGTCAACGTCAACCTCGAAGCTAAGCTCAAGCAATACGCGCCACCGAAACGACCAGACGCCATACCTGACCTCGTCGAAAGCGACTCATATCTTGTTATCAGGAATAGTGAGACTATGTGTGGTGCGTATGACAAAGCCACTGTAGGCGATGGCAAGAAAGACAGTGTGTTTTACGTGATCATGCGTGATTTTGGCGCAGACTATGCTGCGGCAGCCATGACTCGTCTTGCAAAGCTCTCAGCTCGCTGGCTCGGTGAGCGAGGTTTTTCGATTGGTATTAGCGACGTCTATCCTAGCGACAAGCTCAATGCACGAAAACAAGCTCTTGTCGACGCAGCCTACAAAGCATGTGATGAAGTCATTGATCTATTCACCAAAGGAAAGCTCGAACGAAGTGCTGGTTGTGATGAAGAACAAACCATGGAGATTAAACTTTCGGGTATTCTTTCCACAGTCCGACAGCAGTGTGGTGACGCTTGTTTCGCAGAATTGAGCCGATTGAACGCTCCATTGACCATGGCCAAATGTGGATCAAAAGGCTCGAATATCAACGTCTCTCAGATGGTCGCAGCTGTGGGACAGCAGATTATCGGCGGAAAGCGTGTGCTCGATGGCTTCCAAGATCGCACCCTACCTCACTTCCCGAAAGCAAGTCTGGATCCTCTCGCCAAGGGATTCGTCGTGGACAGCTTTTTTAGCGGCTTGACGCCGACGGAATTCATCTTCCACGCCATGTCGGGCAGAGAAGGTCTCGTCGATACCGCTGTCAAAACTGCTGAGACTGGCTACATGTCTCGACGTTTGATGAAGAGTTTGGAGGATCTCAGCGCGCAATACGATCTGACTGTGCGAAATTCGTCGTCCGGTGTGGTACAGATGAAGTTTGGTGATGACGGATTGGACCCTGTTGACATGGAAGGCTCTGCCAAACCTGTCAATTTCAATCGAACATTCATGCACTCCGTCAGTATCACCTGGGACAACAGCGAGCGAAGCCTCACCAAGGAGGAGATCGAGACAATCGTGAATGACACGCTCAACAAGGAACGGGCCGAGCTCACACGTTGGACGGACGACGGAAAGCCTCTGGAGTACAATGATCAGAGCCCTCTCGCCACAGATCAAAAGGAATACAGCAGGCAATTCCTCAACGATGTCACAGATTATGTTATGGGGAAAGTCAGAGGCATGGTCAGCTCGCAACAACGATTTGCCAACAGCGACGGCATCTTCAAGCTCACTCGCACCGCTCTTGAGACATTCCTTGGTCTCTGTCTGCGAAAGTTCGAAAAGTCCAAAGTCGAAGCTGGGCACGCCGTCGGCGCTGTTGGAGCTCAATCTATCGGTGAGCCCGGCACACAAATGACTTTGAAGACTTTCCATTTTGCTGGTGTCGCCGGTATGTCCATCACGCAGGGTGTCCCTCGTATCAAGGAGATTATCAACGCTAGCAAAACGATCAGTACGCCTGTCATCACTTGCGCGCTGGACTCAAAGTATGAGGAGATGGCGGGTCGATTCGCGAAAGCGCTTATTGAGAAAACCTACCTTGGTGATATCGTGGACTACGTCGAGGATGTCTGGTATGACCGAGGATGCTACATTAACATGCGAATCAATTGGCAGCAAGTCAAGGACTTGGGTCTACGCATCGACCTATGGCAGCTGGAGGAAGCCATTCGCAGGACCAAGGGCTTCAAGACCATGGGCGTGCAAGTGCGCTCTTCCGGCTCAAACCACCTGCGAGTCATGGTCTCCGGTCTAGACGACCCGAAATCTCGCCGCAAGACCCCGTCAACAAGCAAATGGAAGTCAAACGACGACAACTGCTCCGATGTGCTCTTCACTCAAATCCACCACCTCAAGCGCAAACTCCCCGAGGTCGTGGTGAAGGGCTATCCCGATGCCCAGCGAGCCATTATCAAAAAAGACGACAAGGTGGACGCCACCGGGCGCGAGCCCATCTCGGTCCTCGTCGAGGGATACGGCCTCCGCGCATGCATGAACACCGAAGGCGTGAACGGCTACCTCACCAAATCCAACAGCATCATGGAATGCAAAGAAGTCCTCGGCGTCGAAGCCGCCCGGAAGACCATCATCGACGAAATCTCCTCCGTCATGGGCGGCATGGACATCGACCCCCGTCACATGCAGCTGCTCGCCGACGTCATGACCTACAAGGGCGAGGTGCTGGGCATCACGCGTTTCGGGCTGGCGAAGATGCGCGACAGCGTCCTCCAGCTCGCCAGCTTCGAGAAGACGCCCGACCACCTCTTCGAGGCGGCGGCCAAGATGAAGAAAGACGACATCGAGGGCGTGAGCGAGTGCATCATCATGGGCCAGAGCATGAGCATCGGCACCGGCGCCATGACGGTCATCCGCCCCTTGAACATCCACGGCGTGGAGAACGAGTGCGCGAGCGCGGTGGACTTCGCTGCCGAGGCGAGGTCCGTCAGCACGGCGGCGAGGAAGGAGCGCCTGCGGCAGAGACGCATGAATTTCGCCGCCAATCCCGTCGTCAACGGTCTGGCGGCTTGAGTTGATTTCCGTGGTCTGTTTGTCACCCGTCCTGTCTGTATACCCGCGTCAAGGAGACGCTGCTTGTTTTATGAATGTATGATAATTGCTCGGAGGTTTCCTTCTCATGAACGAATATGATGTAAATTTCTGTCATTAAGTCCCGTCGCGCAGAAGGATGCTACTCCCTCATCTCCAGGGCTCTCCAAAACTGCAATAGCCAGCCTTTCATAAATGCATCCTGTGCGCCATAACGCCCGAGATCCTCCCATTGCTCGAGATCGTCTTCCATCTGCCTCGCCAGAGTGCTCTCAGGAAGTCACTCTCCGCTCCTCCACTTCGTGCAGACGCGCCGACACCAATCCCAGAACCCTTCTTCATCTCATGAAACAATCACTCCTCATTGTGGTCTGCTCTGCATGCGGTTCTTACGACTCGGCGAAGTCAGGGATCGGCTCATAGTCCTCGTCGTCCTTCTTGGAAAAGAGGCCTGCTCCGACCACCCCGACCGCGTTCAAAACGAGCGCGGACCATGACACCGTGCAGAGGATCCACGACTTATCCAGGGCCCAACCGTCGAAGAAACGATTGTCGTTGTTGAAGAGATATGCCTGGAACGGACAGAACTCGACGGGTTAGCGTTTCTGTCCATTTGTATCCTCGGGAGACTCGCCGGTGGCAAACATTCCGCCTTGGATCTTTCTTTCTCGATGTCCAGCATAATCCGTCCTGCTCTTTCTCCTGTGATGACGCCCCGAATGCGCCGAGGGACACACACCCAAAAAAACAAAGCAAAAGAGGGACGACTCACCACCAGCGCCATCGCGATGATCTGCCCCGCCGCCACCGCCGCCAGCAACCCCGACAGCAACTTCCACCCGGCCTGCCGCGTCGTCGTCCCGCCCGCCAGGATCGTCACGTAGGCCACCACGCACGCCAGCTGCAGGACGACGGAGAAGTTCATGAGGAACCCCGTGCTCCGCCACATGGAGCAGAAGTAGCGGTCCTCGAAGCCACGGCAGTCCTCCTCCGTCGGGAACGGCTCGCACTCGCCCGTCAGCGAGCTGCAGCGTTTGTGGAGGCCGTAGGAGACCCGCACGGCGGCATGGCCGTCGCCGCCCGAGGTGTATGTGATCCAGTTGGGCAGGGCGATGGCGGCGATGGTGCAGGCCGCCGCGACGAGGAAGACCCAGAGGGAGACGCCGTAGAAGATGCGGCGCGTCATGATGGGAGGGGGAGATTTCGGGGCCCACGGATGATGAGGTGTGGTGGTGGGACCTTGAGGGGACGCTCTTGAGCTCGACGTTGATCCCTAGGCGAGGACGGAGTGCAGGTCTTTTGAGATCCTGCCTGACTATTGCCCGATGGCTATGGCATGCGATGGTGATCAATGAGGCATTTAGGTTGTGGAACTCTAGCCTTATCGTTACCAAGGCTGATCATTCCCAGCGTGGAGCAAGCTTGAATTGAACTGGATGGATGACTCATCATGATCGACGTCATCGCAACCGAAGCCGACTGGTCACAATTCTGGGTGCAGTTAATAAACTGATGGAAGTCGCATTTGCTGATCCTTGAATTGCTGACGTCCGACAATGCGCAATCAGCGTCGGATGGGCAGATCAATATTCAACCTGACTTCGGAAAAATGTTCGTGTAGTAAGTGAGAGTGTAAGCGTCAAGGCGAACCTCACGAAAGATTCAAGGGTGGTGGACTTTGAGCCATTGGTATCGACGAGGGCGGGCTTACAAGAACGGACAAATCAGTGACTTCGCCACCAGTCTCAAGCACGACTATACGAATGTCAAGTATACGTTGGAGATTTCAATTCTTTTTTTCATTTCCATGTCTCATTCCCTCTTGGCCCATTGTCATCATCTATCTGCAGTAGACAGAGGAGAACGAAAAGAGCTCAAGGCATCTAAGAGTTCCAGTTGAACTGGCCGTCGTTGTTGTTCAACCACTCCTCGAGGTTGAGGTCGGTGTTGTTGAGGTTGCCCTCGCCGTCACGGAGAGCGGCGCGGAGGATGGGCTGGTTGGCGGCACCCTCGATGGAGAAGGAGATGTTCTCGGCGGAGCCAGCGAAGTCCCGACCGTTCCAGTCGAAGCGGCCTACAGGACGGATTGTTAGACTTGTGCTCTGCAGAACGGCAGCGAGGTGTGGTTGGAGGAGACCAGGAGCATACCGTTGTTGTTGCCGACGTGGTTGTTGAGGTCGATCTCGGCATCGACCCAGTTGCCGTCACCCTTCTGGAGGCTGGCACGGAGGATGTGTCCCTCGTCGACACGGACGTTCTGGGCGGTCTGAATGAAAGGCATGATGACTGGTGGGAGTATTGGTTTGTGGTGGTCGAGTTAAGTTCGGTGAGATGTGCTGAAAGCGGAGGAAGAAGAAGAGGGAAGACGATGAGTCCGTCAGGAACTTATATACACATCGTGAATCATGGAGCACGTCAAATGCTCTCATCACGATTCACCTTCCATCATCGCCGTAAACCGAAGCTGGGCCGATGCCCTCAATGTGGAGTCTCGATTCGCAATCGGGCTGTGAGACTCTGTCTGGTTCAGCCAGCGGATCGCGAATCGGCGACGCGCCATAGCTCTCGTTGGTGGAAAGGTGCAGCATTGTTGTCGGAGAGCTCCATCAGGGTCCAAATATCCCCACACCTTTCTCCCGTTCAAGTTTGGCGGGCAGCTTTGAGTTGCGGTATCACTGTCACTAAAACAGCGATTACGGCCACCGCCTGTGTCTAGGCGTGCTGTCTATAATTCTCGACATGCAGGCATCAGCTCCCGGACATGCTCAAGGCGTGACTTCGGGTTGCGGTCAGAGGGATTGAAGAGAGCTCAAGTTGGGCCAATGTCTCATCAATGAGAGCAACATCGACCTTGATCTTGTGCGAGGACCCCTCATCAGTTTGCCCACTTGCACACACTGTGTGATATATTATCCCTATGGGAGCACATCGTTCTCCTCCACCGTAACCACGCACTTGACAGATAATTATATTAAGAAGCATTGTTCACGAGACGGCCATATCAGGCCCAGATCACCTTCGCTCGTGGTTCGGCGTGCCGGAGGAGCGACGCTTGACTTGACGTGGGGCTTTTTAGAGTGATTTTCACAGCTGGTCAAGCTGAACTGAGCCCCAGGAAGGGAAGCTTGCGTGTGCGGCACTGCCCTGCCCCGCGCATTCTCGGCCGGGCCTGAAGTGGAAGCCGTTCCTACGCCATTGTGTTTCACAACGTCGAGATCAATTCACGTTCATACAATTCATAGCAGTCACGGTACTGCATGGTCCTTGCAGTCGCTTGCTGCGGCCAAGGATTCGTCGTCGTCAGCTCACGCATGGATCCTACCTTTGAACACGTTGCACCAATGATGAGGTCGACGATGTGCTCTCGGGCTGAGGATTGCAAGACCTGCTCCTCCTGTTCTTCGGGCGTTTCTACCCGACCATCGTGCGTCACACGTGTTCATCGATGAGGCCTTCGACGTGGAGCCGTCCCACACCGTATTGAGAGCTAGCATGGAAGAATCAGTCGTACCTACTCGAAATGTATGTTCACGCAGAGATAGGGCATCTCGAAGACACGAACCTCGACGCCGTACGCGAGATCCGAGCATGTTGGACGTGTCGCTGAGTACAGTCAAAAGAAACTTCGCACAGGGCCGAAAGGGAAAGTAGCGTTCATAGCTCGTGTCAGTCTATACAGTTACAGCAAGTCTTCCACTTCGGCGGGAACATTCGGCTCCGTGATGATCTTCTCAATGAGTTGCAGTGTCGCTCTCATGGGCAACCCTACCACATTGTCAAATGTCCCATCGATCTTCTCCACGAGAATACTGCCGATGCCTTGAATCCCATAGCCACCAGCTTTGTCCACCCCTTCCCGCGTGCGCACGTATGACATGATCAGCTCGTCTGAAATGGTCGGATCAAACTTCACGCGAGTCTCCTCGACGTGTGTCTCCACTGCGTACCCAGGCTCCATCAAGCTCTCCAAGGGTGCCATGCACACGACCGCGGTGTAGACTTTGTGCCAGCCGTCGTTAAGGTCGCGCAACATCTTCAGCATGGCAAAATGATCTTTCTCACTGCGTGGCTTCTCCAGGATCTGTCCGAGATGGGTGCTCACCACGGTGTCGGCGGCGATGACCAGCACCGGCTCGCCTTTCGGGTCGTCGATGGTGGCTTGGTAGACAGTTCGAGCTTTGGTCTGGGCGGTCTCGAGGACATATTCGAACGGGCCGAGGGACTTGTCTTCATCCTCCGGCACCGTCGACGGGACGATTTCCAGATTCGTCAGACCGATCTACCAAGGCGCCTGTTATTCGCGACTTCGTTCAGCACCGCGGCGGGTGACCTGCTCGGAGGCAGGGTGTGTGTTCGCTTTTGGGGGTTTCTTTCTCTCCTATTCAGCCACATACCTGCGCTAGCAATTGTCGGCGTCTCGGTGAAGCGGATGCGAGGATGATTCGCCGTCCTCGGATCATGTTGAGAGCAGGCAAATCGAGCGGCTTGGGCCCAATGGGCCGGCCGGGCGTTGGAGCGGTAGCGGGAGATCTCGTCTGCGACACATCGTCGTAGGACGGAGGAGGCGCGAGAGGGATCTTCTCGTCAGACATCTTGCTTTCCGTTCAGTCTACACAGACAAGGAGGGATTGTCCGCAGCGACAACACTGCTTGATCAAGTCGACCATGACGGATGACGCAGCTGTCGAGAGAAGCACGCACAGACCACCGCTTGAATTTCACCAATATTTACAGCCTGGAGCCCGCCCTGAAGTGGTTCAATCGACGAGTGGAAGATTTCCTTGAGTGGTTCGATTGATGCGTGGAGGATTTCCATCTTTACCAGGCACGCCAGGAAACCCAGGCATGTTGTAGATATAACCATTGGAGGCTTGACAGACTATCAATGCGTATATGTGTGCCCACCGGGAATCCGCATTTGGTATAGTAACGACAGTCTTGGGCCCACGTCTCCATCCTCGGAGGAGCAACAACCACGACTGCTCGCACACTCTGCGCCTATTTTTTGCTTGAACAGACGAGACCCTCAGCCCGAGACGATTCGACGGATTCGGAACATGCAAATAGCGTGATGCCTGATCCACAAGGCACTACCAGCCTGAAATCTCGCCACACATGTGGATGCAAGCCAAAATGTTTTCAGGCCAGTCTGGCTCAATGCGCCGCGGAAAGCACGGTCCTCGGCGTTCCATGTCACCACCGTTGCCCACTCAAACCCGTCGATCAAGCAAACTGCTGTTCAAATGAACATGTTCTTCATCGAAGAGCGTGATATCGAAACAATTGCCAGCAGTGAGATCAGCAGCCTGGACAGCTTTAAAGACACTTGACCATGTCGAACGACGGTCTGCACTCCGGTATCACCTGTCTGGTCCACTTCGTACCGTTTTGTTGTAACATGCCGGGTTTGTGGCTTCCCGTGGAGGGAGATAGCGCCAGATCCTTGCGTGAATGCGAGCGGGCACGTCAATGATCCTTCATTCTTTGCTTCTCTTACCTGAGCAGCATCACATGGATAGGTGTGAGACCACCTACTCGATCGTGACTTGCCAATCTTTGTGAATCATGACGATTGGCCAGCGGACACTCCTCGAGGTCATCGACGAAGTTGTTTCTACTAATCCCGAACGAATCTGGCTACGCTTTTTCGAATCTTCTGATGCATTGCTCAAAGGCGAATTACGAACCATGACATTTTTCGACCTTGATGTCGCGATCAATGCTCTGTCCTGGTGGATTCGTGAAAACCTCGGTGATGCGACTGGTAATCCAACCTTCTGTTACATAGGACCTTCGGACATAGCATATTATCTACTTGCCTTCGCTGCGAGCAGGTGCGGCTGGAAGTTAGGTCGAGCCATCATTATGAACTGCCCGGGACGTAACTCATCTAAGGCTCATGGTCCGTTCTGTAGGCGCTTTTCTCCTCTCCCAAAAATGACCAGAGTTCACATGTCTCGCTAGTACAGAACACGCACTGTTCGTACCTCCTAGCTTCTGAAGGGAGACATTTTAGCACGATCGAATCAATTGCACAGGCGTGTGAATGCAAAGATGTCAAGGCCTTTCCTCAGCTAAGCGAACTCCTGAACTGGAGCCGGGCGGAGCGGTTCCCCTCGCCGACGAGGTCTTTCGAGGACGCTGCCGACGATACATTCGTCATTCTGCATACATCAGGGAGTACTGGTTTTCCGAAACCTGTGGAAGTTTCGAATTCCCTGCTCGCAACCGTTGACGCTCAGCAGATTTTGCGAGATGTTGACGGCCGGAGGGTAACAGCGCATGCGTGGTCGAACAAGACCGCGTACTCGGCCCTGCCGCCATTCCATTCTGCCGCCTTCAATTGGCTTGCATTTTCAATATTTCAGAACACACAGTTACTCCTAGGACCCCCCGATGCTCCTCCGTCATTGTCCATATTGCAAAGGATCCTTGAGCTACAGATCTCGGATCTGGGCATGCTACTTCCAAGTCTTCTGAACGATATAGTTGCGGATCCACAGCTTCTGCCGCTCCTGTCACGATGGGAAGCTGTGTGCTACGGCGGAGCCTCGCTGTAGGCCGAAATTGGAGATGCCATCTGCGAGCATACCAAGATCTTCCAGACTTTGGGCTCGACGGAGACTTTCAATCTCCCAGAACTTGCATGGCGCGACAAGCAGGAATGGAAATGGAACAGATTCCACCCCGACCTGAATCTCGAATTTGTACAGCTCGACGATGACACGTTCGAGCTGGTGTTTCGACGGGACCAGGGGAAGCTTATACATCAAGGAGCATTCCGGACTTTCCCAAATCTCGAGAGCTATAGCATGGGCGATCTATACAAACGCCATCCTACTGATCCCGATCTATGGATGCACTGTGGTCGGAAGGACGATATCATTGTCCTCGCAAACGGAGAAAAGCTGAATCCGCGCCTCGCCGAGAATGTCATCGCACAACGTCCTGAGATCAAATCGGCGCTGATAATTGGTTCAGACAGAAGTCAAGTGGCCGTTCTCGCGGAGATGCGACCAGACTCGATACTTTCAACACTACCTGGAGACGACCAGTTGGCAGCTCTGCTCCCGGCGATCAAGGCAGCAAATGAAATCAGTCCCGGCCACGCCCATATCGATCCGCACTTTGTCCGCTGTGTTGATGCAGACACGTTTCTGAGATCACCCAAGGGAGATATCCAGAGGAAGAAAACCCTCAAGCAGAACTCCTCTATAATTGAAGAAATCTATCGAAATGGCGAACAGGTGTCCTTGCACATTGCGAAATTGGATTTTGATGATTTCTCCACGCTTACAAAAAGCATAGAGGACCTCGTCACTGTTCAGTGCTTCCCAGGAGCTAGACTTGGCCATGACCAGCAACTCTTTGAACTCGGTTTGGATTCCCTAAATGCGACACGTCTGGCTAGAGCGCTCAAAGCCGCCTTGGAGGAACACAATCCTGGCTCGGCCTCCAAGATGACAGTCAGAACCATCTATGAATTTCCCACGATTCATGGCCTTGCCACAGCCATCATGCGATTAAGCCAGGGCAGCGATGATCGAAATTCGCTACCAACCAAAGAACAACGGGTAGGAGAAGTTCTGGAGAGATACTACCAGGAGCTAGCACAAATCCCGCAAAGCAGCACGAACAACAAGGCTGTTCCTACACAAGGAGCAACCATCATCCTCACAGGTTCTACAGGCTCGCTCGGGTCATATGTCCTTGATTGTTTGATCCGAGATGGGAATGTATAGCAGGTCATCCGTCTCAACCGCACGCGAGATGCCAGAGACCGACAAAGCGAGACCCACAAGATCCGTGGATTGACCACGGATTTCTCGAACGTCGACTTCCTGAAAATCGACGTGAGCGCCAGTCACCTCGGTCTGAGCGTCGAGGCGTACCAAGACCTGCAGAACCGAGCCACACACGTTATACACAATGCATGGCCTGTAAATTTCAACATGCCTCTCGCCGACTTCGAGTCCCAACTTGATGGATGTCTGAACCTCATCCAGCTGAGTTGCGAGAGCACCCATGAGGTCCCAGTCACTTTCCTCTCCAGCGTCGGTGCAGCGAACAATTGGTCGACTTATCACGATTCACGCGTCCCGGAGTCGGCGATTGAGGATTTACGGACGAGCGAAGACATGGGCTATGCGGAGTCGAAACATATTGCGGAACTGCTGTTCGCACGGGCGTGTAGGACGCATGGGATCAGCGCGGATATTTGCAGGGTCGGTCAGATCGCTGGACCGGTAAAGACGCCCGAGAAAGGCATGTGGACTCCCAACGAATGGTTCCCGAGCTTGCTGCTGTCTTCTCAGACGATGAATAAAATTCCTCGCTCGCTCGGCGCTATGAACAGAATCGACTGGATACCTGTGGACTCGCTTGCCGATGCGATCGTCGAGCTAGCGGTGCTTTCACAGTCTAGAAGGTCCTCCGTTTCGTCCCTCAGCAAGCTGCCCTTCATAGGATACCTGTTTGAGCAAGCCACAGACCCGCAAGAACTCCAACGTGCCTGTTTCATACACCTCGTGAATCATCGCCATTCAAATTGGAGCGATCTCCTGCCACAAGTGGTGTCCTCATGGCGGCCTGACATGAATATCATTCCCTACAACGAATGGCTCGGGGCACTTTCTCAGGAAGGGGATCGCCGAGGAGGGAAGGGTGGCCAGGCCGGGGATGGTATATCTAGCCTGCCAGCAGCGAAGCTAATTGATTTCTTTCGTGCTCTGGATGCATCGAAGGATGACTTAGCGAAGCCTCCCCAGGCAGTGTTCATCACAGATAGAGCGATGCAGCGGAGTCGGACATTCAGAGACATGAAGCCCATCTCTGCGGAGTGGATTTTGCTGTGGCTTCGACAACTTGGGTATTCGACATAGATGGCTGTAGGAATTTCGGAAATATTTGATTGTACCGTTCAAGGTCGACGGACGATATCTTGTCTAGAAGAATGACGATCAGGAGTATTGATTTTGTCGACAAATTGTTCAAAGTGTGGCGGGGTGTTCAAATGATGTCGGAATCAATCATGTGGTCTTGAAAAATTCCGCAACGCCATCATCTAGATTCTTGATTCGTAGAGGTTTCACGAAATACTTGTCGATGCCTGCCGCGAAGCACTTCTCTTTGTCGCTCACAGAGTCTTGTCCAGTGACTGTTGTAAAGTTAGCATTTATTGCAGCAAGAGTAAAGGCAGGGATTTGTACGGACTGATGAAAATGATCGCTGGACGCAGTCCTGTGCTTCTTTCGAATGCCCTAATCTCCTGACATGCCTGAATGCCATCGCAATTGGGCATTTGCAAGTCAAGCAGAATGAGATCGACTGGGTTCTCGCCACCTGCGGCTGTCTTATATGCGTCGATTGCCTGTAGGCCGTCCTCGGCGGTCGAGTACGGATACTTGCGCTTTTCGCAGTACATGCTCACGATGCGAAGATTGATCGCATTGTCGTCCACGAGCAAGCACGATTTCGGACTGTGCGGTCGAATGGGCCCGTCCGAGTTACACGAGTGATTACGTGGTGTTAGTCCGTCCTCGCTTTGCGCCGCCTGCGCGTCTGCTGCTACTTTCGCAGCTTGGGCTTTGCGGAGAGCGACTTCATCGCTGGCCTGGACCAGGATATGCTCGAGTTTTCGGGAGGTGAATGGCCCGGAGAAGAAGAGAGTGGTCGCATGGACGAGGGTCAAGGATGGCTGGTACATTTCTGCCGGGATCAGGGCAACGCTCATGATGGACTTGGAGGCTTGTTCAAGCAATTGGTTGAATTCGTCGCAGGAGTTTGCCGTCATCACGACCGCAAGTGATTCCGATATTTCAGTCGACTCTTGAAGTCCTCGTGAGACCAGGAATGACTTAAGATGCTCTACCACAGCTGAGGACGACTCCGCGGCAAGAACACAAAACTTGCTGATCCCAATGTTGAGCCTTTCGTCCAGATGTCGTGGTCTCGTGATAGGGCAAAGCAGAAGTGGATTTTGCAATTCAACCCGAAAATGTGAGCCTTTGCCTGACTCTGACGATACCAATGTGACACGGCCTTCCATAACTTCGGCCATCTTGCATGCCAGCGGTAGTCCGAGACCGACACCCGTGCTGTGCACATTGATTTTCTCGTAGGCGTAAAAGATGCGTTGTTGATCGGCCGCCGCTATCCCGCATCCCGTATCTTCGACATCGAAGTAGATGCATGAGAAGTCTGGCGAGGCAGTCGTAGTTATTGCGATGCTCCCCCGAGTTGTATTTTGCAAAGCATTGAGAACCAAAGATTGAAGGCATTCAACCAAAGAGGCCATGTCGATCATTGTAAGTTCCACTTCGGCAGGCAGGCGATTCCGGAAGAATACGAGTAGGCGATCGAGATGCCCTTCGGAAACGTAACCAACGATGGCATCTAGAAGATCTGATTCAACTTTGTTTAACTTGTCGGGCAATACCTTTCTTGTGATGTCACTGGTCTCCGTCAATCGGTTGTATTTGATTGCGTTGTTGACAGTTGACATAAGCTCTCGCGCAGAACTTCTGATAATGCTTAGGGTCTCATGATACCTCCCCGATTTAGGTTGATCCTCGGTGATGGAGAGGGTGGAAAAGTCTCGCTCACTTTGGGCGGTGAGATCAGCTATAAGCAAATCGAGCGATCCGAGAATACCATGTATAGGTGTGCGCAATTGATGTGTTATGCCCCGCATGAATTGATCTCGAGCTCGAAGCGCAATCTGCAACGCCTTTTCTTGCCTGATGCTGGTGAGAAGATTTGCACAGCTAGTTGTGAAGCGGATATCAATATCGTCAAAGATGTAGGTGATGTCATTCGTCGCGACGACGAGAGCGGTTGCCAATGGTCGTTCTGGCAGCTTGGCTATGATGGCTCGGATGGGTTGGGAAGCCTTCAATCGCTCATGGTTGTTCGTTCGAATCGATTTATTTATGTATTCGTCATCTTCCCAGATGGCGCTCTGGTCTTTAGGGGGTACGATAAGCGGGCCATGGTCGTATATGCGAGCACCGTGAGCACCAATCGATGTAAGCCCGATCTGCGCTTCTGGAAACACCTGTCTCAAAATGTCCATTACAATTTGCTCCGCCTGGTCACTGGAGCCGCTAGAGGCTGCTAGGCGAAGTAGGAGGTCGTTCTGCTCTTGCTGCTTGGCGCGCTTACGTCGCGAAGCGCTGATGATATCTTGGGTGAGCATGTCCGCGAAGGTCACCAATGTTGTGAGTTGTGTTTGTGTGAGACCGGGTCCGAGCGTGCTTGATGCAACACACAAGGAACCGAGCGCGATTACCTCCCCATCGTCCGCCTGACATCGCAGCTGTGTTCCAGCATACATCTTCAGGCCACCTTTGCTGACGGGCGGCGATTCTCGAAATCTTGGGTCTACAGACATGTCGGGAATGAAGAAAACGGACTGGTTAGGTTTAGCAAGTATCTCAACGACGATCAGGAAGCCTCACTTACACCAGGTGATTGTTGGATGGTATGCGAGCAAGTACTCTCTCTTCTGGGCACGTGCGCCAATGGAATTCCTGCGGTGACGAGCCTGCGGAAAATGTCATTCTCGAGAATGCCGATGATGGCAAACTCCCAGCCGATGACGCTTTTTACTATGTCGAGCTTCGTCCGCATTTTCTGCAAGGCGGCAGTATCCTCGGCGAGATCCCTGGTATAGTACCAGAGCATCGTCAACCGTAGCCGCTCATTTCGTGTCAATGTAGGGTATAGGTAAGGGTCGCGTAATCCAGTAGGATCCTGGGACGGACAAAAAACCTCGTGATGGGGGTCATCCTCACGAGTGTAATTCTGTTCACAGAATTCAGGGCTGTAGTCGGCCAGCGGTTCTTTTGTGCTGAGGGGATCAAATATTGGACCCTTCTCCAGAGGTTGTTGCGGTAACAAGAAGCCTTCATTTCCATATTCTGCGCCGGTGTGAGCGCAGGGATGGAAAGAGTTGGCCAGCATCGCTTTCGCTTTCTGTATGTCTCTGATGAGAGATTGCTTCGCCAGACGCGATCTGATTAGCGATTGCTTCGATATGACGAGCCGATATTCATGGTCTTGGCGAGCGGTGCGCTGTGAGAATGTTGCTTTGCGATGTGTACACTACATTAGGCAATGCTTCTGCTACTGAAATTTCACATCCCTATGTGTCGACAGCCTGTGGTACTCTTCAATGCTTGCTTCACAAGTAGAGATAGTAGATCCATAAATCACGGTGAAGGACACTTCTCCGAAACCTAGGATCGACCGGTAGGAGTCGAAACCACGTGAGCACTATGCTCTCACAGCCCTGTCGTTAAACATCTTGGTCCAGAAGCGATGATGTTCATACTCGTCAGCGGTTGAGCGAGGATCAGGGTAGCGTGTCGCGATTCTTCGTTGAGTTACGATCTGGAGGTAGAGGTCGATTTCTGGACTCGTGCCCGCTTCGCGAATGGAGCTGCACATCGGGGCACGCTCGCCGAAATAAGCTCTCGTGATTCAAGCCCGGGACAAAGCCGGAATTTGCTAATAATGAGAGTTTGTGCCATGACCTAGTTGATCAAATTCAAGCACAATCCGTACGCTTCGGAATGCCGAGATATTTCGTTGAGTGCTCAGGTGTGCAGGTGGATTATTGCCAGCAGGGTGGTCAGGAACACCCAACAGTACGACTTACCGCAGTCTATCCTTGATCACTACGTGCACCATCATTACGGCAATAGTTGCAGGACTAAGAAAGAGCCTCTAGTCAGATAATACCTCTGCGGCACGAGTAAAACCGCACCGGCATTAGACATGGATTTGGCAGATTCACAGTAATAATAAGCGGGTGAACCTTGGAAAGTGCGAGGCTGCGAGCCGTCAAATCGGACGGAGCACTCCGAGATCTAAATAAAAACGACAATCTATCTTACTCCGCATAGCGAATCGTCAGCAAGGCAAAGTTTATATTAGTCATCACAAAGTCGCGTATTTGATAAGTCATGGAGGAGCTGCCAAATTCTACCGATGCCCGCAGAGAAGTTTTGGCGCCTGCGGGAGTCGCCATGGCCTGATTCTCTGAAACACGAAACCTCCCATCGTGTGAAAGCGATCTCATGGATGCAACTAATTCGCTACACGTTGCCGTCTGAAGATTGAAAGCAACCCGTATGACCTCTGGAACACCGAATGATGTCGCTTGAAAGCCTCGCCATCCTTCTTCCATCATCCTTTCAAAGTTGCAACTCGTCATAATCCTCGTCTTGGGGAAAGCCTAGATGAAAACGGCCGCACTTTGACCACTCTAAGACAGCACCTTCATCAGTCTCAAACTCCACCACGCGTCCGCCATTTCCTTTATCCTCGCTCAAGAAGCAACATTGCAGACCTTCGCCGCTGATGGCCGATTGCCAGTTGGGCACAAAGAATCCAAAGATCGTGCCCTTGGCATCCCAGTACGTCTGCTGTTTGGTGTTGATGTACTTGAAAGGCCCACGGATCCGAAATGGCATGGTCGTATTCTTTCCAGCTTGGAAGACCTCCAACAGTTTCTTGTTCGTTGTGCTTTGTGGTGGCTTGACACGCTGCGTTGGCTGGAAGATGGTCACCATGACAAAAGGTAGCTGGTCATCTTTCTCGGCCGGTTCTACATCGCCGTCTTTGTCGATACTATATGCTATGCCGTCTACCTGGACGAGGTCACTCTCCTCATCTTCAAACACTCCTAAGCCATGGTTGCCGTGATTCGTCAGGAACGCCACAGGTGGTCCGCCGTCTTTCAGGCCGGCGTTGTAAGCCGAATGAAGCGAATATTGAAAAATGTCATTTGGTATAGACTTGGCCATCGCTAGCTTGTGGCTCACTCGAATTGGCCTTTGAACGCGGTCTTGGACAGTATCTGGCACGTTCGTAGGCGAGAAAGAACGAAATGCTGGAACCTAGAACGCAACTTCATGGAAGCGCTGCAGGGCTGTCATGTGTACGAGGATAAACCCCGCCATGATGGCATGGTGGTGTGTTTTCTGTCCGCACCCTGGGGTGGCACAAGTCCGATCTCTGTGATTCAGAGCCTACCAAGAAGCATATGTCCACATTGCGAAATACCCGTCACGTTCCATAGGCGAGCCGAGCATGACGAGACTACTAGGTATCTGTGAATCCATCGCCTCCGGTATATGATCTCGGTCTTTCCTCGTCTTTGGGCTGCACAGGGGCTCGATTTGATGCCTGGCCCGAACCCATACGACTTTCCATCCTTTCAAGAAAGAAGCCCGTCTATACTAATCATACTGTAATTGACCCGCAAGTCGCGCGACAATGGCGTTTCAGATAGTTTCAGACTTGCACCTCGAGTCGCCCAAAGCATACGACGTCTTCGAAATTGTGCCAAAAGCACCTTATCTTGCCTTACTTGGAGACATCGGCAACATTGTCCCACACAAGGAGGAGGTTCTTGCGTTCCTGACGACTCAACTCAAGCAATTTCGAGTTGTGCTGTTTGTTCCTGGAAACCACGAGGCTTATGGTTCGACATGGGCCGCGACCTACGAAATCATGCGGTCATTTGAGAAGTCCGTCCACAGTGACGATTCACTGGGAGAGTTTATTCTCCTTGACCGAGGCAGTTTTCAAGTTCCAGGAGAGAAAGTCATCGTTCTCGGCTGCAGTTTGTTTTCCTCCGTGCCGCAGAAAGACGAGATGGCCGTCAGTTTTGGAGTAAACGACTTCTTCCAGATCCACGACTGGGAAGTCGCAGCACACAATGAAGCACACCGAAAAGATCTCGCGTGGCTGAACGATCGGGTTCGGAGTCTGTAGGGCTCAGATTTCCAAATTCTCATCTTTACTCACTGGAGTCCAACAGCAGATGCACGCTCGAGCGATCCGAGACATGGAAACAGCGCAATCAAGTCCGGATTCTCTACAGATCTTTCTAGCGAGTTGTGTTTTACAGACAGGAATGTGCGTGTGTGGGCATTTGGGCACACACACTACAATTGTGATTTTGTCCTCGAGTGCGAAGAAGCCAATACAGGCCCCATCAGGCTTATCGCAAATCAACGTGGCTATTACTTTGCTCAAGCAGACGGCTTCGATGTTGACAAAGTTGTCGTTGTATCGAAAGTGTAATTATTTGCCCATTGGCGGGGTGACAGCGAGCATGAGTACTGTACAATACGCGCGTGATACTTACGGACTCAGTAGGGCCATCCATAGCCAGTTCTCAAAAACCCCCAACGATGATGATCTGTAGCAAAGTATAACGAAACAACTCAGCTGCCACAGAAGTTGCAGATCTCACCAATGATATGGCAGTGACCGTGGACTCGCTCTTGACCTCTATATCTGAAGCTCTGAGCGCGGCACATGTTCCCTGTGTTCTATGGGGACACATGATGCTTGGCGTACACGGAGTCCCGACTATGATTGGTGTAGGAACCTTCACTGTAGTCGTTCGTGACGATGCTAATCAATCTACAGTCAATCGACTTCGTAATTGCAGATGAGGACCTAGAGTCTGCACGTCAAGCCTTTGCTTTGCCAAATTTGTCAATTTGCAAAGAAGCACTAAAGTGTTTCATGCTCTCCGGAGAAGACTCTATACGGTTGCCAGCTTTGCATATGCATGTGCATACATCTGAATACGAAGTCAATGTATACCTTCAATCCTCGACACTGTGGTTCTTGCCTTCACTCACGCAGTCGATGCTCTCGGCACTGGCCCCGGCGCTTCCACCTTATCTACTTCTCGCATCAGATCGAACATCACTCCCACCATACCGACCTGGTCGGGGCTGTGGTTATTTACCGATCAGCGAGCATCCAATCATGGTTCCGCAAGCTGTCGTCTTCCTCGAGGCCTTTACACGGATGCTTGCACTCGATTTTGGAGCTCGAGATGTCAGCCAGTGCATATACACGATATCATATGTCTCGCAGTACATCGACGCAGATGGTCTTCTCGATCTTGAGGAGTTCCCTGAGCCGATGAGGACATTCTACGTGCAATTCCGTCAAAAAAATGGCATGTAATTGCGCGAGAAGACTTTACAGCTGAAAGATGCGCTGGGCATACCGCTGGAAGATTCGCATGATGATTGATGAAGATGGCAGTGTCGTTCATTTTAGACGTTCAAGGTAGATTATGGAGCCTATCAAGGATCCTGACTGAACTCACTACACGATTAGATACCCAAAGAAGACCCGATGGCGCCTCGACTCCGCAACAATCTCAAACGAAGAATACAGTAATGTCCCTCCTTCACACCCAGGTATTCTTCCCGCTCAACTCGTCTGTGGCATGGAGCCACATGGTAGCAGTGTCTCGCGGACCTGCTTGTCTCATGTCGTGATCATCCTGCATATTTCCCACAGGCTCTCCAGATCGGGGAAATGTTGCAGCAGGTCGAAGAATCATGTCCTGGCGAGCTGGAGCATCTCGCTGAGACTTTCCAGTGTCCGTGCTCTTCCGGCGTGGTCGACGTGCTCGACTCCCAGCGCGGCTTCTCGTTCTGACAGGAGGATGGTAACGGCGAGAGTCGCTCATTTCGCGGCGCGTTGTGTCGTTGCTGGGCGGTACTGCAGGCGCAGCGGCGTGAACGGGTGGATTATAGCCTCTGTTCTGGACCGTCCTATCGTGTAGCGTAGCGAGGTCGAAATGTTCCACACGTGATCGCATTTGAATTCCCAACCCAGGGTTTTGTGTCCGCCGGCGAGCAGAGGTTGGGCTTGGAGGTGGTGGGAGCTCTTTGTTCGTGTTGGCACCGAGTGGAGGCGACCTTCTTGGCCTTGGCGGACGACGGTGAGCTCCATGTGGCACTGGTTGAAGCACAAAGCGCTCATTCGTGATGGCTGACGGGGGAACATTTACTTTCAAACGCGGTCTGTCAGCGTCCAAATGTCGTTCCCGTGCTTGGTTGAAGTCGACTATGGGCGACTTGGACGGAGGTAATTCTCCAAATAAAAGGACATCGATGCGATCAAGTAGACCAAGCTTCGACTGCTTTGGCTTGGCGCCAGCCGTAGACTCTACCACAAGGTCCTTTGCATCGTCTTTAGCCGCCATCACCTCACTTGGTGTCTCGTTGAAGCCTCGTGGGATTGCTCGTTCTGTAATAGAAATTAGCGTAAGCGGACTGATAATGGTTGGCTGGCTCGGTCATCGTTTACTCACCTTTGACCAATCCTCCATTGAGATCAACGTCGATGGTCGTGACCAAGGACTTTTCGGTGGCTTTGCCGGATTCAGAATATTTCTTTGGCTTCTTCTGCTTCTTTTTCTTCGACTTCAATTCCTTTGCTTCAAGTGGGACATGTGGCTTCACTGGCTGCACGATCGCGCTAAATCGTGCCTGCGGATTGGCAGTTTCGTTTCGTGGGAGCTCAATGTCGTCAAATCGTGATCGCGAAGTGGGCTCTTCGATTTGCGAGTGCTTGATGGTGTCTGGATCATGTAAGGAGACGTCTTCCGAATAACGTGGGAACTCGTCCGTGCTATGCACGAAGTACTCCTCCTCTACTGATACTTGTGGTACCTTGACCTCAGTCTCCTCATCCTTCGTCAATGCAACTCGCGGCACCCGGAACACCGGTTCGTCATCTTCCGGCAATGCGACTTGCGGCACTCTGAAGACCGGCTCGTCATCTTTCTTCGGTGAGCTTCTTCGCATTCTGAAATCTGAGTCGTCATCTTCAGGTAGTGCGACTTGTGGCACTTTGATCTTCTTTGGCTCCTTCTCTGGGGTCGTGAAGCCTGATGATCCATTGTGTACCGGAGTCCATACACGATCTGTATCACTATCGGCACCATTGACACTGTCTTCTTCATCGTAATCTGCAAGGAGTTGATCTGTCCATGTGTCGAGCTCTGCAGCGGCCTCCGGATCAATTGTGCGTCTGTTCCCGAGCTGCGTCAATGAAGGCAGAGAGCCGAGTTTGGACCATGAATCTACATCATTTGCGAAGGATGCAAAAACTTTATCGAACGACTCTGATCTTCGACGGCCAGAATCCGATGTTGGTGATCGCTCCTCCAATATGTCTTCAGCACTGTAAATCGAGGAGGCAGCTCGTCTTAGAGGCCTTCCTTCGCTTTTGCGAATTGGCTTGAAATTGGCTGCGAATGCTTCGTAGCTGCTTGATTCTGGGCGTTGAAGTTGCCGTGCTATGGATCGTATGGACTTTTGTTTCTGAAGCTCACACTGATCGCGTTCTGTCGTTCCCTGGATTGCCATTTGCGGGTGCCGTAGCGGGCAGTTCAACTTAGAAATGGATTTCTGAAATATATCAATAGTGGTGATTACTTTTGCAATGTGTCAAAAACCCAAGAAAAGACCAAGGAAAAATGAAACGATCAGAGCGTATATACGAAGCTTGATATTGCTCGCCGAGATACAGTGGTGCTGATATCAAACATCGCTGCACGGCGCGTACTGCTACACACACGTTGGTCCACGTGATGGAATTTCTCCTGCCTTTTCCTTTCGTGTCTGAGTACGCGACTATCTCTGCGCATGATAACATTAATATTTTCTCGATTCGCGCTCATGGAGAAGTTCATGTTGCAAGGTGACGTTGTAGTTGGTCGGCAGACAAAACTGGAGTGACGCATCTTGGAAAGCTTCGTCCCGCGGGCGTCTGCTCGGGGCCAAAACATGTGGCGCAGCAAGTTTTGAAACATTCCATTGGAAGCGTAATTTAGCTGTACAAATCAGAAAGGCGACCATCCAGAGTCACTCTGCACCTGAGTGAACACACAACTCCGCTGAAGTATACCGCAAAGAAATATCTCTGTACATTTTATGGTGCTCCTACTGGGCAGCAACAGTCTTCTTCGCCGTCCAGACTCGCTTGATCGCCTCAGTGATGCCGACGTCGTTGGTCTCGAACTCGTACCAGCCCCATCCAACAACAAAGACTGCGAGGACGTTGGCCCAATCAAAGACCTTTCGCAAGATCGGTACGCGCCAGTTGGGTAGGTAGTCGGTGATGCAAGACCTGTTCATGTCAGCTTATAGTTTCCTGTCGCAACCCTCCGTCTGATCATACTGGAATCCAATGTAGGTGTGAACGATGATAAGGCTGATGAGAGTACCGTCCAGGAGAGGGTTGAGCGAGCCAACAGCGAATGGCAGGATGGTGATCGGAATCAAGCCAACGGAGACGAGACGTTCGGCGGTCCAGTGGTAGCTGCCGTGCGACGGGTGTGCGTGAGGGACCTTGACAGGATCATTGACTGTTCCTTGGATGGCTTGAGGAAGCGGTGGGAGAATGGCCATGCGAGCGGAGGTTTGGAAGGCAGCGCGCTGCAGAGCCCATTGCTGCGACCTGAAGGCGGGAAGCGTCGCACTGGCGGTACGCTGAACGGGCGCCCCGAGGCATTGGCGAAGGATTGAGGAGCGGAGAGCGGATGCCATGGCTGCGAGACTGTCGACTGAACTCGCAATCACGTTGATGAAGTATTGGGGCTGTCGACGACAACGTGTGCGTGTGTGTATGAATCGTGAGTATTGGTGACCCCAGGGTGGAGAATGCTTTCCCGAGGCCTGGCGAATCAGCAAGCAGCTCATTGGCTGGTTTCCAACTCGGGGGCTTCGTCCCAAGACTTTCTTTTCCGCCGGCGGAAGCCGGACAGCAATCTTTGTAGGTCAAGCCAGCTCCACTGTGTGCATCGCGACGTCGCAACGAAAGCTTTCCTAAAGCCATCACGTCCAATCTTTTCTTTTCCTTTGCTCATAATACTCCGGCAATGGCATCGAGAAAGCTCGCGCTGAGCCTGCAGCAGGGCCTACGCGCCCAACGTGCCATCAACGCTGTCAAGCCCAACATCACTCGTCGGGCTTTGGCTACTCCTGTTAGCCATGGCAGCATTACCGAAAGCACCACTCTGAGCAATGGCTTCACGGTACGTGGCCATTGATGATTGCTGTGCATCCTGGCTGACGATGGGAACATACAGATTGCCACCGAGCACTCGCCATACGCACAGACGAGCACAGTCGGTGTCTGGATCGATGCTGGTTCTCGCGCCGAGACCGACCGCACCAACGGCACTGCTCACTTCCTCGAGCACCTTGCTTTCAAGGGCACCCAGAAGCGTAGCCAAAGTCAATTGGAGTTGGAGATTGAGAACATGGGTGGTCACCTCAATGCCTACACCTCCCGGGAGAACACCGTCTACTACGCCAAGAGCTTCAACAGCGACGTTCCCAACACTGTGGACATTCTGGCCGATATCCTGCAGAACAGCAAGCTCGAGCCATCAGCGATTGAGCGTGAGCGTGATGTTATCCTTCGGGAACAGGAAGAGGTGGACAAGCAGTTGGAGGAAGTCGTTTTCGACCACTTGCACGCAACTGCATTCCAGAACCAGCCGCTCGGACGCACCATTCTCGGACCCAAGGAGAACATTCAGTCCATCTCGCGCGACGACCTGACCAGCTACATCAAGACCAACTACACTGCTGACCGCATGGTCCTTGTTGGTGCTGGTGGTGTTCCTCACAGCCAATTGGTCGACCTCGCAGAGAAGTACTTCTCCAAGCTCCCCGCCTACAACCCTGACGCCCAAAACAACGCTGCTGCTCGTGGCATCGAGTCCAAGCCCGATTTCGTCGGCTCCGAGGTCCGGATACGCGATGACACCCTGCCCACCGCCAACATTGCCATTGCTGTTGAGGGTGTGAGCTGGAAGGACGACGACTACTTCACCGCGCTCGTCACCCAGGCCATCGTCGGTAACTGGGACCGTTCCATGGGTAACTCACCATACCTCGGCTCTAAGCTCTCCACCTTTATCCACGACCACAAGCTCGCCAACTCCTTCATGTCCTTCTCCACTTCCTACTCGGACACTGGTCTTTGGGGTATCTACCTGGTTACCGATGCCGTCACTCGCATCGACGACTTGGTGCACTTCACTCTCCGTGAATGGTCCCGTCTGTCATACAACGTCAGCGAGGCCGAGACCGAGCGCGCCAAGCAGCAACTCAAGGCCAGCATTCTCCTCTCCCTCGATGGCACCACCGCCTCAGCCGAGGACATTGGCCGACAAATCATCACCACTGGCCGCCGTCTTTCACCTGAGGAGGTCGAGCGTGTCGTTGGCAGCGTCACTGCCGCCGATGTCATGAGCTTCGCTCAGCGAAAACTGTGGGACCGTGACATCGCCATCTCGGCTGTTGGCAGGATCGAGGGTCTCCTCGACTACGCCCGTATCCGAAACGACATGAGCCGCAACCTTTCATAGAGCGGTTGATGGATAGCATGCTGTGTAACAACGGAGTGAGAATCTCGGAGAAAAAAATGGAATTGGCTCGAGCGTCGTGGAAGCAGTGTCATCGTACTAGGTATAGAAAGCCAAACGTCCCCGCAGCGGTCTTGTCTGCTGGCGGTCCACCTGCAAATGGCAGATGGATTCAGGCGTTGATCTCATGTATATGTATGCTCTCGAACATTGCATCTCCTTTTCGAAATTTCTATTTCTTTATTGAATGCGACACGTCTGTTGTTGTTGTTTTGGCCGTGGTAAGCTGAGATGATTAAGTCTAAATATACAGCGGTGTAGGGGAGATCATTATTCGTAATTATCTTGACCTCACGGTCATGTTCTCATTGTCTCAACTCGACTGCGTGCGCACCTTCCTTCGCAGCTTGAACAGACTCCCACTCGTCCAGATGACGGCGGGTATGGCAGTGAACGCGCTCAAGCAACCCAGAACGAGCGTCATCGTTGGCCAGCCTTTGGACGAGTTGATCAATCCACCCAGCAGCGGACCAATAAGGCAGCCAGCCGCCCAAGCCATGTTGAACAGACTATATGCGGAAGCATACGCACCGTTCTTGCCAAAGAACCCAGGTGGGTGCTTCTTCTCCTTGGTATCGACTACGTAAGCGATCTCGGCCATGATCGGGGTCAAGGCGAGCGTGAGCCCGAGGCCAATCATACACAACAGCGCGCATAGCAGCACCTTCTGCTCCATACCATTGTGGTCCACAAGACGGAGGAGTATCAGGAACGGCACGGCGAGGATGAAGCCGCTTGTCACCAGCCATCGGGCGATGTTGAAGCGGTCCGATGCCCAGCCTATGACGGGTCCTACGAAGGTCGCGGCCACTATTGGGAGGAAGATTAGTCCGGCACCGGTGGAGTTCCAGCCGAAGGTGTCGGCTACGAACAATGGCAAGGTCGCGTCGAAGGAGGTCAGGAGAGAGGCCTGCATGGCTGAGAGCCAGAGTGCGCAGAGGAGGCGACGGGAGCTCAGGAGGAAGATGACGGGCGGCAAGCGGCCTGTGAGGCTTTTGCGAGTTTTCGCAGTCTCGCCGGTAGCCTCGACGATGTCGTCAGACCGAGTTCGCTCGGCTTTGACATTATCAGGTGAAGTGATATCGGTAATATGGTCGTTTGTACTGCCGCGCTCAATGTCGGGCTCATCGGAGACGATATCTGTGACATCTGCCTCCTTTTCTGTCTTGGTTTGCGAAGTCGTCTCGACAGGCGGAGTGTCATCTGGCAACCACCGTCGAGCAACTTTTTTCTCGATCATGACCAATCGTAGGAAGATATCGAGAATGATAATTCCAAAACCCATAGCGAAGACAGCATAGTATCCAGCCTCGGCGAATACAATGCCTCCGAGCAGAGGCGCCAGAAGTAGTGCGAGAGACAAAGCCAATCCCACATAGCCCATGGCCATTCCCAGCTGCTCCGATCCGAGGGTGTCGACCAGCAGAGCTAGACCGACCACCCATGCCACAGCAGCGCTGACGCCTTGAAGCACACGGCCGGCGATGAGCACCCCTACGCTTCTACCAATGCATAGAAGGACGGTCGACCCGCCCAATGCGATGAGACCAGCCAGCATTGGCCATCGTCGAGATTCGATCTTGTCCGCGCACCAGCCGAAGATCGGAGATGCGACCAGTAGCGCGGCACCATAGACGGCCAGAAAGATGGAGATCCAGGTTTGGGTGTCATCTTCAGCAACTGCAGCTCGGGAGTTGAGGGCAAAGGGGAGTACAGGGACGATGATTCCGTAGAGGAAGATGTCTGCTCATTCCATATCAGACCGAGATGAAAAACTTTCGAACGTTCCTGCCTTATCCTCGACTTACCAGTGAAGATGGCAATACATATTACAATGATGATGAATGTACTAGAGCTTCGAAGCTCCAAGAGGATCGGACGCTTGGTGTAGCGACCCGTCAGCCAGGCGAACATTGCGAGTGATGTAGTTTTCTATGACGTCGAATATGTCGAGGCCTCATGAAGAGAATTTCGGATGACAAGCACCATATATGAAGACTCTGATGTTAACGGAGAACGAGGATGTCTGGTCTATGGGAGAACATAAAGCAGTCCATCACTGCAGCATATATACTAACAGCAATAAAGTAGAGGCGATGTCGTCTACGCGCGGATACCATTGACCACCAAACGATCTCGTGGTACGATCCCGGGAACGACTAGTCCACTACGACAGTGCTGTTTTTGTGGAGTAGGGCGCAAGAAGAGTCATGCCCGCCTGCATAAAACGACCTTGGAATGGTACAGTCCACCAAAAAAGTGGTTCTTTCCTGCCCGTTGCATAATGATTTTTACTAGTCTGCATACCAAGGAAAAGAATGGGCGAGGCTAGACTGCATACAGTGAGTCGACGCGAAACTCCGATTTCCCCGAGCGATGACTGTGACCGTGATTGAAGATAATTCAGAAATTCTTGTCCCAGACGTGTTGGATGACCGCTCTTCTGCGGTTTCTTGTCGGTGAGGCAGGGGGATGTTCATGTACTATACGCCAGCGGAGCACTGTAAGATGCACGAGAAGGTCGAGTGGCGCGCAATGGAACGAGGCTTTGACTGTTGCTGAAGTCCATTCCCGGAGATATGCCGTCGCTACCAATGCCAGAAAAGACAAATCTTCGCAAAGCTTTCACTATGGCTTCTCGTCAATTATGATTGTACACTGACTGTCCCTTGTGACCAATACCCGGTAACAACCTTGAAAGCCACGGAGAATATTGTTTCCTGGGATAGACGTGACTACCCACGTATGTGTGCAATGCAAGCGTCCAATCCACGCAAGCACGATCAATCTTCCATCAGATCGGCTCGGAGCGAATCCCGCATTGGTAGAGCCCTTGTCTAACTCGTGAAAAGACTACCTAAGTACCCGTGACACTTGCCCGTTCGCCACATGTGCCGAGCGAGACATCACATCGACAGAGCCCAGGCGGCTGTGAGGGAAAGATCAGCGAAAAAGTAAGGGTCGCGCTCACGGGTCCGCGACATGGGTATCGTGAACGACTGAACACTGTGTGCTGCGAGTGAACATGCAACCGGGAACAACAATGTCAGATAACGCCAACAAAGTCAAGTCCAGCGCGCTGTCGACCTTTGGAGACAGTCTACAACGTTTCAAGCATCACAGCACGGTAACTAAAGCAAGCTCGGCATCGAGATCATCCCCACGGCATGTCACCAAAATCGAGAAGAAACGACAAATCCACGATGTCTCCGATGCAGATGATACCACAAACAACAAATCCACACCGAGCGCCTCACCCTCGCCAACAAAACGAGCCCGGATCTCAAGCAAATACGCTCCGCCCTCGAAATATGCCCACCTCACTCCTTTAACCGATACTCTAGTCCCAGGTCTAATCTGCATCTTCGTCGGGACCAATCCGGGCGTCCGCACCGCCACCACAGGTCACGCCTACGCCCACCCCTCGAATTCCTTCTGGAAACTCCTTCACAGCAGCGGCTGCACCGACCGACGTCTACAACCCCAGCAAGACGTCGACCTCCCACGTCTCTACAGCATGGGCAACACGAACATCGTCTCGCGGCCCAGCAAGGACGCGGGCGAACTCAGCAAAGCCGAGATGGCGGCCGGCACGCCCATCCTCGAGGCCAAAGTCGCGAAATTCCGCCCCGAGGCTGTATGTATTGTCGGCAAGGGCATCTGGGAGGCGGTCTGGCGATGGCGGTATGGAAGGGAGATGCGCAAGGAGGAATTCCGGTATGGGTGGCAGGATGAGAAGGAGAGGATGGGGAGGGTAGATGGGGCCGAGTGGGAGGGTGCGAGGGTGTTTGTGGCGACGTCGACGAGTGGGTTGTCGGCGAGCACGAAGCCGGCGGAGAAGGAGGCCATCTGGAGGCCATTTGGGCAATGGGTCATGCAGCGGAGGGGGGAAAGGGGGATAGAGGAGAGCGTAGGTGGACGAGATGTCAAAGCTGAACCGTCGTGAATTCATCGTCAAGCAGAGCCTCTTTTATGTGTGCTAGACATGGAAGTATATTGGTCAGACGAGCTCAAAGGGTCACATGAAATAGATGTCATTCGCGCTCAGTTCGAAACGGAGCTTTCATCCTCGCAGGTGCACATTCGCATGCTCATTACGCCATATTATCAGTATGATACAAAATTCGTCTGTAGCTGGTATCGCTCATCCAGAATCCATCATCGCCGGCCCAGGTATGACCTTCCAAAGTCATCTACCCACGAGCCTCCACCGTTGATGCCCTGTGCGCCACTCAATGACCTTGCGTCACGTTGTGCTGAAGCAATCTGTCCCTGCAGCGATTGTGCTCCCTCGCCAATGTTTTGCAGCTGCACAAGGTGGCTGTTCAGCGTTCGCACGATCTGCCTCAGAGGATCCGATTCGTTAGTGTTCGCGTTGCGGTCGTCGCCCGAATTCGTAGCGCTTGACAATTTGCTGGAGGCGTTGTTGATCTCCGCAACCATGTCGTTCAGAGATCGAGACACGTCACCAAGTCGGGAAGAGCACTGCTCGGCCAGTTTGTAGGTGTTGTCGCGTTCAGCATCAACGCCACTGATTCCATCGGCGTCGACTCCAGCGACTTGCATCATCTGATCGACTTCCGCCTCGTACCGGTCCAGAAATACCGCAATGTCGTTCTGGGTGTGCTCGACGTTGGTCAACTGCCGTTCCACTTCGCTGCAGTCGCGTTCGGCCTGGAAACAGCGGCTATAAAGAGCGCTGATCTTCATGCTGTTTTCAACCATTTGACGGTCCCACGCACTGACTTGTGTAGCGAGGTCCTTGAACGACTTTTGGTGCGAGGTGAGGGACGTTGACCACATGGTAAGGACTTCGTCAAGAGTTTTGTGCGCCATGCGAGAGCCGTTGCGAGGCGCCGGTCCAGTAGTGCTAGCGCCGGCGTTGACCCCGGTGGTATTGCTGCCAGTTGTTGCAGCGCCTGTAGGAGCGGAGGCCGTCGCAGTCGAAGATGCAGGCGCTGCTGCGGACGATGAATTAGTTGGGAATAGGCTGCCCGTCGGCGCAGACGTCGTCGTTGCTGGGATCGAAGCCGAAGCAGAAGAGTTTGAGGCGGTAGCACCGAACAGAGAGGGAGCTGCGCTGCTTGTCGTGGTGGCTGTGGAAGTCGCCGGCTGCGCAGGCGCGGAAGAACCAATCTTGCCGAAGAGACTACCGGCAGACGGTGCAGTAGTCGCAGCAGGCGCTTGGCTGCTGCCGAACAGACCTCCCGCAGGCGCGGAAGTAGCTGGGGGCATGGAAGGCTTCAATGCACCGAACAGAGAGCTTCCAGAACCCGCGGTCGCACCAGGAGTTGTAGATATTGCCTGTGCCGATGACGAGGCTGGTGTTCCGGCTGTCGCTCCAAACAATCCACCTCCTAGCCCTGTAGCCGGAGCTGCACCAAGCTTGGGAGCCTGCGCATCGCCAGTGGCAGGTTTCGCTGAGAATACACTCGAGCCAAATGTGCTTCCCAAAGTCGGCGCGGCGGCGCCTGGTGCAGCACTGGTCTGGCCTTGCGCAGGGGCTGCGGGAGGCTGGAACATGTTGCTCGGGGCTGCGCTCTTCTGACCAGCATCCGTGGCAGCCGGTTCCGATGGACGCTTGGCGAATGCGCCAAACGTGGTTGAAGCAGCAGGACTACTCGTTGAATTGGCGTCAGCCGATTTGTTCGCGCCACCGAAGAGACCGCTACTTGAGGCTTGTGGTGCAGCCGATGGGGCAGCCGGGGCGCCGAAAAGACTCGAAGCCGGAGCTGCTTGAGTTGTCGCTCCCTGGGCTGCTGATGTCGTAGTGGGAGCTCCGAACAAACTTGGGCTGTTTGGCTTCGCGCCAAATAGACTTGTTGTACCAGAATTGCCAAATGCCGGCCCCTTTGAGGCGGGAGCGCTGCCATTCGCCGTCGCAGCGGATGCTGCTGTCTGATCTTTCTGTTGCGCAAAACCTCCGAACAAAGATCCTGAAGCACTCGATCCTGCAGCGGCCGGGGTGCTGCTGACAGCGCCGAACAGAGGCTTTGCAGAGCTCTGAGCGCCGAACAGTGGTGCTGACGGTGTTGTAGAGCTTCCAAATAATGATGGCTTGGGTTCTCCCGAAGGTGTTGTGGTGTTATTTGTGCTGGCCATCTTGTTGGCCGCTCCAAAAAGATTGCTCGAACCGAATGCTCCTGTGGTTGGGGTTGCAGCAGTCTGGTTTGTACCGCCAGCCGCTGGTGTTGTATTACCGAAGCTGAATTTTGGCGCACTTGCGTCGCCAGCAGTTGTCGTCGGCGCTTTCCCAAAAAGCGAAGACGAAGATGTTGCTGGGGCACCAAAAGTGCTGCCGAAGGAGAAGCCAGCAGGCTTATTGGCGTCGGCCATGCTTTCCACTAGAATCGACGCGGTGCAAGGATGCAAGGTTCCGCGATAGCGACGCAAGGGATGTCACGCGAACGTGCCGTGTTCTGTGATTGGAAGGTGATGAATCGATGTGTGCTGTAGTGTGACAATGCAGTACAGCCCTGGAGTACATTGCTGTACATTGCAGGTTTAACCAACAAAACGCGCTGACGCGTGAAGCTCGGGCCATAGCAGAATTTCGACCATGCAAATGCTACAATTCAATCCGTGGACAGCTATCTAGGTGTAGGACAATGCAAATGCTCCTCCTGTGCCCATGTGTTTCATCACTTGTATAGCAACTTTCTGCTCCTACAGGTCATTCTGAGATGACTTTCTCGGTAGTGAGCATAATATTCATGGCCAGAAGCATCGCTGGCGCTCGGAGACGGCATGTCTTCTTTGATCACGTAGAATGCCCGACATCCTTTTGGCCCGACATCTACTTGATTTTCCACCAAGAATAGAGTCTCGTACGAGCAACACGAACACTTCAAAACAATTGAATGGAGAACCACGAGTAACGTTGCTTCATAGGTACGTGATGCCGTATCTCACCTAAGGCCAGAGTCGCCAAAGTAGAACAAAGAAAGAGAAAGCCGGCTGCCATGTAAGCTGACGAACGCTGAACGCCGATGCTACCCAATCTCCAAACGCCAAAATGATGCAGCACACGAGCGCGCTAGAATAATGTCTGATGGAGCTGCTTTCGGTCGTGACTGACTGAGAGTCATGCATCCTTGTCCTCAAGCTCGGATGGTTCCTGGTGACGAGACAGCACCTTCTTCTTGAACTCAGCCTGGTCATGATCCCAGAGTTGGGCAGCTTCGCCGTTTAGTGGCGAGGCACTAGCGAGATGTCAGTGGAGGTCGACCTAAGTTTCGCTTAACCGAACTCACTTGTTTGGCTCTCCAAGCAAGCTTTGGATACTGAGCAGCACACTGCTGGTGTTGAGTACAGCACTCCACGCGCCCTCCTTGCCTGGCCCAGCTGGCTTCAGGATATCCAAACAGATTCGCCCGCTCATGTCTACGTTCGGGTGATAGATTGGTGTCTGGAAGAGGACCTCTGGTGGTGCAAAAGGATAATTGGAAGGGTAAGTGCAAATGAGTTTGAATGTGAGGTTTTCATAGGGCGTGCCGCTTGGGCCGGCAATGGTCGCATTCCATTTCGTGATGTCAGCTCCTGAAGGAAAAGCGTTGATACCAGGAGTTGGTGTGGTCATCAGAGTCATGAGCTCAGATTGCAGTCTGTTTCCGTCATGTCAGCCCACAAGTCTTCCGTCGTTGCGATCCGCGCCACCAACCTTTTTATGACGTTTCCGTTGTTGGCAGTGCGTGCAGCACCATTGGCCTTGGTGCCTTGCGTGATTGATGGGGTTGAGGACATCGCAGGATTCATAGCATCCAATCTGTTGGCCATGATTGCTGGGTATTCGTAGGCTGCGTGAAGGGGAAGTGTAGGTTGGTCCGAAGCGGATGGCTTGCACGATGATTGCTCGAGGGAGTGAACGAGATAAATTCTGAAGTTCCACCTGCTTCCGACACCTTATGAATAACTTGGTATTAATTGATTATTGCCAGCAGATGTCAAGTTGCTGAAAGGCTATGAATGATCACAGCGAAAGATAGTTGACGAGCATCTTCAATAAACGCCTGCCCTCCAGTGCTGCATAGCAACCAGTAAACAGAGGGGCCGTGCTGGGGGCGCGCGCGTTGGCTCGCGTGATGCCACTCTCCACTCTCCTGCTTAACAAATCCTCACGGGCTATAATAATAAACCCATTTGAAACCACTTCGCGCCGGACAACGCGACATGGACGCGAAGTGCGCGCTCTCTCGCAATATCAAATCGTAAATAGTGCATGCGAAAACAACCACACCGTCCGAGTTTCCCAAGCAGTCTTCACCTTTCTTAGGAGCGCCTCTATGGAGACCATGCGTCCTACAGTCGCTGTACTGTAGCATGTGCCGCCCTCGAAAGCTCCGCCGTTCTCTGCACGACACTGGCCAAACACTAAGAAGAAGATCACTAGTCGGGCAAATGGAAGTGCTCCAGAGCTTCGAATATGCACGTCTACCATCAGGGACTTTGTGACAAAGGAAAGACTGTATGTCGTACATTGCCAATGCTGTGGCAGCTCCTGTTGTGAATGCACTGCAGCTTCGTGCTTGCCCAATGTTCTACGTTTACTTGCCATCAAGGGCCTATCTCGCGGCCTCCAATGGCATTGTCTATATTAACCGTAGAGGGATAACCAAAACATAAGATCTGCTTTATTTGCATCAGACAACACTTGGTGAAGGAAACAATTGATACCGTTCCAATCGACTGATAACACACGATGGAGACGCCGCGGGCCTCCACAATAGGCAAACCTGACAACAAAGCCAATGACATTTTCCAGCCAGAGCGGCCCAATACGGCGCTGTTCACAAATGAGAGGCGCGAGATCTTCATGGGCGCATCACCTGCCCTGCGACCGAAGTCTGATGAATGCGTAGTTCGCATGCGCTGCAATGGCATCTGCGGGTGAATTTCTGCGTGTCCTACAGCCAACTGAAGCTGTACTGAAGCACTTCGTGACAGGTCTGACGTACACTTTTGGCACACGGGATGGATAGGCGATCTACAAATTACGAGCGATCATGTGCTTGGCCACGAGGGCGCGGGAGAGGTGATATGGACCGGTGCGGATGTGAAACAATTACGTGTAGGAGATCGAGTCGCCATCGAGCCAGGCGTTCCCTGCGATGAGTGCTTCGAGTGCAGGAGCGGGAATTACAACCTCTGCGCGGGCGTTGCGTTCTCGGGCGTTCCTCCTCATCCCGGGTCCATTCGACGATATCATGTACATCGCGCAGCCTTTCTCCACAGGCTCCCAGATAGTCTGTCCTACTCCGACGGCGCCCTCCTGGAGCCACTAAGTGTGGTCTTGCACGGCTTCGAACGATCTCCAATTAGGATGGGAGAATCGACAATCATCTTGGGTGCAGGGCCTATCGGGATGTGTGCTCTGGCCGTCGCGCGAGCCTCAGGAGCATGCCCGATTATTGTCACTGATATTGACCCCGGCAGGCTTCAGTTCGCTCGTGACTTTGTTCCAGGCTGCATCACTGTTCAGATTGACATGCAGAATCAGCCAGAAGACTTGGCGAAGTACATCAAGCAAATCATTCGCGAGTCATGCGGAGACGAACCACGAATCGTCTACGAATGTACCGGAGTGCAGAGCAGTGTTGTTACGGCCTGTTATCTACCTCGCCGCGCTGGTGAGGTCATGGTCATTGGCGTTGGACGGCCCATCATGAACGACCTGCCCTTCATGCACATGTCGCTGGCGGAGGTAAGTCGGGTCACAGTAGACACAGCTCCCTACCGCTTACTGAATGAATCGCTCGAAGGTTGACCTGAAGTTTATCAACCGCTATCATCATTCATGGCCGGCAGCAATACGCCTCATTCAACATGGAGTTATCAATTTGCAACCTCTGATCACGCACCGCTTCCAGCTAGATGATGCCAAACAAGCCCTCGAGGCTTCGGCCGATCGGACGACTGGCTCAATCAAGATCCATATCGAAGATTTTGGACCATGAGTCGAAGTCATTCTACGCTGCGTACAGCTTAGGCACGAGACGTCGACCCGAAGATCGAGTGGACAGGGGGCCGGCATTGTCGGATCTTTGTAGCAAGAATTGATTGCTATCCAACGCGTTTCTCAATATACCTTGTAGGGAAATCAACACGCGTATTAATTACGCAGAGACCGTCATCTCATTCGATCGTTTTGCCAAAGCATTCCCTAGTACAGAGCGATCGCATGCCAGACATAGCATAGTAGTACTCAAGCCACGAGCGGCTTTTGAGCGCTCGTCTGCGAGGATGCAACCACTGTGACTTCATCACGAGTTTCCTCCTTGCCAACAAGAATCCAGTCCTTCACGAGAGCAGTCCCGTTGATGACTGAAGCGATCTCGTCGTCAGAGCAACGCATCATGAGAGCGGGTATATAGCATTCGTGCGGTGGCGCGGGCAATATATCGCTCTTCGACCACCAGGTGTCTTTCGGTCCCGTGGTTGCGTAATGCTCAACTTCCCTTAAGTCGATCTGACCTGTGGCAATGTCACGATGAGTAATCGCCCGCATGAAGATGTCGTAGGCGGCTTCAGGCTGGTATGAGGGTACCATGTGACCAGCCTGATAGACACGGGTGAAAGAAAGGTTGCCATATTGTCGTACAAGGCCACCGGATTGTACGTAGGGCGAGGACAGCGCAACAGGAGCGTAGCCAGCCTCTGCAAATTTCGCCTTCGATGACCAGGGAATGCTGAGCGAAGAAGCCTCGCCAGCCACCCAATTGCAAGCGTAATCGCGGTCGCCGTGAAGCAGAGCGACATTGACTCCGTGATCCAGGATGTATGCCAGATTCTGCAACTGTCCGCCTTTCACGAAATCACCGGTTTTTGAGAAGGCAGCACCGACTGCGGACGAGGCCCAAGTGTGGTTGACGGGAACGCCCAGGGCCTGTTGCACATGTGCTTGGTTGAGCCAGCCGAACATGTACGGAGCTGGAAATGGATCTTGTGCTTCGTGCGTGATGTCGAACCGTGCAGCGTTGTCGTTCTGTGCAAACAGTTCTTCAGTAAATCCCATCACCTGATCCTCGGCCTGGGAGCACATTGCGTTCAACTTTCGCACAGCCTTGTGATCACGATCGTCAGTCGAGTTTTGAAGTCTGCGACATTCGGCGATAGCATCATTCCCTCCACCAGGCTTCTCGAGCTCGTTCAATGCCCACTCATATCTTGACTGATTGTACACCTGAATGCCGTATGTGTTGTTGTATGGAAATGTGACGTAGGACCTTGCTAGGTCATACATATCTATGCACCCATTTATGATGCCGAGGGTGCTCAGGTGTAGATAGTGAGCACCTGGTCCCGATATCGTGCCGTTTGAGATCAATTCATTCTGGTGAATGAAGAAATCGATGACTATTGAGGGTCAGCCGCGGCATGCAGGGCGTGCTCGAGACCTCAGCACTTACTTCCTGGGCCGTAATGACCTCCATATGACTCTGTGAAAAGGCTGATGCGCTCGTCATTGGGTTTGTACGCAGGAAACTCTTCGAAAAATGTCTGTGCGAAATGCCATAATGCAACTGCGGCATGAAGCGTACTGTTGGCAGTACTGTTCACAAGTTGGCTCCCAGCAGTGCCAACGAGGAATGTGTTGTTGGTTTCGGGAATAAACTTGTCAAAGTCGGCAGGTTTGATCGCACCACCCTCATCGTCAGATGCAATGTTGACGGTCACATTTGTCAGGACATCATAGGAATAACCAACTTGGTTAGGCTGATCGATGACGAGCAAGTTCGCCTCGTTATTCCAGGACCATGGATTGAGAGTTGTTGTCATTGAATCATTATCTGCAGATACGTAAGCGACAATACTTTGACCTTGTGTTATGATCGCTGTCCAGATTGCCCAAGAAATATGTAGCACAGATCGACCGTGTGAGTGAAAGCTACGTACAGAACCTTGCTACAGACCGTATAACCGTTGATCTATGTAAATTCACTTCGGGCCAAGATATCCCCTGCGGCAGCATTTCCTACGTTGCAAGTGCAGTTCGGACTCCTTACATTGCAAATTGTGATAAGGAATTCAACCTACTGATGAAGCAAGGCCCGTTTTCGGAGAGCGCTCCCAGAAGACTCGATGCTCCCGGTCCGCCATTGAGCCAGATCGTGAGAGGTGCATTTGCAGGGTCCTTGCGTGATTCGAAGAACCAATAGAAGGTGTTGATGGGATAACCATTGTGTTCAAACGTCTCATTGAGAGCTTCTACTGGCAGATGCACGTAGCCTGGTCGCGCGTCAATACAGCAAGTCGTTCCTGGATCATAAAATTGCCCATACCTGCGTATGATTTTACTCCTGGTGTGGTTTCACAGATTCCCGGCTCTTTGTATGAAATCGTTACGCCTGGGTGAAATCTGGACGGCAGCACAGTAACACCCTCGGGTTTGGGCGGGAACTGGGAGTTCACAGAGACGGCGAAGAGCGACAACGCAAGTGCAGAGGCGAATGCCATACTTGCCAATATTGGCGACAATGTCTGCTCCGCTAAAGATGATGGTCATACTATGTATCCTGACATGCTCCAGCATGAGGTTTACGCGACCCAGGATCGGACGCGTGGCTGGCGGGAATGCCGCTGCAACTTCGGCGTGTGGGGTCGAAACAACGGGCCTCAGATGACGTCCTGGCATTCCGATTGATTACTATTCTATGCTCTTCCCGACTTCAACACCAGAAAATGCAAGAAATGACGCGAGATGGCTTAGGAACAGCTCTGCTCGGTTCTCGAAGGCCAGCTCAAGTGTGATCTGAAAACGCATGGGAACAGCTGACCGCGTAGCATTCTCCACCGTGCTCATGAAGTGGCTATGGTCATTCTCCATCCGTCGCAATCGCCATACATTCCCGTTCGGACCTCGTGGGCACCAACGATCGGATGCGTAAGCTGGGGTATTGAGACGAATGAAATCGAGAAAATATGCTCATCGAGACCGTTGGGCGCGCGGCAGAAAAGTTGTTCATGGCCAACAAGCAATGGCGCAATAAGCTAGTTGGGGGTCTTCCTGCTCAAGCGCGGCAAGCCACCACTTGATCGACGTACCTGGAGGCCATTGACTCCACCGCACGTAAAGAACTACGCAGACTATCGGATGACGATCAACCCGACATAGCTGGTTCCTCGAGTCTGCTCCGCGAATCTCAAAAAATGTCACAGTAGCTCCACGCAACTTTACGTCAACTCGATATGGCGTGACAATTCGCCATGCTCTATCGGCAATTCGACTTATGTTGACAACGATCAATGTAAAAGATATCACAATGCGCATTTCCACGTCGTTCCTGAGTTCTACACTCGTCAAATAGCAACCATGAAATTCACAGCATCAGCACTTACAACGCTGGCCTTAATCAGCCAAGCAGCAGCCAAATTCTGCGCCTTTGACACTCTATTAGGATTGGGCACTTCCACCTTCGATCTACCATACAACTTTCACCTCCTCACCCGCGGCGAAAATGGCACGACGTATCCTGTCGTGAGCGCTCCCGTCCCAGAGGGTGGCAGCTTCTTCTTCTCGCTTTTCATCGGCTCAAAGAACATCCCTCTCGATGACCCATCAGTGCCCACCTTCACCATGCAGGGCGGTACGGCTTATGCCAATGGAGGAAGAGTGACTGCTTCGGAAGGAATCTCACTTCTGGCACCCATTCCGCTTTACGTCGCTGCCGACAATCGGCAATACGTCCAGGGATTCGCCGCTGTGAATGTCACTTGTGATGGCAAACCGGAACTCAGCTTAAGATTCACAAATCTGTTGCCCATTCCGTTGGCGCCAGCCTCAGTGAACGGCACACTTGCCCCCGGATCGGCTGTTTTGACACCCATTGTAGACAGTCTGCTCAGTAAGTCTGCACGACTACAATGCTGCCCGTCGTCCTACCGTACTCACATTCATGCAGCGTTGTACAACCCCATCGATCTAATCGTCGTTCCGATCAAGCCGAAAGACCAATCCGTTCGACGACGACGAGCCTTCGTTGCCTAGATGATAAACAGTGGGAGAACGTATGTCTCTACCACCATATAAGGCTTCGCTCTGGGATGAGCATGCTGGCACGCTACCTTGGTGATTAGAGTAAGCGGGCCAGCAGCTTGCGAGATCGTGGAGGGAGGCATTTTCTACATACAATTATGAGATTTACGAAATGAAAGTTGAAAAGAGTTATACGCATGAATTTATCGATGGTGCTCGATTGCGATCATGGTCATTTGTAGGCTTGGAGAGGACATGGGTTCCCTGATGTCAGCGGTTGATTGCAGAAGCTCAACAACGGAACATCAGCGACTCATCGCAGCGGTTCTATCAACCAAAAAACCCAGGCCAATCTTAACAATGAGTGCTCATTCGATATGCTCTGGCCGACAATCACTTCGTGCGTGTCCCGGGCTTGGGCTGGGATTGCTACATTGTTCGACCTCATGATATCGAGGATTGTTCCAGACATAGGGTTGTGTTGTCCAACCCTATGAGTCTTACCCCAAGTCGTCTTGGAATGTGTCAGACGACAATTACATCACATTACTTCGCCCAAATGTGCCACTGACAAGATATTATCGACAAGAGACAAGTATGGAGCATAATAGACGGGATCTTGATGGAAAGGTCGCCGTTGTAACCGGTGCAAGCAAAGGTACAGATCTATAAGATTCATTCACGGATCATCACCAACGACCTTGGAACACCAGGCATCGGGCATTCGGTTGCAAGGCAGCTACAGTCTCGCGGCTGTTCGATATTGGGAACATGCTCTTCCTCACAGAGTCTATCCCTTATTGATGCAATCGAGGAACGACGCGAGCAGGATAACGACCACGATGTTCATTCCTCAGTTTCCACCCAGCCGCAGGTGCACGGAATTATAGCCGACATTTTGTCTCCGACATGCGCTATCGACATCGCCGATACTCTCGAGACACACTTCAATGGACGACTAGATATCTTGGTGCTCAATGCGGCCATTACAGGTTCTGTCCGAATCGGAGACAGGAGCAATGACGACAAGGCGAACGAGATCCAACCTTACCTCGTTGGCAACATTCAGACGTCAGTGTTGATCGTCAATGAGCTTGTCAAGCGCAAAATGTTTCGCGAGAATTCTCGGATCGTTTGCATATCTTCCATTCGATCGAAGCAGTCGACGCCAACATCGTGAGTGCGATTCCCGTAAATTCCATCCAAAACGGTCGTTTGACACAGCCATTCTGCCAGAAATTGACCGATTACAGGGTGATGTATTCTGCGACCAAGGCCGCTTGTGAGAGCCTGGTACGCACATGGGCAGAAGCATTCGGCGGCAAACAAAACGAGCTCGCATTCATGGCTGGAACAACTGCGAATGCGGTCCAGGTCGGACTTACCAAAACGACTGCCTGGAGTTCTGCAAGCCCAGAGTCTGTAAGCAAGTACACAGACATCTATGTGCCACAACAGAGCCTACCATGTCTCGCGGAACCAGATGATATAGCAGATGTGGTGTGCTTTCTTTGTTCACAGCAGGCAAGATGGGTCACCGGTAGTGTGTTGTCAGCTAGTGGTGGAGGCTGTAAGATCGGATGATGGCTTGTTCGTGTCAAGGGATAGCAGGCCATATGATGCCTCGTCATACAAACTTGATGACCGCAATGATATGTTCGTCTGCTCACGAAGGCCGAATCCTACAAACTGCGGATCATGGGTTCGCTCGCCAACGTGCGCTATGTTGTTAATCACGCACGCATCATTCCAATGACGTTAAATCTCATATGCAGCCAGGATTCAAAGAAATGTCGTAGAACTATCATGACTAGCCGACTAAGCTTGTCTATCAGCTGGTTTGCGAAGTCGATATTGGCTCGTGTCGTCGTACGACGAGTGCTTTGCGCGGAGAAGCTCGAAGATCCGACGCAACATTGCTTAGGCGCTGCATTTGTGCCGCACAGCCTACAATCCACCCAACACGTATGCTATTCAAACTCGAGATCGTTCGCTTGTTGTGCGAGCAGTAGAGGGGCTACGTAAATCGATTGATCTTGACAATTGCGCTGCGCGATTCATCAAATCCTCGAGTGGGCCGCCCACGAGTAAGCAAACGGATTTCCGTGGAATTGATCAGATAAAATGCGCAGCAGCAATACCTGCACTTTTCGCAGTCTACGCATCCCAGGTTTTTGTACCAAGTGTACTGCACATACCCACCCGCACGTAGGCAGGTACTTAGGACCTCTCGCTTTGAGTGAAAGCTAGCTTTGTTCGGCGTTGCGAGTGAGCCCTGGAGGAGACGACTACCTAGGTATGCTTGGATCTGCGTCCATGACAGATGCGCCGGCCGGCCAGGGCTTCTGGACGAATACATGAATTCCAGGTTGTCATGCAAAAGTGTATACCACTGTGCACTTTTCAAAGTTGGGGGAGATCTGTTGCGACGTACATAGACTCAACCCGGAGGTCTTGATCTAATCGTACTCTAGGTTCTTGACCTCCAGCGAAACCTCTATTCCTCTTCGTGCTGACAAGCATTTTCTCACGACATGGCCAGACTGCGATGTCCGAGATCGCCTAACAGGAAAGTCTGTGATGGATGGTGAATGGAGCGAAGGGATGACGGGATCTTCCAAACACCCGAGGCATGTGTAGCACACAGGACTGTATGCTCGCGTTGGCGCTACCCCGGCTTGACCGTTGGCAAGTACATTGACCGGCGTCATGCGTCCACGGTACGTGAAATAGCAAATTCAGAATCATCAAATGGGAAATCCCAACAGAACAAAATCTCCGAGCGTCGATGAAGGGGTTGTTGAAATGCTCTTCGATCGTGTCTCGTTGTAGTGAGGAAGGGAGAATGAATTGGACCACTGTCCTTCCTGGGACTGTGGTCGTCATTCTCCTCTAGCGAGTCATTCAGGTAGCCACGCGAAGGATGGCCCCGGGAACAAATGCCATATTGAGCAGCTGACGGTTGTCCGACGCCGTTGACGCCCTAATTGGCCCGGCCGCTCCATCCCCATTCATACTGCGTCTCACTCAGCTCGACGGAGCTTGTGAATGCTCGGTCACCCACGATGACGATTCTCACCCACTGCATGCTATGATATATTCCTTCGGTTCACCCGTGCAATAGCCTGCAAGCACGTAAATACAACATCAATTCGGGGTCAGTATGTTTCGGTCACGGATGCTATTGCGCTCTTCGTCAGATGTACATTCCCCCAAGAGGTCCAGAGCGTTGTGCAGGCCCAATGATTATGCACCACGGGCAGCGGTTCCTGCAGCACCGATCGCTCCTGTCATTGGTCTGATGCTCACGCCAGCCCAGACCGGGTAAAGTACTGGCTCGTTGAGTCGCTGCCACCTCATCACCAGCCATGACATACACAGTTCCAATCCCAGAAGCGGACGGCAGCGACGAGGACCATGCAGCTCGATATGTAATGACATGCGAGAGCGTTGACGGCATGTGCACATCCACCGATGGTGTATGCAGAGTACATCCAGTGCTCCTTGAGTTGTATGAAAGATGCTGAGCAGTACCTCGATGGAATTCATGCTATACCTTGGAACAGCCAAATTACTGCAACACACGTTTGTGACAGTTCGTGTGTTGTATATTATAGTACCATTGGGTCTGCCGGGGGCGGAAGTCATGCGGACTGCCGCCTGCGCATTGGTACAGTAGCACTGCAGTCTGCAGGTGTCCACGGGTGTCAGGCAACGTGTTTTTGTGTGATTTAATCATATTCTGGGAGACACTTTCGTGGCCGAGCTCTAGAGGGCGATCGTTGGCATTCGCTACATGTATGTTTCTGCTTCGACTACAGTATCTATGTTCGCGATGGGGTGAGCATATGTGTGAGGATCTGTCGAACCTGAGTGATATGACGATTGTCGGACACTTGGCGGGCGAAGGGCCAAACTGGGGTGGGCGGCATCGGTCTAGTGCTCCTCAAAGTCGGTTAGCGCCCAAGCTTAATTATTCCAGGATATTATTGAAAATCAATACGGGAGCGTCTCCATGAGGGTAATTAATGATAATGACATGTCCGGACGTGCATGAGGGAGAACAGAGGCCTTGAAGGGTGCGGGTGTGCTTGCTAGTAGTTGTTAGCCATTTAATCGGTACTGAACCTTACCTGATGACAGGGCCTGATGGCGAGCGGATCCGGGACTGTCGAGATGGTTTGCTGGACCGACGACATCCGCAGGACGGGCACAAAAACGCTTGTGGAAATCAGCGGACATTCGTCTCTTCCATCGCCATCGGCGAATGCAAGTGACTGCTAGACACGAGATCGTCAACTGCTTTACCCCAGCATCCAATCCATGGACAGCTCTGATGAGAGCAAACCAGTGCTGACACCATATCCATGATGAGAGCAAATATGGCTCGCACTGTGCTTTCGATTGTTTCATTATTCAACGCCGATAACAGCGAGGTACGTGTTGAAGTACACAATTGGGCGTCCGTCCTGTGTAGGGCTTCGAGAGGAGGCCTTTCCGGTGCATTCTCCACTTCGGCTATCCTGCTGGTGAGCAAAGAGTGCACCCACCCACCCACCACATTATTACAGGATTTGGCTGGTGTCCGCTCGCTGTCCGTAGACCTACACTGTAGTACTCCAGGGCTGTCCGGTGTCTCTTTTCGTCTGCCCGCTTTCCGCTTGTCATTGTTTCCGACGCTGCCGCCGCCGCCCACGTATATTGTAATACAATTTATGTATACACACCTGGGCATCTGGGCATACACAGTACTCACTCGCGCGCGCGCGCACACACACACCCACACACACACCTCTCTCTCAGCACATGCTCATCCACACACCTGATGCACCGTTAGCGTCCCCGATCCACTGCTGCTGGTCTTGCGTAGCGCGGGCGACACTCATACAGAGCAGAAGTCCGAATGATTGACGAATGCACGCTTACATTTACAACATCGCTGTATTACGCTCGGGCGTAACGGCATCCTCTCCAGCTCTGACCCTTCGCGCCGTCTCTCTTCCTCTGTTCCTACAATCGACATTCACGCCTTTGCTGCCATCGTCTTCCTGTCCTGCTGCATGTTTATGATACTTGGGTACTTCTCTCACATCATCGTCGAGTGAGTGACCCAGGTAGGCGTCTCATACCTGGCAGCGCCATTCTGTACTACCACTCTGTTCCACTATCGATCCATTCATTCCTATTGTCCTGGCTCTGGCGACTACTCACAGTACAGCACATTCTCTACCGCCTCTGACCATACTCGACCGACGACATTCCTCCTACTCTTTTGACACTGCCGTGTCAGAGCTCTCGCCCGCCCATTCTTCCGCATTCTCATAGTACACACGGTCACCTGGAATGTCTGCTATATCGCAACTCGATCCGACGCTGGACTGAACACTTGCACCACCCACGGGCATTGTGCTACACAAATATATATACCATACAAACGCATTACCTCAACGCTTCCCAAAGCCTCTGATTCTTGAGGTCTTTGGGCAGGACGGAGCATGCATGTGGTTCCTCGGACATTGTAGACACTGCCGGTTGGAACCCATACAGAGCAGCTCGATTTTCTCGCCATAAACCATGGCCACCACCTCCGAATCACATCCGGACTTCCTCCTACGCGGACCAGGAAAAGACGATGTCATCTCTTATGCATACGTGTGTAAACTTGAAAGAGCAGTCATCCAAGACGCTCGCAAAGCGTCATCTGGCCTGCAGTTCCTCACAGGCAGTGCTCCAGTATGGATGACCCGGGTTGCAATGTGAGAAGGTAGACTAACGAGGAACCTAGAAAATCCGCCTCGGCAAGAGGACGATCGACTTGACCATTTCTTCGGAGGCATTCCGTCATGAGCTATACTCCGCTTCTGTGCAGTCTTTGAGTGACTTCAAGTTCAGAAGCATCATCAGTCACCATGTTGGTCTTAAAGTGCACGAACGTAAACAAAGCCTCGGTACGGATGCTGCGCTCGCCGCCCTACAACAAAACCTCGCCTCAGTGCAGCAACAGAAGCAGGCTTTACACACAAACATCACCAGCTCGGTGTTGGCAACTCCGCAAAACCGCTACGATGCCGCAAAGGAGCAGAAAAGAGCAGGGAAACGCGGCTATGTTGGATCCCAGGCTGCCAATCTCGCGCCGGATGCAAGGTTGAGCAATCTTCCAGCAACTGTTCCAGCCGATGAAGCCGCAGCCCGAGCGAAGGCGATGCGGACCTCCCTGGTTCATTTGCTTGCGATACAGCCGCTTGCGCGACAGGATATTCAGACAACAACGCGTATACCATCAAGCGACCTTGATGAAGCGTTGTCAAGAATTGGGAAAGAGGTGGATGGCAAATGGGAATTGACAAATCGAGCATATAAAGATTTGGACGTCTGGAAATTCGCGTATCGCTCCCAACTGGAAAGACAAAAAGCGATAGAGAATGCCATCAAAGCATATGACAGATTGCGGGTAGGCAAAGAGGACGGCCTATGGCAGCTGCTGTTGCCTACTGAGAGGCGAGGGAAGGGAGAAACGCTATCAAGGCTACAGCTTGGCAACAAGAATGCCACCCCTCGGCAAGTTGGTAGCCCTCTGAATCCCTGGGATGGCAGTGGCGAGGAGAAGAATGGAGGCTCTGTAGCCTCCCCTGCGATCGGCTCGATATCAACACCGAAGATCCCAGCTGCCAAGGGCGATGCTGTGTCAAAGCGATTGCTTTCAAAGGATCCTAAGAAGGCCCGAGCAGCAGAGGCGACGAAAGACAAGAAGCGCAAGGAGCGCGATATTGTTTCTGCTGCAAGCGATAGGGAAAGCGGCAATTCTGCTCGCAAACGTCAGGCAACGCAGAGCAATAACCCCAAGATCAAATCTGCTGCTGTCGTGCATAGCTCAAGTGATGAAATGGACGAGGAGAGCACAGTGAAGGTCAACAGCAAGCGAAGCGAGTTACCCGCGAAACCGGCCACGCAGGGCAAGCTGCCTGGAGTTGTGCGTAAAGCCACGACTCATGCTGCCGCTAAACCCGCTGCGAGACCAGTGCCAGCCAATAGTCCTCTGACTTCTACCAAAGCCGTTGCGACGAAAGCTGGTTCCGGAAACCTTCAACGGCCGAATGGCGCAACAGCCGCAGCAAACTCCACAAAATCTCAATTGGGTGTGAAAGGTGCTGCCCCAATCGGAAAGACCACCCCCAATGGCTTGGCTGCGCCATCTTCCCAGCGAGTGCAACACAGTCCGCAAATAGGAGGCAATCGAACTCATGTTCCGTCGCCCCTTGGAGCAGCTCGTCCTCGAGGAGCTTCTGATGGATCGGAGAAACCAGTAGCCGAGACACAGCGCCAGCGCGCCGGCGCAGAGACCCCCAGCGAGATCGTTGTGGCCAACGGGCGTCGTAAGGACTCACAAAGCGCCAGAGCAAATGCAGAGCGACCGAAAGCTGTCAACAGTGCCAAGACACAGTCCCGAAAGCCAACGACGACCGCATCAGCCCCAGCTAATCAACCTCAACAAGCGAACGGCATCAACCGCAGCACAATTACCAGCCAGAAACGTAAGCCAGTAGACTCGCCCACCGAAGAGCTCAACGATGCATCGAAACCCAAACAGCGCAGATACGCTCTGACTGCGAATGCCAACTCCAACAAACGCGGTCTCGACAGCAATGGCGAGACGGTAAGCAACAGCGATAGCGCGAGCTCCATCGTCGACGATATCACTTTTGACCAAGCACTCGATGTCGCGGAACGATTCAACGAGACCTATCCTCGTTATTCGAGACTCTACGACGAGTACGAAGCTAAAGTCTCCCGGGGCGAGATCGTCGCGAAGCAGGAGCAAGACTATCTTCTAAAAATGCACATGCGCTTACGACAGTGGAAGCGAGACATCGAGGCAGCTGCCGAGAGAGCAAATGGCAATGAACTGGGAAATTCACAAACATGAAGCCTCTAAGCGCATGTGTTCGAGTGGCATAGAGATGCGGCTCAGAGCATGCGATACGTTGCAGCAGTAAGTGCAATTGATGCCTCGGTCGTCAGATAGATCGACGTGAGAAATGTAGAATCAATGTATCATGAAATCTTATCCAAGCGCATCGATGAAGGAAACATATTGCAATACTGCATGAATTACAAATCGTGTCAACTCTTAATATGTTGTTTTCCAGCGTCCTCAGAGGTCATACTCGTTGATCATGTCGATGAGGATTATGCCAGTGTGAGTGTCGTATGTGATGTCCGATGATGCCATGTCACTCAGCCCGCCACGCCAATCGATAAAGAGCGTGCAGCACGGGCCACGTAGGATTGAAGCAGCATCACCACTTGTTGCTGGATTACGTGCATGTAATTCCGACCACTTGGCTAGATCAATGATATGTTGTGACAGGGCGCCAGAATGATTTCCGCATCAACAACATGAGACATCAAATTGCGAGGTCACATCTACGTGGTCTAACAATCAGTATCCCTCCTTCTAACCTAGCAAGATGACGCCGGTAAACGTGCGCCGAATTCCCGCACTGCTTCGTAAGTCCCAAGTTTGACATTCCTCGAAGCTGAGAGATTCGGATATTAATGCAACCTTTTGAACAGTCGTTTTCGCATTATTAATCGTATTGTCTTTTGCGCGCAAAGAATCGGTTCAGTCCATCGCCACATCTTCGACCGCTTCTGACCACACATCGACATCTGCGAGCGCACAATGGAGCGATTCGAAGTCGCGGAGCGGAGAAGAGCCCGTCAGTGGGCACAGCGCTGCTGTAAGAGAAGCTGAAGGCATACTGCGAAAGATCAGCATATCGAGCGGATCGAACTTTGCGCGATTCGTGCGCAGACCGAAAGGATTCGTCGGGAATGTGCTGTACTACGGTAAAGAGCTGTTTGTTCTGCTGTTCATGAATTCGCCCAAGCACTCCGGATCAACTTCCAGCGCAGACGTGCAATCGAGGCTCAGTCAACCTTTGGCGCGAGCCGTAAAGCTGCTGGAGGATGCAGCAAACGATGACGACGCCGATGCCATCTTCCTGCTGGCCGAGATAAACTTTCACGGCAACTTTTCACACCCGATAGTCTACGATGTGGCATTTGACAGATACGAGCACCTGGCGCAGCTGAATGGAAATTCGACTGCGCAGTACATGCTCGGCTTCATGTACGCGACTGGCTTGGCGCCGTCTGTGCCCAGCGACCACGCGAAAAGCATGTTATATCATGCATTCGCGGCCGAAAGTGGGAATACGCGGTCGGAGATGACATTGGGATATCGATACTTGACTGGTGTGGCAACTCCGCGCAATTGCGACGAGGCTGTTCACTGGTATAAACGAGTCGCCGACAAAGCCATCCAATACTATCGCTCTGGACCGCCAGGAGGTCGTAGCCTGGACCGAGATGCTTACAAAATCGTCGATGATTTAGGAGGAGTCTACGGCGAAGGAGCCAGTGTGAGCTCGACGGGTATGAATGCCAAACGTGGAGGGCCCACTAGTGATGCACATGCGGACGTCGAAGACGTGCTCGAATATCTTCACCTCCAGTCCTCCAAAGGCGACTTGACAGCTACGTTTGGCCTAGCACGTTTGCACTACGAAGGTGGTCGGGGTCTCAAACGTGACTTCAAGCTCGCTAAGCAATACTTCAAGGAGGTTGCTCGCCTGGGCTGGACGGACAAAGGGCGTGCACGGAAGGACCTGGATAAGAATACCGAGAAGTATGCTTCCAAAGCAGCAGGATATCTGGGATGGATGTTCCTTCGTGGTGAAGGTATGGAACAGAGCTTTTCAAAGGCGAAGATCTGGTTTACTCGCGGAATCAGCAATGGCGACGCACTATCTCAATACAGCCTGGGCCTTATGTATCTCGAAGGTCACGGTGTAGACCCAGATGTCGCGAAGGCCATCGATTATCTTTCCGCCGCAGCGGATCAAGATTTGCCTTTGGCGGAGACTAGCCTCGGTATGCTTTTTCTCGACCAGGGAGACGTATTCACCGCAGGTAAATACTTTGACCTTGCGATCCGAAGCAACCATATCGAGGCCTACTACTACCTCGCCGAGATGAATGAGCTCGGTGTCGGCCGCGACCGATCATGCCGCAATGCCGCTTTCTTCTATAAGATCGTGGCCGAGAAAGCAGAAGCGATCTGGAGTTCCCTGGCGGAGGCGGCTAATGCCTACGAAGAGGGCGAAACCGACCGAGCGCTAATCGGATATTTGATGGCAGCAGAGCAGGGTTCAGAGGATGCGCAGGCCAATGTTGCATGGCTTCTCGATCAGAGTCAGCCACGTCGATCGCTGTTGTCAAGACTCGTGTCCGCAGTTAATCCATCAACGACAAAAGTCAGCAATGCTGCTTTGGCATTGATCCATTGGACGCGATCGGCCAAACAGCAAAATATCGACAGTCTGGTGAAGATGGGAGACTACCACCTCCAGGGCTTCGGGACCGAAGCGTCGCCGGAGAACGCGGCCGCTTGCTACCAAGCCGCGTCCGAAAGCCCGCCCAAATCTGCGCAGGCTATGTGGAATCTGGGTTGGATGCATGAGAATGGCGTGGGCATCGAAAAAGATTTTCATCTTGCGAAGCGATTCTACGACCTGGCTTTAGTAACAAATCGCGAAGCATATGTCCCTGTTCAGCTCAGCCTGTTCAGGTTACGATGGCGTAGCTGGTGGAACCGCATCACGCGCGGCGGCGTAAACGGCATCGAAGACGATCAACCAGAACGTCGATCCTTGACCTTCGCCGAGTGGATCGCGGCGTTTCTCGAAGCAGATCAACTCTACCAACAGGAGCATTACGAAGCGGACGACTGGACCTCCGATCACGATCACATGCCCGGCGAGGATTATTTCGACAACGAAGATTACGATGATGACAGTATGATCGATACGCTCATCCTAGGCGGGCTCGTGGCAGCGCTGGGTTGGTTGCTCTGGTATCGACAACAGCAGCGTCGGCGGGTCATCGAGGAGCAGCGCGCCGGCGCCAATGGAGCAGGCCCGAACAATCAAGCTCAGGCAGACGCGCGTCAGCCGGACCAGCAGGCTGATGGTGGGTTCTTCCCACAGCCTGGTGATCCTGCGCGGAACGATTGGGCTGTAGGTGGGATTGGGCTTTAGATATCTCCACCAAATTGTTGTTGTGTACTTCCAGTGTTTTCGCCTGTAATTGTTCTGTGTGTCAGGATGTGCAACACACGCACTTTCATCCGACTCTGTGAAAGATAGTCTGGTCGAAGGCCTTGTGCAATGGCGCACCAGCGCCACCTTCAAGGATTGTTGCGAAGCTTAGGCCAGCTGCGTATTCCGTGTCGTAGAATGCAAGCACAATGGACCCTGTGGATCTGAGATACACACCTCTCCTGCATGAACGGGCAATGCAAGGCAGCCAAACAGGGCCTACCTGCCGAGCGGCATCATGATTGTATCACGTGCAAAATTCGCTTCGCACAAGTACTATAACTCGGCAGGTGTTGTTTGCGGGTGAGAATGCATTGTCGCCGCACATTTACCATTGGTGAAAGCCGTGCTCATTCGGATGACGCAGGTGATGTCTTATCTCGCGGAGGTGCCGCGAGTTGAAGGTCGCCCGGTGTCGTGAGATACAGTTCCTATAATTGGAAGTGGCGAACGTCGCGAGGACGAAATCCTCTTATCGCCGCTGCCTCCTCTGATCGTACGTACGCGATCATGCTTCTACTCCGCAGTCCGTCTCCGGTGGATGTGCAAACACCGTCCGCCAGGGGTGACACGAAGAAGGTGGAGCCCTTCTCCAACATCGACGTTGCTACGCGAAACGGCGCACTGAATCGGGCCAAGTCTCTGAGCCGTCTGGCCGTCTGAATCCTCCTCGCTCGCGTGGAAGACAGGGATTGACCCGAGTGGGCTGCACGACAAGTGAAAAAGCAACGGAAGCGCCAAGACCAAGCGAGCGAGCAAGCAAGCAAGCAAGCAAGCAAGCAAACTGCACGGCGGCGCAATCAATGGACGAGAAGGATTCGTTACTTTCCAAAGTTTTTCCCGTGCGAGATGGAGGGCGATCTGGTAGTATGTTCTCGGGAGGATTCACAGCATGACCACGGGAAGCGACTCAACAGTGTCCATTGAAGGGTCACGTGAAGGTCCGGGCGTTGCTGGTCGCCCATGTATGGACAGTACCGTTCCTAGGTAGCTGAGTATGTTTGTATCCTGTCCATGACGTACGACACAATGTGTGTCGCGGGCGTGATCGTTGGGACTTGGCTGGCCGATGAGCTGCCAGTTCCTCTTGGTGTTAGCAGACATTCATGCCATCTGATCCATGATTGTCGTGAAGCCATACAGTACATTCAACCCTCGATCACTTGGACGTTCTGCGCATCTTTGGGTCTTATCACCATTCCTCTTGGTTGACAGGATTCATGTCGATGTCATACCTACGGCATATCATTATTATGCTTAGAGAAAGGCTGGAGAGAAGGACCGCCCTTGATGCAAGCGTACCACGATGCGATTCCCAAATGTATTATCATCGTCAGTAGCCCCACCTTGGCGACTCCTGGAGGAATCGTGTGGCTTGAGGTCAGCGCCTCGCGAGAATCGTTTCGCAAATGCAGTCACATTGGAGTGGGTGGGCGTGCGAGTGATGTGTGCACATACTCGCTACTACATATCACTCAGTTGGGGTCTGTACTCTGCCCCCAAGCGATGTACTCCCCGTGTGTATGGTGTCTGGTCCAAGACTCGCCAACTCGGGTGCTGGAAAATCCCATCTCGCTTCCTCGTGCACCCACTACGAGATTGTGACTGTCGTGGACGACTGTCCCCCATTCTTGGCTTGCCAAAGTAACTTTTGATCGTTGAAAGTCAGACTCCACGATTGATGCACGCCCATCGGAACAGAAAACTGACGCGGGTCGCTATTCATAGCTCATCGTATCGCACCGTGCGCACCCACCCACACCTGCCGTCGCACGGTCAACATCGCTTGGCTGCGCTCCGTTCGTGTCCTTCATCGCCGACCGATAATCCATCGCGCAACGACCAATCTTGGAACCACACGGTTGGGACCAGTCGTGTCTCGCGGAGGGTCCGGACAAGACCCAAACGCACGGGATGGACAGGTGGACGTGGCGTTCTCATGCATCGTGCTCTCCGGTGCCGAGCGCCGCGTCGACGAGGGACCCCGGCGAGTCACTGGCACTGCTGCACGGCATGCGCAAACATGAGGGCAGAGAGGCTCATTTCTCTGGTTCCGCGCGTCTCTCTGCAGACACCGGACACCTGAGTCTGCGCCGTAGCCTCAAAGTCTGACCACAAATACTCATCGATAGCTGCATGTTACGCTTATCACAGCAGCCTATTGATTCCAATTCATGTGGGGTTGGTTGCCCTCGTTATCATCATCATCATCATCATCATCATCATCATCATTATTATTAGCAGAAATGGAAGGGCCGCCTGCAGCAGTGCTGATGTAAGGTCGCACGGGTCGCGCACCCTTCCACGCGGCACATACTGTACATGAACTCTCGTCTGCGCGGCGTCGTTCAAGCCACTTGTACATTACCTACCTAGGGAGGTATGTATGTTCGTGGTGAGCCCGGCAATCGAAAGTGATCTTGCTTCCGTGGGGGAGATTTCTAGGAACGGGAATCCGACCGGGTCATCATCTTATTGCTACTAGGTTGATTTCAGATAGATGATGACGCCCATTCGGTCTTCGGTGTTCCTCCCCCCAAAAATCCCGCCTGCGCAAGGTGCATCGACCTCTCTCGCCGCGAGGCCGCCGCCGCCGTCGCCGCTGTGTGCGTGCGGACCTTTTCACTTCACAAAGCCCGGACGGGGCTGTCCGCCTGTGCGCGCGTGGCCGGTACGTCTTTAGGGCATTCCCATTGCCTACGGGGGCGCCTTTTAAGTTCACGATTTGGCAGTTAGCAGCTCGATCATGACTGGCCCAGCGCCTGATTCCACCCGAGGATCAATCATCAGACTAGACATCACCTTTTCCTGTTCTAGCTTCGAATGTGTGTGATGACCGGTGGTCTATCGAAGTCTTCAAGTGACCCGTCCGCCATGTGTTCGCTCGCGTTGACCCTCCCCAAGGGCCCATTTGCGGCGCTGATTGATTGACATGTTTCCTGCGCCTCCCACGAACACTTGGACGCTCACCGGTCTGGTCCACATTTTTTTTCTCCCTTGCCTGCCGCGGGCACGCTGGTGCGGATTCAGGCATTCCCTCCACTTTTCGATCAACGGGGCTCCAACGGAAGCCATCGTCCAGTTATGCATCGTCCCGTACTACCTAGGTAGGCTAGGTATCCTGTAGATGATGTACTGCGCATTCCTTCTGCTCGTGGTGCGCGGATGCACGTCTTGTCGCATGCACTATGTACCACCATCACCACCCTCACAACCCTCATCGTTCCATGGACTCCCACTGGTCTGACTGACGACTGCCGGTCTGATTGCTTAGCTGACGTCCTTCCGCCTACCCGCGCGCGCCCACATCGCATGCTCTAGGCAGGACACACCCTTTTTTCCTTTGGAGATGACTGCCAAACATCGCTAGGACCACCTGATGGCGGCCTAAGCAGAGGCATCCGTCATCGTCGAATGTCCCTTGGCGCGACAAGATGGTAAGGGAGGTCTCTCTACACGGCGTGTACTTATTTCCTTCTTGTGTAACCGGTTTGAGACCATGCGACCTGTTGCCTGTTCGCCTATCCATGGCACGTACTTCTATAAACTCAGCCGTCGCCCGGGACCACCTTTTGTGACATCCACAATTTTGATGCTTCATTCACCGCGGGTTCGTGATAATCATCTCAACACAAATCTCCACGTCCTCGGCCACGCCACCTCAGGAAATCATGTGTCTCCAGATCATTGAGCGATACGCGGTCTGCCGATGCGTCTATCACCAGCACGCTGTCGATCCCTGCGCTTCACGCGCGCAACGCGGCCATCCCGTACAAGAACGAATTGTCCTCGTGGGCTACACCTGTGCAATGCATTCCCAGCCTACATCACAAGTGCAAAAACCCGCAAGTCAACAGATGTACCCCGACTCGGGATACTCGGGGGGAGGCTGGCAAGTCTCGAACAAGTGATGATCGAATAACGAAGATTTGTTCAATTCATGCACCCAGGTTGTGCACCATCGACTTCGAGGTCATCTGGAACGCTTCCATTCCCCAAATTTGCGTCAAGCCTCTGGAACGGCACCTTTGGCCTTGACAACACGCTCGGCAGCAGCGGCGCTCCCAGCGACAATGGCGTCAGACTCCCAGACGCAATCTATTTTGAATGCATTCGCACAGTCCTTTGTCATAAATAAATCTGACAGGCCAAGGAAATGCCAACATGGCGGCGCGGCATCCAGACGGCGCTCAGTCTACACCGAGAACGGGCCGGTCTTTCATCCGGCACAGCACCCAGCCGGTTCATTATAGTGCGATGACCAAGACGCCCCCAAAGACTGAGCATTCATTCTCCTCTCCACGAGATTGATTTGGATGCACGATTCGATGACGAGCACACGCGCTCCAGCAGTGCAGTGGCAGTGACGAGTCGCAGGTTGCGCGCATACGAGAGAGAGACGAGGATCGCATCACGGAGCACCACATGACTCATGAATTCATGACTCGACGCATCGTGACAGCAGGCGAACAGGGGGGCCAAAAAGCGTCCCTCGTGCAGACAGTGGGGAGAGAGAAAGCGCGGACCACACCCGCGAGCGCATGACGCGCTGCCATTGTTTCTCAGTCGGTAATTCCGCAGGACGGCGATAATAATAATCATATCCACAATGTATATATTTGGGACACATACGACCATCTTAGATGGCATACACCGATGTCAATATACCGCGCAAATCATTCCATCATTCAGATTTCCAAGGCTACATCGTCCATGTGTGGCCCAGTGCTGAACAGCCAACAAAGAAGAGGGAAAAGGGAGGAGCTCAAATTGGCGGAGAGATCCACCCTTTTCCCTCCCTCTCTTTACCCTCTCCCGCCGTCAACTGTGTGCTTCCCCCACCCCAAAACACGTGTCCGCAAGCGCGATCGTGCTAGCACGAGGTGGGAAAAAGCTTGCAGCCAAAACCCGCCAGAAGGAAGACGAGCATGGAACAAATTCCAAGAACAGAACTACAGCACTGCCCAGATGTGTGATCGTATGACAATCAGCCCCCTCCCCAGAAGCAGCAGCAGGGCAAACAGCCACCATGTGTCTGGCGTGTGCAGAGGTCGCAGACCTCCCGTTCCCCTTTAAACGATCAGAAAACGGAAAGTGTGCACTCACTCAATTCCAAGGCTGTGCCCATCCAGTGCTTTGTTAGCATCTGCCTAAGGACATTAAGTGCGGATGGTCCGCGAGTCTCCTTTGTAATTACTCAAATGCCGTTCATCGCCAGCCAATGCCATCAATCCCCCCGGGGCTTCGTGCCACGTTTGGAAAAGGCTCCCAAACCGGAGCATGGTTTGTTCCATGATCCGCTTGTTTCTCATGTGGTAAATATGTCTCTAACGCGAAGGGGAGGGTGCAGGTGGTCGAAATGAATGCATCGCGCTACTTTTCCTTCCCGTTCACAGCAACATTGGAAGGGACTACTGAGGTTCGCAGCCACAGCGCATGGCAAGCGGCCGCTCCGATGCCATGCAGCAACCTTTGACGTCGTCAAGTGGGTCCATGTGGATACCCTTGATCCTATTTCGAGGCTCGTGAGGGCAGAATGCCCTGATGGCTTTTGTTCCTGAAGGAGTCACCCATGCAGCTTTGCAATTGCACGCCCTCTGGTGAATACGTCCTGTGATCAATAATGATGACGTTATGGCTGTTCTCTATGGGGAAGCCGGTCTCTACATTGCACCTGGGCAGGTACACATCCGCGCGCGCGCACACCGAAGTACGACGACCGCGATTTAGTTAGTTAGCGGGCATCTTGCTCGTCACAACGACCGTAACGAACCACTACAATGCGCACGTTTTTATGGGCAAAGATTGCAAACGCTTCTAGAACCTCTTCCTTCATGGCCGTGATGATTCGCCATCAGAATGCCGCTCGGGATCTCCCATGAGTCCAGACCTCGCGCGTCAAGATAAAGTTGATGTACATACCTAAGTCACTGTAGTCTTCCAAATAATCTTCGTTTCGCCATGCAATCCACCGATAAGTTCGTCCCGGAGACATCCGATTGCGCGCGCGCTACGTTGTTGCTGTGTCTTCGCCCAGCCTGTCGAAACCCCAGATGGTACACAAGGTTGAGTCCGCGTGTCTCGGCGGCCGCTCGCGTGGCCGACGAGGGAGGGCAAGATGCCAATCCCAATGATGACAACGACTGCCTTGAATATAGTGGTTCTCGGGAAAGGAAATGTCTACGGGGAATTTGGCTCTCCGAATAGGTAAGCGGCATTGTTGGACTCCAGTGCTGTCTCTTCCTCGAGGTCATGAGCAGAGTTTCAACAAAAACGAGGGCTCATCGCTACTAAACATTCACTAAATTTGTAGTATGACGCGCGGTAGTCAAGTTCATGCAGCAGATGCTGACAGTGAGTGAATTCTTGGACGTCCGCATATCTGTCTGCACGTTCTAGAATGGCCGCCCGTTAGTGAGTCGATGTAATGATAAGAGGAGGAAGCAGAGGGCTCCAGGAGTTGGACAGAGCCCCAATGCGTCCACGGGTGGAGGCGGCTGTCAGCTTATTCAGACGACCAACGACGACCCACCAATCAAGCGAATTCCGCACGCGTGTGAGTGTGTGATGACTAATCTAGTTGCTGTAAGACCAGGCAGCATGTTCGGGAGAGGACGAGGCGCTTCGCTCTCCGCGTGTCTCCCAGCGTTCTCTCGCAAACAGCGCAACGTGGACTTGATGTTCTCGCTAATTGATAACTCGGTCGGCGTCGAGGCAGACCCATGATGCTGATCCGTTCGGCAGCCAGTGTGCATCCGGGTATTTCCTGGATGGTATTCTCCAATGTAGGTTTCACTATGGTCGAGGTGTTCATCATTATTGTCATGAGCAACATCAAAAGCTTGGAAAAAAGCCGAGACAAGGGAAATAACAAATTGATCGCGGAGATCGGACAGGTTCTTATGATTAGAGGTTTGACTATTTCATGGAGACTTCCGCAGCACGGGAAAATTTGATCATTGTGCGTCGTCTGACCACCTGCTCTCCGTCCAAGGAGATTGTAACGTCCTCCCCATCCGTGCATGAGCGCGTTTCGCCATACTATATTGCAGTCTCGGCAGAAGGGCGCTTCATCGGATTTGATGACTTTTCCTCCACGATGCCATCGCTCTTCCTCAACAGACAGGCGAATATGATTGGCATTGTGGGTTTCCGCCGCTGAGCATTGCGTTGTCCCACGTAAAGTGCGGCAGAAAGATTTGTCCAACAACCGTCAGCATCCGTTGCTTCGATGATCACATTGCTGTGAAGATCGGATCGAATTCGAGCCGATGCTGATGGTTGCTAATTGTGACTGGTGCAGGCGCGAGGCGGCGCGGAGCCATCATCGACGCGGAATCGCATACAGAACCAGCTGTAAACGACATCCGGCGTCGAGCGAAGCGAGACCGAATCCCTCGTCCGTTCCAGGTCGTTGTCGAAAGGTGGTGGGAGAGGCCAAAATTAAAGGATGCGAAATAGGGATCGCCTGCACGAAAGCGTCGTGCGCTGGAAGTTCAACTTCAAATTAATTATTATTCACACTTCATCGGTGTTGGATGTACTGCTGTTGCTTTAAAAGATGCTGCTGGATTTGTCGCTGATGTGGATTGATTCCACCTCGAAGCTCGTGATTTACGCGCTCATGATCATGCCGTGGCGGCGGTTGCAGGCGCGGGGAGCGGGGACCTCCTCGTCGTCGCTGCAGTCGTCGTCGGAGTAGCCGCAGCGAGAGCCGCCGCAGTCGAGCTTGACGCGGTCACCGGCGCGGGTGATACCGTAGCGCTCGCAGGAGCAGGACGAGGTCATGCTGGAGACGGAGCTGGCGAGCGAGGGGACGTCAGAGTCGGCATCGGAGTCGGACTCCTCATCCTCGGACTCGAGGTGGGTGGAGGCGAACTGAGCGGCGATCTGCTCCATGGTCTGGGTGGGGAAAGCCATGGTGCGGATGAGCTTGGTCTCCTGAGGCTTGCAGGGACGGGGGCAGACGATCTGGGACTTCTCGACGGGGCGGCCCTTGGGGACGGCGGCGCTGGCACGGCGGGATTGACGGGACTCCTTCTCGGAGGCCTTGCCGGCGGGAACGTCGAGGACGTTGAGCTTGCGGCCGGTGGTGGGCTCGACAACGGAGTCGCGGGCGGGGTCGTGGGAGACGTGGTAGCCGTCGATGATGTAGTAGTACCAGTAGCGCTGGCCCTGCTTAAGGGTCTGGCTCTGGAAGCGGAAGGCGCCCTTCCAGCCACCAGTCTTGGAGGAGTCCTTGGAGAGCGGGAGCTGGCCGGTGTAGTTGTCCCAGGAGCCGAGCAGGTGAACAGTCTTGCAGTTGGCAGAAGTGCGAAGGGTGAAGTTAAGCTGAATGGCTGCCATTTCGAAGATTTTGATTTTGGATTTTTTTAAAAAAGGTTTAGAGGGTTGGATTTTTAATGAGCAAGCAAGAGCTGATGTTAGATTTTTCTTTTCTTGAAGTCGACCGGCGACGAATGTTTGATAAAAATGAGTAATGAGATAGACGGAGCACCAGGCTCTTCAACACACAAACAAACAGGGAAGAGGGAAGAAAAAAAGAACCGAAACACAACTCTCACACTTGACACGCTTGCTGAAGAAAAGAAGAAGAAGAAAAGAAGAAAAGGGAGTCGTGATCGAGCGCGACCATGGCTACTAATAAAGACGAGTGAGGATTGGAGATTGGGGAGGTGTAGTGAATTGGCACCATCAATCGGTACTAGCCTCGCTCGCATGTACAGGCTTTTGTTGTCGTACAGTACCACCATTCCACGAGTATGCATTGCAGTGTGCACGAAGTGTCAATGCGAGTGATGCGAAAGGTGGGGCCCGTGGATCTTTCTCTTCTCTTTGGTGTGTGCGCCCATACTCAACTTGCATTATCACTCTCTGCTGCAGACACTTCGGTGGATGGGCCATAAGACGACCTTCTGATAGGACGATTTACCATACACTGCCCGCATTTGCCGATCCCATCACGATCCTTTACAGTTACCTCTTGTCCGTCGGTCGTGCGCAGTCGCACAGTTGAAGCATGAATGTACACCGAGGGAAGGTTGCCTCTGCTCTGCCTATGCCTTCCTTGCTCTCTCGAATGACATTCTGATACGCGCTCGCCGTTGACATCTCCACATGCCTCGTGCGTCCATGGATCAGGACGAGAGTAGTCTAGGTGACAGTAGCGACAGTAGTCACGATGGAGTACCGGAGAATTGAAGAACAACATCTAGACTATTGGCAAGGTGCATGAGCAGGAACCAAGGGAGAGATGAACAAAAGCGAGGAAGGAAACGCCCCATTTCCGCACGAGCGCGAACACATGGCCAGTCAGTGGACGGGTTGACGTTGGGGTCCTGCGTAAGGACCAAGACTTGAGACTCCCACTGCGAAATAGAGGGAGAGATAGACAGACAAGGACGTCTGAGGTCGACTGTGGTGAGAGCCGTGCAGCATCGCGACTTGCAAAGTCCCCACTTCCACTGCACCTGGCCACCTTTAAACTGCAATACCCATGTCTGTTTCCCCCTCGGCGCGTAGTAGTTCGCCCGGATGATTGGCTCCCAGCGTTTCAAGCCAACACCACCGCTGTTCTTGCCCACACCATTCACACCTGCACTCTGGTATGCTAGCCAATCTCTATGCAGCAGCACATCATCACATCACATGTCATCACATGTCCTTTATGCGGTGGATGCGGTGCTCTTTCTTGATCGTTATTTACACGACGTGTCTCTCTCTCATCAATTGAGGAGGTTGGTATACGAGGACGAGTCAATTGCTGGCCATTTTCTCCCCACGCTATCACACTGCAGTCTACGCCCAACGTTCTCTCGAACCGGCCGGTCAGATCGTGCGCTGTTGATTCCAGTCAAATGTGTGGATGATATTAGGTTACCAACTGCAGCGCATGTGCATGAAGCCCTGGTGCGCACGAGCGGACTCCTTGCCGGAACTCTCTTTTGTATATGGGCATGCTTCCAACACAATCATGATTTCAACAGACACCTCTCGCTCCATCGTGAACGCGCTCGATGGCATTGCCATTACTATGGGAAATGTACTCCCTGCACTGCATCAAATGATGCGTAATCTCCATGCTGTGTTATGCATTTACTAGTCATCTACGCGGCCAAAGCCGGATCACCTTCCCTGATACTCCTCGCTGTCACAGCAGGATCCAATCCTGGCTGCTGCAGCAACTCAATAGTAGTACAGCGCGTACCAAAATGAGCCCGCCGGCGAATGTTCGCTTTGCAAAGGTTGTGCTCTTCAGCCACCGCTTCTCACACCTATTCGGATTGGAACCAAGTCTGTTCCCTCTGCTCTCCACAATTTTATATTACCTTTCTGCCTCCGGGCGGCTGCAGCACACATACATTGAATGTCACTCTGGAATAATAGCACAGTCTGGCCGATTAACGGACCATCCACGGAACCCGATGGCAGGCAGTTGCGCAAGCAAACAGATCGACTTCGAAATAGCGATTGATCAGATCAGGCATGGTGAGCTGACATGACATGAGCGCTTTTCGGTGTGGCCAGCCCGAAGGGATTTCCGCAATCACCCTCGTCGGTGTGCAAAATGTGCATGTCAAACAATGGTCGACGCTTATGCAATTCGTTCAAAGACCCGGATCATGTGGGGACAGCACACTGATTAACTCACTTTGGTCAATCGACTTGAGATGATTGCTGGTCGACGCTTTCTACGCATGCGCAAGCGAGAGTGATTAATGTTCATCACAGCAGCTGATCTATTCATCCATGCAGAGCTAATGTTGTACGATTACCCTCCAAGTCGCATCGCATCGCGATTGTACCACGAGACTTTCGATGTTGGGATACCTTTGTCTTACAAATAGGCCACTGTTCATCGAATGATTGCTTCCGTAATGATCAGGTGGGAATTTTGAAATTATGTGTCTGTCTCAACAAATGAACAGGAAAGCGAAGTGTTTGTCATCACCAAAAACAAAAATCATAGAAGTCGTCGAGGAGGCACTCGACCTTCACACTTGGTATTCGTTATGCATCATCCGCACCAATCAAAGCCGCCAGCTCATCGGGGCTCAGCGTGCTCTTCCTATTCCTCGGTCGGCCACGGATCTTAGTTCGTTTCGCCATGGGGCTAATGGCACTCGGGGCCGGCTTGTCCCTCCCAAGCACCTCGTCGGCGCTCGTTTCGCGAATGACACCATGTCCCTCGTGCCGCCCACTTTCCGTCCCACTGAGAGCCCGGGTTGAGCGAGCAATCTTGCTTTCCCGCGCGGTCGTGGACGAAGAGCTCTTCTCTCGTACAGCCTTCTCAGCTTCGACTTGTGCCACGTTGAGTTTCTCTTCGATGCTCAGTTGAGGGATCTCAAGTTCCTCGCTCTCTTCGCCATCGTCATCCTCAAAAGTTGGCGCAGCTGGGGCTGCCTCAACTGCACGAGCCGATGTCTTCTCAGATCGACTTCTCGATGTAGGTCGAAGATTGAACGATTCAGGTGGTTCCAACGCGTCGCGTTTCCGCTTTGGGTGATTCACAAGCGGCTGCTTGTGTACCGGCGGTGCTGGTGCAATGAGACTGGATTCGTGCACCTCGCTGACATCCGGCATCTGAATCTCACTGAGTTCACTGTCCATGAAACTCTGCTCCTGTACCGGTAGAAGCGCATCGTGGCGATCCCGATCTGGCGATACTAGACCCATGCCCCTTCTAAGATCATCCATGTTGATTGTCTCGCCAGTGTCCATGCGCTTACGCCAACCTTCCATCATGTGAATAACGTCTTTCCAGCGTTGTTCCATCCTCTCCCACCCTGTCCGGAGTCTACCGATCTCATCCTCGCGAATCTCGACTTCTTCCACAGAAACGAAATTTGGGTTGGTGAGGAGGTTCTTGAGATGCGACAGTGTTGAGTTCATGTCGCTCGCGAGCTTCTCATGCGATGCTGGCAGTGCATGTACGACGGCAGTATCACTTTTGCCTTTAGGGACCGTGCCTGTCCCTTGCTCACTACCCAGGCTGCCAATTGCGCTGTCAGGGTGTTGCTCCGATTGTAATCCCAGAAGGTCCTTGAGCGTTTCGAGGGAGCTACGAACAATGTTGATGAGCCCATCATTCTCATCGCTCAGACTCTGGCCCAGCTGGGTCAAGAACTCGGTTGTCTCTTGCTTCAAGCTGTATTCGGCATCGCGAATGTCCCGCGCAGCTGCATCGCCATTCGACTTTTTGTCGCTCGACTGTCGAATGTGCATGGTCGGTGCAGCCAGACCAATCTTGTTACCTCGCTGCTGACCTTGTAAATGTGTTTTGAGCCGACCGAGCTCTAGGTCACGCTTGCGGACATCGTTGGTGCATTGTGTCTTGACCTGAGCAAGGGTAGTCTTCAATTTCGCTGTCTGGTCCTGCAACGCTTTCATAGCCTTCTCCACCTTTTTCAGCTCTGTCTGGGCAGTGCGCTCTCCTGCCTGAGCCTGCACTGCCGTACGAGAATGCTCCTCGGCTTTGGTCGTGAGTCGCTCAATCTGGGCCGTCTTGGCTGCGTTTTCTGTGCGTAGATTCCGAATGGTCTCGGCGATCTTTTCTCGCTCATCTTTGGCGCGATCGTCACGAAGAATTAAGTCGTGTACGAGGTTGATGATTTGTGCGCGACTTTCTTTCGACGGCTTGACAAAGTCGATAGGCTCGACATTGCGGAGCAGGCCACGTGCGAGCAAGAGATTATTGAGATACGTCGATGCTGTGCGCAGGCTTTCGTGGTCCATGATGAATGCTATGACTTAGTATGTAGATCGAACGAGTGGTTTAGACCATCGCAACATAGGAAGACTTTTCGAACGACGAGCAACCTTGGAATGCTGGATATTGTCAAGTTGCGCACGCGTCGGTTGTCGTCACTGTTCCCACCACACGCCAAAAGTTTGTTTAGGCGACTGTTTGGTGAAGATTGCCGAATAGGGCAAGGTTTCAGGCTTAGTCATGATTTTGTGCTACGGGTTGCCGAACCTGGAAGAGACCGTCCGCTGGCTGTAAACGCGTTGGCCGGCCCACAGAGTTCGGAGCTGGGGGCTCAGATGTTAAAGTGTTGAAAAGTCTCCCATCGCGTCTCGACCTCGACCTCGTGCTCTTCACATGTGATCAGACGGTGATCCAAGGTCGCCATGCATCCGCGAACCATCGTTTTTCTTGTAAGATGCGCAAGTTCAAGCACAAGCAGATCTAGCCCATTCGTCACAAAGCAGCTCACCCGTGTATCAATGCCTTCGGCACCCCTCTTCCCCGGCCGGACCTGGAGTCAAAGCACACAAGACGACTTTCAGTGGCCGTGAAGACCTGATCTCAAGGGATGATACTTATTTTTGGTATCGAGTACCAAATAAGAGAGATCTGACGTTGTCGTCGGGGATGAGAATTGAATTCACGCGCGAATATATAGATTCCGATTGTCCCTCCCGAGCACGAATCTGTTTTATCATCTTCAGATACTGCGAAATCCAAATACATTAACCAAAACCATTTCAGTTCACAACTGCAATCGAATTCACGATCAATTTTATCATTTGACTGAGCAGGAGAAACTTTGAAGATACAATGGCGCGCTCCGAACTCAACACATTCAGCAAGCATATGCAGCTGGAACCGGTCAAGCCCATCAGCCTCGAAGGTAAGTTCTGACGGACTCATGCACAGGTCAGAAGAGACGAAGGACGAGCTCGAGAGTTAGAAGAACCTTTGAGACCCTTCATGACCTTTACAGCCTCTGCAATGAAACAAGTTTTCCCAATGAGCGATCCAAGCACAAAACTGACCAAGCTCCCTACTCTCACAGACATGCAAGGTTGTATGGCCGCCGTGTACGAATGGGCAGACAGCTACGACAGCAAAGACTGGACCCGACTAAGCAAATGCATTGCTCCAACCCTGCGAGTTGACTACAGGTCATTTCTGAACAAGATCTGGGAGGCGATGCCGGCAGCAGACTTCCTCGCCATGGCTTCAGACCCCCTGGTTCTCGGTGACCCTTTGCTGCGCACGCAGCACTTCATCGGCGGTACCAAATGGGAGCGGGTCAGCGACGACGAGATCATTGGATACCATCAGCTCCGCGTGCCGCACCAGCGATACACCGATGCGTCGTTGACGAAGGTCCTGATCAAGGGACATGCGCACAGCGCAAACACGCATTACTATAAGAAGGTCGAAGGAGTATGGAAGTTTGCGGGTTTGAACCCGGATATCCGATGGGGAGAGTATGAATTCGATAAGATCTTCGAGGCGGGCAGGGAGAGTGAAGCGATTGGTGACGAGACCAAGCTAGCGGCACAGGCACTGGGTAAGTGTTGCTTCCATTTCACTCTCTTGACACAGCAGGCGAGCAAATCCTGCACGTTTAAACACTTGTGTTGGCACACACTTCATGGCTCTACGACCCGCATGGCGAATATGATGCTAATTTTCTACAATCAATAGGTATCCCAGTATCAGGCACAAGAGCGGCTCACTCGGATGGCATTCACGCTCAGTGAAAATCATGATAAAATGGACATGAATCGGACTGGATTTGGATCAGGGCCAGGATTATCATCCGTATCGAGCTGGAAGCTAGCTACAGCACCAAAAGTATCGCAGAAGAGACATTTTGTAACGAGAACGATCGCGCCGACCAATGACGGTGCTAATTTGTCGTCAGTCATCGCCGTGACTGTGATATGAGACACATCTAGCCCTGTCGCCCTTCTACATGAGCACATCCAGAACTCGCGTGCCTTCACTCCGCTTTGTCTCCTGTCGTCTTTTTCACCGCCCGTGCTCGCTTCCGTGAAGGCTTGTGTGGGTGCGTGAAGTCAGCATAAATAATCCTGTTAAGAATATGTGATAGTAGTGCTCGAAAAGCAAGCAGTTGGACCTAATCCCAACGACGACGGCTGCGTTAAAATTCCACCATTACGACTTCTCCGAGATCGTTGTCTTCTGGGATGTTTTCCTTGTCAGACTCATAAGACCTACTCACCTTGTGTAAAGGTTCTCCTTTGTCCGTTTCGGTCTTCCAAGAGACGCCATCAGCAGGTGGATTTCCCTTTGGTGGACGGGTACGCTTTTTGGTCTTGCTCTCGCTTGCAATACCGAACAAAGCGAGTGGGCGTCCGACTTCGGAACTCGATGAGTGGGCCTCTGAAAGCTTGAAAAGGCTTTCGGCGCTTTGCAGCGCCCTTGGAGAGTCAACGGCCGTCAGTGGATCAGCCGGATCAGTATTCTGCTGGTTCGAGGAGTTCAGAATGCTGGATAGGAAGTCTCGACCTAAGTTGGAATCAACGTTAGTCTGCGCCATTATTTGATCCAGCAGCTACCTACCAATTGAATCCTTGCTGGCCTCTTTCCTGCCGCGGATCATATCCGCGGGCGAACAGCGAGTCGAATGAATGATGCTTCCGTCGATGCCTTCAGTTGTGCATGCCGGGAAGCCAATGCATTCTGTATGCATGCTGATATCTGAAACATTCGAGTGCGATTCACCTCGTCGACCAATGGCTGCAGCAGCTGTGAGGGAGTCTTGAGTAGTCTCTCGTTTCATTGACGGCAGCTCGTTGTCTACCTTTCCGACATCTTCCAACGCCGATGAGTTGGAAGGCAGAGGTGGCGGAGGCATGGATTGAGTATCTTCCTCTGTCTTTTGTACTGCTCGCCGATCGAGGGCTGCCAGCAACTTCTGCAACTGGTCGCTCGGTATACGAAATTCGACTTTCTGGTGAGGCAAATGGTTCCCACTTTTCCATGGCTCCGTTGCCATTTGAAAGCTGCCAGGTTCCACCGCAGGTAGAGTGGGGAAGGGAACGTTTGAATGCACTGAGGATGAACGCACGCCGGGGTCAGTCCACAGAGTCGAAGCTTGCAGGAAAGGCAGAGAAGGATTCAAGCCGCCGGGAAAGCTCGGTGTAGAAGGCGGCGGCACTGGAATTCCGAGCATCATCGGAGAAGAATAGGCAGATGTCGTATCGTTACTCAATCCACGTAGATGGCCCGAATGATTTGTTGGAAGGCCAGAAGAGTTGAGCGCCATAGTTCTGACCAACGCTTCGTTTGGCCATGCAATTCCGACTCGCTGTAGCACATCTGGACCTGATCAGTATTCTATGGTAGTCATGAAGTCGTTTCCACAGGACCTCACCAAGGGGTACTGCTTGAAAGTTGAAGTGAGCATGATCAAGCATTTTGATGAATTCGGCAGTTCCAGCTTGGCTTGTCACGTATCCTTCCGATATCTTGACCTTGATGCGACCGACTTCGTCATTCGCGTCCCAACCTTGTTGAGACATGACTGATGGGTAAAATTTCGGAAATCTGAGAGGCTGGTCGACACCGTCCGCAAGCGGGCCAAGTAAAGTCGCATTGGAACAAACATGTGGCCAAGTGATATCGTTTGAGTATACTTCGTCACTGCACTCGTAGTTAGCTCGCGTCGCAGATGCAGCAATTCATGAAGAAGTGTACCACACAATGGCGCCGTCCACGATGATCACAATCTGCCATGCTTGTGGACAACCGATACAGTCCGAAGGAGGAGGTAAAGTGAACTCTTTCTTGTTCCAAACATGTATTGATATCTGGAATGGCGCGCCAGGCTCCAGACTGGGGACGAAGCAAGTCATCAAGGGTGCAATCTTAACTGCAAGAAGGTACGATGTCAGCGAGCTTCCCTTCGCCAAACTACTCGCCGTTGAAAATCCCATACCTTGTCCCTGGACATTCCCATTCGAGTTGACCTTGTATTGTGCAGAGTAGCATGCCGTCTTGAACTCCTTGAGAGGTACGTGACCTCCAATCCCGCCTGGAAAGAGCAATACATCCCAGTCTTCGTAGCGCATATTGGGCGCAAGTGGAATGATGTTAGAGTTGAGACAACGCGTCGGAGATTGTGGTGGTACAATGGTGCAGTGCCTAGCAATTTTGCGAAAACTACTTCGTTGAGGACGTGTTGGATGAGAAATGGATCGTTGGTGATATCGAAGGCCGTGCGGATGCTAAGGAAGCATTACAATATGGGTCGTTTCGATCCTCCAGAGGTATGGGACGGGCGTTGCTCTACAGAGCAGCGTGACGGATATTGGCCAAGGTGGAAGTGATGAGCCGGAAGCAACCGCTACTCAGGTCGCGATTCTAGCAGAGCAGTCGCACCATGATCGGTATTTGACCCATCCACGCCGTCAATGAAGGCCACCTGGGCAGGCGCAATTGCGTGCCCTGGAGGTGTGTTATAAGCGACCTTGCACCTGCCGCAGACCAACATCGATTGTGACACATGCAGACGCCATTACTCCATAATATCAGCCGGAACCTTGGAATGCGTCACTTCCAAGGTTGCTGGTGAATGCAAGGAAGGAACGGGAGCTAGTGCTGAACATGAAACTGTGATACTGGTGAAATTAACCTTGGAAGCTGACAAAGCCGTCGGGAAGTGAAACGATTGGGTCCATCTCCGTTCGAAGGAACATACCTCACGTGCAAGAGCGCAAAAGGCCACGCTCATGGGTTCAATCATGTGACATGCAGCAAGTTGAGGGTGAGTCTCGTGGTTGAGATGGTAAAGCTGTTTGCTTTATTAATGCTAGGCAGTCAATCACCAATGAGAAGTCTTCAGCTGTCGCAGCCCAATTGTGCCCAGGTGGCGTCAGGAAGTGGAGGGGAGGCTCTGGAAAAACAGAATTATAGACCAAGTCTGGCAAAATGTAAGGGTCGATGAGCAGGAGAACTTGTAAGGGCCAAGCCAATCGATTGAATCATCTGGTACATATGCATGCTCAAAGGAATATCAATCGAGGAACAGTCCAAAGCAGGGGAATATGAGAGGGTCTGCTGTTCCCAGCTTGAGTGACGCAAAGACATCTGACAGAAGAAATAATGTCGGGGAAGAGATGAGAGGTAACAAGTAGCACAATCATTGGGCGAGGCAGTTGTGAGCACTAACGCAAGACGCCCTGTTCGCTTGCATGATTCAACAAAGAGGAACTCCTCTTCTCCTTCTGCTTCGTTGTCGTCGTGATATGATACCAACTCCCGCTAAAGTGCAATCTCAAAGCATGGAGACATAAATGCATTTACTGAAGCAGTGGTTAGCGAAAGGTTGTCAAAGAAGTAAGTCCTCTCATGTTCGACGTACATTCATGGGTGCAAAGTTGCCATAGGGGTGTTGCGGCGGCATGCCCATCGAGCCCATCGAGCCCATCGATGGGTACACCGGAGGCGGAGGCGCTGGGCGGTAGGGTGTTCCAGCCGGGCCAGAGTTGTTCTGGGAACGTCCCCAGCTGAGTCGCACTCGCGAGTTACCAATAGGATAGCCCTGCATTTGGTTGATGGCCATCTCGGCAGCGTGGCGCTGGACGAACTGTACAAATCCGCAACCCTTCCCTGGTGGAATCTTCACGTAGGTGATCTCACCGAAGCCCTGGAAGAAAGAGCGCAGCTCGTCTTCAGTGACGTAGCCCGAAAGACCTCCCACGAAGACGGTGGTGTTGTTAGGATCAGTGAATTGGTTCATCGGCTGAGGCTGGCCAGTGTAGTAGTTCACGTTTTGGGGAGCACCCATGCCGTAAACGCCCATACCAGGGCCGCCTCCTGGGCCTTGCATGCCACCCATGGGGCCGCCAGGGCCGCCAGGGCCAGCGGCATTCTTGTTCTTGGGGGTTGCAGTAGAGATGCGCATGGGACGGTTGCCACAGTAGACACCCTGCATCTCGTGAAGTGCTTTCTGTTGATCGTCTTCGCTTGCGAAGCGAACAAATCCATATCCGCGAGACATGCCGCTTATGGGATCGGACATGATCTTTGCAGATTTGCATGAGCCATACTTGCCTTGAAACAGCGACATCAAAACATATTCGTTGACCTCTGGACCCAGGTCGCCCACGAAGATGGAGAATTCCGGTCCTCGATCGTCGCGGCTACGATCAGCCAGACCGCCACCAGATGCCCAGTTCAATTTGAATTGGCGGTTAGAGTTGGGAATGACCTGGCCGTTAAGGCCCAGAGCAGCTGCAGCACGCTCCGAGCTTTCAAAATCGACGAAACAATATCCAGCATTGCTTCTTTTTGTCATTAGTAGCAGTCCTTGGCATGGAGCCTTCGTAGTGGGGTTGCTTACCCAGAGAATTTGTCCCTGATCATCTTCACATTGACTTGATATCCCAAGTTGAACCATACACTGCGCACAAAGTTCTCATCGATCCAGGGCTCGAGCTCACCCATCCTAAAATCATCAGCGCAAGCGCATTTTACTTTGATCTGGGCTCAGTGCTTACCAAAGGGTGGTCTTTTGGTCGCCGCCCGCCTGAGGGCCTCCTGGTCCAGGAGCGCCGCCTTGAGGAGCGCCAGGGAATGGCCCCTGCTGCTGAGAGGGATCCATCTGCTGGTTCATAGGGTTGGGCTGCTGGAGGCCGGCGGGCGCACCACCGAAGGCGTTTTGCTCATCTTTTCCTTGCTGCTGCTGAGCACCACCCTCAAAGTTTGGCTGAAAACTCATGATGCTGCTGTAAATTGTGCAAGCGAATTCGGGATACAAGTATGGAGATCGTCGAGATCACGACTGAAAATAGAATTGCGCTGGAAACTTATCAGCACAACCGATCTGCGGCACAGCTGTCGTGCGCCAGATGCGCTTGGCTGGTTTTCGAACCCACCTGAGAGACAATAAGGATACTCAAAGGGCCGTTTCCTCGTGACACGTAGAGTGCGAGCGATGTGATCGAGACGAATGACGCGTAGGCCAAATAATCCGATCCGAATGCGAGATCTGACTTCTTGCAGGAATGGAATCGACCAGGAAGGTTGTCGCGAAAATCGAAGTTTGCAGTTGCTGGCTGCTAAAGAGTGCTTTTCGCTGATAGACTAGGTTGTATGGCCGTCGTTAGAACTGCTGCAAAACTTCAGGAGAACAATCAGCGTGTTGGTCTTTCGATTGTGAGATCGACAATGCAACAGGTCATGAGATGTCGCTCGACTTGGCTCAAGTCGGCGATCTGGTTGGTGCCACATTGTAAAGTGAAATTACAAAGTGGCGCGATCGGATCACATCGCTGGAAGGCACTCTATGAGCTCAATGCGGTTGTATGGTGCACTCTTATAGCATTCATGAAAGTTGACCGCAAACTGTGCTTAGTCGCCAAGTCTTGAAGCGGATCGACCACAGCAACGACTTTCGCGAGAGCATTCCCCAACTCCATAATGCTGCGGTACGTGTGACTTCATCGATTGAACGTGGTCGTTCGATTGTGGTGCCCGCAAGCTACCTCACGGAGTGCCATTGTCGCGTTGGCGCGACAGATTCGGCCACGCGCAAAAGTAGCAATGCGATTGAGCCATGTCGTACCTTCCAGCTGCGATTGGTCGCATCGCACACCGGAGCTGCGCAATTAAGCAGGCGATGGCGATCGCGAGAGTAGTCGTGGTGGTAATCGTGGTGGTAATCGTGCCGGCGGGGAAAATCATGACCCTCACATTGCGAGGTGACGAAAAGCGCGAAGCGAATATAAACTCACCAGGTCAATCTAGCAAAAAGCAAGAACCGAGTGCGCCAGCAGACGAGATGAGACGACTAGGACGGAAAGCACGAAAGACAGGCCTTGCGCGCGCGCGAAAACGACGTGATAAGAAGATGGATGATGGATGTAAAGAGCAAGAGACGACAAAAAGCAGGCAGACGAGTAAAAGTCAAGATGGTGGGTGGTAGGTATGGTGGGTAGGTACAAGGCTCTCTACGATGTGTGAGAGAGCGAATGCTTGTGTGTGCTGTGGAGGTGTGTGGGTAGGCGGCGGCGAAGGCGGCGCAATGGGGAAAGTCGAGAGAGATGGGTACGTGAGTATTGCATGTGCTGTGCAGTGCTGGACTGTGATGTGTTGTGCTGTGCGATTACTCGCGCTGGTGCTTCTACAGTAACAGCATGCGCTGGCTTACGCACGCACGCCCGTTTCCCTCCGCCGCCCGTACAACAAATACATGACGATCCAGATCGGCTACACACGGCCACTCCTTCATAGATAGGCACGAAACAAAACTGTACACATTGGATAACATACGACCCACAAAACATCTACGTGTGCGGTTTGCGACAACGTGAGAACCGGAGACGACGGGACTTGCTCGCCGTAACAGGCCCGGTGCATACATCATGTCGCAAGCAAAAAACGGCCGGCGGGCGCAAGCGGACCAATCAAGATGATACATTGCTTTGATAGCGTCTATCACTGCCAGCTTCTGATATCGCTCGGGTTGTCTGGCAGCAGCAGCCAGACCCACTTGAGCACTTGTCAATACTTGGGAGGGAGAGGAAAGACCTTTCACAATCGTAGGAAGCTCGAACCGGTGGGGGGAATGCGGATAGTGACATCCGCGAGATTTTCTCCGAATACTCCGATACATCGAGACCAGGCCGCTTGTTCGGCCGTCGTCATACAGCACTATTGGAAATTATCCGAGTTGAGACAGAGCTTGGAACGGACACACAGCAATTGCGACTATACAGAACACGGTCTGGAAACAACATGCATCTGCAGTGACCGCTCGCTCCAGGGGATCAGACTGGGTTGAGGGCGCGGCTGCGTGTGTTCTTCTCATCACATGAAAATACTGCAACACCTGCGGCGATCATTATGCGAGGGCGATTGTCGCGTGTCAGCCCTGGATCGTCACGAGGGGTTAAGCAATATAACTAATGAGTCGTGCCTTGCGTGCCTTTCGAGATCGGATTTTGGTCTAAGCAGTGAATGTTTGATGCAGATTTTTTGTGGTGAAAGGTAATAGCATATTGACATGTGGTGAACTCTATCATCGGCCTTGTAGGCACACAATTGGAGCGCGCTCAAGGCGTGGAAACAACGAAACTTTCCATTGTCAAGCGCAGAATAGTATTCATGTGCTGCGAAGTCACAGCGATTGAGTTTCCACTGGATAGAACGTATCTATTGCAGCGGGGTGAGGCTGAGGGTGGGAAAGCATGAGGGTGAAATACCCGTCTTTGCATATCTTTGTCGCTACTCTGCCGAGTGGCACTCATCTTCTTATGTGGAGCTGAGAGACTGTCTCGCTCCAACGTGTAGCTTCATTCATAAACCATCTCCGTCTCGTGGTGTCATCTATGCCTTGGTCTCCTCAGCAGCAGCGGCAGCAGGCTCGGCCTCCTTGGCCTCGGGCTCAGCAGCAGCGGGCTCGCCTGATGGCTCGGCCTCGGAAGAGGTCCAGAGAGTCTAGGAAATGTCACGGTTAGTGGGACCTTCTCTGCATGCATCTCGATCTTCTTTTCTCACCAAGTTGTCACGAAGCAATTGCATGATGAGAGTGGAGTCCTTGTAGCTCTCCTCAGAAAGTGTGTCGAGCTCTATCATGTGGTCAGTCACGCATTCCGAATCAAAGCGACAATGGTGGCTACTGACCAGCAATGGCCTCATCGAAAGAGGTCTTTGCCATCTGGCAGGCCTTGTCGGGGGAGTTCAAGATCTCGTAGTAGAAGACAGAGAAGTTCAGGGCAAGTCCGAGACGGATGGGGTGAGTAGGCGCAAGCTCAGTGCTGGCGACCTCAGTGGCGGCCTGATATGCCTCGAGGGACTTGTCGGCGGATGCAGTGCGCTTGTCGCCCATCGCGAACTCGGCGAGGTAACGGTGGTAGTCTCCCTTCCTATTGTCAAATTGAATCAGTACCGCACACCTTTCCCGAACGGGACGGTTGATATGTGACGCACATCTTGTGGTAGAACACCTTGGACTCGCCGCTCTGAGCGGAAGGAATCAAGTGCTTGTCGAGGACCTCGAGGATGTCTTCGCAGATCTTGGCAAGCTCGGCCTCGATCTTCTGGCGGTACTCCTTGATAAGAGTGACTTGCTGCTCGTTGCCCTTGCTCTCCTCTTTCTGTTCGATGGAGGTGACAATGCGCCAAGAGGCACGGCGAGCACCGATGACATTCTTGTAGGCAACTGAGAGCAAATTCCGCTCCTCAACGGAGAGTTCCTGGTCTGCAGAAGCGACGTTCTTCATGTTCTCAACCATCTCTGTCCTATTGTCAGCTGCTGCGTTACCAGTGGTTGTGCAGTAACATCTCACCCTCGTAGCGCTCAGCCTGCTCGGCAAGCTTCGCGAGGTAGACGGAGTCTTCGTAACCCATTTTGGCTGTTGGTGAGATTGTGTCTGTAACTTGAGATATCAGCAATTGGACTTTGTTCAACAACAAAGATTTGCGATTTATGTGACAGAAATCGTTGTAGTCTGGTAGCCACGATCAAGACGCAGACCCAGATGATCAGGGACACAACATTCTGAGGTAGAGCGCTGGCGTATAGATTATCCTTGAGCAAAAGAAATATTCCTCCTCTTTTCATCTCTGGCAGCGACAAGCGCCAGGGGCTGGGCCTGATCCAATCTCGCTCCGATCGGATTGTTTACCAGCTTCGCGCGATCAAGTTCTGCTTTCGCACCTCTTTCTTGATACAGCTACGGCCATGATCGCCATAGAATTGGCCGGATTGCCACAACGACAGCCTCTTCAGGTCGGACCCTGAAAAGCTCCACAGAGTCGCGGAAGGATATGAAGCCCCACTCACCTAGGTAGAGGTAGTTTATTGAGGGCTCAGAGGCGTGAGAGGTGAGGCGACGAATGGAAGGGATGTGGTGGGTAAAGGGCGTTGTTGTCGATGTAGCACACGGACGATGAAAAGGAAGAAGGTTGAATTGGTGCGTAAAGTGGCTCTGGCACTGTGAGGTCGGGAAGGATGGCGCAGCCCGTTCATACTCCTCCTCTGAACGTCGTAGATCATCCCTCTATTTCGTCACCCCCAGCTGGAGCGGTAAAAAACAAATCCACGTGACCTTGGGTGGTGCTTGCCCAATTTCACCCCACCTTCGTGCTTTTGTGACCAAAGGCAGTTCCCACTATGGAAAATCCACGACAGCCTTATCGTTCGAACCATTCACCCCTGGAGCATGGAAGTCATTGGTTCTTGAGATTACATGCATCTTGAAACGAATCGACTATGCGGTATGACACTTGTCACCCATGGGCAACAGGGCCATCGAAGAGTTCGTCTAACGGATTCAAGAAGCACCCCGCCTCCGTGCTCGATTCCTTCCCACTTGTAGCGAAGACCCTGAATTTCAAACGGCGGTCTCGGCTTTGGCCATCCCAAGATTGCTCAACCAATCACACTTGCTGTCACTCGTTCAATTTATGATCATGATTAATGGCAGCCCGAGCTGTGTAACATGCGTTGGTATCGTGGTGAGATTGCAGCGAGCGAAGAGGAAATGCACAATCAGATGCACTGTAATTGTACCGTCCGCTTCCGCCTCATTACTTGTTGCGACGACCTTTCACAAAGCCTACAAGATTCTCAATAACGCCTTCCAGGGCCTCCTTCTCCTTTACAGCTTCATCCCTTCGTTGAAGCCAGTATTCGAGGACTGTGCTGGCCTTCTGGTTGAGTATCTCAAGCGTGAACGTATGGTCCTTCAATTCCGCATCTTCGAACCCGCTCATAGCTTCGTCTGTGGTTCCACAGATCAAAGCTGCACGATTTGCATCGAAGTCTGGCGGAGCTGAAGGACCTCTCGAGGGACCCGTCCTCTTGCTCCGCTTGGGCGCGCCCGTCTTCGAATCAAGTGAGGTGGACGAATCGTTCGTATCCGTGTTTCGTATCCTGTCTAGTGCACTTGCAGATGTCGGTGTGTTATTAATAGTAATGTTGGGTAAGATAAGGCGCTTCTGCTTTGAAGGCGGGAGGATCTCGTCGAGATCGACGGGAACTCCGAGAGATACTAAGAAGAGTCGTCGAATTCTACTGCGTGTCCAATTCGGTGGTTGCATTGGTGGAGGTTGTACAAGCTGTTGCCAGAGAGAAAGTGAACGCTCGGACAGGAAAGCTGAGTTGTTCGAAGATTCTGGCGATGCCACACGAGCACGCTCGGAACTCGAATTTGGGAATATGGCGTCAAGGTAGGCCTCCAGGGCCTCGTTCGAAGTTGGTTTTGCAAAATCAGAGTCGGGACTCAAAGGAGGCTATGTTACGGTCAGACAAGTGAAAATTGAGGATAATGTGATTGCAGACACCTGCATGGGGAATCATGCTTACGAGTGTATCGAGCACGCTTGGTGCTGTTTGTGGTAAGGGAGGCGCCTCTGCGACAGGCTGCACATTCGTTGTTTCGTCTGCTTCATCAAAGTCGCCAAAGTCATCGTCACCTCCTTCCTCCGCAAAGTCGTCAAAATCGTCACCAAAGTCGTGATTTTCATCGGTAGTCTCCAGTTGTGTATCTTCAGCAACATTTTCATTATCCCACATTGATCGGAACCACGCCTGCCGCTCTTCTGGGCCTTGTTCTACTATTTTGCTATGTTCTCTTAGCTGGTGCTCAGGTTACGCCGTCCCCAACACGACTCACCTACCATTCGGGCTCGGCACATCGCCGACTGTCCTCACTTCGTCCGGAACCGCATCCGCCAACCTTTTCTCATGAGCTAGTGTGCCTTCGACTTCACCGTGTCTTGGCATGTTGTCGACCTTTTCCACTACTGTCCGTGGGACAGGTGATCCACCTGGTGTTTGTGGGCGACTCGTGGCGCTGAGAGTTGAGGCTGCGCGGCTTCTGCTCAGGGTTGCGCTACGGGAGCGCTGGTGCTCGGGGATTATCTCAATTTCGTCAGGTACTGCATCCTGCGTTCGCATCTTGTATGCAGGGGTCCCCGGGACTTCTCCATGTGCGGCAGTATCGTCGACACGCTCCACTCTGGTGATCGGGATGGGTGATGACGGTGCATTGTCGCTGCTCAATCGTTCAGGCTCCCCGCCCTCTGATGCGGAAGAGAAGTGCTCGTCGGAGGACTCTACAGAACATGTGATTAACGTAGGCCGAGAGTAGTGTAAGTATGATTCCCTACCTGAGAGCTCGTGTGCACCTGCATCTTCCGTCTGAATACGAGGCGGTTGTAGTTCTGACATCTTGCAGGACCAAGGTTTTCGCTTGAGCTAGGCTTTGCGTGAATGGCAGGAAATCTTGGGTTTGTAAGTTAATCCCGTCCACGTATGTATACGGGCTCCTTTATTAGGCATAGATATAAGCTCTGAACGCGGTGACGAAATTCTGGGGAGGCGCAGCATGCCGAAGCTCAATCGCATCTACGAACAGAACACCGTACCATATTTCTATGCACACAATCTAGGCTGGAAAGGTCACACACTGTACAATTCACACACGCATGTTTCGCATGGCAACAGCAAATTATTATCGAATATAGGTAGGCACTCATGTGTGGTAGTGGTCTTACGAGTACAGATACTCCTTTCGCAATCCGCTGACGGATTCATGCTTTCGAATTGCACATGAGCAGTCTCGTGTGTGTAGTAGATGGAGCAGGCTTTGTGCAAGCGACGCGATGGCTGAACATCACACGTAACCACCCGCATACAATGTTTTGTAAACGCAGAAGCGAGATGAAGCTTCGCCTACAGTTTTCGTTGTCCGTCATAATCATGAGCCTTTGGCTGGCGGGAGCAGTCGTTGAACGATCGGCCAAATTACGTGCAGCCTCTGGGGAGGCCACCTTGAACCTCGCACCATCTCGAGTTGAGCAGGACTTGGGACTTATTAAACACTATCTATATGTCAAGCTACCATATTTATCTCTTCCCACATGCTGCCCCTCAAAAGTCCTCGTGCAGGCATACAGGCACGTGTGACAGGGCATCATTGCCATTTCAATCTCTCACCATCATCGTTGGCTCAGATCTACGTGTTCGTCTTCAATCAGGTAGTGATCGCCCGTCCGACTTCATCCATGGGCTTGTTGACTTCGACTCCGATCCGAACCACTCCATACTTCAGGGTCGTCCAAGCATACAAATACCGGGCCGCCTCCCTGTATTAAAAAGGCGACCGTTTGAGCCGTTGCGGCAAAGTTAGCACAGTTCCATGCTGGGATCGCAAGCTGCCTGATAGAGCTGGCATGGCCGATTGCTTTCTGGTACTTCTCGCTGCTGGAGGCATCCGAAATACATGGCCGACTCCGAAACAAAGAGGCCTCAAGAAGTTCTGCCAGACTTGTTTTCGTACCACCCTCGGGTTCACAGATGAGAACTCTGGGATGAGCCTGATCTATGGCAAATTATCAAATTGCTTCGGAAGTACAGCATGTTAGTTGAGCTGAGTGTACATTATTGTAGATATCGTGATCTCCGCAAATGACATGGGCGGCCGAAGTCGTCTCGGTGATTTGTGCTCTGTGGGTGAATGTCAAAGCGCCACCGCAGTACTACTGCTGCCGTGGATCGGAGACTGGTTGACATTTGACAAAGAAAGCGATATCGTCGACTGAAGGAGAAGAGAGAAGTGGTAGGCCCGCGCTATGCCAATCTCACAATGCTGTGGAGATCTCAGGCAACAGAAAGGACCCCACTGCAAAGCACTATGCTAACCACGTTATGTCGGAGCAGCGCACCATGCCTTTGACATCGTCGATCGAGGATTCGTTTTTAGTCCGAATCAACCAGATTTGGGACACATTTGATGCCTGCCGAATATGCATGGTGACATTGCGGTATTGTATATCAACGATGAACATGACATGACATGACATGACGCGTTAACGACGCGTTGAGCAAAAAGCTTCGAGATTTAATGGTTTGTTAGCCCTGAATATTATCGATAGCGGCACATAAGCCTGGTCATTGTAGTGACGACATTGATGATTTCGCCAATCAAAGCTAGGTCGATTACGCTCTTTGTCCTATCACGTCCGGTAAGCTACGGCGTTCTTGCATGTAGTACGTAAGTTCCAGGCAGGTTCACTACATATAGATGACGAGTTGCTCTTCGGAACAGCTCTGGGCTCTCGTACATGCCTTTCTCACGAGCTGTCGCGTCTTCATTGTTTGCACGTAACACACTTTTTGCTGAAAGGTCGTCCAGAAGTTTTTCCACATCCTTCACAGTCATGACTACCGAGTTCAAGCTCAAGGGCCTCACCAGCGTCAACCTCAAGAACGGACAGACGCAAGAGGCCGCGGTCGAAGGCATAGAGGAAGGAAAGGTCTTGCTTGCCAAGCACGACAATGTCATTCATGCATTGAGTGCGAAATGTACTCATTACGGAGCACCATTGGCAAAGGGTGTCCTGACTGCCAGCGGTCGGCTCACATGCCCGTGGCACGGAGCTTGTTTCAATGTGAAGACTGGCGACATCGAGGATGCGCCTGCAATCGACCCGCTTCAAAAGTTTGAGATTATCGAGCGAGATGGTGCGGTCTACATCAAGGGCGAGGAGGCCGCCATCAAGGCCAACAGACGTAACCTGAGCATCAAATGCCAAGCCAAGAGCGAGGACCAGGTTCTCGTCGTCGGCAGTGGATCCGGTGCCGTTGGTGCCATCGATGCACTCCGTGCCGGCGGATACAGTGGAAAAATCACATCAATCAGCGATGAAGCACACCCACCAATTGACCGAACTAAGCTCTCCAAGGCCTTGATCGCGGATGCATCAAAGATCGAGCTGAGATCATCAGAATACTACAAAGAAGGTGATGTGCAACTCATCAATGGCACTGTCTCATCAATAGACTTCAACAGCCGAAAGGTCAAGACCGAGGACAACAGGGACTATTCATACAACAAACTCATCCTCGCCACTGGAGGTACACCACGCTCTCTGCCTCTTGATGGACTCAAGGGCGACTTGAAGAGTGTGTTCCCTCTCAGAACTGTTCAACATGTCAAGGACATCCTTGGCGCAGCTGGCGAGGACGGTGGCAAGAAGATTGTTGTTGTTGGCACTGGATTCATCGGTATGGAGGTTGGCAACGCTCTCGCGGGCAAGAAACACCAAGTCTCTATCATCGGTATGGAGAAGGAGCCGATGGAGAAGGTGATGGGTACGGAGCTTGGTGCTGTATTCCGTGCTATTCTTGAGAAAAATGGCGTCAAGTTCTATATGGATGCCTCCGTCGAGAAGGGCGAGCCTTCAAGCAAGGACTCCGGAAAGATTGGCGGCGTCCTTCTGAAAGATGGCACCCTCCTCGAAGCCGATCTTGTTGTTCTGGGTGTCGGTGTCAGGCCCGCCACCGATTACGCTAAGGACAATGATGCAGTGAAACTCGAAAAAGACGGATCTTTTGCCGTCGACGAATCATTCGCGGTCAAGGGCTTGAAAGACGTGTTTGCCATTGGTGATATTGCAACCTACCCTTACCACGGCCCTGGCGGAAATGGCAAGCCCGTTCGAATCGAGCACTGGAACGTCGCTCAGAACGCTGGACGCAGCGTTGCCCAGACGATCAACAAGCCGGACTCCAAGCCGAAGCCATTCATCCCTGTCTTCTGGTCTGCTCTTGGCTCTCAATTGCGCTACTGTGGACACACGCCGGAAGGCTTCGATGAGGTCATCATTCACGGCAACACCGATGTAAGCGAAGGCAAGCAGAGTTTTGTTGCGTACTATGCCAAGGGTGAGGAAATCGTTGCTGTTGCAAGCATGATGAAAGTAAGTATCTACCTGGGCCTCGTTTCGCAAGTGGTCTTTACTAACGTGGTTACAGGATCCTTACATGACACAAGCTGCTGAGCTCATGGCACGCGGTGCGATGCCGAGTAAGAGCGAGATTGATAAGGGCGTAGACATTTTAGAGGTTGGTGTGCCCAACGAGGTGAAGATTTGAGGACGTGACGAATCAGTCACAAGGGCCACGGCGCATTACGGAAAACACTGTTGTAATCAATCAAAACTTAGCCTTGATATTATGGTAGAGCAATTATAATGACGATGCAATCCCACAGCTCCTCGCCAAATCTCATGCTGACAGCTTAGATCAAACAAGCGTTACTGTTGATTGTAGAAGGAGAACATCGCATGCGGGTCGAATAAGAATGATGAAACCATGAAGGTCCTGCGCTTCATAAATTCAAGGCCGTTTCTGTAGTTTAACACAGAAATTCCCCGAAAAATTCCAACGTTTCATTCACATAGACGCATGCCTCACAAACGTGGACATCAGTTGGTTCGCTTGTCCTTTGCGAAGGATGGCACTCCCGTTGAGATGAAATGTACGAAGTGGAGCACTGGTGGTAGTAAGAAAGGTTGACTATCAGACCACTCGTATCAGCCACCACGATCCTTCGACATGAGTGCCTACTGCACCACACTTGCAACATACCACAACAGAAGCATCCAGTAGAAACTCCAAGAGCTAGGATATGGCGTCTCCAATGTGATCTCCAGCTGTCCGCTTGTCAAAGGCGTAGGGAAATTCTTGAAGCGTTCCATGTACTCTCGGCGAGCATCCTCCACTGTCATCGACCATAGCAGAAGGTAGAGCGTAATAACAATTAATTTGACCAAATCGCCGAGAAGGAAGAGGAGCTTAGGCCGCCCGCGGGAACGGCAGATGCTCATTTGTATGGCAATGATCGAGAGGACGAAGGACCAGAGGAGCAGTTGAGTTGTTATCACGCTATTGTTGCGGTCGATTTCTCGTATTGCTTCCAGGTGCCACAAGAAATAAGTACTGAGGACGCTTTGTAGTGCGAGACTGGCAGTGCTCAGCCCGTACGACGAGGTCATTCTTGTGGATCTGAGCTCGAAAATTTCCAATAGCAACAGTATAGGGTCCAGGCTGGAGCGATACATCTCAATCGTGAAAACAATGACGGCTTCCTGCGCAAGCTGATTGCTTATGTCGGGTTCACCTCCTTCCTCTGCAGCCATTCCAGCCATACGCAAACATCACCACAAATCTCGAGCGCTCTTGCCTTTTTTGTAGTATCCTGTCCCTCGGCCTCTTCTTTGGCGGTCGCGGTCGTGAGAGGGTCCTCGGCATGCGTCGAAGGTACGATCACCACTTCTGCGTTGGGCAATACCTGTACGTCTATGCTCCGCAATTTTCGAGATTCTCTGTCTATGAACGTCAAACAGAGAGACGGTTGGGGAGATGTCGTCATTTCAATGTCAACACTGAAGACCGTTGCCTGCTCTTCGTGTTTGACGAAGGATTTGGAAGCATCTTCAAGTGACAATTTTGCGGTGGTCACGGCAGAATCTGGGGTGGCCAGGTTGCTTGACTTGCTCGATGCCGAGGTGTTGCTAGCGAAGGCGCCCCGTAGCAAGGACCCAAAATACGACCATTGTCGAAGCGTCGGTAGTAGCTCAATCAGCTGTCTGGGGTGCGAAAATGGAAGTTCCTCGAGGCGGCAGCCATAGTCTGACTTGTGGACATTCAGTGTATATCGATGTGCTTCGTCAACTACTTGGCCTTCTCGCATCGTGGTGACTGTTCGCATGGCCGAGATCTCGGGTACTACACCTTCCTCAGTCGGGCTATCAAGTAACATCGCCTGATATGAGGTAAATCCAAAGCTTGAATTTGTCACGCCAAGTAATGCGAAGATATTGTTCGCGGTAGACATCGGAACTATGATCGGCGGGTCTAGTCTCGCTGTGAAATGGAGGTCCGGCAGCTTGCTTTCACTTTCGATAGCCATGCTATCTACTTCGAGGCCTGCATCTGCCTTTGACGTGTAGGTCGGCGGCGGTTCCTGCCAGGGCAGGCCTTGCAGGGAGTCTGCTGGTGGAATTGTGAAGACTTCGGGAAGCCAGCCATCTGATATCCTGATGGGCGGGCACAGGCTTGTAGAGGAGCTTGCAATGTCAATACGGAGAGCGTGTACGCCAGCCTCGGCATTGGCGGAAACGTCGCCGCTTCTCTTGTCATCGGTGTCCATTGCTGAAGGGTCCTGGATTATGTGCGAAGCACGCAATGGTGCTGCCCAATACTCGATTGCCAGCCCGATCTTACCTCGCTCATGCATCGTCGGCCTCCCGCTTCGCTTGCGAGCGACTTCTGATTCGGTACGTTCATCATCTGAGAAAGCGGCGCTCGGGTGTAGCCCCTGAGCCGGCAGGGCATCCCTGGTTACTGTTGTCTCGGCATCGTATAGGCGTCTAAGACTAGAATATAATCCGCTCATGGCCTCAAAACAGTTGACACCATCCGACAATCTGTCTAGTCTTGCTACATGGCTCAGATGAGAGGCGAAGGAGTCCAAGGGTGTCTGTAGAAGAACACCGTCCTTGGGAGCCAGATCCTCCCGGAGAATTCTGCCTGCTGCTGTTCCCTCTTCTTCCAGAGTCTTCCCTTCACCACTGAACATGACCGCAACATTGCCAGCAACGTGGTTCTTCAGCTCGATATCAATCAGAATGGATTTTCCCGCAATTCCTATTGTGCGATTGCCAACCTTTCTCTCTTTCTCATCAGCGCTGAGTTTTTCCGCATCGATGTCGTTCTGCAGGCCTAATCGTCGCGAAACTCGCGCTATACTCTCCTCACTGACTCGGCTCTTTGCTTTTCCTATCGTTTGCAACACTTTCCTCAACTTGAGCCGCCGCTCTTCGTCCTCATTTCGCTTCCGAAGCCCGCTCATGGGCACGTCTAAGCCACTGAACCCACTCAGGCTCGGCAGCATGGCGGCACTGGCAGCGCCCAGCAAAGGCGTAGGTATACTCATATGTCCTGGAGTCCCGCCGGACGTTGGTCCTGCAAGATCGAGGCCCAGCCCTGCCAGTGGGGTCCCAATGCCTGCCATGAGCGTAGTCGGCGACGACCCTGCACCAGTTTGACTGAGGGTCCGAACCATTGGTGATGCGCCAATCGTCTTAGAAGCTTGCCCACCAACTCCAGCACCACCCGGCATCTTTCCACCAAGATCTCGACGGTTTGCGGCGGGTGATGTCATGTTGCGCGGAGCCGGCGACGAAAGCCCAAGGTGCGAGGGTGTTGTGACATGGTTTGCAGTCTTTTTGGAGGCCATTGCAGAGCCGTGAGGGTGTGAAGATGTCGGCGTTGACATCCTTTCTTCCTTACGTACTCAAGGATGGCCTCTTCAATAACGAGCAATATTGTGGAGAGCTCGATTATCTCGGAGGACGCGGTCTACGCTGCTATCTGCCGCGAGTTGCCAAGCTAACTTAATTAAGCAATTCAAGTGTGACGCGACTTCACGTGTGGCGTGTGAAAGTCCATTCGAATGATGAGACACCTCAGACGCCAATGGACTGTTAAGGCGGGACAATTACGAACACAACAAGGCGGGTTACAGTGCGATTTATTAGCACGCTGGACTTTTGGTTGAAGAAGACACATTGAAAGACTCAATCTGAAGTCATGCAGGAATCGCCTCGATATCACATCTCAGCCGACCTCGCCAGCTGATCAACAGATCTTTCGCCTCGTCCTCAGTAATCGCTTGACCTGCTTCGTCGACAGGCTCATAGTTTGTCGACTCGATGGTGAGCCCTTTCTCGCTAATGAGCAGCTCGTGTTTGGATGTCCTCTTGCAGCTCCGAGCAAACCATCCTCTGTACAACCTGGTTTAGCGCCTTTCATCAGGCAATCAAGACCGGTCGCGCTGGTAAGTAAATCCCATTGAATCATTTTCAGGCTCCTCATGAACTTTTCCTGGCCCCAGGTAGGTTACTTTGGGCTCCTGTGTTGGTGAGTTTTGTGCTGGTTCCATTCTCGTGAGTCGGCGATAATGCCCTGGCCTTACGTCTAGAATGCCTGGTCTTAACTAGGGAGTTTTGACCAATTGACCTGCACGGCTACTTCCATGAGGCTCTCGGCAGAGACATTGCTGTTTCTTAGGCGAATTCTCCGCACGAAGCCCTCCAGGGCTGTTTCTGAGACTGTGTCAGACCTGACTCTCGCTTATTTTTCCTTACGTCGTATCAATCGAAGTGAAGCAATGTGTCTCCTCATCAACAGCCATGCATAGCATGACAACAGAGCACACCTACATTTTTGAACTATGGACTTTTCAGAACTAGCTGGTTGCAGCGGAGGCCATGAGCAAAAATCCCAAATAGGTAATACAAATGAGAAGATTACGAGGGTGCAAGGGCACTTCCTGATGCTGCCTCTGAAGGCGAGCGAAAGAGATGAAAGCAAATTATTTACAACGCCTCCAACGCCATCGCTTTTGAGAAGAAATAAGAAATGCCCAGTCGGGACTTCGTTACCTGCATGTGACTTGCTCTAGAAAGTAACAAATCTCGAAGCAATGTGCTTTGGCAAGCGCCGTAGGTGGTTCTTCACATCATATCTGGCACATGGTAAAATTCTTGGTCATGGCGAGTCTTTCGAAAGTCATGGTCTCAGACCATGGAGTCTCCACGTAAAGGACTGAAAGGTTTTTCAGTGCCGTCACTTACGTTGTTAGGTGAGGTTGCAAAGTAGCCGGACGCGATCGAGGGCTGTGCCGACAGTACCATTGGAGAAGTGACATCCTGTGGTGCAGAAACTGCGGTTTTGGGTGAAGGGGTCGATACAGGTGGCAATGCTGCCGCCGCTCTTCTGGTGGACGCCGAGCGAACGACTTCGGACACCGTGAGCTGCTCTTGTCCGACCGGAAGGGGAGGCGTAAGTTCATCCGCAACCTCTTCGGGAATGGGCGCACAATATTGCTTGAGGACCTTCTTGAGTTGAGGTCTTCGAATCGGTTTGGAAAGGAAATAATTCATGCCGGACTCAAGACAGTCTTTGATGTTGCTTTCTTCTGCGAAAGCTGTAAGGGCAACGATAGGCGCGCTGTATCCCATAGCGCGAATGAGACGAGTACTTTGCAGACCATCCTGGTGAAAACGTCAGCAAGAGATTCAAAAAGAGCACAAGGTACTAATTCTCTGACTTACCACATTGGGCATCTGCACATCCATGAAAATGAGGTTGAAAGGCACGCCGCCTCCGCCGCCTTCACTTTGTGGTTTCATGGAAGCCTTCACGAGGTCAAGAGCCTCTTGTCCATCTTTTGCCATTGTTACGTCGTAGATCTCCTCGAGCTTGAGCATTCTTAACACAACCTCTTGATTGACTTGGTTATCCTCCGCAACAAGGACCCGTATTCGTCCACACCGGACGCGAGCTCCATCTGCCGCAATCACTTGCATCGTGGCAGATTGCGAGTTCGGTGACCCCATCGGTTGTGAGGACGCGAAAAACGGCGTGGATAGACCGACCAGACGTGGTTGAGAATCGCTAGCCACGTTGTCAACCACCGACATCTTATTCCCTGCGGGGGAAACGCCTGAACTCGGAGAAGGATATTCGTCGTTCCCTTCGGATCTAGCCAGGCGTTCCTGAGAGGTATTGTTGCGCTCCTTGTGGTCCTCTCGTACAGAATTCTGACGGCTGAGATCGTCGAAACAAAAATCTCGCGAGGAAGAGGCCGAACTGTCAGTATGTGACTTCACGTGCTTGAGCGGGATCTTGAGCGTAAATTTTGCGCCCTCATGCTCTTTACTCTGCACACGGATGCTGCCCTGCATAAGGCTGGCTAGTTGTGAGCAAATACTCAGACCTAGACCAGTACCGCCAAACTTCTTGCTGAGACGCAAGTCTCCCTGCACAAAGGGCTCAAAGATTTGTTTCTGAAGATTTTCGGGAATACCGGGTCCTGTGTCAATGACCTCGAATTCGAAGTACAGATTCCAGCCAGGTGGTGGCGGCGGTGATCCCGCACGGTCTACCACTGGAGGCTGAGTACTGTTCCGTGCGCTGCCGCCTTGAGTCGAGCTATACCGCGCTGATGAATGAATTGAAACGTCAGAAGCCCGTGTTTGGCGGGACGCTCGGCGAAGGGTCTTCGAATTCGTCGAGCTTGAACGTTTGTCGATGTCGGTGGGCATCTCCGAAAGACAGCGCAATATGAGAGTTACTGTACCGCCCGAAGGTGTGAACTTCAGTGAGTTTGATACCAGATTGATTACGATCTGCAAGATGCGGTGCATGTCGCCCCAGAGGACCATGTCACGAATCTTACCAGTGCCGTCAGGACCCAAGTCTGAAGGTTCAACAACATTGGGAGTTTCGCTGGAGGCTCGCGGAATGCCCTCGTAGATGACGCGAAAGTCAATTTTGCCTTCCGATGCCTGTTTGTCGAAAATAGCCACGGTCTGTGCGGTAATTTCCCGAAGTCGAAATTCCTTCTCGTCCAACGTCAGATGCTGACCTACCTCATTCTTGCTGAATGTGAGGAGGTCTGTCAGGAGGTTGAATAGAAGATCACCACTCTTGTATATTATGCCAAGAGATCGCTTGAGCCGAATGGGGTCGTCTTCCTGCATGCAGACTGCGCACATGCCCAGAATACCATTCAGTGGAGTCTTCAGCTCGTGAGAAATGTTGGCAATAAACAATGTTTTGCTTTCGTTGGCAGCTTCCGCAGCTTTCTTACTCAGTTCAAGTTCTGCAGTGCGTTGCTGTACTCGCTCCTCTAGTCTCGTGTACTGCATCATCAACTCGTCGGACATCTCGTTGAAGGTTCCCGTCAAATCGGACAACTCGTCTTGAAAGAATTGACGGCGATGCTTGACCTTTTGCGGGATGCGGAATTCACGCTTTTTGCGCTCTTCCCGCATGGTCTGGGAGTCTTGATCATGGCCTCGGTGCCAGTTTGTGATTCTGTCGAAGAAGCCTCCTTTGCGCTTCGGGCCTGTACTGAACGCGCTCGACATCCCGTTCATACCATCGTAGTTGCCTTCAGATTCACTGCCGTACGATCCCATGCTATCACGACCGAGAGGGCCCGGAGGTTTGATTGATCTCGTAGTAGCTTGTCGAAGTCGTAGAATGGGTAGAGAGAAGAAGTGTGCCAGGGGGTATGCAATAACGGCCATAAAACCGGCAGTGGCAAAGAGGCATGCCAAGATGATGGCTCGTAAGCGATTGATCGGAGCCCACACTTCACTTCTTTCCATTTCAACAATCACCACCCAATCCACCAGATCGATTCGCGGAAGTGCCCAGCCAACGCTGACCTCTTGTCCTTTTTCGTTCGTGGCCCACAAATCAACACCGCCCATTTCCTCATTGCCATCACGGACCGCGTCCACTGCGGCGTAGATGGCTGGGTATTTGCGAACACTGAATGACTGTCTCGACCCGCCCCACATTTGCTCTGGATGCCGGGCTGTATCGCTGTCATTCAACGGGATGACATATTTGATCGGGAAGTCAGGCTTGTTCTTGCTGCCTTTTTTAATGGCGCTGGGTGGGAAGAGATTGTTCTGCGTGGCGGGACTCATGATCAGGAGCTCCCCGGTATCGTCAAGGCCTTCCTGCGCCCGCATCACGTCTGAGATGAGTGATGCGTCCATCAGCACTGTAAGGAATCCAACAACGTCCGATGCACTTGTGTTATTCACGATCGGCATCGTCATCGAGACCATTGAAAAGGTCTTATTTACCGCCCATGGACCTAGTAGCATGGTCGATCCTGGAATGAGCGTGGTACCGTCGAAGTAAAGGTCATACGGGTCGCCAGTACTGTTGTAGAAGTCGCTGATTGTCGTCATGTTCGGATAAAGCATCGGTGGAAATCCCAGTGGTCCAGCGTCGGTGTCATTTGCTCCCAACAAAATATGAGTGCCGTTCGGATATTTGTATGGGAGCTCAATTTGCCCGATGGTGCCAACTGATGTCGTATTCATCAAACTATGACCTCCCGCAACCCCTGTGCTATTCTTCGGGAAGACCATCGATTGAAGTAACAGGGTTTGCCCAATGGATCCGTCGCCACCTATGCCAGCCTGCATATCTGTCTGTGCAGAGACCCAATTTTCGGCGGAGTTATTGCCATAGTAATTGTAACGCATGAGGGCTCGCTGTACGAGAACTCGGGTGGTTACAAAGTTCGCTGAGGTCTGCATCAGGTTCAAATTCGAGGCCAACTGAGCTGCCTTCAAAGACGCAGTAAGTTGCAGACGCGATGCTCGCACATTGAGCACGAAGTCATGAACTCGTACCCATGTTGCGATGGAGACGACCGAAATTCCGATCAGTGAGGACAGCAGCAACAAGCTGCCCAGCTGGAACCGGATTGGAAAGCGCATGGTTTGCTACCACTCGGATTGATAAGTAATAGGATGGATGCGAATGATATCGTCGAAGTTCGCCCCTTGTCTTCCGCCTGAAGACTGCGCCGCTGGTTTCCACCAGATTGCGTAGAGACCGGGAACTCGAGGAGAAATTGTTAGAGTATCTGGCGATATGATTTGTCTGACGCCAGCTTGCATTCCATGTCAATGAAAGGTGATGTAAACGGTCCAGTTCGGGTCATATCATGGTCGATGGTTGTCCAGCAAGTAGTGGGCGGGAGATTGCGCCCAACGAGCTGACACGTGAGTGACTTGGTCAACCTCGAGGCACTATGTCGATCAGGTCTTGCGGCGTCTCAGACTTGTTCCGGCCGTGAAGATCGGCAGCAATGGCGTATGCGTTATTTCGCTCGGTAGACAAATCAAGAACGGAGTCCGGTCCAGTCGATGTTCGGGCGGTGGTAGACGGCAAGGACTGCGGTGATAGCAATGGATCTGTCGTTCTGTCTTGTCCGGCGAAGGTCGACGAATGATGAGTGCGGTGGAAGCAGAAAAGGATGGACCACGGAAGATGGGCCTCACAAGCCGAACCAAACAAGCAAGAACGTTGCGAAGAGATCGAAGGAGGACAGAAGTTGTACTTAGTATCAGGTGAGTTGAAGGCCTAGTTGAGGGATTGGTGGTCATGACGGAGCAGTGGTGTTAGACCGGGAGTGGCCGTTACAAGAAACATCTTCTTGAGGTGTTCACCCTGGTGCAACGCCCAGCACGAGAGTGAGCAAGGTACGGGAGGAAGGTGCATGCATGGCAGCCGTGAGTCTCTACCTCTACCGAAAATGGACGCAACAGCTCACAACGAGTCTCGCGTGAGCCGAAGTGATTCCAACGGCGTATCTCGGTCGGTGAGGGGACGGATCGGCAGTTGGGCCGCCCATCACGGATCGAAGCCATACTCACACTGATGGGTGTTGAGCGAGACATGCGACACACGACAAAGCGCAACGATGGGTGCGCCGGCGGGCGAAATGGCCAAGCCCTCTATCGTCGGTCTGAATCATGCGTCTTTCAATCTCCACACATTCCCGCTCTCCCGCTGTAGTGATAATGAGTACGGCATCCTTCCTCATGCTGTACACGGCATATACACAAGCGAAACTTCCGTCTGCGACATCCTTCCTCGAGGAGCCATCCCCGTCTCATACCTTGGCGAGAAAAAAATCTCGGCGGAATCACATAGCAGTCCCGCGCTTGGGAACAGACCTGCATGGCTGGGGATCTGCGATGGGCCCCTTCTCAGCAGAGCACCTGCATATTAATCATTCGAGGCGTGGAGGGAGACAATGGGGGTTTCATGCGGCTTCTCATTGGCCGAACGGAGCAATTGCATGCTGGCCACCTTGCCGAAGCTCTTTGGCCGTGGCGCATGTGTGGTTCTGGATCTGGTGCTGCACCCGAAATCTGGTCATCAATCGTTCCCTACGCACATCCATCGGACAGGGTTGCGGAATCAAGCTTGGAGATGAAGATACGTGCTTACCGCCAAGTTCAGATGTCACGCAATCTTGGTATCGCGCTTCTCTACCACTGAAAGGGCACAATCGATGGGATTCCAGGCGTGTATAAGATACACTCCGGCGACCAGGTTACGAACCCGTAGGAACATAGTCCGACTTCCATTAACCTTGGAACGCGTGCTTGTGTCAATCATTTCCTATGTTGATCTGGAGCGAGCTACGAACGCACAGCATCTCTAGTTCCCTTCTCTAGTAAATTCGAGAGACATGGCTGGAAGTGCTAGCGGGTGATATGTCTATACGTGTGTACCTATGCTATACACTTCGGAGACTACCTAGGTAGATATTCGGTCCCAAGCACAGGAGGACAGCCGCAATGCCTGGAATAGACTCCGATACCTTATTTGGGCGGATTTCCAGAATTATTATTGTTCCTAGTTTCGTGGGGCTCACATCTCGATATGCTTAGCTCAAGGTTCGACAAGGGACAAATACGTCCAACTTGTCCGTGAACTTTGCCTTCTGCTGACATCACTTGCGATTTCCTGGGACTCGTTATGGACCGCCAGTTATACATCATCGGTATTCACCTGGGCAGTAACGAGAATCTCCGAGTCCACAGTCGGCAACCCTTTAGGGTTTGGGTTAAAACCTAGGGTCGACGCATCGCGCCTCTCCTCGAGGCACCAAATCAGCACAGTGCTGCACGTCCTACTTATCCAATTAATCATGTTGATGTAGTATACTTCAAAACCGTAACATGAAATGCCTGCAGCCTGAGGGATGTGGATGGGCAAACTTGTTTAAACATGCTAGTCATTGAACCTTCCGACTGAAAGCCGCCGCCTTGTTCCTCCTATTACTAAGGCCATTGATTCTAGAGATATTGACGCAGCATTTGGCCCCGGCCACATTAGGCCAGAGGGTTTGTCACACTGCAGTAACAAATCTCAAGTCGCCAGCATCGCCATCATGATCATGATCATCATCAACATGAGCCTTGCGGCCTTGTCGGGCAGACATCACGATGATCTCACTGGACCACGACCCAAAGCAAATCTGACCGATCGCGTGCGCATTAGCACAACGATACGATGCGATGCGATGCGATGCGATATGATGAAAGTGAAACGTCAATTCCCGCCAATATCGTTCATGCGCGCGGGCAGATATGAGACCACATGCCAACAGTAAATGGGCCACAACCAAATGGGCGTTGACTCCCAAATTTCTGCCATACCGGTTAACCCGCATCCCCTTCTCGCCTCCTCTCTGATTCCTCACTCATACTTGCCTCCCATCGGAGAGAGAGACAAAGACCGCTCTGGACTGATGCACCCCAGAAACGGGCATGGCGCATGCGTGGTCACTGGGAAGCAAAACTTGCATGTCAACAAAGGAAAATTTCAGAAATTGTTTGATCGAATGTTGCGGTTGCCATGGGACCTGCTTGGCCTGCACGCCTCGAGGATGGGGCAAATTCTGTCGCAAGTGATACATTGATCATGTGTTCGACGACGGAAAGATGACTGTCCGTCCTTCATTGTGCGCTGGCAGTGCTACTATGGAGATGACACACACTCAACCCGCAGGTCTCATTGAGCTCGATGCTTCCGAAGAAGGTTTGCGATCTCTTGTTTTAGGCCTCGAGCAAGATACACTTTTGGAGAAGAGCTGTGACGATCGGTAGAAACAGATCTCATAGCAAAGTAGACCTCTGCGACCACGATCTATGAGATGACTTGGTTCATGTCGCGATTCGCTGATATGATGGTGCTCCGCAGAGTGAGCCTTATCGGCGGCCCGAGCATACAACAAGATCCTGTTATGAGGAATCAAAGGTCTCGAGCATTCACCTGGAACAACGAGGTTCTTGAGACCAAGTTGAATCCCAACTACACATAATCGCCGGTCTTTTCCGAAGCAGCCCGGCAGTTGATTCTGGGATGAGAGTTTAGAGTACAGCGTAGTCACCAACAGGATTTGCCAAAGTCGGAGAACAAGATCATGCCATGATTGCATGTGTCTCGACGCGATCCCACACGAACCGGGTCTAGAGTGTAACGTGTTAAAAGAGAAGTTTTGTATTCGTCAAATGTATATTCAAAAAAGCGCCAGACTGAGCGGCCACCTCTCCTGTGCGTCTCTACTCAAGACTAGGGTATTCCGCTTCAACGCCAGCAAAGTATATTGTTTTACACAAGATGTGAAGAATGTCAAACGACAAGTGCATGCGCACCGATGTCGTCAAAAAGTGCACGATGTATGCCCACTGTCGCCACTTCCCATCAAACAGCATCGTACCTGTCCAGGGGCACATAAGCACCCCTTTGGTATTCGTCCTGCTTTCGCCGTGCGAGTGGTCCAGAGAGTGCGCCGCGTAGTCTCCGGAAGATATTGTTCAAACCGCTACCGCCGAACTGTGTTGATGTGCTAATGTCCTCGATTGCACCCTCGACCATCCATCCGGGTCGGTGCCAGAATTTCAACAGTAATGAACTGACGACCACAGTCACGCTCGAACAAGCCATCGCGGCACCTGCTGCCAGAGGCGGCAGGGTGATACCCCAGGGTAGGAAGAAACCCATGGCGATGGGCAGGCCGACGGCGTTGTAAACGCAAGAGAGCAAGAGGTTGAGCTTGATGCGTCGGAAGATGGCGCGGCTGAGGTGTAGGGAAGCAGGGATGTCCAGGAGCTGGTTTGGCTTCATGAGGACGATGTCGGCAGCATCGACGGCAACGTCAGTGCCGCTCGCGAGACTGATGCCAACGTCGGCAGTGGCGAGCGCGGGTGAATCGTTGATGCCGTCACCAACCATGGCGACGACAAAGCCGCGGCTCTGGAGATCCTCGACGATAGCCTTTTTGCCTTCAGGGAGCACGCTGGCGAACACATTCTGTGGTGCGATTCCGACGAGGCCAGCGACATGGTGGGCTGTGGCTGCTTGGTCACCAGTCACAAGGTATGTCTGAATGCCCATCTGGTGCAGGGCTTGGATCGCTGCGCGGGCAGATGGTTTCAGTGTGTCTGACAGGCCAATAGATCCAGCATAGCTGTTGTCAATGGCAACATAAATCTGGGTAATGCCTGCTGTCTGGCCAGACTTGGTGGAAGCGGAAGCGTTTGAAGCAGATTCTTGCACGAGGGCTTCGTCTACGTTCTCGGGAGATGATGGCACAGTGATTCCTCGACTCTTCATGAACGGGCCGTTGCCGACCAAGACGTGATAGCGCTGGCGGTCAAATGATGGACCTGGCTCAATGGAGACACTGATACCCTTTCCGACAGTAGCCTCGAATTCGCCAGTGTTGCCCTCAATTTGCACGTCGGCGCTCAGACCGAGCTTTTCTTTCGCACTGGCGATGATTGCCTTTGCAATTGGATGTTCACTGCTGGTCTCAGCGAGACCAACCAAATTCCACCAGAGCTGCACGCGCCGTGGGTGGGACTTCCAGGCTTCAGCTAGCTCGAATTGCGACACGCTCATCTTGCCCATAGTAATGGTACCGGTCTTATCAAGAACGACATGTTTCACCTTCGTAGCAGTCTCCAGAGCAGCGCCACCCTTGACCAGAATGCCTTGTTCGGCACCGACACCAGTACCAACCATGACAGCGGTCGGGGTCGCCAGGCCGAGTGCACAGGGACACGCGAAGACGACAACGGCGATGCAGAGCTTGACGCAGACCATGAGACGTCCTCCACTGGCCTCTTTGAGGAATATTGAAGGCGGATCGGGCATTATATGGCTCAAGACCATCCAGGCAAAGAAGGTAGAAAGCCCTAAAGTGATGATGATAGGGACGAAATATCCGGCTACAGTGTCGGCCATGCGCTGGATTGGGGCGCGGCTCGTCTGCGCCTCCTGAACAAGGCGCACGATCTGGCTGAGTTGAGTATCGCGGCCAGCTTTAGTGACCTTGAAGTCCAGACGGCCGGCATTGTTGACCGTGCCGGCCATCAACGCGGAGCCGGATTTCTTGTTGACCGGCATTGCCTCACCAGTGACCATGCTTTCGTTCACGTAGCTTTCACCACGAGTGACGATCCCATCGGCTGGAATCTTGTCACCAGGACGAAGAATAACAATGTCGCCGACTTCGATCAATTCAGTAGGAATGGTTCTCTCCTCAACTGCTGATGACGTAGTTGTATTTTCTTTCTCCGAGACCTGGGACTGTGACTTTGTTCCGTCGAAGGTGCCCTTCTCACTCCAGTTCTCTGCCGCTTTCGCAGCTGCAATAGGATCCACATAGATGGTTGCCATGGGTGGTGCGAGACTCATTAATCGAGACAGAGCTTTGGACGTTTGTCCCTTGGCACGGTTCTCAAGGAATCGACCGAGCAAGATGAAAGAAATCAACATGGTACTGGTATCAAAGGTCGTGGAGGGTCGAGAATGAGGCGGGATAAAAATTGACACAAGCATGGCAGCGCAGCTAAAGAAAAATGCAGCTGAGGTTCCCAAGACGACGAGAACGTCCATGGTCGGCGAACCATGTCGGATAGACTTGAAGGCAGAAACGTAGAAACGGTGTCCTATACCAAATTGCACTGGAATCGTCAGGATCAAGCAAGCAATATCGCCGAGCCATAGACCAGGAATGATCGGTAGTGGAATGCTGCCAAAGTCGAGAGACTTGAAGCACATGGGGAATAACATGCTTATGAGGAAAACTGGAACAGCGAAGGAGACGGAGATGCGGAATGCTCGCCACCAGCCCTGGATCTCTTTCGTCTTGGCCAGAGACTCGAGCTGAGCGTTGTTATCGTCCGATTCTGCCACAAGCGCATTATAACCGGCATTCTCGATGAATTCGACCAGTGCCCTCAATCCAGTTTGCGCCGGAATGTTAGTGATTGATGCGCGTGTGGTCGCGAAGTTGACGTTCGCGGAAAGGACACCAGGGAAGTTTCGCAGACTGGCTTGCAGGTCCGCGGCAGATTCGGGACTCGGAAGACCGTAGATCTTCAGCTGAATGGCCGCTCCAGAGCTAGAGGTCTGCACGCCCTCCTCCACACTCGATGTTATCGAGGCATCAAATCCTCGGTCTTCAATGATCTCGACTAGTTTTGCGGCCGGGAGGACTTCTGGGTCGTGGAGAAGCACGGCGCGCTCCGCAAGCAGACTGATATTGAATTGGACCATGCCAGGCACGTCGTGGAAGCCGCCTTCGACTGCGGACGTGCATGCTCCACAGGTCATTCCTTCGATAGCGATGGTGGTTGTCATAATCTTCTTGCTTGATAATTGAGTCTGTTTCGGCAGTCCAGGTCGCCCGACGTCGGTGGTCTTGGTTTCCAGAATTTCCGCGTCGAATCCAGTATTCTCGATCATCTCCGCCATCTGCTCCGCCGTGATGATCGTGGGGTCATGCTCAATGACCGCGCGCTCAGCGAGCAATGACAGGCTGAAACTCCTGATTCCAGGAGCGTCCTTGAACCCTCCTTCAACGGCTGACGTACATGCTCCACATGTCATACCACCGACCTTAATCGTGGTTGTAGCAAGGTTGCCTCCGATCAATACATCGTCCATCTCCTGTAATAGCGCATCATCCTCGTTCGATTGTGACTGCATCTCAGGGCCGTCGGTGGCGATGACTTCGGCATCGAATCCGCGGTCGTCGATCATTTCTCGTATTGTGTCGGCGCTTATCGTCTCAGCGTTGTGTGAGACCACTGCGCGCTCCATGACCAATGATACGGACACGTTCCCTACTCCCTCAACTCCTGAAAATGCGCTCTCCACCGCGGAAGTGCATGCTCCGCAAGTCATGCCTTCAACTCTCAAAGTCGTCGTGCTCATGTGAATCGACAGCGCTCCGGGCGCCGACTTGGAAGGTGCCATGACAGGCGATTATATTCAACAAAAGGCGGTTTCCAAGAAATGAATGCAGATAAACCTGCGTGTCCCAGGCCTTGTAGCGGCCAGGGCCGGGATAATGAAAGAGCCCGTAACGCAGTATTTGTTCGTGATCTGACGTACGTTCGTGCTCTGAACTTGTCTCTCCCACAAGTCAGACGGGACCAGGCGGGATGCGACGCGGAGGCTGACGTTATCAGGAATGCTGAACGTGGGCGGGCTGCAGGGCTGCTTTCAGGGCTCGGGATTAGGCGTTTTCGGGGGCCGTAACTACGGAATCTGCTCGCTCTTGGTTTCCGGTGAGATGTACCGGCAAATTATGAAAATGATGTAAATTGTGTCGAAAGGAAATATCCAGGGTCAAGAAAAATGAACGATTTGGCTGTCGAAGCTGCTGAGTACCTGGAGTACGGTCTGCCGAGAAAAATAAGGATTGGAGAAACACACAGCTGAAATAGCATAGGAACGAATATCCTCCAACACACAGGTCCTTTCGCGCGACCTGCGACCACGACACTCTTATGCAATTCCTCGTAAAGCTGATGGTACTGGATTGAAATGATCGCCACCATATACGTTGCGACTAGAGCGATTGCGTGAGCACTTCAATTTACGGAATCGTCCTAAATGAATGTGCAAGCCAAGCAAAAGGCACCTCCAGGAGCCAATAGTGCCATGGCCGTTGTTGCTCTCACAAACAATATGCAAACTGCTGCAAAGAACCTCATGTGTCGTGCAGATTTAAACCTCTTGAGGCTGCATCGTAGCGTGAGAAGACAGTCGCCAGAGACTCAAGACGTTGCCAACGGTCGCAGAACCCCGGCGAGGTTAAGCCCGATATCTGTTTTTCGGAATCGTACTAGTAAATGACGCGATCGGGGTCATCACTGCTTTGCATGTATTTTGTATGAATATCCATGGATGCAGTGTAATAGCCGAAGAAGTTTCCAAGATTGGCAGACGATACACTACCGGAGGTCTCTCAAACAGCCTGGTTGTAGGTGTGTTTCAAACCTCCCCCGGGCACATATGGTCGACCTGATGTGTTGGTGCGGTTGCTGGTCGAACACGGCTTCGAGGCATGCGCGCAAGAGGGAACCGCGTGAGCGCAGCTTTGATCTCCAAGGCTGGCAGAGAACAGGAACCAACCATTTCCAACGAAAACCCACACAGTGAAGCACGAGCAATCAAGAGCGGGCACATTCGCCACATCTGATACACGTTTAAGATGTAGATCCCTAAGGAGGTGTGTGTGGACCCCAAGGACAAGGACATGTAGGCAAGCGATATCTCGCTTCCATACATATTACAGTATACATGCCTACGCATCTGCAACCCGCAGAGTAGCGTTACGTGCAGCAACAGCGCATGAAGCTGTTGCACAACTATACCGCTTCAGACTACATGCCAACTACTGCACCTCATTAGAGTGGCGACAAGGCCAGCTAATTGGGAATGATTCCGAAGTGGAAATGCTGTAGAACCCTAGCCGCCGAGTCACGAGTGGTTGTATGCGGAAGATTCCCTACCTACCTAAGTAGGTACCTATCCAAAGTCAAATGCACAGGGATCAGCAAGCGATTATCACGCGAGGTCGAAGCCGGTCCATCGCGTAGTCTAGCTAGCAGCTGTTCATGTGTGCGACAGAAGCTGTAGCCAACTTTCATCCACGCGGTGCCCTCGCGTCATGCTCGACCTACGAAGTTCGAATGATGTCAACTTGAGCAAAATATCTGACCGTTCAGCGAGAAACAGAAGCATGTAGTTTTGTCATTAAATCGTGTCTGCAAGCTCGCGCCGCAAAGGGATCAGCCCAACAATACGAAATGTCACAAAGATATCACACCAACCGAAAATGAAGCTGGACGACGACAGCCGCAAACCCAAACGGGGGCCGTCGCTTCGATCCATGCCTCCCCATCCATCGCTGACGCTCCTCAAAAACGCCGTAGATGTACAAATGCACCATAACATGCTTGTAAGCCCATGAAGCGACCCAACCCTCCAAATGGAGTGTTTGATGTTCCGCAAGGAGTGAGTGTAGAGAGAAGGCAAACTCTATCCTCTTCTTAGAGGAGCTCAATCGATGGTCATCCTTGACGGCCCTCCTACCGCACCCATTGGATGCGGCTCGGCGTGATAGCCCTCATAGGAGGTGTATTTACCCGCCTCGAGGGAATCTCTGCCGTGCATGGACCGTCGGGAGCGCACATGTGGCTTGAGGCCTTTGTTGAAGTTCCGCATGCACATGATGGCCACGACGATGGTGACAATGAGCAGCAGGAGGGTGAGAACCGCAAAGGTGGTCAAGCTGTGGCGTGCGGATTCGTAGTATTGTGCTTTGGGTGAATTATACATCCTCACAAGCTTGAAGAAGAAGTATGCCATCGCGGCGAAATAGACCGCAATGACTGTAACCTGGCCAACGGTGGATTCTCGTTGGGTAAACCATGCGGCTAAAAACAGAAGCGCGATTGTGATCGGAATAGCCGCGATTGTGAGGCCGAATTCAGCTGGTGTGGTGCCTTTCCGGACAACGACCAGAAATTGCACAGTGAATCCCAAAAAGAAGAAGAAATCAAACTTTAGTAGAGCGATGTAAATCTGTGAAAGGATGGTCAGCGCCCGATCACTCTTGGAATCGACACATGGCATGATTTGTGTGCGAGTTGATCGCCGGAAATACAAAGTTACGTTTGAAGGAACTTACCTGGTACGTTAGGAATCGCCGCTTTAGTCGCAGATCAGCAGAAATATGCTTGTAAATCGACCACGCAAATTCGTCGTATAGTTTCCATGCGACAAGGGCCAATAGTACTGTTCCAAGAGCAAGAACACAGGGCGCAGCTATCAGGAATGGCTTGAGCGCTCCTCGCAGACCCGGCTGAATGTTTCCTTGGTTGTCCAGGATCTCAATTGCTTCGTCGACCTGACTGATCTCCACCGCAGCATATATCACCATTCCTAGATTGTAGATGCATAGTCCGATTACTTGAATTGTATTCTTCAATCGCAGAGCATCCCAGACCAATATCAACTGATATAAGAAGCCGAAGATGAATAATGCGAGATATGTCGGAATGGTGTAGGACACATCTGAATTCCTCGCGTCAGGGAGCAGGCTGGCCTGGAATCTTCCAAACACATAGCATTGCAGAGCCAGATTGATGGCAGCCTGGAAGACCGCGACGAGCATGAAGCTCCACGTCCAGGTAGTATTTGGGATGTACATCTTGGATGGGCCCGATTTTGATCCGCTTGCGCCGTTCAATATTTCTCTTGTAGGAAGGCCTTGCCGATCATGATATCCTCCCGCCTCGTACCCTGCCGGCCCTGTCGGATTGTAGATGGGCGGCTGCTGACTTGAAAAGCTGGCGGCGCCACCGGTCAAAGGCTGGTAAGCCGAATCCCCACTGAGTAGCGAAGGGCGCGAATGGTGCTTGCTCTTGTATGAAGTCGTGGTGGGCGAGTCAACAGGCCGCAATAGAGCGGCCTAGAAACTGCGTATGTAGCGAGCGAGCTTGTGGTGTAAATCACCACAGAGCCAAATCAGAACGCGCGAACGCGATGCCGGTTTTGAGTGTCGAACAATATTGTGATGTTTTTGCGAGAGGGCCGTCTGATCGATACTAGAGTCTCCTTGCTCTCCTTCTCGATCTCCCTTCCGACCGAGACGCTTCTAAATTGTCGTCTGGTGCTTCTAAAGACGAGACGTTTGTCTCAATAGTCGCTGTATGTGTTGGGTCGAAGGAGCGGATGGCAATTAGTGATGCGCCAGAGCCAAAATCGAGGGCAGAACACAGTAATGACTGCGCTGTCGTTCGTGTACTCCGACGAGATCTATGATATTGTGGTTTGTTATTTGTTGATCGAGAATGACAGTAAATGCGACTGCTTTGGATAATGTTCTATCTTTGTCTGGGCGCAGCACTACCAAGACAATGCCGCCATGTCATGCGGCGCAAAGACCAGGGACTATGTTGAAGGCTGTGCAGTCACGTGCCGCCATGTGTCTCCTGCAAAGCGACTGTTACGTCTGTGTTCGAGATCGCGCCCCTGGGTATGCGTTCACAATCTAAAATTTCTACAGGTGCGAGACTAATAATCCCCCGCTACAGTTGGTCCAATAAATCGAAGGCTCGGGACTGTGATGGCAGCGACATCTGTTACCAGTGAAGACATCATTGTGGTGCAGCGTGAGGTCTGGAAAAGCTGTTAGGAAATTAACACTGACTGTAAACAACGCTGCTGCGAAGGGACATTCGCGTGCATAGAATTGAAAGATCGGCGTGGGATATCTCGCCGATTCAACGGCGTTTGCTTGTTTGGCCTCGACGGACCTGAACGGCCAGCCCTGTTGACTTCCAAGCTCTCTGTGCAGGTGGTCTTAGATCGATCTATGAGTTGGTATCGCCCGTAAAGAATCGCTACACAGGACTGCCGCCAATACGTGTATGTCATGTTGTGTATGTTGTGAATGTTGCGGATACGCCCCCTACTGTTGGACTCGATAAGCCGCTCGATTTTTTTTCTGTTTTCAGGATGCTACACACGATGACCGGAACGATGACTGTGATCTCGAATCAACCTGTGGATGTATGCACACGCGCGTCGTGATAACGACGCATTGTGTCGAGGCCGTTCTCTGTCACGAGCGAACGAAAGGACAGGGGCAACTCAGTTACGGGCGCCGCGTGTGCGGGTGAAATTGGGCAGTCATCGGGTTGGTACGTCTGCACCTGGCATTAGCTTTCGAAGTTACCAATGATGGGCCAGGGAGTGGTTTCCATTTTCCAGGTACAATATTTTATAGTGCAGTGAAATGGGAAGGGAGTCTCCGCTGCGATGTATCTACGAACCTACCTACCTACCTAGGTAGGTAGGTACTTATGTTATGATTGCGGACCGATCTCATGATATCTTTGATCCTCCAACATTCCGCAATACGCCCAGCAGGTCCAGCATGTTGAGCACGTAGCAATGGCGACTGTGTTGCTAATGTCGTCTTCTATGTAACTTGGAACAAAGCTTGTCCGGTTCCACTTGTTCTTTTCGAGGAAGAGATTGTTCCCTGAATTTCTTCGATCTAATTGAATGTCATTTTCACTGCCCGGCTGCCAGCTGAAACGTTACGACGGCTGATTCGGGGTGCCGGCTCGGACCGTTGAAGTCGCGAATTTGCACGAACGTCCATGGACTGCGCTACACCTGAGGGTGCTGAACTCGCATTTCGAATGCATGCATCTACAGCCGTACATCATCACAAGCTTTATATCTGACTGTAGGCGAAACCATTGGGGATCGCTTTTAAAAGGCAGCTGCCTTGCGAATTCGCTGTAACGCAACGGCGAGGCGCAGCCACTCCAGTCTCGGTATGTCTTACATCTCCTCGTCAGAAAATATCGACAAATTCCGCTCTTCCATGATGATCCAATGCAAAGAACCGTTGCGAATGACTCTCCGGAGCGTGATCGCAAACCTACCAATTCCTGATACTACTTTCGAATGCTCTACCATCTCAAGGCTTGAACTGCTTGGACTAGCTTGCTGACCAACTTTGACGGCGTTACAGTAGAAAGATGAGTAAAGAGACCATCGTACGCCGTTTACGGCCATCCCTCTCACACCGCTTTCAATGCCTTCATCAACCCACTCAATTCGCCCATTCATTCAGTCTTGGGCCAATGTTGTGTGCGCAAGGTGCTCCCCGAGATGTGACGCATGATTACGAGAAGCGAATCACGCAGTTGGATTCCAGCATTCCTCGACTAGAGTGGTATCCTCGCCTTCCTGCCGTAGCCAAAATATCGCAGATTCAAAAGAATTCCTTGGAAAAGCGCTATGAAAGTTTGCAACCAGATGAAACAAATGAAGAGCAGGAGATCGCGGCGATAGGTAGCATATCTTGCAATATAGGTGATCAATCAAGGCGATGTGCTGATTCTGGAGGCAGGTCGGATCACATCGATTCGTACAGCGGGATCCAAGCTCGTATTCCTCGATATTGAGACGTCTGGATCTGTGCAAGCTGTCGTGCAACTCAGTCACCTCGTGAAGTCAGACCCTGACCTCGATGTCCCACGATTCAAAAGTTTCGCGAAACTCGCGCGTGTTGGTGATGTGTATATGGTGAGAGGCCATGCTCATCGCACGGCTCGGGGCGAGCTTTCGGTGTTGGCTTCTCATCTGCCCAAATTGCTGGCTCCATCGCTTCATCAGGTCCCTGCTGTATTGGAAGATGCGTCCACGCGCGCGGCTCAACCGCATGTCGATATGCTCGTCAATCCCGTTGCTGTGCAGACATTACGCGTCAGGCACCATGTCGAGCGTACCTTGACAGATTTCTTAGATGATCGTGGTTTCACGAAAGTGACGACACCGATACTTTGCGCGTCTGCTGGTGGTGCTGTAGCCAGACCCTTCGAGACTGTAGCTACTGAGCTCGCCCACGAGACCCTGCAACTACGTATTGCCCCAGAGCTGTGGCTCAAGCGCCTGATCATCGGCGGTTTCAAGCGAGTTTATGAATTGGGACCAGCCTTTCGGAATGAGGGCGTCGACGCCACTCATAACCCTGAGTTTCAGATTTGTGAATTCTATCAAGCGTATGCTACTCTGGGCGACCTAATGACCATGACGGAAGAGCTCCTGAGAGGCATGGACGCAGCAATCAAGAAAGCTTGCAGCTCTGAGAAGCTCTCTGCAATCCCAGCATGTAAAGTTGACTTGACCTCACCGAAATTTAAACGAGTCGAATTTCTACCTGCTCTTGCCGAGAAGATAGGTCACTCACTACCCGATCTAGACTCGTCGACTGCCACCTCCGACATCGTCGCGCTTTTCGAGAACAATTCTCTCCCGATTCCTGCATCACCGACCCTACCACGCTTGCTGGACGCCTTAGCCGGCCACTACCTCGAGCCTGCCTCCAACGAGTCTCCACTCTTCATCATCCACCACCCAGCCTGTATGAGCCCGCTCGCAAAGCATTTCATCTGCGAGACCACCGGTCAAACAGTCTCTGCACGCGCCGAGCTCTTCGTGCAAGGCCGCGAGTTCGCGAACATGTACGAGGAAGAGAACAGTCCGTTCGTACAGGAAGAGAAATTTGCACAACAGCGGGCGCTACGCGGCGAGTCTGCCGGCGTTGCGGGAGGTGATCTCGAGGCCATGACAGGTGATGAGGGCTATGTGCGAGCGCTGGAATGGGGCTTGCCGCCGACGGGCGGATGGGGTTGCGGTGTCGAGAGGCTTGTCATGTTATTCGCTGGACGGGACAGGATCGCGGATGTCTTGCCGTTCGGACATTTGAGGAACGTGGTGGCATTAGGCACCGCGGACAGGTTAGTGGGGAAGAATACGAAGGAGGAAGTCTGTGGGTGAGAAGGTCACTTTGGATTAAGCTTCGATTCCAAACACCTTCTTGTAAGATTATTGTCCACTCTACTGTGTACTGTATTAACAAAATTTGACTGCCCATTTCGATTCCGTTTGCATCGTGGCTTTGGCGAGGTCTTGTCCCACTTGTGAGCGAGAGTCCTTGCGCGACTGTCGATGCTGGGGCAGGGCCAGAGCCTGCTTGCTTTCGCGAAATGGAACAGACGGGGTTAACGCAGGAAAGGACTTAATCTCCATCTTAACCGCGATTTAGACTTCTTTCGAGAGAGTGACCGATACGCGAGATACTATTGATGGAGTGATGGCCAGACAATAAGCCACCCATGGTCTCCGAGCAGTCCTTTAGCAAAACGCATTGAAGGGCCCAACATCACGTCCGCTGGAACCAACAAGATTACCTCATCTTCTTCTGCCCTCAATGTATATCTACTCTTCCCTGCGAGGAACCGCCGAAACGGAATGCCTCTAATCATACTGGAATAACGCACTGATGCTCTCGCCGTGGTGCACGCGACGGATTGCCTCGGCGAAAATCCCGGCAACCTCGAGCACTTCGAGTTTACCGGCAGGGCGGCCGTGTTGGGCAGCCAGCTCATCCATGCGGCGGACGTGATCCTCTTGTGGAACGCTGTTGGTCACGATAACCTATTGCAGAAAAATTGGTCAGCAGATTTCTATGTGTGGATTTGGGGATAAGGAACGATGAATAAGGGGCCAAGGAGGGACAAACCTTGTCTAGTCCTGAGTGGAAGATGCGCTCTAGGGCATCGCCGCTGAGAACACCGTGTGTGACGAGCGCATAGACTTTGGTGGCGCCCTCGCGTTTGAGTAGCTTTGCGGCGCGGGTAATGGTGTTGGAAGTATCGGCGAGATCGTCGACAAGGATACACGTCTTGCCGGAGACAGCGCCAACAAGAAGAAGGGTACTGTTGGCGTTGGCACTGGCGGCATTTGGGTTTCGTCGTTCCTGAGAGAGCAAAGGGTCAGCTTTCGACGTTCTTCAAATTGGCTTAGCAATGCCAGGGGAAGGCACTTTGTCTCCCTAGATCTAACGCCAATTTTGAGACGTTGTCTAGACATACCTTGTGGATCAAAGCGAAATCCATATGCAGCGCATCTGCCAGACTGGTTGCGCGCTTGGCTCCTCCCGCATCAGGGCTGACAATCACACAACGATCACCACCGCCGTTTCCAGGAAGGATCTCGTGGGTGATGTACCGCTTGAGAAGGTGGCGTCCGTATAGGTTGTCCACAGGAATGTCGAAGAAGCCCTGATATTGTGGGTCATGTAGATCCATGGTGATGATGTGGTCGGCGCCCGCACAAGTAAGGAGATCGGCTACCAAAGTGCCGGCCTGAGCAACCCATTGCTTATATCCTCGTTGCGGCTTGAAATCTGGCAACACAGCAGTCCCAGCATTCTGAGCGGATAACGCGCTGGTCTGTAGCCTGGGCGTGGAGGTCGGCGCGTGGCTGCCACTGCCATTGTGCTGCTCTACGGGCGAGGCTCCATTGGCGGTGCCGGCCGATGCAACCGAGTCATTTGATTTGACACTGTCCAATGTGTTTGTCCGGGCACGCTGTGGGAGCTTGAGGTCACCATTGAGCTTCAACCCATTCAACTTCTTTTCTAGCTTATCATCTCGTGGTTGTGAAGATGGGCCGGGAGTGCCTGGTCGTGAGTCGAAGGTATATTTGGCATCGTCGCCGTTCTTTACGGGCATGCGCGCAAGCGGAGCGCCTACTTTGTTGTAAGGTAGATCGCTCTGGCGAGAGTATGGGAACAGCGGGAGAACGGCAGTGACGCGCCGGGCGCTGGCTGTCTTGCAGGCGCTGATGGTGATCAATAACTCCATAAGACCGTCATTGAGCGAAGATACAGCGCCGCTTCCAGGCGCCGATTTCGAAGAGCAGGCACTTTGTACTATGAAGACATCCTTTCCTCGAACACTTTCGCCAATCTCTACGCGAGTTTCGCCGACGCTGAATTTGGAGAGGTGAATCTTGGCCGACGGGATTCCGAGGTGGACGCAAATTTGCTCCGTGAGCTGCGGGTGCGAGGTGCCCGAGAAGAGGAGAATGTTGCGTACCATGATCGCGGCGGCGGATGGCGAACTTCGGTAGACGAGGGGCTCTGGAGGAGGAGATTCGCGAACACTTCCCAACTCTTTATCGCACAGTGAGACTCGTTGTGCGTCTGCAGAAGATTCAAAGAGCTGTGATCGCTCACGGCGACAAATCGAACAGCTAGAAGAGCAGGAAGCAGACCACAGGTCTACCTACGTGCTAAGCTAGTCTCGAACGTGTGTCAAGAGAGGATTCCGTAGCTGCGAACAGCAGGAAGAGTAGCTCACTGCATGATGAATGAGTGAGGTTGGTGGGAACCAGGAGAAGAAAAAGGCAGAAAAGTACCTATGACGGAGATGGTCTTCAGGTAAGCTAGTAATGACAGCAGGACGGAGAAAAAGTTTTGCAGAGCAACGGCGAAGTAGTAAGAATAATGCTGCCAGTGCGGGCGAGCGCAGAATCACAACGACAGCAGTCTGGAGGTAGAAAAATTTGCCAGCGAGGCAGAGCGTGAGGTTGCCATCAAAATGTTCAAGCGTGTGAACAATATGACATTTAAATCTACAGGAGGAGGATGGTAGAGTTTCAGATCGACCTGGTCCCCTCCGAATTCGCGCGAACCTGACATGACGGTGAAGTGATTTTGCAATTCTTCGCAGATGACATGGAGGGAATTTTTCTTGCCGTGCCGAGCTTATCACGCTTATCCACACCCATTCGGCACTCTCCACAAGGATGGTGCATTCCTCTGCAGCACGCTATGGCGCTATCCATCAATTGCGGCGGAGTGAGGACCCCCGAGCGGGAAATGGGAGAGACACTCGATGAGGAGACAATGAGAGCCTTGAAACATGGCATTCCCCCTCTCTCCAGGCAGAGCACGATGACAATTTCCGGTCGAAGTACTGTGTGAGTCTGCATTGCAATGCAAAATTGATCCACGCCCATTTGGCGTTGGACCCTCGCACTGCCGGGAAGTCGTCTGTTCAAGCATCTACCTACCTAGTAGGTAGGTATGCTGGTGGTTAAGGGTTGCTCTTGTCACCATTCATCACATTGCAAGATTATGTACAGTTGTAATAAAAGCACAATTACCAGGTACATGAGGACTACTGTACATGTTGTACATTCTGCCTCAACTATGCGCCACCTTATCATCAGTGTGGAAAGTCGAAGATCGGACGAGAATGCTCATCGCCTCTATTGTGGCCGTAATGCGCTCGTATTGAAAATTGAGCAACGGTACAGTACATCGCTCGATGCGACCGGTCTCGTGACAAGATACCTCATTGCGACTACGGCTATGGGTACGCAGCTCGTCATCCGCGGCGGCAAAATGGAGCTTGTCAACGTCTCGTCTCCCATTGCAGCCCGCGTTCATCACTGGAACCGTTCTCCTGTAGGTGCATAGATAGCGCGACCCGCGCGTGGAGAGCTCCATGCGGCAGCAGTTTGACGACACCTTACGTGCAAGACCTGATTGTATGACCTTTCCTGGAGAAGGAAGTATACATGCCTAGCAGCACCACAGAGACGTCTTTGAAATGAACATGGTCTCGTCGACTGAAATTCCGATCTTGCTTCTGGGTGACTCGGGCGTTGGTAAATCGACCTTTCTCTCGTAAGTCCCACGCCTCCAATTCGACATTTAATCGTATAGCTCTAGGACGGGAGCAAAACAGGGCGTACGAACAGGTTGAACCTTGGAATGCTAAAGGAACTTCCCTAGCCGTCTCTCCGTTGGCCACAAGCACACTGGACCCCTACCCGTACTCCGCGATCTTGATCAACCATACCCATTCAACATTACTTCACAGCATCAAAAGTTTCGTCTCGAGTTCTCCGACACCAGCTCACCCACCAACTATACCCTTCTTCAGCCCTCTGTAGTCATTCTCTGCTACTCTATTGCCTCTCCGACCACCCTCGACAACCTCCAGAACCACTGGAAACGAGTCCTCGAGACGCATTTCAACTACAATTCCACCATTCCCGTGATAGTACTTGGCCTCCAACGCGATGCGCGCTCACGGGAGGACTACGACGGGCGCGTCCGCCGCCCAGCTCCTGCCGATGACGACGAAGACGATCCCAAGGCGGTGCTGAACGGCCGAACAATTGTTTATCCTCAAGAAGCTCTCCGTGTAGCTGGTGAAATGCGCTGCGATCGCTACTGCGAATGTTCGGCGCTCACAGGGGACCTGTGCCTGCAGGTCATCGAGGACATCGCAGCTACAGCGCGGGCGACGACGACTGCAGAGGGAGGGCAGTCAAAGAATCCGCACTGCGAGATCATGTAACGTTGAATGCGCCTGAGAGCGGATTACAATCTCGTGTGATGCGAATCTCCGTCGAATCACTACACGGCCCTTCTAGGATCTCTGTGACGTGGAGCTGCCAAACAGCCTCGATCTCAGCGATCCGTGTGCCTTCGCCATGAGGATGTTGCCATTTGAACTCTACCTATGTACTGAAGAGACACTTTCTTAAGCTGGTGCCTAAAAGATCTTAAATCGCGAGCCACGGCCCTCACTGCCCTTGCAGTACTATTACAAAATTTACGTCATTCTACGATGGTGGCATAAATATGATTCTTAACTTTCATGGCCTCACTCAGTATCTACACGCTTGTGATCTGCGAGTTGGCCAAGGGGCGGTTCGTGTGGTACGTAGATAGCTTCGAAATGTTGGACATATCCATGTACAATGCCTGCCTAATCGACCAAAATGAGTGCCTAGGAAGCTGGAGGTAACGGAATCCCTTTGAGACCTTCCAATATTGGAATTCTTGAAATAGACCAAAGGCCGATGGTGCAATTTGAGGAATTTCCCTCGTGGCTTTGGCTTTCACATGCACGCAAAATGGGGGACTTTACACAATTCATGACGCAGCCACCGCCGGACGGATGACGGGTGGAAGACGCGAGCGCGCGGCGCGCATTCTGCAGGTCGGGTGTCCCCTCGGACGGTAAATGAAATAATGATGGAAGCTGGAGGAATTCAAGATTTCGGAGCTGCGGGCAAGAGCTTCCAACAACCCTGTTGCCGACCAAGAAACGTACACACTGTACTCCTGGGCACTGTGCTGTACTTAGGTAGTACATTACGATCTTGTGCTGGCAAATCGTGATTGCAGCAGCAGCAGGGAAGGCGCATCTGAACACGACGCATCATCGCCTAAGCGTCACTTCCTCATCACCATTCCATTCTCCTTGGCTTGCGCGCCTGCCCAACGACCCAACTTACTGCTTCTCGCACAGCTGTCACTTCATCACTTTCCCAGCTGTACCTATCGCCTTCATTCATTCATTTCTTATTCCAACTTTATCTTGCTTTACGAACCTACGTCCGCGGAATCTTTGCTGGTCACGGTTCCGCTTACTTCAACTCGCCGACGATTCTGCTAGCTCTGATCATATCGTCCAACAACGAGCTCCCGCTACGAGTACAATGGCCAATCAATACCCCAACTTGGCGCCGAACGGCTCGCTCAACAGCGACCGTCCAAACACAATCATCTCAAGTTAGTGGCCGTAAAGCTTCCTAGAAATAGCTACTAACAGTCGCATAGACATCCAAGATTCAGCAACGTCGACTGTAAACAGCATCTCTCAATCGCAGGCCGTCCAGGACATCGCCAATGGACCCGTTGTGGAAAAAGCACGCGCTGAAGTGGACAACACCAAGAACGAGTTCAGCAATCTCGCCGCGTCTCGCCAAACACCACAGACTCAGACCATCAATGGCCAGGCCTTGACCCACTATCACTCTTTCTTTTACAACCTGCTCTCATGGGAGAACCCGCGCGCTACGAGCATCTCGTATGCCGCCATCGTCAGTCTGATCTTCACTCTGCGTTACGTGCCGGTGGCCAGATACGTTCTGCGCGCCATCTACCTACTCCTCGGCCTTACCGCGGCTGCAGAAATGATCGGAAAATATGCTGTAGGCAACGGCTTCGCAAGCAAGATGCGTCCCAAGAGATACTACACCATTCCTCGCGAGACGCTGGAAAGCATTCTTGCTGATGTCGAAGAGCTCATCAACTTCTTCGTCATCGAGTTTCAGAGAATTGTATTCGCAGAGGATGTCTACATGACTGTCGGCGTAAGTTCTGATTTCTATTGACCTCGAGCCAATGAGCTGTGCTGACATAGTTAGGCATTCTCAACTTCATTCATCACCTACTGGCTGATCAAGTTCATGCCGACCTGGGGCATTGTACTGTTCTTCACCACCGTCATCTTCTTCACTCCGCTTGCCTATATGCAAAACCGAGAGATAATCGACTCCCAGATTGCCAGCGCCCAAAATCTTGTCAACGAGCAGACGGAGCAACTTCGCGATATCGCTGCTCAGCATACCAACAAAGCTGTAGAGATGAGTCAGGCTGCGTACCAAGAGTACAGCGCGAAGGCTCAGGAGCTTCTTGGCCAGACTAAGAAGGCAGCTGTAGATAAGGGCATCGTCAGCCCCGAGACTGCGGAAAAGGCGGTCCCGGAGAAGTCGCGTTTCAGCTCTGAGACAACACATAAAGTCCTCCCAGACTCGCCGCTTGCCAGCCACGACTTTCCCACTGCGCCCAAGCTCGAGCCTGCTGGACAACCTTTTGCTTCTGAGCCGGCTGTGGCACCACCGCAGCCACTTGCCTCTTGAGCGTTTGCAGTTGCGTTTTTCGCGACTTTGTGTGAAGGATGTCCTTTGGGACATGCGAATGCGGAAGAGTCGACTCCCGAGCGATGCATCTTTGTGCAGCACGGACTTCGAACGTTTCACGACTCTCCAGGAAGACATGGACTCGGCGTTCGCTGGCCATGGTCCGGGGATGCAAATTGATATTCGATGGTGAACCTGGGCTGTTGTATGTGACCACTCTGCTGGCCGGCTTTCATTCTTATGCGTAATTTCTTTTCTGTGTTATAACCACCTGGGCATGCGGTAGCTTGCCACTCCCTGGTGCAGTTTATGCTATAAACGATGCTTGTGGAGATGTATCAAAACTTCCTAAACAGTCATGTATTTGTGGATTTGTTTCTTCGATCTCATGAGACGTTTCAAAGTATGTTGAGTTACACTGTATTTTGATCAACACCCGCATACAATTGAACACGTCCATTCTGAGCTCGTGCGATGCATCTATGAGACTTGCAGATACCTACCTAGGTAGGTAGTAGTCATGTTGTGCACGCTGGGCATCGGAGTTAGGACACTGAAATCCCGATGTCCAAGACTGCCCAGGTGCGATGCAGAGAATTGTACATCAGCCATTACGTGATCAACAATAGTCGAGAGGCGGGCAACTCGGCAGCACGTCATCTCTGCAGTAGAGCATTTGATTACAAGGTTCATTGAGTACCTAGGTAGTTGTTAAGAGCGCAGCTGTAGCTGGTACCTATACGCCGAAAACACTGATAAATAATAGCAGGAAAGGCCCCGTCAAGTCAGATTGACTCGAGCAGCCGGATACAATCAAGCGAATCAAAGACTTCAGGTTTTCAAGTACCACTCCTTTTCGTCATTTCGCATTCACGCGAGTCCAGCAATGGCTTCATCTACTAAGTCTACCGATGGGCTCAAAATCACCTTCTATACCAGTTACCTCTGTCCGTACGCGCAGCGTTCCCACATCGTTCTCGAAGAACTTGGACTGCCGTACGAGATAGTTCAAATTGACCTAGGTGTGCCACGTCCGCAATGGTACCTTGACATCAACCCTCGTGGACTGGTTCCCTCGCTCAAATGTCAAGTCGAAGGCGCTGGTGACGAGGAAATCCTCACTGAATCTCTTATCGTCTCGCAATTTCTTGCCGATAGCTTTCCCTCAACACTGTTACCCGCCACTCAAGCCGATGCTACTGCGCCTCTTCGTCGAGCCCGCATTGCTTTCTTCATCGACACATGGGCCACAAAAGTTAGCTCGCAGCAGTTCGGTATCATGTTGAACGACGACGTCTCCGAGAAGGAGCGGCTCGCCGGAGAATGGGCCAAAGCTGTGGAGAAGGAGATTGAACCACTGCTCGCTGATGCGAAGCCTTTCTTCGGCAACAGTGACGAGTTCTCCTTTGCTGATGCGATGGTCGCGCCCTTTGTGGTACGTTGGGAGGCGCTCTCGCAGGATGGCAGTCTCGTCCCCACCAGTTTCTGGGAGAGGGTGAATGTCCTGCCCAACTTCAGTCGCTGGGCAAAAGCGATCCAGGCCCGACCAAGTGTGGCCAGCACATTTGATGCAGCTACGATTGTCGCGAACTCGAAGAAGATGGTGGAGAAGCGAAAGGCTGCGGCTGCGCAAAAATGATGTCAACTTGCGCGGATCTGAAGCATTGTGGCAGCGCTTTCAGAGCGGGATTCTGTATCCAGCAACGCTTCAAATTTCAAATTATTAGTCTGTGATTCTATCTCTGAGCAGTGTTCGATGCGATCAAAGCCGATCTACAATATGAAATATGATTTGATCGACCAGGACCTGGAAGATACAGTAGAGATTCTAGGTGGATTGTCCAGGTCGTCACACGCGCGCAGGCGGGCTTCCGCTTTGGGTCTAGTCCGGTCGACGATCGGCTTTCTTGAATTGCATCCCAGGTGCTCATGGCCCGAAGTGCTCCAACCTCTAGGTCACGTACCTATCCTCATCCCTCCCCATCAATCGGGTCACAAACAACAGACCTCCAAGGCCACTCGCGACAGATGTGACAACTCCATGCGACGCCGACGTTTCCAGTGATCCACTTCGAATTTGTGCGCTCCACGACCAGCCTTCACTTTGGGCTGTCAAATGGTCATAATCTAGGTGCTACATCCGAACAACCCATTAGCCGACAAACAAGCGAACATGGCTATCGCACGTCATGCGTCGCCATTTAATGATGGCTCACCATCTGCTTCAGCCCCCCCACAAGCTCTCACGAAGCGCGATGTGCGACGAAATCGCATTGTGGAGAAACTGCAGACCATGGTCACAGCCTTCTCATCGAAAGGACACCACCATTACCGCGCACAACTCCAAGCGATACAGGTTGATATGACGCTTCTCATCGGCGCTGACCCATACGGATCTGGAGGTCCTCTTGACGACAGCTATGACGACATTCGAGCATTGGTGGACAGCATTGTGCAAGGAGGCCCCAATGGAGTCGGAGGAGTGAACTTGCCCGAGGACGACGCAGCCCGGAACGATTTCTACAGTATAGCAGGGAAAAGATATGGCGAGTTTGTGCGGAATGTGAATAACGCAGTAGAGGAACGCGACGCCGACTTGACTGCCCTTCACGTATGTTCTCGAGCTCCTGCCAACAATGTATCAAGTTGGCTGACGTCCCTTTTAGAACAATTACAATAGCGCTGTCTCAGAGTTGGAGAGGACTTACCAGCAAAGATTGCGCCAAGCTGAGGAGGAGCGCAATGCACTGTTAGCGACGATCCGTCAGCGCCTGACGATCTCCTTGAGCAAAAGGAGGACGCAACTACTTCGCGACAAAGACCAATTAGACATAGCAGACAGCAACGTCATGCTGATGCACCCCAACCATTTCAGCATCGGGAACATTCCTGGCTCGCCGAGCCATCACAACGCCAATCATAATAACAAGAGGACTAGGCATCTAAGGCATCATCGCGCCTTTAGTCCAGCTCCTGCTTCGGCAGAGTTTGGCGAGAACGGAAAGAGGAAGAGGAAATTCGGCCAGGTAGAAGACGAGGACGCTCTCGCAGCTTTTGCGGGAGGGAGGAGTCCCCACAAGGATTCAAGGGCTCAGAGAGAATATGCACAGTTTGAAGCGCCGGCCTACAGCATCGAGAAGATTTTCACAGAGAAAGAGCTGGCGATGGCGACTGACACGGCCAAACTTGCAACATACAAGTACTTCTACCTACCTCAACAAGCGCCACCTGAACAGGCTTTGAACAATGGCACTGGACAATCTTCAGTCAATGGCGAACAGCTTGAGGGCGTCGATGGTGGGTCCGGAGAGAATGGGACCGATGGCCGGGCATCGCCTGTACCTGCTGCACCTGAAATGGAGCGAACCACATCAGTGCTGACGCGCAATGGAGCTCGTAAAGACCCATTGGCCGCGCTTGCAGACCTTGCAAATGCAGCTGTGGCTGTCTCGTCCACCGGCCCATCCCCAAGGCCAAATCCATTTGTCCCGGCGGCGCCGACATATCACGCAGTCTCCAGGAGCGAAAAATCGGGCGCACCTGCACCACCCGGAGTCGGCGCGCACGACATTGAAAATGACTTTGAATTGATGCGCCGAGCCGGCGGCGACGGACCCGACGATAACGATAAAGATGTAAACATGGACGCAACTGCTGCAGAAGTAGCATCGGAAATGCGTCGCCAGCTACTAGACCAAGCTCTCGGTCGTAGCACCGTCTTAGCGCCCTATCGCCTCCCTCAGCTTGAGACTGGACCGGGCGCCATGATCGGACCTGGCGTCGATCGTGAACCACGGACTGGCTTCGCGCCGCTGCTACAGATCGCCATCACAAATGAGATTCGCCCGCGTGGACTGCCGGCCTCGGGCACGAGCATGGCTGCGGCTCTCAGCGGTCGACTGGGCATTGGTGCCGAACCGATGAGCAGGACCACGAGCGCTGGCGGTGCCAGTGAAATGGGCGATGCCGTTGCTCCGGCACCCGGGAGGCGAGGTGGGAAGGGTAAACTGGTCTAAAAGGGGCACATGGCGTGATTCACGATGGCGTATTGGTAATACATGGCATATTCTTCGGCTTGGGCATTTTGATTCGGATGTTTACGCGTACAATGGGGACGATATTGTGTATTTATTGGTTGGGCTTGATTGTAACCAGCGCACACCGCGCAGGCGGGAAAGGGCTGAAGGACAACATGGACTGGCCTCGACCCCGGTACGTGCAGTACAGCATTTCAAGTATTGATGACTAATGTTCAATGAAAGATAGGAAAGAATTCCCGAGGTGCTGTGTAAGGGAATCCTCTGCCCTGCCCAGGTGTTTAGCTTTGCTCACATATGGAAGACAACCTTGGAAGGAAGCCATCCACACGTGCGTCTCAATGTATGAATCCCGAAACCGTCCATACCTAGGTACTCCCGAATAATTTCAGGAGCATCTACATATCTGCTGTAGCTACACGCCGCCGTACGGACGTCGTCAGATTCCGGCACGTTTTGTCAGCCTGCCGGAACAGCCGGATGCGCTCGAGCGCAGCCCGTCAGCGCTTGGACATGACGACATGGACGACATGGGCATGTTGGGGCCCACCTGCATCGAATGAAGGATTGTTTCGTGCCTGTTGGCTTCGGGGTTGGATCCCGTGTCCCGCGTTTGAAAAAGAAACTCTCACAAGACCGCGCCACGGCCTGTGTCGACGGCTTATCAGCTGTCTCCACGCTCGCCGTGTGTGACTCGTGCTGACCACCGATTGTGATGCCCAGCGCAACGCGCATGGTCGGTCAGCCCTTGGCCGGAATCTGACACCGTCGAGTTTGGCAGAAATGACTGTTCTCAACGGTGTACTCTTTCGGATAGTTATGCCCGCATAGCACATCTGCCTCTGTACTGTGTGGCGTGTAATTTCCTATCTGGTAGAGATCTGCACATGGCACGGCTTCACGGAATCATATTGGACTTCCCGTGCGACAGTACTGTAGTGCAGGTGGGATTGAAATTCGGAACAACGTCGGTACAGGGCCATCCTCCTGGCGATCAGGTACAAATTCATGATTTGTTCTGGTGGCCTTGACACCTGCACAAACTCGAGAGGGATCGGTTCTGTTCATTCTCGAGGTTTTAATTACATCATTGGTGGCTTGAAACTAAGGGAATTCTAAACGTTCGACACGCGCTATCGTTCCGGACTAGGGCTCCTGTAACGATTGCTCATGTAACACCAAGATCCTAATCTGACTTTCGTGGTTGTGCGTCTCTTCGAGGTTGTTGCGACTGGACTGAGGCCATCGTTGGCGAGACGAAAGGGAGTCGATTATGATGGTTAATAATCCAAAATGCCAAGGTGGAACAACAGGAGCGGCGTCGGTGAGAATGATGTCTAACAAATGGAGTGTGTGTGTGCGCGTGTGTCTGTGTGTCTGTGTGTGGTGTCTTGGGGCGGAAAGCGGCACATTAGGGACCTAGGTAGGTAATTTTGTCGTTTCGACATTCGGGATCGCGTGGAAGGGAAGACGGTCTTGTGCGCCTGAACCTCGGGGGAGGGAGCGACGGACTCATCCTACCTATTGTTAAAGACTCACGATTGGCCTGATTGGTCATCGGTTGAGGATGAAAAGTCAACGCATCGCGATTAATAATTCTTATTTCCGTCTGTTCTCCGTGCCTCTCTTGCACATGTAATGACGAATGGCGTCAAGCTCCGACGTTAATCTTCTTCCAGTTAGCGAGACATCACCGTCCTACGTCTCAAGGATCTCTTATAGTGCTGATTGTACAAACAAATTCCGTCCGTTTCGTATTCCACTTCGCTTCCCTCCCTTGTGTAGTCACTGTCACTTCTTCCGACTTCCTGTCGCTTGCACTTCGCCGCATCGTACGAGAAGCCGGAAGTGTACTCGCTTCTCGCACTTGCAAGTGATTGCCGTTCCAGCCTGAAACATAAAATAAACATTTCGGTCGCGCCTGTAACGAGCGACTCAAATCGCGAATTCCGGGTACGCGCATGGCCAAACGTTCAACATAGGCGACAAAGCAAGAAGCCATGTGGGGCAGCTCGATAGATGAGCGCAAGCTCAATCGAGGCGAAAAGTCAGAAAGCAACCAATGGCACCGCGGTGACGTCCAACCCACCGCCGGCCAGCTTCACGACCCGAACAATGATGATGCAGATGAATCGCCAGAGGGTCGTGAAACTTCAGGAACGTGGGGCGAACGAGACGTCGGAAGATTTGACGAGGGCCAGGCGATGGTTCAATACGAAGAGCTCCGTAAGCATCTCGGCGATCTCGAACGCACCCGTTCCCGAGAGACACAGAATTCGTTGCGACGATCGAATACTGGAACCAGTCGCAAAAGCACCAAGAGTAAGACTGGTCCTAAAACCGACACTCGACCCAGCTCGTCAGGAGCCGATAAGGAAAAGGAAGATTCATCATCGGATCCCGAGGCCGGTCCTCGCGAAGAGGTCGAGGAGCCACAAGAAGAGGATGACTTTGAGCTCGACCAGTTCATGAGAGAAGGTCATTTTGAAAAGCGCACTGCTGCTGGTTCTGCCAAGCGCGTCGGTGTCATTTACAAGGACTTGACTGTTGAGGGCATGGCAGCGGGTGCGACCTTCGTGCGTACTTTGCCAGACGCCATTCTTGGGACATTCGGACCAGATCTCTATCACATCCTCTGCGGCTTCTTCCCGGTATTGGCTTTCGGTCGTGGAAAGAAGCGCACTTTGCTGCATGGATTCACGGGCTGCGTTCGCGACGGCGAGATGATGCTCGTCCTCGGCAGACCTGGAGCGGGTTGTTCGACGTTCCTCAAGGCTATCAGCAACAATCGTGATTCGTATGCTGGTGTCACTGGGGAAGTGTCCTACGGCGGTATCGCAGCAGACAAGCAGAAGAAGATGTACCGTGGAGAAGTCAACTACAACCAGGAAGATGATGTGCATTTCGCCTCTCTCAACGTCTGGCAGACCTTTACCTTCGCGCTGATGAACAAGACCAAGAAGAAGGCGCAGAAGGACATTCCACTGATTGCTGAAGCATTGATGAAGATGTTCGGCATCAGCCACACCAAGTATACACTCGTTGGTGATGACTATACTCGAGGTGTCTCAGGAGGAGAGCGCAAGCGTGTCTCGATCGCCGAGACGCTAGCAAGTAAATCCACTGTGATCTGTTGGGACAACAGCACCCGCGGATTAGACGCTTCGACCGCGTTGGACTATGCTCGCTCGCTTCGTATCATGACCGACGTCAGCAATAGAACCACGCTCGTCACGCTCTACCAGGCTGGAGAGGGAATCTACGAGCTCATGGACAAGGTTTTGGTCATTGATCAAGGCCGTGAGATTTACTCAGGTCCAGCAAAGGAAGCAAAACAATACTTCATCGATCTTGGCTACGAGTGCCCCGAACGCCAGACGACTGCCGACTTCTTGACTGCCATCACTGATCCCATCGAGCGACGCTTCCGCAAGGGCCACGAAGATAGTACCCCCAAGACACCCGAAGACCTTGAGCGGGCATTCCGACAGTCTGCCAATTACAAGGCTGTCCTGGAAGACATTGCTGACTACGAAACCTATCTCAAAGAATCCAACTTCGAAGATGCGAAAACTTTCGAAGACGCCGTCCAAGAAGGCAAATCGAAGCGCGTGTCGAAGAAATCAAGCTACACGGTATCCTTTCCCCGACAAGTCCTGGCTTGCACCAAACGAGAATTCTGGCTTCTCTTCGGTGATACTACGACTCTCTACACCAAACTCTTCATTATCATCTCGAACGGTCTCATCGTCGGATCCCTGTTCTATGGCGAGTCTCCAGATACGGAAGGCGCCTTCTCCCGAGGTGGTGCGCTTTTCTTCTCTATCCTGTTCCTCGGTTGGCTTCAACTCACTGAGCTTATGAAGGCGGTCAGTGGAAGAGCTGTTGTGGCTCGTCATCATGACTACGCATTCTATCGCCCTTCAGCTGTCAGCATCGCCCGTGTCATTGCCGATTTGCCTGTGATCCTGGTTCAAGTCATCATCTTTGGCATCCTCATGTACTTCATGACCAACCTGACCATCACAGCCGGACGTTTCTTCATCTATATGCTCTTCGTCTACATAACAACGATTCTCCTAACAGCTCTCTACCGAATGTTTGCGTCGCTCAGTCCGGAAATTGACACAGCTGTGCGCTTCTCTGGTATTGCCCTCAACTTGTTGATCATCTACACCGGTTATGTCATTCCTCGGACCCAGCTCTTGCAGAAATACATCTGGTTTGGATGGATCTACTGGATTAATCCTCTCGCCTACTCATTTGAGGCTGTCCTTACGAATGAATTTGCGGGTCGAACCATGGAGTGTTCCCCATCGAACTTGGTTCCGCAGGCTGTTCCCGGTGGACCTGCCGTCGATCCGGCCTTTCAGGGCTGTGCATTGGCCGGTGCTGCAATCAATGCTAAGTCCGTATCCGGTTCCGACTATCTGGAAACTCAATACAACTACTCTCGATCGCACCTCTGGCGCAACTTCGGTGTCGTCATCGCGTTCATTGTGCTGTACATCCTTGTCACTGTTATCTGCACGGAAAAGTTCAGCTTTACCAAGGAAGGAGGAGGTGCGCTAGTTTTCAAGAAATCCAAACGCTCCAGAAAGGCCGTTCAAACAGCGGCACCAGATGATGAGGAGAGTGCAGTGGCGAAGGGTGACAGCGACGGCTCCGCCGATCCGACCACGGGTCTGGAAGCCGCTGAAGAAGTCGAAAAGGAGGATGAAGCATTGAAGCAACTTACCAAGAGCGAGAGTATTTTCACTTGGCGGGATGTCACCTATAGCGTTCCTTACCTTGGAGGTGAGAAGCAGCTCCTTAACAACGTGAACGGCTATGCAAAGCCCGGTGTCATGGTGGCCCTGATGGGTGCATCGGGTGCCGGCAAGACAACACTGCTCAATACCCTGGCCCAAAGGCAAAACATGGGTGTCGTTGGTGGTGAGATGTTTGTTGACGGTCGCCCCCTCGGACCTGAGTTTCAGCGCAACACGGGCTTCTGTCTGCAAGGTGATCTCCACGATGGTACAGCGACCATCAGAGAGGCACTGGAGTTCTCAGCAGTTCTGCGGCAAAGTCACACCATCCCGCGTGCGGAGAAGATCGCCTATGTGGATAAGATCATCGATTTACTCGAACTCAACGACATGCAGGATGCCATAATTTCCAGCCTAGGTGTGGAGCAGCGCAAGCGTCTCACTATCGGAGTAGAACTTGCTGCAAAGCCATCACTTCTGTTGTTTTTGGACGAGCCGACTTCTGGTCTTGACTCGCAGAGCGCTTTCTCCATCGTGCGGTTCCTTCGCAAGCTTGCCGCTTCTGGTCAAGCTATCGTCTGCACCATTCACCAACCGTCATCTGTCTTGATACAACAATTCGACATGATCCTTGCGTTGAACCCTGGCGGCAACACTTTCTACTTCGGTCCCGTTGGCGAAAACGGCTCAGACGTGATCAAGTACTTCTCGCAACGCGGCATTGACTGTCCACCGGAGAAGAATGTGGCCGAGTTCATTCTTGAAACCGCAGCTAAGCCCCATAAACGAAGCGACGGCACTCGCGTTGACTGGAACGAGGAATGGCGTACTTCACCACAAGCTCAAGAGGTCATCGAAGAGATCGAAGGTCTCAAACTCACCAGGAGTAAGTCGATACCCGAGAAGATTCGCAAGGAGCAACAACGTGAATTCGCCGCACCGATCGGACTGCAGTGTACCGAAGTGCTCAAGCGCATCTTCCGACAATACTGGCGTGACCCATCATATCTCTATGGCAAGCTCTTTGTCTCAGTCATTGTTGGTATCTTCAACGGCTTCACCTTCTGGCAGCTCGGCTACACGGTTCAAGACATGCAGAACCGCATGTTTACAACGTTCTTGATCATCACTCTCCCTGCCACGATCGTCAACTCTGTTGTGCCGAAGTTCTATACCAACATGGGTCTGTGGTTGGCTCGCGAGTACCCATCACGTATCTATGGCTGGTTTGCGTTTACGACTGCACAAGTCGTTGCGGAGATCCCGATCGCTATTGTGGGCGCTGTCATCTACTGGGTCCTCTGGTACTGGCCAACCGGTCTACCTACCGAGAGCTCAGTATCCGGCTACGTCTTCCTGATGACGGTTCTCTTCTTCCTCTTCCAAGCCAGCTGGGGTCAATGGATTTGCGCGTTCGCGCCGTCCTTCACCGTCATCTCCAACGTGTTGCCTTTCTTCTTCGTCATGTTCTCGCTCTTCAACGGCGTTGTGCGTCCATACTCCTCCCTTCCCGTCTTCTGGAAGTACTGGATGTACTGGGTTAACCCGTCCACATATTGGATTGGTGGCGTATTGGCGGCGACCTTGGACGGTGTTCCTGTGCAGTGTGCCGAGTCAGAAACAGCTCACTTCGATGCTCCCAGCGGCTTTACATGCATGGAGTATGCGGGCGCTTACGCAAATGCGACAGGCGGGTACTTGCTGAACCCCTCCGCCACAGCTGACTGCCAGCTATGTCAGCTGTCGACCGGCAATCAGTACCTGGCCACGTTGAACATCGATGCCTCGCAGAAATGGCGCGATTTTGGCATCTTCCTCCTCTTCACATGCACTAATTGGCTATTAGTGTACTTCTTTATCGTAAGTCCTTCCTTATCCGTCCATTGCTTTCATACCCTCAAACGACACCTTGGCTGACAAATTACGTCTCTAGTACACTGTGCGCGTCAAGGGCTGGTCATTTGGCTTTGGTCCATTGTTCCGCTTTTTGGGCAAAGCCGTGGATTTTGCGAAGAAGCCTTTCACACGCTTCTTTGAAAAGCGAAGAAAATGAGTTTGCTCCGAAGAGAGGAAGAGTCTCGGAATGTATGTTGTGCATGATGAATTTAAATACACGCGGCCCAATGTGCTTGTATGAAAAGCGATGATACCATTCACAAGACCCTGATAGTGTTGTGACGTTGAAGAGCCAGTGAGTTTTTCGCTCTATTTGTGTTCTCTTGACCTCGCTCCAATTTCTCCCTGGGGCCCTTCATCTCCGCATGTGAACCAGAGCCCTCGCCTCAAACAACCAGATCGTTTTTTTTGAGGGGCCACACGGGCCCCAAAACCTCTATCCTTGCAGGAGGTGCCCTCCTCAAGCTATAATTACTGCTGCACGTCTGATACGTAGGATCTGTCACGGATGAATAAAGGGGTGTGTTGAGGTTAGCGGCACTTTGCCGCCGCAACCAAGCGTGATCCATGGATCGTATGTTCCCAATACATGTCATCAGGATGGCTTGCATCAAATGCTTCGGAAAGGTGCGCCCGACTTGAGAGTTGTGCTTCTGCTCTCGGAAGTTATGGTAGCCTACCGGGGAACACGGACCTGCGAGGGATTCGGCCGCCTACCGGAGCGCGTTCCGAAATTGACGTGGTTGGACGACAAGGGCTTCCGGTCACGGGCGTTCGGAGTGGAGTCCGAGAATACGATAGCTCGCGAGCAACTCAACGCGCGTATATGTAATACTGACATGCAACACACAGCAGCATGCGAGAAAAAGCAAGTCGCCCATAGTGCCGCTAAATTTCTCCATTCGCACCTCAGTTTTTGGGGGGTTCTGGCGGGTCCATTTCTATCTACGAATGATGTGCATCTCTAGTCGCCAACCTGTACCGGGCCCATCTCAGACCGGCAGGTAAGACGGGGCTTCAATCCATCGTTCCTTTGCTGCATCGAGCCCGCCCGTTCCGTGAAAGTCCCGAGAAATGGGTGTGCTAAATTTCCCTTGGCCCTTGACCCTTGTCCGTGGACGATTGAGGTCACTGCACCAGTTATGCAGTCGGGCGGGAGTCGGGAAACGAGTATCCGACTGGTAGATTTGGCGACAACCTTGGAATGAAAGTTTGGCCGATGACCCATTTGAGATCTGCATCTGCGATTTGGCTCTAACCATCAGTTACGCGTGCCCCGATATCGTCAGCACGTTACCAAACTTCTCCTTCGATGGCTGCTCCGACTTCATGAGATCATTCCACGGATCTGGTTGTAGTGATGTGTTCTTGGCCGTATCGTTCTTATCTCATCAATGGGTGATAATCTCTAACCGCCGAGGAACGCCAGAGTTTCTCGCCATGTGAGCACTCGTCGCACAGCTACCCGCCACATCAGTACACCTGGGCATGGGCAGTGTGCATATGCATCGGTCCGCTACTGCTTTGCTGCTTTGCTGCTCTGTATGCTCCTTGTTCAGCCAGCCAGCGTTGCTACTTGAGACTTGCTCAACCGCTTCGCACTGAGACGCTCAGCGTACCCTGGCCTTTGCAGATGGGCAATTACATGGTGGCTTGTCACACGAGAAGTACCACGCGCGAGCACGGTACTCGCGAAACAGAAAAGTGTGCAAGGATCCATCCTGCTTGCCCAAGTCACTGCCACTGTTGCTGTTCGCACAGGATTTGCTGGCAATTGACAGCAATCGGCAACAACAACAAAACTGACAAAGTACTTCATGCAAACACACATCAGTTGTCTGACTTGTCGACTGGAATAAATTATCATCAATACTGACATCTACAACCGCCTGGAGGGTACTTTAAGAGCTTTAGGTCCCTAACCTGCCAACTTTGACGCATCCTTCGCACTGCGCACGGCGCCATAACCTCCTACATCTAACCATACCACTCCCTTACCCTTCTCTTCAAACTTACGTGATGAACGCGTCGTGGGGTCGCCTTGCTCTGGCAGGACACCCAGACCCAGGCGTGGTGACACAACATAATTCAGGCAGCGATGGGCGTCACCAGCAACCTAGAGCACAAGACGATGCTGCTTCACTGTCTTCTGGTCGCGCCTGGCGATTCGACTCGACCAGATCTACACCAAGCTTCCGAACCACCACTCCGACTTCCTCATTTCGATCTTTCAACCGAGCAGGCAATCTGAGCTATGAAGAATCATGCTGCTCCGAGTACTCCACACCGGCGACCTCCTTTCGAGCCACATCATCCCGCTCAAAGCGAGCCCATACTATCCGTCAAAGCCAAAATCGCGTGTCGTCGACAAGTCTTCGAGAGCCTGTCTGCTATCGTGCCTACTCTCACGATGAGCTCACCAACAGCATACGATTGAGACCTGAGGAACGGGAAGAGCTTCGGGCCAAACTGAGCACCATGCGCGTCCGACCTGTCGGCTCAAAGGGCACTGAGGCTACCGGATCGATCAACGAAAATCCTCGCGTTATCCCTTACACAGGCAAGGGTGTCAAACAGGATTCGTGGACCAGAACAGGACGCAAAAGATTGGAAGGTAAGTCCTGTTTGCGTCGAAGCCATGGATGGCGTATGATTCTGACGAGACGAAACAGTCTTCCAGTACACGTTCACGCGTGAGTCAGATGGGCAAACCTTTACCGTGATGTGGGACTACCAGGTCGGCTTGGTTCGCATTCGTCCATTCTTCGCAGCTGTGGAAGGTCACGACAGAAAGGTGAGTTGAGTTCGGCGCACAACAATGTCAACGACCTCGTCACTGACCTTAGACTTCAGACCAAGCCTCTGTTCGCCATCAAACAGAACCCAGGCCTGCAGGATCTGTCGTACAACATCACCGGCGGAGCCATTGATGCACAAGGATACTGGATGCCGTTCTCATGCGCAAGAGCATTGTGTGCCAAGTTCTGCTACGAAATACGGTGGGCATTAACTCCCATATTCGGGCCAGCTTTCATCAGGGACTGCTATCCATTATTTGAGGATTATAGGATCGAAAACCAGATCATCGTCAACGCAACCATCGCCCTTAGCAATTGGGTACAGAAACCTGCACAATCATTAGAATCGTCGACGTCTTTCAGCACCAGCTCCGGGTCATCGGATTACTCTGGTTGCGATGATGGGCAAGCTGACGACGAATCGTCTGAGATAAGCAAGCGTCTCAGTCCCAGCAACATACATCCCTCGCATCCAGATCACAATGTGAAGTTGCGCTGCCCAAGCGCGATGCCAGTTTACAAGCAGGCGCCTGGCACGCCTCTGTCCAGACCACGACGTCGTCGACATGGCAGCATGAGCACAGAGCGACTCTCTCCGGCAACATCCAGTCAGGACGACCAGGAGAACACAGACATGAAATTCTCTGAGCTTTCCTCCAGAAAGCGCAAGGCACATCAGCTCGAGCACAATCGCAGAAAGCGAAGGTCAGCTCGAGATATTGAGCTAGAGGTCGCTCGGTTGTTGGGAGAGTTGGGCAAGATCGAATCAGATACGCAAGAGGATACGGAGATCGATGATTGAATGAACATGATGCTGAGCTATAATGTACTGTACTGTTTTTATTTTGAGCTGATGAGCAGACTGGGTTGCCTGTGGATTGATCATGGCTTGATTTCTGTAGACGCAGCCACCCGAAGCTGGAGTACTACAAGGATAGAGGGGAGGACGATTCACTTAGTCTGCCGTGATCTGGTCTCTTTGTCGCCCTGAAATCCAAAAATAATGGATCAATGTCGGAGCAAGTCGCCCGCGGTTACGTGACTTTCGGAAGTGCTGCGATAGCGCGTCATGCGCGTGCGAATTACAATTGATACCGTTCCGGTTTCATGCATGTCGGTACGCATTCGGTCCGGTCGGTACTGTAAATTGTCGCCCAAAGAAATCTCACGCTCGGATGAGCACGTGCTCCAGATCTCGTTAAGATCTCATTGTCTCAGTCGGAGCATGAAAACCGGCATCACTACAGAACCAAAAAGAAAACTGCATGTGGAACGATGGACCCAACAGTGCCCAGGTAGTGAGAAGATATCTTGTAGGGCATGACGCACGAGTGCTCGGAATGGGCTGTTGCTGCGCATGCGGTCCGCACCCATTTGGTGGTTAGCCCCGCCTATATCCGAGGATTTCTCGCCTCCAGGGCTAGCTGGAAAACTCGAGGCCCAATCAAAGCCGTGGGGTAGCCAAAATCTGCCGGTCCGACCGAAGACATGCTCGCATCAACGCTTCGCCACCCGCCGCCGGGCCACTGGATTGGTTGTCGTTGCTGGTTTTGGTTCTTGTGGACAATCGTTTGAGCCCATGCCATCGCCATCGCCGCCGTCGCTGCCGTGGACCGCAGTCTCTTGCACGGGAATGAAGTTGCTCGATCCGCGGTCACGTCGCCGCGCTGCTCCGACTTTCTGGCCTGTTCCATAATACTGTGCGTCGCCTATGTTTGCCGTCTCAAGGTAACAACGCAGCTTTCGACCCTGATGAGGCCTACACGTGTGTACGGACAGTGGCCAACATCAGCACGCGTCTAGATCCGCCGCTCACGATCATCATCGCGGGGAGTAGACCCCGGCGCCGTTTCATACTAGGCGGACCAAATTTCGTGGGAGGCATTCCGCGACATCGCACACGACGAGATCACCTCGTATTGCTCGTGAGGCATACTCCCACAACCAGCATCCTGGCAACAACCTCGACAGAACCACACATGGTCTCTCATCCGCCCTCAGCATACGGACAGGCTTCCGCCCCACCGCTGGCCCCATCTGCACCACCTGCGCACCACCGCGCATCCTCGGTAACGTCAGGGCGATCGGCAACGAGGCGACATCGACATGCGCGCACTCACCATGGTGGGCCTGGGTCATACCTCCCACAGAACGAGTTCCCAGTCTTCACACATACGGGAGATGTCGAGATCATAATCAGTAACCATAGTGGTCGCAAACAAAATCGCTACCTGTTACATCGCCTCATTCTAGGACAGTGTTCGGGTTTCTTCCAGGCAGGTACCCGGGCTGAATGGAGTGGTCACATACCTGATGATGGCAGCATCAGAGCGGGAGGCAGTCTGGGCCGGATCAATGAGAATGAGAGTGTGACAATCGGGAGTGGATCTAGGGCTAGCAGCCAAGATCGAGCATCATCGTCAGATCCCATGCGCCGTAGATGGCACTACACACTGGATTGGAACAATGCTGCAGAGGATGACATGCCCATGCTCGTCCAAAAAGAGCCAACAGCTGGATCGATCTTTGGCGACACCGATCAGCCGCCGCCCGTGCGGAGCAAGCCTCCAGCATCGAACGAAAGCTTCTTCCGCAACATCACGCATCTTTCCAGTCTCCACCTGAACGACCGACCGCGGACGGATGCAGCTCCTGAGCCTGGTGACGAAATCTTCAAAGACTACGACAACCTCTTTCGGACAATGTACCAATTTGCACCATCGCTTGACGCGGTCAATATCGCCTCGGCATACACAGAATGCAAAGCGCTTTTGCACCTCGCTGACATGTATGATGCGCTTGAAATCGTCGGCAGCCGTGTAGATCATCATATGCTGCGGTTTGGAGCGCGGTTGTTCAAGCAAATTGCCAAGTATCCGCCATCGTATTTGAAGTTGGCATACCTCGCGAAATCACGAACGATCTTCGCCGAAGCGATGATTCATGTTGTTGGTCAGTGGCCGCTGGCGGCGCCGCAACTGCGTGGACAAGTTGACGCTCATGTGATGGAGCTCATCGAGGACAAGGTCGATGAACTACGGGAGATGGAGGAGAAAGTCGAGTCACGGCTGTGGAGACTAAATATTACGACGCGCGCAGGTGAGCGTGTCACACCAGGCAATGACTTCCTGAGCTGGCTCGCAGTCTCGTTCTTTCGACAATGGTACGCAGAAAACACTACTCCTCCTCTCTCCGGCATCCTCAAAGACACCACTTCCGGCGCGAGTGGAACTCGGCCAGATAGCAGTCACACTCAACAAGCCTCCGCTCGCGCAATAAGTCGGAGCAGTAGCCACAATCACGCTGCCAGCCAACGTGTACCTCCACCCCAATCTCCATCCGCCCCAGTCGCTATGGGCCGAGTGTACAGGCAGCTCGGCTCCTCTGACCCCAGCGCCTATCTCTCCCGGGATGACCTCAAGCGCTTCCTCAAGTCCCCCAGCCCGCAACTCGGCGGTGGCGAGCTCCTCTACAATCGCGATAATCTGCGGCGTTTCGAGCGCCGCATCGACGACATCAAGGCCCTCGCGCGCGACGCCGTCCGTCCGCTCATGCGCAACCACCTGGAGCTGGATCTCCGGGATTTAGCCGCGCCGGCCGCTGGTGGTATTGGCGGTGGACTGGGCTATCTTACCTGTACGAAGATCGAGGAGCGAGATTTTCCGTGGCAGGAGTGACGGGTGGTTTGATGGAAACCACTCTGTGACGGGTTGCGGCTTTTATTTTTCCTCTCTCTCGGTCCTTGAGATTATTTTGTGCATATGTATATGTTGCATTGTTGGTCGCTTTTTGTTGGTTATTATACCCCTGCTGAATGAATAATGATTTCTTTTTCTGCGTTAGATATCCGTCCATGTTCTTTGCCGATATTCAAATGATAGCCAAGTACACGGATTCTCCCCAACCCAACACGGTGTGAACAAAAGTGACAACCTCTGAAACACACGAGTTAAGCAGACTACAAATTGAAAGTGCTCGTATCGCTTCATCAATTCAATTCAACGCGAGGGACTGAGGCATACTCAAAATTGATCAACCTTCATGTGCACTTGAGTCAAATTGAACCCGTCGTCGGAGGGCAAACCCAAACCCTAACACATATGACTTAGGGTATACAAAGACGATTTGTAGGTCAGCAAGGGAAAGATGCTCGAAATGGAGGATGCGCCCTCATCTGGATATTGACGAGTGAGTCATTCATTACTCTGCCGATATTCCAGATGCGTACATCGCTCACAATCGAACGGGCAGTGCCAGGCAGAATCTACGTGGCCGGGTCGTCAGGAGAGTCAGGAGACTTGATTATGCATTGCTTTTTTTCGTCCATGGTACAGAATTATCACATTCCTCGCAGCATACATTCCATCAGCGGACGCGAGGCATCGCCAATCCTTTGTCCCCGTCCCATGCTGAACCCCAAGTTGCTGTCATCCATTCCCACCTCCGTTCCAGCCATGTCCGGGCCAAGAGATTCTCGCCTGTTTCGCTCTTCAATTTTGTTGTTGTTGTTTGTATGTCTTCAAGGTCTTGATTGAGGGTTGTTCTCATGTTTCATTTCTTGTTGTGGGATTATTCGTGCGGCAATCGATATCGTTGATTTGGTAAAAGGTCATGTCGGGGAGCATTCTGCGCTCAAAAATGAATAATGTAGTTTAGTATGATGGAGTTGCGCTACCAGCGACGTCCTTTGTTGCCCGCAGAGGTACCGGTCATCGCTGCTCCGGAGAGCGGTCGGTTTCCACTACTGGCATCTTCGCCGCCGGCCGCAGGACGTGTGCCGATAGGGCTGGGTAAGGACGGACCACGCATTGAAAGATTTGATGAGCCTGGGCGGTCCCACGTGTTTGTGCGAGAATTGATCGAGGATGCAGGTGAGTTATTCTGCAGACGAGGGCCGAAGCTGTAATTCGGACGACTCGAGGAGTCTCCCACGGCTGGAGGTGACGAAGGCATCGTCGGAGCAAGCTGTGATTGATGCTGTGGAAGCCCAGAGGCGGATCCTGGTGCACCGTACCAGTTATTAAAAGGCTGTCGCACGGCCGATTGGTCGTTCGTTGAGGCGGCACCGGCCTCATAGTGTTGATTTGGTGGCTGTAGCGGTGGCTGTGGCAGATGCTGCTGCTGCTGCTGCCGTAGTTGTTGCTGGTGTTGTTGTAATTGCAGCTGTAATTGCAACTGTTGCTGCTGATTCTGCTGACCGGGACCAGGCGCTGCATGTCCTGTTGTAGGAGGGAGAGCAGACCCAGTACCTTGGCCAAAGCCAGTCGCGTATGGGTTGGCTCCAGGAGCATAGCTGTTTGGAACACCTGGAATGCTTGGAAAGTTGGGAGTGTATGTATCATAACCGATGCGATACGGCATTTGTGCGCCGTAGGGATCGCGGTCCTCACCGTACGCCATTGTGTAGGCGTTGTTGAGGCCAAGCGGATCAAATGGAGTGACGGCGCCTGGACCGATTCCGCTGGGCGGCTGACTCATCGCATGCTGTGAAAATGATGCTGGGTTAATGGCGGAGAGCCAGATGCGTGTCTTGTATATGCGGTAAAGCTCAGTGATGAGATCTTTGAAATTGATGTAGTGGTCAGCATAATAATAGAAGATTAATTTTTGAAAGTCCCTGTAGTGATGTTAGCAGGCGGAAGTGATGGCAGAGATCCATTTGAAAGCGTCACGAGACATACCATTGCCATTCAGCATCAAGAATCTCCATCTGAAGGTGCAAGTGTGCAACCTTTTGCTGACAGGTACGCTTCGCCTTGGCTTCATTGCCCTCCTTATCCGCGAGCATTCTAATCTCATGTTGCTGCGCCAGCCGCTTGATTGCTTTGGGTTTGAGGTTTGCGATGCTGTCGCGAGGAAAATTTGGATGACCTTGAATGGAAGACGGAGCATCTGAAGCATAGTACTGACGGTCCGCATTGTCTCGCTGTAGATCTGCGTTTGGGTTGTTGGCACCCTCTTTGTTGTGGCTGTACATCATCAACCACTTGTACTGCTCCTCTGAATATTTCTTCTTGTACAATCGAGCGACTTCGGGGCTGACGTTCGCATGTTGCACGGTGCCAAGATCTTGACCGCGATCGGCCTCGACAATGACCAAGTCGCCCTCTCGAACAGTCAATCCAGTATTTTCAAGTAAGTAGAAAACGTCGACACGTGAGCATTTGAAGCTGACAATGAACAGCTGCTTGCGTGGACGGTTGCCGTTGTTGTTCGGTCCCCAAGCTGACATCATGCCAGCAGCAGCTTGCTGCTCGCGGATGCTGTTTAGCTCATTTCGCTCGCGTTCGTTCAAATCGACGAGAGGAACACGATAGTTCAATGGTATTTCGTAGTTGCCGTTCTGCGAAAGTGACATGCCGTGATGTTCATTCGACGTGTTGATGTTTCGATCGGCCGTTAAACCAGCAATATCTACATTCGCGAGTAATTAGCGATTGCAATCCACAAGCATGTCTGTGATGCGCCAAGCTCCTCATCACAAGCAGCAAAGGTAGATAGAATAAGTTCCAAGGATGAGCAAGCGGGCATAAACTTACTTCTCGGTATTCCAGTAATATTGTGAATAGAATCGTCTTCAAAAACATCTTCAGAGTATGGTCTGCCAAAGAACCCAGTCTCGGCGCCAACAAGAGATCCGCGACGAGTGGGTATCTCGGCAAGAGAATGGCGACGTGATTCGTTAAGATTGCGGACGTGGTCCCAGCCCAAAGAGCTCTGCCACTGCGCACGTCGACCTGATTGGGAATCTGCTGATTGTCACGTGTCAGCGGAACTGATCTCGATCTCACCCCAAGTCGCTCGGGAAAAACTCGGATGTCATTACATACCAAACCCAAGACCTGCCAGGCTGTTCGCCAGATGATGATCGGTCATATCATTGTTGCCACTGTTGCGCCCATCGCCGTGCATGGAGCGCTTCTCGACAAGGCCACGATCACTGTCAACGTTGCGCGTTGCGCCGATGGTCGGAAGCGTGGTTGTACGCACAAGGGAGCCGATTGGCGGATGTGAAAGTGTATGAGTGAGCCGATTACCAGAGTCTGATTCAGTATCAGTGTCAGCCTCTTCGCTGAGAAGCGCAAGAGGGAGTGTTGAGGGCTGGCCGCTCGAGGCGGACGCGTTGCCTTGCATGTTGTTGGCGGTCATGGGAAGTTCACGTTGACCTTGTGAGTGTGAGAGCGAACGTCCGGTTTTGAGGTGAGCGTGTAAAGGGATTGAGAAGGGTAGTGACCCAGTGCCCGCGCTAATTGGTGTGCTGGCGTCGCCCGATGATAATGCAGTGCCTCCGAGGTTGCCAGCAGCACGGCGCACTTCCATCACGGCGTTTCTCTTCGCAGAGTCGGTCATTTTGAAGCTGCCACGTTGTTGTCCCCAGATGCTTCCGCCAGCAAGTCCAGACAATGGAGTATCACGCATGGGAGGATGGCCAAAAGTAGTTGAGGTTGGCCAAGGCCGCTCGTCTCCGGAAGAACTAATCGAAGCGGAATCCGACAGCGGCTGTTGAGAGGACTATGTGGCACAATGTAGCACATTAGTATCAGCATGACGGTATATGCCGTCAGCAAGTGAAAGTGCCGTCGTTTACGCGCTCGTCACTTGGACTGGAATTCAGAGCTTGGGGGAACTCACAAGCATGGTGGCTTTCGAGTGGGGTGAGCTGACACTTCACGTCACAACAGGCGCATGCACCACTCCAATTTCTGCTTTCTGGGTGAGATTCTTTTGTGAATGATTTCTCACTGCGATGAAATATTCTTCAGCGTGGCAGGAAGTGCGGGCTTTGCTGTTGACGACGAGTCAGTGGATAGGTACTCGGCCAAAATTCGAGCACATGTCGCATCTTGTGCAGCATCATGGGCATACACACATACCAAAGATAATAAAGCGATTTGAGGACAACGGCGCGATTTGCCTTCAAGGACTTCTCTTCTATTCTATACTCTGAGCAGAACCCTGTAAGTAAGGTCATCAGAAAATGACAGTCTGGCTGAGTGCATTTTGGTCATCACTCACCCAAGGGTCGATATGTCGAGAAACGCCGTCGAAGGTTTATGCTTGTCGGATAAAATTACACGTTGCAAAAGCAGAACAAGCAGGAATCGGCAACGATGTCGTAGTCGTGGTCGTCGTATTTGTGCGTTTTGCACCGATCTATACCCGGTTCAGTTTCATGCCCAGAGACAGCAGGGAATTCAGATGCGCGAAGAGGAGAGGCGGTCGTCGGGGTTGTGCAAAGCTGCTTACCTATTTGTCAATTGTCGCACCGGAAAACGCCCCACGAAGATGTCCCGTCTATGATTGAAAGCAAATGCGCGAAAGGAAGGAGTTGGGGAAGGTGATCGGTAGTTGACGAGAGGTACGGTGGTGGCAGGATTGGATTGAACACAACGCGCGCGACGCAGCCGATGGACGTTTTCGGTGTGTGGTCACGCACACCGTCGGGCGGAGGTTCTTTAGAGTTCGAGTCTGCAAGAGTTCGGGGGGTGCGCTCGCGTTGGTGGACGGGCGGGAGTGCGGGCTGGGGGAAAAGGGCACGGCGGCTTGCCAAATTGTGGGGAAAAAATAGCGTGGCGATCAGTGGTGTGTGGAGTACAATCTGGACTGTAATAATTGTGGAGAACTGTACAGTGGTAGTCGTCTGCCAACCAGCAACTGTACCATTGTCTTTCGGATGAGAAGGTCAAGTCGCTATTGAAACCGACGCTGTGCTTGAGATGTATTTTTGGAATGGTGGAGACGAGAAGCGACGAAGAATTCCGAATTGACAATTGTGTCTAGTGACAGGAACCACGATGCGCTTGCTGTGATGGTCGGCGGATCTACGCAGAACCTCAGTCACCCTAATCCGTCGCCTTTTCCGCGCACGCTGTCCTGTTCAAGGTGTCGCTTGCGTTGAAAACCAGGTCAATTATCACAGACCCTGTGCGATAGCCAATGGTGATGTTGCCTCGCCTTTGTGCTCCGCTCGGCTTGTCTTGGATCAGTGTCGCGCTGGCAAATGGAATTATTCAGCATGGATGTGTGGAGGAAATTGCAGGTGGGCGCATGAACTGAAACGAGGACGTACCCGACCAAATCGTTCTCTACAGTTGGGAACTGAGTGGTTGGTCGTGGACTCTACCAGAAAATGATCGGGCGAGGACAACGTCTCGTCACTGGACGGATCCGTTCGTCTGGTATTTGGTGAGACGATCCTCAGGCACGAGGTCGCCTTATGGGGTCAAAACCCTCTTCCCAGGCGAGTGGTCTTGGGCGTTGCTTGGGCAAAAATGATCGCCTTGTTCTTGCCTTGTCTCGCGTGGCTTTTCCCGCCTTTCGCTTCTCTGCAGGGCGATGATTCCGAGAAAAGGGGGAGGTATGGCGTAGGGCAATCGGCTAGTGTTTAGCTGAAGATCAACTGCGGCGCGTCAGCCGAATCGTGGGTGACAAGGGAATCCTCTTTGGCACGAAGCAGAGGAGGAAGCACCAACCTGGCTGATGGATAATGGAACAATCAACAAGGTTTACGCTGAAGCGTAGCTACTGCATGCAGTAATAGATGAGTTGGCTGCACGATTATGTTGTTTTCAATCTCAAAGCTGCATGACCACCGCCAACAAAAACTGCGGGCGTTGCTAGACCTAAATACTGCGAGGTCGAGCAGAGACCCACGCCAACTTCAAATGATACCAGCACAATGATCTCCACACCGGCCATATCACCCCCCCTGTGTGATGATATTCCAGAAGTCGTGCGAGAATTGCCCGCAGCCAAGGTCTGACAACAGCTGCACGACGCTCTGACTTGATGCTTCGCTTCCGAGCACGTTCCGCCCGCTCGTTTTCCTGGGCGTTCGAAGGAATGCGCCTTCGGGTGCTTTCTTGCATGCGAGTATGCAAAGGACCCGCATCTATAGGTAGCGTCAATGCTCGCCAGCTCACCAACAGTCTGTGCAGACGGTCGTGCAGGGCCAAGCAAGAGAATGTACTGGACCCGATCCGAGGCGCGCTCAGTGAAGTTCAGCTCAATCTAACATGCCCAATGTATCTCGATACCTGTCAGCCGTGCTTGCGCCCATGCCGGACCAGAAAGTCCCCCTCATTCGTCTTGCGGAATACGAATATAAGCCATTGGTAGATCAATCTGCAGGCGTATAAACAGTCCTCCGAGCAAGGTTGATGCCGGCATCGCATTCATCACGACCTACACAAGCTTGTCCGCTCGTCCGCCCGACATCAGCAACTGAATGTTCAACGCAGGACCAATCAGATGTCGGCACATCACACCCTCTGGCATTCAGGACACTGATGATCGAGAAGTCTCTGCACCACACTCCGGCTTCTAGACGTACTCCAGAGCCTTCCGGCTCGAGTCCAGCGCCGTAATCTTGCATTGCAGAGCGACTGCACGCATGGAATCCTGTTGTGGAGTATTGTTGTCCCATTCCATCGCACGGGCTGAAGATCGTCAGCACCAGCACCTGTTCGTGCTGCGGCTGCTGCCAGCAAAATTAGTAAGTGTCGTTTGGCGGGCAACAGTTACATGACTTGACCTTTACCACTTTACTGGTCTGTATGAGTAGATTTGCTACCCAATAGCCATCACTGGATCGACGCGATCGTGCTGGTATACGTTCGACCGGGATCAGCATATGGACCTGTTGAGGGAGCAATATGCCGTTTGGCAGCTCAAGCCCTACTGAGGTCACTCGAGAATTGAACCAGAATAAGAACACACAGGCCATACTGACATTATCGTAGATGTTCCGGCACACCATGGCAATTTAGATTGCCTTATCCTGAACAATGCCTGGCTCTGTAGCTGCGACAGCAAGGGCGGCTAAAACATCCAGGATGCCCTCAACTTGTGCGCTCGAACCTTGTCATCATCTCTTTCTTCGAAATTGAAGGCTCAGCCCCTTGATTGTCTAATCATCAGATGTTAACCGTGTATGGAGGCACGAACATGGGTACGACAGCGGCTGTTTATCGCTGCATCGCCAAACGAGGTCCGGGTTTCGATCTACTCTGTGATCGCACTTCACAGTCGCTCAGACGGAGCGCGAGTTGCGAAGTCGATGAGTGACGTCTGCTCATTCCGAGAAATAGGCCATGCGGGGCGTGCGATACTCCACCATTTGCAGGTGTTATGTTTCTTTCAGTGCACATCCGCAACGAGTGTGTCCTCCGCAGGCTCCTTCCAGTACGATGTGTCGAGCTGCAGTACGACGAGAAGACGAACGTGAGAGTGTGCCGAAGAGCATCGATACGGCGCTGCGCGTATCGCTGAGCGTAATCACGAACCAGTGACATAACGTGAAAATTGCGCAGGTTTGCTTGTGGGTCTGGCTCACGGCAGAATAGGGGGTCGTGCAAAGCCCAGCATCCACTGTGTGCACAAAGAGCATCGTCAAAGCTTCATGGTGCCACTGTTGATTTGAAAGACAATAAGATTGGAAATAACGATACCTGCCGGTGGCTACGCCGGAAGCCTGCTGTATGCACCCTTCCCTCCTGCTTGCCTGCAACCATCTTGCCGTTTGCTCCAGATTACAGGCACTCTCCTTGTCACCCTCGGCCACTTCGAGCATTCAATCCAAACGAGCTCACAGCAAAAGACGGCAATCCGTTGTTGACGCCCAGGAGTATTGCTAGCTTCTCACCTTGTGCGTGGCTGAAGTGGTAACGGGAAATAGCCCCTTAGTGCTACCTACTTCTGCCCGGTTACCTGCAGCAGCACCTGTCCTGACCTGCAAAGTCTGGGCCGATTGCGCGCAAAGTAGATCCAACTACAGTAAGCAAGAGCGGTTGCACGTGCCTGATACAAAGACTTTTTGTGACCATCGTTCTCAAACTTTGCAAAGCACAATGTACGCGCTCGACGCCTTGAAGTCAGCCATTGGCTGTTTTTGCGTCTGCGCTCGGTTTGTCACGCAACATTGATTTTCAAATTGTTGAGAAGGTCGCTCAGATGATGTCGAGCACATTCGTCTCATCATCAAGACCCACTGCTTCGATAACTTCCTGACCGAGCTGGGGATTGTGCGCGTCAGAGTCATGGATATCCGCTCAGCTCCACGAGCCACGTCGCTTTCTCGTTTAGATTTGCGACTCACTTCATAAGGATATGTTCTCCATGGCGGGAACTCTCACCGGCACCAAGAAGGACGTTGTGATGCAGCAGGTATGGAAATTCCCAAAGCGATTGCACGCACATGAAACGTATCGGAGAACGATGATCAGAGTTGACTTCTCAAGATCTGCACAACCAGCACAGCATTCCCGTGCACTACCCTGGCACACGCCCAGGAGGGCAAAATTCGGCCTATCGCTCTCAATCTCAAAAGCCATTTCGGCCATGGACACCATCATAACCATCGTACGTTGCTGAGAGCCTCAATGACACGATATCGATGGCCGTGGAAGTCGAGAGCAACCAAGCGGCCGATACTGCGGTACTACTATCGCTCCGGTCAGCTGCGCAACCCGGACTCGCATGAACCCACTGCGAACTGTTGAGAAACACGGCAAGCGCCAAAGGGAAAAATAAGCTTGAGGGAGAATAATGTTTCACAAGAGCTGGGAGTCTGAGGAGGTGCACCGCGAGTGATATCTCAAGTCTGTTCCTCCATGATCGGCGGGGTCTCTGGTCCACCTAATGCGTTGCAAGATGACAAAAGATATGACGAGGCGCGAAATGAAAACCGTGTCCTCACGAATCTGCGAGCTTGAAGAGCAACTCACCCATGTCCGTCTGTCAATATACATACTCTCGGGAGACGGATATCATTCAAAGTATAATGGCCATCTGGACAGTCGGCCGGACGTGGATCGGGTATTATTCTCTACACCACTTGATCGCCAAACATGATGTCCGTCGAACCAGCCCGGGCACCTGCCGCAGACGGACTAATCGATCACCGACAAAGATCGACAGGACAAGTTTGTTAGCTTTAGTATACATATTCAGAGTCATACTCGAACCTACGAAGGGGTATATATATGCATTATTCCAGAGCAATAGAAACATGCTTTCTTGAATTCAAACATTTGATGAAGCAAATTTTGACTTGTTAGCATGATTCATGGCTGCAGCGTTTTGTTTGGTTCTCGTTCCTGAGTTATCCTCGCCGATGTAATGTGAAGACATAACTCATTCGAATACAGATCATCGTTCTAGGATTATGACATGTCCAATTGGGGAGATAGGCTGCGCGAATAATCCCGTCTACGGATGTCAAACAGTCATCACGTGACCTTGACAGTGTGATTCGTTGTTGCCGTCTGATGATAAGGAGATCATCGTGCTTGTGATAGGCGGGACCTTGAGATACCTCCACGACAAATCACTGGCCCGGTAATTGCATAAGTACTTGCGCAAACCTTCCATTACAATTTGGTATATTTCGAGATCAGCAAGGATGCAGGGTCGCAAGCGCGAAGAAAGCTTGGATAGAGACAAATACGATAGCGAGGAGACGATGAGATGAGATGAAATGAGATGACCTCAGACCGATATTTCGAAAAGCAAGTAATGATATGTACAAATTCATGATGATATGTGTACCTTATATTTACAAAGTAGGTAGGTAGTATCGTAAAAACGTCAGAGGCTGTTGACTTTCAAAGCCACAATCAAAGGGAGCTCGTACAATGCCTCGGACAGACCAAAAAAACCTGCTGGATGTCGGATACATGATAATGCAATATCTCGCGATGGAAACCCAGCCAAAGAATCGTCAAATGCTCATAAATTTCGTGGCATCAAAACAAGCATGATGATGATGATGATGATACAAATGCAATTCCGCCCGGTACATATTCGGAAATACAAATACATGCAAACCTTGGAAAGCAAGCAAAGGCAGAAAACCGTTGTAAGGAAGTGAAGAGGCGTTCCCCGCACGCCATTGTATGATGTGGTCTCGATTAGCGTCGATTTCCTCAGGGCTCTGGACCCTGAATTTATGTGGACAGTGCGCCACTTGCGTCGTTGGTGTGGTGGGCCGAAATCCTATTTCCCACCATGGACAAAGTGGTTCGATGACGGGTTTCGCAAATGTGACGTCGTGTGGAAACCGCGCAAATGAGCGCAGACGCCGAGGACGACCATAGTTTTCGAAGGTAACGCCGATCATTGCGGCTGGCAGCGGAATGATGCCCTAACTATGGACCGTCCATGCGACAACAATGTGCCTCCATTTCGAGCAGGACGGGTTGTTGTCAACGTTCAGTGTTCCATCTCAGGAAAGGATGGTTGTTATTTAGGGTAGTGCGGCCGGAACGAGTCGATTCAATCGCCGCGTCGTCCTCGCTTGCCATATGCCTCCACCTCGGGGTGGACCACACGCATGTGGCGGGTGAGAGCATCATTACGTGAGAATGTCTTCTCCTCACGACAAAGTGGACACCGGACCTTTTGCTTGCGGTTGTTGTGGATCGTATCCTCATGTCGTGTAAGATCGTATGGCCGTGAAAAGATTGTGTTGCAGGGCTTGCCAGTAGAAGGATTTATTCTCGAGCATCTATAGATTGTTAGTAAAAACCATAACGCGGAGAGGGAAAGTCGTAACTTACTTGTGTGGACCCGCTTGCGAGTTCCTTGCAAGAATGGCGGCTGATGTCATGCCAGAATCTGATGGCTCGGGCGAGGCAGCGGACTCTGGAGATGCAGACGAAGTGCTTGCCACCGATGCAGCATCCTTGAGCGCCTGCTGTTGCTGAGATCTGTGGAAGTCACGTTTGTGCTTCTGTAAACCTTGGTGTGTGTCGAATCTTTGGACACATCCGTGATATGTGCATGTGTAGGTGCCAGTATTGGCACGGGTGTCGTCGGGTCGCTGTGGAGTATCGGTGCGTTGAACTATGCTCTCCTGTGACGATGTACCTGGTCCGAGATCACTTACTGAGGACTCCATCGAAGGAAGAGCAGGCGGAAAGTTCGGTGTTGAATCATTAATGCTAAGTTTCCCAGTCTGGTAGCTGACCGGGAACATGGCCGTCTGCATCTGGTCCGAGGACTGGGGCATCAAAGAGAAATCAAAATCCGGGATAAACGGCTGATCGGTAGTTGCAACATTCGGGAAGGTCGAGCTTGGTTGGCTGCTGGTTGGATGTCCCTGAAACGAAGAAGAACTTTGTCCAAAGAAGGAATTTCCTGTCCATTGTTCAGAGCCACTGACGTGCTGCTTGTAGCCGTCAGGTATACTGTCTTGAAAAAGCGGCGGCTCATTCTCGTGATTGTACTCGAGCACAGCGTCTTGGGGTGACATTGTTTTCGTCGGCTCTCTCCGCAGAGGAGGAGCCTGTCGGGCCAACTCTGCACGCTCCGCCTCCTCTTTTTGCTGCAGACGCATATTCGCGGCCGTGCCTACTTGACCAGGAGAGGGCTTCCAATCCTGCAGAAGTGTGTTTGGTGAGGTCGCCTGCCGGTAGGGAGATCTCTCGCGGTTAAGCGTTGAGTTGGGTGAGATCGACCGTGCAGCGTTCGCAGTTTGAAGTCGTTCTGTGATGAGATTTCGTTGAGGAGAGAGATAGTTCGTCGTTGATTTTGTCGGTGGTGCGGATGTGTATACGAAATTGGGATTGTAGAGCTCATCCTGGTAGACCTGTGACTCCGTTCGGTGTAATTGTATTGCATTGCGGAAATCTGAACCTGCGATTATTATACGATCGCGCTGGGTTCCAACAGTCAGATCATGCTCACCATTTGATGATAAATTGTGAACCTTGCTATCACTGTCGCTTCCAGATTGCGGTGTTGCAGGTGAATCGTTGCCATAACTTGACATTGACTGCCTTGATGGCGCAAAATCGTCGGTCAAATCCTCGGTTGGCTGGGTGTAATATTCGAGGCGCTGCTCTGTAGTGGCATCTCGGATCGCCATCGAGGCACTGTTGTAACTTTTGGAATGTGAGTAATCGACGTGTTGTAGCGGCGAGTTGTCTATGTTGGCGATGTGAGGATATGTCAAGTTCTGTGGGAACGGTGACCTTGGCCCGCTAGATGCTATCGTTGAGCTTGAGGGCGTTCGTCGATGTTGTTCTCGTGACTGAAATGTTCCCGCACTTAGGTTGGAGGTTGTGCTCGATATTCCCATGCTATGTTGTTGATGACGATACATGTGCTGGTTATGTTCAGATTCGCGGGCGTAAGTGTCCTGTAGATTGTAGAGAAAATTTGAATGTTGGTTTCGGGATGCAGCAGTGTTGAGAGACGAGTAGTAGTATTTCGGCTGTACGGCTTGTTGCGAGAGAGCGATCTGTTTCGGGGTCTTCGAGATAACTTCATGCATGCCCGAGGTGATGGTCATTGGCGCAAATTCGTGACGACAATAGTCATCAGGACCCGCTGTTAGTCGAGTAGGGGTATATGATGATGTCATTGCCAAGTGGTTGGAAAGTTCGGGACGAATAGTTGTAGCCAGCGTTGTTCGATCGCGAGAAGCTTGGATTATTATACACAGAAGTGGACTATTGTCGAATGTTCTCGTCGATGCTTCGAAACGCTCTGGGTGTGTATTGATTGTGTTGCTGTACGATCCGGGCAGACTACTGTATGATAAGAATATCTTGTCCGCGTGAACAATCGCAGTGATGTAGCATTCACATAGCCACAGGTCTAGGGTCGTGCCATCGATTGTGTGAGCGGGACATAGACGAACCTCGAAGTTCCTGGGTACCTAGAGTGTGACCCTGCATCTTGGCGTGCCGAAGTACCCAAGCGCATGCTCGTAAAATGTCACCCTCCACCAGAAATCCCGTCCGATTTCTCGATGACGCCGTGCGGTCCGTCTCTTCCCCGGCGATGCAGCATCCGGATGGCCGCCATAGCCAAAGCCGTGACTATGATTTGTAAGGTTGTGCATTATCTTCTCTGCTATGTTGACATCTCGGCTTCTCACTGCATGGCTGAAAGTACTGCAAGCCTCTTTTCCGCATGTTATTGCCGAATTGAGCACCACTGACGAGCCCCGCCGAGCCGCTTGGGCGTTTACTGTGGGTCTACAAATCTGCAATTGAGCATAGTATTGGCTGCGCGGCCCTCGCTCCGAACACAACCTTCGTTTGTCGTTGATATGCACGGCGCAGTCTTTCAGCAGATGACGACCTGCCCTTTCGGGAAGGCGCGAAATGTGATCAACTCTGCCACTGTATACTCGAACTTTGACCCCGTCGTCACTGTTGTCGCTGTTGTCACTGATCACGTGAGATCCCTCAGCCGTCATTTTCGCTCAGCTGCTCACTCGTATGACTCAAGATGAGCGGGTCACGTCCATTGCGTAAATGAGATCGACATACAGTGTGTGATCGGACTTTACGGACGTGACGGATTACGGTAGTATGGTTCCTGATGGAAAAAAGGTGTGGCGAATGTACACTTGCCGGAACAGAAGGCTCCGACAATGCGTGCAAATTTAGAGTCTGCATACATGCCCAGGTGGAAGGAGAGATCGTGCTCCAGTCTAGATTACACTTTCTGTATAGGGCATCGGTTGATCTTCGGGAAGTCTCAAGATTGGGCAGCGGGACCTCTGCTTTAGGCAATGCTTTGCGCGACAAAGTCTTCTTATGCATCGTCACACATATTCACAGAGACTCGCCGCACTGTAAAATTCTCGGCGTTGACCGCGCAAGACGATCCGTCAGGTATCGGCTGTCACACGTGGCTCTGCAGATCCTTGGCGAGCATTTGAAGACTCGTAAATTGGGTCTTGGGATCATCCGTGGCGCGAGCAGCCAGTGAGCGTCTGGCTTGGCCAGCCCTCGAGCTCTGTGGCTGTGCATATCATTGCCGAAAGCCGATCGACCCTAGGCGTGCTCTAGAAGCGAATTTCTAAGCACCCGAACGTGCGGCAGTCTCGCGGAAGGCCGAGACTTATGTAATCACAGCCGGTAAATGGGGGCGACTGATGACATTGGCTTTGCATATTTCGCGGAATTCGGGAATGCCCGATGACATGCCAAGTCACAATGTTCGCGACACCATATTCACTCGTCATCACTGCAATGAAGTGCGTTCCGAAGCATGATGCATCGGCATTTGAATCTAGTCAGTGTGCGTCGTCAGCCGAGAAGGAATATCACTTGGCAAGCGGCACGCTTTGCATAATGACCGGAGCTGCACGTCGAGTAACGTGTGATCTCGAACCGAGAGCATACGCTACACTCATGCGACATGGTGGACGCGTCTTCGTGCCTTCGATACTTGAATTCTCGACAGTCCATTGGCGATCGGAAGTCCCAAGGTATCGCGTTCTGAGTGGACAGCTTGTCGTTACGTTGAATATGCGCCACAAGCTAAGCCTTGTGCTTCATAGAAGTCGCTTCAACAGCCACGCTGTGTTGCACAACGCGGTTGATGTCAATGTCTTGGCTATTCAGCAGCCACTATCCAGCTGACACAGGCGTGGGCGATGTACCCGTCTTCTTACTGCTACCGACGCCCCGTGCTAGCACTTCTAACCTGCTAGCCTGCACACGATGCTTTTGCATGACAGACACCCATTCAGGCTCGAGGCCGGTATTTCTCAGCCGAGGCTCAAAAGTAGACGAAGCGGGTTTGTTGGCTTCATTCTTGCGAGCCTGTTGGTGCAGATCCTCTTCCAACAGTGCGAGCGCCATGCCGAAATCTGCGCCAAGTCGTCCTAGACTACCAGCACAGTACAGGACTTGCGTGAGAAGAGATTCCCGCATAGCCTTATCGATGATGTTTGGAAGATATTCGCGTAGGGTTGCCTCAAGGAGATCTATCAGCTTGATTGAAAATGTTGTCACCGCTGGCGGTAATGGTCGTAACGGATCAGGACGAGTATTCTCGGTCGAGCTCATCCCTGTTGTGCGATCTTCAAGATGTGGCATGCTGGAGGGAAATATGCTTTTGTACATACTTAGAATTCCAAAGCTTTGCTCGCGGAAGACTTCGATGTACCGTTTGAGAAAGCGCTCCGTCTGACTGCCGAGTGTGCTGGCCGTCGATGTCTGATCGCTTGTTGTATAATGTCGAGCTTGCTGGAGCGACTCTTGATCTGCGAGATCGCGCAAAGGATCGAGAGCGCGCAATGTCTTGTGAAGTGTGTGCAGACGGCAGACAAGAAACAGCGCGCCGATCGGATTGTCGTTGTCAAGAGGAGTTGCAGAGACAGTCAAAGGTTTGGCGAGTAGGGCGCCTGAGCCTGTTAGAGCAAGTTCATCCCCAACCAACTCCGGGGCGACGCGCCGGAGATAGCCAACAGTACGCATGGCTGCCGCCAACTTCAACGTCGGACTTTGGAGAGATGTGATAAGGATTGTTGCCAAGTTCTGCATTTCTCTGCTGGACTGCCTGCTGATTGACCCAACCAGCTCGGATTGCGGATATAGAGTGTTCAGCCGTTTGATATGCGCTTGAATATCAAGAGCTGATGCATACGAAGTAGATGCGCTGCTTGTAGTGTTCGCGCCTGAATTTTCCGCTTGAGCTGCGGTCACTGTCGAAGATAACAGTCCAGGCAGATCGAGGACATCTGACAACCTGTCCACGTTGCGTGAAAGCAGCGCAGCGCGCTTCCTGCGGTCCAGTATCCCGTTATCCGTACTCCTGTCATACTTTTCTGAGAAAGCCAATGTTACGCTTTCTAGGCTTGGTATGTCCTTTTGCAGTACGTCTGTCTGGCTCGTGATTGTAGGTAATAATGTCGCAAGGCTGGCCAGTTGAGTGGACGACGATATGACTGCATTTCTCGATCGCTTGGACAGCGCCTGCAAATGCCTTGCATGCGATTGTGACGCATATAATATTGAAGCTGACTCGGTCGATGTAAGGTCATCTAGGGAGAGTGTGGTTAAGCGGGCGAGGTACGTGGTCGTCTGCTGTTCTCGTGGGTCTGGCGCAGAGTTTGAAGGATCGAACTTGGAGGTCAGGATCTCATACAATGATTCCATGGTCGAAAGTGTGTCTTAATGGCGGAAAATTTAGCTTATTAGCTATTTCGCATGAGATCCCGATGCAGTTCGTGCTCGATAATTCGAATGAAGCTGGAGCTGTTGCGAAGCGAGTCGCATTGTTTTGCCTGTTGCGACTGACTGGCAAACCGAAATTCCGGGGGAAATCGCTGGCGGCGATTAATGCATGACGGGTCCGACACGAAGCTTTCGCAATTCGACCACCGCTTGGCTTTGCTGTTGGAACAAATGTCGACATCGGAATGACAAGGTAAGGCTATAAGATGCCACTCTGACCAGAATCTGTGATACAGCCGGTATATTACTGCCTTCCAAAAGCACAGCCAAGCAGTCATTGTCCATAAAGTTCGGGCAGACTCGGTCGATGGTGGCAGACCCCACACATGTTTTCAGATTGTATGAAGATCTCTACTGCGACAAGCGGCAGCAATATCAGAATCATCACACACCACTCTTGCGACGTCGCACTCGAAACACTTCCATGGAACAGACACTGTATCCAGATGACCTGGTGAGGCTGAAGACTGACAAATCACGGCTTGCTTCTGTGGAACGGACCAACGATAGCCTCGACTTTCACGTGCCATTTCCACAGAACGGCGAGGACTTCATCGACCTCTCCGCAGGCCCAGGCGTCAGCGCAGAAAATTTGAGGCAATTCAAGGCGTCTGGTGCTCCTCCGAAAGGGACAATCCTGGTCCGCTGGGAGAATGAAAGTCTTCAACTGATACGCTCCGACAGCGTCTCCTTGATCGTTCGATCGTTGCTTGTTGGCGATGTCGTAAAACGAAGTGTCTCCCATGTACAAAGTGGAGTCGTTATCAATACAATGACCAGATGTGTATTAAGACCACTTTGTCAGGTCACCCATGCTAGCCGGCCTGAGTTGACGCTGAAGGGACTTCCTCCGCCTCATTCAGGTGATGCAGATTTAGTATCACCCTGGGCTGTGCAGGCCCATGACGCGCCTGCTCTGATCAACGATGTCCCAGCATCCGAACTCATGTTTTCAGATCCCATAGCTGATCTCACTTCAGGGGATCTGATTGTCTATAGAGACTGGATTGGGAGAATAAGAGACAAATCTGATCTCGTTTGTGTCAGACTTACTGACGGATGTGTTGTTGAGATACCCGGAGAGCAAGGGGAACATCTGGACGGCATTGTCGATGCTTTCGCCGTCGGCGATGTCCTTTCAACGAAGAAGGGTGTCTTGCGGACCGGCACATGGATTTATGGAAGCTACAATGCAAACACTCCGAGTGTTGGGACGGTGGTCTGCGTACGGCCAAGCATCGTCGAGGTTGATTGGTTACAAAAGCGGATTGGAAGCACAGAAGATGAGCCACCCGTGGTGCTCCAAGATGCTGAGTGGGAAAGAGCAGACTTTGTGATATACGATCGATCGCGGCGTCCACCCCAAGTCCAAACTGATCCTCTCGGAACATTATCAAATTCGGAATTGGACCTTCGATTATACCAGAGAGTTCGTTTCCGAGATCTGGAGTCTGCGTGTGCAAATTACCACACAGTCGATGGCGTTCCTGCGATTGTAAGACACGACCGAAAGGACAATATGGGCTACGATCTGAATGTCTTTGACGTGGTTGCTTTCCGGACCGCGGTCAGTGTTCAATGGCAGGACTTGAGTATCACTATACACGATAGTGCCGACTTGGTTCCCGACTCCGGAATCGACGACAGTCATGCTGCCTGGCCGGCTGAGATTACGCATACTCTGGCCATGCGAGCTGTTGGTGGAATGCCACATGTTGAGCGCCCGGTCAAGGTGGGCGTTGTTCAGACAGTAGACGCTACAGCACGCATGGCCATAGTATGGTGGACTCCAGACTCTTTCATCGAGTACAGCCGACACGCAGAAGAACAAGATGGCGTAGACGCAATTCTTAGGCATCATATTGCCACAGGCCCTGGCATTGCTGAAGCGATCAGTCTCTACGACATCGATACTCCTGCCCACGTAAACGTGCGAAGAGGCGACATTGTACTAATAAATAATGAGGAACACAATCCCCTATTAGGCACTACCCAGGACCGAACTTGGCTTGGAGAGATAGTGGATACGCGCCTCGATGGCAGTCTCGTCATCCGACTGGGTGTGGCTGAAACAGTGCAGGATGTCATACTCCTGAGGAAAGATGTCACAGTAGCTGTTCGCTCAGATGATACCGACGCTCTCGAAGACGAGCATTGGGATGATGATATCCTCGATGAGGAGATGGAAGAAGCTTTCCATCAAGCTTACAGCGACAACCCGGATCACCCGATGTGGGATGATCTTTACGCAGAGGAAGAACAAGCCCACTTTGAAGACGAGAACGGAATTGAGCTAGATGCAGATGATTGGGAAGACGATGCCTGGGAAGATGCCGAGGAGGAGGTGACAGAAGGTGATCCAGAGTTGGTGAATGATGACGCACACCTCTCAGCAGATGACGAGCCCCTTGGCCTGGAACGTCGAACAGAAGGATCATCCGGCCCTGAAGCGTACCTTGTTCTTGAATCCGCAGTTCCCACCACACATCGCTTCGGTGCTCAGGAGGTGACTGTCAACGCTTCACGTATGAAGCGCATTCAGAAGGACCATCGGATATTGGCCAGCCCAGAAACGCTGCCTGTCGGCGTTTTTGTCCGTACTTGGGAGACTCGACTGGATTTGATTCGTTTCCTCATTATCGGACCGACAGAAACGCCTTATGCGAATGCTCCCTTTATCATCGACGTGTATCTTCCACCAGCGTATCCGGCCGAGCCTCCCAAAGTCTACTTCCACTCCTGGTCACCGGAGCAGACTTCTGGCACTCACGGACGCCTCAATCCGAACCTTTACGAGGACGGCACAATCTGTCTATCGCTTCTCGGAACTTGGGACGGGGCTCCGGGCGAAAGCTGGAGTCCAACGAAAAGCACAGTGCTTCAGGTGATCGTCTCAATTCTGGGATTGGTGCTTGTTCGTGAACCTTATTACAACGAAGCAGGATACGAAGCATTGGTCGGAACGCAGGCTGCCAAAATTCCAAGCACTGTGTACAGTGAACGCGTCTATCTCCGTAGTAGGGGACTCATTCTCACTGCTCTTGCATCGCTTCGTGACGAAGAGTTCCGGGACGCTCCTGGACATGAGGACCTCGAGGATATCCTACGTTGGACGTATTATACGGAAGATGGCCCGAAATTGCTTGATCTCGTGATCGTCGATGTCTCTACTATACTCGAGAAAAGCACAGGCTCACAGGAGCCCAACGGACTGACAGTAATGTCGCAAGGCGCGTGCATTCCGCTGCATAGGGTGCTAGCTCTCTTACATAAATACAAGCAAGCATACGCGACAGGGAATCACCGAGCTTCTGAGCCACCACGAGACATCACGCCAAAGTGATTTATGTTTATAATGCACCATTCACCGCTGTCGGTGTTACCAGCGAATGATCAAACATGATTCTAATCAAGTACGAAATTAATAGACACTACCTCGCAGACTACGGTCCTCTGTCTCTGCCTGTTCCAAGTTCTCCCGCACAACGTGACTCGGTTGCTCTCTTGCTAGTTCCTCATCCTCATGACTGTCCTCCGGATTTGGCTCATCGCCTAGTACGTCGGCCTTTTGACCCTTGTTCATACCGCTCTCGGATGCCCAACGTTCCACATCTTCGGGTGTTGCTTTTCTAGCGGGATGCTTACTGACTGCAACGGCAAGGCTTCGTCCACGAGTCGTTGCAAAGTAGCCATGGGCTTCATCCTCGCTTCGCTCGTGTGGTGTTCCAACATTAACATTCTGATCGTACGGTAAAGGTTCTGCGGTCAAGTTAGATTGTGCCTGACTTGTGCTCTTCGTCGATACGCTGTCCAGTCCGCTACCACTGGAATCTTTGGCAATGGTCCCGGTTGGTAGCTGTAGATCCTGCTGAACTTGTTGTTTTCTTTGCGCTGCGCGTCGTGGATAGAGCTCATCATCGTGATTGCAGCCCTCGGCGCACCCTCCCCATTGACGACTAGGTAAAGTTGGGCTCTTCACCGGCTCGGTCAGAAAATGCGATAAGGTTCGATGGCGCTGCGGATCTGCTTGCTCCTCTTCCGTTTCTCGTTGTTGCTTTAGTTCTGACCAGGTCCGCAATTGGCTGTTTAGATTGTACTTTCCATTGTCGGGATTCTTTTCCATCACAATGAACTCGCAGTGATTTATGTTCCGCAAGTCCTCAAAGTATTCGACAGACCAGTGATACCTGTTCGGAAATTAGTTTGCCATCATCCAATGCCGCGGGCAGTTGCAGCTTTGCCAGAGCGCTTAGATCTGCGTCCACACACCACTTCATCAAAAAGACTCGAGTCATCAACCCATGCGTGACCAGCACACAAACGCTGGGAAATTTGGCGTCGCCGAACTGCCTCCATAGGCTCTCGTTGAAACCTGCAATGCGATCATAAGCATCGGCAGCACTCTCACCGTTGGGAATTCGGTAAAAGAAGTGCCCATAATCTGCACGCTCGGACCACATTCTTTCCATCTCGGAAGAACACGGTTGAAAATTGCCAAAATCTTGCTCGCGAATCCTGGGCTCCTCGTAGACCTTGATCTTGGAGCGACTGAACGGACTCGGGGCAGCCGACGGATCGTCCGGGTCGTCGCGCGCTGTGAGGGTCTTTAGAATCCCCTCAGTCGTTTCACGCGTCCGTCGGTAGGGCGACGTGAAGATCTGAAGCGTATCATCTGGTTTTAAGAGTTTTCGTAGTCGTCGTCCGGCTTCTTCTGCCTGGAGAGTTAGTCAGATCAACAGCGACAGGGTAAACATCTGATTATCTCTACCTGTCGTCGGCCTTCATCGGTAAGCTTGACTCTGTGATCGGGTATCATCTGATGTATTTCTCGGTTCTTGTTGCCCTCGGATTGAGCATGTCGAATGAGTATGATCAACTACGACATGGTAAACTGCCTGCCGGTGAGGGATGAACAGCAGCATGGTACTGACCCGTGGTTTCCCCATGTTGCGCGGCGTATATCGGCAGCAAGGACTTGGGTGTCGTCTTGAAGCGTTCCAGATATCGTTTTGAATGTGATGCACGCGTGAAGACCGTGTTCACTCGTGGCGGACCAGTGACGCTGAATCACGCACTACTGCTTCCTTGCACGGCTCCAGCACATGGCGACATACGTCACTTCAGCCGGAACGTGCAGTTGGTTCATGTTGTGCTCGCGTCTCCCACTCAAGTATAGGCAACCGGAGCCTAATCGCATGTGACAGGCTTTGACTTCTCGCGTGTCGTCAAATTATATTCTATTATTTACCTCAAACTATTTCAGGCTTCGAATGGATTATTTGTCCCCTTCCGGTCATCCCTTGAAAGTCGCGCAAGAGTCATATAGACGCACTAAGAAAGGCTTCAACATCAAATCAAAGGAGTATTGAACGATGTCGGAACCTATTCCAGAGTCAATCCCGACATCTGCTCTGCGACGCGCTCGACCACCCAAGAAAAAGGTTGCTCTCACCCCGGCTGGTCAACAGTCCGCGCAAGTGGAAGCTCTTTTCGCGAATCCCGACCGCGTCGGTAACGGCATCTACCTCGGACCGAAGCCGAAAACACTTGCAGCCATCCCCGAAATTATCGCAAGCGTACAAGGATCCTCGGCTGGTGCAGGAAGTGGCGAATTCCACGTGTACAAAGCAAGCCGCCGGAGGGAATATGAGCGGCTCAAGATCATGGATGAGGAAAATCAGGCAGAGGAGGCAGATCAGGAATTTCAGGCCCGCAAATCGGAGCGCGAACAGGCAGAAGCAGAAAAATTGGAGAAGAACAGGAGTAAACGTGAAAAGATGAAACAGCGACAACAGAAGAAGAAACTTGGGACGAAGGGATTGCCGAGTGTTGTTGATGCGGAGAAACAACAAAGCCAGGCAAGCGCGACTGGAGGCCACCTTAAAAGGAAGCTCGAAGTTGCCAGCATCGCAAGTCCCAGCGGAAATGAGACGGACACACCAGAGCCAGATGCCCTGCAACGACCAAGTGCCGAGCCCACCACTGAAGAGCAAGGTATCACAATTCACGATGAGGACTGAGGAAGGGGTGCCGATGTCCAGTACAATATGACATGAACGAAGCAATAATCGCAACCCTAGGGTGGTCTTCACGAAGCGGCAACCACAACCTCAGGGTTGTCTTCAACTCGATGAACGGCGCGCGTTGTAACACCATTATGCCTGACGAGTGTATGAGACTACAGCGATAAATGTGCGCGTCTTGTATTGCGCTCCACGTCTATACGATCAAGCATGATGTGTGGACCCATTCACGCGACAAATCATGCGCAGAGCGAGCAACGTTGAGCATGGATTCAGTCGATATCCACATAGCCGAGCGCACGACGACCAACATCATGATCGTCGAGAGCATCTGGAATACAGATTCGGGGAACTACAAGGTATGGGGAGATTGCTATAAGACAGTCTGGACTCCAGAAAAGGGGTTCGTGCAGCAACTTCATTGCGACTTCCGAAAATTACAAGAGCCTTCGCATGTGTTCGACAGACTAGGACGTAACCACCAAGCACGAAGCATATGCGGGTGTTCTCGAGCCTCACGTCCCTCCGAGTAGCAGGGGGGGATCTAAGCCGAATGTCACGAAGAGGAACAGCAACTTCGAGGACCTCTCCAAAGTCTCGTGACTAGACACGCGAGCAGTGCATTGACGCGCATCGCATTATTCCGCGCTTGTTCCAGATCAATCATTTCATCAACGAGTGATACTCTGCCCGCAGGACGAATACGGGCAAGCGCTTGGGCTCTTGTTGTGGGTCTTGCGTTGATTCGGCTGTTCTTACTATATTGTGTTCCTCTGAATGACTATCACTGTAGTACTAGCCGAGCGGAGGCTGGAAATCATTGATTAGGAGTGGGTCGCAAAGTTGATAGTGATGATATAGGTACTTCAGTGTTAATCAAAGACGCACGGACCATATGTACGCAAAGAGTACAGAAACACTTTTTGCCCAACGTCTCCTTCCCTCATACATACATTTATGTACAGTGATCGCGACCCATAACCCATACAGATCAGGCAACCACGTTCGCAGCACCGCATCAACTTCCAGCTCGGTATCTCATCCACCATCGACTCATCAGACATCAATCGCCGTCGGTTTTAGCCACGTGAAGCCTCAACACGCGACTCGCCAGTGTCGGTTCTGAACCACAATGCCGGCTCGCAAAGAATATGTCGCGCCCACGCGCTCAAGTAGACGCATTGCGTCTCGCGCATCTTCAGTCATCTCTGAGGAGATCTCACAAGACTCTACTGGTTTGTGCTCATTTCAACTTTGTCTTCGTTGAAGTATTTTTATGACATCATTTTTATTAATGCATGGCTATCAGCTCTGCGCCCAGCGAAAAGCTCGGGGATACGCAAGACTGCTCCCAAACCCAAGCGCGTGGCCGCAGCGAAACCTGCTCCCAAAGCCGCCGCGAATCCCCCTCCTACTGCGAAAGGCAAGGGCCGCAAAGCCTTTGACGCCGCGTACATCCTCGAACGTTGTTTCAGATTCGGCAAATACCACCTTATCGACGAACTAACCATGCCCCAAAAAGCAGTCATTGTCAAAGCCGCCGACAAACGCGCCACAAACGCTGAGACTCGCGTCAATGACCTTGAAATGGAAGTCCAGGAACTTGCCGCCATCAATGAGCGCCTCACTCTTGAACGCAATCTCGCTCGGGAGGAGGCCAGGAAGCGTCACCTTCGCGACATGTTCCATCGAGAAGAGGCGGAGAAGGCCGAGATCGCACGCAAGGCCGCTGAGCTGGCGCAAGAGATGGTCAAGGCACAAAATACACAAATTCAGCTGCAACATAGCGCTGTCACAAAAGTGGCAAGCACCACCCCGGTTTCGGCTGCAGCGACGACACCGATCCCAGCTGCAGTGACGACATCGCTATCTAACAGTTTCGCGGAATCTTCACCCGTCGCAGCATCAACCCCACTGCTTGAGACGACTGTTGCACGCATCCCCTCTCTTCTTCGTCGCGTCCTCACTGGCATCGCTTCACCATTTGCCAATCGAGAACCCAGTGTCGGCAGTGTCTCATCACCAAGCTCGTCAGCATCACCGTCCAGCTTGGGACGATTACCCTCCTCGCGTAAGAGGCCAGCTCCAGAACCCGAGCTTTTGGAGTCTGAAGCCGCAAATGTGCCCTCAACGCCCACGCCCAACTTCAGAGCTGCTCCCAAAACTCTGCGCGCGCCGGCGACGATGCCATCATTGTTGAGCACGATCTCTGAGCACACTGAACCGAGCGAGACGGAAGACGCGCGATCACGTGCCACATCTTATGCGACTCCGTGCCGACCGCGTTCGATCAACAAGGTTCGCGCCGCTCGCCAAAGTTTAGGAAAGACGCCCAACCGTGTCTCAAGCTCAAACATCAACTCTGCACCGCGTGTGCGCAACGCGGACACGCGGGACAAAACGCTGCATCCAGAGAACTATCCAGAAGAGGCAAACAAAGAGAATCGCGAGATCATTCAAAACCTGCCCGTGCCCGAATTCCGCGCCACGAAAAGGGTCAAGATCCACCACCTGAAAGAGATCCCACACAATCGACCCGGCGATGCAGAAGGCACTTTCCGCTTTCCTGACCTGGACAGTGACGATGAAATGGAAGTCGACATTGACGCGCCTCTCCGCTCCAACATCTTCGAGGAGTCGGAGTCGAACATCGCCGAGCAGCAGGCGCAAGTTGCCAAAGAGCAGGCACTCATCGCAAAGGAGAAGGCGCAAGTCGAGCAAAAGCGTCAGCAGGAACAGCTTGCCCTGGAGAAAGCACAACTCGCCAAGGACCGAGAACAGCTTCTCAAGGATCAAGCTCAATTTGCAAAGGACAAAGCACTGGTCAGCGCATCCCCACGCGTGGACTCAGTAGTCCGACGCGAGCTGGATCTCTCTGCTTTTGCTTATCCTAGACAGTCAGCCGGTGCTTCGAGCAATGAGACGCCGCCAAGCAACGAGACCTTGCCGACCAGCGTTGACCTCAACGAAAAGACAGAGCGCAGACTCGAAGAACAAACACTCCGTCAGCGCAATTGGCAGATTAACCAATGGCTGGGAGAATGCCAACCCGAGCATGTCGATGGCCTGCAGAAAAAGCTTGCCGAAGTTCAAGACTTGCAAGAGGCATTCAGTGCCCGAGAGCTCACGCTGCCCACACCCCAGCGCATCAGTGAACTTGTCGAAGGCGAAGTCGAGCCTTATCTTCCCGTTTGGGAATTGCCAGAGGGTGGCGGATACCATCCCGAGCCCATTCTCACCGACGAAGAGGCAGCGAAGATGCTTGCAGACTACAATGCCGACTACGAGCATTGGCAAGTCACCGGCGAACACACCGATATCTACCTTTAGACTCGACAGTGCACACCTGCACACACACGAGCACCTGGACCATGACGGCTGCAAGACTTTGACTCCCGACCATCACCAGGTCCGGTCGAGTTGGTCTTGTATGCCGTCATGGTCAGAGGAATTTTCGCGACGACACGTTTCACATCGCAAGCCATCATCTTCGCCTCACATCATTCCAGCGCCGAATCACCATGGTGGCTGCAAGACTTCGACTCCCGGCCATCACTTGATCTGGTCGAGTTGGTCGTGCACGCCCTCATGGTGCATAAGAGGATGTTTCCTGGACGACACACACATTTCCGTTTCGCTCTCTCTCACACCCCACATGCCACCACCTGCACGAGTTCGAGTCGGCGGCTCGTGTCGAAACCCGGCGGGACACCTTTTGACTCCCGGCCTTCCTCGCGGAAGGCTCGGTCGAGTTGGGTTCCTGCCGGGTTGAGTTGCCATGTGCTCCTCGTTGCAGGTGGTGGGGACTTTTTTGGACGACTTCGACCTCTTTTTCTTTTCATGACTTACGACGATTACGACAGAGCAAGCATTTCGCATTTTCTTCTTTCAAGCATGGCGTTGGCTGGGGATATTGGGCTTCTTGGGCCTTGGGCGGTTTTCTCTTCTTGGTTGTCTTCACTTGGGTACAATTTTTGGATCTTCCAGGTTTTCTCCTGCGGGAGCTCGCAGCATTTTGCGATTGCATTAGAAAATGGCGTTTTATCGCAGGCATGGGTTTCGTTGTTCTTCTAACGCCGTCAGAAAAACGCTTCTTCGCGTTGAGCTTTTTTCGATTAGAAAAGAATTGCATTCTGATTTTTGGATCGTCACATCATCATTCTCCTCTCTGCTCACGTGCATTTGCAGTCATCTTTCCTTCCACTGGACCGTATCTGCAAATTTGCTTCACCTGCACCTCAGTGTGCACATATTCATGTACGTGAGTGAAAGGACGACGAATATCTCTAGATCTTCCATCCCTACCTGCAATACTTGAATGATGTTGTGCCTTTCGACATGGGATAAATTGTCGAATTGCAAATTTTGTATTACAGGCATCAGTCAAATCGAACAGGGGCCGATCCGACAACACTTCAACAAAAACTTCGAAACGTGCATGAGGTGGTATATTGATAATCGGCAAGAACCGGGTTTTGATGAGTCATCGGAGGCGGCCCAATAGCACATCTGGACCATCGAAATCAAGAAGAGGCCCGGGGAGCATCAGAAAACGATTTTCCATAGTGAATGATGATGATGAAATCTTTTCGGTAAAAAAAGTGAAGATCTATCTGGTCTTGTTCTCATTTCCCATCATCTCACCATTGAAATAGAGGGAAAGGAAACATCAAAAATGAAAACTTCTCGAACCGCTTCCCTGACAGCCGAGCCTTTCCAGGATCATATGACAAAAGAGAGGAAACTCGAAAAATGCAATTCATGCAACCACGCCGCATCATAGAAACAAAGGAGAGGATATTCCCACGCGAAATCATAGCGGAGGAGGAAAACATTATATCGGAAAGGTTTGCGGCAACGACAACAACAAGGACACCAAGGGCAGGACGATGCTATTGGACCGTCTGCTCGTGTCTCAACGCGCTGGGCTCGGGCTTCTTACGTCGGCCGAGCAGAGTCGCGTTATCGAGACTCAGCTCAAATGCGCCGGCTTTGTTCTTGACTTGCCGTTTGGCGGCAGCCGCTACCTCGGGGGAATGTTGACCGTAGCCCCGAGCTTGTGGAGCAGCTGCCTGCTTAGGGCCAGCAGCCTGTCGAGCCTGTGCCGCCGCGGAAAGGGTCGTGTTCCGCATCTGCTTCTCCATGCCGGAGACATCAGGAACAGCACCGGACTTGGGCAACTTCGCCGGCGGGTTGGCGATACTGGGATCGTAGGGCTCTGTCGAGACAGTCTCGTACTCCTCGTCATCGCCATAGTCCTCGTCCAGAGCGTTGAGGGAGCTCATCGGGTTGCCGCCGCGGTATCCCTGCTTGAAGTTCTTTCGGCGCTTGCCTTCCTCCTCTTGACGGTGCACCGAATAACCAACATCGAAAACTTCCCGGAGGTTCACCGCCCCAGGCGAGCGGAAATCTTGGCGTCTACCGGCTCCGGGCGTGTCGTCGAGGTAGGCAAAGTCGGGCTTGAGCCTTTCTTCCGCTGACATCTGACCTTGACGAGTGTAAAGAGGAGTGGCCAATGGAGGTGCATCGGCGGCGGCATAGGTGGGCTCGTTGACCTTGCGGATCCATGGGTGGTTGAGGAATTGCTTGATGTCGTATCGCTTTTCCGGGTCGACGGTAAGCAGATGTGAAACCAGATCTTGAGCAGACTTGGAGATATCGTCCCACCACGGCGACAAAAATGTGTATTGTCCGCGAGCCACCTTTTCAGTGAGAACTTGAATGCTCTCATCGTAGAATGGCGGGAAACCACAGAGGAGGGTATATAGCACACATCCCAGTGCCCACATGTCCACGCTCTTTGAGTATCGCTCGTCTTTAACAATTTCAGGTGCAGTGTAGCCGACAGTACCGCATGGAGTCATCGTTTGGCTGTCCCAGATGACCTTGGAAAGACCAAAGTCCGCAATCTTAATCTGACCAATTCCTCCAGCACCGACACCGGGAATGAACTCGCCCTCGTCAGCCTTGTCCTCGTCATCAGGGCCTCGAGGCTTTGGGTTCTTGGTGGGCACGAAGGGCGTTGGGTAGAAAAGCAAGTTCTCGGGTTTGATGTCACTACGGGGAGCAATCAGCAATGTGTTCGGCTAGGCAGCAGCCTCGGATTTATATTATACCCACCGATGTACCACACCAGCTTCTTCGTGGAGGTACTCCAGAGCCTGGGCCACCTGGAGGATAACGTGTCGTGAAAGGTCCTCGCTAAAGTATGTCAATCGAACAATCTGGTGGAAGAGCTCGCCGCCAGGGCAAAGCTCAAGGACGATGTAGTAATATTGACGAGATTCGGTGAAGTCTACGAGCTTGACAACGTTCGGATGGTCAAGTTGGCGCATGATTTGGACTTCCTTGAGAATGTTGGCACGCTGCGAGAAGAAAGAGGATGTCAGCCGCGGGTCGTCGGACGCGACCTGAGGTATGCAAGAACAAGTATCGGATGAATGAACAGTGCAAAGCTTCCATGGGGTCGAAAGCTCGCCAGTGAGATGGTGTTAGACGATCGGGGAGATGTGCGCACCTCCACGCCTTTCGGCACTTTCTTTTCGTAGTCCGGATGCATGACGTTCTTTCCAGCCTGAACGCACAGAAATGTTGGCAAAATTCTATCAGATCAAAAGGTGCGCCGCCGACCGGAGCAGTCGCCCAAGTCGAGGCGGTAGGCAAAGAGAACGGATGAATGGTAGAGAAAGAGCGAGGAAAAACATGCAGAATGTGCCGTTACTCACCTGCGTTGTGTTCATTTCGAACTTTCGGACGACCTTGATAGCGACTTGATCGTAGACGTGATTGTTGTCCCTGGCTCGGTAGACATTGCTGAAGGCTCCATCGCCCATTTTCTCGACGAGAGTCCATCGTTCGAGGCCAGGGTAACGAGGCAATTTGCCCTTGCTCTCACGTTCCTCGGCGACGATGCGTTCCAACACTGAAGCGTCGTAGTCATTTTGCTTTTGGTCACGCTTCTGCTGTTGGTCAACCGCGCCAGCTGCGGCGTTGTGGGCCTTGGCTGCAACGTTCCGGTTGTCTATGGCGGCCGCGGAATAGTCCTGGTGAGGAGCGTTCGCCTGAAGTGGTTTGTGGTCATAAACATTAGGATCGGTTATGCCATGTTGCGGTTGAGCAGGCGCGCCGGCAAAGCGTTGAGTCTGAGCGTGCACGTTCGACACATGGGTCGTGGCATGGTCCTGTGGCGAACGAGTGTCACGAGCCTGCTTCCCGTGCCGGATGAAGTTTTTCAAATTCTGAATGGTCGTCATGGTTAGATCTGCGTTCGACGGTGATCGGTCGATGTAGACGGAATGGAGAAAGACGACACGGATGAACGATGATAAAGAAAGTCGACGCAACAACAACAAGAACAAGAGAAGAGCGACGTGCGGGTGCAACACGTTGTGCAGCAAGGCCAACAAGGATGATGTCAAAGAACAAGAGGACTCGTGACGGTGAGGACAGCGAGTGGTTATGATGATGATGGAGGGATGATGTGACAAGGGAGGCACAGCAGGAAACAAGCAATAGCCGGGCAGAGGTTGAGACGGAGAGGGAACGAAAGAGGTAGGCTTGGCGATTGGTGACGATGCTGATGACGAACGGACGAAATGATGTCGCTTGATTAGCGGCGAATATATGATGTGTGGATGTGTAGCGGCGGGAGTGTAGGGTGTGAAGGATGGGTGGTGAGTGTGAGGATGGGTGGCATGTATCGAAGCGTTCCGCCGTGGTCGAGGAGAGTTTGGGAAAGTGGACGGTGACGACAGTGATGATGGTGACTGTGAGGGAGTGGTGGTGAACGGGGAGGAGGAGGAGGTGATGGTGATGACGGTGCGGTTGGGCCCGGTCGGTCGGTGGTGCTGCTGCTGCTGCTGCAATGAAGCAGGTATTGAAGATGCACACAACTATAAAGCTGTTGGCGCACCGGTCCACCTATCCACCTGCAGCAGCCAACGTGTGTCTAATAAACGATAATAGTAACAACTCAAGACGGGGATGTGTGCAGGTGTACGTGGATGATATGAAACGTGACGGAATTATTCATCAGGGAGCAAACAGGCACGCGTGCAATGGATATGTGTGCCTGTTTCTCCGTGGGCATGTGGTTGATGCGCAGGTGAGGGGCATACACAAGGAAAGCCGTGTAGCGGAGAGCGGGGAGCGATGGCAGTAGACGTCACCTCCCAGAACAGTCTGGAAGCGCGTGTGATGTTCAAGTAATGAGCATCAGCCGAACCTGTGTTGGTGATGGCAGGGGCGATGGAGCGACGGACTTCCAAGCCAGCAGCAGCGTGAAGCGCACATCATTTGCTCAAGCAAAGCAAAGCAAAAGCCTACCCAAGCTGAGGCAATGACATCTGCTGTTTGGTGGCGGGACCCGGGATATTGGTGACAAAGACAGCGGTAGCGGGAATATTCGTGTGCGTGTGCGTGTGCGTGTTTGTGTAGGAGCATTCATGCAGGAGTGTTTCGGAAATGTGAGGTGGAATGACGTAAGTGCATGCACCAGACAATACACATGCATCAAGACCTCCAAAGAGAATCCTCTCGAAATCCATGGGTGAGCAGACTTCAGCCCCGGCACCGAGATAAATCACTTAGATGTGAGAGTGAAATCAGCTGGGGCCAGCTAGCCATTAGGCGAGGAAAGGAAAGAAGCCGGTCTCCAGGAGCATCAGATGGAACCTCTTCATCGTGAATCAAACGATTAGAGGCGCTGGGCAGGAGAAAAGAGACCGGTCGGCTAAAGAGAGAGCATACAAGCTCTTTTGCGGGACCTCAAAACCAGCGGACAAGCAGTTAGAGAGGCAGACGGGCCGTCGGCCACAGCGGCCACGACAGCGAGACCGGCGTCAACAGTGGTCATCTCCCATGATGAGCAGTAGACGAAAGACTACTGTGGCCGCGCATGATCAGGCCACTGATGAGCGAGCACAGGGAAATTTCCTCGGCTTTCCGTTCTCCGTCTCCTGCTTCACCCATGCGCAACGCTAATGACAGGCGCGAGCAGAATGGAGGAAAGCACGAGGGAACGTCGAGGGAACCTCATCGGAAGATTACTCCGCCTGTCCGCTCAAGGCGGAAATCCCGATCTGAGAAAGTAATTGAACTGTTCGTCTTGATCGGGATTTCCGGTGACTTGAGCGAGTTATCATCGCGGCTGGTCTTCGATGGCGGCACTGCAACGAACCGTTTCGTGGGCCATGAAATGATGATGATACTGGCAAGTGGTGGGATGAGGACGGCAGTAGCGCCGCGGGGCCCTAAGAAACTTTGCGGTGGATGACGTAGGGCGCAACGCTTCGACGTCATTGGCGGCCCGGCCGAGATGGCATTCGTTCTAGGCGCCTCGAATTTGAGAGAAGGTCTTCCGGCGGGGCTGCGTGGTGACCGGCCGGTGTGTAGTAAGCAATCGTGTCCTCCAGGCCGTGTATCTGCTGAGCTGTGCATGTGAAGATGGGATTGCGGACGTCGTTCATTCGGCATTCTCTTGTCTGGAACCGAATGTGAGTATGTCCAGCTGAACGTGCGTTGGTATATTATTGTTGCAGGTGTGTAGGCTGGGAGGTGCGCATGCAGGTAGTCACCTTGGCTTATACATTCCCGTCCCGCCGCTCCAGGGAGGCCCTGCCGACTACCAAGGTTTCTATCTTTCTCTTGCCCGTCGATGAGAACGTCCTGGAATCGATGCTCTCCGGAGCTCTTTGAGACAATGGCAGTTTACGCTCTTCCGACTCATCTTTGTTCAGGTCGTTCACGTCCAAGATATGTGGGATGCGCGAGGTGAGCGAGCCTTTCACGCCGTCGCAAGCATCTAATCGTCGTTGAGTTTGGTTCATGAGGGGAGGAGAGGACTGTCGTGATGAGCCGCGACACATATCCATCTGGGCCGGAAGTGAAGCAAATAGACGGCACTGATGATGAGTGACAAACGCCCTCCAAACTGCATGCGGCGTGTTGTGCAAGTCGCTGCCGCTGCCGCCCATCAATCTGCTCACGCGGGGTCCACTCAGACAGCGGAGATGAAATGCGTTTCAGGGTTCCAGTTGGCACAGGTGTAATTGTCAAAATCACCGACACCGCGATCTCATTTCATGCAACCGCTGTCAAGCACGCAATAGTATGTGTACGTGTGCATGTGTAGCTTTGTGTAGGGGAGTGCAGAGATGTGTATAAGGTACGAACGACTCACCTCGATACCCCGAAACATCTTGCAGAGTGTTCCTGTGCGTCGCGGATTTTGAATCCCTTAATAACCAGCAGGTGCTTGTTTCAGCAGCAGATCTCCTTCTTTTCTTCACGCGCTGCTCGTGAATGAAGCTGCTAGAATACCGTCTTCGTCTTCTTGCTCTTTCTTCAAATTCACCTTGACCAGAACGTGCTCGTAGATGTGTCGCGCACGAGGGATGTCGCACAGCTTTCCCTGTCTGTGGTTGAGGCCTTGCCTTGAAATGACTCCTCGTTCAGCCAGAAAGTCTGCGGTGGGATCTCTGTATCGACAAAGTTTGCTACGGGTTACCGGATTTGTCCGAAGTGTCGACTCGACTTGGCTGAGAGCACTGTTGCGGTTTCTAACTCTGACACGTGCGAACGAAGATATGGAGGACTCCCTTCACGTGCTGGATAAGGATGATACCGCGAAAAGAGGTCGTGAAAGATGTCAGGACGGAAAAGGCATGAGGAAGACCCAGGTTGAAAATGCTCTAATAATGAGCGAATTGATGCTTACGAACCACCAGCCCATTTGAATCTGCCTTGCTAAATTGCACACTAAGAATAATCCCAAGTCCACGCGGCACTGGGCGGATGATGAATCCATCTCTGGCGGGATCTGCAACTGTCAGAGGCAGGGTCCGCCCGATGTAGCATTTCCAGACCGTACGGTAATGACACTCATGCTATGGCTCTCCGTTGCAGCCGGTTTCTACCTATTAGGAAGTGATAATTTGCCAACACGTGCCGGATCTGATCGCGTTCCGGAGTTCGGCGCGAATGGTGAGATGAGACGAGATGGGATGGAGAGGGCAGAACTGTGCGAAAGCGAAATGAGGGGCAAGCAAGCAGCAGCCGCAACTGGACAGCCATTGGGCAGTGAGAGGAAGAAACGGGCTGGCCGGCCGGGCTGGCTGGCTGGAGCTATGTATTTTTCTTCTCATCACGACCTACCTAGCTACATGCACACACCACTAGAGCGTCCTGATCGCCAGGTCTGGTGCTTGTCCATCACACCGAACTTTTCCTGCCGGCGGATTTCATATTATACTCATGTAGACCCACAGTTCTGTTAAGAACGCACAGTTCACCGCGAAACAACGGGAGATCCACAATCAACCCAACCCTTCCGGCTGTCCCGAAGATAATGCAAAGGATGCTGTCCACCCAATCTTGGGAAGTGCAGCAATGAACAGACATTACCTGTTCAGACAGAGATCTTGGGTCGCTGTCCGGGGCGCAGCAGCGGTAGCTTGGTAGCTTACACACTTCATCAGATGTAACCGGAATCCCCGGGCAAGGCCTTGCTGTCGGTATGTTACAGTACCTACTCTGCACCTGGAGAAGGAGGGACGGCACGATATGGGCGGTGCAGCACCATTGTGGGGCACCAAGAGGGCTACGAGGTCCGGTTTCCGGTTTCGACACGCAATGTGCCGAACGCAAATCACACCTGCACCCACAAGAGAACTTCTGCAATGGTCGGTAGTGTGGACAGTATGGTCAGGTCAATCCCGATCCAAACAAGGTCGTAATGTATTGAAAGGTACCATGTACCCGAACATGGAGTGCGTCTTGGATGATATGCGCTTCCTCACAGGCAAAAATAGCCGATGGAGACCTAGGAGCTGTGCATGATATCGCGGTCCCTACTTGAGGAAGACAATGCCGATTAACATTGAGTAAAGCACCTTCTACCTGATAATGCGGAGCCCTTCAAATGGCTTCTGGCGGATGTTCGGAGGCTTCTCCGCTTGACTTACAACCTTGAAAAACCTCCACTCCTCTAGAATGATTCTGTCTTTGTGATCGCTGGTGCACAACAGGCCACGTGCAAGGGCCTCCTGCAATTGCCTTTCACGGTTAAGCATCGCTGTAACCTAATACGGCAAATGTGGCACCCAGATAAAATGCACATATTATCGGTCATCTCGGGTTCAACTCTACTGACTTCCCGTGAGGACCAAGCGTTACAACTCCCTGAGATCGAACACGGCGTCTTCCAGTATCATCTGCAGGATCGCCCGATCCATTTCAACAACCGCAGGAGCTCATGGATCTGGGAGACACCAGTCGTCGCGCGCACGTTGCATGGACTATATTATACAACGACCAAGCATAAGAACAGGATGCGATCAAATGAATATGCCTAAATTTTCGCCGTCGCCGACACGAACTGCGGTGACGGTCCGAACACCACCGCCTGGTCGAGCTTCGCTCGCTCGATCCACGGGCGAGCCAATAGGTCCTGTGCCAATTGTTCGTCCTTGCGCGCCAGCCAGCGTTTGGCAGTCTCCACTGCGATAGCATCGTTGTCCCGAGTCGCGTCAGCAACGAGGAGCAATGTGATCACAATCCAACTGATCGAATCGAGCAAATCCCGACCGAGATACAGCAGTTCATGAGGGTTCTTCCTCTGCACGAGCGTTACGAGGTCTTGGATTTCAACAATCACCCTTTTCAGGGACAATCCGAACTTCGACTCGTGGTTTCGGACGATATTCTGCGCCCAGCCCGCAAGTGCCTTGAGGGCCTGCTCTGCCCCGCGGCCTTTGAGCACACGCACGGTGTCGGCGGCAAGGACGTCGGTGGTGCCCTCCCAGATCGTGAGGACATTGGTATCGCGGTAGATTTTGGCCACGTTGAGCTCGACATCTTCATTCTCCAGGTATCCGAGACCGCCCATGCTCTCCATACACGCGCGCAAGCCATCGACGGCGGCGGCAGCAGACATCGCCTTGACGACCGGAGTCAGGATGCGTAGCAGAGGCGCGGTCCATGCTGAGTTCTCGAGAAGTGGTGAGTTAGGCTGCGACGTCGAGCTGCTGTGTTCCGTGATGCCGAGTAAGTATGTGATGAAATAGACAATCATCGTCTGGCCGCGGTATTCAACGTGCTGTATCGCCATAGATCGGACGTGTGCGGGCGTGTTCATGAGAGGCTGACCCCCCGCTACCGTCCGCACTCGCGCGAATGCTCGCGAGATGGCGAGACCACGGGCCATTGATCCTACCGAGCTGACGGCGTTGTAAACCCGAGTGATGTTCAGGATCGGACTGATCTCCTTGGTGCCAGCACCCTCTTGACCGAGCATGTATGCGCGCATGCCCTTGAGTTCCAACTCGGCGGTCGGCAGAGCTTTGGTTCCAAGCTTATTCTTCAATCTTTGTGGGAAGATGCCATTGAACTCTAGTGAATCGCCCTTGAGACGTCGTACTGGTCCGAAGAAGAGACTGACTCGTTCCGAGGTGGGGGTTTTAGCGAGGAAGAAACACATGTTGGCATCAGTCGCGCTTGAGAACCACTTGAAACCATCGACAGAAAACGGGCCGAGCGGGCTCCCGTCGCTCGCAGTCCATGCATCATCTGCATGAATCTGTGATTCGGAGAGAGGTGTCGCGCGAGTCTCCGTTCCGCTGACATCGGAGCCACCAGTCCGCTCCGTCATCCACTGCCCACTAGTCCACGCAAAGGTTGGATCGCGGCTTGTCAGACGTTTGTACGCGCGCTGCAGAACCGCTTCAAGCGTAGGATCATTTGCCCTTCCATCTGCCAAAAACGTCATGATGAGTTTGGCCGCGCCATCCTGCATTGCGCTCGGGCATGTCACCGTGCTTGAACTCCCCGCGAACAGGTGGATTTTGGCGAACTGAACCACGCGCGTGTGGTGCCCGTACTTTCCCTCGTAGCCTGTCGCGACCATTCCTTCTCGGAATCCGAAATCCTGAAGTTGTCGCCATCCTTCGCTCGTGATGAGTTCGTTGCGTGGGGAACCGAATGAGTCCCGTAGGACCAATGTAGGCTGATGGACTTCTGCATCGCGGAGCCAGAAAAGAACTTGTGGAGAGAGTACTTTATCGCCTAGCTGTGAGAATTCACTGTCGATGGAAGTACGGGTCTGTGCTGGGAGAAAGAGGTCCAGGGCTCGTCGGAATGCATGGTCTTCGTGATATTGATTCGTCAATTGGGGTTTGGCTTGGAAGAACCCTGTCGTGGCACTCGACGCTGCCGGCACAACTTTTTCGGACATCTTACCTGGTTTATGAGTTTGTAGTATTTTCTCGATTGGCTGGTGGCGATTGACAAACGAAAGTGATGCAGTCGGAGCCAGGGTCACCGCCGAAAGGCTGAACACTCGCCTAAAGATCCGATGACAACGGTGCCGCGACTCACGGACAAGCGGGGAAGTCAACCATTAGTACACTATGGGATAGCATGCACAAATAGGGCGATAGCCGAATTTCGCACATGTGCAGTTCTTCAGGGTCACATGGCGTGTCGACATACATGCGTATCATCATGGCTATTGTAGAGGTGGACGAGGTAACAATCCGGTCAACCTCATGGACTCGCCTGCGGATCGGAACCGCTGACGAACGAATCAGACGGCCCGACCGATATACGTGGTGACGATCAATCGTCCCGAGGTCAAGAATGCAGTCGATCAAGACACAGCTCATGCACTGCACGATGCATTTCAACGATTCGACCAATCCGATGATTTCGCAGTCGCAATCCTAAGGTCTTCAGGTATTCGGACACAGTTTGATTCGCATGACAACGAAATCGACGGCTGATCAAGTGATTGTATAAGACGGAGCATTCTGCGCAGGAGCTGGTAAGATTTATCGCTCGTAGCTATGCGTACATACAATGGTCACAATGGTTGTTCTAACTCTAGCTTAGATCTAAAGAGCATGCTCGATGGCGATGGCCGACGGAAAGAGTCTGGCGGCAATCCGCTACATAACGATATGTCGGCCATTGCTCCGATGGGGTGAGCAGAACGCCAATGCATGTCATCAACACTACCTCCGCTGATACTAAAAAAGTGTAACACGGATGCAGCTCTCCAAGCCTGTCATCGCAGCGATCTCGGGGCCTGCTGTGGCTGGTGGACTGGAGCTGGCCCTCTGGTGCGACCTCAGAGTAGCTGACTCTTCCGCATATTTCGGGTACGCTACACCCAGCCTGCACCCAATGTGATAATGCATCTGACGATCTGCAGAGTACTCTGCCGTCTTCGCGGGGTGCCTCTCATTGATGGAGGAACTATCAGGTATGCCGCACTCTGACAATTCTGCGAGGTGTACTTCTGATAGCAAATAGGCTACCACGTCTCATTGGCCTCTCTGCCGCGAGTGATATGATCTTGACCGGGTAAGTTGTAGCTTACTTGCGTCGATCACAAGCCAGAGTCGTGAAGAAGTTTGGCTGACATGTAACGCAGCCGTGTTGTTCGAGCCGACGAAGCGAAGCGCCTCAACCTTGTCAACTATCTTGCTGGCCCTGGCGAAAGTGCCTTCGACAAGGCTTTCGAGATTGCGAGGCTGCTAGCATCGCATCCTCAGACATGTATGCGAAGCGATCGACTCAGCATGCTGAACGGTATCGATACACCTTCGTTCCAGGTAGCGATGCAGCAGGAATTTGCATTGGGCATGGAGACTTTGCGTAGCGTAGATTTCGGCGGTGCCGTAGACGCGTTTGTCAAGAAAAAGACAAAATTGTGAGCGTTGTTGTGCGCTCTCACACCGTGGTCTCATCTGTGCCAGGATATGTCATAGCAATATGATTGTAATAATAACTTGAGAGCAATTTCGAATTCGACGTGCCTTAGCGGTTCAACACTGGCACCTCAATCTCGTCGTCCGGGATACTAGCCTCGTCGTTCTCGTAGGTATCTTCCATAGTCGGCACAGTGACATTCCACTTCTCCTCAACGATCGCAAAATCGTCCGCTTCAGTCTCAGCGACATCTTCTTCGCTCGCAAATTTGAAAGCCACGAGTCCGCCATCTCGCATCCCGACGCCCTGCGGACACGCCTTGAGAGTTGAGGCACCTGGCTTCCTCACCGACGCTGCGGATGCCTTGCCCTTCCCCTTTCCTTTGGGCGCAGCATCTTCGTCATCCAAGTCTTGCCTTTCGAGCAAAATGTACCCTTCGCTGAGGTCGTTGATGTTGACTGGGATGCCCAGTTTGATTTCATCCGGGTTTTGAGGAATGTCATGACCATTCAATTTGCCACTGGGACTTGCCTGTTGAAGGGCCGTGAGCAATTCCGCTCGGATATCAGATAGCGATTGCAGTGGATCAACTACAATCAACACCGTGGTGCGGCCGTGTTTGAAGCGCAAGGACCACGTGCGTGGAGTAGGCTCGATAGTCTTCAGCATGGCAACTATCGAAAGGTGTGATTTAGGATGTGAAAAGTGCTGTTGCAACTTGAAAAAAAGATTATGAAAGACTGATCAGGAGCTGCCAGGAAGTTGTACCATCTGCTTTGGCCGTGAAGCAGGCTAGGCTACGATCGAGCGCCACTTCAAAAGTACCTAGGTATACAACGCGAAGTCTTGGCGGCATACGTGACGCGACTTTGTGAAGCAGGCAGCATTGGAATTTCTCAAACAGCCTGGACTTCATGATGGATGCGAACGGATAAAATCCCCTACACGATGAATAATTCTAGTCGCTGCCATCCTCTATGAACAAAATCTCAACATCAAAATATCATCCCGGGTTGACTCAGCACGAGCTGTGCAACACTGCTTATTAAGCAGGCAAGTTCGTCCGCAAAAACTCGGCATAGTCCTTGAAAGCACGTTCGTGCTTCTCGCCAACGTAAATGTCGAAATGACCCATATCCTCATAAAGCTTGACGACACCTTTCGGCGCGCGCGCTGCATATTTGAGCGTGGGCTTTGGTGGCGCGACGGTGTCCTGGCCGCAGACGGCAAAGAAGATAGGGCATTGGACTTTGCTGGCATACGCACCAGGCCTCAACAGGGGCATCTTGGGCACGAGACGTGCAGGGACATGGTGTTGGGGTTCGAAGTTGGCTGGCACTAATGGGCTGAATCCCGTCCAGACGTCGGCAGCATTCATCAGCGCAGCTACATTCATCGTATACTTAGCATTCAACGAAGGCGACGGGATGCTGGACGGGACGGATTGTTCACAGACTTACCCTCGCCGGGTTTGCCAACCAATGGCACTGTGATCGGTTTTTCCTTTGTCCCGAACAACGTGTCCCGCATGCCGGTAATGAAAAGGCCCGGTGCAGTTGTTAGCCCGACTGTGAATGCACTGCTGAATCCATCGGTGAAAGGGCATTGTGCAATGACGGCCTTGAGTCGCTTGTCGGTCGCTCCGACCTGGATGACATGCCCTCCGCCGAAGGAGGTGCCGAAGATGCCGATGCGCTCGGGGTCTACCATTTCGAGCTCACGCGTGTAAGCCAGCACTGCATGCCAGTCTTTTTGCTGCTCCTCAAAGTCAACAAGAGCTCGAGGCAGACCGGTGGACTCGCCATTGCAGCGGTAGTCAAATGCAATACAGGTGTAGCCGAGCTGATTGAATTCGTCGGCGAAGACATCAAGTCGAAGCTCCTTAGTTCCGCCCAGACCGTGTCCAAGTACTATCGCAGGGCCCTTGTTGGAAGAATCATATTTGCTAGACGGGTACAGCCAGCCGGCCATCTGTTCCCCGAGGAACGGGATCTTGATGTTTTTCCTCCTCTCGATGCCAGCATCCGGGGCTGCAGAAGCAGCCAGTGATCGATCAAATCCTGCTGCCGCCATCGTGATGGGCTTTGAAGGGATTAGCAGAAGATGTTGATGAAGGTTTGTGGCCGTGCGACTGTATTATACAAAGCTGGGAAGATTGATTTCGCTATATATGGACGGCGCAAACATGATCCACTAGCGCTGCACATTGAAGCACCATACGAGTCGTGAGCCATGCTTTCTTATTAGCGGCCCATTGCCGAGAAAGACGTTGAAGGCAACTAAATTCTTGTGATTGGAGAGTCCTAGAGCGACCAAAGTCAAGCAAATTAGAGAATGATCATGTGAATGCGCTTGATAGAGTGATAAGATTCGCGCGGAGAATGCCGATTCCGGCGAATTCGGCTGAATTGCACTGTCGTAGACTCAGATCATCACTGTGAGGCAGAACATCCACCTCAATCGGGTCTACAGTCGTCGAGCTTAAAATGAGCGGTGATGAGGAGTTTTCCCGGAGGACGGACTGAAACCTCCGGCTAGCGCATCGTTCTCGCATTGATGATTGCCCAGGTGATGATCGTAGCCGGTAGCCGAAGCCGATCGTTGACCCCTGTTGTGGTACTTCTTCGTCATGTGTACATTTATGTACAATGATGTACGATCTAAATCCCACAGAGCGCTGCGCAATTGTTGGTCAAATCGGACAGAGCATCCTGATGGCTTAATAAAATCGATGTTTCATTATATCCTGCTTACCTATGTAAGCTACCCGGGTACCCGACCAGGCAGAAAGGTAGCGGACAATTGACACTCAATTAGTCATCGATGAGACGAGTATCAGGTTACAGGACTAGAGTTAGAGTTATAGAAGAGTCCCGTCCGTTTTAAACAATTCCTGAATGACAGCGGTAGTGAGCGTGCAACGATACTTCGGAAACAAATTTTGCGTTCCACGCTCAACATGGTGTACCTAACTTTCACATCTGACCAACCTCAGGACACATGGCTTCGTCAGCCTCTCAAGCTGCCAGGCGTCTGCGATTGCTCTCACATATGGATTCTGATTTTCCAATCTCCTTGACGTATGCCGTCAAAAATGGTGTCGAGATTCCGCTGGACCTATATTTACCAAGCAATCCGAAGGGTCTCCCAGTGCTAATATGGTTCCACGGTGGTACGATGATATCGACTTGACTCATTTTCAAGAAATGGTGAGACTCACGGCTCTCTGCAGGCGGCCTACTTCAAGGTCGAAGGGACGCAGTACCTCCCCATTTCCATGATGCCCTCCAAAAGTATCGATTCGCTTTCGTTTCAGCAGACTATCGACTGGCTCCGCAAGTAGGCGTATCCGATATCTTTGAGGATGTCGAGGCATGCATTGCATACGTTCGTTCGCCGCAAGGGCTGGTGGCCCATTTAGCAGGCCCAAACTGCCAAGAGGCCATAGATCCGACACGTATTGCCGTGTCTGGGAGCTCTGCTGGGGGCTACCTTGCCCTTCTCGCTGGGCTTTACACAGAACCAAAGCCGAACGTGATCATGCCAATTTACCCAATCACGGATCCTCTAGGCACATTCTTCATCACACCACAGCCGATTCCTATAGACAAAAATGTGGAACAATCAAATATTGCAACATTCATGGATCCACAAGGCACCGTTATAGCAAATAATGATCCAAAGACGGGTAGAACTTTCAGCTACTTCTGGATGATGCAACAGGCCAATCTCGCAAGACTGCTCAGAATCCCTGTCAAGCGAGGCGAAGAGCAAGACCGATGGAGAATCTCGAGACAAATTCGTAAACATCGTCTGCCGCCGACGTATGCTGTGCATGGCGATGCGGACCGGTTTGTTGGCGTTGAGCAATGCGATGAAGTTGTTGGAGTCATGGTGGCGGAGAACATAGTGTTCAAATATGATCGCAGGCATGATCTAGACCATATGTTCGACAGCGCGCCTGGGACGGATCTGAGTGGCATGTACGAGTTTATGATGCAGCATATTTGATGCATTGCCTGATAAGCAACGATGGAGCTGAGCAATCGAGGTCAACGTAAGGAAGTACAAATTGTCGAATATCAATCCATCCATAGATGAGCATCGTCTTCAAAGACGCAGTAAACATCCCTTCATCGATTGGCCGCTCTCGTATTAATCAATTCCAAGACTGCTCGGAAGCCATAAAATGTTTAGGTCATCAATTTCTCTTTGTCAGCCGACTTTGCAGCGTACAGTGCCCCAAACGAGTACCTCTTCCACGGAAATGCGTCAGCATCTTCGCGCCGTCAAGCAGATCTTAGGACGTGTGCACTCGCTACTCATCACGCTTGCTACGTCATTGCAAACATTCGGCCGTGAGATATTGTTAGTTGGATTCGACGTGCGCAAAGCTGTGGCGCCGGAGGACGGCAGCCGACTTCTCCGACATCCAGGAACCGCCGACCGCCGAAACTCCATTGTGGTCGATATCAGATGAGATATTGGCCATGCAGCATCCCATCTTGGATCCCCAGTTGGGCGGACAAGCGTCTGGCACACCAGAAAGAAGTTCAAACCGCGAAGGTGCCAGCTCCTCTCGTCCTTCGCCATATCATCAATCTAGCAACGTGTCTGCGCCTCACCTCACGCCCAGGCATCAAGCGATCAGCGCTGCAACCACGCTTTCTCATTCTCCTTCTGATGCCGAGTTGATAAGGTAGTTCATTTCAGAGCCTGCTGTGCACAGCACGAAATTGACAGCTTGACTAGTCCTCATGAAGAATCTGCCGACGTCGATGGTGGCCAAGATACCAAAAAGGCTCGCTCATGCGAATCTTGTCGCGGTCTGAAGGTCAGATGTGATCAAGATCCAGATCGACCTGACATTCCATGCAAGAGATGCGCCAAAGCGGGACGACAATGTATCATCACACAGCCTACTCGTAAACGTCAAAGAAAGGCTGATGGTAGAGTTGCTGAGCTCGAGAGGAAGCTTGATGCCCTCACCGCGGCCATCCAGCAGCAGCACAACATTGCTCCTGAAGTTTTCAAGCCGACACAAGCCTCTCCATCCCGCGTGAGCGAAGATATCGCTTATCGGACAGACAGCAGGACCTCGTCACAGCGCATGATTGAACCTCATTCACAACGCTCAGAAGTCGAACCAGCTGTGAAGCGCGTCCGGGTGGACGCCACTCCAGCACAACCTCAAATGCATGCAACAGTGTCGCGATTAGAACAGCAGGCACAAGAGTATCCTACTCAATCTGTCGGGCCAAAAGACGAAGAAACGATATCGAGAGGGTTCTCGCTACTCAATCGTTCGTGGCAGACAACCAACGATGTCAAACAATTTCTAGGTCCGAACTCGTCTGAAGACTTCGTCAAGCGTATCAACGCGCTGATTCCACCCGAGACTGCTGCCGCCATCTTCGATCGTTATGTAAACGACTATGCGCCCCATTTACCTGTTGTCGTCTTTCCACCAGGTACAACTGCTGCGCAAGTATGGAAAACAAAGCCTGTCGTTTATGTTTGCATTCTTGCTGCAGCATCTGCAGGCAAAGTGCGAACAGAAATTATTGATGAGCTCAACCAGGAAGCGATTGGTGCGATTGCAGACTGTACCATTCGCAATGGTGCGAAAAGTCTGGAGTTGATACAGGCTATGCAAGTCCAATGCCTATGGTATAAGCCTCCAGAGAAGGCTGCACAAACAAATTTCTATCAGATCATACATATGGCAGCGGTCATGGGACTCGACATCGGTCTTAACAAGCGTTTTAATGCGGCTAAAGCTCGTCGAGGCTTTGGAGGCCCTCACGCGCACTGCGCCCCTGGTACACAGAATCTGCCTCAAGATTCAGGAACCATCGAGGCCAGACGGGCTTGGCTTGGATGCTACTATCTATGCGCGAGCGCATCTATGGTCCTCCGCCGACCTAACCTTGTGCGATGGACCAACTACATGAACGAGTGCATAGAAGTGCTTGAAACACATCCAGATGCTCTACCATCGGACAAGCTTTTCTGCCAACACGTCAAGAACCAGCGCATCTGTGAAGATATAGGTTCGCAGTTCTTGATGGACGATAGCACAGCCAACATCAGTATCACAGATCCCAAAGTTACATACGCACTTAATGTATTTGAGAACGATCTCAAAACGTGGAAAGAAAACATTCCCTCAGATTTCCGCACACCAGGATTGGAGTTCTTCCAGCACGTAACAAGTCTTTATCTTCATGAGATTGCATTACATTTCAATCACAATGTGGAAGATTTCAAACTGCCTTTCACCGAAGAGTCTTTGAAAGCAAGCCACAACCTTACAGAGAAACTCACCCAACACCAAGTGGCTGCACTTGAGGCATGTGTCAAATCTTCCCATGGCATTCTTGATACGATTCTGGCCTACAAGCCGCACGCGTTCAAAACACTCCCGATGCTCATCTTCTTTGTACGTTGCGTCTACGCCATCGTCATCCTCATCAAGATGCATGTCGCCATTAATGGCCCTGGGAGCGAAGTCGGCAAATTAATGAAAGCGGACGACTTACGTGTCGAATATTACATAAGTTGCGTTATGCAGCGCTACACTGCGACTGACGACGAAGACTTTCGACCTTGGCCCAAGATCATCATAATCTTGTCCGTTCTGCGGGACTGGTTTCAGAAACACAAAGATAACCTGGCGACCCTCGGATCCAGTGACACACACCCTATACCTTCAAGGCAACAACAAGTGGAGGGCTACCAATCACAGCACGCGCAACACGAACGCAAGCGCTACAGCCAAACTCCCCTCGATCTGCTTTCTCAAGTAGCCACCAGCACCAGCATGACCGACTTGCCCGTCCAGAGTCGCGACACTGGCGCCCATACATCACAGCAGCCCCCGAGCTGGAACATGAGCGCCTCCTATCCCAACCAATACAACAACATGGCTACTCAAGGCGTTCGTCAAGCTGACTTGAATCATCCCCGATCAACACTCACTCCAACGTCTGCCGGTATGGTCGACGTCCCACACCATGCCCAATCCAACACCAACTTCAACCCAGGCTTCTATGGTGACCAGAGCAGTAACAACTTGCTCCCTGACATGTACGGTTGGGGCACGGGTTTCGAACAAGCCATGGATATTGCCATGGGGGGCATGAGTGGCCTTGCGGGCGGCGGAGTGGGAATGTTGGACGATTGGTTCCTGGGCGATTTCATAGCGCCGTATACTGGCTTTCAAGGCGATCCATCGGCGGCGGGAAACAGCGGCGGCGGCGGAGGAGGACACAATGGCGCAGGTGGTGGAAATGGAGGTCAATGGTGAGAAGAATTTCCATATGGAGGAATAAGAGGGAATTGTGACGACGTAAGTGAGGATAGAATTATGAGTATGAACAGTTTTCAATGCGAAATGCTACAGATCTTGATCGTCATCAATTGTCGTCATCGTCATCATCATCACCTATCTTACGCTCTTGATAAATCATCCATCGTGAAGTGTCCCTAGGGAAACGCTTTTCCAAGCACTGCTGATCCGATCGAGAGCATCAGGGGCCCCTGTGCAAAGCATGAGAAAAAGAGAGGTAAATTCGATCTTCCTCCCACAGTCTTCATTCCCGTGGCCCCGGTGCCGGAGCCCTCCAGCTCCCATCCGCCACCGTCTCAAACCGGATCGCCCTGCGGCCCCCCCTCCCCGGCGCCGCGCCCAGCAATCCGTTAACTCTACCGATACCCTTCCGATCCAACCAGGGCCTCAGATTCTTACACTGGCTAACATCGAAAACCTCTAAATCCCGACATCCCTCCACCACGCCCTCGACGCCCTGGCCCGTGACTCGGACGCAGCCGCGCACGCCCAAATACCGGAGCTCCAGCAGGTGCAGGCCGATGCAGCGCAGACTATGGTCGCTGACGGCGGAGCCGCAGAAGGCGAGGTCCAGCCGTCGGAGGCGCGGCAGGCCTAGGGCGAGGACCTCGGTCGCGGCGTCGGAGAGCGCGCAGCAGAAACTTAGATCCAGCACGCGGAGCGCGCGGCAGGCGGCGACGAGGCCTACGATCGCGGCGTCGCTGAGGTAGGTGCAGTCGGCGAGGATGAGGGTGTGCAGTTGTGGGAAGGCGTGCGCGGACCAGGCGTGGAAGCCAGCGTCGGAGATGGAGGTGCAGCGGGTGAGGTCGAGGTGTTGAAGGCGGGCGGAGGTGTGGGCGGCCAGGTGCGCCATGCTCCGGTCTTGTATGTGTTTGCAGTAGGAGAGGGTGATGCGTTTGAGGTTGGCGGCGCCGATGACGGTGCCAGGGGGAGGGGCGGCTGGGTTTGGTTGTTGTTGTTGGTGTTGGGATTGGGATTGGGCGGTGTTGGCGTCGCTGGGCGAGAGGGTGGGTCGTTTGGGTCCGCCACTGCGTTTGTGGCTCGGGTGGTGCGGCATGTTCATGTGTAGGGCGGGCCGAGGTTCGGGGACGACCCAGCCGACGACGCGGGCGAGGAGGTTGTCGCCGACTTTGCGGCAGTTGCTCAGGTCGATTTCTTCCAGGTTCTTGGCTTTATCGACGAGCGCGAGGACGGCGGGTCCGCTGACGTCCCAGACGGATTTCATCTTCCATACGCGTGCATTGCTCCCGCAGGCTTCGGTCAATAGCTTGAATCCTTCATCGGTCATGTGGAAGCAATTTGATATGTCCACGAAACTGGGACGGTCACCGACGAACGGCACAATGACATCCCTTAAAGTTTCGTCTGTTACATATTTATTATATCGTGACAGATTGAGGTGTTGTAATACGTCGCGAGATGTCGTCAAAAGATGGTGCCAATGCATGCTGACTTCACGACAACGCATAAGATTGTAAAGATCCAGATGCTGAAATATCGAGGTGAGGATGGTGTCAGGAAGTTTGCCCTTGCCATGGTTGGATGGTCTTCGGTCCAAGCTGGGCCGTCTCGGTGCACTCAGACCACGCCAGACTGGCGAATTCGGCGACGCGGAATTTGTAGTAGAGTCGTTAGATAGTCTCCGAGAGGTATGTGGTTTGAGAGGCGAAGGAGAGAGGAGACGGATCGTGGGCGGGCTGGGTACTCGTTGCGGTTCGGACAGGGCCGAATCTGCCGGAGGGAGTGGCGGCGCGAGTGAGGACCGCCGCGATCGGGCGCGCATATTGTCCAGGTTCTCGTTGAAGAATGGATCAGGATCTATGGGTTCCATCTGAGGCGTATGCGTGGGAGCAGGGTCGCCCAGGAGCGGTCCGTCAAACTTGACAGTGGGCAAGTCTGCCCTCCAGGAGTTCAGATCTCCATCTTCGTCGGTTGTGCTTTGCGCGGATCCGTTTACTGAGACGTTAATGCTCGGGACTGCGCCTGCCGAGCCACCAACATCGACCATGACCACATCGATGTCCTTCTTGGCCGCTTTGAGTCTCCTCCGAGCCTCGTTCTCCACCTGCAGACGAATATCGGGTCCACAGCGCTGCCACAATTCGTCCAGCACGCCTCCTGAAATCTGTAGACACTCCACAGCACTCACGCTACGCACGGTTGCCGTCCGCTTGGGCGCCAAATTTAGAGTGGTGACTTCGCCAAAATACTGCCCAGCGCGAAGTCGGGCTTGAGTGCGCGGTTCGGGAGCTTTTGGCGATAAGCTTCCGCCCATCTCGTCGATGCTCTGTAATGATTCAGGGGCGTTCGTAAGGACTTCGACGTCACCCTTGACGATGAAATAGACATCGCGCCCTTCACTTCCTTGTTTGATGATTTCAGTGAACGGCGGATAAGAGGTCGGTTGTGCGTTGATGCCGAGAAAGTGTAATATCTCTGAAGGCAACCCCGAGAATAATGGGAGCTCTTTGAGAAGTTGTCGAACTGTGAGAGGTCCTGATCCAAGAGCGCTCGAGGCAGCCACCTCTGCTATTCCTGGCGAAGGCGATTTTCGTTTCTTATGACTGACAACCTCTCCATCTGCCAACGATCCTGCCTCGCCCATGTCCACATCGTCTGACATCCAGTCATGCGAACGCTTGCGCGTCCCGCTTGGAGGCCGGACAGTCCCCTCGTCACCCAGATGTGCACCAGCGCGTTTCTCCTTCTTCTTCCGCTCGAGGATCGTCAATCGTTCCAATGCCTCTTCCCGAATGGCCCGCTCCACCTCCGGATATGACGGCAGCTCCTTCTGTAGATCCTCCTTGTTCAACCGTACGAGCAGACTCCGGATGCTCGCCACGATGCTCGCGGTGCGCGGCATGTCCATGAGGATTCCAATCTCGCCAAAGAAGGCGCCGGGTTTGAGTTCGGCGTATGTGCTCTCCCCATCGCGACTGGTGACACGGACAGAGCCGCGCACCAGCCAGTACATTGCCTTGGCATCTTCGCCTTCTCTTACGATCTCCTGCGCGGGTTGGTAGATCGTCGGCCGTAAGCTCTTGCCGATGGACAGTAGGAAGGACTCGGGAGCGCTTTGGAAGAGTGGAAAAGCCTTCAATCGATCGAGCAATTCGAGAGGGAGACCGGTGTCGACGGAGGCTCCGAGAGGTGAGGATTTGGCGGGACGGGAAGGGTTGAGGTCTGAATCGAAACTGTTGATGAGGCTGACTGTGGAGGTGTCGCGCGCGGTCCCTGCCCGTAGCATTTGGGAGGCGCGGACTGGGTGCCGGCGCATGGTGACGGTTGAAGAGCCGAATTCGCGAAAACGGGCGTGGAATGCCGACTGTGAGGCGCGCAATATCGGCTGACTCGGGAGGGGTACGCTCGGCTCAGCTATGTTGCTCGCAGCGTTGACAATGAGGATTCAATCTGACAGAATCCAAGGCGATCGCACAGGCTCGGAGAGCTCTCTTCAAGAACGCGCAATCCGTCGCATCCTCAATCGACCATTCCTGTGCGCCGCTGCTTAGTCGTCGCAAATTTGGCGGGAGATTTGCCGGTTCGAATACGTCGATCACAGACTCTCCTCCAGTTGATCTCTTGAATGGTCCACACGAATTGTTGCGCGAAGGGAATATTCGGGGAGGGGTCTGCAGGTGAGGTTCTGCTTGGCCGGGGCCAATGCTTGTGCTGCGTCGTTGGAGTGGGGCGGCGGCTTTGGTCGTGATTCCAGGCGAAAGTCCTGGTGATCACACTACGAGATTTCGAATTGATTGTGCTACTGCTCTACAAAATGACGGAAACCAGAGAATTCGGGACTTGAAGATAAACGGAAATGTAAGACGACAATCGATACCACAGAAAGACTTGGCAACAATACCGACAACATCCCCTGGCGTGAACGTTGGAGTTGCGCGCGCGCAAAAAGATGAGATGATCGACATGAGCTGCAATCTGATCGGGAGTGGAGGGAGAGCAGCAACAACGGGCGCAAGTGATAGCGGCGGCGATGCTGGAATCCGTTCCGTCCACGGGTTATTATGTACTGGAGCAGCCCTGAAGGGTTCAGTATGGTGGGCGCACAGCGGATGCCGGCTAAATTCGCCCAGCTGAACCATCATCATGGACTGTCCTTCCCGTCATACAGTCCTGTTGTACTGTATATTCATCGACAACGCTCTCAGCCATGTAACGACCTTGGAATAATCAGGTTACGTTTGTGAGGGTTTCTAAGAGGAGAATGCCACGACGGAATCCACCAACCAAGGGTACTTACTGTACATTAATCAACAGTACATACAGTACAAGATGATCGTCGAGAACGACGGATGGACAGTCTCGAGTCTGGACCTTTCATTTCATGCCCGATGATGTGATTGATTGACCATGACTCGGTGGACGAACCGGCACGGAGGTTCGGCGCGTTGCTGCAGCGGCGGCGGCGTCATATTGCCCTATAGCACATACCTAGGTACCTAGGTATACATACATACATACATACATACATACATACATACATACATACATACAGTATAGTACTGTATCAAGCAATCACCCACTCTTTACTCATGACTTACGTTTGGAACATGATATTGTTGACCTTTGCATGACAGGTCATCAGGTCACGTTTTCCGGCATTCGTTATTGTACACGGAGAGTTAGGGGAGATCGGATCAGACTCCGCTCTTCGTCACTCCTGATGAGGGATACCCATGCGACCATTCTCCTCTTCGCTCCAACATCAATGTGAAACCCGCAACAACAGGAGCACTCATACGATAGACGGAAATTTTGGTCAACACAGATAGAATAGAATTACATGCAAATGGGTTTCTTGAAAAATGCCCAATAACCAACCATAGGGATGAGCATCGTCACAATGACACACCACCACTGTTCCTCATCAGTAACCAAGCAGGAAATATGCCTCCGTCGATCAACAAGAACCCCAACAGGACCTGTCTTCCGAGCATCTCTCTCTTCCCACACAAAGAAGTTCGACAGCCCAATTCGTCCACTGCCAAACTTTCACGACCTCGAATCTGCCGGTGCGGTATACGCCCACCACCCGGACTGCGTATACGGCGCTGGAACCACCGCCTTAGACGGGGAGGCGACCTCTCCAGGCGGTCGCACCATGGTAAAGGGGTGATGTTCCTGTATGACCTCGACGAGTCCATTTTTCATCGGAAGAATCCCATCCGTGGATGAGATGGCTGTTTCTTCCATTTCTTCTTGTTTCGTGGAATTGGGGTGATTCCGTGGAGGCGACGGCGAGCGCGATTTCATCACGGCATCCCCGTCGGGATCTCCTGCGTCACCGTTTCTTTCGCCGTTGCCGCTACCTTCTTCGTCCGCGCTGGCCACGGCGGATTCCTCGTCGTCCTCGTCCTCGTCTTCGTCGGAGTGCTCGAAGGCGCTGCTCGCTGTGGCGGTGGTTACGCGGCGGCGGCGTGGGCGTTGTGGGCCTTTCTTGATGCCGGCGTCCTTTCGTCGGTTGAGATTTTTGCTGCCGGGCACACGGCCACCGCGGCGAGTGGCCAGCGTGGTGATGTCGGCGGGAGTAAAGTTGATGGCGGTGGAGGGTGTGGGAGGAGGGAAGGAGGCGGAGGCTTGAGGATCGTGGCGGCTGGGGCTCTTGCGAGCTGTGTCGTTATTGTTGCTGTTATTGTTCGCTGTGGTGGTGGCGGTGGTGGTATTGTCAGCTTCCGTTGATGCTGTGCGGGAAGTGGCGCCCACGCTCTCTCCGCGTAATTCTCGGATTCGTTTGGGTACGTGGTTCTTCCAACGACCTCGTGTCGGTGCCTTATACTCTTCCATTGCGGCGACAGTTGAGTTGGCGGCGCTCGCGTTGCTTTGTGAGGGTGTACCTGGTCGGGTCGATGGCAGACTCTCGTTGACATCACTGTCAGCCGCAGTTAGCGCTGCATCGTTATCCTTCTCGGCTGTTGTCCCTTGAGCGAGACGGGACTTCTTGCGAGGCGGCTGTGTGGTCAGTCCGTCGAACCGGGAAACAGGTTTCACCGTACGTTTACTAGGCAGGTCCGGCACGTCACTGAAGATGTTGATGACCTGGTAAGGATTGTACTGCTGAGGCTCGCTTGCGACATCGGCTGTGACAGAAGTTGCGGCAGCAGCGGGTGCTGCGCTAGATGTTGGAATGTCGTTGGGTGTCGCAATGATCACTGGGTGGTGACGGCCGCGCCGTCGTCGAAGCTCACGACCTTCCGCATCGCGGACAATCCTCTGCGAATCGGGATCTTGATAGCCGATTCTACGCGAGTCGAAGGCGTAGTCATAGAGCATCGCTTCCTTCTTATCTTCGAAAACAATGTTTTCGACAGGTTGGCGTCCACCCCGAGCTGGCTTACGCTCCTTCTTGCCATGCATAGGATTTTGCGCTACGATCTTATCGATTTCGAGGTACTCGTCCTGAAGCACCTTGAGCGCATACTGTGCGTGACTTGCCAATTGTTTGAGCGTCTCGAGTGAGCGAATCGCGGGATCGAACTTGGTTAATGCCTTCACGAAAGCCTCAGGATCGATGATGGGATCGTATGTGGCGCGTAGAATCTTGCTAGCTTCGTCATTCGCAACTTCTTCATCATCATCAGTCGACCAATCCTCCTTGAACAGGCTTGGAAAGTCTTCATCCAGTAGGATATCATCCTCCGGAGCGAGCAGAGTTGGTCGAGGCGTTGGCGCTCGTGGAGGGGCATTCGCAGTACGCGAGTGGCGGACCGCATCTATTTCACTCAGATCACTATTCCCGCGCAAGAGCTTCGTCCGTCGTGGAACCGGCGTACTCTTCTTGGCGGGCGCCGTCGCCGCCAACCCAACCTCTCGTTGAAGCTGGGCATCGGCACTCGCCTCAACACGCGTTCTGCTCGGAGTGCCGCGGAGTCGTTTGCTCACGATGGGCGGCGGCGGAGCTGCTTTCCGCTCCTGGTCCTCTTTGCTCGTTCTACACCATTTGCCGCCACCTCGGTAGACCCAATGTAATTTGGGCCACTTTTCGGGTCCCTCTTCACGACGGACGAGGTCTGTCAGGCCAGGCGGCGGGTTTCCATCTTCATCTACTTCCTCACCAGGGGAGCGCGAATCATCACCACGGTCTCTTGCACCGGGGCCGCGAACGGCGACTTTATTGGAACTTCCAGGTGGTGGCAAGCCCCGTGCCCATTTCCCTTGGCCACGATGGTGAAACGTCAGTTCGGGGTGGGCCAAAGTGAAGGCGGAGTCGACGAGGATTTCCTCCCCTTCATCTTCCTCATGTTCCTCCTCCTCTCCTTCCTCTTCTTCTTCTTCCTCTTCCTCCTCTTCTTCATCCCCCTCTTCCTCCTCACTATCAATGACGCTTGGCGGCTTTGGTCGTGGACCGCGTGCCCATCGACCCTGACCTCGATGATGAAATTCCTCGTCAGGGTGAGCCAATGTGTATGCTTTATCATATAGCGTATCGTCTATTGCAGGGACATTCGAAGGTCGAGAGGTACGCTTGGCGCGTCTGCTTCCTCTTGTACTCTGCTCCTCGGCCGCTTTCGAATCAAAGTCCGCTCTGCTTGAACGGCGGTCACTTGAAGCTGCTGGTGTGGTCGACTTCTTCACCACGATCGCATCACCTATGCGCTTGTATCGACCGTTTCCACGATGCGACCATTGATACTCCGGATGCAGGAGAGTGTACGCCTTGTCCACAGTTTCAGTCTCATTGTTTTTCTTGTTACCATGTGCGTTGGCTCTGGTTCTCGTTGTGGCAGCAGATTTCTCCTTTTCCACTTCATCTTCCTCGCCTTCGTTCTCCTCATCTTCGTCTTGGTCCTCTTCGTCTTGGTCCTCTTCGTCGTCGCCTTGCCCATCTACTTCGTCGCCGTCTTCGTGTTCCTCAGCTCTGTGTGGTGATTGGGATCTAAAAGGCAAAATTGTTCCGTCGTCTCCAACGATGACACTAGCACGCTTACCAGCCGGGCCCGGGCCGACCTTCCAATGATTGTTACCCTTGTGATGAAATCTTTGACCTGGATATTTCCACAACTCATCGTAATGGATTGCAACATCTGGTCCAGGAATTGGCGCAATTTCTCCATCATTGAATACACTTCTTGATCGGGTAGACTGCCGGCGACCTGATGGTGATTTGGCAGATTCTCTTTTCGGCTTTGCCCGATCACCCTTTCGCCACCAAGCATTACCACAATGGTAGAAAGGTCCCTCTTCCGGATGTGAGTCGACGTAGGCTTTGCTGTATGTCTTATCTGGATCTGTCGAAGATTCACTGCCACCGCCTGGCCCGTCGTCATCATATGCTTCTTGATATGAATTGAATGAGGCATTCGGGGTCTCGACGAGACGCGAACTTCTTCGTTGCTCGATGCTGTCTTGTATTTTAGACTGCCGCGGCGTTCGTGTTCGACCCACTCGATCGTCATCGTCGATGATATCGTCTTGTTCGGCAACAGAGACCTGTCCAGTTTTGCGTCGGCGGTCACCCCCGCGTCTTGAGCGCGCTGGAAACCGTTCATCCATGTCGCTTAGCCATCCGTGAACCAGATTGCGATGGTCATTTGATTGGATTTGTTCCGCTGCGTCATACCAATCTTGCCGTGGAGTATCCTTCAGCATTTCGACGATTAAGCGAAATTGATGCTTGAAAGTCGGACTCCATTTGTCGCGCGCATTTGGATTGTTTTGCCGACGAAATGAATCAAATACGTCTGATAATGCTTGGAACATGGCTGATGCCGTATCTTGATCTACACCAGTCAATGGAATTTTCTCTGCGGTGCTTCTGGGAAGAGTTAGTCGACTTCTGACATCGTCATGTAGTCATCTTCAAATATATACCTGTCTGGTTGCGACGAAACAATTACTGAGGCGGGCTTGTGGACATCTTTGCTTGGTAAGTAACGACCTTGGCCACGATGGACCCAGACAATCTCCGGATGGTTCAACGTGTACTCCTTGGAAAAGGTGCCACGGTGATTGCGTCCTTCGCGACGACCATACTCATCGTCATCAATGTCGCCGTCGTTGTCATTGTCATCTTGCAGGTTGACTTTTCTCGATGACACCGCGTCATTTATCATTAGCGTCGGTCGAGGGCGAGAGAAGAAAATGTTCAGTAATCGTTCTCGCGCATCTCCGGGAGGGAGCCTGATGGCGAGCAACAGTTTTCCGTCAATTGGAGTCACTCTGGCTACTCCGACCGAGCCGAAGCGATTTTTGCCTTCATGTTGACGAGGGCTGATTAGAGGCACGGTATGCGCGTGGCTCGACGGAGCGTTGGATATCAAAGGCGGTCCAGGCGCAACCGTAATTACCTCCTCGCCGGAAGACGAAGAGATGGATCGCTTCATCGGAATCATGATTGATAAGCTGATTTGGTGTGATTTGTTGTGAGTAGCATCGTGCTGCCGTCGCCACGATGCAACGTAAACGAGGCTTGAAAGGAAGGTCGTGAACGAGAGCAAAATAACAATGTGCAAAACCCGAAACGCCGTCGAATGGAATGAACGAATTGCAAGCCTCTCACGTCGTCGTTGATGTCAGAGACAATCGCGATGTGGATATGATCGTACTGGGGTTGTTGTATTGATCGGTCGGGCGGTCGGTGGTGAACGAGCGAGTTGATGAAATGTCGACTAGTCTAAACCTGGACAGTAAAGGTAATGTGCTGTATGGACGGGATTTTGCCCCGGGGAAAGGTCCCAAGACGATGGAATTGCGCCAATCATGGGCGCTTCTCGGCCTGGTCCGTGTCGCCGAAATCACCCAAAACGTCCAAATGTGTGAGGCGCGCTTCTCATGCATTTGAGTCTCTTTCCGCCAGATGAACAACGTACAATATTTTACCATTATTATAGATATGAGGGAGACCAATCCTGCAGATGGTCTTGCCATCTGCGAGTTTTGTGACGATCAGGCGAAGTCGAGAAATCCGTATTCAGAGTGTATACAACGATCAATTGCTTGGCCAAGGAAATGTGAACTGGTTGGTAACGATGATTTCATCGGTCTCCGAACCACGACACCGTAAATAGATTGTCAGAGGCTGGCGACTTTGAGCACGCCCGCGCGGCGCCGCAAATGCTGGAACTGGGGGGGTGTCTATGAAGATGGTGATTTGATCGTTAGTGAGCATCAATCAGCCGCAGTCATCGATGCACAGGCGGAGTCGTCTACGGTGCGGCATTGTCAAATATACGCTTTGGTGATGGCGCACGGCACAAGTCACGTCCAGAGGTCGAAGACAGCCGATCACAAGCAAATCGTCTTGGTCACGACAACCCTCTCTCAATCAAAATCTAACAGTATGGTCGTCGTGATGGACCATTGTTTCCTGCTATCACCCGACAGGTGCATTGCGAAACCAAACTCCGATTTGTAGACCGAAACTTCAAACTCGATCGGACTCAAAAGAGCGTCTTGCTTTGTTGGCTTCAGAAATAGATTGGGTGGTGGCATCTACAATCCCGCAGAGGACGACGGATTTCTCAACAATTGGGAGCTGAGAACACTCACGGACGACATCAATATATTCTGATGATTGACCACAAGGAGTGGCGAGAACAAAGCGACAGCAATGTCATGGGAAGATCGTTTCATTAAACTCATCGTTAGTGAACATACCTACTGCCTCGAAACAGCTACTTATAAGGCGTAGATGCGAATTAAGCAGTAACACTGACTTCTCCGCCCGCCTCCTCTTTGCCCTCTGCGACAGCCGCAGGAGCCTCACTCTCGCCCACGCCCATTCGTCGAGCGACATATCTCTGCGCGACAACACCCACCGCCAATGACAACGACTCCTCCAACCACTCCGCCACCCAATCTCTTGGGTCCACTCCACCCAGTCGAACAATCTCCTGAATCGAAGCCGGCAGCTCCTCGCCACCCACGCCATCATGGTGGTCGAGCCAGGAGATCCACCGCGCAGGGAGGGATTGTGAGAGGGAGTGGAACGCGAGTTTGTGGAAAGGATCGTAGAGGTAGACAGCGAAGACGACGACTTCCGCATCCGCATCGTCCTTCTCGTCGGAATTCTCGTCACCTTCACCCGCCGCTGCGGCGAAGAGGTCAGTGTCGACGGTGTACCGGATTGCCTGCACCGCCAGGAATATATCACTGGTGCGTACAGGATTTGCGGAGTCGACATTGGAGTCTTCGGCGGCCGCCTTGCGGGCCTCGTCGATGCCGCCGCGTGCAGCAAAGAAGTCCTTTGCAGAGGACTCGGCGCTGACGCGCGCGAGACGCGTACCTTCTCGCAAGCCTGGGACGGCGCCGAGGGAGCGAGGAAGAGCGGAATCGCGCCACCAAGGTCCACTTTCGGACCATGAGGGTGTGGACCCACCTAGAATGCGACCGCGATACCCTAGATTGGCATCATCGCCCTTGTTGCTAGCGTTGCGATCGCGAAGGTCGGCGCTGCTGCTACGTTGAAGGACGACGAGATCGCCGCCTTCGACCTGGGCCATGATGCGAGCGAAGGGTGCGTAAATAAGAGGGTCTAGGGACGGGTAGCCTTGAATGTCATGTGTAGTGTGGATCTGAAGTCGTTCGTGTGCTGAGATTGGTGGAGCAATGTGCGAGATGATGGAGCTAAAGGTCGGAAGAGCGCGAGAACGAAGATCAGTGCCTGTGGGAGTATTAGCTGTATTCGTTGTGAAAGATCAAGATGGTCGTGTAATCTCTTGTCACGGTGGCCAGGAATGCCACGATTGTCGTCGACCCAATGAGCCGAGGTCTATTGCAGGCAACGACCTGCAACAGAACATGAAGAAATTGTTCAAGTCGCCCGCCGAACAGGAAGTGAAGCAAGGATTGACCTACCAAACTCCTGCAACCCTCTCATATTCCCACGGACCTGCTCCGCCCATCTCTGTGCCTCCTCATGTCCTGAAATCTCCTTGGCAAGTGTCTCCGCCTGCTTCACCGCTGCGCTCGCCGCACTGAACAGCGAACTTCCCCACCAACCGCCGCTGGCCGCCGCCGGAGCCGATTCCTCGGCTGAGGAGGCTTTGGACTCATCTCCTGCACTCACGCCCTGGTGGAAACTCCTGCTGGTGTCACCGCTGGTGCGAACCTGTGCGGGAGTGCTTGCAGCGGCGACACGCGGTGTCGCGGGGCGAGATGTGGGAGCTGTGGCCGGTTTTTCGGCGAGTTGCTTTTCGAGGTCGGCGAGCGGGTCATCGTCGTTGGTGGTAGCGGCGGGCGTGGTTGGCTTCTTGCTGGATTTGGCGGGCACAGCGGCGGCGGGTGTGGTCTGAGGTTCTTCGATCCCGAGCGAGTCGAGCTCGGCAAGAAGATCTTCGTCCGCCTTGCGGGCCATTGGATATCAGATATGCGTAGTTTGTAGATTGCGTTCGATAGGATGGATGCTGATAAACGAGCAACCTGATGGCTGGTATCTCGAATGAACCTGTGATGATTTCTGGAATCTGCCCAATCTTCCGTATTGAAGCAATACCTGTGTCCCAAAATCGAGTAGCAGAGGAGCTTGGATTGTCCAGCAACAATAATAACAATCACCAGTGACGTCCCTACGTTACAGAAATAAGGCTACAGTGAGAGCTTGGACGAGCCCTGATCGCCTCGGTGCCATCACCAGGCGCGGCGGCATGTCTCCGCTGTTTCGATGAGAAGCAAGTGGCGGGGAACAGCCGCACGACACGTGCCTGCCTGCCTCCATTCAATCAACACCACAGCCAATAATTCCCAGAGCCTCGTCCTCATCACTTTATCCTCCAACACAACAGGAGCAGCAAACACAATGGCATCTCCGCCGCCCACAACCGCTGCCAGACCATGGCATCACTACCTGACCCTCGACCTCCTCGTCCACGTCCTGCTCCGCACTTTCCTCCACCCCTTCATCGCCTGGCTAATGCCGCTATGTCTGCGCGCCATCTCCATGCCCACCACGCGGCGCGAGTTCCAGCTCTCATGCGTCTATGCGACGCTGGTGACGCTCGCATGGCTACTCAATGCGATCAACCATCGCGTGGCGTATGGCCGTCCTCGCACGCTCGACTGGGACGAGGAGGTCGTGGTTGTCACGGGTGGGGCGCGCGGGCTGGGCGCTATCGTTGCGCAGACGTATGCGATGCGTGGAGCGAGCGTGGCGGTGCTGGATGTTCTTGATCCGGCGACTGTCGTTGCGGAGGGAGGAGAGGAGAGGGAGAATTTGAAGTATTATCGGTGTGATATTGGGAATGCGGAGGAAGTGGAGAGGGTGCGGGATGAAGTTCAGAAGGATGTATGTAGTGAAGATGACTTTCAAATCGAAATCTCTCCCTTTCCTGTCCTTCCCTTTCAATCCCGCTTTCATTGATATACGCGTGAGAATATGAACCTGATTCTAATTCTGCCTTCTCCTTTGCTTGCCTCGAATACAGTTCGGTCCCGTCACGATCCTCATCAACAATGCCGGCGTGGTCAGCGGAGGACGCCTGTGGGATTTATCGACGGCCCAGATCCAACGCAACTTCAACGTGAACCTTCTCTCGCACTACTATACCATCCGTGCCTTCCTGCCCGGCATGCTAGCGAGCGCATCAGGCGGTACCATCGTCACAGTCTCCTCCGTCCTCGGCAAGCTTGGAGCCAGTCATCTCTCCGATTACACGGCTGCCAAAGCCGGATTGATCGCCATGCACGCCTCGTTGCGTGCGGAACTCGCCCTGCCTACGGCACCAGAAGGTGCGGGTGAGATCCGCACGATTCTTGTCACCCCGGGACAACTTTCCACGGTCATGTTTGCGGGAGTCGTAACACCGTCGACTTTCCTCGCGCCAGTGGTGGAGCCGGTGGAGCTGGCTAGGGCAATCGTGCAGAAGATTGATGCGGGCGAGAGCGGCGAGATCAGTCTGCCACTCTATGCGCAGCACATCGAGTGGTTAAATGTGCTGCCAGTATCGTTGCAGATGGTCGTGCGTTGGTTGAGTGGTGTAGACTCTGCGATGGCGAAGGCGCACAATCAGGAAAAGAAGGTGTTGTGACTGGAGTAAGATGATGGCGATGGTATTAATGCATCCGCTGAGTTTCCGATTCCAATATCAGCTATAGGCGTGATGATGCGCTGTGTGCCGTGAATCGAACCAATCGCGTCTTCGTCCCACATGAAACTGCTGTGTCCATGCGAGCTATAGAGTCGAATCAAGCATTTTGTTCATCACAATCCTTCGTCCTTTCTCAAATGCTTCACCACAATCTCCACCATGGTCGCCTGTTCCTCCGCAGAGAATCTCTCCTCCACACTCTCTATCATAGGCTGCAGCATCTCCACACATGTAGGCGCATGGTTGTATAACATCAACAGCTCTGTCGCGGTCAGACACTTCCTCTCCTGCTGCGGCTCATATAGCTTCTCAATCTGCTCAGGCGTCATATCTTTCAATTTCTCGCTCCACTCGCTCTCAAGACTGTCCTGCATCGTATTCTCCAGCTCCAACGCAAACGCCTGGAAGACATCGCGGCGGGCGTCGCCGGTGTAGGATGAGGGGTTTGCAGCGTAGGGGTAGCGGTTGGAGGTGAGTTCGCGCTCGGTACGTTCAAGCATGCGCATGAAATTCTTTGGCCGAGGGTTAGTCTTGTCGTGCTTGTCGTGCTTGTCTTTTTTGTTGCTGGATGGTTGTGCGGCGGCTGATGCTTTGTCTTCGGCGTCTTCACGGGTGTGTTGGGCACGCTTGCGTTGGATCCAATCAAGGACGTCGGCGTTCGAGAAGGGGTGGTCACCGGCATCGAGAACCTTCATGGCGATTGGGCGTGGCAGCGAGTGAAGCTTCGGATGTGCTTTCGAGAAGGATTGAAGGTGGGCTGAAGAAATCAAGTGATTTTCTGAAGCTGCTAGGAAAATGGCGTCACACTTTCTTACGCTAATGCAGGTACCGCCGGAGGAACGGCCGATGAAGTGTATATTTGTTGGGCGCGAATTGTTTCCGAGGATGTCAAGAACAAATACTGTGATTGTGCCGAACCTCGACACAGTCTGAGCAGAGTTGTGGGTGGCTGCTCATGTTGTACAGAGGAGGTACAACAATATGAGTTTAGCTTGCGACTAGAACGTAATTTTCGAAGTGCTCTTGCAATCTCAATACTGCGGCCTTAAGCGCAACAAATACAAGTATATAGTCTACAGGTGTCTCACTCGCCACTTGCGTCGACTCGACATGCTGGACGCTCAATTCCTGGGTCGGAATATTCTCAAGATGCCATGCCCGAGTAGATACAAGCGACGCGCGAAGGAAGCGCACAAGTCATAACAATCATAAGCTCGCAAGAAATTGAAGAAGCAGCAGTGTCAGCTCATCGTGGCGCTGTCGCTCCTCCGTCATCTTGCCACTCCCCTGCACTGCTCTCAACAGTGTCCACCGGTCGAGCTGGTGTCGGCTTGGGATCGTCTTTCGCCGGCGGCGGCGGCGCATCAGCATCGTCGTCGAAGTCATCATCCTCGAAATGTGATGGATCCATGATAGCTCCCTCTCTGGTTCCAGTGCGAGCATTCTCGGTGGCAAGAGTATCATCATCTGCGCTGACACTGATTCCGCGGGGACCCCAGCTTCGACCAGAGGGACGTATGACACCGTTCTCTTGGTTCTCGAGCGCCGCATCGTCATCGAGATCATCGTGATCAGTGGAATTGTCGCCCGTGCGATTTCGTCGTCCAATGAAGCGGTTGACAATAAAACTCTTGCTCAAATCCTCGCTATCCACGAGTCCGCCGCCCCGTAGCTTGACTCGTTGTCTCGAATAGTAAACCCAAGCAAAGTCGAGGTATAGTGCAGTCTGGATGATGCCGAAGACGATGCTGGTGGGCAGTTCTGGACGATGGTCGCCTTTGGCGATTACAATGATCCAGTTGACGACATACAGAGCTCTATACACGCCCAGAGCGACCAGGTAATAGCTGTCAAACACGGTCGGGACGTTGGTCTGGCGGAGGAGTAAGAGCTGGGGTAGGATGCAAACAGCTTCGAGGATGACGCTGAATGTCCATAAGAGCTGATCGATGCGTGAGTCAGTTTCCAATCCAGGCATAAGAGCGTGCGCGATTCCACTCAACATGTAACTCACCTCAATAAGTGTAAAGTAACCCCATCCCTCAAATAACCACAGGACGACCGGCGCAGCAGCAAGCGATCCTACCAGAGACCATGTCGCCAATTTCCAGCCGTACTCCTTCTCACGCGTGCGCGCGAAGACGCGCATCATCAGGAAGACGACATAGGCTGATGTGGTGATGTAAACGATCTTGAGGCTTGTGTTCCAGACAGTGAGGCCATCGTGAAAAGGATTCGTGGTGAAGATGTCGATATATCGGGTAGAGAAGACAAAGACGTATAGCAGCTGAGTGAGCAGTGAGACTCCCTCGGCTGACCGATTGTTGTGAATGGCCCAGATCAGGATGAGCTTGCTGGCGGTATGGGAGATGTCGGCCAGCGCGTGGAAGAAGTTGAAGGACATCGCCATGGCGAAGGATGCGCGAGCTGTTCCCGCTCGAGAGAAGCTATACCGCGATTTGACGTACTCGAGTGGATGCGACAGGTTTGATGTTGGTGTAGTCGGCGGAGCTTGTAGGATGAGAGGTGGGTGTTGCTCAACACGGAGAACAATGTGGCCTGCACAGCTGGCTGTCGTGCGTCGTCATCCTGCTTGGAAGCTCGCGTGTCAAGATCAGGGTCTGGCCTGGTGCGGCGAAGCCAGAAGCCAACAGAGAGAACCCCTACGATGTAGAATTCTAGGTACCTACCTACCTAGGTAGGCAGGTAATACTCATTCCTATATTGTACACAGTAGTCCTGAGGTCACTCTCAATAATAATATTGTGTTTGCAGTGTGAAAACTATTAAGTCTCTTCGTCACTGATCGCTCCACTTCATCGATCAAAGACCGGATTCGCGTGACCTCCAGGGCTGGCTTGATGTTCACGCCCGGGCATAGAGGACATGGACAGGCGTGCCAACCCCAACCCTAACAGTGTGTCGTTCCAAGGTTCGCGGACAAGGTCCTCGCCACGTCAGACAGCATCGAATAAAGCAGCGAGGATGACATATACGGTGTGTTCAAATGTCAGTCACAGTCATGCTCACATTCACATGGACGTCGGGGAGGTCGCAACATTGCAGCGGCGGTGTCCACATGGTCGTGTTGCGCAGCCTTTGAATTACCAATGACATGCCTGGCCAAATACCCACGCAATTCCATGACATCGGCGATACCAGCTACGCAGGGACAGCGACATGTGCGGTTTACATTGGATGCTAACATCCCGCTCGCAATTCCACGCATTGACGTTCGGTTGACGCACTGTCAAGATCGAAGACTCGGCACCTGATATCTGTCCGTCGGAGCTGGCTGCGGAAGTCGTAAGGACGGCATGCTGACTCGTCCAATGCGAAAGGCGCCCGATGAACGATTCATCGACGACGGAATTATGTTGCCATGGCGGCACTGATTGAGAACCAATATCGGCCCGTGGGACATGGCGCATTCCAATGTGTACGGGCGTTATCCTTGGTATATTGACGGAGGCATAATGTGTACACTGTCCCTACAGGGCTGGAATAACCCCCGCAGCGAAAGGAGATCAGGTTTCCACGGCATTGGATACGTTATGCGTCTTGGAAACGTCACCGGCGGAGAGAACCATGGTTGGAGACAGGCTGGAGATCAGTCGGAGAGATGATGCTTGCCACGTGATAGTGTATGAGGATGAGGGAAACGGCAGCCTTCTTCCCCATCGTTTCGTGCTGCATGTCTGCAGACTCCGAACGATTCTCGAGGTGCATATTTTTAAAATTACTCCTGCTGCAGGTCAAGTCGATCGTTTGTGGCGCTTAACTTCATGCGGCAGGTAGCGTGTCGACATCTCCACACATTCATCAACAGTGCCGGTCCATCGTTCAGTCCGGCTGGCACTTGAGAGCAACTGGCGTAATATATAATGAGAGAAAGAGATGATGAGCTGCTGGCAACGGGCGAGGTGTGTAGTCGAATGTAAACAAATGTCATCCATGACGCGAATCGTCTTACGAGTGTACTGTATCCAGCAGTAGGACTATGGATGCAATTATCAACAAACCATTGCGGATCGGATAAGTCGATCAGAGCAGACATGTGTAGATTGATGATACAGCCGTCCTTTAGCCATGCAAGCCCGAGTACATGTAATTCCTGTGGCAGCGACATAGCACTTTCATGATTCTCCGCACGAGTAGGCAAGGATTTCGTAGCAATGGTCTCGCCAGCCGTTGACGACAATCTCAATTTGGAGGCGAAGGTAGCCTGGTGCCTGTCTATGTGCAGTCCTCATCAAATCACCATGACCTGACAGCGAAAATAGATGAAGGAAGGGAGTGTGCACTGTGCACTGACAGCCGTTCGGAGCATTTTTTTCCCTTTGTCATGTAGGCAACCTCGGAAGCTGATACGGCGAGGCCCAGAAACAGCATCGTGACGCCGTTGTAGAACATCTCATCATTCAAGGTTGTTGTGTGGTGACACGACGGTGTGGTACTCGCACCCCTCACAACGGCGCCTTCTCACTCCCCGCTCAGGTCATCATCATCACTGACGATCCTCGATTCAACTTCGATAATAACAATATTATTTTTACATTGCGCCTTCTGTCAGGACCACGGTGGAGTCGGAATCGATATCTCTTGCCTTCCCACCTGAATCTACGTCGAGTGGTTGCCTGGTTCACCACTGATTGACGATCATTGCTTGTTGAGCAAGTGCTATTGAAGATCACATTCCCATTTCGCTCTTCAACATTCCTTGACATCATCCACGACCATCTCAAACTCGCCCTCAGTGTCTATCACAACCCACCTGCAGCCATTTCCTGAACACTCCCCGCGTCGATCTCTGGTCTGCTCAACTTCCGTTCATGTCTCTGGGTCTGCTAGAAACATGACATCTCTATGACCGTCCTGCATGTCTGACCGAAACAATCTTGTCACCATCATCGAAGGTTCCGCTGGTGTTCCGCCGATCCATTCTCAGCTGTTGATCGACGGACGGAGAGGAACGACGAGTGGATAATGATTCGCAACAACCATGGCATCTACTCCAGTATCGCAGCCGCCTACTGTCATCAATGCTGACTGCCTCGACCCCAACGAATCACCTCACCAGCTCCAACGACCGCTATCTGGACCAGGTGCCTCGCGACAGACTCGTCTACTGCAGCTTCGCAATGTAGGCTTCCGAGGACCGGCCATGCCGGTACGCAAAGTGACTCCAACGGCAAGGGATATGCTGGCCAGTCCTTGGTCGAATGCTGGGACTGATGCGTCTGGGGCGAATGTGGAACATGACGACGGATCACCAATACCAGGCATTGCGGCGAGAACAAGTGAGACGAGGCGGAGGACATCACTCTTATCACTGGATCAGCCGGAGGCTACGCCCTCGATCCAACACAAGCGTCTACGACCTCGGGTCTCATCAGGCGCAAGACATCTGCCCCTAGATCATCTTCGCTTGGGCAAGATCCATTCAGACGATATCAATTCGCCTCCACCACCGCCCAAATCTGCTGCCCGTCTGAGAGCTGTACGCGCTCGAGCGAAGATCAACCACCCTCGCCGCTCCATCAGTGCAGAGGCGCGCAAGTATGTGGAGCACCTTGAGGCTGAGCTCGTGGCAGCGCAGAATCAGATCTCTGCGATCACGTCGCCTTCTGCCACGCGAGAACAGTCTTCCCGTGTGAGAACATTGAGCGCCGAGACCAAGGTTCTACAGGAGGAATTAGCGGAATGGGAGTCACAATACGAGCAGCGGGTGCGAGAGGGGGTTGAGCAGCACGTCCGAGCTGAGGCAGGTTTACGTTCACGGATTCGCACGTTAGAGAGGATCGCGGAGGAAGCGCGGTCTCGAGCGGACAATCTAGAGATGCAGTTGGGATCAGCTACGTTGAATCTCGAAGTGATCGAAACGGCCAACGTGAGATTGGAGAAGCGACTCGAGATCATGTCTAGCCTGTTGGCAGCCTCGCCGGTCAAGATCGATCTTCACGCCGACACGCCAGGTCGTCCCAGAATGAGCAAGGTTCGACCGAAATCGATGTTGCCGATCTTGCCGGCGATTAGCACTGTCCTCGATCGACAGCCATCGATCCCATCATCACCTCCAGGTCATAGTGCTCGACCAGCGTCCACGAAGAGCATGTCCGTCAGCCACATTGCCATCTCACCCGACGACATCTTCTCCGATGCCGAATCCGTGTGGTCGAGCGCAGCTCTGAGCAGCCATTCGGGCATGGAAACCGCCTCTTGGCACAGTCACCAACGGCATGCCAGCAAGTCGAACAAGCGCCGAATGCGGCGTTTCGTAGCGGGAAGTGTTGGACCCAAGCCACTCATTCTGCCTGCTACTAATCAGTGGTCTGGCTCTGTCCCGGCTTCAGCGCCTGGACTCGAGCGAGAGGAATCTGCTGCTATGTTCTCCTTCGATCATGTCTCCAGGCCGAAAGATGATCTGGACTGCCCCGTGAGCCCGAGCTTTGGTCGACAAAGGGCCTTCTCCACGGCCGATGAGATCGTGGCTGCGCAACGACGTTCGAACATATTGGCATCACTTGAAGGGCAATTCCCCCATTTGAGCGAGACGGTTCCGGAGGAAGACGAACTGGATGAAATGCTGGATCACACATTGCTTGCATCTGATCAGAACTCTGATCTCCCTAGCCATAAATACTCCTCGCTCGGTTCTGCAGCGGGCGCCGCGGTGGCAGGTCGGAACCTGATGGATGAGCTTGCTGCGGTTCAGACACCAAATGCTAAGAGCAACAGCGATGAATTCTCGCACAGCGACCCGAGTGGGCAATCAGGGAGGGGAAGTTCAGGAGGAGTGCCCGCAGAAATGTTGAGCTCGAGTCCGTTCATCTCGGATGTCGATATCGACATGGAACTGCCCTCGTTCCCATCCAGGGTCACGTCCGGTTATGCTGCTGATCGGCGCATGGTATCGAATGCTTCTACTGCCATTGCCGTCTCGCGTCCAAAGAAGGCACCATTGGCAGCAAACACTTTATCATCACCAGTAGCATTCCTACACTCGACGCTTGCTATGTCGTCGCCCCGCGTCCGCTCCTCCTCTCCTCTCCCTTCTGCCGCGACATCGACGGCAAACTTCTCATCAACAGATCGCATCAATTCGCTGTTCGCCGCCCTGCGTCTTCCCCACCTCGTTCTCGCTCGCAATCTGATTAACGCGGCCCATTCCCATATGCCTGGTGGCGGTGCCCTGCTCAACATTCAATGGTGGCTTGTCGGAATGCTCCTTGGGCCTATGGCTCGTCGCCGGATGCTTGCAGCCCCAGGCGCAGACTGCTGCCTTGCATCCGGGACTTGCTGCAATGGCGCTAGCACGCACGCGCGCAGGCCAAGCGCTCAGCCTATAACAACATCCTCTCCGTTCCGCACCCTCAGCTCCTGCTGTGTACCGCAGATCCTGGAGAGTCCATACCCATTCGACTCAGACGCCGACTCGGATGGAGATGATGAAGACGACGACGATGACGACAACCTCTCCTACGGTAATCTCTACATGACCCCTCCACGACCCGCGCCTGGCTCATCTCTCCTGCGAATCTCCGGCAAAGGTCGAAAACGAACAACTCCCTCTTCGGCATCGGCGCTTTCCTCCAACCACTCACCTACCCGAGCAAGCCGGTCTACGCGACATCATCACTACCGACGCCACCGGAACGACCTGACCTGCTGCCACCAGCACTGCACCCATCAAACCTCCGCTGCAGACACCACCACCACTCTTTCCACGACCACGGCTCCCGCCAGCTTCGCCACCCGCCACAGCCCCTGGCTCTGGCTGAAGTTCTCCATCACCCTCGCCGTGGCCGTGGGCGCCGCATTCCGCTACGGACCGGGAAGTCTCCTATCGAGCTCGGACACGGCCGCAACTTCGACATGTTGCTGTCCAAAGCAGCATCAGAGCCGGTGTCACGCGGGAGATCGCTGTCGGGGTGTGGGCGGCAGTCAGCGGATTGTCAGCCTGCAGGGTGAGCAGAGTGCGGCAAAGGACGCGATGAGCTGGAGGAGGGTGAGGAGGGAAGTTTTTGGACGGGAGTAAGGGGTGGGTGTTTTCGCATCTGATGGGATCAGTGGCGGCAGTTCTCTGGTTTTTCGAAGCGGGCATGATGTGATGTGTGACTTGACGAAGCGCAGGAGGTTGATGGAAGGGTCATTTCCTTTTTTCCCAGTATTGACGACTAATGTTCTGTTGGAAAAAAAAGCAAAAAGTTCAAACGAAGAAATCCAAAAGCGATCATTGTCTACTACACCGCACTGTCGAGGTAGCAACATTCCTCTTCAGACATGTCCTTTCAGTATGCGTTTGCCTACCCGTTCTCCGAGTCCGTCATCACAACAACACCGATCATCCTCTTCGCCCCTCCTCGTGAGTCTCCGATCAACAAACATCGAAAATGGCAAATGACGACAGTTAGGTCAAAAATAAAAGAGAATACGGTCCTACCCTATCAGATGATCAAATCCTCTGCATCCCACCAGTCCGTACCGCATACCTACCCCAGGGCAAAAACGCGAACCGCGACTCCCTCCCCTATCCTGTCACGCATCCATTCATCCACCGCGCCCGCGCCCGCGCCCGCGCCCGTGACGGATGGAAAATCTCGCCTTGACAGACGACGGATCTTGGACCCGGGAGGACTTTCCCGGGGAACCCGGTGCGTGATGATGATGGTGATGATGATGACATGTAGACAGACCTACGTGACTATATGTATATATACCCGTGCATAGATGCAGAGACGTGATGAGGGCGGAGGGATTCCTTCTACCGGGGACCGGGAGAGGATGGTGAAGAGGGAAAAACACGTGCTCGTGGGAGTCGTAGATGATTGTAAATCGAGAGTGTTTGGTCCCATCTCTTACGGTAGGTAGGTATCTAGGTAGTTCAGAAGTTCTCTCCTTGTCTCTCTCTCTGTGTGTGTGTTTTGTTCATTGCTGCTGCCGGGCTGTCGCGATGTTGTACTATAGTGGTGAGTTTCCCAGCGTTTTCTACACATTAAGCTACGATGTAAAGAGGCTGATGCTAATAGAGGATCCGGGCATAGTGGGGCCTCTGGAGAACGCATTATATGGGCGAGTGAGACATGCATAGGGGAGGTTTTGGCGGCGAGACTCCCTCGTCTCTACGTCTGTCTCGCGATGCCCGTGTGGGAAAGAGATAGGGAGAGACAGAATGGACGCGCGCGCCGATCCGCGCGTCCGATGATACAGCGCAGGGAGAACCTTGGAAAGCACCAGTCTCTGCCTTGGAATCGCACCACGTTGTCTACAGGATTGATGAGCCGTGCCCTTCTTCACTTGGACAAGGCCGCCGGAAGGGAGGAAAGAGCGTGTGCTCTGACTGTGCCCAGGTGTTTTATTAGTTGGAGGACATCCCTAGATGCTCAGGTACTACAGTAGACAGTACTGCACATGACCGGTGAAAACAACCGCAAGTGTAGTCGTGTGTATATTGGAGTGGACCGCATATGCAGACTCGACCATTTTCCGGACTGCGTGCTGCTGCTGCTTGCTGCTGCTGAGCTGGTTGGAGAAGGAATTGCTTGTCCACGCTTTGTCACCGGTTTGAATCTCACTCTAGGGCATGCACACATATAAGCTTTCCAAGGTTCTTGGTGGCGATGCGTGCAGGTGTGCTTAGGTTGGGGGCGAAAGTTTTATAATTATCCTTCGGCATGTGCACGTTACTTACCTACCTAGGTAGGTACTGTAGGTACCCGACAATCCCCTTTTACGGCGCATTGTTATCACATTATACTGTACTCACGACTGGTCTTTGGCCTTGGGTAAGGGAGGAATGACTGTATATCCAGTACTGTCCTGTCTCTTCTCTGTGTTCCTACGAAGGAGTCAATCGCACGTTGAAAAGTTCATACCCACGTATCCTGTACAGTATCCTGTAACCACTCCGGTGTATCGTCAAGCGGGAAAAAGATCTGCAAAGCGCGTGAACCAACAATGCTCGGGACGTTAGAATGGTGATGACGCTGATGATGATTATACACGGTCCTTCGGTGGTTTCCCTGGTCCTATGTATCTCTTCCAACATCTGGAAGTCATCGCTGATCGAACGGGGCCGATGCACCGAGGTCTTCCAAGTTTTGCAACTGCCACACTGTTAATGGACACATGTACGATGTCGTCCTCGAATATTGTGCTGTGATGATTGATGTCCGAAACGCGAGAAGCTCACGGCAGCTCGCGCGGTGAGACGGTAGGGTACTGCACGGGAAGGCCAGAAGCTCTGGGAAGGACGAGGCGCCTCACCTGCCGCCGCATATGGTACCCACGCGTATTCATCCCTCCCCAAGTCTCACCACCACGCGTCGAGATTCCACTCTTCTTTGGAAGGGCCGAGACACGGGAAGGAGGCCACACTATTGCCTATACAGTACATCCAAACTCTTGGAGTCTCGATGGACGAACACCAGCGTCTCCAAGGCTCTGGTTCGAACAGCGTTCATGGCGATGGCACTGTATTCCAGTAGTGCGATCCTGAAAGCCGGACAAAGGGTTACGGGACCAGGAAGGACTTGCAAACCAGCGTGCCAGCCCAGCAGCGGCGACGGTTGAAGAGCACGACGAAGCAGCAGAACGCGAGGAGGATTAGGCCAGTCAGCGGTGGGACGCCGTTAGCATCGAATCAGCCACCACTTTTAAAAAAAAGGAATTCATCATCAAAAGCAAATCTCCATGCTTTTCCGTCAGAAGTGCATTCCCTGAGCCCTCAACGGTCGAGGGAGGCAATCCCATCCATTCGACGCCACGACGCGGGCGATCAGGGGCTTCTCAGGAGAGAATTGATGAGCCGCGTGCGCGACAAGCCCTGATTGTGATTCGCTCCAACGCGCGGCCCCTGCGACCTGCTTGGGGTCTAGCGCGTGATCTAATTCGACTGCCTACTCCGGATTCATTATCTGTATGGCTCAACCCCCCAGCACAGCACAGACAGGCTCTCCCACCCGTGCCACCGTCCCCATTGCGATCACCACCAGCATAGATGGATATGTAGGCTCGCCTGGACATATCTCGATGCTCAGGGATGTGCATGTAGATCGACGAGAGGCCAGTCTTGCAATGCACCGATGGACAATGCTGTAATAACAAGCGGCACACGTGCGGCACAGCCTTCACCATATCGCAGTTCACGATAGGAGGAAAAAAGGATGAAGTGATCGGTTATTATTGTAGTCGTAGTCTAGTTCAGTTCTAGATGGGAGAGAGAGAGGAAAAAAGTATGGGTGCGTGGACACACACATCTTCTTCCGCATCCTCTTCCACATGTGAAATGTGAACCACGACCCACGCAATTCATCCTTCACGCCTACAGACCGCAGACCCAAGATGGACAGACATCGGTGCTGGCGTGATCTGGGACAGAGAAGCAGTGATGAGAGACAGAGGGTCAGAGAGCCAGAGAGCCAGAGATGGGACGCAGCGCTATCCCCATGCTAACAGATTCCCAATTCCCTACGGCTGATGCGACTAATCTCTTCCTGGACTCGATGGTCTACGGCACAGCACAGCGTGTGCCCCATTGCGATTCATCCATTCGACGGCGTGATTGATAGACATCTGGTAGTCCTTTCAGCATTTTAGTGGTAGTCTATTGCAGTAGTCCATACTGCAATTGGTAGAGATATTGCAGCAGCAGTAGTAGGAATGGTGGTGGTGGTGGTGATGGCTCGCCTGTCTTGTCCACACGCGGCGGAGACGGCGGCGGCGGGCGGCGGTCCCTTTCGTATCTATCGCGTCTTCACCTCACTCACCAGCTGCAGTTCCAGTAGTGGACTCCCTCATCACATATTCACTTTGACGATTCAGTAATCATGGTAATAATAGCCTTTTCTATCTCATTCCCTCGCGCTTCTCTCTTTATCTTACCTCTCCAATAATCACCGGCATCGCTAATCCCACCGTCCACCGTCCATCCTTCACCACTACCACCACCAACACCACACGGTCGGCGCTCCACCGTTGCGCTTGCTTTTCGCTCGTTCATCGTCCCTCCCAGCCTTTGTTTCCACCACCACTTCTACTATCACCACTGCCATCTGCTCACTCTCTCTCCTCCTACCTTCCTATCGTTCATCCTTATCGGTGGGAAGTCGAAGACGCGTGGAGAAGCAGCTATCCCGACCTTCGTTGTTCCGTTCATCTCTTCGCCCTCTTCCTCTAATCAACATCAATAATCACGAGCACGTCCGACAAGATCCGCTCCTCTCTCCGCCGACAATCGCATAGCGAACTTCTCACCCTCGCTCCGTCTCTGCAACGCCGGTCAATTGCCAGAGATTCAATTCACCTCGACCACGGCGCCCACGATTCCTTGATTCCTTCTCATTGACGACTGGCGACTGCTTCTCACGCAAGCGGTCTACGAGGCGCGATACGGCCCTATCTCCAACTCTTCACGAAGTCCGTGTCAAACCCTCGATACGGTCGTCAAGGTCTCACTTGATACTGTAACTCCAGCAGGACCTGACAAGTACCATCATTCAACCTGCTTCGACCCTGTCTCACGGCCTCTTTCTCCTCATCCTCCTCCTCGCTATAGACGCAACGAAATACCGCTCAGAAGCGTTCATAGACACCGCTCTACATAATTAATATCTAACTCGATCCCACGTCCGCGGCTGGCCGCTCGACGTTCACAACAAACCACACCCCACCACACGCATTCGTGCACAATATGGAAGATAGGAAGGACATCTTCTCCGACGACAGCCGGTCATCATCAGAGGAGTACACCCGCCGTCCTCGACGAAAAAACCTCGCCATGCCACCTCTACCGCGTTTGCGCGACCTCAATCCTCTACGGCTACTACACGGAAGCCCCGCATACCAGTCATTGCCCTCAAGTGAGAGCCGTGCCGTAAGCCGATCAGTGTCACCCATGAGCTTAAGAACAATGGCCCAAATCTGGGGCGAGAAGACTGGCATAAGCACACCGGGTGAGGCGCCGTCCCCAGACCTATCATTACGGCGGCGGCGATGCGGCCTGCCACGCATGAACTTCTCCAAGGCTGTCATCTTGGCGGTGACGACTGTCGTCCTCATTGCGCTGCTGGTCGGCGGAAGTGTGCATCATCATCTCAAGATCAAGACGGAGGACAATGGACAACCCGCCGCATCAAATTTTCCCTGGGGAAATTTCCGTCGCACAAATGGCTTTTTCAACGGCCTGTCGACCCTCGTGCCGGCTGCGCAACACGTTGCCGACAATTCGAAGGGCGGCCGCAAAGTCCCGGAATTGCCAGCACCTATCATCAACTCTCAGGATGAGATCATGCCCTCGATGGAGGCCGAGGTTTACAACCCTTACCCCGATTACACTTCCGCTGAGTATCTCGCCAAGCACGAACCGGTCCACACATGTTATCTAGATGAAGACGAAAAGATCTCAACTCCCGAAATTTACGCCTACCCCGGTGTCCCGCAAGGGATGAGCGAATCGCTCTTCGGCTCCCACAAAGCTCTCGGCCTTCGTGATGATGTCTGCTTTGACCGATACGGTCGATTGGGCCCTTACGGATACGGCTACAGCTACAATGGTACCGAACTGGAGATCCACAACTTCACCGAGAAAGCGGGAAGCGAGAAGGTTCTCAAGCAGTCCGGATATCTGAACTATTCCCGAATCGACTGGGGAGTGGCGCAAAAGCGTTGCTACGAGAAGAACAAGGCTCGATTCGCAGAGGTGCAGCCGAATGGAAAGCAACGGGTCAAGCGTCACGCGTACATCCTCCGCGCTTGGTCTGGCTATGAGTACACCGAGCATCAGAAGCTCTCGATCCGCGCCATGATCAACGAGCTCAGCTTGAAATCCGGTGGCGAATACGACGTGCATCTCCTTGTCCACATCAAGGACGAGGGAATTCCCATCTGGGCCGACAAGGACATCTACCGCCGCACTCTTGAGGCCAATGTGCCACAAGAGTTCTGGAACATCAGCACACTCTGGTCTGAGCAGCTGATGAGAACCTACTACCCGGAACCGTACCCCGGCAACTTCGACAACCCCGCCAACCTCCCGGTCCACAGCGTCTACCGTAGCGCCCACTTCGCTCTGCAATGGTTCAGCCAGCAGCGCCCCGAATATGACTTCTACTGGAACTGGGAGATGGACCTCCGCTTCACCGGTCATTACTACGAATTCAACAACCGCATCGGTGAGTGGGGCCGCGCACAGCCGCGAAAGGGTCTCTGGGAGCGCAACAGCCGGTTCTACATCCCCTCGCACCACGGCGACTACGCCAACTTCACCGCCCTCGTGGAGGCGGAGATCCCCGTCGTCGATGCGCCCAAGGACATCTTCGAAGTCTTCCGCTCCGGCGCCTCACCGATCTGGGGTCCCGTCCGCGACTTCCTCCGCGACAACAACACCATCCTCGACGCGCCGCCCGAGAACACGCCCCCGCACAGCTACGACGAGGACAAGTACACCTGGGGAGTCGGCGAAGACGCCGACCTTCTCACCTTCGACCCCATCTTCGACCCCACCAAATCCACCTGGGTCTTCCGCGAGGACGTCAGCGGCTGGAACACCAGCCTCCCCGTGCCGCCGCGCCGCGTCTCCATCATCACCGTCTCGCGCCTCTCGCGCGGCCTGCTCAACACCATGCACCAGGAGACCGCCGCGCTGAAGCACGTCATGTTCCCGGAGATGTGGAGCCCGTCCGTCGCCTTCCACTATGGCTACAAAGCCGCCTACGTGCCGCACCCGGTCTACTTCGACCGCGACTGGCCCTCCCACTACGCCAACAAGATCTTCAACCCGGACCCCACCCGCATCGCGGACAACCCTTTCGGTCAGAAGATCGAACACAACTTCCTCGGCGCGACGTTCTATTACCATTCGGGCTTCGCCGGTGCGCTGTGGCGGAGGTGGTTGGGCCAGAGCGAGAATGGGGAGGGCGGCAGAGTCGCGGAGCAGCAGGGCACCGGGCGCATGTGTCTTCGGTCGACGCTGCTGCACCCGGTCAAGCACGAGAATGCGCCTACGGAGGTATGATGATGGGAGAAGGGATCCCCTTCCCTCTCATCATCACGGGAGAGCGAGAGAAAAATTGGGGTTCCGAGCAGCCCTGATCCTCCTCCTCCCCTTCTCATTTCCCATGAAAAGGGCTTCGGCGTTTCTCAGGACGGTTATTTGATTGGGTTTTTCTTCCATCCGAACAGGCGGGTTCGTTTTGGAAAAGGAAAGAAAAATAAAAAGGAGAGCAAGACCTTCTCTCATGTGTTTGGTCACAATCATCTTTTGTCTCTCTCATCTCCTCCCCCTTTTACACACACACACTCTATTGTTGATTAATCGATTTTGTTGTCCTTTGATTTTCACTTTTTCCTTTCACTCTTCTTATTCTGGAGAACAAATGTCTCGCGTCATGATGATCCCCCTCCCCGCTTTTTTTTGGCTCTCGCAGGAAGCTTCTTGTGACTTGGATTACGCTCGTTGGGCATCGGCTACATCGTTTCATCTTTTATCTTTTCGGTTCCCTCTCCCTCCGTTCACTTACTTCTTAGAAATGAAAGAAACTTTACACACCATTTCAACCTCTCCCTCTCTCGCGCGCTCTCTCTTCTCTATGAAACCTTTGAAAACAGTCATCACGGACCGGGCTGCCACACGCGTCATAGAAACTGTCTGTGTAGTGCCGTGGTGGGCAAACGAGACATCCAACTTCAAATCCATTTCTTTCGAGAAAGAAAAAAAGGGAAAGAGGCGAACGTTCACACTACATGTCGATTTGATCTTCCTCGCTGCGATCTCTATCGACATCACCTCCTGCGCTCCCCTGGGTTTTACAGAAGATCAGAGAGAGAGAGAGAGAGAGAGATGGATGATCGAGTGGAACATAAGAAGGAGGGAATCCCAGCCCTCCTATGATCGACCCATAGATATCAATTTGTGATTGTAAACATGATCGTTTGACAAAACATGTCCGTTCCGTCCCGGATGCCGTGCCCTCCCCGTCGTCCTGATAGATGACATAAAAGCCTCCTTCCCACGACCCACGTTGGGGCGATGCAGGAAGAAGAAGAAGAATAGAATTCCCACCCATGAAAAGAAGAAAGCCCGTGACGCCTTGCGAGAGAGACATTGACATGACATAGAGAGATAGGAAGAAAGAGAAAGAAGATCAGAGGGAAGGGGGACGAATCATGTTCGAAAACTTCGATGAGAAGTCCCGCCGGTGCTGTCCACGTATGGAACAAGGAACGTCAAAAAAAAGACGCTCTTGCTTAGTTGCTGTGAGATCGGTGGAAATCAGCCTGTGAGGAGAAGTTAGCGAATGTTCTCCAGGGCACGTATGATCCATCATGTTGAGAAACACGATGGGGAGTTACAAATCAGACCCACCCTCTCCATCGGATCAGTCGAGTCGGCCGTGAAGATAGCCGGACTCGCTAGGCCTGATGTGCCATTGTCCGTGAAGCCTCGATCGTACAATCCGGGCCTGATGGGAAAGGCAGAGGCGGGTGGTGCCAGTCCGCCCTCTGGGTTGCCCGTGACGGAGTCTGCCGACGAGATCAGACCGCTGCGGCCATCGCTCTTGCGCTCAAGTAATGCCCCTCCCAAGGTGGCGCACTTCAGGATCGTCTGGATGAGCTGGTTCGGTTTGAGGGGTTTGGAGAGGTACTCGTCCATCTGCGCTTGGATGCACTTTTCTCGGTCTCCGAGCATGGCGTGGGCCGTCAAGGCGATGATGGGCGTGCGGATGAGCTCATTGGACTTTTCGTACTCGCGGATGTTGGCGGTGGCCTCGAACCCGCCCATGACGGGCATCTGCACGTCCATGAGGACGACGTCGAACTTGCGACGTTTGATCGCCTCGAAGGCTTCGAGACCATTGTTGGCCACAGTCACGTTGTGGTTGTGACGCATGAGAATCTTCACGGCCAGCTTCTGGTTGACGGCGTTGTCTTCTGCGAGCAGAATCTCGAACGTCCTTGATTTGTCTGCAGATGTGGGTGCCGCTCGGCCTTCCATAGCCGGAATGAGGGCATTGGCGAGGTCGACGGGTAAACAAGGCGTCGTCATGTAGCTTGCGATACCATTTTCCAAGGCAGTCTTGAAGCTGACGGAGATCTCGGGCGCGAGCATCACAATTGGTGTGTACTTCGACTGCTCGTGACTCCGCAGTTGCATGGCCGTTTCCGGATTATCCACGATCACGCAATCGCAGGCCATTGACGGGCCAAGCTCGAAAGCTGGATGGCTGCGTTTGTCGATAACATGTGGTACGAGATCGAGCGCCTTGACACATTCCGCGGTTTCGGCCTCCCATGCGGTTCGTCCTTCGTGAATGAACAATACGCTTCGTTTTTGATATTGTCGCAGTTGAGGCATAATCTCGACGAGATCCGGATTTCCAAGGCGCGCCTTGATGGTGAAGTAGAACTCGCTACCGACGCCAAAGTCGGACTCCACCCACATCGTACCGCCCATCAGCGTGACAAGTCGGCGCGAGATGGAAAGACCAAGGCCGGTACCACCAAACTTCCGTGTCATCGAGCCATCAGCCTGCTGAAAAGTGTCGAAGATCAGATCAACTTTGTCCTTCTTGATACCGATACCGGTATCGCAAATGGAGAACTTGACCACAACTTCGCCGTCTGCGCAGGGCACCGATTCATCCGCCGCGATCTTGACGCGCACCTCACCATGTTCGGTGAATTTGATGGCGTTTCCGGCGAGGTTGAGGATGACTTGTCGGAGACGGAAGGAGTCACCGACAAGGTAGTCTGCCACAGAACTGTCGACATCATAGACCAAGTTAATGTCCCTCTCATTTGCGCGGACTGCCAATGATTTCAAGCAGTTGAAAACATTGCTTCGCAGGGAAAATGGAACTTCTTCCAGAATCATCCGATTGGCTTCAATCTTGGAGATATCAAGGATGTCGTCGATAATAGTCAACAGACTGTTGGCAAGGGAGAAGACAATGTTCAGGTTGTCGCGCTGGTTGGCTTCCAACTCAGTGTCCAAGGTCAGCTGAGTCATGCCGATGATACCGTTCATCGGCGTTCGAATCTCATGCGACATGTTTGCAAGGAATTCCGATTTCGTCTTGTTCGCAAATTCTGCTGCTTCTCTGGCTTGGTTGTTCTTCTGGATACTCTCGCGCAGATTAACGACCATTCGGTTGATTCGGTTCTTCAACTCATTCATTTCGCCAGAAGCTTCGACGTTGATCATCTTGGTAAAGTCGCCCTTCATGGCCGCATTGCTAATGTCGGCAAAGGCGCGCACCTGGGACGTCAAGTTCTGAGCCATTGTGTTGACATCACGCGTAATGTCTTTCCAACGACCATCGATATTTTGGTCCTCGGCCTGTCCACCCATCTTTCCGTCGACACCGACATCACGAGCAACACGTTGCACACTCATGGACCAGCCATCGAGTCGCGTCACCATGTCGTTAATGGTGTCTTTAAGTGTTTGAATCTCGCCCTGAGCATGAACTTCGATCTTCTTGCGCAGGTCACCTCGCGCGATTGCTTGTGTGACACTGGAAATGTTGCGAACCTGACTGGTCAAGTTATTGGCCATGGTATTTACGTTGTCCGTCAAGTCCTTCCATTTGCCTTCGACATTGGCGACCTCAGCTTGGCCTCCTAAGGTACCTTCAGTTCCGACTTCCCTTGCCACTTTGCTGACTTCGAAGGCAAAGGTACTCAGGCGATCAACCATTGAATTGATTGTGTTCTTCAGCTCGAGAATTTCGCCTTGAACCTCGACCTCAACCTTCTTGCTCAAATCTCCTTGAGCCACAGCAGTTGTCACTGCAGCGATTTCTCGCACGTGAGTGGTCAAATTCATGGCCATGCCGTTGACGTTTTCAGTCAAGTCTTTCCAAGTGCCTTCGACGCCATGCACAGTAGCCTGGCCTCCGAGACGACCTTCGGTACCGACTTCGCGGGCAATTTTGGTGACCTCGTGAGCGAATTGTCTCAATTGCTGCACCATGGAGTTGATGGTGTCCTTTAGCGTCAAAATTTCGCCCTTGCATTGTGCTCGGACTTGCTGCGTGAGATCACCCTTTGCCACAGCAGTGGTGACTTCTGCGATATCACGCACTTGTGCTGTGAGATTGTTTGCCATGGCGTTCACGTTAACAGTGAGATCGTTCCACATGCCCTGAACGCCCTCGATTTGAGCCTGACCACCAAGAACACCTTCGGTACCGACGTCACGAGCGACTTTCGTCACCTCTGTCGCAAATGTGCGCAATTGGTCCACCATTGCGTTGATTGTCTGTTGTAGCTGCAGGATTTCTCCCTTTGCAGGCCGTTCGATCTTGCGACTGAGATCACCTTGGGCGACTGCGGTTGTGACGTTGGCAATCTCTCTGACCTGGTCGGTCAAATTCTTTGCCATGCTGTTGACTGTGATGGGTTAGCAAATATCCATTCGTGAGGTGTACGAGCCAAGCATACCATTTCCAGTCAGATCAGCCCAGATACCAGCTACACCGGGCACTTTGGCTTGACCACCTAGACGACCTTCCGTACCGACCTCCTTCGCAAGCAGCGTCACCTGACTAGCAAACTCCTGCAATTGATCCACCATTTTGTTGATTGTGTGCTTAAATTTTGCAATCTCAGGATCTTTCTCTTGCTCATGGATCAAAACCTTCTTGCTCAAATCGCCATTTGCCACAGCAGTGATGATTGTCCCAATTTCGCGCAATACTTTCTGGTACGTGTGGTTTATTTGTTTGAACTTCTCAATCTCCCTCTTCAGCTGTTCTATCGAACCCGAGTTTCCTAGGTTGTCCAATGCCGCACGTGTTGCTGTCTCTTGCTGGGATAAGTTGGTGCTGATCTGACCAATGATCTCTTGCTGACTCTCGATCTTCTGCGCTTGCTGATCGATGTGTTCTCTGAGCACATTGAATTGCTCAACCGTGAGCGTTCGGGCACTGGCCTCGCCATCATGCTTCGACAGAAGGCTGTTAACGAGGGATGCTGAGCGGGTTCGCGCGCTCAGGCCCGCAGGTCGCGTGGAGCTCGTTTGTTCGCCAGAAAATGCGGAGGAAAGTGGCTCGTTGGGAGTCACGGGAAGTGAATGCGGACCGGTAGCAGCTTTCGCCTCTAGAAATTGTATGCGCAGAGCTAAGCCGTTCAACTCTCGTTCGAGGGTGCGCTTCTCCACAGTGTCGTCGCCAGGTAGTGTGATTTGGTTATTTTTGATTCCGTTAGCTATCGCAGAGCTCGGGAATGAATCGGCCTCAAGATTGGAGTAGTGTTTCGCAAAATTGGCAAGTATCCTGGCCAGGGCCGCGGAAGTCTCGGGCTGTTGCATTTTGTTGGTAGGGGTCTAGGGGATATACGCGAGTCTATGCCAGCATAGCAAGCGGTTCGTAGGATGTATGGAAGCGTTTCTAGGGAGATTTTTTGTCGCACCCGGGAGAAGCGTAGTCGATGTCGACGGCGCGACCTCGAGCCACTGCTCGTTCGGTCTTCAGATTGCTGTCCAGAGGCACATAGGCGAGGGTCTTCTCAGGCGTTGGGATGTCTGGCCGAGAAGGAGGTCACTGTTGCGCGAAATGAGTGTCTGCGGGGAGATGGGAGGTAAAGGTCGTTTCGGCCAGCAGTTGCGTTGCGACAAGTGGGTCTTGCAAGTGGCGTAGCTGCATAAGATCGTAGATGGATCGATGTCGCAGCTGTTCGGTGTAATCTCGTACAGCTTGAATGTCAACTCAACCACGAGCTATCCCTCACGGCCCAAGTGCGCGCGATTGTGTAGAGAAGTGTGAAAGAAACGATTCTTGAGGACACCGGTTTCGCCGGACAAAGGATAAGATGTACATGTATGTGAGCCCGTGACACGAGCCAGGAGAGACGGGCGAATGCTACAGCACATACACGTCCGCACTAACAGACCGCTGCGCAGACCTGATACCTGGATGGATTAGAGATGGCCGCAGGTACTACGATACGATACGACCCGTACCAAATCTACCACTTGAGCGACCAGCATGATTATTATTATATCCTCGCTGCTCATACAACACCATGCTGATTCTGCCCGTATACATCTGCTTCGGAGCGGGCAATTTTGAAGGCTCTGCTGCAGGCCAAGTAGCATGTAGCGGCAGCAGCTGGAGGCCAACGGTGGACCGCATTTTGAGTTTACCCTTGTCCAAGCAACAGCAGCAGCGGCCCTGAACCCTGGAAAACGCCCAATCCGAAGGCCCGAGTCGGTGTGGTGGGCTGCTCTCTCGAGTGTCTACTGTCCTGTGTGTGTCTCTGTAGTGCGGTACAGTAATATCACCAGCATCCTCAAAGCCTGTCCATGCACCACACCCAAAACATGTTGCTGACGTTCCTGCGAATCACCATCATGAATATCCATGGACCTATGCTGCAATGTACCGCAGTTGATGAATCTCCATGCCCACGGAGAGGCCGCCCGGGTGTCTCATCAGCGAATTACTCCATTATCACCGATGCCATGACGCAGTGCTTCTCGTGGCATGCTTCTCCGTCATCCTGAGCAGGCCGTCGCCCCGCCTCGAGATTTCTATGCCCGCTTGTCACGAGCACAAGATTGTGCATACACCACACGACATGTCATCGCCGAGCAGTGCAGAACCGTCGCAAAGGCTCTCTCGCAGCTGTCTGTCCCTGACAAGAAAATGCTACAGAAAATCATCCACGCCAACCTCCATTTTCAGCGCGCTACATGTACTTATTACGCACCGCAGCAGACGGAAGCCACGCGCGCGCGGCCGCCGTCGTGCACTAAAGAACTCAGGGTTTTATCCTCCTGAATCCACCTGCTGCAAGTCAACCAACCTACAAGTGTAGTGGCATGCAGGTGCGGTTGTGACATCCCGGACAAATCGCGGTACCGCATCGCTTGGATGTTTCTCCCCCATCACACCAGGCGATTTCGGATCGCTGGTACACAGGATGATTCACTATCTCTCATATACCGTAGCGGAGGACAGCGACAGGGCAGTGGCATTCTTTACAATCGAGCAATCGAGTTCCGGTATGCGAGAAGCCCGTAAAGCATGCGCGGAGCAGGACCGTCTTATCCCGGCCACTCATCTCTCGCATCGGAATGTGTAAGGCCACACAGCCGGACGCGCAATGCGCGCAGGTGATCAGGCGCAAAATCGCTCGGGAGAGATAAAGAAACTCACTCAGCCCGTTGCCGAGATTCCAACCCCTCCCCTGAGCAGCGGAATGGCTACGGTCTGCGACAAAGCGACGATCTTTTCGTCCTTTGGTATATTGCGATGGTCGATCTTCTGCCCTTTTGTTCGTAGCGAGGGGTCCGCTGCCCGCGTATCATAATTAAGAGCGCCGTTGGGCTTCTCCGTATGGGCAAACGTGTCCGGCTTGTGTCCGTGGCGCTGACCCGCACGGCCCACTTCGGGCCCGATGTTGGCCCGCAGTGGCATGTTTCAGATTCCTTCACCCTCGTATCCACTTGTTATCGCAGTGCCGATCTCAACTTCAATCGGAATCACATCCAGGGATCTGGGGCATCGCCGACGATTGCATTGCGCTGTCACACAGCAAGAATAGTCACGAGTTCTGGAGACCGCAATGCAAGCGGTATAGTAATCTGAACCACGCTTCTGATCGAGAACCCCAGAAAGAGCCTCGAAAGGGGTCCTCATTGAGATGGTTTGACGGTAGGTGTTGGAAATATGCTCGCGATCCACGAGACAGGAAACCCTCAACGTCAAGGCGATACATGTGCGTGTAGATCGCATATGATACTATCAACACAGCCACAACGGTTTGCGCACGTACATGGTCCAGAACTTGGAGCAGCACGTGAGCAGATCGCAAAGACCATCACATACTTTACAATGACCACACACTAATGTAGATCATGACATTCAGAAAGCTTTGACAGGTTGAGTGTCATCGCGCGCCTGTTGCTCTCGCAGCTGCTTCAGCAAGTCTGGAAACCACCTCTCCGCCACATCAGTATGTGACTTAACGCGATTCATCAACGTCGCCTCGCCGAGATGGTTCCACCGGCCCTTCACAAAGGTGAATTCCACATCGTCCTTTCTGCCGTTCTGACGCTGCAAGATCTCGGCTCGAAGCGCGCGGACATGCTCCGGGACATCCATCGATTCGAACTGCTTCCTCCGGTCAGAACATATCAGGCGCGCACTGTAAAAACTGGAGCCTACCTTTGCATCGTATGAAACTCCTTGGAAGAACGGGATGGAGAAACGGGCGCCTTCTCCAGCTTTGGGCGAGAGTACCCGGTGCGTCGTGCTGGCGCAGACACCGCCAGTGAGAGCTTCAAGGCCCTGACCGATGGCCACGACCAGCGTGCCTCGAATCGGCGGGCAATCGATCCACTCGCCTTGGGTGTTCTGTGCCTGTAATCCTTTGTGCTCACTGGCTTGCAATAGATATGATGTCAGCATGGAATCCTTGTGGGGTCCCACGCCTTGGCCCGCGCCCTCGCCCGAGTCAGGATACTTCACGACTTTAAGTTTGTGCTGTTGGTCCTTGTCGAAGAAGGCGTCGAAGGCGCTTGCGGGCAGGTCCAGGCTCTCCGCGATCAGACTCGTGAAGAAGACGCTGATTTTGCTCATCCTAGCAATGTAGTCTTCAAAGACAGGTCGGAAGGATGGGAGCAATTGTGGATTTGGCCATTGGTTCGGTGCAAGTAGATGGTGATACAGTGGATCCGTATCTAAGCGCTCTGGGTGTGGCGTGCTGAGGTCGAGCTGCTCGCGCCAATCTGCCTTATGTGCTGTGATCTCATTGCCTAACTATAGCATTGATATGAGATGCTGGTCGACAGGAGTTGAGGCATGGAGGCTGACGTACCCTTGAATAACCCAGGAAGCTCGCCCGGTTCTTCATCTCAATGGCGAGCTTCTCCTCCTCGGGCAGGTCAAAGAATCGAATGCCTTCCTCGCATACTCGGTCGTACGTTTCCTGGTCGATGCCCGCATTTTTGAGGTACAAAAAGCCCACATTGAGCAAGGTCTCTCGTAATTGACGTAGAAAGTCCGGCTTGGTGTCTGGGGATCTTGCCAACGCCAGGTCTAAGATTGGGATCTCCTTGAATGCGGCCATACCGCAACAAAGCTTGTGGATGCTCGAATTGATGATAAGCACTGGAAAAGGCGGCCTCTGCACCCTAACAAGACGCTTGTGGGATTTTCAGTCGGTAAGATGTGTATATCACTAGTAGATTGTACACAAAAGGCATGAGTCGCAGACACAGTGCAAGCAACAACTAATCTTACTCCAATACCTAGGTATCTATATGCTTGACGCAATCATTACTTTAGATTTCCAGGGCTCTCGTTGATGTGGACTGGAAGACTCCACTACTCGTTCGAGGTGCGCGGGGTAGACCGATGTTGTCAGAATGAAGTACAATCACGTGCGTGCCTAGAAGGCATGGTGATACCAATAAACAGTCCACTGGGCAGCCTACAATACTCGAAGTATTTGCAGGACTGTCAGGTACAGGTTATAGAATTGAAGTGATCAAAAAGCGATTTGTACTGGACAGAAAATAGATATGATGATCTTCGGGTGACGGGAGGTGGCACGGACTATCAACTCGACAGTATTTCAAACAATATCATTCACTGCCATGCCCAGATACTCCAAACACATGTGACTTGGGCCAGGCCATCTTCGTTTCCAACGGACTGTGCAATTCCCCAGTCATCATAGCCCGAGTCCTCGCCTTCAGCAATGATGAGCAGTCCAGCTGCGCCCATTCGGGCTCGAAAGTCCTGAACTTCTGCATCGAACCCTTCCCGTTGCGGAACCGTGATGACAGCACGAGCTCGTACATCATGGCTCAAATGATGTTTGATTGTCTGTGTCAACAGAGCGGGCTGTTCTGACGTATACACAGTGTCCGCTGCTAGTATAAGCAGAAAGCCGCTGCTGACATCTATTTCTTCTGTGCTCAAAGAATTTGGCTCGGTCCAATCTAGCACAGCTGCGTGAGCGTTGATTCCACTGGCGTCGAGCATTCCTTTATTGCTTTTAATGTTGCGCTCTAGATTAGGTATGATTTCGGGGAGATCAGTGAGCAGCACTCTACGTCGCAAAATTGCTGCAGCTGCAAGACCAACCAATCCTGTTCCGGCACCAAGCTCCAAAACAACGGAGTCTGTTGGCAATTGAGGCAGCATGTCTTTCAGGATGACTAATCGACGCGCAAGTAGATGCGATGACGCCCAGGTCTTGAATCCCACGTTATCTGCAGTGAAGGCAGGTTCATGCAGCACAATGTTTAATGCGCAGCTGGCTTCAGCCGAGGCTGGATTGAAAGTCGCGGCCACTGCGGCGCCATGAGCTTCCGGAACATTTGTTGGTATCGAAAAACTTCTGGTGATCGAGCCCAGCGCTGTTCTCCCACTCCGTTCACTCAAGCATTTAGCCGCGCTCTCCCATACCAGCTCCCTTATGGCATCGTCTTCGATCCAGTCCAGCGAGCTCGAAATTATCTTTGTCAGGTAACTGGGAAGGCCTTGACTTCGAACTTTGATTTTCCCATTGGGAAGCGCTGGATGTTCGGCATCAGAGCCATCACCTTTTGGCTGCCATGATGCAGGTCCTGACTTCAAATTGTCAAGCGTCAAAAGTAGAGCTTCTCCGGAAGGTTTGGTGTATAGTTGCGGCAAATCAAGCACTATGGCACCTTGTCATTATGCAATGCACACGGGGAACGAGTTATTGATTTACCGTCCAAAATGTTGTCATTGTCAGACGAAGCATGTTTGTCGTGCATCGAGGCGGGTCCGAACATCGATCAGCTCTTCTTGGATTATGCTAGGTAGCACAGTATTTTCTGATGCATGTGTACCTCGATGTTGTAGCTTAAGGCGCACGGGCCACACATTCAACCAACGTATCTCCGACTATCTCCGCAGTGGGTTTTCTGAGCCATGATGATCCGAATAGTCGGCAGAGAGCGAGCAGGAAAACGAAAATCGCTTCATTGAGGTTTCAGTCAAGTGTTGCTTTGAAGCCCTCGTATGCGGCGTTGAGGTCGAACTGAAGTTCGCGTGCTTGCTCAGCAGTCAATTCTTCGGCCGCGCGCATTTGGTTAAGGGTGATCAGCCACTGCACAATCTTGCCCTTATTCTCGAAGTCACGTCCCGTGACCTTGTTCACAGACTGTATCGTGTCGACCAAGATAGGATGCAATGTGTCCTTCGAGAGAATGTTCATCCGCACGGCGTCGAACAGCGTTATGAAATTTTCGGAAGCTGATACGATTGCGCTCGCATTCGCGGCGCCAGCTCCAGCAGACGACAATTGACCATCTCCATGAGACGGACCACGACCTGCTTCGACCGTCGCTGGAAGACCGATCCTCAGCCGATCAGTAGCTTTGGGTGCTTCTAGCTATCGGCAAATTTCAGCATCCCTTTTTCAACGTAAGATTTAGCATCCAACTTACATTCCACTCTGCCTTGAACCTTTCGAGATCGCCGAAGGCAATAGACACGCTTTCATCGGCAAGATTGCTCTTGTACTGGCGTAGGAGACGGTCACAGGTCTCAGTGTATTCGGATTCCTTGATGCTGTCACGTAGGTACGCTCTCTCTAGAGCATCGAGAGTGACGATTATGCTGTAGATCTCTGCGAGTGATTCATACAAGTCTCGCTCCGCTGCACTGTCGGCGAGTTTGACCTCCTTTATACCGGTATCAGCGACAAGGCTCCCGTCAGATGTGCCGGTATGCGCTGGCTCACTGCATCGAGATTTATACTTGCTGCAAGATTGCTTGAGGGAGTGTAGCTGTACGGAGTCGGCGCGTACGCCAATTGCGGTTGCGACGTAAACATCCTTGCTATATTCAGATACAGAGCAGATAGCGCAAAGTGAATCAGTTTCGAAGCCAACAGGTCATTATGGCAGCTCGTGTGCCGCATAAGCATGCGGCTCGGAGAGCTTTGGGGTCGGTCCGGCTAAAATTCGGCTTAAAAGTCCGAAATTTTGGGCAGGTACATTTTCAAGAATTGTCAATCCTTTGAAATTTATTAATTAAATCAAGCACGAAAGTTTTGCGCCCAATCGCAGCAATGGCGCAAAGCAAAGCGACGAAAAAGTTCGAGCAGCGTCATCTCAAGGATACCTTGGAACGTCGAAAAGGTTTCAAACAGACGAAGCAAAAGTTGCAATTGAAGGCCAAGAAGAAAGCCCGACGCGCGGAAGAAAATGGCCGAGATGTCAATGCCGACGAAGATGACAAGGCGAGTGCTAAAGGCAAGCAAGAACAGGAGAAGCGCGCCTTCAATGACATGAGCGTCGATGACTTCTTCCAAGGTGGATTTGAGGTTCCCGAATTGCCTAAAAAGAAAGGCAGCAAAAGGAAACGGCATGCGGAAAACGACGAGGACTCGGAGTCTGACTCCGGTGATGTTCCTTCGCATGAGGCGCAGGGAGCTGACGATGAATCGGACTCCAATTCCGAAGGCGATCTTGAGGAGTTCAAGGAGCAATTGAACGCGCTGGCTGAGAAAGACCCCGAGTTCCACAAAATGCTCCAACAGGATGAGCCAGAGGTCTTTGACGATCTAGACGGTCTGCAACTCAGCGACGATGAGCCGGAACCAAAGCGCAAGAGGCAGAAACAGGATGACAGCGACGAGGATGAGGATATGGACGACGGGCCTGGCGACAAAAACGAGCTTGGAATGGCTACATTACAGAAGTGGCGGACTTTGATGAGTGAGCAGCACTCCATGCGTGCAGCGAAAGAGGTGGTGATCGCATTCCGCTCTGCTGCTCAAGTTTCTACGTCCGACGCAGAGGACAAACCATTCAAATACTCTGTGTCTGACCCGGAGGTCTATCACCAGCTGCTTCTCACAGCTCTCAAACAAGTTCCAAAGATCTTCGAGCATCATCTTCCAGTACAGGAGACCAAGACCGGCAAAGTGCATGTGCCGACAGATTCAAAGAAATTCAAGACGCTGGCGCCGCTGCTTCGCACTCAGATTTCCGGACTGCTGCGATTATTAGAGAACCTTTCCGACGCCTCGACTCTTCGACTTACACTCTCATCTCTACTCCCCTTACTTCCTTACCTGCTGTCTTTCAAAAAGCTAGTCCGTGATGTCGCGAAAGCTGTCACCGAAGTATGGGCCACTGGATCCAATACTGAGGCCACCCGAATTGCTGCATTCCTTGTGATGCGCCGCCTGGTCGTGATCGGTGATGCTGGTATTCGAGAGAATGTTTTGAAAGCGACGTACCAAGCACTAGTCAAGAGCAGCCGCAATACAACAGTCCACACGATATCCGGTGTCAACCTGATGAAGAATTCTGCCGCTGAGCTTTGGGGACTTGCAGGTGGTGAAGGCGGTGTTGCTTACACAACTGCCTTTGCATTCATACGCAGTCTTGCCATGCATCTCCGGAACAGCATCACCAATAATTCGAACGAGAGCTATAAGACAGTCTACAACTGGCAATTTGTGCACAGCTTAGACTTCTGGAGTCGTGTCCTCGCTTTACATGGCGCCGAGCCGGACACTCCGCTCAGACCTTTGATCTATCCTCTTGTCCAAGTTACACTTGGCGCACTGAGGTTGATTCCGACGGCGACATATTTTCCACTACGCTTCCAGCTCACACGCTCGCTACTGCGAGTCAGTCTCTCAACAAGCACATACATACCTCTCGCGGCGCCATTATACGAAGTTCTAGCAAGTGCGGAGATGAAGAAAGCTCCGAAGCCAAGTACCTTGAAGCCACTCGATTTCAGTACGACCATTCGTACGCCCAAATCATATCTGCGCACCCGAACATATCAAGATGGTGTGGCTGAACAAGTGCAGGAGCTGCTCTCTGAATTCTTCGTGCTGTGGGCCAAGAATATCGCTTTCCCGGAGCTTGCTCTGCCAGTTGTGATTATCCTTCGGCGTTGGCTCAAGGACGCTAACCGTCGCGGCACCATTAAAGGCGGCAACAAGAACCAGAAAGTGAATACTGCGATCCAGCTGCTGGTTCAAAAAGTCGAGGCCAACTCAACATGGATCGAGGAGAGGCGTGCGAAGGTCGAGTTCGCTCCCAAAAATCGACGCGGTGTGGAAAACTTCCTGAACGATGTCTCGTGGGAGAAAACGCCGCTTGGTGCGTATGTTGTCGGGCAGCGGAAAACTCGAGCGGAGAAGGCGAAGGTTTTAGACGACAGTCGCAAGGAGGAAGATCGACGACGCAACAAGGCCCAGAACGAGAAGAGCAGAACTGAGGTCTTCGATGATCAGGATGAAGAGGACGAGGATGACGAGGATGAAGATGACGAAGACGTTGAGGACGAGGATGAGGAGGATGAAGATGAAGACTAAATCCGGTTGGAAATACTTCTTGCTTACCTCTCTTCACTTGCAAAATTGTACGACTATGCCTCGTAACCCGGTCATCCCTCTGGGGCAGCCAAGGAGGCAATTTTCGATAGAACAGCAGAGCCGAGAATTGAATAAAGAATTAATTCATCAAAGGATTTGTTGTACAATTCCAAAGTAATGACAATTAGCCTCATAGCCTCATGAATGCTTTGATGCAAAAAGATAGACAATTCAAACGCCCGCCTAAACTCCAATATGTCTAAAGACACAATGCCAAACAAATATCTCGTCATAAAGCGTAAAGGTCAACAGTGTCATTGTTTTAGCGAGCAATCTCAACGCCAGGCTGCCTTGCTCGCATTGCTGAGTCGGCTGGCGCTGCCAGGCACGACACTGCTGACGCGCATATGCGACGGTCGAACACCGCCCATACTCTCCCGCGGCGCGCCGCTCCCAGTCTCGATCATGCTGCGACGGACAGCAGTAGGGCCGGAGCCTTTGACGATCGGTTGCGTCCTGGGGCTGAGAACGCTGCGCATGGCATCATCGCGTTCGGACCGCACCATTCGTCGAGCGTGAGAGGCCGAGAAAATGCCGTGGGCATCTGGCGGTGGCGATGCTCCTCCCGTGGAAGAAGCGGTGGGACTACGGCGGCGATGGGCGCTCTCGCGGTGGCGAAGGGAGCTGTTGCTGCCGAGGGATGATGATCGCCGCTGGCGCATCGCTGAGCTGATTTCGATGGCGGCCATCTTGTCGATGAGGGAGTTGTCATGCGCGGAATTTTCAGCATCGGATTCTGTGTGCTTGGAGGCCAGGTTTTGGACGCTGAGACGGCTTGCGGTGCGAGGTGCGCGGTTGGCTTCCATCTCACGTAGCGGGCTGGAATCGTCGTCGCTGGAAAGCACTCCGGATTGGCGAAGAGGAGGAGAGCCGTTAGCTCTCTTCGTCAGGAACCCGGTAGCAAAGCGACTTGCCCCTGACTTGCGGAGTTCATTTGTTGCGACTGGTATCGCCGGCAATGGGCTAGAAGCTAATTCGCTATCACCATCGAGATTCAAAGACGCTTTCGGAATCTCCAGTGTAGCGCTGTTCTCTTCGCTCGATGGTGCTGGAGGCGTGCTGTCCGGGATTTTCGGTGTCGCTTGGAACTCGACCAGGGCACCATCGTCTGTGTCTTCATCCCTCCAACGTACTACGCGCTTCTTGGATGGAGATTTGCGTTTAGGAGTTCCTGGCCCGGCGAATGCTGCTCCTTTCCTGGCCATGCCGCCGTGCTTGACACGTCTGCGAGGACTTGCTGCAGCCCCACGGTAAGGACTCATAGTGGGTGCAGGTGAGGGTTGCATTTCTGCCGCGATATGTGATGGGAGCGCTGAGACCGCCGAGCCTGTCGCCGCTGTCTGGATCTTTGATTTGAGCGGGCTTGGGCCTGCGAGCGGGATCTGCCTTCGCTTTCTGGGAGTGCCATGTCGAGAAGGTGCTACAGGTTCCGTGATTTGTAAACCACCATCAGGCTTCACAACTTGGCCCGTAGCATCAGTGCATGCTTGTTGCACTTTTCCGAGCAGTTCCTTTGCCGCACTGATAGCATCTTCCTCAGTCATCTGTAGAATTTGATTCAGGATGGCAATGGTCTCGAAATGAGCGGTCAGCATGACTCGCATCAAGCCGGCCTCGGCATTCTTCTCCTGCTCGAGTATGGTCATGTGGATTTCCATGTCAGCACGACTCTTGAGAAGTTCAACTTCTTGCCGTAAGCTATTCTCCTCGGGGCTCTCCGGAATAGCGCCTTCCAGACCTTGTAACAGACGCAAGCTATCTGACAATGCAGTGTCGATTGCGCGTGTCCAGTTGTTCCTGGCAATTCGTTGGTGGTAGTGTTGTCGACTTCCTTCGAGCTCAATAAGGATTCCAGACGCGATCTTTCGTATTGCGCTCAGAGCGGCGGGCGGCTCCTCGTCTTCCCGTGTCTCGCAGACCTCATCAAAGGCACCGATCCATCCACTGATGGCACCAATGCGACGCTCAATCTGTCTCAGTCGCTGAGCATTGTTGAGGCGCTCTTTTCGCTCGTCGCTGGAGTTGTCGTATGCTGCTCGGATCCGTAGAACTCCATCGTGTGTGATGTCAATTCGTTTCGACTCCGCCTTGCGGAACTTGACGAAAGCCAGCTCTTCATACTGTGCTTGTTGTGCGGTCAGCTCGTTGATGCGCGCCATTTGCTCATCGATCTTCTTGAGGTAGTCCTTGACGTGGCGATCGACATTGTACACGTTCCGTACGCTCTTGGTCTGGATATTTTTGGCGCGATTGGCGTAGCGAAGGGTATTTTGTGTTTCGTCGAAATGCTGACTGCTCGGCGAGACACAAACAATCATCACCGTCCGACAGTTGCCGCCCAAGCTGAACTTGAGAAGACGAGTGAGCTTCGAATTGCGGTATGGCACGTGGTTCTTCTTTCGTGGATCGCAGAGCGCGTTGATGCAAGAGCCTAGGGCCAGCAACGATTTGTTGATATTGGCGCCTTCAAGCAAACGCTCGCCTCGATTTTTGGTGACTGAAGCTCGCTCAGAGCCAGCGAGATCGATTATGGATAAAGTGGCCATGGTCACAGGCTCGTGAACAGCTGCGTCTCTGTCCTTTAGTGACACGTTCACCTGCAGAACGGCGTGTGATCGAGAAGATGTCGCGTTTGCTTCTGTGGGTGACTGAGTGCGAGCAGAATTGCCGCGGATGACCATATCCATAACCTCTTCGACACTCTGGGGCTTGTGTGATGAAAGACCCGCTACTGAACAAGCTTGGTTGGAATCTTCTCGCAGCATCAAGCCTTGTTTGCCTCCTGCGCCCACATTGAGCAGGTCCCGAATCGTTTCGTTGTAGATCTCCAGATATGACAGCGTGATCTCGCTCTCTTTGGTCTCCTGTAACTCACCAACCTTCTCGAATAACTCCTGCATGGTCATAAAGATGATGCCTGGTTGTTGTGCCGTGCCTGTAATTGTGTGGGTTTTGCCGCAGCCAGTCGCACCGTAGGCGAATACAGTGGCATTGTAGCCATCAAGAACCGAGTCCAGGAGTGTCCTTGTCGTTGCTTCGTAGACGTCGCCTTGGGTGGTGTTCTCGTCGAATACTCGGTCGAATCCAAATGTCTGGTCTTTGACGCGTTTGCCTTGCGGCATATGTGATCTCGTAAAGCGCTGAACGCTGCTCTCTTCAGGCGGGTCGAATATTCTGCTCAACGTGCTTAGTCTCTGTCATGAAGGATTTCTCCCTGCCGCTACTTACAAGCATTTCTCGTCAACTACCTTGATCACACTTCTGATGCCCTTGGACCCAAGTTTGGGTGTGGGCACTGCGGCGAGGGAGCCATCCCCCAAGAACAACGGACCTTCGTCGGATCTTGAGAGCTGGGCCGCTTCTCTGATTGTGAATGGCCGCACTCGGACTGTGACCTGAATGCTTGACGCGCCATCGATCGGCATGATGGGCTTGCAGCTGTAGTATTTTTGTGTTCTGTCGTCGCTGCTGATCAGGCGTCTATTCTAGACGGAGATGCTGAGGCTCATGCGTACTGTAGAGAGGGCAAGCGGCGTGCTTTGGAGGATAAACGTTTCAATGAGGGTCACTGCGCCTGTTATCGCAACTATGTACATATGTTTGGAAATGTACTCGTGAAACGTCAATTCCATGACAGTGAAAGTGTACCGGCTGTTGATTGTTTCACCTTTGATTACTTAATACAGGTTGCGTAGGCGACCGGAACGGACGGAAACAGCCGCAGCACTCATGTCATTCCCGAGACCCTGACTTTCGTTTCGGGGCTTCTGGCATGCTCAGTCACGTGCTGGGGGAACATTCCGCGATTCAGGTCAAGGTTCTAACACGATCACAATCTCAATAATAACTACCTGCAACATAATAACAAACTGTGCACATGTGACTCACTTCTTCTGTACGGATAGTATGAACGTCGGGTATCAATATTTATGAGGTACAAGCCTGCCGTTGCCATTCATAGAAGGCAGTAAGCTTTCCAATGGGCGATACATGAGCCGCAAACAAACCAGGGTACCGCTGCATGAAGGCTTCGATTTCTCTATGGATGCACTCGGTGACATTCTTGCGCCGTGCTGCGTCGTCATTCGAGCTACCTGTTAATAATAAATCCTGTGTGATCTCAACTTCTCCAATTGCATGTTCGAAAGGACTGATGCGGAGCTGGGCGAGAGACTCTTGCTGCTGGAGCGGCGAGCGGCACTTGTCAATCATGAATTTGATTCTCGATTGTGGAGGCGACGATGCTTTCGACGGCTGTGGTGTCTGTCCCTTGACGCTCTCCTCTATCACCGACCATGTTGAGCGCTCTGTGATAAGGTGGGCGACCGAATGGAGGGATTCAATGTCCGAGATACCCAGAAATCGCATCGCTATCCTAGATACTTCTTCTTTGCCTGTGACTTCTTCAAAACTGGACGTCGTGAAGTCGCCATCGATTCGCAGTTTTGCTTCCCATGCTGCGGTCGATCGCGCTCCTTCAAGCATTGTGCGACAACGAATCCATTTTCCTTGACGAAACAAAGCGTCGTCGGTATCGAAGTAGCGGTCCTCAAAGACTCTGGTGCCTGTGCGTAGAGCCCGCAGAACATTTCCTGAGGGAGCTTCGTTCCATGTGAGATGCCCGTCACAATTGGCTGTTCGGGAGAGGATGGTATTGGTGATGCCAAACTTGCGTTCACACTCCAAAGAGGCGATCCGTTGATCAGCTGCATGTGCAGTATGAAGGTAACGCGTCCTCGTAAGGGCTTTGCGAGTGCTTGGGCGGAATAAAAGCATGGTAGAGATATTTTATTCTCTGTAGATGGTCACAAATCCTTGTCGCTCACGGGTGTATACGTAGAGTGGTCCCTCTCGAGATGATCAATCGATGCATCATGGTCCGGATGCGAACGGCAGTGTTACACGAACCCGGCCCGCTTCGCCAGGTCTGCTGCTGAGAAGGGTGAAGCATCTTTAGTAGTGAAACGCATGAGTGAGACCAGATTGGGTAATCAATTCTGGTGATTGAAGAGCAATAGCAAAGTACATAGATACACGGTCGTGATCGCTGAGAAACCCAATTTTGCTCCATACGACAACCGTCCGGCGACGAAATCCATTCAAACCCGACAAGATCAAGGGAAACCCGCCAAATAACATAAAACCATAGTAAGCATCCTCCTCTATAGAGCGAACTCATCACTCCTCTTCACTTTCTTCGCTTTCCAATGCTGCATCCGGAGCACTAGGCCCCGGAACATCCTCATCGTCATCGTCCTCCATCATTGCCTCGGCGAGCTGGTTAGCAAAGTCATCGTCGTCGTCTGCCGCTGCTGCGGCCGCACTGATGCTCGGCTCCGTCGGTAGCGGAGGGGGTCGACTGCGCGCCGGTGAGGGCAATGCCAGATCTTCAACATCCGCATCCGCTTCAGCTTCATCCAGGACTTCCTCCTGCTCCTGGTCCGCTTCGGGATATTCCACCTCGAGCAGGCCGCCGTCGTCGTTGTCGTCAATCTCCTCGTCGCTACCGCCAAATTCAAATGTGTATTCCTCAATGGTCGCATTCGTGGCGGCGGCGTTATCGGGCGCAACGCGACCGGCGGGACTATTCGCTGCTGATTGCAGACTGATGGGCCCTCCACCGCCATTTCCAAAGGTCCCTGAAAGTGCCAATCCCATTGAGGAGCGTGGCTTCTCGGATGTGGTATCCCCCTCGAGGATAAGCTCGCCGTCGTCATCGTCAGCATCGGCGTCGTTGTCGTCGTCGATCTCATCCTCGCTCTCGACACGTATGTCGGGGATCTTCCGCGCAGGCGCGGCGGCCTTCTTGCTACTGGGAGGTACCACAGATTTCGGCGTTGATGTCGTCGTAGGTGGTTCATACCCAGCTTTGACTCGCTTCGGGTTCGAAGCTTTGTTCGCAGCTGCTGGTGCTGCTTTGCGCTTCTTCGTGGCCGCAACCTTGGGCTCTGCACGTCTCGGAGCAGCTGCAGTGGTCGATCTGTTGGTGATTCTATTTGCCGCAGCCGGTGCTCGGACATCGTGATCACGAGTTGCGTCGGCATTCGAATTCGCAGTCTCAGGTTTATCCAGCTCAAGCTTGAGGAAGTGCCGCCAATCAAATGGGTTTTCCTCGTCCGCAGGCGCATCCGCATCATCATCGCCGAAAAGATCATTACCAGCATCATCGTCTTCGTCGTCGTTCGCAGTCAATTGGGGATACAATTCTGCCAGTTTTCTGGCATTGTGCTCCGAGGGAGTCCGCGTAAGATTGAAATCATGTCTACCATCTAATCGCTCTAGTATCAACTCCCTGCTCTTCCCTGATCCACTTTGTAGCAGGATATATGTGTCCTCAGAGTCTCCACGCGAGCCCAAGTATGTGTATTCCGCGTCGTCTTCCTCAAGTGTCAGCTGACATTGACCGGCCTCATTGCTAGATTGTATCCGAGATCGCGTGTGCTGCTTGGCCTCTGGCTTATGATTGAAGCGGACGGTCCTCCAGTGCGACGGCACTGATCCAGTCTCCAGCACACTGGCTCCGAGCCGAATTGGAAAGCTGCCTTGTAGTCGGAGGTCGATCGGGTCTGCAGCGGCGGCGACAGCGGCTGCCATGGTTTCTGACGCTCCTCGGTCGCGTGCCGTTTGTGCGAAAAGTATTGATAGATCCTCGAATAGATGAAATTACATGTTTACGACCGGGAGAATGTGCGCAAGGGGAATAGGGAGCAGTGGCACAAAGGAAAAAGGTGGATATGGCGGTTACGGAATGGTGGTATTGTATGTGAATGTAATAATAATAGCACCAGGTCGATAGAGAGTGGCATCATCCGTGGACCGAACCAGCGTCAATCCTACCTCCCTCCAGGGCTGGCTTGCTTTCCTCATCCAAAGCCGTGGCTGACGTTCCACGTGGTTCGGCGTAGAGGGGAATGAGGGACGCAACACCTCCAGGGCAGGGCACTCTCCGGAACTTGGCGGCATCCGACGGCGAAGAACCTTGGAATCCTCCTCAGCAATTCGACGCGCCGTGGGCTATACATTTAGCACACTTTCTCCGCCGTCAAGTCAGCTCTACATTCAGGTCTGCCTCATTTCGCACTCGCTTTTATTAGTACATGAGACACCACTGGAATTCACATGGAGTGGTCGTTGCTGGTAGACTGACTGATACATTCATAAAACTTCATTTCTTCGTACATAAATTTAAACCAAATATTATCTCATACTCCATGTTCCGCCCAGTCGCCACTCTTTCAAACCAGAACGAGACATTCATCCAAATACCAAAGTCCTGACCTCAATGCTCTCGCGTCCAGGCCAATCTGACTTGGTCCTGGGATCATTGAAAGCCGAGTGCGGTGTCCGCGCACCTTCTTGGCTATCATAGCACTGCAGCAGAATTCTCTCGTCGTTCGTCATGCCACTCCAGTAATGCCACTGGTGAGCCGGGTCGTATTTCACGCCGGCAGTTTCGCCGGTCCATGTCGGGTAGCGGTGCTCGACACCGACGACATCTCCGGTCGGCACGGTCTGTGAGTCGGCGTATGCCAATGGCGATGCCACGACCGGTCCGTTCAGAGGTCGCCAGACGTTGACCAAGCGCACTCGTCCTTGTAGAAGCTCCTCGGCCTCATCACCCAGGTGCCGGCGGACACGACTACGAGCCGAGTTGGCCGTCTGGTCGACGTGGGCTCGGTTGACGGGTCCTCGTTTGCCATTGGGTCGACGGATGGTGTGGTCGAAGATGAACACGCGCTTGGGAGAGCCGGGGAGGTTTTTGAGAAGGAGCTCCTCGACCTCTGGGTAATAGTTGGAACGGATTGATTCATCATCGGTGAATTCTCGCTCTTTGCTGGGGGCAAGTCCAGTCACAGTGCCGAATCCGTTGCGATCAGTGTTGAAATCGGCCTCACGACCGCGAATGTCGTGAATGGTCACGTCGCGAACAAATTCGCCATAATTGTTTTGGGGAAGTCCTTCCGGCGCTTTCTCAATGTAATTGTAGGGCACTGAACCATCTTCTGGTGGGCTGAAGAAAGACAATGATGTCTCCACGTCGCCGCGAGGTGCTTTGATATCCTTGGCGACGCTGAACATTTGCTGAGTCTTGGTCTCTGTCGTAGTCGACATGGCGAAATGTGTTTGTGAGCCTCAACTGTGAAGTACTGGGTATGCTCTCCTTTCAATTATAGTATGGTGGAGAAATGAGATTGCTTCACGTTGAAGATGATTGTAGTGAGATAGATAGATTTGCACCATGACATTGATCTACACCTCTATATATATTCTTATGAAAGTTCGTTTTGATTTCTAAACAAATCACGACATCCCGCAATACGTCCACCAGCGCATGTTGTCCTGTCTGATTCCTGTCGTATCACAGACGTGGCGAGCTAGGATATGACGATAGCGACTAAGGGAAATAACGTCATCGGGTCACTCGATCGGTTCTGGCGGGCAGCTTACCACACAAAATCGCGAACGACGACGCGCCGGAATACTTAGAGATATTTTCACATCCTGATGACCAAGCCAGCGCATGCAGTAGGTGTAAAGTTCATGAACATTGGCTGGAATTGATCCTTGAAACCGTCTCAGATTCAACGACTTCTCGAGAGCGAGCGTTTTTGATCTCGATGACTACGAATGCGCCACTGTGAAGATTTGAAGCTTCGAATGTCCTCGGACTGTTGTTACAGTAAAGCCGCTATTTCCGGATAGCATCAAAAGCAGTTCGTGCCATGGGCCAGCAGTCTCAAATTCTCGAGCAAGCTCATCTCTTGTCTCTGGGTGCCTTCTGCTTGGCTGCTGGCGATGTCTTCGCTCTTATCGATGATTTAATCTAATGGCATGCACCCAGCTAGTATAGAATGAAGCACAGTATCACATCGCTTCGTGGGCGCTCGTCAGAGGAATCTATTCGATAGGAGTTAGCCATAAAACATGTACGACCGACAGCAGATCGGCTGAGAAATCAAAGAACAGGGTCCCATGATTATCAATCCGCGCCGGGCGGACAATCACCTTCCAAGGTTGTGCTGACAACTTCGTACCTATGTACCTCCACAGGATCTCTCCGACCGCACCTTGTGCCGACAGTGCGTACGTAGGATATGTCAATTTCAATGTCCGTTCGATAGTGTAGTGGTCATTGTAAAGCATGTGCCTTTGCGGCAGGACAAGATATTTGCTCGGCCAGACGGCCAATTCGGTCTAGGTATCCTCGTCAGTTTGCCTGAAAGTGCAACACGCGAGCACGAACGAACACATGCTTCATTCCAGTTTCCACCCAATTGACATTATCAGAGCTAGGGCTAGCTGCATAAACACATAAAAGACATTATTACCGCTGTGCGACCTGGATTTCGAACACATGACGGCTCCATGATGAAGGGTCGAAGACGCTATGCAGTTACCAAAAACAGTGCTGACAGAGCAATTCGCGAAGCTCGTTTCGCCTTCCACAATCATGCATCACGTGTGACGACAAACACGCTGACCTCGACCGCCGCAGTAGTCAGACCAATCCTTTCGGCCTTCCGCGCCATGTCGCTGAGCAGTTGCTGGACCAGGATGTTCTCCGACGGCGGCGTGCCGAGGTGAGGATCGCTGCGTTGGTTGCTTGCGGCTTGTGCGAAGCCCTGCATGGCGCTGCGTAGTTTGCGCTTTTCTTGTTTTGACCACCAATCCGTCAACCAGACATCTAGTGGGACGGTGACCGAGGCAGTTTGAGCATGTTTGCAGACGAATCGACATGATCGATGGCGGAAATTGCGCAGGCTCGTGCTGCTAGCTGTCAGGCGAGCGCAAAGAGCATGCATGGAGGCAGTGAGCTGGTCGTGGGTTGGCAGTAATGCGAGAAGGGCCTTGTCGAGGTTCTCGAGAGGTTCGCCAACATTCATCGGCACATTGTATCGAGTTGCGAGGGCGCGCAATGTGGGAGCTTTGATTGGTTCCAGATGGTCGGCATAAAAGCTCCGGGCGCCGGCCTTGTTGGGATATATGAAAAGCAGAGTACCATTATTAGGGGAGAGCTCGACAAGGCGATCGACCAGAATTGAAGGGCCGTCTGGGTTGAACATCTCTGAGAACTCATTCACATTTGTAGGCGGGATATATCGCTCAACGATAGCGACATGCATAGATGACGGAGAGGCAACTGCTCGATTCGGCGACGGCATCTGTACGGACAGATCGGTCTGGTAGTCGAGGATGGTGACTGCGGTGTCAAAAGCTTTCTTGGTAAAGTAATCATCTCCGCCGACCGCTGGGCCTGGAGTGGCTGGAGGTGAAGTAGGTGGTAGCTTCTGCAGATTGTACTCCCCTGGGATGGCATGCAGCACATTAACCCATTCAGTGCGATCCGAAGGGAGTGCGAGATGAAGGTCATTGATGATCAAGGAGAAGATGTGGCCGTTCGGCGACGGACTTGGCAGAGCATGCGACAAGACCTTCAGTGTTTCGTCGATCGGCGCCGACGCGAGCTGAACCTCTTGTACTGCATGAGAAAGACTGTCAGTCGCCATCTCAAATTCACAACTTAGAGATCGACCTACAAAGCTTTCGGACAGCGGGCTGGATCCATATTGGAGTGTTGTGAAAGAGAGTTGCTTCGTCGGCCTTCGATCCAGTATTCTCGATGTCGTTAACGCCAGCATTGCTTAAAGATCCCGCTATTGGGACAAGGACGCCTTGCTCGTCTCGCTTGTCATCCGTTAGCGCCTCGAGCTGAGAGTGAGGGTTCGTTCCAGGAGAATCAACGGGTGCTGACATGGCCATGACAGGTTTCATGTTGAAGGGCATGTCCCCGATGTCGACGGGTGGAGTGAGAGTGTCGATATCATGACAAATGGAGCTCTGTAGAGCACGTTTGGCGACTGCGGTCACATCTGCATCTGGCAATGCAGGATAAGTCGCATCTCCTGTCAACGCGACTGCCATGTCCGACTGCAGCGGCGATATCTTGTAATGACGGGAATCACTGTTCGCGATGTAATTAAGTTGTCCGTTCAGGCTCATTTGATTCAAGCTAGTGAGCTGATTAGGGTGAGGTGCTGCGATTCCCAACATCTCGAATGATGGCAGTCGCAACCCTGGCCCTGCCCTGGGACTATCTCGTCGAGTTATGCCAGGCAAGTCCTCCAGCGGAGCAGGTACCAGCGTGCCGCCGACGGCCAAGTTCATGTCCGATGAGGTGGCTTGCATGCTCCGTGCTGTACAGGTCGAGATCGGCAATTCGTTCATCCTGTCCAACATGTCACTTCGAACTATATGCTGCGCCTGGGCCAGGCCTCCGTCACTTCGATTGCTTGGATCAAACGGAAGAAGTTCCAACATCACATCTTCGCCGGGACTGGCAGGACCTAAAGTCTCAAATATACCAGGTGAAGGCACCGTGTCGAAAGTCGCAAAGGGCGGGTTCTCCTCGACAGGCCGCGCCTGCGAGTCTCCAGGCATGGGCGCGCTCTCGACCGGTTTCGATGGACGGTTGGATGACGATCGTGTTGCCGGATCGGTGGACAAGTCTTCAGGCAAAAGACAAGATCGGTGGTTCAGTACGATTCGCCACAGACACTCAGATGAGATTGTGACAGGATGGGATGCAATGTGGGTCGACAGAGCTGTCAATACATAAAGTGCGTGGAAGGTCCAGACCGTTCACGTGCAACCCTTGGATAGTCGGTCCCACAATGCTTGAAAATGGAGATAAAGGAAGGAGACAAACCGAATTCCGTGAATCGCAGGCTTTGGTTCTTCGCATGTATGGCAAGGATCACAGAGTCGGACGTGCAGCAAGAGCGTGGAGTAGGAACAGTATGTACGGCTCGCGCGCATCGATCTAGTCACGATAGCTGGTAGTGAATGGATTGTGGAAACCAAGGGTAGACGTGCACTTGGACCGCCGACTGCAACATGCGACAAAGGGCGGGCGCGCGTTTCCAAAAGGCACAAGCAGGATGAGAGAGTTCCCAAGGTCCAATCTAAGCCCCCAAGGTCGTGCGGCATCGTGCACCGTCGTGCATGGTACAGTACACATCCATCCAGCACAACATGGGCATCTTACAAGCACCACCACTGGCACCTCGCTTGTGATGGCAACGTGCGCCCCATATCGCCAAACTTATAAGTTGATATGGCATTTTACATCGACATCACTTCGATCCGAACACACCCGTCAGCCATGGGCCATCACGATGTCGACACGGGTACTGCTAGTTGAAAATGCACATCCTTTCTTCGAGCCGGAAGATTTGGGATGCTCAGATGAACGGACAAACCCCAATGGGCCGACATGCGTCCAGCAGAAAATGAGACGCTTGGAAATTTTCCGTTCGGTCTGGACCCCAGACCTGAATCTTGGATGCGGGCGGCACAGCGGCACACGCTGTCCGTGAACAGGCGTGGACCGGGACACTTGCACCACACATACCATGAACAATCAAGTGGCACTGCTGAAACAAAGTCACGAGCTTAGGAATGGTTTGATACTTTGTGCGCGAACTGCTCTCGCGCTGGGGTGATCACTGTACTGTATAAAACAGGAGGACTAGGGGTGAGACGCCCGCCCACTGTCACGATACCTGACGGTAGTGGTGTTGATTTATATTGAATGTGACATGCAGCGCACTCCTCCAAAATTTAGTGGCCTCTGTGGGCAGGACAAGCTTCACCCGCTATCAAGACGCAAGATGCATCAAGCTGCATACAGCTAGCTAATCGAAACGCTGGAGCAGACAACACAACACCACGCAACACGGGTGTACATTAATAGTCCGGACACACGACTGTTATGCATATGACCTTCGGCCGAATACAAACTTCTGTCGAGATGAAGGCGTATCCTCCTTTGCTGTTCCAGTCGACAGTCCGGTTTATCATGCTTCCTTCGATTCATGACCAATTCCCATCCCATCAATGAATAGACAGGACGTGTTCGAGCCCATCCCCACCGGCTGGAGCTCCTCATGCAGCACCGATGACTTTGTGTGTAGGTTTGTAATTTTTGTGGTGGTGCATCGCGACTGATGGCCACGCCTTGATTATTGATGAGGTGTGCCTAAGTTGGTCTCACAGTCCGTCGGAAGCTTAATGGATGTGAGCCCTGGTAGTCTGCGGGCTCCGATAATGACACGAACCCTCACAATCGACCATGGTGGATTCACCTCACCACGGACGCCGCTCAGAGCCCTATCAGCTATGATTCTTAGCCTGAAGCAGTGTGTTACGCATTGCGCACATCGTTTAGAACGAGTGAAGGAAAACGAGCTCTCAAGCAATGATAACAATAGATATACGCTCACGGTGACATGCAGACTCATCGGCCCACGAATGCATCGCCGCTACAGACGAGACGCTAGGGCTGTTCCTGGCTGTCTCAGGCGATCAGGCGGCCACTTTTTGAAAGGCATGACTAGCGGCACCTGTGAACTGTTGGCCTTCGATATCGCGTTCCGTGTGCGGACGGTGAATCCTTCCAACTCACTCATCAATGTCTTCGGGAGGCTTGCATGTTCCAGGGTGAAACGTGAGATTGGGCTGCCCACATTTTACCTTGTTGTGGTCCTCCACGCGCACGCTTCGAGGTCATACATCAAGGGAGCGAATACAGTCGGGACTGTTCATTTGCTGGTTGGTTAACCTCCTGGCAGTGCTATCGCACGTTGAAGTAACCGGCCGAGCAGATGCATCTGTGCACAAGGCACGTCGTGTCGAGGAAGCTGGAGTCAGAAACTCCTCACTAATAGCTCGGCGGCTTGGCTTCTGTCTAACGTATTGCTCTCTAGGCGATGCATGAAGCCGAACACGATGCACGTCTTACTCGCGCAAACTTTATGTATACAAGGAGTAGCACTCGGTTCGAGTCGACCACTCGACGACCAGCAACGAGGTCTGGTGGAGAAAGCCCTCGTCTGAACATCCACACTCGAACGCATTCATTGGACACTAGCTTGCCTTCGTGCCTCCGTCAACAGCACTCGCATTGCATTCATGCACCTTGTACGGTGGTAGCGACTGGGCATGTACGGACATTGTAGACGAGCTCTTATAACCATCGGCTGCGCAAGGACACCCAGGTGCAGCTGTCATAGAGTATCACTTATTATTATACAACGATTATCAAGAATTCCACCTTGGAACGTTTGAACAGGATCCTGGCGTGCACAACTCCACGAGTGCCCAGGTGAGCGGAATTCTAAGGGTTGGGGTTGGGGTTACTCTGATCCACCTCTGTTTCAACCCTAAGGTCGACGGTGACCTCGGGAGTGAATCGTTGCATTCTTTGATACATATCATCCAATACCGACATCAATTCAATATCTGGTCCTGGGGCAATGTAATGTCTCGTGAAACTCTCGCTGTAGGCAACTCCCGAGGGAGAAATACACACTATCTTCAGACAGCCTTCGAATGGGGAACACCAATGTGATGCTCAAATTCAAGCATGCGAGTCCTTGCCCTGTTTTTTCAATCAGCATACGCACATTTCCGGAACATGGACACGGTCGCGTCTTGGAATGAGACGAACCGCCGAGGCCAACGATTGCCAAAGGTAGGTCCGACCCGCCTGCTACAGGCTATACCACCACAAGCAGCATCAACTGCGTGAAGTGGACAATTCAGCCTAATTGACGTAGAGTCAAAATATCCACTCGCATTGTGCTTTTGCAATTTACATGACATTTTAATGCCTCTGGCATCTCTGAGAGCTACCTTGAAGCTCCACTCGCCCGCCGCCAATAGCCGGCGGGGTCAGCATAATCCAATGCTCTCTCGTTCGTCGAGAATGACCATTGGACATGAATGACCGACACTTCTGAAGCCAGGCGTGTTATAGACATCTTCGAACATTATCATCAGAATCATTTTACATCGTTGCAACACCGACCGAAAAAGACTGCATATTGTATAATACTAAAACATTGGACTAACGATGGATCCGCGCAATTCAGAGAAGCCATCCTCCCCGATAGAGCCGCGATACCTGAACTTCAAACATTCACAACCAGGTTCTGGTCTCAACAGATATTCCTCAACATTGACTCGCGAACATGACTTTCCTGCTGCACAGGCAATGCTGTATGCTGCCGGTGTTCCGAATGAAAATGCGCTCAAGAATTTTCCACATGTAGGCATTGCGAGCGTATGGTGGGAAGGAAACCCGTGCAATATGCACCTCCTAGATCTCGGCAAGGAGGTCAAGAAAGCAGTCGAGAAGCAAGACATGTTCGGCTGGCAATACAACACAATCGGCGTGAGCGATGGTATTACCATGGGAGGTGAAGGCATGCGCTTCTCACTGCAGACCAGGGAAATTATAGCAGATTCTGTTGAGACGGTCACGTGTGCACAACATCACGATGCGTGTATCGCAATACCGGGTTGTGACAAGAACATGCCAGGCGTCGTCATGGGCATGGCGAGGCACAACCGCCCTTCGATCATGATATATGGAGGTTCGATTCAGCCAGGCTATTCGAAGGTGCTCCAGAAGCCCATCAACGTCAGCACTACCTTCGAAGTACATGGAGCATTCTTGTTCGACACTCTGCGTAACCCCAACGATCCGAGCCAGACCAAGGAAGAGATTCTGACGGACATCGAGAGGAATGCTTGTCCAGGCCAGGGTGCTTGTGGAGGCATGTATACCGCGAACACGCTTGCCACTGCCATTGAAACATTGGGCTTGTCATTACCGGGCTCGTCATCCACACCGGCATCAAGTCCTGTGAAGATGCGAGAATGCCAGAAGGCTGCCGAGGCGATCAAGGTGTGCATGGAAAAGAACATTCTACCTCGCGATTGCTTGACCAAGGCCTCCTTCGAAAATGCCCTGGTTATGATGATGGCGCTCGGTGGCTCGACCAACGGCGTACTTCACTTGCTTGCAATGGCAGGTACAGCTGAAGTCGATCTTACGCTCGATGACTTCCAGAGGGTCAGCGACAAGGTCCCCTTCATCGCAGATATGGCGCCTAGCGGGAAACATCTTATGGTTGACCTCTACGATGTTGGTGGAGTACCTTCCGTGCAGAAACTGCTCATCGCGGCTGGTCTGCTTGATGGCAGCACTATCACGGTGACCGGAAAGACGCTCGCCGAGAATGTTGAAAGCTGGCCATCTCTTAAACAAGGTCAGGAGATAATCCGAAGCCTCGACAACCCCATCAAAGCCACCGGTCACTTGGAAATTCTCTATGGCAACCTTGCGCCCAACGGAGCTGTTGCCAAAATCACCGGCAAGGAGGGCATGCTCTTCAAGGGCAAAGCCCGCGTGTTCGATAAAGAGCACGAGCTGGATGCGGCATTAAACCGAGGAGAAATTCCTCGTACCGAAAACCTTGTCCTCATCGTCAGATATGAGGGTCCCAAAGGCGGTCCAGGCATGCCAGAGCAACTGCGCGCCTCGGGAGCAATCATGGGAGCAGGCCTGAAGAACGTCGCACTCATCACCGATGGTCGCTACTCCGGCGCCTCGCACGGCTTTATCGTCGGTCACATCTCCCCGGAAGCTGCCGTCGGTGGTCCGATCGCGTTGGTACAGGACGGCGACATGGTCACGATTGATGCTGAGAGTAAACGCATCGATATGGACGTTGACGAGACGGAGATTGCACGGCGCAGAAGTGAATGGAAGGCCCCGAAGCCGACGGTGACGCGTGGTGTGTTGGCGAAGTATGCGCGTCTGGTTGGCGACGCGAGTAAAGGCGCTTTGACGGATGTTTTTGAATTTTGAGATGGGTCTACATTCGCCTCAATTTGAGAATCCGGAATTCATCACTGTACATGACCGCGACCTGCATCAAACATCACTCCGTAATTAAGACTCTGCGTATGTCTGGTTGATATGTGATTTGTCGCTTTCGTTATGCGAATTCCTGCTTGTTTTAAAAGCTTCGCAGCTTCAAGTTTGTGGGGTCAACCCATTCTTGCGTGACACAACTCCAAAAGAACACATGCGGTCTGCCCATAGCGAGCTGCTGGATCTGGTTGGAGTCAATTGTCGCACATGCTAATTGAGCGACATGAGGCTTCTGAACGCAAGAAGTTTCAAGATTGAAGAGTTCCACGGCGATGCTGTGCCAGACTACGCCATTCTCTCGCACACATGGGGCCGCGAGGAGATTTCCTTTGCGGACTACCACAACCCGAGATACACCTCGTTATCATGGAATACTCGTCTCAAAGCTGGATGGCGAAAGATCAAGCATGCTTGCGAGGAAGCTTCGCGGCGAAAATTCGATTATGTTTGGATTGATACATGCTGTATCGACAAGACATCCAGCGCCGAGCTTTCGGAAGCGATCAACAGTATGGCGGGATGGTATCGACGGGCTGGAGTCTGCATTGTCTATCTAGTGGATTACGCGCAAGACGAAGAGTCAGGCGTCGTGTTCGATCGATTCAAGAGGTGTCGTTGGTTCACTCGCGGTTGGGCCTTGCAGGAGCTCATATTCCCGAAATTCGTTGAATTCTACGATAGTGAATGGCAACACATCGGAAACAAGCTCGATCTTATGTCGCAGATCAGAGAGATAACCAAGATTGATCAGCGCGTGCTTGTTGATGCTGCGGTGCTTCCTTCGATCTGTGTTGCACGGAAGATGAGTTGGGCTGCCAACCGACAGACGACCAGGACTGAAGACACAGCATATTGTTTGATGGGCATCTTCGACGTCAATATGCCATTACTGTACGGCGAGGGCCGCAAGGCTTTCCAGAGATTGCAAGAGGAGATCCTTAAGAAGTCCAATGATTTCTCAATACTGCTCTGGCATCCGTCTTTGTCGTCGAACGATCGAGAGGAAATAATCACAGAATACGATCACAACCGGTATACGTCGATTCTTGCCGACTCTCCCGCGTGTTTCTCAGCTGGCAGCAGCCTAGTTGTTTACGAAGATGCCGAAAACTTCGAGCTTACAATGAGCAATGCTGGACTACGAATCGTTGCACCCGTCGTAGACATTGGCTCCAAAAAAAGGAACAGCAGTACGATGTTCGTCGTGCTACCTTGTCACTATGAATATGATTACCGCGGACCCGTTGGGATCGAAGTTCATGCCTCGCCAAAGAATGATACGAGTACGAAGAACTCCCCGAACGGCCCTATAGTGGTGACTCGCACGCGAGACAGAAACCACCGCGACCCTTCAGAGGTGATCCATCACCGCATGGCGAGCAAGTTGACCGAAAAGGCAGAAGTCCGAACTCTGCTACTTACAAGTCGCAAACAAACCAACTCTCCACTGTTTGCCTTCCGAGCTGCAATCTTATTGACCACGTATCCAGCGTTCAATCGGGTGTTCAGACTAACGAGCGCCATGCCAAAAGAGAGTTGGAACTCGGCCATAGGAGTCATGCGAATTCCAACAGACTTCGCTGCTGGCGATAATGACAAGGAGCATACGAGCTGCTTCCATTGGAATTGCGAAGATGGACTGACGAGTTTGGAGCTGTACATCTCGGCCACTATGCGGGAGCGGGCAAATACAGTCCATGGTTTCTTCAGCATTGCGATGGGAAGCGATGTATCTCAATCCGCGATGGAACCGTCCTTTCAAAGTAGCCAGCAGGACGCAGGACACAATAGTGCAGTACAGACTTCGCAAGTCTGCGGGGACAGGACCATAGTCCTCTCGTTCAAGACCGACCAAATCATGGGTGATTTGGTCTGCAGAGTGTACGTGGCATTGAACTCCGAGGTTCCAGAGCATCCCGAAGTGTTCTCGGAGGAGGCATTGCTCCAGACAGCAACGCAACTGGATCGTATTGAAATTGACGGATTCATTCGAAAATGAGTCTCGCGCGCGAACGGGGGTGCACTAATCCCACCTCAACTCTTGACCAGAGTCTCGCGTTGCTCGAACGTGCCACATGTTGGGAAGCACATGATCAGTGCCGGTCCCGGGTAGACATGTGTAATCTGTTCGGCTGTAGAGAGCAAAGATATTGCAACTGCGGATCACGACTCGACCTCCAGGACCCTGCGCGGATTGTGATGCACCACCAGATCACATGGTCGCTGATCACCTTGTCACTGTGCAACAGGAGGATCATTGCAAGTTGTTGCCAAGGACGGATCACACGTGGTCCGAGGTCTCTCAGAAGCTGGTGACGACGGCTACCACGACGATCGCAGTGCGTGCCACGTCGAGGACGATGAATGCATGTCAGATGCAGGTAATGCTGGAGCCCATGACTGCAGTTCAGGGACACGTGCGGCTGATCCTTCAATGAAAACTCGCAGTCATCCAGGAATATGCACTCGTTGACTATTATCATGCGATATGTGGGGATCCTTGTCCGTGACTATTGCCTTGTGACTATAGCAGCTGTCGTCTAAGTTGCAGGAAAGCTAAACCGTTGGTCACAATACAAATGTTCGAAGTGACCGGGCTGCAGCCCAGTACTGGGTTGCGCGAGGTCGATCATGTCAGCGACCTCGATAAGTGGGTCGGAGTAGCATGAACGAACGACACCAAGGACAGTATCATTTCAGCCGCGCCAAGGAGTCTTTCGGTTATGCTATTAGCCAAACGAATTGACGAGTGAACTTAACGAGCGCATATCACGGCTATTGTAGGAGGCCGCACTGTGCCGGAGATTAATCTGGAAACCGAATCCACTCTACATAATCGTGGTAGTGAGAGAACCGGCGTGACTCGTTGAGGATTTTCTTGCTAATGATGAGTAGCGCTGGAGGTGCGATGTTGTGAAGTGGGAAAGTCGGTCAATTTAGTGGGGAAACGGCCGAACCAGATCGACCTCGCACCCCCGTCCGGCATAGGCGCACCCCGAATACCGCAAGGAGCTGTTCGCACATGCACGACAACGATCAAAAGAAAGTGGTTGACAGACCGTGGGCTTATAGTGTCTGTCGGCCGAGGTATGCTTGACCATGCGTACATGATGTAGATAGTTAACTTTAAACACTGCGAAACACTGCATTCCACTTGATCGCAGTCGCACCAGATATCCAACATTCGCCACGCCAGGGCCACCAATTTGGCCGCCTGTCTACGCGCCAGGACACCAACATGAAGGCCAGTTTGGAATGTCTTCATCGTTGGCCTTTTTCTCTGAACTGCTTGTTCACTGGCCTAGATAGGGGACAATCTATTAGGAAGCTATACTCGAGGCCGACAGTAGCATATTGCCAACAGCACTGATTCTCAATCTGGCGAAAATTAACGAGATTCAAAGGCTGTGATGAGAATCATCACGAAGTGGAGCACTGACAAGGGAGTGTGTAGTGGATTCGGCACCTTTGCCCTAGTAAACTCGGGCTTGCCGAGGAAGGATCATCGTTGCCGTTGGGGTTGAGAGATAACCGTTGATACTGTACTGTTTCGTGGTAGATACTGTACACATCAATGGCAGCGCTCGCCGGTACAGTGTATTTTAATTACACGATGGACATCAAGGAATAATGACAAATTCATTCGTGCCGAGGAACGCACGTGTGTCGCCCATCGAAACATCATGACTTCTAGACCCCCATTGGCGTAGATCTCGATGGAGAGGTGAGGTTCCTCTGGCGGCGATCGAGGGAGCGCTCGGGTGAACGAAAATAACCAGCCATCGCCATCATTTGCGGACGATTCAGGTGAATGTCATTACTGTAACATTGGCGAGAACCCCAAGATTCACGAGACACCGACCAATCACCATTTACATGGCATGCGACAACCAACAGCCACGCCAGCGATCAAGCTGTCACAAGCATGCCCGTGGTTGCATGATTGACGGGGAAATGATGATGAATGGATGTGGCCGTTCACACAAGCTTGTTGTCATGCTCGCAATTCGAGGTACTAATTAGGATTCGTGCTCTACGCTAATGAGGACATGGACAGTACATCACAGTAGAGAACTGGATTTAAACTGCTGACGACAGGAATGCAAGTGGAGACGGTACGGCAGCTAACGCTGTTCGGCCGCTTGATGGATATTTTTATGCCAACGGATGCTAATTTGGGCATCATCTGCAGATATGCACAGAAACGCCAGCGCGCACGTGTCACTCACCATGTCCTGGACATTGACATGCATACGTCTCTAGACTCTCGTCACGCCCGTGAGGCTCTCTCTATTGGATGTTTTTCTCAATATCAACCAAGGACATGCCATCTTCAACCGTTGGCTTCGCGGTCTCCCATTCGACGCTCAGCCTTCAGCCTTTTGGTGGCCTGCTTGCGCGCTCACCGAAAGTATAGCATCAGGACATCGTGGACTAGGACCGCACACCCTGTCAGACTGAACGTCATCGTCACGATAAACCGTGCCGCACGGAGCGACACGGACGATGGGAGGGTCCCGGTCCCGCTGTAGTGAGTGTACTGAGACCTCCACCGACATCTGCTTTCCTCGCTGGGTTAGCTGGCTCGTTTAGGTCCATCTTTCCTAAGCCTCCAATCCAAGCCCCCTACGGCGCATATTCTTCACGTCAGTATCCCTTCGGCCTTCGGGTCACGATGGCAATATGAGGAAACGATTGGACATGATGGCTTACCATTGACCATTGACGACACGTATGGAATGATCTGTCTGTCGGGTTGTGTCTTCTGCAGAATACGCATTGAGGCCGCAACGTCCTCATGATCAACTCAGTGAAAGTGGTGGTCTCTCAAGTATTCGCCTGACAAGCATAGTCATTCGTCCCATGGACCAACGACCGCACGTCAGGAGTCCGTATATGTCCAGAAATTTTACAGAATCCGCTGGCTGCATCACTCTTCTCCCATGGTGCCGAAGGGATGAACAAGCACTTCATCTGCGAGTCCATGCGCGTCGGTGTGTGTGAGGAATGTCTCATGGTGGTCAGCGAGGAGAAAAGTGAGCAAAACACGAAGAGGACGTGCGCATTCATTGAAGTTGGTGGATCCAAATGAAGCCGGAATCCTGGGCCAAGCCAATATCGTCCAGGTAAAGGAGCTAATTAGCCATATTTACATCCCAAGATGGACAGTCGGCGGCAAAGCAGGTGAGTCAACCAATGACGACGTCGAACGAAAATGGTGTATAAGTGCCTGTCCTTACCCGTGCCGTCCGGGACGCCGTTACCGAGCGGGCCGTCAATTTCTCTCGGACAACCCGTCAAGATTCCCTCCCCGATCTGTGCCACTGCCTCCCTGCTGAACCCAAAATAAGTCAATCCACTGAATACGCAGCGAAGAACCCACAGCGCAACAGGGAGAAGCGAAGACCAATTCGACTAAGCCTCGCCTTTTCCCGCTGAAAATAATCCCCTCGCACACACACACCCTCGCCATGGGCGGAACGGCCTTACATAGCGGCCTGGCGGGCCGACTGAAGTCAAATGCATTCTGTATGCTCGTAGCTCTCATACATATCCCGCCAGGATATCCACCTCTGTCGATGCAATCATATGCTCAACCTTACAAGCAGACCATTGTGACGAATACAATTTCCTTATTCATTTTCCTTTTTCGATCTCTCGATATCAAAGCTTCATTGTCATTCTCTTGAAAAACGACACCATTTCTATTCAACGACATTCGGCTTGATCATAACGTTTCCAGCGAGTGAAAGAATTGATCCGAAGTGCATGGTCGATCGATGTCCTCGACCCTTTCATCGTACAGAATGTCCTCCGGTAGTCCCATGTACCCGTCTTTGACAGGGTCCGTCGAGCCCGCCATGCTGGACAACGCCCAACAACATCATACCGAGGTGGAGAATTCAACATGGTATCCACCAACATCATGCGTATGTCCTACTCTGAGCACAGTTTCTTCTCATTCAGCGAATTCTCGGAAGCGGCCTGGTCAACGCTCTCGAACGGCGATCAGCGTGATCAGACTTGTCTTGCTAAATGACGGAGCTTCCATATCCGTATTTGCGCACAGCTGCTTCAATCGAGAGTTTCGGGGCTGACAAAATCATTCTCCAGTACGATCTCTCCAGTAATGCGCCTTACCTCACCCCGATTCCGACTTCAACGATCGAAGAGCCACCATATCTTCCCATGGCGCGCTCATCGATCCCCAGTATGAACTACGGGAATTATCATCACATCTCCTACCATCATCAGCAAATGACACCGCAGCCGGAGTCCAGTAGATTCCCGGATGTACAGGACGCACATCGACCTCGAAGTAGCATGTCTGTCCAAGACATGGGCGGCAACAGCCTTGCCTGGACGACTTCGGCCGGCCTCGGAATATCTAGCTATTCGACCGCTGGAGAGGTCACATCACTGCCTGCTGCTGGCTACACGCCGAGCCTGCTCAGCAGTTATCCCGAAACCGCATACTACAGCCCGGCGAGCTCACTTGATATCCGACAGCCGCAACCTCGACGATCATACACCAGCATCGCGCCAAATCCCGACAGCAACACACCTTTCCTAACCAGCGTTCCTTCCAACGCTGGGACTCCCCTCTCCAGCTTGAACAAACGCAAACGACACTCGGACGCTGCCCTGATCGACGATCAACAGCGATACCAGCAATCGGCTCCTGCGGACGTGCCGACCCCCGCCTCCCACCACACGCCCAAGCGCACGAAACGATCATCGTCCGTCGACGGCCTCACCGACGAGGAGCGCTTCCTGGTGGGCCTCAAAGAAGAGGAAGGCCTCCCCTGGCGGGAGATCGTAAAGCGTCACTACACCGACCGGGGCGTCACCATCGCCGCCGCGGCGCTCCAGATGCGTTACAAGCGACTCAAGGAGCGCAGCCGGCGATGGGAGGAGAAGGACCTCGCCGCGCTCCGGAAAGCCCACCAGTACTGGGAGACGGAAAAGTGGCACATCATCAGCGAAAAGGTAAGCTCCTCCCCCCCTTTCATCTCCCCGAGCCGACGATCCTTCCCTCGAAGTCCTCCCCATGCTGATCCGTCCCCCGTTCCCCGTCAGATGCGCGAATCCGGCCCCGAGTTCAACTGGAGCGCGCCCGCCTGCAGCCGTAAATGGTCCGAACTCAGCGCCGCCGCCGCCGCCAACAGCCAGGGTCACAACAACGGCACGCCGGTCTCGCTGCCATCCTATTCGAGCCCGCTACAGTCGGCGGCGCATTTCGCCTACCAGACATGAACCCCCAAAAAGTCCACCTCTCTCTCGACACTCGCTCCTCCCCGTACGGCGTCATGATGACCGCCCAACTTTCGCTCGCTGTGTGCTTTGGCCTCGCCCGTCTTCGCCATCGGGCCGATTTCCTGTCGCTTACGATACCCCATTTGCTGTTTGTTTGTTTGTCTTTCATATCCGTTCGAAAACGGAAAGACGATTTGCAATGGCGCAGACGGAGTTTTGCTTTCCTGGAGTTCTCCTTTTGGGGCGCGACAGTTGGAACTGGTTTTCTACGATTCGATTCTTCCTGTCCTCCGCCCAGAGCGGGACGGGATGCGCACTGGCGTTCCTCGGTGTTTTCTTTTATTTCTCTCTCACAGGGATATTGGGGGGGTTTTTTCCCTTTTGGTCGACATGGATGTACGTTTTATATCTACCACACACGATCGCTACAGGCTGGGACTGGGTTTGGGTTGCTTACTCGCTTTTTTTTCCCGGCTGGGACGGAGAGAGACATAGAGCGCGAGCTCGCGGAGTTTTCGGGGTTTTCTTTTTCGGATTGTACATACCTCTGGGAGGAAAAGGCGTTTTACAGGGCAGGACGGATCGAGGGACCGTTTTCGACTACGCATAGATCAGATCGTTTGCGAAACACACACACACACATCCCGGAAGACTGTCTTTCGTTTGATCCGCTTTTTGCTTTCTTCTTTTTCTTCTTCCCCGTGACCGAGTCGTCCCGGAGGAATCGCAGGGGTTTCTAGCTACATGTTGCGTTCTGATTGCCTGGACCGTCGATCTTCAAGCGCTGAGGGCGATGGCCTCGATCTCGACGGGCACGCCTTTGGGCAGCTCCTTGACCGCCACGCAAGAGCGGGCGGGCTTGGTCGCGCCGAAGTACTTGACGTAGACCGAGTTCATCTCGGCGAAGTGGTCCATCGAGTTCAAGAAGATGGTGACCTGGAGGGAACGAAGTGTTCGAGAGGTGGTGAGCTGAGACGCCCAGTGGATGGGGAGAGGGGAGGGCGCGGCACGTACCTTGACCACGCGCTCGAGCGAGCTGCCGGCCGCCTCGAGGATGTGCTTGAGGTTCTCGCAGCAGGCGGCCGTCTTGTCGGCGATGCTGCCCTCGACGAGGTTGCCCGCTGCGTCACAGGGGATCTGGCCGGAGACCCAAATCTGCGAGCCGGCTTGGATGGCTTGGGACTGTGGGGCGCGATGATGCGTGGTCAGATCAAGGTGGTGTACGCGTCTCGGTCGGTTTCATGTGCCGCTTCTGGGGAGTGACATCGGGGCAGGGCCATGATTGGTGTCTGCCGTCCGCGCTCGGCAGGGAGGACGAGGGGTGACGAGGAGATCACCCTGTTCAAGGCCAGGCCTCCCGGCGCGTCATCCTCGAAGAAGCGCATGCCGAGCGGAGAAGCGAGGAATCGCGTCGATCTCGCAAACTCGCTATCGTGCTCTCATCGCTAGGTCCGGAGGTGACAGCCTGATCGGACTCGCAGTAGCTCCTTGGGGGCCAAAACGAATCTCACCCTGGCGTGTTCTCTTGCGTCTTGGCAACAGCGGAGGATGACATGGAGCGACGAGGACGGAAGGAAGAAAAAGCATAACGCATCCATCATGCGGTTTGGGACTTACGTAGGGAGCGACGGCTAGAAGATTTCAAAGAGACGGTGTGGTCAGCCGGCAGGATCGTGGAGCCGAAGCAACGAGACGGTGGAGGACATTGGGAGGCAAGGACGGCGACAAGGACAGTGACAAGGCAGAATAGATCGCGGTGCTTACGTTGGGTCGCCTTGGGCGTGCTGATCTGCTTGATTTCGGTAGACATGGTGCGTGGAGTGGACGGGTTGGTTCCGATGGACACGGTTGACGATGGCGTGCCTGATCGAAAAGAAACAAGAGATGGCTTGTGTGTTGTTGTTATTGGTGACGGGCTCGAATTGATGATGCTTTTCGTTGCTCTCGTGGTGATGAGACGGCGGGCCTGAAGCGACGAGGACAATGTTTTCTGCAGCATGGAATCCCAAAGTGCAGCAGCAATGTTGCTTGCTCTAATGAATTTTTTAGCCGTGCTAGGCGTGCTTGGTGGACTGTGGTGACGATGCTCGGAGCGTGTCAATGGAGGGGACTTCGCTCCCGCAATTTGCTGCCACCGCCGTGGAACTTCGGAGGTGGGGTTCAGGGCAGATTCGCTCGTTGACGACCTGACCACCCCGGACATCGCCGTCAGCGTCGTGGGCCGACGAGCGCATTGCATGCCCACACCATGTACTACTCCTGTATGTGCATGCATGCAGTCAGCCTCCAGGACAGGTGAGCAGCACCACGCGATTGGACATATAACATCTCGAATAGGCCCAAGAGGTGTCCCGTCGAGAACCGTCGCCTTGTAAGGACCGTGAGATTTCTCACATTGCTCCACTCGGCTGCAGCTATGCTTCATCATGCCGGGTGCGATGTCATTCACGGGGCGGGCCTGATGAGTTCTGATACCGAAGGGCAACGGAGACAGGTTGCATGCCAGATCGGAGTGAACTGTGGTACTGTGGCACTTCGTTTTCCCTTCGATCGGTGGAGAGGCGCCGCCGCCTCTAAGCGCAGGTCCGAAGGTTGGTGATGTTGTGGACCGAGAGCGGATGTGGCCTGAGATGGAGACATGACCAGCAACTATGCACTTCACGACTCGGGATACATGTACCGATACTGCTGGAATACACAGCGAGATCCAATATGACTGATGGACGTCCGTAATACCCTATCCAGCACAGTGACACGAGCATCAGATTTCATGTAGGGCCGAAGGGAAGCTACACGAGGATGGAGAGCAACGAACAACGACAAGACAAGACAAGCACAGACGGTGCGAAGAAGGACAGCGATGGAAAAACAAAGATGAAGACGAGAAAACTTTCCAAATTCAATGACGATAAGAGAAAAAACCAAAAAGGGAGGTGCGCTAAAAAGGTGACATCTTTATTACACTCGAACATTTCTTTTCTCGCTTTCCCCGAGGATTTCTCCAGGAAAAGCAGTAAGAATCCCACTTTCTCTATCCAAAGGAATTTTTTCCGCACGCGCGCGCGCCCTACTCAAATCGGAGAGGGAAGAGAGACAGATCCATAGAAACAGAAACAAGTACACCCTCTGAAGTCATGCCCATACGCTGCTGCGTCGCTTACAGAGCCAGGACGGCGACACCGGCGGCGAAGACCAGGCCGGCGAAGCTGGAGGCCATGGTGGCGGCAGCACCGGTCGCGACGACCGGGTTGGTGGTGCGGGTGGCCGGGGCGGACGAGGTGGTGGTGCGGATGCCGGTCGGGGCGGTGGAGTTGCCGGAGATGGCGGCCTGGGTGACCGGGACGACGGTGGTGGTGCCGGCGGAGGGGGTGGTCAGGCTGGCGGAGGAGGTGGTGGCGGAGGAGGTGGTGGCGGGGGAGGAGGAGGTGGTGGTGGTGGTCTCGCTGTCCTCCTCGTCGTCGTCGCTGGCGGTGGTGGTGGGCTTGGCGGCCTTGGTGGTGGTCGCGTAGGAGTCGATGGAGGTCTTTGTGACGGCGGAGGAGGCGGTGGTGGTGGGACCGGCCTGGGTGGCGGTGGCGCCGCCGGTGGAGCCGCTGTTGTCGCTGTTGGAGATGCCGAACTGCGTGCTGTACTGGTAGGCGCCGGTGGACTCGTCGACGAGGAGGATGCCGTAGCCAGTCTTGCCGGGTGCGAGAGAGGCGCTCGGGGTCCACTGGTATGAGCCGGAGTTGTCAATGTGCTCGGCGATGGCGTACTGGGCGATGGCGTTGCTGGCGGGGCCCTTCAGGAAGACGAGGGTGATGGGGCCGGGAGTGGTGGGCTTCCAGGTGATGGTGTATGGCTTGCCGGCGGGGACGGCCTCCTCGAGGCCAGGAGTGAAGATGTCATTGCCGGAGGGGCTGCCCTTGGTCGCAGGAGCAGTGTAGGCGGCCGCGAAGGCTGCGGTGTAGGCGAGGCCGACGGCGACGAACTTGAACAGCATGTCTGCGTGTAATGGGTTTGTTTGTTGGACGATTGAGGAGGAGAAAGTCTGGAAATGCGCGTGAGGCTTCGGAGTGGTGGTGGTGGTTGGACTTGGATTGTTATAGACGAGATGGAAAAGAATGGATCCGGCCGATGGAAGGAATGTCTCGGTTCGGGTGAAGATATAGGAACAAGTGAATGGCAGAAGACCAGATGTCTTCGAAAATACTTTGAGGCGCAGCGACGGATGAGAAAGGACGGCGGTTGCAGAACTGGACTGAGTTGGAAGAGGAAATAGAGAAGAGAGAGTGTGAGTGTCGAGGGACAGAAGACGGACGGATGGGATTCCCACGCGACTGAACAACGGGCGGCGACGAGAGAGAGGCACAGGCGCAAGCGCAGGCAGGGAGAGTAGTGAGAGAGTGTGTGATCAGTGGAGAGAGAGAGAGAGAGAGCGCGAGGAGGTGGTGGTCGCAGTGGTGGTGGTGGTGGTGTGGGTTGGCTGCTGCCGTAGCGTGAATTGTGCCGCAGCAGCAGCAGCAACAGCAGCAGCAGCAAAGCCAAACAGTTCGGATGTAATGAGTGAGTGAGTGAGTGAGTGAGTGACTGCAGTCCAGTAGGTGAGCACTGTAGCACTGTGGCACTGCGCTGTAGCGTAGCAGCAGTGTGTGTGATGGGTGGTTTGTGCACGATTCGGGACCTGCAGGTGGAAAAAGGTGTACTGTAGTAGTGTAGGCTTAATTTCACGCCTGGGCAGGCATGACATTGCATTGCACTCCCGCCTGAGAGTCGCGTGGGTCTAACTAACAATCCCCTCAGCCCACCAGCCCACCAGCCCAACCAGCCCCGGCCAATTGATGGTCCAACGTGACACCTGCCTGCGGTCGGGGGGTTTGACTGTCGCATACTGCTCATCATCATACAACACAACCGTATTAATAGATTCAGGTACATCTCCTAGCACCGACACTACACTATACCACACTACACTACACTACACTACTGTACTGTACTGTACTGTACCCGCAGAGGCCGCTCAGTCGCCGCCGGTCTCGCGCGCTTCATCAGACGCGTCCGGCTCAGGGACGGGACGATCGGTTTCGTCTCGCCTCGTTACGTTTCGTCTCGTTTCGTTCTCCGTTTCGAACGATTGATGGATGTGGAGGTCAGTTTCGAACACGTCTAGCTAGATATATGAACAACTATAACGTCCTTCCTGCCTGCGTCGAGACAGAGAGGGGAAATGTGGAAGGCAGGGATGTGACCAGATGGAGAAACAATGCCGTGCAGTCAGTCATCAGTCATCACTGTCGGTGTGATCCTGTCTGTAGCACCCACCCAGAACATCATTACCCGTGACGGCTGGGTGCGCGGTGCCTGTCACGGCGGTTGGCAGAACAGACAGACAGACACCAACCACACACACAAAATGCCCCGACACATTGTACGGCACGCCATGCGACATCCCGCAGCATGTTCTTTAGTCAGTAATAATTACATGGATGTGACCATGCGGACAACACCGAGAAGAGAGAGGGAAAGAAAAAAAGGGCTGCCTCCCAAGCTTCAAATCTCCGTCCATTCACCATTCACCGATGTTTCCAGAGAATGGCACAGTTTCTGTGGGTGAGGTGGTGTGTGTGTGTGTGTGTGTGTGTGTCACGACTTACGGGGGGAACTGGTTTAGGAGAAGTGGGATTGGATCGCGCACGCCATGCAGGAAGTCCAAATCTCGGCTCAGCCCGCCACTGATCTAGCCACCACCTACACTTCACACACCCTCTCGCGCACCCTCTCTCCCATCCATCCACCCGCATCTCTGCGCACTTGAGGTTTGATTTTACAGCGGGAAATGGAATTAGAAATCGGACCTACCGCGCCGCACGCCATCTTTCACCGGCGTCACTCGCCCATCCATCCCTGGCCGTGCGGTGCGGTGCGGTGCGGGTGCAGTTTATTATTAAACGTGTCGATGCGGATTCCACGGCTTCACGGAGGCGCCTGACTGATCGCGAAATGCGACGTCATCCTGTACATATCGATCTTTTCCGATCCATTATGAGACCTAGTAGTAACGCAGAGGCGGAAGTGCGAGGGGGGGAATTCTCTCTCCTGCGGTATGTATGAGAGACTGTTGATGAAATAGATAATGATCAATCACACCAGCACAGCATCTGGGCTCCGAGCGATCGATGATAAGCGCTAGGCTCCATCCGGGCCCTCCTCGCCATCCCGCCCTGTCCTGCGGACCTATCTATTAGGATATATACCATATGTCGTTCGGTGTTATATCGGGGCGCGTCACAGGTGGGTTGGGTAAGGGTGAACGAAGCATTGCTCTTGTGCTCAAGTTTATAATTAAGAAGGAAAAAAAACCCCTACTAATGTACTGCTGTCCGCGCCCATGCAAATGCAAATGCAGCACCGCCCAAGAAAGAGAGAAAGAAGACGCCTCACTATATCCACGCCGCACGTAGTGGTATGGTATGGTATGGTATGGTATGGCATACGCCGTAGCCGTGCTTCGGAAGGGCGAAATGTCGATTTGGAAAACGAAGGAGATGCTGGCACCAATCATTCACTCCCTCACTCACTCACTCACTCACACCGACAGACAGATAGACAGAAGCATTTCGATGACGACGAAGATATTCCTGGAGCGGAGTCACAGTACATCGCTTTCGCTTCCGATGCTCGCCTACGAAGAGAGAGAAGATAATAATCGTGGCCGCTGGAAGTTGCGCAGATATGGTATACATCCGAGTTATTGAACAAAACTTCGACCTGGGAGATCGCGATATGTGAGGACAAGGAAAAAATTTAATCCTCTCCGTTTCTAAATGTCACATGGGGGTTTTTCTCTATTCTCCCTTCGCACCACCACCACCACCTGTAGTAGTAAGAGATAGATATTCGCAATATGTCCTCCTTCCAAAAAAAAAAGTCGTCGTGAGATATTCGTGTTTCTTTTGTTATTGTTGTTGTTTTCGTCGGTATCATTTTTCGTCGTGAGATTCGTAAAGTTTGGTGAAAGTGAGATGTTCCGGGTGATGAGAAGGAACCTCGTATGTGTGTGTGAAAGGTGCCCTAGCTCGAATTTCGCCTTTTAACCGCAAATGCTTCGGTCTGTCACGAGAGAGATGCGAACGTCAGCGATCCATCCGTGTCCGCAGAGATGGGGAAAATAGTCATCGACGCAAACTCACCGAAAGCATCGAGGGGCTGTGCGATGATGCCGCCCTCAACCAACGCCTTGAAGTCCCATTCTGGAAATCTCAGGTTAGCAGACTGACTCACTGTTATGACGATAGCCGTGTCCCGAAAGAGGCATAGGGATAAGAATAGCAGAGAGAGAGGAAAGAAAGACTCACCAGGAGCGCTCTCCGTCCGCCACGTCCAAAAGATCCACCCGGCCGCCTTCTCAAACCCGACCATCTGCGCCTGGATGTACGAACGAATGTTATTCCGATCCGCCTCACCCAGCCCCTGCACCGTGCCGGTGAATTTGCCATCACACGACCCGACATATGTCGAGCCCTGGCCGTTGTTGTTGTACGTGCCGTCGTAACGGGCCCCGACGCCGCGACCATTCAGCCACTTGGCGCAGTCGGTCTGCGCGCCCGTCCACTCGCCCGCGATGGTCCACTTGTTGTTCGTCGCCATGGACGCGCCGAAGCCGCAGGCCGTGCCGATGTGCTCCTCGATGCCCATGCGCACGGCGTTGTTGTCGAAGATCTCGTAGTGGTGCGTGTCCAGCAGCAGGTTGGCCATGCCGGAGCCCCAGTCGTTCCACGAGTTCACCCCGATGAAGGCGTCGTGGAAGCCGACGGCCTGTGGCGAGTCGCGGAGGTTGCCCCAGCCGTCCATGTAGAATTGTCGGACGACGTTCATGTCCAGGGAGGGACCCATGGGTTCGTTGAGGAGCTCGATGGAGGACAGGGCGGGGTGGGAGGAGAAGTCGTCGCGAAGTTTGTTCAGGGCGGTGATGGTTTGCGCCACGCTGTCACCTTGGGTCCATTGGATGCCGCCACGGCGACCTGAGTTGTCGAATCCGTTCTGGCTGCCAGGTGCGCCGTGCAGGTCCACCATGACTTTGAGGCCGTATTTGTTGGCGTTGTCCAAGGCTCCGCCCAAGTAGTCGTAGGCTCCTTGCACGTAAGGGTCCCCATCCACTGGAGAGATGGACCAGTAACCGATCGGGATACGTACGAAGTTCAAGCCTGCCGCGAATCGCATCAGATCCACGCCTCGACCCCATTCATGTCAACGGGATCTCTTACCATATGCCGCCATGAGGCGGAAATCATCCTCGACGATCCAAGAACTCCAATGCTCTTGAAGTCGTCTTTGCGCTTCGTCTCTGCCCAATGTCTCGCAAAATGTATATTCTAGTCATGGTGAGACTACCGACCTCAAGCATACGGTATCATGGATTCTTACCATCAACCACGTTGTCGGGTGTCGCTTCAAATACGGATGGCGTGATCCATGGCTCGAGGACGAACCAGCCGCCCAAGTTGACGCCGCGAACTTTGGTGTTACCGAAGTCGAATCTTCCACCGCCTTGCCTCCTGCTCACTGCTGGGGCTGCGCTGCCGAAGGAGGCGAACAGGGCAAGGCCCGCGATGGTGAGTTGCTTAAAAGCCATGTTCGATCTTCGATGCCGAGATTAGTGTGTTTCGTCGAGGTTGGTGTAGTCGATGCCGTGTTTCGATGTCGATGTCGCCGAAGCAACAGTATATAAGATGCAATGGTAGTAGTAGTTATATCAAGCTGGAGATATGGCAGTATGCGATACGAGAGTCGATCAGTCTACCAGGACCTGCCGAGCTGTCGTGGATTGAGGAAGTTGAAGGTTGAACAGTATCATTGAACAAATCGAAGAGAGGGAATATATCGAACGACGTTATCTGCACCGATACTTATCCTCGACCGTTGAGCGCGTTGCGGGAGGAGCATGACGGTCGAACGGAGTGATCCCCCTACCTGCAGCATCATCAACATACATGACTCGAGGGTCATCAGTGATCCACTCTACCGGACGGCAGAGACGTGCTGCGTTCTCTGCGCAACCCGACGATCTGCCAGTGACAGGGTCACGGATACTGTGACTGACACGTGAATCAATGATCGTCACTCGTGGTACCCCAAAGAGGACATATGTCATCGAAAGAGAGAAGACGGAAGACACCGAGATCCGGGTACGCCCGGACCCGACCGCGACCAAGTTTCTGGACGATGGGCACCTGCATGCGACCATTTCGGAGAGACAGCTCGTTTGTCGTCGGTGAGAAGACGGAGGAGAACAAGGGCGGGCAACCAGATTACGTCGACGGGTTCGAGTTGAGCCATTGGGGAAACGCTCTGCACGCTGCGGTGGATCTTCCGACACTTGGGCTGCAGGGTTCACTGCGGAGACCACCAAAATCGGTTCGGCTGCGTTTGGTTGCTAGGGCATACCGTTTCATTGGACGCGCGTGAGAGGAAATGGAGACTCACACACACGCATCAACGCACACCAACGCACAAAGGATCCGTCGGCCCTTGGGAGACAGGAATCAGGATATGCAGTTGGTGTTCGGGCCATGATCGGCGGCTTAAACGGTCCCGTGAGACTCGATCAGAATTATGCAGTGGAGTGACTCTACCTGTTTGTCAATGTGTCGGATGTGACGAACGGTCAGCTTTCCTATGTCGGTCGGCATTCTTGTGTTTTGCGAGCGTTGTGCCGGGGAGATTTCCATGTGGTTGGCATAGATTAAACGCTCCAATCTGAATCATTTCCAGCCACCCCAGGAGGTCGGGAAGGGGGTTCACCGTGACCAGGAGGAAGACACTTTCGCTATAGACGACATCTGCAGTACGTATAGCAACGTCCTGTGCAACTCCGAGATCCCGTCTATGTGGGTTAGAGGAGCTGCAGCAGCCAACTCGCCATGGTCCCACGCCGTCAAACACACATATCAGCGACCTTGGGAGATGTGCGCGGTATGTCATCAGTCATGGTTGATGATCGTGTGAGGTATTTCCACGTAGCGCGTGCTCTGTTTGCCTCGGCAGCGGGGCGGAAGTAGGCTCCCTGACTGCCCAGTTGTGCCCGTCTGGAGGAGTAATAATGACGATGTGACGATCAACTAAACCGCTTCATCAGTCATCGCTTCATAGTAATCCATCTTGAGGAAAAAGTCACTAAAAGCCAAGACTAGAGATGCCATTACATCACGCCCAAGCAGTAGAGAACGCCATGTACGTGACCGACCGCGACGATCTTTCCTCCCAAAAGTCGGCGGGCACAGTTAACTGGCTGACCGGTACAAGAGGCCGGGGAGTGGGCTGGAGGAAAATGTGGGGAAAAACGCACGACAAGCGTCGATTTATTCATCTAACATCCGGGGTCATTCTCTGCCACGCATTTTCCTTTTTCGTCGAAAACCCGGCTCTGAATCGAACGAATCGCTTTCCTCCGTGTCGATCTTTTCAACATACATTGGGCGGCCGATCCAATCCGAGGAGCGAGATCTTCATGCCGAGGAACGGCTGGGGTCCGACGAAAAATCTCGAGATGTCACGAGGTTGGTCGATCTCGCTCTGATGAGAGGGCCATTCAGCCGAATGCTAGGCGACGCTTTCTTTCGCCTGGTGACGATGGTCGTGGACGGATCCATGGATGATGATTCTGACATTTGTAAAGCGCTTACCGTGAGAGTTCTCGTGACACGAAAATCGAAGCATGTCATCGCTTCAAGTCGGCTTCCTGACTTCGCCCTTCTCATGCTCACGATGTGTTCAAAGAATAATTCGCAATGACGTCAGTAGGCGGGAAAGGTCAGAAACTCTGGCCCTCGTTGGAGAAGGAGAGCAACACAGCATACTGTAGTATGACATGCCACGGAACAACACATCAACAGTGAACATCGGCACTTGAACAGTTTGCACAGTAAGTTCCCTTTCACGCCTCCAATGGCTCAATCGTTGGGTCCCAAGTACAAGGTTTATACTGTCCCGTCTCCAACACCTCCAAATCCTGCTCGTCGAGCTCGAAATCGAAAATCGCCGCATTCTCCTCGATGCGGCTCAACGTGACGCTCTTCGGCAGAATCACAAAGCCCTGCTGTATGCCCCATCGGAGCAGGATCTGTCCCGGCGTCTTCCCGTGCTTGCCCGCGAGTTTGATCAGCACTTCCTCCTCCATGCGCGTCGCCCGGATCAGTGGCGAGTACGCCTCGAGGACGATGTCGCGTTGTCGGCACCATGAGACGATGTCCGGGCGAGCGAGCCATGGGTGGAGTTCGATCTGGTTGACGCTGAGGATACCAGCTTGGTCGGCGGGCTGCTCCTATTCAGATTGATCATGTCAGACGATTCGAAAGCTAGCATCCTGGGGAACGCGACAGTGCACATGCTTACCTTCTGCCATCGTTCGAGTTCCTCGAGGTGATGAACGCCATAATTACTCACGCCGATACTACGCACTTTGCCCTCGTTCACGGCCTCGACCAGCGCTCTCCAGCCTCCGATGCGCGTTTCTCTGCCTCCATAGGGTGCATGGAGGAGATAGAGATCGATGTAATCTAGGCCGGTCTTGCGTAAAGTCTCGTCGATGCCCTTCTTCGCGTCATCGTACCCTCGTCCCGGGGCGACCTTTGATGTGAAAAAGAGCTGTTCTCGGGGAATGCCACTTTTCAGCATCCCCTTGGCTGTTGGTTCCTCGTTCTTGTAGGCCACAGCTGAATCGACATGGCGATAGCCGGATTTGATAGCGTGATCTGTGACCTGCTCTGCTATAGCCATGGGGGTTTGATAGACACCTGGCATATCAAGGCTCGAATTAGTCTATCGACGTCCATTTCGTCGATGTTCGCGAGGTCGATATCTCCTTACCGAATCCGAGAATCGGCATGTCATATTTCGACTTTAATCGGACTTTGGTGTCGACAGTCAACGGCGCGACCAGTGGTTTTCTTGACTGCATCGTTGTCGATGAGGTTTGCAAGAACCTGCTACACAACGATAATGAATGGACAAAATTTCCAGTTCGAACACTTCCAGGAGTTGTACAAAGTAGCATTGGCATGATGCCTGCACCGCAGTTCGTCATCCCCATCACTGTGACGAGTCAACGTGCACTCCACGGGCACATCATCGCTTAGGGTTGCGTAAGCCCAAGTCGAGGGTTAGCGCATGAACCTTGGAAAGCTTGAATGCTCATGGCACTGCTGCTCACTTCTTTACGAACATCCATGGATTGCAGTGACAGCGAGCCACACTCCTCACGCACAGTTGCCCAAGTTAAAAACTCGGTCAGCGAGCACCTGGGTTTCAGGCTAGACTTTGATCAAATGTGTGAAAATTGGCCTCCGATACCTTTGATTCATAAACATAATCTTCGTTACCAAAATGTCATGCCAGACCCCAACCAGTGCACTGTAAACGCCAAAACAGAATGGGAATAGAACGTCGCATAGGCCGAGGAGCTCGCCTAGCTGTAAAGCTTCTTCTCGACACCGACCATGCCATGCACGTTGCCCTCAGCCTGGGCACTGGCAGTGCGGATCTCAAATCGCACATCACCGTTGCGAACGCCCTGCTGAAGGTCCGACACGCTCTGGATGCCAATGTCCTGTAGGGAGTGCTGCACGCCAGCCATGAGGTAGGGCAGGAATTTGGTCACACTGCCACGGTCCAGTACGGATCCGCTGACGCCCTGCGCAACAAGCAGACGGTCACCTTCGGAGAAGTATCGCGCGGTACCGGCGTTCTTTGCAGTGTTGTTGGCCTTGTCGCCTGCGCCACCGGCCTTCTTGTCCTCCATCGCATCGATGGAACCCATGCCGCGGTAGGTCTTGCGAAGCTGACCGTCAGGACCGACGACGTACGCACCAGGTGACTCGGTGGTCGCGGCGAGCAATCCGCCCATCATGATGGTGCTGGCACCGAGTGCGACTGCCTTGACGATGTGGCCGACATTCTGAATACCACCGTCGGCGATACAAGGGATTCCGAACTTGGCCGCAAACTCCGTGACGTGATATACGGAGGTGGCTTGAGGTCTGCCGACAGCCATGACCTCCTGGGTGATACAAGCTGAACCAGCACCCATTCCAATTCGCAGACCGTCCACCCCCGCAGCGATTAGAGCAGCTGCTTGGTCACGGGTGACCACGTTGCCACCTATGACATCCACAGACGGGAATTGCTGCTTGATCCATCGGATCATGTCCAACTGGTACATCGAGTTGCCCTGGCTCGAGTCGAGGATGACGACGTCAAGGCCGGCTTCGACGAGAGCCGCAAGACGCTCCTTGTCGTTCTCGCGAGTGCCAATGGCAGCAGCAGCCAGTAGCTGCTTAGTGCCCGGAACCTTCGAGGCCAGAGGGTAGTTGAGATTCTTCATCAAATCGCTGCGGCTCAGCAGGCTGACGAGGTTTCCCTGTCCATCCACAATAGGAAGCTTTCCCTTCTTACTCTTACTGAGGATATCGTTGGCGGTTTGAAGATCGGTTCCTTCGCTACCGGTGACTAGATCGGTCGACATGATCTCGGTGACAGGCGAGCTGAGGTTCGAGTGAAACTGAGTGTCTCGCGGGGTGACCATTCCGATGAGCTTGCTGCGGAGCTTGCCGTTTTCTGCGTTCGTCATAGTTAGCTTGAGAAGCCTGCCATGTTCTGGAACGAATGAATGCACGATGGAATTATTTCAGATAAATGAATCTCAACAGTACTCCGAGCACGTTGGCAAGGAGTTTGCGGTTGAACGAAAGTTAATATAAGGTTAAACATCACGAAAATTAAGGAAATTGTAGATGTTCCTTACCAGTGACCGGGAAACCACCGAATCCCCACTTCTCTTTCAAAGCAATGGCTTCGGCAACAGTGGTGTTCGGAGAGATGACGATCGGGTCGGTGATAAAGCCGTTCTCAAAGCGCTTAACTTTCCGGATCATTTCTGCTTGCTCTTCAATCGAGCAGTTGTGGTGAATGACACCAACGCCTCCTAGAAGTGCCATGTGGATCGCCATGTTGGCCTCGGTGACAGTGTCCATGGGCGAAGAAGTGAAAGGCGTCTTGAGAGTGATGTTACGGGTTAGTTTAGAAGTCAGATCAACCTGAGCCGCAGGAAATCCGATGTAACCAGGGAGTAGGAGGAAGTCGTTGTAAGTAAGTCCTCCATTCTTCGTCCCATCCATGAGTTCAGCCACAGAGATACCATCCTTGCTTTTGTAGCCCTTGAGAAGCGTAAGAGCATTTGCAGGACTCTCGTACTGTCCCTCGCCCTGATTCGAGTTCGAGGCCCCGCTCAGCAGCTTCTTGGTCTGCTCGACCACGCCATTAACGCCGTTCATGGTGACAAGAAGATTTGCGGCAGTAAAAGACTATGAGAAATTATTAGCGGGAGTTGACCGTCAATCTCAACTATCGTACTTACCCAAGGGAAGAAAGGAAGAAGAGAAAGAGGAGGATTTCCAAAATTTTCCCTGCACAAGACTGCCTCGCCAGGGACCGTCATCGCTAGCTCGCCCACCGCGCGCCAAGATTTCGACAACGCGACGGGCCGATCGAAGTTCGGAGCGGAATTGTGCCGCGCCCCGTCATTGTTTACTGTGCAACCCGCCGTAAACAGTGGGAGGAACCAAGTGCTGGCCTCATATTGGTCGGTCTGTGATGCTTTACGCACAAGCGTTCTTCACGCGCACCAACATTGACGCCTTCATGCCCTGCAGGCCGTTGCTATTCACATGACGCACGGTTTTGTACTCTCACTCTTCTCTCGATCATTGTGAAACTCGCGTGCTTGAAGGATCTGACCATGTTTTGGTGAACGCGATAGCAAAACCTCTCGCTCGAGGAAGGGATCACCTGCTAGCGTTTACAACCCGCGCCTGCGCAAACAAACAACATCACCATACACAGCAAGCCGGAACTTGCCACAACCGCAATCATGGCGGGCCGACCGACTTTCCATTCGCCATCGCATGATCGGTTTCATGCGCATAGCCCGACGAAGTCGTCGCCACTGCGGCACACTGTCTCTACGAGATCCAACAATAGCGATACCGACCAATCGAGTATACCGAGTCGGCAAGGAACCGTCAGCAGTAATGCGACCTCAGTCTACAGCCACAGCAGCCACAGTGAATCGATATCTCCCGAAGATCCATTCATCACTCGTGCAGGATCGAAGCGAGATCGTTCGGAGTCACCTGTGAAGAAGAGTGCGGTCTTTGCGAAGTGGGAGCAGCGCGAGCGGACCGTTCAGGACGAGCAAGCAGGACTCGGATCTCGTGCGCCGCCAAGGATGGACATCTCGCCGAAGAAGTTGAGAGATGACGATTGGCGCCAAAACATAGGGAAAGCAGAGGTCGCATCGACACCCAGAGCAGTGCTGGGTCCCGTCCAGCAAAATGCCGTGCCAGAGAGGTTCCCCTCACCTTCGGACGGAACGGAAAACAAACGTAATGCTTTCGAGAAAAGCACTGTGCAGCCATCATCCATTGAGGACAATCGCAAGTCATTTATACCGCAGTTTGGGTTATCCAAAAGCATACCAGACGAAGCGAACACGACTCTCAACCCCTCAAATCCTGATACCCCACACAGTCTATCATCCTCAGCTACGAGAAATAGTCTTGCCACCCTGTCGCGCTCAGATTCAGTACGCGCGAGTACTCGGCCGTCGAGACCAAGAGGTCATGTGCGCTTCACTTCGACTGATCAATCAATGCCTCATTTGAACAATGACGACCTCGACAAGCTTGAAAAGTCTTCCACGCCACAACTGCGCCATCTCAGTCAGATAGCCGCAGAGAGCGGTAGCACTGACGATCTTGAGGTTCACTCACCACAGGAGCAAGTCACTGGCCTTGCCGGTAGAAGGCGCCTGCAACGATCAGGATCGACTCGGGTCGTTAAGGCGCAGTCAAAATTTGCTTCAGCATACACAAACACCAAATGGATGGATACTCAGCGTAAGCACCTGCAAGCGTACGAGTATCTTTGCCATATCGGGGAAGCTCGAGCCTGGCTCGAGGACGTCTTAGAACCCGACAAGCTTCCACCAATCGTCGAGCTTGAACAGGCACTTCGTGATGGTGTGACTCTCGCCGAAGCTGTAGTCCGCCTCGCCCCATCACTATCTGCAGCACAGCAACGCGCACTGGGCTCGCAGCGAATATTTCGATCCCCACGGTTGCAATTTCGACATTCAGATAACATTGCCCTCTTCTTCCGATTTCTGGCTGAGATCGAGCTGCCTGAGCTCTTTCGGTTCGAATTAGTTGACTTGTACGAGAAGAAGAACATCCCTAAAGTCATTTACTGCATCCACGCGCTCTCATGGATGCTGTTTCGGAAAGGAATTGTTGAGTTTCACATCGGCAATCTTGTTGGTCAATTGCAATTCGAAGACCACGAATTAGAGGAGACACAGAAAGGTATTGACAGGAGCGGAGTTGCCATGCCGAATTTTGGTGGTATGAGAGAAGCAATGCAAATTGAAGAGGAGCCACTTCCACCAGAGCCGACTCCGGAGGAACTGCTTGCCGAGCAAGAGGAGGTTATCAACGACCTTCAAGCTCAGGTTCGCGGTGCCTTGGTCAGGATGCGACTCGGTAGTGTCATGCAGGGCCTGTGGGACGCCGAAGCCCATATTGCTCATTTCCAGTCTCTGGCTCGTGGAGGCTTCGCTCGTCAAGTGTTCGACTTCCGCCATGCTATGGACGCATCCACAAAACGATTCCAAGCTGCCAGCAAAGCTTTCCTGATTCGACGATCCTTGACTCAGAAACAAAGCACCTGGGAGAACAACAAGGTGGCCGTTGTCCGTCTACAAAGTCTATGGCGAGGACGACAGCAAAGAGTCAACACTCAAACAATCAGGACTCAACTCAGTTGTCACAAGCACGGTCTCAAGGAGTTTCAAGCAGCCATTCGCGGCGCACTCGGTCGATGGCGGGCCAGTGATGTATGGCAAGAAACCAGAGACACCCAAAATGAGGCGCTTATACAGGCATTACAAGCTGCGGCGCGGGGCGCCGTTGAACGAATGCGCATTGGACGTACCATGAACTCATTGTGGGATGTCGAGGATGCCGTGGTGGAATTGCAAGCAATCATAAGAGCAACACATGTGCGATCCGAGAACAGAGGTCACAAGACCGCCACACGACAGGAAACTGCCCAGGTCGTCGAGCTCCAGGCGGCTGCTCGAGGTTTGTTGCAGAGGTTCCGGAATAAACAACAACACGGCAAATGGCAAATGCACGAGTCAGGAGTGATTCAAGCACAAGCTGCAGCTCGTGGCTTGCTCGAGCGCCTGCTACAGGCAAGAACCCAAGGAGCTCTGCAAGGTCGAGAGACGACGATCGTGAAGCTGCAAACAATCATCCGAGCAAGAAATGCAAGAGCTCAACATGGGCACGTTGTCGAGGAGCTCCAGTCTCATCACAATCCTCTCGAGAGGCTACAAGCATTGGCTCGAGGCCAAGCGGAACGTCAAAAAACCGAATTCATCCGGAGCAGTCTCAAAATGCACGAGCAGGGTGTACTCAATATACAGGCACTTGCACGAGCAATGATTGAGCGGAGGCGGATAGGAACCGACCTCTCAGTACTTGAGGACGTGGAGGACAAGATCACTGACCTGCAATCCCTGGCCCGAGCTTATCTAGAACGCCAGCGTGTGTTCGAACAGCTCGTCGAGATGGAACGCGAAGATGACCAGATCGTTCAGTTGCAAGCATTGTCGCGAGCCATCCTTGTGAGAAGCAGCATCGGAAGCATTCTTGCTGAACTCGAAAGTTATGAAGCAGACATTGTTGACGTTCAGGCAGCGCTTCGCGGCTTCGTCATAAGAAGACGATTCGCAGAGAAGCGTCGCCATTATAACGAGAACATGCAGAAGGTCATCAAATTACAGTCAATCGTGCGTGCTAAGCAACAAGGCGAGAGCTACAAAAGCCTCGTTACCGGCAAGAACCCACCATTGCCCGTCGTTCGTCGACATCTCCACTTGTTGACAGACTCTAATCTCGAGTTCGAAGGCGAATTGGAGGCGGAGCGACTACGTCAGCAAGTGGTGGAAAGTGTTCGAAGAAACGAGCTCGTTGAGAAGTACGTGGAAGGTCTGGACGTGAAGATCGCTCTCCTTCTCAAGAACAAGATCGCGTTGGATGAAGTTGTCAAACATCAGAAGCATTTTGGAGGATCTGCAGCCCAACTGCTTCGATCGGGAAGCACGTTGTCCCACGGCAACGGACTAGACCTCAAAGCTCTGAACAAAAACTCGCGCAAGAAGCTTACAGGTTACGAAGAACTATTTTTCCTGGTCCAGACGCAATCTCAATACCTGACGCGACTTTTCGCACAGATAAGTAGCCGCGGCCTAGCTGAAAAGGATAGCAAGAACCTTGAGCGCTTGATGCTGGCTCTCTTCGGGCAAGCACAAAAGTCGCGCGAAGAACAGCTTCTTGTAAAGGTCCTTGCTCAGAGCAATCAAGTCACCATCTCGCAATGCCAAAGCCTAGAAGATCTGACAAGACAGCACAATGGCACCTTCCATCAACGGCTTCTACTGAATTATGTGCGAAGTCCTCGAGACAGAGCCTACCTCAAGACCCTGCTGGGTAGCATGATCCGGGATGGGATCTGCGCACAGGATAACCTGGATCTTGAAAGCGATCCGTTGCAGATCTACCGCGCTATCCTGAACAACGAGGAGCTATCCACCGGTCGACCGTCACAAAGACCACGAGACCTTCCCAGGGAGGTAGTAATCCGTCAAGAGGACGTTCGTCCCAGATACGTCGAGCATCTCGAAGAACTCCGTGACCTTGGTGACGCATTCTTCGCCAATCTTGAGGAGAGTCTCCATCGTATGCCATATGGAATCCGCTACCTGGCTGCAGAACAGCATCGCGCACTCTGCAGCCAATTTTCTCACGATGATCCTGCCCATTTGGCTTTGTATGTTGGAACTTGGCTGTGGAAATCTTACATCCTGCCGGCAGTTCGTGAGCCTGAGATGTGGGGTGTTGTCGATCGTGGTTTAAGTCCTGTACACAAGCGGAACCTCGCACAAGTCATTACCCTACTGGGACAAGTTGCAGGTACAGGTCGACTTTTCGGCGCCGAAAACATCTATCTGCAACCCCTTAACAGCTGGGTCGGCGAATCTCTAGAGAGATGGCAGACATGCCTTCAGAATTGCTTCGACATTCCTTCACCGGAGCAACATTATGACGCCGATCAATACAGTGACCTGTATTCGACAACGAAGCCAACCCTGTACATCAAGCTGGCAGACGTCTTTGCCATCCATGGCGTCATTGTTGACAATCTCAATGTCATGTCTTCTATGCGAGACGACCCGATTAAGGAGATTTTGATGGATCTCGGTACCCCTAAGAGCAACGAGAGCGATCTGGGTGGTGCAGGTAATGGCGGCGAAATCACGTTGACTTTGAAGTCAAGATTCACAATCCAGGAGGATCCCAACGCAGAGACGAGGGCCATGTTCATGGCGACGAAACGGTTGATCCTATACATCATCCGAGTGCAAACAGGATCTAACTTGATGGAGATTCTCCTGCGACCGATTACGCACGAGGACGCCGACCGCTGGATTGCTCTGGTTCAAGAGGAGATTGACGAGAAGGAGCGCGAGCAACGCTCATCTCGCCGCCCTCGCTCTGCCATCTTCGATCCACGACACTCTTTCCGTGGCAGCCGTCCAAAATCCGTCTATTCCGAAGCCCCTTCCGCCTTCTCAAGCGACGACCGTCGCGGCAACGAGCTCCAAGATCTTCACGGCATGACTTACGCAGAGCTGAAATCCAGCGTGCTGGAGAACATCCTGCAGCTCGAACAGTCTCACGTTGCGCCTCAATACCGCGTCAGCCGTCAAAACCACTACCAAGAGCTCCTCAACGCGCTCGCCTCGGACATTCGCCAAAAACACCGTCGCCGCCTCGACCGTCAACGCGAGACCGAGGCCACGCGCGCCACCCTCTCCCAGCTCGACGCCAAAGCGATTTATCTCGAGGACCAGCTGAAGAACTACAACGACTACATCGAGCAATGTCTCCACACGCTCGCCAGCAAGAAACAGAACAAGCACAGCTCCTCAACCTTCGGCGTGCGCAGCGCCGGCGGGAAATTCATCCTGCCCTTCACCAAGCAGTGGTCGCACGAGCGCGAACTCGAGCGCGCCGGCCGCAAGCCGCAATTCGGCTCGTACAAGTATTCCTTGCGCCAGCTCGCGGACAAAGGCGTATTATTGGGCTGGCCGCGCTTCACCCCTGACCAGTGGGGCCAGGTGGATGTCGTGGTCAGCTCCGACGAGGTGGGAGTGTTCCACCTCGAGGCCAGTACAGGCAGCTTGATGGTTCCTGGAGCCAGCGCGAACGTCCTGCTCGATGAGCTCTTGCAGGCGCAATATGACAATCGGAATGCGGTGGTGGTATTTGAGGAGGGTGGAAGTGGGGGTGTGAGTGTTGGGGCTGGAGGTACGACGACGGCGAGTGGTGCAAGTTTGGCGGTGAATCTTTTGCTGCATTTGGTGTTTAAGAAGTTTTATCGGGACGAGTGAGGGAAAATGGGGAAGGGGTCGTTTTTGGTCTCGGTGAAGAGAAGGGCGGAGTTCTTGACGGATGTTTGCTTGTTGGGTTCAAGGAGTTGTTGGCATGGTTTTTTTCGTCAGCATACATTTGGTTCCGGAGTTTTCGGGAGTGATACCTGGGGAGTGAAAAGCCGTTGGGAGGCACCTCTTCGTCCAAGAGCATGCTGTCAACCCGGAAATGGTGGAAAATCGCATGAAGTTATCACAGCGCTTACACAGATCTATTTGAGATCATGAACGATACGTTTTTACCGCTCGCGTTTTCACGTCCCCAATTTTGTGCTCTGTCGCGTCCATAACGATGCAGAGGGATAAGCCACTTGGCGATTGATCAAAGAACTCATTAGTCTCTACAAGGAAGTGGTGGCGGGCACGTCCCAGCCTGTCTCTTCGCATAATCTACAGTCACAACGCCCCCGAAAAAGATTTGAACGATCATGCCCAAATATCGACATGCCAATTTAATGGGCTTTGCCTCCTCTAGCCAGGAACAGACCCACACTCTCCCTCGCCAACTCGCTGCCCCAGACACCATCACTGCCACCTTTCCGCAGCGCATCCTCCATACCCACACCCACAGCATCTCCCGTACTGCCCTCGCCAGTCCCTCCTGCTGCGATGCCGCTTCTTGTACCTTCGGCCAGGATGACAGCAAGATCGCGCTGTTGGCTAGCGATCCATCGAGGCACGAAGGCATGGGGCTCCTTGCTCAAGCGGTCGAAGAAAGTGCGCTTGGCGGTCGTTTGTTGAATTTTCTGGACCAGCAAGGCGAGCTCATCGTCTAGCTGAACGAGGTTGTGGAGGCTGGAGAGGTGAGTCGTCGAAGTTTGTATAGTTTGCAGCGCGGCGTGGAGAGGATTTGGGAGAGGGACGCGGACATGATAGATGGTGGGTGCAGATGGTGTGGTGTCGGAGCCTGGTGGTGGTGAGATGTACGGCTTATCGACGCGGATCGTGTAGGAGAGCTGGAGCGGCGGAAGGGGCGCGAGGTGAGGCGAGAGGAGTTCCGGGATGTGCGGGAAGTACAGGGTGTCCTGGTTAAAGACCTGGGAAGGTTATGATGTTAGCAAACAGACCACGACGAGCATCTTAAACTAGCTTCATGACTGACCTTTCGCAGCGGCTCGTCGCAGACAATTTTCCTTTTGTCATCGTCCTCTTGGAGACCATTGGCCCGACAGTAGTCCCAGATGCCCTGCACGACGCCGGTCTTATCATCCTCGTTGGTATCAAGCAGGTCCGCGAGTGCTGGACTCAGCTTGAAGCGCTCGTGCTTCTCATCGCGGACGAGATTGATGGTAACATCCATGTTCTCATCCGTCTTGCGCTCAAATTCCAAAGTATCAAAGTTGACTTCAGTACTTGACGAATCCGTCGTGCCATTCTTCTCTCGTGACGAGGGTTTGCGCCATTCGATTTGGCTGTAGCCGTCAGGTTGAAGGTTGGGATTGCGATCAAAATCAACTGTAACCGCTTTGAAGAAATGGCTGAGTCGTGGACGCTGCGCCGAAGCGAGCGCCTCGGTGTCGTCGTCCTCACTGGGGTCCTCTAATAAGCGACCTTCAATTTTCATGCGATATGTGGCTTGGTTCTCGTTCAACTCGAACATGCCTCCATCCTCGTGGCCATTTCCGTCTTCCATAACCTGCCATGGCTGTCCTTCCGCTGTGTTGGATATGGCAATGCGCAGGACGCCCTCCCGGCGAGCGAACCGTCGCTGGCCATTCTCACTGATATCCAAGCGCTTGCGCATCATCACAGCGTCCAGTCGACGCTCCACGTCCCTAAGTTTGCGGTATCGTTCTACTCCATCGCCTATCGTGATGTCGGACACGTCACGAGGGATATCGCGATCGGTAGGTTTCCGCGCCTGGCGGCGGAACATTTCGTTTCGGCGCTGATTCTCGAGATTGACGGCGTGAAGCTGTGCCGGAGTGAGTTGTGCGCCATGTTGCAAGTGTGCTTGCTGAGGAGCGGGCATGGGACCTGCGTTGCGAAACGTGCGTTCTAAGTCAGCAAAACTGATTTTGCGGCGACGATGCTGTGTAGCTGCGGAGGAGCGAGCAGAGCTGGAGTGCTGAGTTCGGAGTGCAGAAGGTGATGGATGGTCCATAGTCTGCAGCACTCGAGAGTTGGCCACAGCATAGATTCGCAGAGCTCGAACACCTGGCGCATCCAATGGCTATCTCGACAACGCAACGCTTGCGATGTGAGCTCCACCAGCCGATGTCGGAAATGTGCGGTCGTAGTGACAGAAGTGTCTGGGGTATGTTGACGTGATATCCGCCCTCGAATAATTCACGAAGCGGGAACGATCGAAGGAAACAGCGCTGTTTGAGAACACTCACCTCCAGGAGCACCTCGTCGCGTCGCCTGTGGGCTGCGCTGGTTTTGCGCCGGATAGTTTCGGTAAGTCTGCATGGTTCCCGTCCCGCGTGCGCCAAGTCCTAGCTGGCTGTTTGTGTTGACTGTGTTCCACGCTCTTGCAGCGCGCAAACAAAGATGCGGGTGCGACTGAGCGGCGGCGGTGGCGATGGGCGGTGGTGGTGTTGATGATAATGCAAAGGCGGAGTGCGGCGGCGGAAGGTGAAGTAGTAAGAAAGGAAGACGCGATTGCTCGACGGGCGGTAAACCCGGTGTGGAGTTGACGCGTGCGTGGGAGAGAAAGGGAAAGGCAGGTGCCGCTGCACTGCGCATGTTTAATAAAATATTATGGGGAGAATGCGCTGCTGCTGCGGACACGACGGGACAACGCAGCCGCACCGGGAACCTTGCGTGTATTTCGGTGAATGGATGCGTTGAGTGAGGGGTACGCCTACATTGAGCGATCTTCTGTTCGACATCTCGTCATGTCTCCATCTCTGATACGGTCGCAAATAGACATCAAAGGCCTGTGGGAATCGCGCATTGGACACAAACAAGAGACGCCGTCGCGGCAAAGGTGAATGCATTGTGTTGCCCTGGGGGCAACGATCAAGTTTCACGATCGTGTCCGTACGCGTTATGGGGCAAACTAGATGTGTATGCTAATTGATGTCCCTTCCGCCGATACATCAAATCGTGCTCATCTTGCTCTTGAACCGTTTCTTCTCTCGTTTACGCTTGACCATCTCTTTCTTTGGCAGTGATGGTGGAAGACCATCGATGAACCAGCTTCACTCTCCGCCACGTCCCAGTTCTGCCCTTCGAAAGACGATATCCAAGCGCGTCTGTCACAACGGACGAATCATTCCAAGAGCATGTTCGACGGACGTATACTTCTGAAGCCCTTGGAAACGCCGCAAGGCGCAAGGAATATTCGATAGCTCGACCGGTTGAAAATACAAGTGAGCGAGTTGGACTTACTTGCAGCAATTCCAGCATCGACGGACTGTTTGACATGGCGCATTTGATTGTCAGGAATGAATGTCGGAGGGAGAGGAGAAACACAAAATATGCGTACAAATGCTGCAGCAATTGATGAGAGCTGCAATGTCGAATTTGGAATGTGAGTTTGTTCGCATTCACTGTCTCTTCTATCAACGTATAATTCTCTGTAAGCGCTGGCGTGTGACTACCATGGCACATGCTTTACTTACAAAGGTCGCATCAAACGTATTGACTGTCGACATCACCTGATTGTTCACTCCAATGCAATTCGTAAACGGGATTCCATGATGGATAATCGTTCCAATACGCAAAATCTGGTCAACTCGTCAATCCAACTTCGGTTCGCAGACTGCAATAACGATGGAATCGTTGCTATCGTCAAAAAAATCTGTGACCGGAAAGACCTTCAATCGTATTGCATCCTCTACTATCATCTCTACAACACCGATAGCCTCCATTTGCTACCACGCGTGAGGCGCCAACATGTCCCACAACGATGTCCCTTGAGCACACTTCACCACCTCGAATCCACCATCCGGCTCGCAGCAGACAAAGAGTTTCTTCGCCAAAGACTCGCTCGCAAGAAGAAAGCGCCTCGGAATTGGTTCTTCGCCACGCCGTTGTCGAGGCGAAATCATCGCGTTCATGCCACGAACGCTTCGATCGATCAGCAGCCACAACAAACTTCGAACAAGAGCAACGAAAGCGAAGACGATGACGACTCATCGATCACAGTGTCCACTCCATACAACCACCACCATCACAATCTCTCTTCACCATCAACACCACCTGCCAGCACGCATCACACGAAAAGCTTGATGGTAATCCTCCGCTCGCCAGCGCTCAGGCAGACACCATCGCCACAAGCCGTTCCTCCATATATGCCATCACCGCCATCGACACCACCGACTCCATGTAAGACGCTTGTGGTCAAAAGCCCCTTGCCTGCCAAAAAGAGGCAAAAGCAGAAGTCGTCGAATATTCGCCGGCGCTCCTCCCAATCGATCAAAGTAGCTTCGTCGATATCGAAGCCGGCTCGTCGTGAAATGAAGTCATTAGTGGTACGGCTCTGCTTATCGAAGAACAAGACGAGAATATTTGGCGGGAATCGTTGTGAGATGGACAGCGGTGATCGGAATAGTATTTCTGAAGAGAATATGCTTCGGTCGGTAGCGTTGGGATTGCGGGCGAGGTCGAGACACTTGGACCATCGATGATGTGATCATATCGATCTTGTTTGATTCTTTTCATTGCTGCCATTGCGCTGGATCTTGCTCAAATTTTGCTTTCCAACTTCTTCTACATCAAGTTCCAAGCTTGTAATTTCTTCCCACAAGGAGAAGTAGTCCTTGTCAATCTAATCAAGTTCCATCAATCCTCCGCTCCCGATCCCAGACCACCGTCTTCGCCTCTCCATCTCCGACTTTACGGATCTTCCGCACTCGATGCTCCGGGACAAAATCTTCCTCCTCGGTATGTTTCTGCCATGTGTCAAGTGGCTTCCAGAGCAACCCATCGGTGTCAGCGGACGCGGTTGGGAATCGGTCGATGTATCCAACTTCGTAGACAATCCCGCGATGTTGCGGGTCCCAGCGAAGGCGGGAGAGTGCGGAGGAGAAAGGGCGGAATTTCTTGGAAGAGGGTGATGAGGAGGGAGGTGTCGACGAGGAAAGAACGGGTCCGGCTTGATCTTGAATGGATAGCTTAGTGAAGGATGATGGAGAAGGTTGACTTTGCTGTGCTGTAGTGAGGTTGGTTTGGATTTCAGAGACTGATGCTAGGGAGAGCTCCATGTACATGATTTCGCGGTTGTAGTCGAGACCATCGCAGATTTCTTCTAGGCAGGAGAGCAACTCCGCAACATCGTGACCACTAGCGTTGCTGTTGTTGTCAGATTTGATATCTTCGCTCGTATGATAGATATCAAACAGATACACGCTATCCCCATCGGAACCATCTGTCCCTGTTGGAAGCGGACTGGGCCACAGACGAGCCTCATGAACGCCTTTCTGACGCGCTCTAAATCGTGATTGAAATTGCAGCAAGACGACCGGAAGATACTCGAGGAATAAGGCGTGGAGTTTTACGTCCCAACATCGTGCTGTGAAACGGACCAGCTGCTGGGAATTCTCTAGAAAGAGTTGGAGGCCCGCCTTGGGACTGTCGATCAATGTGAAAGTATCCTCGAGCCACAACAGCCGACTGACGTGGTCTATGGCAGACTTGAAGGATCGTATGGCCTCCGGTGAGAGATTTGCCGCAAAATTATGGCGACTATAGGGCGGTGAGACGGTCATGGTGAAGCGATCGAGGACTTCGGGATCCTCTGTGAAGAAGTCATGGAATGAGCCTTTGGCGAAAACCTGCCGCAGATAATCTAATTCTGGAACACTCTCGTCGCAATTCTCATCATTTTCGGTAATACCGTGCAACGGCGAGGTCTCTTCAAGTCCAGTAGCGTACAGGACAAAAAGGCATTCCGCTGTCAGCATGTGGAGCGTATCAGAGACCAGACCGCAGCTATCAGCCCATTGATACAGACGAAAGAAACCATTTCGAAAGCAGGACTGCTGCGACTCGCTTCGCCTTGCGTAGACATCCCTCAGCAGTCGCTCGGTCTCGACGATTCTCTGGAGAGGCTCATAGGCTTTGAACGATAGTGCGTGGAGATTACACGCGAAAGCGATCGACTCAAATCCTTGCGGACTCTTTTGATATGACAATCGAAGTTTCGTGCTACGATATCGAGGGATATTGAATGCACGAAGTAATTTGACTTGCGAGAACTTCAAGACAAGCTGATCCTTGACCGGTCGAATTTGCTCGTCCAGCTCAAGCTTCTCCGAGACAAAGGCCCAGAAGGTCGCGCTGGTGATCTTAGCTGTACATATGAGGTTGATCTCGGAATCTGGCAGAGCAATCTGAGCAGCATGTTGAAAGGAGGCGAACGTGTCTGATTGAAAGGGCGGTGTCTGTGTCGGTTCATAGAAGACGTCTCGCCCGACAAAGTATGTCGTCTCGAAGGCCGTTGCGACCTGGATAATGGCATCATTGATATGCGCGAAGTCGCGCTGGCAATCGACAAGGAGAGATGCGTCCGCCATCGCAAAATGCTTTCCGGGTTTATGCTATGCAAGGGATGTTGTCTGGAAGGAGAAGAATGCAAAAAAAGGCCCCAACGAAGGAAACTGTTGTACTTATTCTATGGTCATCATCGTACTAGATCTTACTTGCCGTCTATGAAACAAGCTCTAGACGTAGGAATGTTCGTTGTATATTGTTACCAAACAAAACGTAATGACCGCAAGCACTGTACAAGGAGTCAGCGATGAGCCATCTTGACTCATGAGTCACTCTGGCGCTTGATGCCGGAGCAGGGCACAGCCGCAATTGATGATACGAGCACTCCAACCACTTGCAGGTTTCAACGACCACTATTCATGGAGTCGATCTGTACAAGCCACTATGACTCTTATCATAGATCTCTTCGAAATTGGCATTGCAGGGGAAAGCCTCAGAAATTTCATGAGAATAAAAAATGTTCGTCAACAATGTCATTTCAATTTTTGATGCTAGGTTATCGTGCCCTTTCTTCGCCCAGAAGCCAGCATGCAAGGCCAACGTTTCCCATCCCAGGTTTAACCTAATCGTACTGCCTCGCCTTCATCATCCCAGATATCTAAGTCAGGCTTGGGTGCGACACGCTCGTCTTTGAGCATTCGTGAGTCTTTCCGGACATCCTCGCCCTCGAATTCCAAACGAGCCTTGGGCTCCAGGGCTTCCAGCACGAAATCTTTTTCTCCCGGAAACACGAGATCATAGGGTTAGCAGTGAGGTTGATGGGCTGCGAGGCAAAAGGAGAATACAAATGAATGCCGAGTCCGTCTCTTACTTACGGTTATCGCAGTGCGGACAATACTCGTCGCTGTCTTCAAACTCGTTCATATCCTTGCGGAAGCACTTTTTGCATTTCTTGCATGCGAACACCATCTCCATAGCCTGTTTCAGTGTGTGGCTCTGCGATTCAGCGTGGCACTGTGCGCAGTCGAACCAGAGCTTGCAGCATGGTGATCGGATCGCCACTTGGGCGTTGAGGATATGTTTGCTATCGGAAACATGACCATCAGTCACCAGAATTTATCATGTTCACGTTTGCTTGACACTCACCACATGATGTTGTAATGCGTTCGTTATTTCTGGTCGCTGTGGAGGGCAAATTGCTTGACAGCCTGTGGAGACGGATGACTTGCAGGACCCTGGAAAAAAGGTAGTCTGCCCGAGTGTCACGGGTGGAAGATCAACGCCACGCCAGAGAAAATGGGAAAGGGCGTCAACATCATGTTTCGAAATATTTTTTGATAACCTTGGAAAGCTTCATTACGTGATCCAGATTTATTACTGTGCTTGCGTATGAACGGCAGACTTTTCAGAATGTTCGCTACCGGGGGCCGTAATGTCCATCGACTTCAATTCCCAAAGATATAACAAGGACAGTGAAGATGATACACGACAGGGACCAAGTTCTGTTCAAAGGCGATTGACGTAGGAGATCTCCCATGATTGGATGCTAGATAATGAACAGTCTTGTAGGTCAAGCATAGGCTGTTTTGGCAATTGGGAGCAACCCGAAATAGTAAAATTTACGTGTCAGGAATGAGCATATTGAGCCTTCTGATCTCCGTCCATCGCGTCCAGGCGCCCATCTCCAGTACGTTCATACGTCTCATCTTTCCCGATGGATTGCCGATTATGACCGGCCGCCAATCCTCCGGGTTGGTCGAAGCCGGTCCAGCGCTTGACGCATCGAGTGACCTTTCACCGGACCCCCCTGGACCGTTGGTGTAATTCGGGATGACCTGGACTTGCTTCCACCGCCAGATGATGGTGAGTAATAAGACCGTAACGCCGAGGACGATTCCAGCGACAACTGCGATGGCCGTCTGTGCCCCGTACGTGCGTGTTACGATCCCTGATACGCCAGTGGCGGCAGCAGAGAGGAAGAAACCCAAAGCTTGTGCAGCAAAGAATGCAGCACAAACACGAGGAAATGAGGAGTAGTTCGTGCGGCGGCGCTGTGCCGTGGATGACATCGATTGTAGACGATGCTTCGTGTTGACTCCAGGTTGCAGGTCGCATGTGTCGAATGTTTCCATAATGAGACCGATACATTCTGCAATGCCCAGGTCGGTGAGAAAGCCAAGCAGGCCTGCGAAAATTACAGCTGGTACCCAGGTCAGCGGTGGTCCGCGAGCTGACAAGCAATAGCCAAGAGCGGCAAATGGCAGTAGCAACGTGAAGATCGAACGCCGGAGCAGATGTGAAGTCCATGTGATCCTTGGCTGAAACGTCATGCTATCTGTACGTGGAGAGGCGACGCGCGAGCGACTGAACCACGATGCCTTGGTCAGTGGCAGGGCGAGTACAGCACCAACTGAGATAGACAGTGTAGCGAGTCCGACGTAGTGGGACTGCCATTGGTAGTCACGCGATAACAGAGCGCCCAAGAACTGCAGCATTGTCAGTGAAATCAGACGGCCATGTGCTGGAAATACAACTTACCAGCAGGATAAGGTTGAGTTCTGCCTTGACCCAGGCCAAATACCACATGAGAATAAAGAAACCTGGCTGGAACGCCAGCCGCTTCATCAGAATCATCCCAGCCCACACCTCCTCGAACCACCATTTCGGACCATCGTTGGAAATGTGCAACTTGATTTCGCCTCTTGCGACTCTTCGCTTCACCGTCTCTGGATCTTCCTCGTCTACGAATTGTGTTATTGAGCGACGATACGGAGCTCGTCGAGTCTCCGGAGCCACGACGTTGATCAGGAGGAAGAATGCAAGCAAAATCACGACGATATAGAAACCCCAACTTGGGCCCAGGCCGGAAATGATGCACGCACCAACACAAAACCCGATTGACAAGGAGCTGGTAAAGCAGAACACCCAAACACCCAGCCAAACTCCTATGCCACCTCCTTGACGACGGACATCATCGTATATGACGATTTCTTGGTGTGGTTGCTCTGACATGAGTGACGCCCCGAACAAGTCGAACAGAGTCGGAAGAGTATTGATGTTGACAAAGCCGAGAGCGAAGCCAGTAAAGAAACGGGGCAGCAGCAGTCCGACCCGGTGGGACATAGTAGGTGAGCGATATTGTGAGACGGTGATGGCTTGTGGAAATTGCAGAGGGAGCATACACGCGAAAGAGAGCAGCGTGTATGGCTTGCGTCCGTGTAGCAGTGGTAGAGGCCAGAAGAGTAGTGTGCTGAGCCCAAGTCCGGAGAATAGACTGCCACCTGATCAGAGTTTACTCGCAGAAAACGCGAACAAGGGGGAAATCCGTACAGTACGTTTCCCGAGATGACCCAATGTGACTGATCTGCGAGCTGATACTGAATGCGAGGTACCTCGCCAGCCTTGAAAATGATCAGCAAGATAACAAGAACTTTATCATCGCGGCTTACATAAACCCCCACAATGAACCCGATGAAGATGGTGTTTAGACAGGCAATCAATGCTGTCAGCCTTTTGCGACGGAGGCTCTACTCTCGTGCGATGGGTTGACGGCGGTGTGATCGACCGAGACTGAAGCCTTGGTCTTCGTTCAGGCTGATGTGATTCCTACGCGGATTCTTTAAGCTTTGATTCTCGGTGGAGACAGCAATGGGCGAACCACTATACCTCTGCAATTTAGAAACGGGATGTTCTGATATGAGAGTGGGCGCATGCTCATCATACCTGTTATCCAATTCGTCGCCTGGAGCGGCCTCGCTAACAGTCTTTGTCGTGTAGAAAACCTTGTCGTTGAACTTGCTTGGGGGCGCTGGACTGTGCAAGTGATGATGACTGCTATGGAAAAAGTGTTTATGATACGAGTCATGTCCTGCATCCGGGAGCGCCGTAGGAAATGTTGTCGTGCGTTCAGGAACTGCATTGATAGGCGCAGGGTCGACTTCGCGAAGACCATCAGATCGTGTCTGCTTTGGCTGGTGACGTGCATGACGTTTGTCACGGCCTGATGTCCTGGGCTGCAAGCTCTCAGATGAAGTCTGACTGGCTCTACGATGTCGCTTGCGCCCAACACGCCGATTGTGTCGTCGTTTGAGACCATCAGAAACCGACTCATCATTGAATTGCGAAGGTAGAGGCGGCAGTGGTTTATTTATAGCCGCCACACTCTTTCTCACGCCTGGTTGCGAGGCAACTGACTGGCCTTGATCACCATAGTAGTTTGCTGCTTCGCCGAATTGATGCTCTAAGGGCGCTGATTGCGTTGAGGCCTTTCGTTTGCCAAGTTTGGGATACGCAAAATCGCGGACCATAGAATTGGCAGAGGGAGGCTGGTTTAAACGAGGAGACGAGTGTGGAATCGACTCATCCGCAGATGACGAGTGACCAGAGTGCGATTGTTTGGATTTTCTACCATTGTTGACAGATCTCATGGGTAGCATGCTGGACTTGGTACTCTTGGTATATGTCGTGGGGAGGGTGTCAGCTGATGGTTTCACTCGAACACCGGCGGAGTCGTCAGAGAGGGACTCGTCGTCGGAATAGCTGGAGCCCTGCGTAGACCTGCCCAAAGGCTGGCGCATTCCATCTTGGACAGAGCTCGCATCTCTGAGCGCCAAGTTCGCTTTGTCCAAGACATGTATGACTTCTTCGCGTTGACCGGACTTAGAAGCACTTTCGGCTAAGTTCAGAGCCTCTCCTATGAGATTCTCGTGCACAGTGACGGCTTGGTTGAGCGAACTAGAATTGTTGGCTGCTATAGGCCGTCCGCCGTGTCCTACAGAGCGCTGAAACTCACCTGCCGATGTCGCTTGCGATGAAGAACTTGATGTGCTCAGCAGGTGTGTAGGAAGTGTAGGCAACTGTGAAGTATTCCGCGTTTGGCCTAACGGTTCCGTCATGCGGCAAGAAGAAGCTATCTCGCGAGCCGCCGGCGTCGGCTGCTTGGGTGATTCTCTACTTGCATCGTAAAGTTCTTTGCCGTTATCATGGGCAGTGAGCTTGACGTTGGAGACTGAATCTGATGCGCGACAATCATTCACCCCCGGAGGAGTCGCACGTGGAGAGACATCCTCGTCGAACGGAAGGTCCAGTTCGGTCTGAAGTAGGTCACTGATCAATTTGAACGGTGTTGAGCGCTCGCTGACCTGCGGCGGCTGTCCGTACAGCATAGGTCCTTGCAAAGGTGCCTTCGTCGCGGCCGTAGCATCGGTCTTCGGAGCAAGACCAGAAGTGAGAACCGGCGACTCTCCGTAGGGAGCGAGTGTGTGTGCGTCACCAAGTCCTACGCTTTTCCGCCTGATTAGTCTCGACGAAGGCTGCGATGGAACTGTACGTAGGTCAGGCGTCCGTTGTGAACGTGGTTCCGTTGTTGGCAAAGATCCAGGCATGTGAAGAACCCAATCTCCGATCGGATAAGCATTAGGGGCTGCTGTCGGTCCAGATGCAGACGTAGAATCGTTTGTCGGTAAAGCAGGCGGATCAGGCGGCGCCATTCGCAGGCTTTTCGGTGGCTGGTGCGCGTCACCCTCGAGCCATGGGAGCTTCTTGCGCGGAAGAAAAATCGTAGTTCGATCAGTATCAGTGCCGTTGTTGCTTTGTACGCCGTGTTTTCGAGACGCGTCTGCTTTTTCGAATGATCCCCGTCGTTCTGGCAAATTCGTTGCCATGGCACACCTGAGGAGCGTCTTCTAATACTAAACTGCGAGCGGCAAAAGGTAACGGGCTACACGAGCTCTTCCCTGCAGTATGTGCGCATCTGTGCAGCTAGTCGAATGAGATCAAGGAGTGGAGGAATAGGGGAGAGCGCAAGAATCGTAGAAGGAAATATGTAGTTTGCGGATAAAGAATGGCTGCAGACAAGGAGATTCTCTGTTTGCTTAAAGTATATCTTGCAGGTCCGGCGACGCATCTTCTGCAGAGTCTAGGCAGAAGGGTAAGTCCGGAAACTTACAACTTGAGCAAGAACGATTGATCGGCCGCTCACCAGATTATTAGTTCCAACAAGCTACCTGGGTATCACCATACTCTGCCTCGTCACAAAAGGTTTCCTGCGCACTGATTCATTCATCATATTTGACCTTGCCTTCGCTGACGTCAGGGTACACATCAAATCTTCGTTGTGTGTAAATTGGAATTCCTTTCCTCGTCTCCTCAATCTTTTTGTCATCAATTTCCGCATATGCAATGCCTTCCTGCTCATCGAGCTGAGCCTGTACTGCCGCCATGGGGTCCACAATGATCGAGTGACCCCAGGCATGATAGTCCGCACTCATGTCTCGAGCAGGACTGCACAGCCCTACGTAGATCTGATTGTCCATGGCTCTTGCTCGCGCTTGCAATTCCCAATGCAGCTCACCAGTTGTGAGGTTGAACGCGCCAGGGTAAACGAGCAAGAAACAGCCCTTCCTCGCTGCAATCATTGCCAATTCCGGGAAGCGCACATCATAACAGATCGCAACTGCAATCTTACCGTACTCGGGCAGATCGACGATGGTGACCTTGTTGCCAGGCGAGAGTGCATCGCTCTCCTTGAATGTAATCTTTCCCGGGATGTCTATGTCGAACAGATGAACTTTACGATGGGTTGCGAGCAATTTACCATTCGGATCGAACGTCAAAGAAGTGTTGTAGTATTTCTTTGTCTCTTCACCGTATTCTGGGATGCTCCCGCCGATCAGGTAGGCTTTGGCTTCTTTGGCAAGAGCGGAGAGCGCGTGGAAAGAAGGCGATTGCTCTTGCGAAGGTGGTGAGGGCAAAAGGGTTTCTGCGTACTTCGGGAAGTACTTGGTGCCGTATGGCGAGTTAAAACACTCGGGCAGGACCACAACGTTCGCTCCTTGCGACGAGGCCTCAAGCACCTTGGATCTCGCTCGTGCGAGATTAGCAGCCTTGTCAGCGCCTGTCGCCAATTGGACTAAAGCCAACTTCAGCGGCTTCTTCAATAATTTCGCCATCACTGCTGCTTCCACTCCACGCGATGAACGTCCGAGGCAACGAAGCGATGTTGGGATCTATGTAAATCTCCTTCGCAAGTGCCCAGGTATTTATGGAGGTAGTTGAGGAGCTCAACAAGTATGTAGCAATCAAGGGCGCACTGGCCAACCAAGCAAGAATGACGTCCAGAAATCCGCAACGTGATTTCCAATGGCGGGGATATTTATTGTATTCATAGCCCCATTAACAAGATCACGCGTAGTTCCTGTATGACAAGACGAATGTGACATATTAGATATTCCTTGTACTCTTCGTAGTTCGCTTGTACACGTGAAATGAAAACTCGGCTCGACTGTAGTGCGGCACAAACACATTATCCTGCTCGTAGTCTAGACATCGAGCGTGCAGACGTGGACTGACGCGAGTACCAGATAACTGCGCTTAAGCTAAACATATACCTGGGAAGATTTCACAATCAAAGACAGTTGACCCAGCGCCCAGGTCTTCCGCCTTGATGTCCATAGATATCAACTGGGAGACGCTCACCTCCGGGCCTGATGGCGCGGCCTTGGCCGATACCGTTCGTGATTTCATCCATGACCGCTTCCAATCGATTCCTCTTCCCAAGCTGATCCGCTCTGTCAATGTCCATAAATTCGAGTTCGGAAAGACTGCACCTGAGATCGTGCTCAAGGATATCTGCGATCCGCTGCCTGACTTCTATGAATCCGACGATGAAGAAGCGAACAGCGATGCGGATCCAGCGAAGGACATGAGCCCAAGGACGGAAGAGGCACCCCCGACCACCAGAAACACTCGACCGAATGCAAGAAATGTACAAGCCTCAGGTCGGACATTTCCCGTGGATCTACAAGGAAACTTGGGCAATCTACCGGCCCCTGGACTCATGCGTGCGACCTCGAATTTGGGATACTTCCAGCATCTTTCGGCCGGTCTTTCGGGCTCTCAGACACCTCTGGCCGCTGTGGCCGGCGCGCATTTTCAAACAGGACCCCCACCTACCTCCGGAAATCACCATCATCATGCAGAGTCTTTCAGCTCGATCTCACCGCCTCCATCGGATACTCCGACATCCTTACGAGAGCACTCGTACTACGAACCTTCCAATGAAGCAATCGCCGACGACCTCGATGGACAGTCTGAGGCAGAGAAGCCTCAACGACCGGAAAGCAGTCCCGAGGATGTCCAGATAGTATTTCACGTCACGTACTCAGGCGATATAAGATTGTCCTTGACCGCTGACGTGTTCCTCGACTACCCAATGCCGAGCTTCGTCGGCATTCCTCTGAAACTACGCATCACCGGCATCACGTTCAACGGTGTGGGCATCGTGGCGTACATCAAGAAACGAGCACACCTATGCTTTCTCAGTCCGGATGATGCAGAGGCGCTGGTCGGAGGTGAGACGCTCGAGTCTCTGGACGATTCAGGCGAGAAAGACGACACGGCTCGTCCGAAGAAAGTGGGCGCGCTTCTCGAGGATATCAAGATCGAGAGTGAAATGGGAGAGACGGATACAGGGAAGCAGGTCCTCAAGAACGTCGGTAAAATCGAAAAATTCATCTTGGAGCAGGTTCAGCGCATTTTCGAGGACGAGTTCGTGTATCCAAGCTTCTGGACATTTTTGGTGTAGAAAACAATGCCATCTGGAGAGGTATCAGATGCTCGTTGTACCATGAAGCTATCACGTAGGAACCGTTCCGCCCTCGTCCTAATTGCCTGTCCCGTTTTCTGAGGCATAATGAGATCAGGCGCACGTACAAAAAGTGACGTTCTGAAAAGTGGAACAAAGAAAAGTGTTTCCGCTGACTGAGCAGCCTTCGTCTCGACAACTTCCGAATAGAAGCAACGCATATGCCCCGTTTATAGGTACAGCAGGATTTCCCAGCCTGCGACTGATTTAAATGTACATGATGCGATTCAACAGCATCTCAGAGAGGTCTACCTATCGCAGCTCAGAAGAGAAATCGATCACCAATTGTACCATGCCCGGTGATTCGTGAGGGGTCGATCGGGTAGGTGCTGCCAAACCCTCGCGCCCGTCCGAGCCTTCTTCCTCTTCTCTTCCCGCTCACTCCACTCTCGTATCCTGGTCTTCTCCTCTTTCAAGACGACACTGAGACTCGTGAAGGGTGTGCGCATGAGGTAAACTCTGCCTCGAGCGCGATAATCCGGCAGTTTTCCGTAGGGGCCACGTCCGACCCAGGCCTGGTCAATGTAGATATCCGTTGGGCTCGAGACCTTGTAGCGACTGCCAGACTTGAGCTGGATATCGACGGGGTTGAACTCCGGTTTGATCTCTTCGAGTTCTTCTTTTCCTACTTCCGCCAATAATGCTTCCTCCGATGATTCCTCCGCCGATGAACCTTCCTTGCTGACCGGGCTGGTAGCATTGAGGCCAAGACCCATACCGCGCATGACAATGGCCTGATCGCGAGCATACTCGAGTTGTTTGAGAACCTCTCGCGCAACAGCTTTCTTGCTGAAACGCATTTGAACAATGGCATCATCAATCCTCTTGCCAGCGATCTGCCGGGCGAGCATGCCCAACTTCTTGACCGATGTCTTCATGTTATGGCTCCGTACCAAATGTTCTCGCTCCGTCCGTTTTATCACTAGTTCTCTGTTCACGCGCCCTCTGCGCCGAACCGTTTCAACGACCTTCTTCGCCATGAACCTCGCACGCTCCGCTGGTACGGGATCAAGCACAGCTGCGAGAATCGCCGGGTCTGCAAGGTTCTTCATTTCATCTTCCTGTTCCTTTCTGGCGTCGTTCAATTTCTCCTGAGCGATCCGATCATCTTCGAAAATCGAGCTTTTGTCCAAGGCGCCCGATTCAGGCATTGCTTGCGCCTTTCTTTTGACTCGTGCTTGCTGTGCTGGCGAGAGTACCTTCTTGGCCATTCTCGCTTTGTACTCGTCGAGAACGGGATTGCGGATTGGCTTGTCACCGCTTTCGTTGGCATCGACTCGAGTCTGCTGTGAGAAGTTTCGACATGGGAGAGGTGTGCTCAGAGATATCCTTTCGGCGAAGACTCGTTTCATGCATTGCGTCACGAGACGCCTTTGAGACGTCGACATATTGTGGGTTGGGTGCTCCTTGCGGATGCAATGCACACGCCAGAACACTAGGTGTTGAAGGAGGATCAATTGATGGAAAATGCCTGATGCCGTTCAAGTTCGTGCCCGTTGCATGAGCGCCAGACGATCGGAGAGTGACATTGTCCGCGGTCGATCCCGCGGTCAAAACTTCGGCGACATCCCCATTTAGAAGCGAACCAAGACACCATGAACATCCGAATAATAATAATGCTCGGATATATTGCTGCCTGAGGTATGAACCATTCCTGCCCTATCTAAGCGGTATCCTGGTCATTGGTACAGAGGCAGGGAGGAATGAAATATGCAGGTTTGTACCTTGCTCCGGGACGATCGCATCGCGTCGGAATCCTGCGACTGAACGAATATTGCATGTCAGACACGGAACGTCAGTCTGTTCTGCCGGTGATCGCCCTGGGGAGTGTTGCAGCGCCGACAGGAGATGGAGTGCATCACATGCATCTCGGCGTGCGCTGCAAAAGAATCCGGCAAGTTTACTCTACAAGTATGTTCAGTGTTCACAACAAACAGAGCCGACCACCGCCCAGACGTCCATGCAAGGATCATTTTAAAAATCCCGTGATGGCTGCTGGGCACCGGACCCCCGTCCGCCGATGGAGATCGGGCTGTATGTGCCGTGATAAGTTGTAATTGTGTTGAGCACCGATGAAACAACCTTGGGATGCAGTCATGATAACCCGGGTTCCTGTCAATGGCGCAACGATGAGCGGAGCCAGGCACGATCGATCCACGATAACAACCTGGTAATACCAGTGGTCATGTAGGTGTTCAATGGTCTGGTGAATAGCATTGAATTCTTCAGGAAGTTATAACCGAGGGCCGATCTCCTCAACCACATCCGACCCATGTTGCGATGACGCCTCCTGAGATTCCACGTCATGCATGTACTTTGGCCTGTTGAAGGAAGTGACTGGATACGGTACAACACATATCCTGCTGAGGATTCTCGACAAAGTTGACTCCTGTGGCTCGCGCGGGTACTGGAAGCGAAGATCAGCAGAGCAGCCAAGAACATTTGTTCAATAGCTGCCACTGCGATGTCGGATTAGTCGATTAATGGAACCAAAAGTCCGTTAATGGGGAATCGATGCTCTCTTCATTGCAAGCGAGTTCAACGAACGAACGGTGTCATCACCATATGTACAATGCAGGCTGTAGTTTACTCCTCGAGCTGTACCTGGCTTGAAGTGGACATGGATGCGAATCAGCTGGAGGTTGGCGTGAAGGTGGAGGTGGACTGTACTGCGCTGTGCTGTACTGTACTGTACTACTGGAGGGAGACGAGGGAGCTCCAGGGCTGGTTTGATTCGGTCGGGCGCAACTCTTGGCTACCGCCCTGCCCTGCCTCCGCCGGACCAATTGCCCGGTCAAGATTCAGAAAAAGTGCGTCCCAGTCCAGTCGAAGGGTGCTCTGGTAGTATATACAATACTTCACGTGAAGGATCATCCGTACGCTGCTCAGGTGCAAATATCGTTGCACACCTGGGCAGTCTGGTAGTTCAGAACCAAGGCCGAAGCCCACATCATCAGTAGAACCGGAGAATTCAGACGAGAGTTTCATCTTCACGGGCACGTTCGCTGATGACAAAACACCCATCAGCATTCAGCAGCGGGCGTCATCAACCACCATCCGTTGTCTACTGCACACCTGCGCGCAACCTGCAACCTGCCGTCTCTCCTGCTCCTCCTCTTCCTCCACCTTGTTCTCCTCACCTTTATTCTCGTCACCACCGACACCACCACGGCGCATTTGGTCTTTTGTCTTTTCTGCATTTATCCGCTCAGTACACGCGCGAGCGCCCCCGAGACTGGTTTTTCTCCGCTGTTCTCCATCCTTTCGCAAGTGTGCGCACTCATTGTACAGCTCTGCCTTGTACTCACCTCACACTTTGTCAGCCGCATCGAATCATCAAACTTTCGCTTCCCGTCCGTGAGCGGCTGGTCTAGACCTTCACTCAGGAAGTGTCGCAATAAACTTGTGTCAGCTCATCCTTCGACTGCTGCAGTGCCGAGTGTTGCGCAACGCCTTGTTCGCACGCCTAATTCATACAGTCATCGAGGCTTCCGTGACTCGCTTTTATATTGCCTTGGACGTTTGCAAATGCAGAACGACCACACCGCATCTGACCAACTGTGTGGATCGTGAAGCGCTCTTCATCCGCCCTCCGCGATATGAATATCAACGCGCTCCTGTCGCCGGACGACAGCAGACACGCGAGGCCTGTGCAACCAACACCCGCTGCGCCAGCGAACGAATATTCACAGACCCAACATCAAGGGCACCAATATCAGCCTCATCCTAATTCCCAACAATATCCGCCTTCAGATCCATATCAGCCTCAGCAGCAGCTGCAACAACCGCAGCAATATCAGCACACTTATTCGTCGCATCATGGAATGCTAAATCATCAACCGCCTCATCAAGAAGCACACCAGCAACAAACAGCCCATCAACAAGCACCCCATCCTCAAGCAGCTCATCAACAAGCACTCCATCAACAAGCACTTCACCACCAAATATCCCACCATCAACCATCTCATCAGCAATCGCCACATTTGCAAGCGCACCATGTACAGGCTCATCAGCAGCAGCAGCAGCAGCAGCAATACCAACAGCCTCCACCTCTGCCGCAAGCTAGTAACTCTCAGCATCGAGCCCGACAATTAGCGTCCAGCAGCAGACACTCGCCTTCGGGCCTAAGCCACGAGGTATCCCGGTCACCTGATCGTGTAGATTCATCTTCAACGCAGTATGCAAACCCTCCCATCCAGCATGTCGGCGGCAATTCCAGGAGTGTAAGGCGTCAAGTCCTCAATGCAGAGTCGTCGCCGACAAAGGGACTGGGAGACGCTCATCAGCGCCCACAGCCCACAAGCAATCCAGCCCCGACTATGAATTACACAGGACCTGTGTCGCATCGTCCTGCGGCTCCCCATCGACCCGTGTCAAGCCCTCAGGTGGACTTGGCTCCTGGTGAGTAATTCAACCCTATCCTCATTGATGATCTGTTGTACGTGCGCTTCTCGGCTGACCTCTCACTAGATCGCGCGTCAGCCCACCATCGTAAACAAGCTCACCGGGCCCAGTCCGCAAATGATGTGCGAAACACTGAGCGTCGCGATACGCAACCATCTCCGCTGCCGTCTCCGTCTGCAGCAGAACCGCATCCTATCGTTCGCAACCTTTCCCGGCAGTCTCTTGCCGAACTGACCTTAGCTGATGCGCCTGCTCCAACTCCGCCGCCACGTGATGTCTCATCGTCAGCCTTCTCAGCAGCTGAATCTAAGACTGTGACTGAGCTCCTGAGTTATCTGGGATCAAATCCGTATGCGTACGACCAGCATGTGCAATTGGTGGGCTTGCTCCACAAAGGATTTCTTGCTCACGTCCATTCATCTGATACGGCTGCTTCTGCGACCCACGCCAAAGACTATTCCTTGTTGGTAGAACTTCGGCAGGCACGTGAGGCGCTTGACACCCGCTTTGCGGTAGGCGAGGATATATGGTCCGACTGGCTCTCCGATGAAGTTCTTCTCGCGACTTCAACTGAAGAACGTATGACTGTGACTGAGCTTTTCCAAAGAGCGGTTCAAGATGAGCCAATGTCGGTAAAGCTTTGGCTAGCGTACAGCGAATGGATAGCGGTCAACCACGCAGCTTGCTATGACTCTTCTGGTTCGATAGCACCAGGTTGGACTGCAGAGAGCATATCAGAGTGCCAGGAACTGTTCACTAAGGATACGTTGCGAAGCGTTCTGGAACAGGCAGTCATTGCAACCCGTTGGCGAATCGACGAGAGTCACCTCCTTTGGTCCCGCTTAGTGCCTCTGGTCCTCGACGAGCTGCCGCAAACGCCATCGTCCGACGACGTGGAGCGTTTGCGCACATTCTTCTTGCAGCGTATGCAAATACCACATGCCGAGCCTCACCTGATTGAACAGGCGTTTTGGTCGGCGATTTCGAGGTTTCAAGGGGCGGAGTGGGAGACCGTCATGGAACACGCAAAGCACCACGCCGAATCTTCAAAGGAAGAATCCAATAGACGTAAAGATGGTGAATTCTCGTTGCAGCGAGCGACGCAAGAGTCAGATTCTCAAGCAATACGGAAAGCGTTCGAAAAGTACTTGCTAGCCGAGAAGTTTCGCAAGCCCCGGGGCAATTTCTACTACGAGCTTCGATGCGCGCTCTACGAGCGAGCTCTACTCCGGTTTCCAGTCGAGGCTGCATGGTGGCTGGACTACATTGATTTCGCCATGAGTGCTCCGGAATCGGAGAATATTTCACTCTTACCTCTCATCGAACGAGCGACTCGCCACTGCCCAGGCTCTGGTGACCTGTGGTCGCGGCGCATCCTCCGTGCCGATGTAGAACGAAAATCACGAGACGAGGTAGAAGCCATCAAGCATCGTGCTACTAATTCTGGCCTATTGGACCTCGGCGGCATGGAAGAAATGGTTAAGATGCTACAACAGTGGTGTAGCTACCTACGTCGCCACGCTTTCAGTCGTATCAATTTAGAGGATGACGTCGACACTGCCGAGTTTGGAATCATGTCTGCTCTCGATGATATCCACCAAGCTGGCAAGATGATCTACGGACCTGATTTTCCCGGAGATCCTCTATTCAGGTTGGAGCAAGTACAAATCAAGTTCTACACCGAGAGTCGGCGCACGGACGAAGCTCGCAAGATTTATGAGTCCCTCGCCCAGCAACAGCTGTACGCACGATCGTACGATTTTTGGAACAAGTATTACAACTGGGAACTATGGCTCTGGGGATTTGACCGACTGGTAGAAAAGCATCGAGTGGAGACTATCGAGAACGGACCGCATCGCGCCACAAAGGTCGTGCAGAAAGCACTTGCTCAAAAGACACTGGATCTTCCTGGCAGTGTTTTGGAGCTATATTTGTACCATTTCCAGCAGCATGAGTCAGCAGAAAAGCTGCAAGCGGCGTTGGTCGATTCGAGGAACTTCACGCTGAGACTCGCCAAACAAGCTGCCAAAGAGGCTGCAGAGGCTGCAGAACTACAAGCACAATATGCGGCAGCGGCAGTCGTCGATCCAGTATCTGCGCAGGTGAAAGAAGAGCCTGTCAAGGGAGAGAAGCGCAAGCGCGAGGAAGAAACCCTGACAGATGACAATGAGAGCGCAAAGAAACCAAAGGTTGATGGGGACGATAAGGTCGAAGGAGATCACGGCAAACGCGACCGCGAGCACAACACCGTTTCATTGAAGAATCTCCCTATTGGAACAACAGAAGAAGACATCAAAGACTTCTTCCAGGACTTTGGCACCATACTCGCAATCAATGTATTACCAATCATCGGAGCTAACGACAGGTCCACCACTGCTACAGTTGAATTTGAGTCTCACGCCGACGCGACATCATCTATCATACGCAGTGGTAAGCAATTGAAGGGGAATGAAATCACCGTTCACAGCGGTGGTCAAAATGTCCTCTACGTCTGCAACTATCCGCCCGAGTATAGCGAGGATGACATTCGAGGATTGTTCAAGCACTATGGGGAGGTCGCCAGCGTTCGATTTCCATCTTTGAATCTCAATTCTCGGCGTCGCTTCTGCTATGTGTCTTTCCTCACGGCGGAGATGGCGAAGAGCGCCGAGGCGGCTGTAGATGGAAAAAAGCTTGACGGCGTGCACACTCTGATTGCCAAAATCTCCGATCCCAATGCGAAGAAACACCGGAGCGGTCCCCAAGAAGAGGGCCGTGAGATCTTCGTGAAGAACATCGATCGCAACGGGACTGAAGAGGAGATCAACTTGTTCTTTGCCGAGTATGGCAAAATCGAGTCCTTCCACCTTCTGCGCCACGTCAATAAGCAGTTGACCGGTACAGGATTTTTTGTGTACGAAACTGCAGGCGAAGCCAACGCGGCCGTCGAAGGGGCAAACCAAAAACCGTTTCGCGACCGCGTTTTGACAGTCCAGTTGTCGACGCCAAAGGGCAAAATCGCTCCCCTTGATCGTATGAAAAAGCAGGATATTCTCATCAAACAGCCTGGCGCAACTCCAGAGCCGGCCGACCGTAACGGCGACACTCATGACCGTCGTGATTCCGACATCTCGATGTCCACCTCGACAGCACCCCAACAAGCCGATAGCGAATCTCACAAAACCATTCGTGAACGCAAGATAGCCATCTTCAATCTACCTGACACGGTCAACGATGCGCGAGTGCGTTCAGTCATGGAGCACTATGGGCCCCTTACAAAGATTCAGATGCGTCGGGACATTCAAGGCGCGATCGTGGAGTTCACCAATCTCAAGGATGCCTTCAACGTTCGACAGGGCGTGGACGTCAGCAGTCTCGGAACTGGGGTCGTCACAGGTGATGTCGGCGACCTTTTAGCAATAAAAAAGAATAAAAAAGCGGCTGCTGTCGGCGGTGGCAGTGGTGGAGGCAGCGCTCTCTCAATGATGCCGACTTCCATCGCGAAAGGTCTCGGTGGAGGACGAGGGCGCGGCGGACTAGGAACGAAGCGAGGCGGTGGTAGAACCCCGTACAGCGCTGCACGCTCGGAAGAAACGCCCGCAGCTAGCAAGACTCCTGCCGCAACCGTCGACGGTGAAGCAAAGAGCAATGCGGACTTTCGACGCATGTTTGCGGCATCTGCGACAGAGAGCAAGGGGGAATGACAGGCGGCGGGGCCCCAGTAGCTTCTTTTTGTACAACATCTTTTATTCAGAGATCAGGGAACAATCGTTTTGTGGCGGCGTTCCACATTGAAGTGAAAAGAAAGAGTTTTGCATTTGATCGAAAGTTTTATGCCAATCTATTTGACCACCCGCGTGCATTCGAATTTGCTCTTCAATCCACAAGGAAAATTATTATGTGTGACCAATGATAATAATTTGCATCTCTCACGAGGACGCGAATCGCTTCCCTATACCACGGACGGACTCGGATGAATCATGCACTTCGTTTAGAGGAAGAACGAACCCGCCTTGTCAAGGAAAAATCCAATGTATGCTCGTAAAGAAATGTAGAGTTTTTACAGCACTAATACATAATTACTCCAACATAATCCAACAAGCAAAGAAAACCCGGCGAGGCGTTACTAACCAAGCCGTCACACGAGCACAATGCGTGTCTCGTCTTCTCCTTTCGCCAGCGGCTCAGACCTGACGTCTGCATCCTCCTCGACTTTTTTTATGAAAAACAAGTTTTAAGTGCGACATTAAATGAAGGTACGACGACATTGTGGAAAAGAAGAATCGAAGCGTCGCAAATGTGAGAGCTCGCGAGCAACCAAGAGGCATAGCGTTTTGCCGTTTCCAAAGGCCGCAATGAAAAAAAAGTACATACACATAGGGGAAAATAAAGATAAAAGTGTTCCTCGCGAAGAGGATGAAATGGGAGAAGTGGTCTGAAAATGACAGGCTGCCAGAAAAGGCGAGGGCGAAGAAAATGAACTAGAGAAGGAGTCGTTGGAAGGCGCTGAAACGCAAGATTGGGATTGAAACCCGGGAGGGGCACAGACGTCCGTTGTGGTTCTGTGTCAGCTCCTGGATCCCATCAGGTTCGAGAGAAAATCTTCGAACGGGCAGAATGCAAAAAGCGAGAGCATAAGGGGTTGAAGGCTGGGGGCAAATCAGACTGTGTCAAGTAATGAAGAAGTTGATCACATGTCCAAATAAGCCGATTTGGCCTCTCGGCGCGCTGAGTCGCGTGCAAGACGACTCTTGGGCGTAAAGATCGCCCACCATTTCCGCTTGCCTTCGGAACCTGCGAGTGTGGTGGCACCCGTGGCCTTACTGTTGCGGCTGTTGATCGAGAGCGGGGTCTGTGGCGTAGACTTGGTGCGATTTACGGCTGCTGGGAGAGCAGAGGGCGTATCGTTGTTGGTCGCGGCGATCGCGGCAGCTGTGGCTCCAGGGGCGGCATCCTGAAGCATATCCGAGACGGTTCGCGGAGGCTGTGGAAGTGCGGAGAGTGTGTTGTCGTCTCGGTCGACCCCTCGTTTCGCCACACTTACGGCATCGGCTCCGTGGGTGTTGAGGACCGGTAAGGCGGTGTCGGAGTGCGAAGGCGCGCCGGCGCCGTTTGGCAACGGTCGATCCTGAGGCGGCCCTGTGGTGCGAAGGAAGTCTACCATGCTCTCCTCGGTCCGACGAGGCCTTGGAAGTGCAGTGAGAGGGTCATCTTCTCCGTCCTCGAATGCAATGTCTGGAATTAAAGCCGTAGAGGAATTGGTCCCGCGCAAAGTGGGCACGGCCGGTATCGATGACTTCCGAGGTGGAGGTATGATCGGGCCGCTGAGACTTTGCGGTCGCCCGCTGTGCGCGGGATGGACGAGCTTGTCGGCGTTGCTCGGCTCGTGCATACTGAGCTTGCGCAATGATCGCCCTGAAATCGATCGGGCCCAGGATTTTCGTTTTTCGGTCTTGGAAGTTTTGGTCGATGCAGCCTCAGAATCCGCAGCGATGCGATCGCCGTACTCTGTCAATTGGTCAGAGTCCATGGTTGTCCGGAATGGTGCCACTGAGCGTGAGATGCGATGTTCGCGTGAGCCGCGGGGCCCGTTGCGGATGAAATCAATGAGGTCCGAGGCGCCGGCCTTTGATGTCTTTGCGTCACGAGGAGCCAGCGACTTTCGCTTTTCGGGTAACAAGGGTACTGGCGGGACATCGCCGCCTGGCACAGGCGCCCTCGTGGCACTTCGAGTGGACGCAGCGCCTGGCGATGAAGGTCGGGAATTCGATCGCCCTCTGAAGCTGTTCCGAATCGAATGCAGTGAAATTGTCGACCGACGCTTCGTACTAGGAAGAGAGTAAATCTGCGACTCTTTTGTTTGCTCTTCACTTCTCTTGCCGTCTTTGTCAGGACCAGTGGATCGAATGAAGTCTGCGAAATCTTGCGTGGAATCAGTCTGCACCTGCGGCTCGCGCGCGAACAAGCCACTCCTTCTATGAATGCTATTATTGCGGGTAGGAGGGCGACTGATTGATCGGCGTTTGTCGGCCTTGCTTGTAATGTTTTCTGTTTGTTGCTGCGAGTCTTCTACGCCATCGATGGCGGATGCAGTTGCTCGTTTGACAGACTGACTGCGACTCAACCGATCGTCGCCTGCTTGCGATTGGACGTCTCGTTGAGCGGACCCATTTACCATACTATCGCTGCTGACCTTCGGCGGCAAAGTGCGTTCCCGCTCGGGTGACTATTACCAGAATTAGTTTCATCCGGGGAGCGCCGGCCGGCGTTCCGGCTATATATTTGGTACTTACCACGCCTCCTCGAACGTTTTCTGGGGTCAGTGTGTACTTGACCATATCTCCGCCTTGCACGAACATGTCGAAATCTTCTGGGCCTCTGATGCTCGCACTTGTAAGTGGATTTGACCTTTCATCGTCCTTGTTCGTTTTGCTGATGTTCTTTTTATCGGCCAATTTCTGAATGACTGGATGATCCTGCACTGGCATAACGGGTACTACCTCCGTTGACTTCTTGCCTGAAGGCCAAGTGCCATTTCTATCCAACGTTGCGCTAAATGATTGTCGCCAGGTGGATTTCTCCGGGGCCTGTGATTGTTGTTGAAGCCCATTTGCAGGCACGCTTTGACGATTTGAGGCCCTTTGTTGCGTTTCTGTCGACGCGGAGGGCTTCTCGGCTTCCCAAGATACTGGGGACACTTTGCGGTTTGAGGAATCTTCTGCGTCTAGGTCATTTTCCAAAGCGTGAGTCGCATTTGACGATGGGGACGCCTCGTCCATGCTGAGTATGAGGCGCGAGTATCGTCGTGGATTTGCGGCGCCCGTATGCTTCGTCATCATTTGATCTTCAGGGGTTTGCTGTCCACTGCGTGGTGCTGCAACCGGGGAATCTGCGGTCTGCGCGAGACCGATGGACTGAGGGCGAGCATCGCGGAGGTCTTCATCAAGGACTTCGGTGGTGATGCTTCGTCTTCCGCGCATATGCGATTGTACTGACTGCACAGAGTTGCGGTCATTGCCAGGAGCTGTAGTTTTGGGAAATAGTGAGAAGCTTTGTTGACTAGCGGTGGACTCTGGCCGAGCTGGCGAGTCAGGCAGTACGACTGGATCAGGTGAGTTAGTGCGTGGCTCCGCTGCCTTGATCTCTTCCGTCCTCTTGTTACCCTTCACTGAGAGTCTGTACTTTTGCCTCTCCAGCTCCTCGATGTTTCTGCGAGTGATAAGCATGTCGCTATCGCTTTCAGTGTTGTCCAAATTTGTTGCAGTTGCGGCGTCGGCAATGGGCACTATCGACGTTGCTTGTTCCTCGTGGGCCGCGCGTGCTTTTGATTCTCCCACGTCCGACCTTGGTACTGCTGCACTTTCCACGTTCCGTTCATCCGCGTGCACGTCAACCGCTTCCGATTGTTCGGCTTCCGGAACCTGATCCGCAGGGCTCTTCTGCTCGGATTTATTGGATATCAGGCGGTCATCAGAAACCACTTCTGTCTTGATTGAAGATCTACTTCCGTCGCGGAACGTCAAGGCTGCAGCGGAAGCTGGTAAAATGTCCACTAGCGGCTCCTTCTCTTTAGGAACGGGCTTATCGCCCACCTTTTCTCCACCCGACCCGTACACGAAGGACACTGCCGCTGCCGCAAAAGCAGACGCACCAGCTACAGCGCCCGCAACTAAGCCCTGATTGTCCTTGGAGGCCGCACCCGGCTCCTGTTGGGGCGTATTCGATGCAACATCATCGCCCTTTTCCAAGGGTTCCCGGCTTGCAGTGATTACGTCCTCGGAAGCGGCGCCGTTTTCCAGGTAGATCTCTTCCTGATGAGCCCGGCTGCCGCTGTCCTCTGTCGTGTCCTTATCGACCAGCTTCGTCAGCCTCTCCGCTGCCCCAACGACGACATCTGTCGACTCTTTCTTTTCCGTTGCAATTTCGCGTAGCGTAGGTAATGACCGCGAGCGGAGGCGGACAATGCGATATGGCAATATCAGTGAATGTTTGAAATCCGATGAACTGCGGCGGTGCGTGATAAAATGCTCCTTTGGAGTGCGAAAGCCATCGGATTCGTCGTCGCTGGGATCACGCGCTAAACCAGGAACTTCGATCTCGTCAATATCGCGCTGGCTGTCGATCATAGGCAACGGAATGTTGGCGGCTAGTACATGCTCGGGGTATGATGCGTCCGGAACATCGTCTCCATGAGCGCTCTCCGCGTCGTCTTGACTTGCATCATCGGCATGAGAGGCGGTGGGGGTATGATCGTCCATCTCATGTGCCGTTCCGAAACTGGCGTGATCATCACCCCCTGTGCTGGATGCGATCGTCATGCTGTCCCGCTGAGATCGAGCTTTAAGGGAGATGTTGTCGGTTGTCAGAGATGACCCGTTCTTCGCACCGTGAATTGCTTTTCGCCAGTCCCTCCACGCTTGACCAAGCAAAGTACTCGTTGCCAGCTGTGCCATGTCGTTGTCCTCAACCGTGATATTTGTGGACTTGGACAAAGGAGAAGTCTGAATAGGAGAGCCGTCTGCGGTGATAAGTCCAGCCCGCTTCTGTGCAATCTGGTATGCGGTCCGTATTATTGAGTCAGAGACCGCTTCACATAGAGCCGTCAAAAACATTGCTACGCCCCATGAGACTGTGCCTGAGAAGTGATCTGCTGTTCGATCATCGTCATCGGAATCATCTCCAACCTGACCCAGCCGACTGTACATCGCAATCCGAGATCTTGTGCTCCTGAATCGTCGAAGCAAATCATCGTTATCAACGATAGTATCCTCTTGTCTTGATTCATCCTGCTCCCCGCTAGCCGACAGCTCGTGCGACCCCAGAAGATCATTTACCTCCTCCCTCGCGATGTTGGTAAACGAATCCGTATGCAGGATGCCGGTAACGGCAGGCTGCACTGCCCACAGACCCGTTGATCTGGCATTGAGCAGCACATTGTATAGGACCCAATCGAGGAAATTATTCAGTTGGCTCCTCGACGATTCAGAAAATTCCACCAGGCCATGAAAGTCTGCGAGCGTTTGTGCAATCCCGGATTGTGCGACGTATGCTGGCGGTGGGCGGATCTCCTGTAAGGGACCAGGAACTTGAGTGTTTTGAAGCGGGACAATGTCGCCGGGCGACAGGCTCGCGCTGGTCGACATATTGATGGGCAGAACAGTCGAGCTGTCTACATTGCGCGCCGCATTGTCAAGTTTGCGCGAGCTGGTCCGCCGTCGTCGCTGCTCCAGAGGATGAGGTTGGTGGAGGGAATGCGGTGGTCCTGGGAAATATGGAAACTGCGACACGATTGGCGAGATCGCTAGACTCAAGCTAGCGCGACGACTCTCCATCCAAGCCCTGGAATCTGCAATAATATCGAGGCGGGAAAGGTTAATAAGACTGGAAGCTGGAGTACCCCTGCGAGGAACGTGCTGCGCTTGACAGGCTAGCTTCAATCCGCGAACGGTCTTGAGAGCACGAGAGATGAAGACTGCGGTCGTCGCATGAAATGTGCAGATTGAAGATGATTTTCGCCCACGGCCACTAACAAGGATCGGAGCGCATATTTGTTACTAGAGCAAGTTGTAGACTGTAGAAAGGACAATGGTACAAACAGGAACCGCGTCGAGCCGGATCGTTGACGATCATCCAGGGGAGTTGTTGACACACCCCGGCAATGTCTGCTTCCACAATAAGCATCACAATCGCATGTGCCGCGATAGAGTATCGCGGTTGATGGGATCAGTGACGGCCTGGGGTCCAGCATTACCGCCACGCGCGCAAACCAGTTGCTAAACAGATTCGAAACTGTCTGAGATTCGTACCCGACGTTCAGCGAAATCCATCATGTCGGTCGGGCGTTGTAAAACCGCTACAAATCCAGCATCATTTCAACGACGGCGCCCAACAATGCAGATTGATACCGAACTCCGTGCCGCCAGGCACAAGTAGACCCAGACATAGAAGGGCGTCGGCAAAAGCGCGGACTCTTTTGGTGGACCAGGCACACACCATCCGCAGGGACAAAGAGTCATGTATTGCTCAAGGATGCGCCGTCTGTTTGCCGACCTCGGGAGGACAAGTCGTCTGTCTCCGAATTGTTGCTTCGGCTACATCCTGAAACTTTTGCGCTCAATTGCCGAACGATATGCCATGTGCAACAAACGTTGCCATCTACTACCTCCATAAACGATGCTGCGTCGCTGCGGCCACGCGTCCGAGCATGTTGTTCCCATCGTATCCATCGGCCGAGGAACGGTGATGAGATCATGGCTCAGATACAATATCTGAATACTGCACAAGGGCAAGACATCAGATTCTCATCACGAGCTTTGTACCCTGGCGACGAGGGGCTGATGATCAGCAACAATGTCTCACCTGAGGTTCACTGACGTTTAGAGAAGGGCCGTAGCCTCAGCACGTCAATCGCTCGCACACAGAACTACCAGCGCTGCAAGCACACCAATTGTAACCCAAGCTCATCCGAGGCAAATTGCGTGTCCCAAGTGAACTGAAGAATGGCTAAGGCCTGGGAAGTATACGCAGCCTCAGAGTGCCTCACACCTCCTGTGAACCTGGAAAGCTTAGATACGTACTTGACAGGTCTCCAACGTCAAGGTACAGCACATGGATAGTCACGATTGTGCCGTTCACGACCAGCGCCGATCAACCTCAAGTGTGCGCACAAAAGAAGTGATCGCTGCCTGATACAACTCCCACATTTGTTGATGCCTGCCCGACTATTCCAGTCGAGACCCTGCGTACGGGCGTACACTGTAAGCATGCAGTATTGACTCAACCGACAGCGCTGGCTCGAACATTGCGATCAATTTGGCTTCATCAGATGCCCTCCTTTTCAATGAAGACGAGAGCTGAGCTGAATCGTACAAGATGGGTGATTATTGATCCTTGTGTCGAAATTTAGCATGAGCGCCTACACAAGCATACCGGGGGCAGCAGTAATCTGGCTTTTCAGTAGAGCCGCGGTCAAACTCACTATACTCGTTATATTACATTGCCCCTCATAACCCACGCTTTGCGTGACACTCGCCAAATCATCGTACAACACTCGTCCTATACATAGGTATGCTCCGAAACAGTCCTCGCCGAGGACCCCTTATGAACTCCGGTAACACCAATGGTAAACCCATAAAGCACAAACAGTGAGTCCACAATTAATTGATGGCCTCCGCGCGACCAGCCTGCAGGTTGGCAGACGCGAGTGACCTTGACCAACCGCAAAGAATAGAAACCCGAGTCTTGTCCTCAATCGATGGACTCCAGCTTGGCTTTCTTCGCCACAGCAATGTCCTCGCCGCTCCGTTTCCGTTTGCCTTTTGTTGATCCACCGCCAGTCGAAACTTTCGCTTTTGACCGATATGCCCCATCTTCATCTTTCCTCGCACGCTTCTTCGTTGTGCTCGGTGGTGCCTCCTCCAAGTATGAATGTTCGTCATCGTCACCATAGCCGTAGCCGGGGCTCGCAGCCGTATTTGGACTCGCATCGCCCCGCGCGCGATCCACAACTTTGTCTGCGAGTTGTTTGGCGAGATTACGCTTGCTATTACCAGTATGTCCTGAACTTCGTGCAGATTTCTTCTCGTGTCCTGTAACGCTCTCATTGTCGTCAAGGTCAACCACGATGTCGCCAGTGTTCTTGGCATGGGTTTTGAGCCAGTTGTGCTGGCTTTGTGGATTCTGGATTTCATTGAGCCGGTCTACTTCGCGTCCCCTTAGGTCGATCCAATGTCTGTCCTCGAAGCCCACGGCTGCCTCGTCTCTCTTACGAACGCGATCAATTGATGTTCGATCGCCCAGCTTAGCGTCCAGGCGCAGTAGATGTATTTCCTCGTGCTCGGAGGTGAAGTATCCGGCAGGTTCGGCGCTGCGAATGTCCTCTGGAAGCTGATCCGGCGACGTTATGATCGGATGGGAAATGTTCTGCTCGAGGCTTTCCAGCGTCAGGGTACCTGGAGTAGAAAGCAGTGACTCTACTCGTCCTCGCACGATGTAAAGATCGACGTGAGGCATCCTCCCTTGCGTCACTGCAGTTTTATAATTCGTGACCACCTCGTTGGCTATCTGCGGTGTGATGTTCGTAGGAACGTCCGTTTCAGGAATGTGTTTCTGAATTATAGCCGTTGTTGTGCGCTCCTCCCCAGGTCGATCGATGTTGAAGCGAAGATTGGTGGGTAATCCCGGTTGTTGGTTGAGTGAAAGGCACATGTCTAGTATGGCGCTGCGATCGGGTCAGGTCAGTGTATGCACCTCGCTTGCGGTTTCGAATATCTTACTCCACCTCCTCCTGCAATCGCCGCGCTATGCCTTCTAATTTCTGTTCTTCCATGTAGTATCTCTTGTTCTCATCAAGCACGCCATCGAATTTGTGCCGCATCTTGCGATACTTTTTGCGCCATGACTTGTACCGTGGCCGTCCTACGGCTGCGAGGGTCTTTCCTCCGACTTCTGGGTGCTCGGATGGTGGCGCGATATCCTCCTCACCACCAGACACATCCATATTGTTGGTGGCCATCGTATTCGCGAGCAATGGGGCGTTGCGCGATGTGAATCTCCGACAGCGCGAGCTTATGAGTGACGATGACTTGCGTGGGAGACAGATTGGCGTCAAGCTCGCGCGTGGCTGCTCGTGACTTGCCTGTTCGGGACGCCTGCACTTCTATGGCCCGGGCCAAAATTTCATGTGAAGCCGGCAAGCTTCACTAGCGGACCCTGCTGCACAAAATTTAATGTCAAATGTCGCGATCACCTTCAACCATACCGCACCACCATATTTCTACAGATCTCCCTAATGGCCAGTCCCAATTATGAGCCCACCAAGCGAAAGCGCGAAGGGCAGTTAGAGAACGAAGCAGACGAACTGGAAATCGATCTCAATCTACCGGAACCTCCTTCCAAAAAGGCCAAACGAAAAGAGAAAAAGCAAGCCAAGCAAGGCTCTGGTACCACGGACTTGAAGGGCGATGCTTCAGAGGACCCCGAGACCTCTACTGCTCCAATCAAAACCGAGACAACTTCTGAGCCTCCGGCGAAAAGATCTGAATTTGGTATTTGGATCGGCAATCTACCTTTCAATGCGAACAAAGAAGCGCTTCGAAACTTTTTGAAAGATAAAGGTGGTATTGATGAAAATGATATTACTAGATTGAATATGCCTGCCGGTCCGAAAGTATACAACAAGGGATTTGCATACGTCGACTTCACTTCCGATGCTGTGTTGCAGATCGCGCTCGCTCTGAGCGAAAAACTACTGAACGGGCGGGCAGTGTTGATCAAGAACGCAAATTCTTACGAGGGGCGTCCAGCAAAACCTGTCGCGCCACCGGGCGAAGAGATTCCGAGCAAGATCAACGGCAAAGAGCCCTCGAAGCGAGTGTTCGTAGGGAATTTAGGCTTCGATACTACGAAAGAAGATCTATCGGAACTCTTCAGCCGGGCTGGAGAGGTCGAGGATGTCTTCCTTGCGACATTCCAGGATACCGGAAAATGTAAGGGATTCGCATGGGTCAGGTTCGCAGATATCAAGGCAGCAGAAAGCGCAGTGAAGGGCTATGTTCTGGAGGACGAGGAGAGCGAAACGGATGAAGATGGCGACAGTGCCGAAGAGGATGATCAGGTCGAGGAGGGTGATGAAAAGGCTACGGCTAAGAAGTCGAAGCGGAAGAAGACACAACGCAGGTACATCAATCGAATGCAAGGTCGCCAATTGCGTTGTGAGTTTGCTGAGGATGCGCAAACAAGGTACAAGAAGCGATTTGGAAAGAGCGCAGAGAGAGACGGAGGGGAGCCTCGAAAGGCAACCAGGGAAGCTGGCGAGTCATATCCCGACGCTGCCTCAGATGCGCCAAAGAAAAGGCAAGATCGCAACCTGACTAAGGATGAGCGGCAAGAGATTCGTCGGAAGCGACACATCGATGCCAGAACGATTGCTCCGGGTAAGGCGCTCGCTGGCGCGCAGCGAGCTACCGGTGCGATCGTGGCTGGTGCTGGCAAGAAAACCACATTTGAGTAAAAGTTTCGGGGCCATTTTGGTTTCGATTCAGGCCGCAATTGGTGGTGTGATACCACAATGCAGCAATTTCGACTTTACGACCCGCATGATGAGCACGATCACAGCTCTTCCATCCGCAAAGAAGAAGGTAAGAATATAAGATTCATACGAACCTTTGTGGCCACGTTCGGCTGTGGAGCGATTCTGTATCAGAATAATGATTGTTCATGGGAAGTCTACGCGAGGCAATGGTGAGCCATTGGGTGGTCGCATCCCAGGCTAAAATCTTGTCGACCAGCCGATTTGAATTCGACTCGCACACAAGATATAAATTCTGGATAGCATTGACTCGCTTCTGAAAGTCCTCGTTACGATGGATGAAAAATCCGGACGTTGATGTTCTACAGCAATACAGCCTGGAAGCTTGGGTCTACTGCGTGTAGCTACGATGGATAAGAAGGTCCAATAGTCTCATGGTCGTCTTATAGACGCGTAATGATGCCATCCACGACATCGCGTCTTTACTGTCCGCATCACAAATTATTTTCAAGCCCATTTGGGGACCGTAATCGCCGAACAATGTGGCTCTTCGTGACGCGATTAAATGTAGAGCGGTGTTCTGATCCAACACTCAAACTCATCATTGCTTATTTCAAGATTATGTTAGTGGAAAGATGCTTCACCATCGTCCTGGGCAGATCACCGTTGCCTCGAATCACTTGCCTGCACTCCAGTCGTAGATAAAACCCTAGCATAATCCTGCCAGAGCTGCCGCCGACATTGGTCAACGGTTGGTTGGTTCTTCTGTATACAAGCCAACCTTGGATACCAGAGTGATTCGGACGGCTTTCCATCTTTTGCCATCATCATCGTCATCTCATTATTCATGAGATCGATCAATTTTACTAGAAGATCATGTGGTCAGGTGTCGCCTTGCAAGTGTAATGCAATATGATCTTTGATGAATCCGTCTGATCTGCGTTCCGAGGTATTTGAACGAACTTTACTCGCCTGGGCGAATTTGGGAGGGGGGGCTTTCTGTTCCTTTGCCCATACCAGCAGTTACGGCCTTCGCGCCATGAGCCACAATTTTCAAGTAACAGTATGCCTGCCTTCAGAATCATCGAGGTCCGCAAAGCGACGATAATTTTGTGAGTCTCCATCATCCATCCATCTCCAAGATGGCGTTGTTCTGATACGATAGCAGCGTGATTGTTGCTTTTGCTCTCATCGCAGCCTGGACGTCTCTCGGTGGTGCGGTTCGATCCAAGTTACCCAAGATGAGTAGCTTGAAGCATTTCTCGTATGATTTCGAAGTCGTTCCTGGTGTATTTCTGCAGGATGATCCCTCTACTGAGTGGTCGGGTTTCAATCCTGTGAGTGAAAGGAGTTGCACCAGCGACATTCCGTGAAAATTTGCTGACCCGCCGTCGAGGCTCAACACAACTTTGGCTTGATAGATCGTACATATGATTCCGATGACGATGGGATGTCGAATCTGAGTGCCTGGCAACGCTTTGATAAATTTGTCCAGTCTCTCGTCGCTGCTGCCTCAGACGGCGTCTCGTACAAGGTCTTGTACATGGGCCGCCACGGCCAAGGCTTCCACAACGTTGCCGAATCATCTTATGGCACCAAAGCCTGGAACGACTACTGGTCGAAGTTAGAAGGCAATGGGACAGTGATATGGGCAGATGCTCATCTCACCGAGGTCGGCGAGGAACAGGTGCTTCAAGCGCATGAGTTCATCGCGTCGCAGCTTTCGGACAAGATGATGCCAGCGCCGGAAGCCTATTATGTCAGTCCTTTGTATCGATGCCTGCAGACAGCAAACCTCACATATGCCGGCTTGCAACTTCCGGTCGACAGACCGTTCAAGCCTATCATCAAAGAGCTCCTGCGCGAGGACCTTGGGGAGCACACTTGTGACCGCAGGAGCAGCCGAACAGTCATCCACCGTGCTTTTCCGGAATGGCGATTCGAATCTGGATTCAGTGAGCACGATTTGCTCTGGCGTGCTGACTATCGCGAGACGGATGAGGAACACGACGTTCGGACACGAGCATTTATGAACGAGCTTTTCAGCAACGATCGAAGCACGTACATATCCCTGACAAGTCATTCCGGAGCAATTGCAAGCAAGCTCCGAGTGCTTGGCCATCGTGTATTCACGCTACCCACTGGCGGAATGATCCCTGTTCTGGTGAAGGCGACCCGCAGAGAGGCATCATAGCGGCCGATGGTTATGAATTATCTCGCCTCCGGCAAAGAGCTGAGCGCGCGAGCGTGTAGTGATCCAGGGTTGCTCACTGCATTAAATTGTGACGATGCGGTGGCTGTTTTTGTGGTGCTCGTCCGCTCGGTATATTTCTCAGTGCTGCGACCATTTCAGCAACATGCGCACCGACACCGTCGACAGGGGCGTGCTGTTCCAGCCATGGTTCACGATTCCACCAAAGGACATTCGAGGACTTGAGGCGACATTGATGGTGGCAGACATACAAATGCTACTCCATTGCGCGAGCAGTCGCTAGCACGCACTATCACTACCCGATTCCGTTGCTCACATCTCGCTGATTGATACTGCACAGTAACCTCGATTTAGCTGAACATTCGTATGTGCACATACCGTGCGGTCACCCATGTCCCGCAGCCAACGAGTTGGTCCAGACTTACAAGACCATGATCGTGACTGCCGTCGAAGGGAATCGAATCTCTGGGCAACTACTCGTGGGTCGTCATTGGTTCCCCCATTTGAGGAAATACCCTCGAGTGAGTCGTCCTGGTTGAGCGGAGTATGACTTCATCACCACACACACCTTTCTCACTGCGAAGACACGCAGCGCCCTGCACATACCTAGTCTTTACTCATGTCCAATACACATCCCCTAGCGCGCTCAGTCCGAACACGCTCAGACTCGTCGCTCGTCCATAGCACCATTATTGGTGTCTATGTAAGATTCAGGGGGGCGACATATGGTGAAAAAGCTACCAAGCCATCACAGATCCGATCCTCCCTCAATGGCGACTAAGCCATATCTCCATGGCTGGCAAAGGACGAGTCCTACCGAACGGCAAAAGTTGCTGACTTGGTGCACAAATCATATGCCCGGCACATGTAAAATAATGTGAATATTTTTGACAGAACGCAGAGATTTCCGGCTTGAATATTCCTGCTTGAATACTCAATCAAAACATCGCGAGGTCCTTTTGCACTCTTCATTTGATCGCAGCTCACAGATTGAACGACTTCACATATTGAAGAAGCTCACATTTCGAAGAAGCTCACACCACGAGAAAGCTCACACATTCAGGAGTTTACATCCGGAAAGCTCACACATCGAGTACGCTCGCATTTCGAGAAACTCACATACGGAATAATCCCACGCGTTGAAGAAGCTCACAAACCGAACAAGTCCACAAGTCAAAAGAGCTCACGCATCGACAAGTCCACGCGTAAACCAAGCTCACACGCCAAGCAACCTCACCAATGGACAAGCTCTCACAACAATGCCCACAAGAGCCCGAGATGGTGTGGCCGCCTTTAAATGTCACCATGTTGAAAAATGGGTTTTGGATGCTGCCAGAGCTGCCAGAGCTGCCAGTGTTGCCAGTGTTGCCAGTGATTAACTTACATGACCTCTTCCCTGAACTTCCGGCCGATGTTTTTTCACAGGCTACAACGCCTGCTGAGCCCGTTATGGCGAACGGATTTGGGCCGCAACCAATGCCGACTCAAACATTCGCGGGCCGCGTCACTAAGCGAAGTACCTCGACTCGACCGATCTCCGCCGACAAACCTCACAATAAGCTGCATGCGAGGGTCATCGACCACCATCACAACGTACCCCAGCGTTGCCGCGCGAAGACCATCAACCGCGACCCGAAGAAAAATACCACTCCGGTTGAGCCACGTCAACCAGTACTGCAGTACCCTCCCCCAAACATGACCATGGTCAATCGTGGCCCGGGGTTGCCGTTGTACCCTCGAATCGAGCCACCACAGCAGCACGTTGCGCAGTACCCTCCTCCGAATGTGACCATGATCAACATGGGCCCGGGGAAGATGAGATTTGTTACAAATCAAGCTCCGGGATTGTCCGCTGCTGCTCAAGCGGATCTGGACCGACGAAGCAAGCAGCATTCGGTTTTGATGGCAGCTGTCAATGGACCTCTGTTGCCTGCGATGTCGCTGGAACCAGCTGGAGTTGGGCAATTCTCGTCGGCCGGATTTGTGGCCGTTCCCGAGATGTACCCAGATCACACCTCGTGGATGTGAGACATATGTACTGTATGATGGACTTGATGTACAAAAATTTGAATGTCACGCTGAATGCTTTTCAATGGCGGGTGTTAAAGTTTCGCGGCAATGTGGATACCCTGTAGTCCTCCGCCTCAGGTGACGTGCTATCACTGTCGTCAGCCGGAGTACACATGGTCACCGGTGTAGGTGTACAAATGAAAAGTGTTGTAATCAGGAAGCTACCGACCATACTAGGTACATATTTACTGTACGTAGTCAGGCACTGTGTACCTAGGGTTGGTGCAGAAGGATAACGCAGAAGGTGACCGCCCAGGGTCCCGCAGAAGCGGATGCGGCCACGGGTGCTCCCGCAATGAATTGTCGATTACCTCCGCTGCATCTTCAACTTCATCCTGGCCAGAGCCGATCCTTCCAGAAACCAACTTGTCTCGGAGATTACAGCGCATTAACTTTGAACTTCAGCCCCAGCATATGAAGCATGTGGTATCGTGAGAGCCGCATAGGCTACAGAGACCATGACGACTACCGCGAGCCCTCTGGTGCATGCCTTCCATACACCTGGCAGACCTCAGATGATGCCAGACTTTGACACGCCCATACACCACAATCCTGCAGCGCATATCGAACCGAGTAACGTGCGCGGTAGCGCAGTCGAGGATCCTTTCGGTCCAGACTTCACTATCGCCGACAATGAATACGACCAATCCCAGTCACTCCATACCGCTGACAGCGACAATGTCGCATCGCGTCGAGCGTTCACGCCACCACTGGAAGCTCCGGCGTACGCCATGCTCACCTTTCCGGACTGTGTCTTGTACATCCGATGCACAGAATTCGATCTAGGTCGAGATGAGCCATTTTATCGAACATATAAAGCGAAGCTCAAGCGCGAGCGACGTGCAGAAAGAAGGCTCGGGAAAGGAAGAGGATCTGAATCATTGGACGGTCGTCCAGAACCCGGAGCTCCCAGCACGTACAGTGAACACGGAGGTGCTGTTGGCTACGATGACCCCGACGCGCCCGAAGATGTGGTACCGGTCGCAAAAAGACGTAGGCTTCAAGTGCTTTCGCACGCATCCTCGGCCAAGTCAATCGCTCCGGCGAGTTTGAACTTGGCCGACCTGCAGGAAAATGAAGCATCCTCAACTACCGAAGACTTTGTTGAGTTCGTGCCAATCCATCCGCCGTTGGAATCAGACATCACCAAAATCTCTCGAAAGCATCTACATTTTGTGCTGAAGGATGATGTCTGGATCATGTACGTGACTGGAAATGGAGCTTATGTCGACGAAGAATATTACGAAAAAGACTCAGAGAAGGAGAGGCCGATCACGATCAAATCCGGCGCAGAAATAAGAGTCTGTACTCTGCTTATGCAATTCCATCCAGCCAATGTGGAGGAGGATCCCACAACCAGCAGTCCTGTGCTGAGCTCAGAGCCGCTTTCAGAAGCCGAGAGTGAGGCGAGCAGCTTGGGTGACGACGACGATGACGAAGAAATGGAAGATGCAGGAGACGAAGACTCGACGAATTTCGCCCGTGACGGGCAATCATCCAAAGCTAAAATCAAGCTTAAGATACGCCGACGCTCTGACGATGATGTCGAAGACCAAGAGACGAACAAGAAACGCAAGGCACCGGAGGATGGCTTTAGTGAAGAGCGTGACGAGCAGGGCGGACCGCCCATCCCCCCAGACATGGCAGATGACTCGCTGCTGGCCAATGAATCGCAGCTTCCTGCGCCGCGCAAAGGGCCCGGTCGGCCACCAAAGAATGGGTCCTTCTCGAAACGAGATTCAACTGCAATGAAGAGGAAAGAAAAGGAATATTTGGCCAAAGGTCTTCCAGTACCAGATGTCGCGGAGCTTTTGGAAATCGTTCGTCGTGAGCAAAAAGAGAATGACGCGAAGAAAAAGGCACGCACCAACGACATGGCACCAATGGACGTCAGACCGAGTATCGAGCCCATCAATGGTGGTGAACAGGGCAACGCTTTCGTAGACTCCAAGCCAAGTCTCGAGGCGCCAGCCGGTAACTCGAACAGCGTGCCACTAGCCACTATTCCTCCAAGCCTGCCAAAGGAGCGTTCACAATCGCCCGTGAAGCCTAAAGAAGAATGCGATGAGAATGAACTCAAGAAGCCAATGGACACTTACCCTGTGCTTATCGATATTGTTCTGACCACAGAGCCTAATCGCACTGCGGACTTACAGCGCATCTATCACCTTATGGAGAAGCGCTGGCCATATTATCGTCATTGCACTGAGGGCAAAGGCTGGCAGAGCAGTGTCCGTCACAACCTGCGTGATAACAAACACTTCAAGAATGCTGGCAAAAGTGGCAAGGGATGGTTCTGGACCATCAACGATGAAGTACCTCTTGATTCGAAGAAGAACAAGAGAGCGCCATCACCAAGCCACCTTGTACAACCTCAAATGCAGAACAGGGCTGGGCCAAATGGCATGCAGTCGATGCCGCACCCCGGCGGCCAGTGGAATAGAGGCGATAGCCAGATGGGTGGCGGTTATAACAACTACGCGGCCCCTGGTATGATGCCTGCGCGAGCATATGGCCCCCACGATGGAATGGCTGCTGCCGGTTCAGGGGCGCACAACGGACAACAAGCAAATGGCTTACAGCCGCCACCGAATGGAAACGGTCAATTCCCACAACAGCCTCATGGCAATCAAGGGGGTCATGGAGCCTCAGGACAGCCAGGCCCGCCACCACCACGTCCACCACCGCCGGAGCGGGAAGCAACACCGCCTCCCTACAATCCTCTGGGTTCGCTCATTAATGAGATTGTCACATACCGAGTGACTTGGTTCCGAAGTGAAGCCAACAAGGGAAAGTCTAATGACGAACTGAGCGAAATATTCCGCCATGCTACCGAGCATTTCTCGAACGATTTGCATAATTTACAGAACTATATGTTGTCGAAGGAAGTAGTGGGCACAGAGCTAGCTCTGAACCTCAAACGCATCTTCGATGAGCGCGGATCTTTCGGGCCGTCATACTACATTCGTCAAGCCTTGGGAACAGAGCTTCGTCATGTAGAGGGTAACATGCCCGAGATGCCGCTGGGTCCGCCCCGCGACGGCTTGGTCTACCCACCTATGACCCCGGAGGAAATCCGAGAGTACACCGCGAAAGGTGTCGGCCAGGCAGAGTATCAAAATGCTTTGCGGCTAGCAGAAGAAGCTACACGACTGCGAGCGGCAGAACTTGCTCGCTTCCGTGCAGAGCGTGCAGCCCGTGCGGCACGGGCCCAGCAATTTACTCAACCTCCGCAAGGACAACACGTCAACCGTCCTCCCCACAATGCTCCTGCTGGCAATGTTGCACACCAGCACAATGGCAATCGTCAAGTTGGGGTCAACAGTGGCTCTCTGCCACAAAATGGACTCCCACACAATGGGTTTTCACAGAATGTTCGACCCCAAAATGCGCCTCCTCCGAATGGCCCTCCTCAGAACGCTGCTCAGAACGCTCCCCACAATGGTCATGTTCAGAATAGCTTACCTCAAAGTAGTTCTGTTCAGAATGCTGGACCTCAGAATGTTCCTGCTCAGAACAGCCCTCCTCAGAGCGGTCCTGCTCAGAATGCTCCACTTCAGCATGTCCCTGTTCAGAATGCCCTACCTCAGAATGCCCTACCTCAGAATGCCCTACCTCAGAATGGTCCTCCTCAAATTGGCTCCACTCAAAATGGCTTGCCTCCAGGTGGACTTCCTCAAACTAGCATTCAGCCACATCAATACCCTTCGCCACAACCGAGGCAGGTCCCGAATGTCGGTGCCAGCAACTCTGGTCCGCCAACTTCCCACCAAGCGTCACCAATACAGCCTGGCCTCGTGTCATCGACACCCAGCACTGGCCTTGCGACTACCGCAGCGCCGTTGAGCTCAGCATTACCACCTCAGCGCATAGAGAGCAATGGCCAGACCTCCATATCTGGCCAGCCAGTGCGCAGTGGCCCGATCGTGCCCAGCGGCAACACATTTCCGACTGCGAACGCAACCCAAGCCATGGCGCAGGCAGCATCGGATGCTCCTGCTGTGGGCGCGCAAAAACCGCCCGAGCAATCGCAAACGATCAATGTAGAGGGCATTCCATCTTCCGAAACGGACGCAGCTATACCTCAACCACAGCCAGATACCTCCGCAATCAACACTAGCAATGCTGTTGATGGTAGCTATCCCTTCGCAACAACGTCGTCGCAGTCTCTTCCCGCAAACACACCTTCTCTCCCATAGATCCAGCAGGAAAGCGAAGATGACGTTCGGCCATTCTACCGATTATCGCCAGAGAATACAGTTGGTAACGATTACAAACATCCATAGCTCATCGAGCACTCACTCAACGCCTGTTATGGAAAAGCACGAATATGAATTTTACGAGAACACGAATTGGAATGCCATCGTATCTGTCGCTCGAGCGCTGCCCGGCCGGGCCAGTCGTCTCAACGACAAGATACACATACAACAGCACAAGACCTGGCCAGAGACCTATCTGACAGGCACCTCAAAAGTCCTTCATCATCGTCGAGCTCTTCCAGGCTTGTGCCTGTCCTCTCTATTCTACATAGCTTTATTCAATTGTTATGGTTCAGACCATGCCGTTTTCACCTCGCAGTCGTATCAACCCATCATTAAAAATTTGCGTCAGGATATAGAACACCGACAGGACTGACTTCTGCTGGGTGTCCTTTCTTTCAAGAAGCTGCCTTCCGTCGTAGACTGTTATAATGTTCACCCAATCCGAACCCGTGCTTGTAATAACCTAGCCACATGGTTTTCTCGGTCTTGCTGGCGTCCTGTCCAGCGCCACTCAGGCCTCCTTCGATTTTCTCGACTCTCCCAAAGTCTTGCAGAACATTGATATCGACACCATAAGTCTTCGCCAACGCCATCAATTCCAATTGCCCGCCCCATTCGCCCGTGTCGCGAATTTTATGCAAATATTCCGGAAGCGGCTCCTCTAGGAATGGCAGGAAGTCATCCTGATGCTGTTCAATATATCGTGCTGCAGTAGCTCGTACGATCTTATACGCGGGGGAATTCGATCCGGCGTCCGAAGCGACCATATCTGCTCCCTGTAGAGGCATCTCCAACTGCTCCAGCTGATCGGCGAACGCAGAGTAGAGACAGTGGCCGTCGGCGCGGATCACTTTCTCCTGTAGCCCGCGTTCTGTCATGGCCGAGAGCATCCGCGAGCGCTCGAGTTCCTTCATGTCTGGGAGATTCTGGGCTTCTTCTTTGGCTTGCCGGACGAGCTCTTCTTGCTCTGCAGCGCGCCGAGCTAGTCGAGCTTTTTGCCGGTTACCTCTTTTGGGGCCATTGGGGGGATCTTCAGCGGGAGGAGTAGCAGTGGCTGCGGCAGGCGCACTGGTCCCATCTACAGACGATGCAAGAGGCTTATCTGAAGACTCTTCATGTGTCTTCCGATCAACTTCATCACTTGAGTCATCGCCGTCTATCTGCAGTGCGAGGCCATTCAGCTCCTTGCTGGGAACACTTCCATCGTCGGCCCCATTGCTACCTACAGTCTCGCCATCGCCCTTGCCCAAGGCAGCGATTTCTTCCGCCTGCCGACTTCGTAGCTCAGCTTCAAGGTGGTCACACTCATCATTGACGCCTTTGCGTGTCTTTTTGCTAGCTTGTTTCTTTTTCTGAGTGATTCGACTCTGTAAATCCCGCGCCTCCTTGCGGTGGCGCGCTAGGAGGTCCTCCATCGTGCTGATGAATGGCCCGAGGATCTGGATGAGATGCAGTCGGAGGCAAGCGGTGCAGCATGCAGATCTGTAGCGCCCTCAGAAACGGGTGGGATTGGCACGGCGCTGTTGAGGTCGGGCGTTGAGCCGCGATGCTGACACGCAGGGCTTTTGCAAAAATCTATCCTGCAAACGAGTTTTCGAGGCTAGTGATGCATCCTATTTTAATTCTCCTCGTGTTGTTGACTACAGTGTTATCGAACTCGGGTGCGGATCCTATGATCTAGGCTTGCTAATGGATCTTCTGAGCGCTGCCCAACAGTTTTGAATGGCCACCGTATCTTTCTTATCTCTTGTGCGACCTGCAATGTGAATCACAGGCGTGAGGGTATTTCTTAAGATGATTTCCAGAGACCTCGTGATGTTACCAGCCTGCTGAGGTTTGTGGCGAAATCAATGATTACTTACCTAGGTATATCTGCCACGTTGTCGTGAGGGAGTTAATTCGGTCCGCAGCACGGAGGTCGATGAAGCACATGGTGGCTGGCGATCAACCATTCCCGAGGGTGCGCAGGAAGGATTAAGCTTGACAGGAACCCACGTGCCTGGAAGCAATGCGACCAAGGCGCGACAACAACAGGGACTACTGCAATCAGCCTTCAACCACGCATGCGAAAGCACCTTTCCGCTGGGTCTTTACGAGTCGTGCGATGGTCCAGGTTGAGATGCATGCAAAGCGAACCACGGATACGAGACACGCAGGGTCGGTGGGGGCTCTTCCCATCATCCCTACACCCACGTTGCGCCCGCATCACGACATTCAGTCCGGCGATAGAAGAATAGATATTGGAGGCTGGCGCATCTCGGTCGCATTTGACTTTACGACCGGGGCCTGATCGGCGCGATTCCTTCTCGAACGGAGCTATTGACGTGAAAATGGCGCCCCGTGATGACTGTACCGCACCACACAAACTAATATAGAGGGGCCCGATACAGATTGTTGAGATGCGGTGAGGCGGCGATACAGGGAGCCGACGCACGCGACGACTTCAAACCGTCGGCCGCCCACAGTTTGTGCTCATTTTGCCTTTTGCGATTGCGCACTATGTCCAGCGCCCTCACGGCAGCTGTCAGCGCGTGGGGGGCAAACGACGCGTACACGTGGTTGCGGGTGCATATTGACCATCTCATGAATCTTTAGAGCCGACGGTGGAGTTCAAAGTCCGTGAGAAGCGGGGACGAGTCTGGTAAACAAACACGACATTTGATAGTGAAGAACAATTGATTTAATTCCTGAAGAAGTAGATGAAAATCCAGAGAGAATCTATTGGAGCCAACACCATGACGGAATGTCGTGTGAATATAGAGAAATCGGTCATAAAAAGTCTATTTGCAGATCACCAACACATAATTCGTGCTCGGTGCGTCCAGTATACTGAAGAGACCGATCCAATGATCGCAGCGTATCGTAAATTTGTCACAGAAAGAAAAAAGAAATTGAAGAGAAGATGAGAGCACCGTCGTCATCGCCCAAAAAACGCCGCAAGCAATCTAGTCGCAAATGAAGCAGTTTACCAGGTGAAGCGCATGAGACCCGGGTTCAGCACGACCGGCAACATGAAGTGGCCGAACAGCAGAGCCGCGAGAGGGTAGATGGCCGTGAGCTCGGTGATGCGCCACAACGGAGGTGCGAAAAGCGCCAGCGCGACGATCAATCCGATGCCCAATAGGACAAAGAGGAAGGTGAATTTGAAGTTCTTGAGGAGACGAGGCACTTCTTCGAAGAAGGTTGTGTCCTCGGCTTCCTTGCTGGTGGCACCCCAGGTCATGTCGATGCTGAAGAGATGCGACAAGATAGCCTGGGAAACGTGGAGAGAGACACCACCCAAGAAGATGTAGAGCATTGGGATCCATGACAAGTTCTCCAAGAAACTGGCGATGAGGCCCTTTTCGCCGCAACGGTAGCGGAGCACAGCGAGGGCGACGTTACCGGCGGCAGAAAAGACGATGATGATGGAGAAGTAGATTCGGAAGCTGTCCACGTAGTAGTGGTCGAGCGAACCATTGAACCAGCCGACGAGGAAGTAGTTTGCGAGGGTGAGCATCCAAGCGGAGGCGAGCGCGAAGTAAGTACCGATGTAGGCCATGATGGTGAACTTGGAAGGTAGAGGCATGCTCGAGCAGATGAAGCGGATGAAGAGCTTGGTGAAAGGACCGCGAGTGGGCCAGTAGCGGAAGGGCTGGAAGATCAGCTCGGAACATCCGTAGGCGTATTTCTCCCATCGGGCCAATTCGTCGTAGACAGTAAGGGAGACACCTTCCTTGAAACCATCGCCAGTGTAGGCACCAAGACGCACGATATAGCCAGCGGTCTGAAGACGAAGAGCCATGTCGAAGTCTTCGGACACGGTGTTCTCGGACCAGAACTTTTCGCGGTTGTCAAGAGGGTCGTCGTAGCCGATAGCCTGCAGAGCGCTCCAGCGAAGCACAGCGTTGTGACCGACGAAAGGCGCGACGTCACCACTGGCGACACCAAACCGAATGGCAGTGTAGATGAGGTTGGTGAAGAAAGTGATACCCTTCTCGAAGTAGGAGTCGGTGACGTTCATGACACCAGAGGAGTATTGGATGATGGCGACCTGGGGAGATTGCTCCATTTCGGAAACAGCATCAAGGAAGCAGTCGACGGGCACACGAGTATCGGAGTCGATGATGAGAATGTAGTCACCCATGCGAATGTTGCCGTCGGCCCAGGTGCGACCCTGGTCCTCTTCGACAACCTCAGCTAGAGCGTCCTTATATGCGATAGCCTCGTCCTCTTGAGTCCAGCCCTCGTGGCGTTCGATGACCGCAAGCTTGTCTTCAACACGGTTGCTGGCCCACATGGCGTAGTTCATGTTAGAGGCCTTCTTGAATTTACCGCGACGAAGGAAGACTTCCTCGCCCTCAGCAGGCTTCGGGTTGTGCTTCGGGCGGGCGACCCAACCGATGTTGTGCTCGTCGTAGAAGTCCTGGCGCGCGCGGGCATCCTCGTCGGAGATCAGTTGCATACCATCGTCATTGACGAAGATGTTGGCGGTTCCGCCCTGCATTTCGTAGGTGGAGATGGCAGCCTTGATAGATCGGACAGTGGGCTCGATGACACCAACGAGACCCTCCTTGTAGACGGGCATCTGAATAGTGACGTGGGGAAGCTGGCCATTCTCAGGTCGGATACGCTTCGGCCTCTTGCCAGAGAAGAACTTGGTGTTCTCGTTCAGGAAGGCGATAGGACCAATGATCTGAACAATGTCACCGATAACAGTTTGGAAGAAGAACAAACCGATCCAGAGCTGGAGAGGCAGGACGAGGAGGAAGGCAAGACGGATGTAGCTGCCGTCGATGTAGGTCTCGATGGCAACCTCTCGCCAACCCAGGCCAATGGTGAAGATAGCCAGTGCGAGAACAAGAGCAGAGACAATGGGTTGCCACAAGACGATGCGTCGAGGCTTCTCAAGACTGCCACGCTCGACTGTCTCTCCGTCCTCGCCAACTGCATTGATCTCCTCAATCTCGATTTCAGGCTCTTTCTTCTCGTCGAAGTCCTCTGGCTCGCTCTGCCAGATCATCTCCATGAGGGACTGCTCGATCTTGTTGGCGCGGTCGAGAAGGTGGCGAGGCTCGTCGTCCCAGACGACCAGGAGGCCGCGGTCGGCAATGAATGCGGCGAATTGATGCTTCTGGCAACGAGGCAAGTAGGACATATCGGGAAGAACCTGCAGCCGAAGACCGTTGCGGAGCGGGACGTACGGCTTGTCGTTGTTGTGGAGGAACAGCTTGATGACGCGAGTGTTGACAGTCATGGCGACCTGGAACGGATTGTCAGCTTTTCTGGAAACGTAAGATTCCGTCGCTACACCATTGAGATGCTTACCCTGACGTTGAGAGTCTCGACAGCCTTGAAGAATCCATATGGCTCTTCTACGATGTCGCCGGGGCAGCAAGTGTAGGCACCACGCGACTTCTTGAGAACGACACCCTCGTCAAGACCGCCGGCGGTCCAGAGCCTTTCCATCTGCTGTTGGTACAGCCAGTTGACCATGACATCGCACTTGATCTCGTTGATGTCATCTGCGTGGGAGTTGCGGAACTCTCCGCTGGGGTAAATTGAACCTGGGCGCGACCATGTCGGTGTTGCTGCGCCGGAGGTCATGCCTGGAGTGTTGAAGCCGGGTGTAGGAGCAGCTGAGCGCATGACGGCGTTGCTCTTTTCGACGACCTCGGGTTTGGCATTCTTTGGCTCCTTGGCCTCTTTGGCCTTGGGCTTCACATATGATAGAAGACCCATTGTTCAATGGATTTCGCCGAACACGGCGGATAATGTTCGATATACGGCAGTCAGTTGAGGCTGTTCATGTGAAGGGACGTGTATTCTTGTTTCCCGGAGAGCGTTGTGAAGATCTGCCGCTGGTGAAAAGCTAGCAGTTCTTATATAAGAGAAAGTGAGAGAGATAGAGCCGACGGTATACCAAGAAACGAAAGACAGGAGAGGAGGCGGTCGAGGACAGAGACCAGGATGACGAGCACTTGGTGAAGGCGAGTGGAAAGTTGAAGCGGGCTGTATACATATATTTCTCTTATTCCATTGTGTTTTGTCGCATCGCATGAGACCGAACACGAGACAGCGTGAAAGAAGGGCTACATGCGCGGAGGTACCGAAAGCACCACACCACATCCGTATACACACACTGCTAATCCCACCATCCTCTCTCAACGCCTGTTGCGCCCACACCGTGCGCGCCGGAGTTGTACCTGGATTGCAGAGCCCGTGCGGGTGGTGCAAGTCTTTTTCGTATCGAACGACCGGCACCGATCAACGGGAGGGGGGTTGCACGTCTCTCTCGATAAGGGAACAGACGGTTGAGAGTTTCCACTCGCCGTTTCTGCCTCCTGCACGTATCTGCACCTCCTCCTTACAATGGGTGAGATGGCGGCGGATGTGAATCCACTCACGATGGTGTGAAGGGCTGAATTGGGGGGGAAATGGACAGCACCTGCATGATAAGCAATCATCCCCCTGTACTTCTGCAAGGATGGGATGCAAGCGCTGGCACATCCGTGCAAATCCTTCTCATCCGATCATTCCAGACGAGATCCCATCACAAATAGACCGCCCAGCGCACAGTTTTCGACCGGAATGGGCACTTCCCTCACACCTCTGCAGAGAAAATAGAGCGGGCCCATGCAAGATCCGACACGCTATCGGCTGCCGCTCCTTGCCCAGAACGGTCCACATCGGCAAAGAAGCCTTCCCACACCTTACCTTATATGGAAGGAGGCCTCTGACTGTATTGAGACATCAATATTCTAGCCTCGTTCGCTCCGTAGACGAGATTTCGTGTCCGGCTCTGTTTGGCAGGGCTATTCCTGTCTCGTCGTCCCACCGATTCGTCGGAGATTCGCCGCTTCAACGCAGGAACAGGAAATTATCGACAGCATGCTGCTCGCAGTGCTGCACACCCACAGGCAATGCTTTCGGTTTGTATCATGCGATATGCCTGCTCATCGCTCTCAGGTGAGATCTGCTCTGTGCTGTACCCTGTGGCCTGGATCTCTCGCGTGCATACACTGATCTCCCATCGCTCGCAACCCTCCGCGGCAACAGGACCCAACAGCACTGCCATGGCCTCGGTGTCCTCTGCACCATACAACGTTGCCATCTAGACTTTTCCAGCAAGGAGCTTGTCTCTCGGCTGTCTTGCATTATCGCGTGATGACAATGACGGCGCTGCAGAGGTGAGCGTCGCTCAAACGACCAGTGTTGGCGATTCATGGTGCACCGTGCGGCCGCGTGGTCGCCGGACTCCTGTCGCCTGTATGTTTCCTCGCTCGCACAGACTGGCTGAAACTATTTGAGTCCTCACTGACGGTATATTAAACGGCCGAAGTTTGCAGGGTAACCGTCCACGCGGGTGGGAGATGGGGTCCGCTGAACAGGCGTTGAGTGCCGCAGCAACAGACCGAATTACATCGGAGGGTGGCGTAACCTCATTTTGCGAGGCGAGATCATAAACAGCCAACAACGCCATGCTCGGCCACTACGTCTCTGTTGTCGGTTTTCTGAGGCATGACCGGCGATTGGAAGATACGACGGGCGGCGCCTGTGGAAATGCGGATGATTGACACGACCCGCCTCAGGCGCCCTGAATTCTCCAATCCACTGCCTCATCACACCTCATATAATTTCTGTATCTGCACTGTCCTTGTGAGAACGGCTGGATCTCCTTCAATTCCGTTGCTCTGATCGTCTTTTCGCACGGGATTGTTGATCGGTGTATGCCACGCCACCGCTTCCACGCTGCTCACGATTCACCACACAAATGGTAAAGAGTCCTGCACTCCGCTCCAGTGGCTTCGACTCGCCTCATGGCGACACCACCGCGCGACGCTTACTCTGGTGACTCCTCTTTGCCATTCGCACGAAACATAATACTGCATTCCATGTAGTCCGCCGTTTGGATAGATGCACACCGATGGTTCCATGAACGTGGCCGACAACGTCCACTGGTCGAACCGCGCTATGTGACCAACACACGTGTAGATCCTGGCAGCATATCCCTAAGCTCGCACCGAAGTGAACTTTCGTGCTGTTCTAGCGCCAGTTCACCAGTGAGAAGTAGCTCGAAGCGAAGGGCTTCCGCACTTCTGGCATCCATGGTTCGGACCGTGTAGTCTGAGTGAACGTCCATGAGGAATCAATGACGCTCAAACTCTACTTCACGTGTTGCATCATCAGCTATCTATCGGTCCGTAAAGTCTGCGTTCGGTGATGTCTGAGAAGGAGGACCGATTGCAATCGTGCCGTCTCATTCTCAACGCTCTAAATATCTCAACTACCGTCGAGCGATCGGCGAGAGGCACACCCATCCTGCTGCTCATGTCAAATCCACTTGCTTTGACAGTCCCCAACGAGCAACGATCAGCCCAAAATGGTGTGCTTTTCACGTGAACGGAAATTGAATACAGTTGCCAGGGCGTCGCAAATTGCCATCTTCCAACGTAGAAGAACCCAAACGAGGACGATTCTTCTGGACTCGCTTGATGCTCCAATCGCTGGGCATCACACGTTCCATCACTTTGTGGCGTGTTGGCGTTGCGGCATCCAGGCCATCCGAGGCACGCGAGAGAACTATCTACATGCAGGCATCGAAAGATTTCACCAACAGGAGACACCTGCAATCACGGCCTGTCCGGATTGGCGTCGGCGGGCCCCGGCCGCCGAGGCGTGGTGCTCATCAGGCCAGCCAGCCACAATCTATGGGGGTGGTGCGCACAAAATAAAGAAGCGCGCGTCGGGTTGTGCCGCGTGGGCCGCTCATGCCCTATCACCAAAATGTTCTAGAAACGCTTCTACGTGTCGACGCTACCGCAGCAAAGCATTTGCTCGACTGATGCAATTGTTGCTGAGCGCTCAGTCGATCTCCCACCAGCCTGGGCAGTGCTCGAAATGACCAAGCCATCAATCTACCATGGCTTCTTGATGTGCAGATGCGCGCAGGTCTTGCATTCTGATTTACTCTGCATGCACTCCTGTCACAAACATGGCAATCTGGACAGCCGTGGAGGAGATGAGCAAGCCGGGAATGGCTTGATCTGCGGCGTAGGCGGTCCATCATGCCTCAGGCAGCTCTGCGTAGGCGGAGGTGGTGGCGGCATCATCTCCTTGTTCATTTCATACTTCCGAGATTGTCGATTGCGATTCATCAGATATGATACAGTACAGTAAGACGTTCTGTATGCACGTCGCGATCGGCGCCGTACTCCCATCGCCGGCAGCAAATATATCCTAACGTCAGCGCTAGCTTGTGTTGAGATGAGCGGTTGTAAACCTCCGAACGAAAATGTGATGAAATTCAAACTGGTGGGTGATACTGTAGTCTCGTCGCCCTGTGAACGCCCAACGTTGCACCTGTCGGCATCGGTTTTCTTGATATCGTATCGTCGTCTGTTTCACTCGATGAGCGTCAGGGCCTTCAATCGATATGCTTGCAGATTCAGGGTAGCCGTTGACAATCAACGTCTAATTAAGCATTGAAGGGCCTGACCAGGTCGGAACGCCCGTTGGGTGATCACTGAGCAACCATCGTGAACGGGTAACAGCACAGAATTGGTGTGCATCAGCTGCTTGTCGTACATATTGTTACACTTGCTCCAAACCATTGAATAACGTCATCGTGCTGTCGTGTCATTGCATGAAAATAGGTATTGAAGATAATGACAGCGACGCCCGGGTGTACATACGACGTCAGCGTGACACGCTTCCCTCGTGTCTCGTCGCATCGATTCCTTAAAGCATTACGCTTTATCATCTTCACGGAAGCTCTCCAGCCCAGAATAAAGCAACGCCAGCGTTCTGTGTGACCGCGAAACAAAGAGGGAACACGCGAACGGATGCGACCATCGTAGGAATGGAGCATACCCATCGTGTTAAGTGTTCCATCTCATCTTTGTCCGGATTCAACAGTTTGACTTGAATGCGAGCTGAGCGGCTCGAATCAATCCGCCAATCTGGTTATGCGTCAGCCTTCTGCATCATTGTACATGTATGGCCCGTAGACCTGTAGTAGGAACTTCCGTTATCACGTACCGATATGAGACAACCGTGTCGATACGGTGTGAATTTGTCGAGAAACTGCGCAGCATGACCTTCTCTGCATTCTTGACCTCCTTTGCGTCACTGTCGCCCCATTCTAGGGGCACTTCGCTGTCCGCGTCGGCATAGACGAGAACATTGAAGGTACAATTTCCGTCCAATATCGGAAGGAATGTTACAGAGGCTGTGATTTGTCGGAATAGTGACTGAATTTCCGACTGAATTTCTTCGTCTGTCTTCTCTGTTTGTGGAGCACTAGCTTCGGGTGCGCTATTCTCTTGCTGGTCCGTCGTGGTTGCGGTTCGCTTCTTCTTGCTTTCATCTTGAAATATGTTCACCTGTGCATGATGCACAGTCAGCTCCCTGACCAAGGAAAGATAGCAAAACAATTGGACCTACATCAAATTGCCATCTCTCGATATGTTCCCCAGTCTCTTTACTGGTGATCACAATGACCAATTTTGAGATCTTCGATTTCTGCATCCACTTGTTGAGTTGACTCATGATCTTCTTGATGTATGCCTTGACCTGGTCGTCGAGCGAGACCATCATATTCAAGCCATATTTCTTCACGCTTATTTCAAGTCAGCCTGTATGTAGCTATTCAAATTTTTTATGTACACGTACGCCGAAAAATCCTCTGCTGGGTAGACACCTCGTTGAAACAATATTGAGTTGATCGAGTATTCAAAGAATTCCGTCACAAGCTTTGAGCTCCCTCGCAACGCTAATTTATGCGTTTGAGCCTTTTCTGAAGATTCGGCCTTTGAGGAAGGCATGATATGTTTGATGCTCTGGCCTGGACGATATGTTCATACGATCAGACAGCACAACAAGGAAGCAACTACAGTAAACTGCTAGCACTGGTCGGCATCCCCGCCCGGACCGATATAGCGGGAGATAGAATGACTCAGCAGTTCGGCCCGGACATGGTCCGGCAGCCGCGAACGCGTCTCCAAATTAAAATTACAGCTCTCATCCCAATCAAGCATTGGACATACTGCAATTCATCGACTGTGAGTTATGCCAGACCTCACTCATGCTACAATGTGTATTGCCGATCAGGAGCACCTATAGCATCTTACGCTCGTGGCGGTGCTCTCACATCTCCGCCACCACCATCTACAATGGCACCTACCTATGCAGGACCTTCAGTGCGACGCCACGTTCGCCTGCTAAAGCCGCATTGAAGGGAGCCCTTGAGGATCGCATCGCTAAGATTCCCATCGAACGGTTTCGCAATTTTTGCATTGTCGCACATGTCGATCATGGGAAGAGTACTCTCAGTGATCGACTCCTGGAGCTTACTGGAACCATTAAGGCAGGGGGCAACAAGCAGATCCTGGACAAGCTCGACGTAGAAAGAGAACGAGGAATTACTGTCAAAGCGCAAACATGCTCTATGTTGTATAATTACAAAGGCGAAGACTATCTTCTACATTTAGTGGACACTCCGGGACACGTCGACTTCAGAGCTGAGGTCAGCAGAAGTTATGCCAGTTGTGGTGGAGCAATCCTCCTTGTGGATGCCTCACAGGGTGTGCAAGCACAGACAGTCTCCAACTTCTACCTTGCTTTTGCGCAGAATCTCACTCTTGTGCCCGTTTTGAACAAGGTCGATCTGCCGTCCTCAGACCCAGAACGCACTCTCAATCAACTGCGCGATACTTTCGAGCTGGATGCAACTGACGCAATCAGGGTATCTGCAAAGACGGGACTCAATGTCGCCAAGCTTCTGCCGGAGATTGTGGAAAAGATACCTGCCCCTGTGGGTGATGAGAATGCCCCTCTCCGGCTGCTGCTGGTCGACAGCTGGTATGACAACTACAAAGGTGTGATTCTGCTGGTCCGAATCTTTGAAGGTACACTCCGGCCTGGCGATCGCATTGTCTCATTTGCAACAGATCTTGAATACATCGTCGGGGAGGTTGGAATCATGTACCCACTCGACACCCAACAAACTTGCCTAAGAGCTGGCCAGGTTGGCTATGTATTTTTCAATCCCGGAATGAAACGCAGCAAAGAAGCCAAGATTGGTGACACATTCACCACGGTCGGCAGCAGGCACAAGGTCGAGGCTCTCCCTGGCTTCGAGGAGCCTAAGAGTATGGTATATGTCGCAGCATTTCCCACGGATCAGGGTGACTACACGCATCTGGAGGACTCTATCAACCAAGTCACGCTCAACGATAGATCTGTGACGGTCACGAAAGAGAGCAGCGATGCCCTTGGTGCGGGTTGGCGTCTAGGCTTCTTGGGCACTCTGCACTGCTCGGTTTTTGAGGATCGGCTTCGACAAGAACACGGTGCGAGTATCATTATCACTCCACCTAGTGTGCCATTCAAGGTCATATATAAGAAGGACGGTCGCGAGCAGATCATAAGCAATCCCAACGATTTTCCAGAAGGACAAGACGTCACCACAGGTGTGGATCACTTTGAAGAGCCATACATCACTGCAACCATCACTCTGCCGGAGGAGTACTTGGGCAAAGTCATCGAGCTGTGCGAATCTCATCGGGGACAGCAAGAGTCGATAAGCTTCTTCACTGCTACTCAAGTCATTCTGAAATATCTCATTCCCTTGGAAAGACTGGTAGACGACTTCTTTGGCAAACTCAAGGGCGCGACAAAAGGATATGCCTCACTTGATTATGAAGATGCTGGTTATCGGCAAGCAAACGTCATCAAGCTCCAGCTCCATGTCAATAAAGTCCCGGTGGACGCCGTCGCACGTGTGATCCATTATTCGGACGCCGAGCGTATTGGCAAGCAATGGGTCACCAAGTTCAAAGAGCATGTTGATCGTCAAATGTTCGAGGTTGTCATCCAAGCCGTTGCTGGCAAACGCATCGTGGCGCGTGAAACGCTCAAAGCCTTCCGGAAAGATGTCTTGCAGAAGCTCCATGCGGCGGACATCAGCAGACGCCGGAAGCTACTCGAAAAGCAAAAGGAGGGCAAGAAGCGCATGAGAGCTGTGGGCAACGTTACGATCGACAACAAAGCTTTCCAGAGCTTCCTTGCTAAGTGATCCCGATCCTGCACAAACTTCCTATTCTTGTTTCATGTTTCCATTCCCGATGGCTCAAAAATGTTAATCATATCTGTACATTTCCAAATATCTCATGTCCGTCCGTGAAGCTTACCAAGCCCTGTTCAAGCGGGTCATGGATCAGCGTGCATCGCCGTAGATCTGCTCCTTCATGTCTTTGCGATCATGCCTCGTTGCGCGTTCATCTTCTTGCTGATAGACGCTTAACTGACCATAACGACCACCCATCTTTCTCATTTTGAACAGAATGAATAGACTATAGCCAAAGCTGGCCCAGAAGGCGAATCTGTTATTGGTGAGCCGTCAGTGTCTAGCCCTGCCATCGCTCGCAAACGGGAATCAATCAAAGGTCTTACATTATCAAGATGAGATGTGTCGCCACGGCGGCCTCTATGGCGATGTACACGTCCATCATGAAGAGGTTCCGCAAGGCTATCGGCGAGAAGATTGTGAAGTAAAGCGCCTTCGCCGCCTGCAACGTGAAGTACACCCAAGGATCCATCAAATGATGCGACCAAAGAACCACTTCAGTCGGAGCCGCGACAAGAGTGAGGATGTGCAGCGCCAAGAAGAAGTATGCGATCCTATATGCCATCGGGTTAGCATCCGGTCAACCGACAAGGCGCGCAGACTTTACGAAGCCGAGACGAGGCATGAAGCTCCCGGTAGGAAGTCGTGGCAACTTACCCAGAGACAGATTTAGGATCTGCGCCATATGCATCCAGAATGTAATAGGCGAGGATGAGGATGTTTGCAGTTATGCTGTATGTTCCAGCAATCCAGCAGAGCCAGAGAGGCCATGGTCTGTATAGTTTGCGTGGGTACATGGCTCTGGACTGGGCGGGTTGTCTGAGGGTAGGTTGCTTCTGCGTGTTTTCAACAGGTGGTCGTCACTGCACACACGACACTGACGGTCAAGAGAGGTGAAGACAAGGTTTTTTAAGGAAGCAAAATGCACCATCCACGAACACACCGGGCGAAGATGCAGGTAAAACCCCGAAGCTATTCGCTCTGCTACCATTACTATATGCTGGGCTGACCCACCAGAGGAGCATCAGAGTGGGCATATCGGCCACTGGGAAACTCTCGACTGTGCCGCTGGGATGTTGTCGTGGCCGTCTGACCAAAAGGAAGGGCGGTGCAGAGTCTTGGTAGGCTCGATATTCCTGTACTGTGCCGCAGACGTGCATGGATGTTGTTGGTGAAGCCATTTATAGCAACCTAAGTTGCTCTAGGGCCGACTCCGCGTTTCATGTGCTGACTTGGAGCCGGGAACTACAAGAAATGGCTGGAGAACCCATTGCATATCTCAATATAGAGTTTTCCACGTTCATAGAGGCAGCCGTCCATGATTTATTAACAAGCACCTTCATTTCTGTCGCAAATAAACCTGCAGCGACATCTACTTCAAACCATGTTGTCTGGCAGTTTTGGCATGCCTGAAGATCGACACTAGTGCACGGGTGGATTGCCCTAGCCCCAGCGCCCAGCCGGTGCGGCAGTGCAGTAGTATGGAGGAGAAGATGCCCGCAGGCCTCTCGTCAATAGCCTCAGGGCCACGCAGGGCTCATGTCAACTTCCTTCGTCGGAAGACCACCACAGACTTCTCACTGATAAGCCAAGACCACCGAACATTGACGCTGGCCTCAAGACTCGAATTGCGACACAATTTCATGCGCAAGAGCAAGAAATGTAAACGGCTAATAACGACATGAGGCAAGCAGGCGCAGATGCCAAATGGCCAGCATCGATTGCTAGAGGAGAAGGCATAATGCACTTGCCATCTATCGACGGTTGCTACTATGCTCCTACTAGGTACTCAACGGATGTTTGAAAGCGTATCATGGCAGTAACTACAATGATCACTTGATGCTAGATTGAACTTGACATGATATCCTTCATGACCTCTTTGAAGATTTCTCATTGTACATATCACATCATCTTATCACACAGACTATTCCTCAATTCCATACTCCTGGCAACTTCTCTATTCTTCCCACTTTCTGGAAACATTGACTTGAAAGGACAGTACCACCATCGCTCAGTGTACACTACAACTCAGAAATCACTGCAAAATGCCTTGCGGTCGCGTAACTCTCGTCCGCAACCCGAACTATATCAAAGACGGCCTCAAGGCGTATGGCAACTACCTGAGGAAATTCGCCGTCGCACCCACTCTGGAGGGTCCGTTTGATCTTGTTCACGAGATCTTCGACGACAGCACAAGTCTCCTGAGCCGCCTACGCAAGCAAGACAACTCTGTGGGAACTCGCCCTCTGCTCCTCAAGCGAGATGTCGCAGGTCGCACCGGGCACGTCGACGCCACCGATATACAACAGGATACTGAGTACCTGGCTCCTGTCTCTATTGGAACGCCTCCACAAATATTCCATTTGCAGTTCGACACCGGCTCCGCTGATCTCTAGATGTGGTCGACGGAGCTCACAAAGGCAGTGCAGAAACGAGGCGTGGAGAGTGGTCACAACATCTTTCGGCCAGCTGACAGTACAACTTTCAAGCCATCTGCTGGTCAGACATGGCATATTCGCTATGGTGACGGGTCTACCGCGAACGGTATTGTCGGCATTGACACTGTTGACCTGGGTGGCCTGAAGATCAACGGTCAATCGATCGAGCTTGCAAACCATCTCTCGGACGGCTTCATGCTCGGCTCTGAGGACGGTCTACTAGGCCTAGCTTTTGTAAGTTCCCAGCGTCTCGAGATCCTCTGAGATCCTCGCTGATGTCCGTAGGGATCGATCAACACAGTTCAACCTCACGCTGTGCATACGCCAGTGGAGAATCTGTCCTTGCAGTCTGATTTGAATCACGGTTCTCAGCTTTTCACGGCTTATTTGACGAACTCTCGCGATCACATACAGTCCGTCTACACATTTGGCGAAATAGATTCTGAGCTCGTCGCTGGTGGGACAATCAACTATGCCCTCGTCGACTCCTCGCGCGGCTTCTAGCAGTTCCGCTCCGAGTGGTCCGAGGTCAATGGAACCCGCATCCCGCTCGTCGGAAACACTGCCATCGCTGACACTGGTACCACTCTGGCACTTATAGATGATTTTACGTGCAAACTCATCTATGCTGCAATCCCCGGAGCTACTTACGACAAGAGTGTGGGTGCTTACGTTTTCCCGGCCACTACGAAGCGGGAGTGCCTGCCTGTTGTGACCTTTGCCATCGGTGACAAGCCATTCACCGTCCACAAGGATGATCTCGCCTTCGCTGATGCCGGGAATGGGATGGTTTTCGGAGGGATTCAATCGCGCGGGACATTGTCCTTCAATATTTATGGCGACACCTGCCTGAAGGGCATGTATGCCATCTTTGATCAGGTAAGTTCTAGAACAACCTTCCACAGGTTTTATGCGACGTGGAATATGAACTAACTATTCTCCAGGGCAATAAACGTTTCGGCTTCGTGCAAAAGCCCGAGTCAGCTGTGCAACACTGATGGTTGTAGTCTCGGTCATGAAAGTTGATGGGACCTGAGCGGGAAGCTAGAGTGTGCAGTGCACCTATGATTCGATCCTCTTATGCCTAGGTAGCAGTGTATAACTATGAGTTGTGAACTATGCATTGAGAATTCTGAATCGCGGACCTAAGATCCCAAAATTTCGGATAATGCATTGAAGTATGGTGAGATGCGAAATGCGAACTACTATTATTGCACACATGCAGCATCTGGATCTGTGGCCGAAACTTCCACCCAAGTACCCTCCTGCCCGATTTATATGTGTACACGCGTATTGAGTTTGCGATACAGCATCGCCACTTCGGTCCGAGAGCTTTTCAGACAGCACTGAACTACCGTGCAGCAAGTTGTCTGCGCCTCAATCTCCAACCTAAGAGCTTCTCGTACATATCAGCGCCGTAGAAAGCCACGGCGATGGACGAGCCGACAACGATGAAAGTCACACATATAGCTATTGCCCAAAAGATCCATTGTGACTGCTCCATATCCCTAATGTCGGACACATTCATTCCGAGGAACGAGGAGACGAAATTGAGAGGCAAGAATATCAGCGTGACGATGGTGAAAATCAGAATAACTTTGCCATTGTCCTCGAGGCGAATGTTCACGAGCTGGATCGTGCGATTGACAAGCTTCTCGGTCCGGTCGCGCAAATCTGTCAAATCTGTCAATTCCCGCTGTAGGTTGTCTAGAAGCTGCGCAAGAGGATCTGGGAGCTCGGAGGTCGAGACTGATCGATAAGTGGGATGAGGCAAGAGACCACCAGGACGAATCCCATGGTCGTCATGAGTGTGGATGCCGGGCGATTGCGCAGGCGGCACAGGCGGCCACTGTGGCTTTGCTCGATCCTCGAGTCGCACGCGGAGTTCACGGATCATGTCGATTTGTTGCTCCGTTATGTGAATGACGATGCCCAATTCCTCTTGGCAAGCTATGAGGTCCATCACGAGCTTCGTGCTCGGATTGCGATGAAGGCAATATTGTAAGTGGCCGAGCCGTCCTGCGTAGCGATCTGCCAGACACAGGACTATGTCGGGCCAAAAATTACGATGCAGGAGTCCGACCGCACCGCTCAGACAGGTCACGGCATGGACCAAAGCAGTATAGTCTGTGTCGCCGGTTGCAAAGTAGTGATTGCGGATTGCCCGGAATGAAACGTCCGAAATTCTCGAGGTAAGCTGCTGCGGCGGCCAGCGACTCTTCCACGTCTGGTTCGAACTCCAAGTCACGATGTGCTCGGCATCGACGATGAGAATCCAAAGTTCATCGACATTTAGGCGTTCCGGATAGCTGTCACTGCCGTAGAAGGAACGCACTTTGAGATCGAGTTCGCGATTCGAGCTCCATGGCTTATGATTGGCGAGAACTTGCGAGCTCTCCCGATCATGAGTATCTTCAAGCCGGTAAAAGTACTGCAATACCGAACGAATGACATGAGAGGACGATCTTGCCACGTGAAAGCCCTCTCTCTTGTCTACATTGAAACGCAACGGTGGAGTCGGTCCCTTGACCGTCCAATCCAGAAATGGCACAGACATCAGTATTGGATACAAACTCCCGCCATCGATATTCGCTCGTGGTTGCAGGACCTGCGAGAAAGGCGCAAACCACTTTCCATGTCTCGAGAAGCGTGTGTTTCGCTGAATCGCTATTTCGAGCATCTGCATGGACTCAGCAACGCCCTGAAGATCGTCAGACAGCGCCCATAGGAAGCCTTGGATGTATTCGGGAAATTTCGAAGAACAGTGAATCCATCGAGATTTCGCCGTCGAGACATTTGTGTCCCAAGCATCAGACTGAGATGCCTGAAGACGAAGAGTACGGATCCAACCGAATTCTTCTTCAAGCAATTGATATTTCTGCCGCTCGATTGGGTTCTTGGTCGCCTCTGAAATACGTATGAAGCTCGCGGACGGGGTGAAAGATGCTACGTCCGGAACCAAGGATGCTGGCGACCTTTCATTGATCTCCAGAAGCGGACCGCGGTCTGGTCGCCAATTCTCGAGTCGAACATCGTGAACGAGAATTTGCGCCGGTGTCAACGGCTTTCGAGCCCACCTCTCATCTGCTGAATAGTCATGTCCACCAGCATCATTCTCGCTGGCGGTATCGTGTTGGCTTTTCATGTAGGTTGACTGAAACGTGATCTACACGCTCTCGCGCAACGGCAGACGCGAGGCATTGGTCGTTTTGTATCAGGTTCGCGTGTCACGACCTTGGAAGAGAACTGGCGTCGCTGTCGCCTTTTTGCTCGTGACACGCGTGGGCAATGTGAAATCACCTGCGCCTCGTCAGGTACAGATAGGCCTCTCCAGCCCAATTCGAAGGACAAGGGATGTGACTCGTGCCTGAGGCATAATACAGCTAAGCCTCGATATTTCCCGAACTGGTATTTGTTGGAGAAAAGTTCATGTACTGTCACAATAGAGGGGCCCATATCGTGTGTTGTATCTTTGCGAGATTCGCTTTCGACATAGCATATCGCTTGACGACGGTCGAGTCGGCATTTCAAAAATGGCTCAGCCCACTGCTCTTCAGGACAAGCTCGATGGCGTGGAGCTTCCAGCGGCAGCGGACATGCATGTCCACCTTAGAGACGGCGACATGACAAAATTGATAGTGTACGTGAATAATGGTACATATTATCAAATGGTGGTTTATGATTGACGATCAGCCAGTCCTACAATTCGCCGAGGAGGTGTCAATACTGTCTTCGTCATGGTATGCTTCGTAAACTTCATGACTTGAATTTCGATACTGATCGAAATTTGAAAAGCCGAATCTGGTTCCTCCGATCACCACGGTCAAACATGCCTTGGAATACAAGCAACGTCTGCAGGAAATAGAGCCCAGGGTCGAGTTCCTGATGTCGTTGTATTTGCATCCTGACATCACGGTCGAGACTGTCAAGGAGGCTAAACAAGCTGGCATCACTGGCATCAAGTCCTATCCACATGGTGTAACGACCAATTCCAGCCACGGAGTCATGTCATACGAGCCCTTCTTTCCCGTGTTCGAGGAAATGGAGCGCCAGGATATGGTGCTGAACCTCCACGGCGAACTTCCTCCGTCCGCTGGTGCAGATGTCACAGTCATGAACGCTGAAGAGGCCTTCATCCCGACCTTGTTCGACCTGCATCGTCGATTCCCCAACCTTCGAATCATTTTGGAGCACTGTACTTCTGCCGCTGCGATTGAGGCCGTCAAGAAGTGCGGTCCGACTGTTGCAGCCACATTGACTGCCCATCATTTGTTCCTCACCGTAGACGACTGGGCCGGCGACCCACACTGCTTCTGCAAGCCCGTAGCCAAGACCCCTGCCGACCGCCGAGCTCTCCTCGAGACTGCCGCAAGTGGCAATCCCAAGTTCTTCTTTGGTACCGATTCAGCTCCTCACCCAGCCCAATCAAAGCGTGCAGACAAGGTAGCAGCTGGGGTGTTTACACAACCTCATGCCGTTGGCTTGGTCATCGACGCACTCGAGGAGGGCATTGAGAAAGGCATCTTGCGCAATGAAGACGTCACACTCCAAAAGCTGGAGGGCTTCTTTAGCGAGTTTGGGAGGAAGTTCTACAAGGTCACTGATAAGTCCAACGAGAGGATAGTCCTTCAGCGAACTGCGGAACCCATCGAAGAGAGTCTGACAAACTCAGATAACTCCATCGAGGTCATTCCTTTCCGCCGAGGCAAGCCTACATGGCGAGCACAGTGGAAATGAGGCCTACGAAGAGGATGATGAGATGAAGGTATGGAACAATGCATGTAGGAGGTTTTCGGGTGTGATTCTTGCGCACGATGCGATGTTCTTTTAGGGTCGAATTAGGGTTGTGTTGGAGATGGGGTTCGATCGTGACTTCTTAACATCCTGCTTGGGAGAAATGTAGCTGGAGCCGTCGCAATGACAATTTCCTATAATCGTCCAATCAAGGTGTTCTTCTGACATGTTTCTTGCCATCATATGTTCTACGACAGTCACGTTGGCTGTAAGACCTACATCGTGGACGAGGCGGGCACGTATCATTCAAGCGAACGCCGAGCATAACCCCAGGATATGCTCCACTTGAACACAGTCCCTCGCAAACATTCGGCATATCTCGATTATATAATGAAAATGTGATTATACGGAACGGGCATACTATCCCATTCACGCGATTCCAAGTAAAACAAGCGAAATGCCCGATACACTCCCCAGGACAAGATATATTCGAGACACGCGTGAGCTCGGCTGGCTAGAAGGCGTGACAATCAACAGCGCATCATCTGAGGCGTCGGAAAAGAAGCCACTATGTCACTTCTTCGGCGGCATCCCCTATGGAATTCCACCCATCGATGAACACAGATTCCGCCAAGCAAGACCTCTACCTCAGACGTGGCGATACGGGACAAGATCAAATCCTGCACGGTTCACGGGCGAATGCAGCGTCTGCCCCCAACCCAAAGCGAAAGGGGCCACCAGCGAAAAACACTGGGATGAGAATTGCCTGCAGTTAAATATCTACATCCCCGTCGGTGCTCCGCCTCCGAAAGGATGGCCGGTGTTCTTCTACATCCATGGTGGATTTTTACAATGCGGCTCGCCGAACAACAAACCCGAGGCGATGGCACGATTACTGGGTGAGACCGAGTTCCAAGCCATCATCGTCGCTCCGGCATACCGATTGAATGTCCTCGGCTTCCTCGCCAGCCGGGAACTACAGAGCGAGGCATACAGTGTCGGCGAACCTGCTGGCAATCAAGGACTATGGGACCAGCGGCTCGCACTCGAATGGACGGCAAGAAACATTAGAGTTTTCGACGGCGATGCCGAGAACATCACAGTAGGAGGATATTCCGCTGGCGCATACTCCGTATTCCATCAGCTCGCACACGAACTCTTTCAGGAAACGACACGGAAGCCAATCATTTGTCGGGTCATCATGTGGGGCAATGGGCCCGGCGTACAGCCCAGGAGTATGTCGGAACAACAGAGACAGTTCGATGAGCTCCTGGGTGTCCTCGATATCTCGCTTGCCCTACCCGTCAAGGAGAAATTGCAGCGAATAAGAGCGACCGCCGCGAGCAAACTGGTCGCAGCTATCGAAGACATGCAACTGACCGAGTTTAAGCCCTGGTCAGATGGCATCTTCGTCCCGCGCGACCTATTCAAGCACATCAACAAAGGCGAATTCGCCCGAAGGATGAAGCAACGAGGGATCGCGCTCATGAACGGCGAATGCCGCGACGAGCATCACGTGTATCAGCAATGGCGCACCCCACTGGATTCCTACGATGCCATGTACACGCGCCTCTGCGCCGACTACCCGGAACGCGCGGTCAAGGCGATCCTCGCACACCATTGTGGTGGTGGTAGCAAACAGGCGCCGCTACCGGCAGGCGTGAAGGACTGGCGGGAAGCTTTCGGACACATCTACGCGAACACACAGATCCACTTACTGGAACGGGGGTTCAACGATGCGCTCGTCCGCGGTGGACTCGAGGTGGGCAAACACCTGCTACGCTATCGAATTGAGTGGCGCGCGAAATTGACCGATGGGATGTTTCCGCTCGAATGGGGCGTTACACACTCTTCAGACCTCGCGATTTGGTTTTGGGGGATGAATATCGGTGGAGGGTTGTCGGAGGATGAGAAGAGGGTGCTTCGACCCTGGAATGAGCGGTTTGCGAGATTCGTGCAAGGGAAGGATGTGCCGTGGGCGGCTGGCGGCGAGAGGGAAATGTTACGCCTGAATGCAAACGGCGAAACAGAGGTCTGGACTGATGAGGACTGGGAGGAAGGAGTCGAGCTTTGGCGGGTCGTCAACGGAGGTGTCTCGCCCGGTCTGTTGAGCTGGATGAAATCTAGATTGTGAGAGGGCCAACAGCGCGTGCTACCATGTTTGGTCGATGTCGGTAGCTCCTGCATGAGATGAGTGCTCAAGACTCGACCTGAAGAGTGATCGGCGGTTTGATGTCCTGACATGGGAGGCTGCGACATGAGCAAGCGGAAGTGTGCTTTCCCATGGAAACCATGACCGCTGCTTCTATCGGAATGATGCCAAATTGTTCTTCCGGGCAGGATGAACCGCGAGGAGTTGGTAAGATGGACCCGAGAGTTGAGCTCGAGACGAAACGGGGCACTGAAGGCAAGACGAAGCGGCGGAGCATTGACGAGGGAGGTCGGAGGTGGAAGGCAGATGGGTGAACGCCTCCAGGTCCTGGGAATGGCCATTGGGATAGCATACACACCCCGATTGGTCGAGGTTGCACGCCAACGGACTGGTCTTCGCCGCTGAGAAGGGTGCGCACGCTGTGATCAGCCACAAGCAAGCAGGCAAGCAGAGCCGCCATTTTTGCTGCGGTGGTATGGTCCTGTGGTGGGACCCACCCGCTTGCATTTGCCGACAATTCTCGCGAAATCAATGTATGGCACATATGTATCCTTATAGGTACTGTTCCACAGATTTAATACTGTTCCTCTATGGAAAGGCTGAGGCGTTTGACGCGGGCGTGCGGATGGGTCCAATTCTCGCATGTGCGGCCAAAGTTCCGATGATGATGCCCTCCGCAGCTTGTACGGATTACCGTGCGAAGTTGCATTCCAATGTGATTTTTTCCGTGTTCATTTTGCATGCGATGAGACTACAGGAACGATGGCTTCGACATGTTCGCTCAAGGATCGATGCACGAGTGTGATGACTACCGTAATAAGGCGCAGAGGGATGTGAATGTGAGATGCACAACGGTGGTCGCCGTGTCGGATGTTGACTAGAGAAAGCGATCCGTGTCGCATCCGCGCATCGGCGATCTCGATCGATAACTGAGACCAGACCGGATCCGTCTGGCGGGCCGTTGAATTCCTTTTTTTTCGCCCGCTGGGTTGGAGTCCCGTCTAACCAGCTTCGTTACCGGTTGGTCAGGACGCATTCCCGCTACCAGATGTTTGAAAGGCGGTCGTGGTGATCGGAGATCGATGTGCAGCGAAACGATCGTACGCAGCGGCCGATTGAATGGATGCTGATGGTTGGATGGATGCTGACGATAAGATTTGCGCGTCAAGCGACACAGTGTATTGCAATGTCAGTCAGCCTCTGCACGACAATAACACTGGAGGCATTCAAACAGGCCATTCTACAACATATTCGCGTGACATTGTTCTCCACCACCAGCGATAAAATGAGCCATTCCCATGGATGGGAAAATCTGCGGGTGACGTAAGGGCGTCATCGAATAATCACGAATATGCAGCTAGCGGCCGATCCGTGCCCGTATCGCGTGCTACTGTACTCATTTCTGGAGGCAAAGTCAGACAAAGCAGAACGCGACAGGAGGATAAGGAGAGGCTCTTTGCCGAGGTCGGATCGGTTGGACGCCGTGTTCACAGACGGCTTCCATCGACACCAAGATACAATCCGCAAGTACTGTGTCTACATGGTGCTTCGTAATCAAATGTGTATGCTGTAGAGCTGAATCAGATGCCGCGGGCTGGTCAGATGGGCGAATGTATCTTTGTCCTATTCCAAAGGCCATACATTCTGATTGGACATCCATGGATTGCATCATGCCAGTAGCATTAATAATCCCATACATACATCACGGCCCCGGGGGCATACACGGCCGGGGAAAGGGGAGAGGGAACGAGAGGAAAAGGATTGAGCTGGAGAGCATCTGTACGGAGGGAAGGGGGCAGGCCATACTCTACTAAATGATCGTTTATCTGGGAAGGAGCTGCCGCGTCGTTGTCGTCTCGTCAAGCACAGTACTGTACCAGATTGTATAGGCCGTGACCGCCAGCGTACTGTAACCATACCGGAGTCCAAGCTGGCATGGTATAGTATATTCATTGTACTGTGGCGCTGTGGTGTACTGTGTAGCAGCTCGGTCCACGCGTTGTTACCGATCCGCGCCGGATAAGTCACAAACTCCCACTGCAATATCCAGCGCTTTACGACTCGTTTCCTTACCAGGGATGCTTGTATTCGGGCGGTCGTACTGTTGGTTGATGATTGATGACTGTCTGTCTGTTCGTCCAGTTTGTTATATGGTGTGTTCGGCCAGCGAAAAGCAGACCGTTTGGCTTCCACGCCTCCAGGTGTTTCCGCAACGGCGCTAACCCCATTCCAGTCGACCCTCCTCACACACACACACATACACACACCCTTTCCCACAAGCCATACATCCCCACCCCGTAAGTCCCACACACAAGGGAAATGCTGTTCGCTCCTGGCCTTTTATACGTAACCTCCTCGCCCTGACGTATGTCCGCCTTCACCTCGACTTTTCCCACGACGTCACTCCGGCTTTTCGACACACGATACCGCAATACCTGGACTGGACTGCACCGCGTCGCGCGCTCGTGTGTGTTTGTGCGTGCTCGCGTCTGTGTATACTACTGCTCTCTGGCCTCACGCAGAACATCTACTCTGCTGCCCGTCTGAGTGAAGCGACGGGAACAACTCGCAACGAGGATAGGGAAGCGTCGGTCACGACTTGCGAGGATTCCCATTTTTCCTTGCCCCAGGGAGGCAAAGCAAACGTGACTGAGCGGGAATTGGCTTGCCCCCAAGTCCCAATCCAATTTTTGCACCCAAATTCTTTCGGGCGCCTTCCTCGCAACTACGTCACCTTCACCACCACCGTCGTCACCTTCACAACACATCCATTTCATCGAAGCAACCACAGCGACGAGGTCGTCGCGTAATTTGAGGTGAGTAACGCATGTATGGATGCCATCAGAATGTGGTGCAGGATGAATGCGGCATACGCGACCGCGAGAAATGCTGTCGTCGTCGTCTCGTCGCTGTTTGCCACCGAAACCTGGGCGTCGCGGTGCGGATTGCGACGATGCCATATCACATTTCGATTGAGTCGCCATGCGCAATCACGGTCGGCTCGTTCGCAATCATCTGTACTGACTTGTCGTCGCAATAAAAGCAGATAATTAATTGTTGAGAGTCAGAGTCGTGTTGGTGCAGAAACCAAAGAGAGAAGGGATCTGGAGTGGGACAAGACCGGGTTTACAAAGCAACACCGCCCAGACAGCATCATCGCCCTCTCCAACCGACGTCATCATGGCTGCTGTCGCTTCTGCCGCGCGACAGTCCGCGAACAACTCACCTCACATGAATGCCAAAAGCATAACCAACTCACCGCGCACCACAACCCGAAGCTCTTTGCAGAATTCAGGTATGTTATCGTCGTCGTGAGCATCATCGTCGTCGTCGCACCTCCACTTTGTCCTGCACAACGTCCATTGTCCGTCATGGTCGAGTCGTACTCGCGACCGTCATCCACTGGCGCATGATGACGTTGCATCGCCCGTTACAGTAATCATGTCATCCAGCATTTACTGATACTGTTGTCCACGTAGAGGTCGCAAAGAAGGATTCGTCCACGGCCAATGGTAGCAAGTCCGGTAAGGTCTTCGTGACCGTCATTCGTCGCAAGTGCCCTGCTAACGCCGTGATGCAGACACGACCGCGAACAAACAAGCCGAAGCAGATAACAAGGGAGCGTCTGCGCCAGCCAATGCGCCGCTCGCGCCGCCGCCGAAACCCAATCAAAACGGTGGTCAAGACTACTTCAGCGGAACACACAACGCAAGCAATTTGACGAAAGAGGTCAACCCGTTCGACGACGCCTTCCGCAACCCAGCAGAGACGCCTGGAAAGAGCCAACTGCCCGGAATCACCAGCTTGACTTCCCCCGCTTCGCTCCTCCCCAACAACACCCCAGGCTGGCCAGGATCCCTGCGTTCCGGTCCCCTCAGCCCTGCTATGCTTGCGGGTCCAACTGGTAACACAAGCGACTACTTCAGCAGCGACCACTTTGGAGGAAGCTTCCCGACACCGAATGAATCGTCCCTACGCACTGGCCTGACTCCTGGCGGGACGGGGTCTATGTTCCCGCAACCATCACCAAACTCGCAAGCACTTCTCCAGCAGCTTCACGCCGGCGGTGCCACACCTGGCACACTCGATTTCCATCGCACAGCCATGGCCGCCCGCGCCCAACATAATCAGACCAACACCTACAACAGCGCCCAGAACGTGGCGTCATCGTTACCCGCACAGAACCCGAACATCCAACCTGATCTCGACAGCAAACCATATAACCCGAACAACTCGAGCGCTCACCAGGACTCCCACGATCCGTTCGGATCGCATCAGACCAACGATGCTGCCAACGGCTTGTTCATGTTAGCGCAGGCCGGGGGCCAGCGCGGCTCGCAGAGTAACTTCGGTGCCCAACAGCAATCACAGTCACAACAACAATCCCAGCAGCCGCAACAAGCCCAGTCTCAGCAGCCACTGGCGTACCAGCCAAGTGCACAAGAAAAGCGTGCGGCAAAGGTAGGAAGCATCGGCAGCAATATCTCTGCTAACACCGAAGCCCACGACGGCCAATTTTCGGACGACCAGAAGCCCGCAGCAGGGAGAAACGGCCGAGGCAAGAAAGCATCAGCGACCAAGCCGGCGCCAGCGAACAAGCGAAAGACTGAGGATACGCCCGTGAAGAATGCTGCAACCAAGAAGCAACGCGCTAATAGCATGGTCGAGCCGGCATCGGAACCAGAAGACGAGGAGATGGACGACCAGGACGAAATTGGCGCAGATGGTCGCAAGATGACCGATGAGGAGAAACGCAAAAACTTTCTCGAGCGTAACCGGTAAGCCACTGTTTCATGTCACGCGCAGACAAGGGCTGTTACTAATCACGTTGATATAACAGAGTTGCTGCCCTCAAATGTCGTCAACGTAAGAAGCAATGGCTGGCCAATCTTCAACACAAGGTCGAGGTGTTCACGAGTGAGAACGATGCTCTTGCCACCACCGTCACCTCGCTACGCGAAGAAATCGTCGGCCTCAAAACCCTTCTGTTGGCACACAAGGACTGTCCTGTATCACAGGCGCAGGGAATTTCTGGCATGGCCATGCAACAAATTGCTGGCACCGACAGTGGCCACAACTTTGCCAATCCGTATGGAATGGCAATGAACCAAGGTGGACCTGGAATGAGTCAAGGGCAGATGCATCGGAGATAGTGCTCAGATGAAAATCTGCTCAGCTTTTCGCCCACGCCTAAACCGCCACCATGTCACAAACATTGAGAAGTCAAATGTGTGATCTGGCAAGCAACACGGTCATTCACGCAAGTGAAAAGACCTTTTCCTCGCAAGCTGTATACACTGCCACTTACCAGGTCAGATCATGAGTGATGGTTTATGTTGCGTAAAGACGCAAATGTGGAGTAACAAGGAGTGATTGGGATGGCTCATGTACGCTTGGATCTGCCATTCGTTGATTAATATGACATCATGTCGCGACGGATGTGTCAGAGGTTTATATTCGTTTGAACAAAATTATTAACACCACTTGTCTGCCTGGTCTCTTCGAGATCGTGTTGTGCTGCCGTCTCGAGACGTGGAACTCTGATATTCTGTTGGGTAAAGAAATGTGTAACGATCTCCACAACCCCACCACGAACTTTGTAGGTGCCACTTTCACGAAACGCGTCGGACCGCACAATCAACGCGTATACACAAGCGCAACTTTACAGTGCACATCACCATTCGGCCCAACATCACAAAATGCAGTGACCCGTCGAGCCAAAAGATGCGAAAGCCACATAATGTCGACGAGCAAATCCGAGCGCATCGAGAATGCGCTTCAATCCTTGTTGGAGCGCCTCGTTCCTGGCCAACAACCTGAAGAAGATGAAGATGTTGCTGATCAACGCTGGGACGATGCGAGCGCTCTAGCGACGGCAATACTCAGGCGTGGTGGGAGCGAAGCCGCACCTGCAGAGGATGTCAACCATGCCGCCGAACTGATCCGACGCAAACTGCTGCGCGACAATTCTGGACCCGAGAAGGCGGCCGCCTTCAGCAATCTATACTCCCGCTTGCTTGCTCAGCCGATTTTGACCAAGAGATGGGCCATTCTATACTTTCTGCTCAAGATGGGTGAGGATGGCGAGGAGCGCCATACTACAGCCGCAGCTGCGAGTCGCTCGATACCCGCATCCAGTGCTTCAAGGGCTTTGCCAGCGCATAGTGAACAAGAGCTAGGGAGGTCGCAAACAGCTGGGCGGCCAAGTCAAAATGACCAGGCGCAATACGAAGGGCGAAATCCAGTGTTCGACACTGCTTTCTCGCGGAACGGATTACCCAGGGTTCAAAACGGTCAAGCGCGTGAAAGTCCCATGCCTACCACGCCGCGCGAGCGCGAGAGACCAATGCCGCCACGAACGAGAGGGCAGGAAAAAGAGCCGGCGACCCCGGAGCCGGTGGTCAAGAAACCAGTCGATGGACCGACAGAGCTTGCGCTGCTTCGCGATCTGCCGTTCACCTTACAAGGCCTCTCGTCAACCCATTTGCTGTTCGCGCAGAAGCAATCTCTCAAACTCCCTTCGACCATACCAGTGCCTCTCGTGTCCTTGCTTCATACACTAGCCGAGCCATCGTTGCTGTATCAGTCGCTCTCGGAATTTGTGGAATCTTCCGAGGGCGGTCTAGTGGGACAGAGTCTTCGCGCAGCAATTGCCATTGAGCTGCGTTCTTATCTCAGCCTCGTGGCTACTTTGGAAGGTCAAATTCGGCGAGCGCTGACCCAAATCGAGGAGAATCCGTCGACAAACCTAAATCAGGCGGGTGTGACGCTCAAGCGATGCGTCGTCTGGACGCGAGAGGCTACTCTTGGTCTTCGCTTGATGAGTGCTATCGTTGTGTCGGCCGAAGGAAAGAAGGGCGGCGAACTCATCAGCCTCATTCACAATTTCGCTTCATCACATGGTGATCCTTTCGTCCACACTTTCGCCGAAAGGTTGCTCACGCAAATCACAAGACCGTTTTATAACATGCTTCGTGCTTGGGTGTATGATGGCGAGCTCGAAGACCCCTACCTGGAATTCTTCGTGTCAGAGAATCCGGATCATGAAGATAGCGGCGCCACGAGCGTGTGGGAACATAAATATCTTCTGCAGGAGAACATGATTCCATCCATCATGACTGCCGATTTTGCCAACAAGGTCTTCCTGATCGGCAAAAGTTTGAACTTCATCCGATACGGATGCGCCGATAGTGTTTGGGTGGAGAATTACAGCAAATCGACCTCACGTGAGCTAAAGTATGGTGATAATGCCACTCTCTCACTAAGCATAGACGAAGCATACAAAACCGTTATGGAGCGCTTGATCAGCCTGATGGAAACAAAGTTCGCGCTGTTTTCACATTTGCAGGCCCTGAAGAAATATCTGTTGCTTGGTCAAGGAGACTTTATTGCGTTGCTCATGGAGTCGCTCTCGTCCAACCTCGACCGACCGGCCAACAGCCAATATCGTCACACCCTGACTGCGCAGCTCGAGCATGCTATCCGCAACTCCAACGCACAGTTTGATAGTCCCGATGTCCTCCGGCGCCTCGACGCTCGTATGCTCGAGCTCAGCCATGGCGAAATCGGTTGGGACGTGTTTACCCTGGAGTATAGGATTGATTCGCCGCTCGATGTTATTGTCACGCCTTGGGCAAGCAAGCAGTACCTCAAAGTCTTCAACTTCTTGTGGCGCGTGAAGCGTGTCGAATTCGCCTTGTCGACGACGTGGCGCCGGGTCCAAACTGGAGCCAGGGGCGTCATCAGCGCTGTAGAAGACAAACTAGGAGCGGACTGGAAGTCGGCCCGGGGAGGCGTGGCCGAAATGATCCACTTCATCAACCAATTGCAATATTACATTCTGTTCGAAGTCATTGAGGCTGGATGGGAGGGTCTGCAAAAGGCCATGCGGAAGCCAGATGCCACTCTAGACACTCTGATTTCCGCCCACACGACTTATCTACGCTCCATTACCCGCAAAGGCCTCCTCGGCGGCGGCGTTTCCGGCGCCGTGGATTTCACGGCCCAACTCCACGAACTCCTCAAATTGATGCTCGCATACCGCGACGCAGTGGACAGTCTCTACAGCTTCTCCGTCGCAGAGTACTCCCGACGGCAGGAACTCGCCGCCAAAATCGAAACGCGCACCCGCGCCGGTCGCTGGGGCATCACCGAAGCCGACGAGCTCGACTCCGCCGCCGCGTCACCACTGTTCACATCTACTGCGCCAGGCAACAAATCCCGCACGCGCAATAAACACGACAGCGACGACCTCTCCAGCACGCGCCCTCTCCTCCCACTTCACACCGGCGGCAGCGGCATCGAGGGCGAACGCGGCATGCTGGAGCAACTCCGCCAGCGGCTCAAGACACTAGAGACGGACTTCCGGGCGCGCGTCAATGTGTTGTTGGGGGATCTGGCGTATCAACCCGATGTCGACATGCGGTTTTTGGCCGTGGTCATGAATTTCAATGATGTGTATGCGCCGGTTAAGCGCAGGCGTCAGCATAAACCCGCGACGAGTGCGGCGTCGGTGGCGGCGACGGGCTCGGTGGCGGGATCGGTCAGGGGGACGCAGCGGGCTGATTCGATTAAGGCGTGATGAACGGAGGCTTTGTGATGTCTCATGACGAGGGATGATTTTATTTTTTGGGGGAAGATGAGGAAGGTCCAGAAAGGCGTTCATGTGAGTTTTGGCGTTTAAAGCAGGTCAAGTTTCTTATGGAATTGGGGACTTTGATTTCGTTGGGTTGTTTTTACATCATTTTATCTACTCAAAACAATTAGACGGTATCCTGGACGGTGCGCTCATGCTGCAATGCTGCTTCACGACGACTCATCACCGCTCTCCTCGCTTGTACTTGCGCTGCTTGTGCTTGTTTCATCGTCATTGTCGCTCGCGCTGCTCTCGTCGCTGGTACTTTCGCCGTCGCTCTCAGACTCGCTAGAGCTTGACGAGGGTGCAGACTTGCCATTGGCGTTCTTCTTGTCGAAGACACGCTTCAGAAGAGCAGCTCCGAATATTGGCTCCGGCTTCGTCTTCTTGACTTTCTTCTTTGATGGAGCCTCTGTCGCCTCGTCAGCTGAATCGTCGCTTTCACTCTCACTGCTGCTGCTACTACTGCTGCTGCTGCTTGACTCGTCGTCCGAGACATGGGTTCGGGCTTTTCGCTTTCGCTTGTTTTGGACTTGCTCCTCCTCAGCGGGCTCGTCAGGTGTTCCGTCGGCAGCAGGCTCAGCACAGATTGCGCTGATGAGTTTCGGATCGAGCTCAAGGTTCAATGCCTCAAACAAAATCTTCTCTGCACGTTCTGCTCGTATCCGGGCATTGTGCTCTTCCAACAGTTGGTTCTCTTCGTATTCGCTGTTCTTTCCTCCGCGAGCCTCGTGTTGCTCTTGAGCGCGCTGCAAAGCGGCCTGATAAGCTTGTTTGCGCGCACCGAGTGACTCCATAGATAGCTTTAGCGGTTCACCAGAGTGGGCGTTGTGGAATTCCTGCAGGATCTCATCTGCTTGCTTCGCTAGAAGTATTCGTGATCCAAGGCTTTTCAACCCTGAGACATAGTTGGCCAGGGCGGCAGTGTAGGCATCGGGAATGCGGTATATATTAAAGATGTTCTTGAGTAATTGCTTTTGCTGTATTGATTGGAACTTCCAATTGCTTCGATCGTGATGGTACAGCTGGAGGTATTGCAGGTACGGAGGGATCTTCTGATCATCTGATGACTTGGCAGGCTCTGATTTCGAGGTTTGTGCTGCCGGATCTTTGTGGGGCTGGTCATTGGATTTCGACTTCTTCTTCTTGGTCTTGGTCTCGTCCTTGGGCGACTTTGAAGGTGATTCGGGTTTTACTTCTGTCGATTCCTCAACGACAACCTCCTGCGTTAATGACCTTGGATGGCCTGGAGGAAGGTATGAGCGGAAAATTCGAGATGCCGAGAATCCGTCTTCCTGCTTCGTTTCAGGTGTGAAAGAGACGGATTTCCGTTTTCCAGAGAATATTTGTTTTCCCTTGGGGGTGCTAGATAGCAAGTCAGTAATAATTCGATTAATGTCGACGACGCAGGGAAACATACTCGGTTTCTCGGTTTGCGGCTGCGTTGGTTATGTCGTCAGCACCTGAGATTCCAAGGCCGATCTTCGAAGAAGCTTGATTGCTTTCATTATCACGTGCTGACTCAGAACGTCGACGCTTGGCTGGTGTGTCAGGTCCAGATGTGTCGGCCGATCTTTTCTTCGCGTTGCGAGGAGAATGACTATCTGCAGACATGTCTACACCCAATTTGACACTATGTGAAAGTTTCGCTGCCTTAGATGTGGGCTCGTGACGATCTAGTTGTGTTGCAATGCTATTCGGATTGGCTACGGCAGCGATACTCATTTTCGTCCTTGACTGCGACCGTAGAGCTGCGGGAGGAGAAGTTGTCCAGCAGCCGGTTTCACATTGAAAATGTACATATCTTTGTTCAAGATATTTTTTTGGTGTTTCCAGCAGTGAATATGTGCTGCACCTTGACCGCTACAGCCTAGCGTCATTCCGGGCGGCGGCCCGAGCTTTCGTCGTAGATTCAGGCAACGCGTGCGTCGTGTGCAGCTCATCGTCACCAGTACTAGCAGCTGTTCAAAAGCAGCTTGCGACAATCCCGATTCATTCTCAACATATCATTGAGAGAGTTCCACAGGCAGGAATCACTCAGATACGATATTCCAAGAATCACCCCCGCCGCAGACCTTTTAGTCGAGGCACGAAGCCATCATGTCGGGTGAGCCAGACTGGAGGGGCATTATGTGCTCTTTGGGCCTGAACTAATGTCCATTTCTTCCGTAGGCAGCGCTGGATATGACCGTCACATCACCATCTTCTCCGATACAGGGCGATTGTATCAAGTTGGTGGGTACAACTCTCCAGACTCACATCCGACCGTGACTGACCGTGGCCACTCCACATAGAGTATGCCTTCAAGGCAATCACCGCCGCAAATATCACATCCGTAGGCGTCCGGGGAAAGAGCTGTGCTGTGGTGATCTCTCAAAAGAAGGTTCCGGTACGTCACACGACATGGTCAACTAGGAAGCATGAAGTGTCGAGCTGACTAGAGTTGCTCCTCCAGGACAAGCTCATTGATCCCTCCTCGGTATCATATGTCTACAGACTCTCACCGTCCGTAGGCTGCGTCATGACAGGCTCAATAGCAGATGCACGGGCATCTGTCAATCGTGCGAGGGGAGAAGCTGCAGAGTTCCGATACAAGTATGGATATGAGATGCCATGTGATGTTCTTGCCAAGCGTCTGGCCAACATCTCGCAGGTATACACTCAGCGGGTAAGTAACATAACGAACGAGGATTGGACAGGATCGAAATTGCAGAGACCAGATACTAATCCTCCCAACAGGCGTACATGCGGCCACTGGGAGTTGCAACCACGTTGATCTCAGTAGACTCAGAGTTCGGACCTCAGCTGTACAAATGCGATCCAGCTGGATACTACGTGGGATACAAGGCCACAGCTTCGGGACCAAAGGCGCAGGAAGCGCTAAATTTCTTGGAGAAGAAGTTGAAGAACAAGGATAACGCGGAAGGCAGCTGGGAGGAAGTAGTGGAGCTGGGCATCACCACCCTCAGCACCGTGCTCAGCGTTGATTTTAAGAAAGGCGAATTGGAGATTGGAATTGTCGGTGGACCACGTGTGGACGGTCAAGAAGGTACTGACACAAGCTTCCGGTCCCTGACCGAGGAAGAGATTGACGAACGGCTGCAGTCCATTGCGGACAAGGATTAAAATGTGCATAGGAGACGACCATGCAAATGGTGAAGCCTTCCATGACTCGTAACGCCATGTATGTAACCCGCTGGGGATGCCCTGTATGCTGTATGCTGTAAACAAACGACTACGACGACCGATTGGGACAGGTAAATTGCTATTTGTGGTGAGATTCACGATACGCCATGTACTCGAGTTGGAACTTTTGCACCTCTTCCAGGATACCGTGACCGAATGTGTGCTCCACTGGAATCATGATGGCGTCAGTGGACGAGGAGACGGTCCGATGCGGGTCATAAATGTATACCGACATATCCAATTAGGTTCGTCCATGTCTATGGTATCCCCATGGGCCCATAGGGCGAAGCTTCACACTGCACAGAGGTATGGCTGTGCCCGCCAAGTCAACTGCCACTGCATGAAGAGATCGGCGTACTCCGAGTTCAAAGTTCAGCTAGCGGCGCCACTCGCATATCATTCTCAGCTGCAGCTCTCCTGCGAAGCGTGAGAACAACATCAGACGACCGCCAGCTTTTTGCGTCTCTTCCTACTCTTCTAGCGTCCTTTTCCTCCTGGACTACCAACGACCTCTTGCGCGACCATCGTGTGAAAGGTCCCCGATCCTGTCCATCTCATTTTCGTCATCGACACGTGCGCGACGACACTGGCATGGTTTCCCACGTCACTAGTGCGAGGAAGCGGGACGCTACCTTATTATCTCACGTGTTTTCATTGACAAACCTCATCATTGTGTACTTGCGATTGATTACCCGAGCACATACACTGCCCTACCATCGCTGCTGCGCTCCGGGTTCGCGAGACCACGGCAGCCACATCCATGGCCATGCCGCACGTTAGCACTTCCTTGTCATAGCTGGTTCGACTTGCGAGATCTCGCAGGCCAATGGGGCTCTGCCTCCACCACAACATCATCTCCCTACAGCAAGCCTCTGTAGCGGGCATACATGTCCAGCCGACCGTCCACTCTCAAAAAAGACACAATGGCTGACTGAGACACCCCTAATTGCTTGTTTCAATTTGCTGTCGACGTGAATCCACCTAGGGTCCCACACTATCGTGACGTCTGTGCCTGTGGAAACTCCACTCGACAGCCACATACGATGCCGACGGGATGCTACCAGGCACAGGCATCTGCTATTCCAAGCCCATCTTGTGCTCAGCAGTCACAGCATGCGATTCACCGCGCCTGCCACAGATCGCGGACGCATAGTCTATCCCACATGGCATGAATCCTACAGCCACTGGTCTTGTTGTCTGCGAGTTTCCACACAAACCGTGGGATTGAACATCAATGTCATATTGTATCGAAGCGTGTATATATTCGGCATTGTCGCCACCACCATAGGACATGCCAGAGCATCAATCGCCACAGCTTCATCGCTTCGTTACCAATCGTCGTTCATCTTTCTGTTAGCTTCGTTTTCGCATTGCAATAGTGTTGATCACTTGCAGTCACTAATTACTACTTTCGGACGCACACTCCCCCTAAAAGGATCACAATGGCCGACGGACGTGAGTCTTCCAACTCTCTTGCATTGTCCCCTTTGAGTATCATGCTGACATAGCCGCTCAACAGTCAACAATGTTCGCGCAATGCGTGTTGGTGAGATCATGAACGACTACAAGATCACAATGAATGCGATCGCATCTATCCGTACCAATCCCACACCTCAAGAGTACAACGAAGAAGGATATGTGGCCTTGCGCAGCTGTTGTTCTGCGGCTCAAGATTTGTTGGCCAGACCGTTTGTTAGCACGACTGGGCCTACGAATGATCCCGACCACATCAAAGCAAACTTGGGAAGGTCAGCCATAACCACTTCGTTCACTTATCGATATGTAACGCTCAGGATGTTAACACATAATCGATAGGATCATTTTGGACGCATCTACCAGGCGCTTTAAAGCGAAGAAGTTATACTACCAGGCGCAGGTCGCTCTGAGGTATATCGCGGCACGCGGCACTATTGGGGGAGTGCCACCGGCGCAGCAAGCAGCCATGATCGAACAGCTTAGAATGAACATGCGAAGAGTGAGTGGTGGTCTCGAATAATCCGTCGAATCAAATCCTACGGCGCTGACTATCATGTGCAGGAAATGGCCACTGTGACCGACGCACAGGTCTTTGCCTCCATTCGACAGGCCGACGTCAACGACGGCAAGTGGTTGTCCGAGGACCCTCCATTATCCATCATTCAACACGTCATCCAGAGCGGAATCTGAAGCAATGCAAATCGCCGGGCGCTTGCAGTGTCATAACTAACAAGCGCAGAGCGCTGTCTTTCGACTTTCGATTCGATTGTCGGTCCTGGTGACCGACCACCACTTTTCCAGTACTACACTTTGGGCGCTGCAGGACAGCCGCCGAAATTCCTCTACGATGGTTCGAACATCTTCTGCTTCTTTGTATAATCTTGTTCACTTACATTATGCGTTACGTTGCACATTTGGCGATTTCGTGTAAATATCGATTTGGCGCATGGATTGATGAAGGTCTTGGGAAAATACATGGCAGTGGCATTACGGAGAAGTTGGAAAGCATTTTCAATCAATAGTCCCAAATGTACCAAGTTCATGTCTGCGAAACGAAGATGTTGTAAAGTTTCGTCTAGCGTTATCCTCACAGGATGGCTGTACACAGGGCATTAAGATCTGTAGCAAAATGATGTATCATCACAGAATACATCTCAGCTGTGCGTAGTCAGTGGAGCAGGCATATCGACTGATCGAATCGAGACGATTGTCCGACGAGGATCACAAGAGTGTCAGGCAAGGAGCTGGAGTGTGACGGACTTGCTTCCGCCGCCCAGGTCGCGTGTATACAAGCCTTTCCAAGTAATTTAACCCAAAGAAGTTAGGGCCTCGGCTCGCTGCCGTCCATGACTGTCACGTGATAAATATTTCCTGCCTTTGTACCCTGCCTCAGATGTCGACGGTTGTGCCTGAGGTCTCAATTGTGGTAGGTGTTGCATGATGCGCCATTGCAAGTGTGGCCTACAGAACGGAGTGTTCACCTTGAAGTAAGCCCTGGAGGTCAAAGATAGATGCTGTACACTGTAATTAATGTCGTAACCCGTACCCTCATAAGTCACGTGCGAGTACCGTTGACGTCGTGACCAAGCCCAGTCACGTCACACGCCAAAGCTATACCTGATCAAGACTAAGTGGGACCAGACGAAGATCACTGATAAGGGGCAACAAGTGTTCCAATCTGGTGGCCGGAGGACCTCAGTTGAATTGTATTCGATGGACTATATCAAAAAGCGAGCGTACGCTGGCTGGGACTACCGTGGATTGAGGTGAACGGTCCGCGAGCCGGGAGACGCAGAGTATAGGTCAATCTCTTCCTCAAATGTCATCTTCGAGGAACTTGTACGCGAACTTGAAATCTGCCTTTCTTCGGTTCATCCTGCAATCATAAGTCAGCATGTAATGATGGGGCAGGGGCATCGCGGGGTGGTATTGAGGCTTACCATGTGCTCTCGTAATCGAAAAATCGATATGTACCTTGCTCGAATTCCTCGGTGATATTCTTAGGTTCTTCGTGCCGTTGGAACCACGTTTGATACTGCTTGTGGAAACGCCAGCTCTGGCTTTTCAGTGCCTTGGCGGCAAGATATTGCTGATATGTTCCTTGCCGATAGTAGAAAGCGTAGAAAAGGCTGTCGGTATCGATTCGACTGTACAATCTCGGATCGTCGAAGATTGGCAATGGTTCCTGCGGGTAGTGCGCCGGAGTATATGCATACGGATTTTGAGGCTGGTAGTGATTCGGCTTCTCCGCGTCGAGCGGTGTCGGGCAGGTCAATCGCGATGCATTCAGCATGCCCAAATCGAAGGGCTGATCTGACTTTGCTCGTTGTTTCGTCTCCTCAAACGACTCCAGCAGATCACTAAGAGAAGAGGGCAGATGATATATGCTTTCCTCTTCCTCCTCGTGTGATGGATCCCCTTGTGACAAAGCAATTCCGGCAATGCCCGAATCAGGCGACGGAGGTTGTAGCCCCTTTGTTGAACTTGACTCCTGAGGTTGCGCAGCTGTTGTTGATGCGGTCGCCGTCAACGTGGACTTGGCAGGTTGCGATGCCGGTGGTGTCGGTTCTGATGGTTCCACAGGTTTGGGCTCTTCCCTTGGTGCAGGTGTCGCTCGTTTCGCCGCTGGTTCCGAATGCCTTGTCTGTTGCGCCTCAGCCGCTGGCGAAGGCGCCGGAATGACTGGCTGTGCAGCCGTGATCGCAGGCGATGCTGTGTCCAGTGATTTGCCGCTCCCAGGTGGTGGAGGCAATGGAGAAATTCCCACACCACTCTTGTCGCTGGCAGCCGCAGCGGCTGCTGCAGATGCGTATTTCAAAGGCTGTCCCGTCGGTATTGTTGGTAATGGCGCAGGCTTCATCGTCTCAGATTGCTTGCCATTGACATTGCCGGGCAAGCTGGCGTGTAAGGTCGAAAGAGCAGGCAGAGGCGACTTGAGCTGCACACTAGGCCGCCTACCAGTGGTGGGCGCCTCTGTTGCCACTTGCTTGCCTTTTGGCCCACTCGTAATATTCGTTCGCGGGTTGTCGTCAGGTGGATCGTCATGTATACTTTGCGCGTCCTGACTTGAGCCTTTGTCGTTGTCGTTGTTGACGCCGAACATGTCCTCTTCCTCTTCCAGATTCAGGTCGTCATACAGAGAATCGTCCTCTACAAAATCGGCTTCGGAATTGTTTTCAACGTAATATTTGATGCCGTCTTCAATGTCCTTCACCTGATCCACCTCAACGCTGCCGTTCTCCAGCGATCGAAGCAAGACCTCCAGTTTGGTCATGTGCCACTTGTGTTGATCTGCCGACTTTTCTAGGTCTGTTAATCGCTCGCCCTTAGCGGTATCTTTCTTGCCTCTCTTGAGCCCAGCCTGCAGTGTCTCTGTCTCAGCCTCGTTGCTCTCCAGTTGCCTTCCGATCTCATCCACCATGTCAGAAATGAACTGGCACATTTCCATTTTCTCCTTTTCCTTCGGATCCAGTTTGGCGGCTGCTGATAATCCCTCCTTGGAAAAGGCCTTGGTCTTCATTTCTTTTTCCACAGCTTTGAACATCTCCATGCGCTATCATTACCGTCAGTCACTCCCCAAGGTCGCCCCTGTAGAAACAATCATACGCACCGTCTCGATCAGTTTCCGCTGGTCTAATAGAGGCTTCTTGTCTTTGATGTCATTCTGACTTGCCCAACCCTTGATCTTGTCTCTTGAGCGCTGCAGCTTTTTGATCTCCTTCTTGAGGGAGTCCTCCAATTTCTCCTTCTGGGAAGCATTGCTGGCTTGTACGAGCTTCTCGTAGAGACCGTCAAATATGCCGACTCCTTCTGCGACTCGTTTGAATTCCTATCTCGCGATATCAGTCCCAAATTCACACCAGCTTTTGCACAGGGCCCCATCACACCTTGTCGATCTCTTGTTGTAGTTTTCGCGCCGCCATTGTGCTGATATGTGGAGCGCTGTGACGCTCGTTGCTCGGCTTCTGCTATGATGCGGAGGTGCCGGACGTGAATGCGCGGCGAGCGAGAGGGCCGCCAGGTTGGATATGCACGGGAATCGGGTCCGCGGTGTGGTGCGCAAATGCGATAATGTGCTGGAGCTCATAGAGCGATAGATGATGTCGACGTGAGGTGGCCTGAGAGGAGAGATCTCCCTGTTCTGTATTCACAGGTCACGGTTCGGCAGAGGCTGAGCGCCAAGCTTTCGAATCGCGAAGCGCTGGATGGTACGTGATCGTGTACCAGATCGACTAAAGATTGACGCAGCAAGCCGCGGATGACGAGTGAAACATGTGTAGCGGAAATTCCGCCACTGTAGATGCCGACGGAAGTGATTGTTAAACTACTAATAAATGATGAAAGGACATTTCACGACGCAGTTGTTCTATATGCGAGAGTATTATATGGAATCGTTGTCAGTCGTTCAGTTGCGCCTGCGGCAAACTGGCGTCCATCTGCAGGTGCACGGCGCGGAACGTTGAAGACCCAGTGACGCTGACGAATCATATATTGATTTTCGGCCCAAAATGACGGCCCGTGATCCACTCCACGCGATCGGTCTTGTTAAATGCCCAGGTGTGCACCACTTTGCTTGCAATCACCACCCAGAAAACCTATATAGCGAGACGGGCTACTCATTGGCTGCTTTCAGAAGCGGAATTGCGCGTTTCCAGGATCCTCGCAGTGCTTCCCTCGTGAGGTCATCAGTCCGCCGCGATCGATCGACGACTATTGCAATATGAAGAGTTAGTTGCGTCCGCAATGTCTACACAGGTCTGTCGTTAATGGTGAGTAGCGATACTGCAACGCGTAAAGTCAGCCTCCGTGTCGGTGGACGGTCAGCTGGTATCGACTATCAAGCAAGGCATACTAGTATTTGCTGCAATAGCCAAAGATGATACCGTGAAAGAAGCCGAATCGATGGCCGCTAAAGTACTTAAGGTCAAGCTATGGAACGACGATGAAGGAGGCAAGTGGAAGCGAAATGTGCAAGAGATTGAGGGCGAGGTTCTATGCGGTGAGCTTGTCCCGCGGCAATTGTCAGCAACGACCGCGGTGCAGATGCTGATACCATCTTTGACAGTCTCACAATTCACCTTACTCGCTTCAACTAAGAAGGGTAACAAGCCCAGCTTTCACGAGTCTGCGACGCCTGACAAGGGTAAAGAGCTCTACGATGCCTTCGTTGGCCAGGTTCGAAAGCTTTATCAAGAGGATCGTGTCAAAGACGGTGTCTTCCAAGCAATGATGGACGTCAGTCTGGTCAATGATGGGCCGGTAGGTATTGATTATCGTTGCATAGATGAAGCGGTAAATGCCGTCCTAATGGCATGATCCAATCCCGTCAGGTACAGGCTAACAACTAACTCAGGTCACTATCGAGATTGAGACCAAGCCTGTTGTCATGAAGAATCCGACTACTATGCAAGAGTTTCAAGACGGAGATGTATTGAAGACGCATGCTCACCAAACATTTGAGTATCCTGAGTCTCTTCTTAAATGAGCGCAGCCAACCCAGTACCCTTCTAGCAACACATTCGAATTGGATAGATCGCCGTGGAATTCATCAGACGGCTGGAATATCATGCGATGCACCATTACAGCATGACAAGAATGGAAGCGAATATATGCCGATTTTATCGTCAAAGAAATCATCAATCGACAGTCAATGCTCATCATTACATTACTTCGCCCCTCATGCTCAGCCCGCTTCGTTGCCTCAAAGTCATCAAAGAATATATGCAGTAGGTATGGCTAGTCAGACCGCTCAACGCGATTACTCCGGGATGAAAACTCCGCGGTAGTGGACGTCGCCGTCATTCAGCTTGTCCATCGCCCTGTTGATGCTCTCCTCATTCATGGGGAACTTCTCAATCACTGGCTTGATACCATGGAACGCTGCGAACTCCAGCATGCGGCGTTGGATGAATCGAGGCGCGACGACAGATCCTTGGATGCGCAGACCTTTTAGGAGGAGCGGCATGTACGGGATAGAGAAGTTGCCTTCTGAAACCGAAAGCGGGTGAATTGTTGCCCCCGGGGCCATGGCAGGGATCAGCTTTTCCCAGTCCGGCTGAGCCGATGTTGTGACGAGGAGACGGTTCAAAGGCCGTGAGGCTTTCACCTCCTTTACGTCCTTCATGGCGATGAATTCGTTGGCACCGAGCTTTGTTGCTTCTTCCTTCTTGCTGTCAGACCCTGATAGGGCGACGACGTGGCATCCCATTTTCGCAGCAAATTGAATGGCAAGATGGCCGAGACCTCCGACCCCCATGACGCCGACTGCCTCGGTCGGTTGTGTATCATAGGCGTGAAGCGCGTTGAACACAGTGCAACCACCACACTAAAATTCATGTCAGCTTGTCAACGATGCAAATGATCAATTCGTCTCGTACCATCAGCGGCGCAGCGTCTTCATCGCTAAGGTTGTCGGGAATAGGGAATAGGAATGCTTCGCGCCATACGGCATGGGAGGCAAATGAGCCTTGATCAAGATCTGCCGAAGCGTACATTGCCCGCTCAGGGCAGTATGTCTCCGCGCCCTTCAAACAATGTTCGCAGTGACCACATGAGTCGTGCTCGTAACCCCAGCCAACACGATCGCCCTTCTTCATATATGTGACATGAGGTCCGACTTCCTCAACAACACCAACGCCCTCGTGACCAAGAGCCATATCTCTGCTGAACATTAGCGGAGCCCATTACCTCAAACATTCGCTCGTGACGTACTGCTCGCGATAATGAAGATCAGTTCCACACAGGCCAGAGGCGGTCACTTTGAGGAAGACCTCGTCACCTTTCAGATCAGGTTTTGAGGTCTCGCTCTTCGTGACCTTGCCGTCCTTTCTACCCTTGTAGACTGTAAATGTCGGCATTGTAGTGGTTGGACTGATTGCGAAATTTGAGCGTGCGGTGGTAAGGATGGTAAAACGGTGGTATGTTCGATCAAGAGAGATCGATAGAATGGATTCAATCTCTTACGGAATGTCTACATATATGGGCAAGGCCGCAATCGACCGATGACGTTGTGTTGTAGTAGCAGTAAAATTCCGCGTGAGTTCTGGAGCTTGTGATAAGCTTCATAAGCAATCGGCGGCGTCTTTGCGGCATCTTTGCCTGTAGCTCGGATTCTCGCCGGCGATCATCACGATTTGAGCGAAATGGCCGTTGCAGCCTATCATTACCGGAGGAATCATGCAACGCGCGGTGGGACCATGCCACTGTGTGTGCATCATCACAGCGTGGAGCCATGTAGCAGTTTTGGACCGACGTTTGAGAGAGACCGATTCAGAATGACGTCATTGCGCGAAGAAGTGCTTCGGCTGGAGGCACCGATATAGCTTTAGTGCGTGATGACAGAGACCAGTCTAGAGCCACGGTCTCGTACGCAAGTACTGCGTTTTGGGTAAAGAGCAAGTTCAGAGGCCATTCCCTTCTGCTATTGCAGGATTCCACAGATTTATTCCTGCACTGATCCATAGCGCCCAGGCGGGGGAATGAAACAAGAGAGATCGCCAGCCACAGTGATGCCATGTGTTAATACAATTTGATTTTTTACAGCCGTCGCGTCACAACATCTTCTGTGTAGACGGTTTAGGATAATGGCAAACTAAGACCTGCCCATTTCCGCCGTTTCCGAGCGCCTAAAAATCCAGCTTCAGTTCCGCAGAACACGGGGACAATGAATATGAAATTCTCGCAGCTTCACTCATCGCCGGCCATTGGCAGGTAGCCCCTGATTGGAGAAGAGCGTCTTGAAGCCATTCTTCAGCGCGCGCATGTCGGGGTAGCTGTTTCCCCTGAGCTCGAATCCTTTGGGGATGACTTTGACATTCCAATATGCAAGTGGTGCTGCCTGGCCTGCCTTGAAACACAGGAAGAAGTATCCCGGATGTTTAGGCTCGATGCAGAAGGCGTACATGGAACGCTTAGGATTGGCCTCAGTGTACGTCGTCAGCCATTGCTCTGTTCGTAAATTGTCAGTCTAAAAGGCCTTTGTTCCATTCACGTATAGTCTGGACTTACCAGTCTGTTGTTTGGTGGTGCTCTGGAAGCGCTCATCATTGAACATCTCGTCCACCTTTTTGGCCATGGCCGCCACATGAAGCACGATCAACTCGTCAAGATCACTGTAGTTGAATTTGCCGGCCACGCGAAGAGTCTTACCGACACTAAATTCGTTCTCTTTGTCCAGTTCCAGCACATCGATGTGTTGGTAGATGCCATCAGCGACTTTCCATGTTACAGCCAGATGATCAGGTCCCTTGGAAGAAGGCCTGATCACACAATCACCACGACCTTGGGTCCTGAGTGCTTCCTCGGCCTGGCGTGAGTTGAAGGGGTGGAACAAGGGATGCTTGATAACACGCTGAGCCCGGCCCCCCTTCGACTCACTGGCTTTCTTCGCCTCTCGCCGATCACGGGCCTCTTGATCGTCGTCCCATTCATCGATGCCATGATCAAAGTTGCGGCGATAGGGATTCTTGAGCTCGTTTTCCCTCAAAGTAAGTTGCGCAGTAAACTTCTTCCGGTCCAGGAAGGTCAGCTTGGCTTGAATCACCTGACCCATGGTGTAGACCTGGCGTGCTTCCAACCCGCTTGACACAAGATCCTCAGGATATTCACTATTGGAGACGCCTCCTTCGACACCGCAGTCCAGGCGGACTTCAATATGGTCAACGAAAGTCCGACGAATCGAGACGGGTACTATCATGCCATCCGCCAACGAATCGCGGGTCTCGCCCGTAAGTTGAGTGAATGTTTCGTCAGTGGTCAGTGAGTTGAAGTTTCGTCGGAGTTCTTCGTAAGGGTTTTGCAATTCGGCACGAATGGTCTCAAGCGTGGCTCGCTTCCTTTGCCTGAACTCAGTCTCCAATTGTTGAGCATATTGCTCGAGGACAAGGTCGTTGACTCTGTCAGACTGTTCGTCCTTGACCAACTTTCGTACGACAGCATTGGGGCCGTGCTCGTCCTGCTCTGCTCTAATATCTTCCTCGTCCAATTCAAGCGCATCGGCTGCCATTTTGCGCGCAATGTCATAGTCTTCGGGATGAATACGCGTATTGTCCAAGTAATCTGCTTCCGGCTCGTCTTCCCAGGTGATGTAGAGAAAGCTGGCGCAATTCGTGAAGATTCTCGGGCCCACAGCTTGCCTCTTGCCTCTTTCTACATCACCAACGAGCTCCTCTCTGGAGGTCACTTCACCCCCATTAGCCGATATGGTCTTCACGAGCTGATCGGCTTTTCGAGGACCAAGACCACACACGTAAGGAAGCAGGTTCTGAGTATAAGTGTCCTGCATGGCCTCGTTGAGATCAACACCGACCAAATTGACGATGTCCACAAGCGCGGTCTCCAGGTATCTTCTTAGCTTGTCTTCGGGGATCAGACCTTGATTGGGATCGAACGAGATGGAGGTCAACTCTTTCTTCAACGTGGCATATTGCTTGAGAGGATTTTGCATGTAGTGAGCGAGAGCAACACAATATCTCGTCAACGGCGGCATGCCCGGCAAGTCTGCGGCAGCCCGAGCCGAGTTGTAGTAGATTCGTGCGACTTCGTCCTGCGCGACAATGACCTGCAGCGGATCGCTGCGTTCGTGCTCATCATCATCTTCGTACGGAGTGCCCGTCAAGTCGTGCTTCGCAATGATATCTTGGATATCCTTCAGTAATCGACGTGTCTCCACAGAAAATCCAGAGATAGCGACAACGTCGGGTTTCCGACGCTCGACAACCTCAACAAACGGTGCCACGTCTTTGCCATCGGCAACCAATTTCTCTTCGTTTCCAACTCGCAAATCTGCGAACTTGCCATTTTCGAGCACGCGCCCGTTCTCATCCACATATGCCCAGCAGATGGCATCGCCACGGTTGCCCATGCCATTGGAGAGGGCTAAAACTCGTGCACATGTACCAAGCTCCATTCCCTTGGGACGATCTGGGGCCTGGTCGAGCTTGACTGTGAAAGCATCCCTGCAGTATCCTGCAATCTTGTTTTCGCATTCATTCTTCAGATTGTCCTTCACTCCTCGTGAGATGATGCGATGTAATTTCTCGAGAGCAGAATCCATGACCTCCCTTCGCATCGCGTTCCACGCGTCAGCGACTTCGGAGAAGTTGTCCGACTCAATGGCTTTGCGCAGGTCCTCCTTGATGTGGCGTTCGTCTCGCAGCTTTACCCGAACCTCGACTAGGCCATCTGTCTCCGCTTTGAGCATGCGTAGAAAGAGGTCCGGGCGATCGACCAGGAAGACGCGGACTTCTTGGTTCCTGAGGTACTTGAACTCGTACAGCGGGCTTTGCTCATCGATTTGCTTCAGGCCTTTATCGGTACGGTAAACATCAAACACGAGATGCTCGTAGTAGATTTTGCGCATATGCCGGCGCATACGTGGGCTAACGACGATCTCTTCCACGAACATGGCTTTTGCAGCTGAGATGATGTCGTTTCCAGTTTTGTAATCTGGGTCGCGGACGAGAGTGTCCGCGAGATCATCTGGACGCTTGTCGACATCCTCAGTGTAGACCCGGCGGCCGGTCTTCTCGGCATTTTGCGCTACACCGTCTGCGGTGATACCAAACGCACGCACAAATTGATAAGCCGGCCCTGTGCGGACTTTGTCCCAGATGCTTCTGGTGCCACGCGCTCGCTTTTGCGTCCCGTTTACTTCTGCGTCGGTGATACTGAGATCCTTCAGCTGGACGGAATAACTGAAATTGAGATATTCTTGCAAGTCCTGAAGATCATCCAGTTGTGCTGCAAGCGGAATCAGGTCATCGAATATCGTGTCGTCGAAGTTTGTTTCGATCTCTTTCAACAGCTCCACATTCTTTTGGATAGCTTCTCGCCGCTCAGAGAAAGCACGAAATTTGAGATCCTGCTCGAAAATATCCCACAAATCTGTTTGGTTGAGGAGCTTCTCGGCTTTGACGGTCTCGCCCGAGCCACCGTTGGCGGCTATGGATTCCGAGTGAATGAGGTAGTCTTTGCGATTCTGGAAGATGAAAGCTGGCTCGTAATCATCCACGTTCATGAAATGCAATACCTGCCTGACAGCTTCCTCGAATGGTCCACGTAGTCGAGGCTCGAGACGCTTGCGAGGAAACAGGATACTCGTAATCCAGGCAGCTTCCTCGGCCGAACGTGCTGCCATTTGTTCGTCCGATAGATCTGAGATATCCTTGTAGGCACTTCGAGCAAGCTGAAATCGCTCTGGCACATCCGTCATTCGGATAACATTGTCTTTGTCCGTCAGCATACGCTCCTCGAGCTGAGAAGGCTCGAATACGTCCTTGAGCTCTAGCGGCTTGTCGGGATCAAGCTGGTCCTCGTTGTGTTCTGCTTCTGCCTCGAGTGCCCAGCCGAATTCATCGCCCTCTCCGAAAGCTCCACGCATATCCTCAAGCTGCGCCTCGCCAAGGCCAGAATCCTTCAAATTCTGTAAATCGGCATATCCAGCTCTTCGGGGCGCTCGCACGCCGAGATCTTCGTCAAGTCGGTCCCCCTCGTCATCCGGAAATTCGTCTTGTTCGATGAAATCGTTCATCTCATCGTCATATGTGCCGAACGCCGCGCCGCGCACGCGTCCAGTTCCGGCACCACCTTCTCCATCATCCTCGTCAGAAAAGATATCCTCGACGCCTCTCGCCTCGTTTGCAGCCCGATCATCCCGGTGACCACGCTTGAGACGCTTGAATTTGGTCTGCTCTGATTGACGCCGCTCATCGGGAATCGTCTCGCCGATCAGGTCCAGATCGTCCTCGTCAAGCTCCTCCTCTTCCGCACGCTCCTCGCGCCTACGCTTCCGTTCGCGTCTGCGTTCCGCACGAGCTTCTTCATCATCTTCATCGTCTTCATCTACGATGAAACCTTCGCGCACCGCGCGGGCTGCCTCTTCGTCGTCATCTTCATCCTCATCTTCCTCGCTGGAGTCGTCCAAGTTTTCGGCGCTGGGCTTTTTGGCCTTCGGAATCACGTCGCCAGTCTCCTCGTCGAACTCCTCGTCTTCCTCGTCACCCAGCTCTGCTGCCGTGTCAAAGAAATTGTTGGCCATTGTTGCGTTTGTCTCAAGTCTAGGCGCGTGACTGTCGGGGAAAGGTGAGATGTAGCTCCGACTTCACACTCAGTTCAGTCCACAGTCATTTGTGCAAAGATCCTGTGGCGGCTTGCAGTGTGATTGAAATGAGATGGCGTATTTCAAGATAAAATGTGAGAGACAACCTTGAAGATGTATGGCTGCTCATAATATTCAATGCACAGACAAGTTCGATATCACGTGATTGGGTTTCTCACGCGCGAGCGCGCCGAACAGGACTCTGGCGTTTGGTACCAGATCTACGGATGTACCCGCGTCTCGTACAGTTCACCGTCACAACTTTCTAGTGAATACACTACTGTACTTCGAGGGCTCAAGTGTTATCAAGGGAGGTACGGCTGTCACTATTAGAGAGTAGCCTGAATGCTCCGATGTATTGCATTTGGGTGGTTTACTTTCAGACACCATGTCGTCGTCGAGCTTAGGGATATAAGATTTCAGAACTTTGTCAAACAGAATAAGGAAATGACTGTTGGTCTATTGAAAACATTGGTGCGTAGGCCCTGGTCAGTCGGAAAGACTAAAAGCCCAGACATTCCGGGACAGTACGCCCCAGCTTCGTTCAGCACCTGCAGTAGGTGTTGTAGATTAGAAGAAGGCGCGCAAGGTAGACCGATCCCGAGTATCAGTAGCTAATATTAGGTTGACAGCTGGCCCGGCTGCAAGTGGATTGCGGCACTGCATCGTGCCTTCGATTCACAATAGGAGATTGGACGCCGCATTGATTCCAGGCATGATATTGCCAACATAGGACACCCATACGCACCGATCGATACAACTTTACTTTCCGTCTGCCCGAGGCTTCTGGACCCGAACACATCCTCCATGACAGGCCCTGTTCAGTTTGCACAAGTAATGTCATTGCACGAACTCTGAACGCGGATGGGATGCATTTGGGATGACAGATAGGAGCAGGAGTAGCAGGAGGAGGAGGAGTGAAGTGATACTGCTTGAAGCACTCACGCACTGATGGCACTGCCTGCCTATTAGGTACCTAGGAAGGTACCAAGCATCCATGGATGTCCTCATTCCGGCCAGTGAAGGACCCCATTCCGCTTCTTCACATTTCACACGAACCTTGTCGGCCATTGGTGCTTCATGAAATGCTGTATTCGCTGCAGATCTGCATCCGGCCCGAGCATGGATGGAATGACAATGGACAACGCCTTGCCGGGATGTTTTGCGCTCGTCGGAGTAATGGCTGACATTTTAAAGCACCGTTGGCAGCGCACGCCGCCACTTTCTGCCGCTTCTGGCCTGACAGCCAATATTTGCCATGTTTTATCGAATTTTAGTCCATCCATGCCTGTGCTTTGCCCCACCACTACGCGCAGCCCAACTTCGTAGGTGCTCGCTCGTTTGCATTTGCTACCATCATTACCATCGTCGTGAGGCTGTTTTCTCGTACAATTATCCTACATGTTCCTGACATTGCCTTCTGTCTCGATCATCTGTCAGATTTCAAAGACTCTGTAAGACAGCATCTCCCGCCGGGACTCATCCGTAGTAGCGCCCGCTCGCCTTGTCACCCGATCATCAGCATTACTTCGCCCTTCTGGCGCGCACACCCCGCCATAGCCGCCGGGTGCCCGACTCCACCGTCAACACCCTCTGTAACCGCCATCGATTGCGATTGCGTGCCGCACGCCCTGCGATTGTATTTATTGGCGGATCCGTTCCAGCTTCACTCATCCTTTGTGGACGACTGAGGATCGCTGCTGGATTCTGCCTTCGTATCTGCTCCAGTTTCTTCGAATCCGCCTCCCGCGGACCAAGGATTTCAAGATGGCGGATCCTTTCGCTGGCCGGACGATGAAGCGCAAGAACGTTAAGGGACTTGCACTTTCAGCGCCCGCGAAACCCGTTGCACCTTCTGACGAGGACTCACAAATGCCAGGCGCCCTTGGCAATAATGGCCGCCGACAGGACGCCTTGGAGCTTGGTGTTGAATTCCGAGCTGACCTAAGGACTGAGGATCTGGAGATTGTGAAAGAGCTCGGTGCAGGAAACGGTGGCACAGTCAGCAAAGTGCGCCACAAGATCACGAATGTGATGATGGCAAGGAAAATCATCCATGTCGAGGCTAAGAAGGAAGTCCGCAAGCGGATCGTTCGAGAGCTTCAAATCATGCATGAGTGTAATTCCCCATACATCGTGTCCTTCTACGGAGCCTTCATGAACGAGGCCAACGATGTGACCATGTGCATGGAGTACATGGATGTTGGGTCCGTATGAAGTCCTGTACAAACTGTAGACCTATGATGCTGACCTTTTCGCAGATCTCTCGACAGCATATCAAAGGAGTTCGGACCCGTTCGGGTGGACGTTCTCGGGAAAATCGCAGAAGCCATGTTAGGAGGACTGAAATACTTATACCTTGCCCACCGTATCATGCACCGAGACATCAAACCTTCCAACGTTGTAGTCAACAGCAAAGGACAGATCAAGCTCTGCGACTTCGGTGTGTCTTCGGAGCTGGTCAACAGTGTTGCAGATACATTTGTTGGTACTGGTACATACATGGCTCCGGAACGAATCCAAGGTAGCCCCTATACCGTCAAGAGCGACGTCTGGAGTGTGGGCTTGACGCTTATGGAACTTGCGATTGGTAAATTCCCATTCAGCATCGAGAATTCGGACGACGAAGATGAAGAAGAAGCCGGCCCCCAGGGCATCCTCGATTTGTTGCAACAGATCGTGCTGGAACCGGCACCGAGATTGCCCAAGAGCGATGCCTTCCCACAGATTTTGGAGGATGTGATTGCCAAATGCTTGATGAAGGTTCCAGAGCAACGACCGACACCACAGGAATTGTACGATTCGGACCCATTCTTGCAGGCTGCCAAGCGCACCCCCGTCGATCTTCAGGAATGGGCCGTCAGCATGATGGACGATGATAGCCAAAGTAGCCACCATGCTCAGCAATTATCGCCCGCCGGGCGTCCGATGCAACGTGGTGATGAGACACCACGGCAGAGCGTCATTGGGTACAGCGACCGAACTCCTACCACAGGTGAGGCGCCACTCTCTGCAAACGGATCATCCTCTCGACCATACCCCTCACGTACGAGCAGTGCCAATCAGGTCCCTCAAGGAAACACGATGAACCTGCCTATCAGAGGTTCTTCCTCACGGAACAGACCAGAGACTTCGAGCGGTGACCGCGACGGATATCGAAGAGCTCCAGGCTTCGTACAATGATCGGTTCGGCATGCCGGTGGCATACTTACTGTAACGTCATCTACCCGAGCTTTGTCCCTTTGGAGCCTTCCAACATGTCGCCAGGTCTATAAACTCCCTCTGCTTCTTTACTCAACATCCTCATCAGCTTTTCATCCTCCAATACTCAAATGCCGGCGATACATGAGGACGTAGCATGATCTTTCCTCTACGCGTCATACCTCATGACCTCCGACATGACGCGTGAATTGCAGTCTAACGCAGGAGGATCATATATTCTGTACACAAGTCATCAAAGATTAGCAAGACTGTTTGGACCACGGCGTTTTGTCTGCACACTGGTTCGAGTCTCTCGACAGCTTCGTCAGCACCTACAAGTACCCGCAAAGCACGGACGGCGCCATGTTACACATCACACCCTTCGCCCTGATCATATACTACGCAAATTCCTTTCCTTTCCTGAGGAGATTTCCCAAGTCAAATCGTGACTTGAACGGCTAAACGTGAATATTGCGGCTTCGGCAGTGAAGTTTGGAACTTACCACCTTTGCAGGTCGCTGCCTCCCGTGCTCAGATGGGTATTGCTGAAGTATCGTCATGGGATTGGATGGCATCTTCGCAGGATCAGTGCTCAAAATCTGCGGCCGCTCGTGATCTACGACATGGACCATTTTTCAGTGCGCGGCGATATCGAAATTGATCAGGGAGTGAGTGGTTGAGATTACTGGCGCGAGGTCTGGCTGTGAATTGTATAGAATCTACTAGGGGGCGTTTGTCTTGATACTACGTCCGCAGAACCCAATTTTATTGTACATCTGCCCGACTTCCGCCTCTCTACGTACATGTGAAGTGAGAAAGAGCGTCGACCTCTCGGTGTTGTCACCATAGTACAATAACGACATAGTACGCAAATCAACAGTAAAGACCGTCGTTCGAAGAGTCGAAGAGGATAATTTGCTTCAGTAACATGCGACTACCTAGATCAGCTCTGCGTTGCCCGAAGTCATCACAAAGTCTCGTTCCCCCGTTATCATGGACCCAGAGAAGAGGAGGCATTGTTACTGCCAATGCGAATAATGCCGATCTGAGCTCCGCAGGAGACCTTGGAAATACCAACAATTTGCTTCCACTCCTGCGATTCGAACAAGTGTTTCACAAATGAAAGATGGCCCCAATATGTACTGATCTGGCGAGAAAGATTTGGCTACATATTCAAGAACACGCGAACTGAAATAGCTGCCACATTGGCATGACTTCTATGTGCGAGTCCAATGAGGAGATGTCATGACCGCAAAACTGTATCTATTCTTCTGTACTCTTTGTCTCATTTCTTGTCCAATGGGGAGAGTCATAGCCGTGGTACCACAACATCCAAGGTTGACAGCGCTAAATGATTGTTCCAGTGACACGCAGTGAACACCTAGTTGTCCAAAGAAACGAAGGCGCCTAAATGCCGTCGCAATGCAAGCGCTAATCTGACTCGGCATTCTTCACTGCTCGCTTCATGGGACGTTGTCTGATATGGTACATGACATGTCGCCGTGAGATGGAGCTCTGCTAAAGATAGAGCATGCCAGGACACGACTCCAAGTATACGGGCAGCACTGTATGATGATAACGAGCATGCAGGGGTATGTGTGTAAATGCAGGAGTGCGATGCGGGAGCGGAGTCGTCCAGAAAGCGAGTGTATTTCCCCGCAAAGATGCCGACATCACTGCACGAGAGGAGGAGATACACAACAATGTCCATCACTGCTGCAATTCTTGGCAAGATACCGTGGTACCCGTGGACTGTAACATTCCAAGGTTGAGGCGGATTCGTTGTCTGTCCGCGTGCACTTTTCCGGGCTCCCGCAATGCGCCAGCTGAAAAGAAGCGAAGGAATGGCTGAGTATTGGAAATAGCCCAGGTACTGGACGCCCAGAGCGCTTCACAATTCGACCGGGTGGGGACTGTCCGAAAGCTGACGCGTTCATGCAATTCCCTCGTGTTGCTGCGCCACTCTGTGCAAGACAACCCAAGATTCTAGCCCGTTCACACACGAAATTGGTCACGACGACGTGGACCACGTCAACTAAAGAATCGCCTTCCTTCACAGAGAGATGCGCGATTGCTTTGGCACGTTGACTTTGACGATGAACAAAGGCAAGTGTGTGTGCGTATGTGTGTGCTTGCGCCCATGGCTGGCCGGCTGGGCGTGACGCGCTCACAATGCATGCCCGCTAATGAACGCCCATCATGGTTTGCGTCATCGCCATGGCTGTCGGACAACTTGCAATGGACGCTTCACCAAGGCGGAATACCACGCGTCCAGTGCTGGTTTGGATTGTTTTGGCCAAGTCATTGTCATCCAGATTGTGTTGTCTGATCCTCATTAACGAGAAAGGGGCTCGCAGGTAGCAAGAGGTTAGAGGAGGTAAAAGATCAGCGCAAGGACTTTCCGTCTGTAGATCTTTCCCCTAAGAAGGACCGCGACACGCTTCTTGGCCTGAAGCACTCTGCAACCGCGACGGCGCAAAGTGTGCCATGGTGGTTTTATGCCCAGGTGCTGTTGCAGCATTTGACTCGTTGTTTATCGAATGTATACACCTATCTGCTATGTGGTTGTTCACATACTTGAAATAGGAATAACACTTCACGTGCGCGGCACTGTCGCGTGTCATGATACGTCGATGCAGGTACATCATTATAGTAATGAGAAGAGACCATGTGAAATGGTGGCAGGAAGACATGACGACAACAAGGCTTTCGCATCGCCCAGCCTGACGGAGGGCCCGGCTGTGGAATGATACAGTAAAAAATCGTGAGACTGTCGACCGTTGTCCGGGACCAAGACACACCCGGGGGCGTCGTCTTGTGACGACTTAGGTCGTACTTTGTTTATTCTAGTAGGGAGAAGTTCGTATCCGGAGTACTTTACGTCAGCCTATAGCATACCACCCAGGAGCGCTCGTGTGGTGACGGCGACATTCCAGCACAACAACCAGGGCAAATGTCTTGGGCAAAGTCCGCCTTCCGTATTGCCTTCCGTGAGCGACATTCTCAAACCTCCCCCAGTTTAATCTGACCCCCTTCAACCCGCCTCCGTTGCCGACTTCCCTTACCACCGTTTACCCACGACTTCACTCACCTGCACTCACCATCTTCTCCCGCCACCAACAACTATTGGAAGTCCTCTGGCTTCGTTCTCTCTCGTTTGCGTTTCCTTACCGTCGTTCGCTTTTTCCTTTTCGAGATCGCGGCTTCCGCGCTGCTCTCACGACTTCACAATTCACCAACGACCCTACAGCAACCCATCAAACCGCCGCGACATTCTTACGATTATCGAGGCCGCCGTCCACCATCCGAAGCCTATGGGCTGCTGCGATCTTTCTTGAGAACTCGAGATAGCATATGATATAAATCTCGGAGTTCGCAATCATGCGATTCACTACAGCGCCGTTCTTCACGTCGCTCCTTGCGCTCGCTTCTGTCGCTTCGGCGGAGCGCATGCTCACATCAACATCACTCACGACATGTCAAGACAGCAGTAAATTCTCAGCCTCTCTCTTCGACGTCGCCTTCACTCCCGAAAACAACACCCTCAACTTCAGAGTCAACGGATTCAGCAGTATTACGGGAAATGTCAACATCACATTGAAAATCATTGCGTATGGGTTATCGGTGTACACCACAGTCATCGATCCATGCGACTCAAACGCCTCATTTAAAGGTCTGTGTCCTATGAACCAGGGCCCAATCGATGTGGAGAGCAATGCACCTGTGGATCAGGACTCCATCTCCAAGATTCCGGGCATCGCCTACACCGTCCCCGATCTGGATGCAAGAGTTCAGGTTTACTTCAATGACAGCATCACCGGTGTCGCCTTGGCTTGTGTCGAGGCAGAGTTATCGAACGGCAAGACAGTCGATCAGCGAGGTGTGGCTTGGGTGGTCGCTGTGATCTCTGGCTTGGCGCTCGTCGCATCGGCCATCACCTCAGGACTAGGACACTCCAACACAGCCGCCCATGTGGCTGCCAACGCTTTGTCTCTCTTCTCCTACTTCCAAGCCCAGGCTTTCATCGGCATGACTGCTGTTCCATTACCGCCAATCGTATCTGCTTGGACACAGAACTTCCAGTGGAGCATGGGAATCATCAATGTTGGTTTCATACAAGATATTGCCACGTGGTACCAACGCGCAACTGGTGGCACGCCCTCCCTGATTATCCAGAACCTTGACAACGTCTCCGTGGAGGTTCAAAAGCGAGGTTTGGAAGATCTCGGCCGCGTGATGCAGCGCTCAGTCTCGAACATCGTATCTCGTGCCGTGGCTTCGAATCTGACACCTCCAACTGTTGTCAAGGGCATTAAGCGTGTTGGATTCAGGGCGGGAATCGAGCCGACCAACATTTTCCTAACAGGATACATTTTCTTTCTGATTTTCGTCATGTTCACTTCCATTGGCGTCGTTCTGTTCAAGCTCATCATTGAGGGTCTGGTCAAATCTGGCAACCTCAAGAGTGACAAGTTCCAGGATTTCCGCAATGGTTGGACTACTGTCCTGAAGGGCATCTTATTCCGCATTGTTCTCATCGGATACACCCAGATGGTCGTTCTCTGCTTCTGGGAGTTCACGCAGAAAGACTCTGGCGGTGCCATGGTCTTGGCCATTGTTACCATCTTCACCATGATCGGTATCCTTGCTTGGGCCGCCAGCAAAGTCGTCAGGCTGGCTCAGCGCAGCATCATGATGCACAAGAACCCGGCGTACATCCTCTATTCTGACCCTGTCTCGCTCAACAAGTGGGGTTTCCTCTACGTCCAGTTCAAGGCCACCGCTTATTACTTCATCGTTCCGGTCTTGATCTACCTGTTGGTCAAGGGTCTATTCGTTGCTCTCGTACAAGACAACGGTATAGTCCAGGCCATTGCGCTGGTGATCATCGAAGCTGTATTCCTCATTGTCGTGAGCGTGCTCCGACCGTACATGGACAAGAAGACAAACGCGTTCAACATCTCCATCTGCGCCATCAACTTCCTCAGCTCTATCCTGTTGCTTATCTTCACGCACATTTTTGGACAGCCAGTAAGTTTTCTCTTCCATTTTTCTGAAATATGGCGATACTGACTTGCACGTAGGGTATTGTTACTGGCGTTTTGGGTGTCATTTTCTTCGTTCTGAACGCGGTTTTTGCCACTGTGCTTCTCGTGATGGTCCTGGTTTCGTCGATCATCGCAATTACATCCAAGAACCCAGAGACTCGTTACCAGCCAATGCGCGACGACCGCGGCAGTTTCATAAAATCTCAATCGCAATTGAACACCGAGCTCGATGCACTGGGAGCTACTGCTCGTGGCGAGTCCAAGCACGGCTGGCCAACCAGCACTGGCGCCCGTGAAGTGGAAGACGATGACAGCTGGTCCGGCAATAGTAGTGACATCAAGCCAGCTGCCACCGCCACCACACGTTCGTACTACGAGCCTTCACGTAGCCCGATCCAACCACCTGCAGCAGGTGGCCTTCCTTCATCCAACAATGGGAGCGCCCGGCATATGCCTCCCAACCGAGGGGACACCATCAGCCCATATGGTCGGCCGGAGGCCAATGGGCAGCATCGGTTTCGTGGCCCCCCACAACCAGCACAGCAATCCGGTGGGGGTTACATCAGCCAAAACAGCAACAGCGGCCGAGGGAGTCCCAGCCCGTGGAACCGCGGGGCTGGCTTTGAGTAGAATGACAGCCACATCATCTCTTTACTCTGCAGCGCCGACCGAGTCGCCGCCCACGTCTCCCTTGCTCCCGCCGGATAGATTTCGCCCTCCATTATTCAAGGCAATGTCCAGCGAGACTGTAAACACGACCATTCTCACAATGCCCGATCCTCATATCTATCATCACCACAATCCGACATCTGCTGGTCTCGCCGCCTCTTCAGGATTCCCTCCACATCAGGAGCAGGCCTCTGCATTAGGTCAGTCATCTCTGCCGCTGGCTCGGCAGCCGGTACCATTTGACTTTGATTTCGCGGATCAGTCGCGGTCAGAGATGCGGCAAGTGCCGCCTCCACTGTTACGCGCTGACTCCGGAGACGCTGTGGGCCAAGTGGTGGACATGTACTACTACCGGCAGAGGAGGCAATCGCAATGATGCGGATAGCAGAGCTTGGATTGGCATAAATTATGTCGCATTTCTGTGGCGTCCTGGTTTTCCTTTTTCCACTACATCCAGCAGCTTGGGCAGTGACATTCGTTTCACGTTTTAGCCTCAAGCACTGGACAAAATGGTTCCTCCCCCCAAAAATGGGAGGCGCGCGAAATCTCTCTCGCGACGACTATCAATGTCACTCATATTCCTGTCTTCTTCACATTCTCTCCAGCTTTTTCTCTTTAGCGGTTCCCGGAAAGGGGCAGTTTCGCCATTAAATGAGCGAACGAAATCAGAATAAATTATCTACTTCCAATCGAGAGGCGTCAGATTAGATTCCCGGCTTTTCGTTTATGTCATATTTCCCCGAAACCACATGGGCACCGCCCTGGACTTCCTCGGGGTCGTCTTCTACTGAGAAAAGCATCTCGCGTTTCTTTGTGTCGGTATTCGCCACTCGTAGCTGCTGCATCCCTATCATGTACCTTTCACACGTGATGGGTTGTCCTGACAACTCGCAAAACCCCAACCCTAAGGTCAGTAAAGCCCGCGGGCATTGAATACATCCGACTTTGGGCTCACAAGTCTTGTCACATTTGGGGCACGAGAGTGTCCAGGTGCCTAGATACCTAGGTAGTGTTTGATCGCGCAGACGCTTGATCATAGACCTTCTCCAGTACCACATGCGGTCGTGCTGCATTGTTGGTGTTGTCTGACTTTGTAAATTGTGGCGGGGAGCAGAGACTCGGGTTGTACAAGCCCTGTCCATACTGAGACAATTGTTGTGACATCGACAGACAAAACTGTCGCGACATTGACCAGTCCCACAGGTCCAACGGTTTCACGAAGTGTCTCGTCACCGGCGGATAAAGTACTACAAATGGTCTGCAAATAAAAACGCGAGTGTGCGCAGACAACGTTTGTGACGATCGAGCATGATAGATGCACCGTGGTGAACGAAGACATTGGGAGTTTATTGGCAAAGCGCGTCGCTGCTCTCTCAGATGTGATAAAGCTTGCGATGATCGCGGCTTGTCCTTACAAAATACATACAGCCAATGACTATCCGATTTGGATCACAACAGTATTGCCATACTTTGAAAGAGCTACGATGCCACGGAGCTCTGTTTTCATCTGTCTCCGGAGTCTCATCGGTTGAAGATTCCAAGATCTTTATAATGTGGATGACCAAAGCCTGGAGGCCTTCACGAGTCATGAATGATGAAACTCGCACGGCCACCACGCGAGCTCCTTCCGTCGGAAGATCAAAATTTGGCTCCCAACGGCGTGCTTGGTCTGGTTGTGTTCCAAAGTTTTGCATCGGACGACACAACTTTATCTGACAATATGTATATCGGCGACGACAAACGTGGTCTCGAAGAGGATTGAGACCTGTCGGAGGAATTGTCGAGTCGGGATATTGTTGTCCATTCGCCACTGTCACAGTAAGCACATAGGACTGGATTCCACCGCCGTGGAAGCAGATTGCGTATTTCTATACCTAGCTACCTAAGTAGGCTTCGGATTCCCAAGGAGCCCTGTACCTTGACAGGGGAGCCTCCATAGAAACCAATATCCTCTACAGTCTCTGGGAGAGGAACTCCGCGAGAGACCGCAATGCTCGCAATGTGCCAAGTTTCTCCAGACCTCGTAAGCACTAAAAAGCAGGAAAACAGGTGCTTGTTCACCTCGTTCGGGGCAAACGTGCGCGCAAGGAAACGGACGGGCAGCGGCGCTGGACCTTATTGGGTGCAAATCTCTCGATCAAGCCGACGCTAGAATCTTTCATCTCTCAGGCCTCAGCGAATGCTTTACCCCGTCACAACCGTTAACATTACACGCTCGTATCTTTCGGCCAAAGGCGCGCATTTCGCGGAGGTCTGGGCGTGCTGAGCCAGTGCTTTGCCGAATGGTTTGTTTTGAGGGGAATCGAGTCTTGGTAAGGAACGAGCAACAGCTGCCAAACCAGGAACTTTTCTACTGTCGTGAGCGGTCGATACGCACGCGCGGCATGTTCGCCTTATGCATGAACGCCCCGTGTCTCATCATTGACGACTACGAATGCTCGATAGAGCTCCCCAGCTCCTTGATGGAACCTACATCAACGTGTACCAAGATCTCATCACAGGCCGCACGAATCCCCCACACACCTAAAGAGGGCGTACGATACAGGCAACTTGCGTGATATCGATCGTAGATATGGACTGCACAATACTAGCTTCCAAGGTTGTTGAATTATTATTGTTCCCAATACGATACTAGCATGTACTACTGCAGTATGCCCGGAGAATCCTGCCGCTCGTTTCACAGGCGAACTGGATTCTGCGAAACGACACTACGGCCCTCGCGCTTACAATAATACTACCTCGTGTCTCCTCCCCAAAGCTGGAAAGTGTTGTGCATCCACCACCTGCATCTGCCTCTCAACACTCTCCTCTGACACTCTCCCTTCCGACAGTGCTGGAAGGTCACCTTTGATCACAGCTCATTCGTTTGCTGCTGTTCTTGCTTCTTGGAAATTCCTTGCCAGACTGTCGTTTCCCGCGTTTAATTGTCACCAAAGCATTCCGCTTTCTGCAAGTGCTGCGTCGAACGCGTGTGCATCTTGCCACTTTGACGACTACCAACTTTCACATCAGCTCTTGTGGCGATAATTTGTGCTTTGGATCAGGCCTCCTCATCATTCAGACCATCATATTTGCTACCATCAACATCGATATCTCAAAATGAAGTTCTCAATCGCGTCTTCGCTATTGGTTGCTACCAACTTCCTTTCTCACTTCGCCCATGCGATTCCGACCATTCAAGCCAAGGGTGCCAAATTTTTTACCAGCGATGGAAAGCAGTTTTACATCAAAGGAATCGCTTATCAACTTACCAACGATGACCCCCTGGCCGATGGTGACCAATGTCAATTGGACGTGAACCTTATGAAGACTTTGGGCACCAACGCGATCCGCGTCTACCACGTCGACCCTGCTGCGAATCACGATGTTTGCATGAACGCCCTTGCTGATGCCGGCATCTATGTCTTCTTGGATGTTGACACCTTCGACACCTACATCATTGGCAAAAGTCCCTCCTGGACCGAGTCTCAATTCAACAGCTATTCAGCTGTCATCGACACCTTCCACAAGTACGACAACGTCGCTGGTTTCTTTGTTGGCAACGAGATCATGAACTCGGGCCCCGAGAGCATTGCTGCCCCTTACGTCAAGGCTGCTGCCCGTGACCTCAAGGCCTATAGCGCTAAGAAGGGCTACCGCAAGATCCCGATCGGTTATTCTGCCTCTGACATTCCTGATCTTCGGCCGAATCTTCAGAATTACCTCGCGTGTGGCAGTGACCCTGCGAACGCGGTCGACTTCTTCAGTCTCAATGCTTACGAATGGTGCGGCGAGCAGACCTTCAAAAGCAGTGGCTACGTTAATCTCCAGGCTATGGCCCAAGGCTATAACATCCCAATCTTCTTCTCTGAAGTCGGCTGCAATACTGTCAAGCCGCGCACATTCGGCGACCAGTCCGCTATTCTCGGTCCGGACATGTACGACACCTGGTCGGGCACCATGATCTACGAGTGGATCGAGGAGACCAACGATTATGGTTTGATTTCCTACGGCCCACCCGCGCCGACCGGTGGCACCAACGTCGTCGATGGCTACACGCGCCGCGGCACTCCGACCCCGGTGCAGCCCGATTTCAACAACCTCAAGTCTCAGTGGCAGACACTTTCTCCAACCGGCGTCGCCCTCAGCGCTTACACCCCGTCGTTGTCTCCTCCTGCATGCCCTTCGTTCACCGCCGGCTCTTGGCTGGTTAGCGGCGATGTGCCGCTGCCTACACTCGGCCAGGTTTTCCTGAACCAGGCTGGTGAACGTCCCATCACCACGAGTGGAACAGGCAGTACCGCGACCACGTCGCCGAAATCCGGCACGGGGTCCAGCTCAGGACTTACCACTTCAAAGACTTCGGGTAGCATGGGTACCACCGGCGCCGCTGCAGCCACAACGACTCCATCGACAGGAGGTGCCTCAAGTCGCAGCTCCGTTATCATTCCTGGAAGCTTTACCGCAGCCCTCGGAGGCCTGGTTGGTGCATTTGTCTTTGGTGCGGCAGTGCTGTTGTAGATGTTTCTGGCTAGCCACTCTGCTCCTTGCTTTGGATGCAGGATTTGCTTGCTTGTGGTTCCTTTCGAGCTTGATCTTTGGCTTCGGCAGTCTGTCGTGTTCAAGCACAGGAAGCGCCAGGATCAGGAGAGTCATCTCGTCTTTCTAATTCCGTTTTTCTTTTCTTGGATCATTCTTCGACCTGTGTGGTGACTGAAGGATTATAGACATCTTGCATGGTTTTGGGATGGGAAGCACCTGTCATGTACATCAAGAGTGCTACGAATATACATGCTTATTACAAACCAACACGTTAATTTTCCTTCATTGACAGTAAGACCTATTTCGGCACAAGTGTGCATGTCGCAAGCGGCCACAGTATTTACTCGTCTATCAGCCTTTGCAGAATTAGCAAAATCTGGTGTGAAGATGCAGAGCTGACGACTTTGGATGTGTAATCGTACCTAGGTACTGTAATCTTGAAGCCGCCGTTTTTTTTAACTGACCGCGTTGCTCGTCAGTACAGGTAAGCCCGAGCGATTCGAATGGCGATATAACGCCGCCTCGCTGGCAGATGAGGATGATGGTCGTTAAAGATCGTAATCTCAGTATGATCTGGTATGAAACTTGAAGGGCATATGTTATGCTCGTTTCGTTGCCCTCAAGGGCTCTATCATCAAAGATTATGAAAGTGACAGCGGGTCGAACACGAGCATCTGGGCAGTTGAACAGCCGCATAACTCGGGCAGCCACTTCCATCATCGCCTCTGATCGGCCCGCTTTATGCAGCAACGCTCCCGCAGCTTGTTCTGATGAATTTCAGCGGGCGTGCAGCTGCTGCAGAGTGTACATCTCCGCTCTGGAATGCTTGATGCGAACGCCGAATTGATGATACGTTTCGACGGCGAGGATGAAGTGATCTCTCTTATATTTCATCAATTAAATTGCATGAATTGACTTATTGAGTGAATGCGTGCACAGCGAGCTGCTGAAGTCTGTCCACCAGACCTCGAGCCAAACTGGCCGTCGTCACAAGCCGATACGTCCGCGTCACTAACAAACCCCCTCTCCTTCTACCGAACAAACTGCACCGCACGGTCGTAAAAGTCTCGAGCAGGGTCTTGACCTGCTGTACCAACTGGGGAAACAACCTCGCGCCTTCCGGACGGCCTCTGTCTAACGCCTGCCTTGCTTGTTGATTGTAAAGGCCAACGTCACGTCCCCTGCCACGCCTGTCTACCTCTCCTTCCTTCCCGGCGGATTATTATTGATGAGCGTGGATGTCGGAGTTGGCTCCTCTCATCTCCATCAGCACCACCTGGATCTTATCACGCGCCAGCCTGTCATTCCGGTCATAGAAAGCTCTCACGAGACGCGGAACCGTGTGATTCACCAGAACGACCTACTACCTATCACCTGCTGTGCGCTTCGACAAACTAACGGGAGCACGAATGTCCACGACTTGGCCACTGGATACATGCCAGCCATATACGCTTCGGCCGTCTTGCCTACAGACTTGTCACACAGGTGGCAGACATAGCCGTATAATTAGTCACTCTGTTGCATCAGCCCCTCGTCCATCATGAGTGCTGATCTCAGCCTCTCCCAATCGCTCGGCGGTCTTCGCATCGCCAATCCGGACGATGAGACAGCGTCCTCCTCTCCGGCTTCATCGCCACCTCCACCGGCAATGACTGCCAGGCGACCATCAAACGATCAACGCCAATACGAACAGCAGCGTCTGTCAGAATCGAGCGCTTCAGCCTTTACTTCAGATGGCGCTGCTGCGCAGCTTCACCGCCCAACATTACAGCCAGTGCCGTCCTACGGCAGTTCCGATTATGATACGAGTCCTGCTCTGCGAGCGCCCGAAAGATACAACTTGCAGCAGTATGGATCGTCTTCGCCGACTGTGAACGTCGTGCCCGGCTCCGCCGCCGAGTCGCCAAAGAGGCTGACGCATCGTGCAAGCATGCAATTAGCCCACCAAGCCGCGCAGGCTGCGTCCTACCAGAGTCAGCAAAGCACATATGGAGTGCCATCGCGGCATGGAAGTGTGCAACATTCATCGTCCCGACCAGTCAGCAGTGTGCATGCTCAGCAGAATGCGCCCCTAGGCGCCGGAGTCATGGGTCCAGGAACCTACCGCTACGGAGGCGAGGGAGGTTTACCGGATGGAAATCTAGGTGGACTCAGCAGGTCTACATCGCGATCCACGAGACAGCCATCCAGTAATACACAGGCATGGGATCAATCCCGAGGATATCGTCAGGCGAGCATACCAGGCAGTACACCTGCCGTATCTCAGTACCCGCAACGGAGGAACTCAAGGCGAGGCAGAGCCGCGTCGGATACCATTGGAGTTCCTGATACTACAGAAAAGAGTCACGCACTGCCAAATTCTGCGGAGGAATGGCGAGATCGGGGCGCGGCGGTCAAGACAGTGCGGGAAACAGATGCCAACGGACAGCCACAAACCAGAGTTGTGAAGAAGGGTGTCAAGGACTTCAATTTCGGTCGTACGCTGGGCGAAGGGTCATATTCTACAGTCTTGGCGGCGACAGATCGACAAAACAACAAAGAGTACGCTATCAAGGTGCTTGACAAACGACACATTATCAAAGAGAAAAAGGTCAAATACGTGAATATCGAACGGGATACCCTCAACCGGTTGACTGAGCACCCAGGAATCGTTCGATTATACTACACCTTCCAGGACGAGCGCTCGCTGTACTTTGTTCTGGATCTAGCAACAGGCGGTGAACTCCTGGGTGTGTTGAAGAAACTGGGCTCGTTCGACATCGACTGCACTCGCTTTTATGCAGCCGAGATTCTTGACAGCATCGCTTACATGCACAGTCGTGGGATCATTCATCGCGACCTGAAACCTGAAAACGTTCTACTAGATCGCGACATGCATGTCAAGATCACCGATTTTGGAACAGCAAAGATCTTGCGAGATCCCCGGCCGCCTGGCGTCGATGGTCGGGCTGCCTCGAGTCAAGACTTAGCAGACGGAGCAGAGACTGATCGGGCGATATCCTTCGTCGGCACTGCTGAGTATGTCAGCCCTGAGCTGTTGCGGGACAAAAATGCATGCAAGGCGTCTGATCTCTGGGCGTTCGGCTGTATTATCTATCAGCTGCTTGCTGGCCGACCTCCTTTCAAAGCCGCAAACGAGTATCTCACTTTCCAGAAGATCCTCGCGCTAGACTACTCATTTCCGGACGGCTTCCCCGAGGTAGCCCGCGATCTCGTAGAGCGGCTGCTCGTCCTTGAGCCAACAAGTCGCCTACCAATGGAGCACGTCAAAAACCATCGCTTCTTCGACGGAGTGCAATGGGGGAAAACACTCTGGCGGCAGAAGCCGCCTCGATTGAGCCCACATGTTCCACCGCCACGAGAGCCAATTAGTCTCAACGGACCGAGTGCTTCTGCAGCCAGTGCCGCACACGCTGCGTTGACGAATGCACATAATGCTAGCAACGCTGCATCAGCTCCGCCTCGTCGCCCACAACTCCAGACTGTGACTGAGCTAGCACCGCCAAGTCAATTGGATATTGACTGGTCACCGGTTCTTACTAACAACAACGAGCGCATTCTCAAACTAGGAAATTTGATGGTATCACAGGGGGCACCCCCTGGAAGTCCGGATGCTCCTACCCAATCTGAGAAATCTGGCTTTGCCCGACTTTTCAGCGCTGCTGCTGCATCCAAACGGAAGGAGCGTCTGGTATTAATCACGACGTGTGCTCGTCTTGTAGTGACTGCGGCCGGCGGGAACGAGAAGAAGGCGAAGATGGAATTGCCGCTCGCTGCGCATATCGTTTCGTGTCGGAGTCTCGTAGATGCCAAAGGCCTGTCCTATTTCTGTATTGACATGGTAAGTGATGATCATGTTTCAGCGGCAAAGCACCAATAGCGTAGCGCCCTGATAGCGAATCGAGTGAGGTCATTACTAACAATAGTCACCAGAGGGACAAACACTACGTGTTCGAGGATCCTCGCGCCACGACCTCGGATCCAGCAGGAAGTCGATACAGCACACAAGAATGGCTCGACGCCATCGAGCAAGCACGTGAAGTTGCACTTGCAACATCTCTTTCCTCCGCCGGAGGCAGCAGTAGCACCAGCGCTGGAGGAAATCCCTTCCCGTCTTCCGCTCACAGTAGCCACAATCCCCATGGCCCCTATCACAACGGCAGCCCGGCGCACATGGGCGAAGGCTTCGATTCCGGCGCGACGCTGGACAGCAATCCACCGCAACAGCATTACCAGCACCGGCATGTTTTGAAGCAGACTCTACGGAGAACAAACACAGACGAATACGATGAAGGCGGTGGTGGATCAGGCGACGGCGGTGGGAACGGGAACAGTGCAGTCGCAGGGGCCTTTGCGACGGGACGGAAACGTTTCAGTAAGAGGCACAGCAAGAGCGGCCTCGCCGCCGTGTTTTGAGAGACATGTAGAAATGAGAAATCGTCGCGATAAGAGACCTTTTCCGGACTGTGACCCGGGTGGACTCGATAGGATCAGGGAAGAGCGAAACCTGTAGGCGGTCATTTTCAGAGAATTTGAGGGTTCTAGCCCGGAGGCGAATGTAGAAGCTCGATAAAGGGACCATTCTTTCTGTTGAACTAATCTGTGATATCATCCTGTTTTAGTCTGGACCATGACTTCCCTTATGTCGGTCTCGGCTCGATCTCCGACCGAGTTGGTAGTGACAGGATCAACTGCCTAATCAGGGCCATTGAGCGCTCCAAAGAGCGATATTACTCTTGGTGATGTGTATGTCTCTGCCGCTCGAGGGACATTCGGTCCATGTCCCTCGTGCATGATACAGCACGCCCACGCGGCATTTGGGGGTACGTATTTGCTCTACATGTACCGCTCTCTGGAGGTCACTAAATAGGCAGGCGCGTGAGGCCGTCACATTCCTGCAACGAGCGGGCCTTGAACCGGTTTGCCTGTCGTTTCAATGTGGCGCAGGAAGCGATTTTAGTGACATGTGAATTTTGTGGATTTTCAAGATGAGGGCGACTGCTCCTCGGTGGTGATGAGGGTGGAAATTGCGCTTACTGGGAGGGCGTAAATTCAGACATGACGATAGAGTATAGCACATGTCAGATTCCCACCCATGCAGCCGACTGGTGTTGTTCTGTCCTGCCCGCGATAGTTCCAGGACCATTTGGTTCATTACCATCGAGGCTCGGTCATGAAGTCTGGTTCATCGCGTGGTTATCATGATATGACCCGGCTACTGATCCATGGACGTGGTGTGCTGATCTACATAATCAGGATCATTTCCCCGAATTTTTCGTCTCGGAATGGGACGATCACTCGCATCGGACACTTCAACGTTCACGTTGTTTCTGCATACTATGTTTCCTGCTCGTGAATCCATGTATCGCGAATCTCGAACAGCCCCTGGTGCCTCGGGCCTCATCAGCTTAATTCTGAGCCCGACCTGCCGTACGCGGACTGCGGCGGAATCGGTCGTTTCAGTCTGAAACTCTGCCCAGGTGGACTTTGACTTGCTTTCAATCACACCTAGGTAGGTACTACTCATCACAGTAGAATGACGCGTCTACTCGACTCTCGTTCGCAAGCATTTCGAGGAGTCGCTCTATGTCCTTCCTTCTCATGCCGTAATCTCTACATTGTCCTGTATGACCGTATCTGTCTAGAATACGACCAGACGGGCCGCACATGAGAAATTCCATCCATGAAATTGATGTGGCGCTACTACGATGGTGCGCGGCCATCTGGCCCAGAATGGGTATGCGAGTGCACACCCGTGAGCTTGCAGGGATCTCGGCTTGTGCTGTGCGGCCTGGTGTTTTCAATAATTCTATCGTCACCTGGGCAGACGGACTCCTTGCGCTTGGACTACAGTAGCTTTGGCTCCTGCGACGACGGTGGTTTCCGCTTCTCTGGATAGTGCTTTGCTCAGACTTCGCACCGTCGCCTCCCCTTTCCATCCTCTGCCCTCCGTTGAGTCTAGTGAATCTAGGAAAATCGCACGAGCGAGCGGAGGGTATCGTCCAACGTGCAAACAAACCCCGTGCGCTGAACGTCGCCGATTCGCTGGTCCCATTCATTCGATGTATCTTATTGCATTCCAGGTGGCGTGAGGAGTACTGGTGAAGACTGTGATATGTGTACAAGGAAGTTCTCTGGACCAAGTAGAACCCCGGACGCCGGAGTACACGCACCTGCCCAGGTTGGTATCGTTGATGGGATGAAAACGCCCTTTTCATTATCAAGAATGGAAGACTATTGTTACAATATCTGTGCCGCCGCGCGGAACCGCGTGCCATTCTCCCTAGCCAGTGACATATCGAAAACTTTGCAAGGTGACGGTCTGGCACCTTCCTCATCTTAGATCCATGTCTTCGTCCAGAAATGCGGGCACTGAAATGCTAAATGCTAGAGCGATCACCTGCATACATGCGAAACACCTGGGCAGTTGAGTTGGGGTTCCGACGGCGTGGATCCTGCTTGCTGCACGCGCTCGGGCCGGACTATGCAGAACTCCCACCTTCATCTGCATCGACCTTGACTGTAAATTTATTAGCCGGAAACCACAGCCCATGTCATTCTCATCACCACCACACGGCTTTTAAATTTTTGATTATTATCATCACAGCCACTGGGCGTTGTGTGTCTTCAGAATGGCCATATCACTCCCAAGGTTGATTTGACCTGGATCTTGCTCTAGCACCACCAGCAAATGACCACCCCTGCATGCGTTGTTCGTCTCATGCTCCTACTCTTGTGGCGGTCCCCACCTCGGAACTTCTATTCTTTTGACAAAACAAAGGAACCTTCGCTCGAGAGTGTCACCACCTCCGAGGAAACGACGTTGAAGTAGACGGAAACCAGTACTGTACAGACCCTTGTTTCATCTTGTTCCAAGGTCCTCTCAATTGTACCTAGTACTCTCGGGCACTGTGATGATTGTTATCGCCGTCTTGCGGCTTCACTTGTCATGCACGGTTCACCCTTTCACCTGCCCTTCGGGTCGCACCACCACGCTTCTAGATCCATATTGCTCCTTTCGAACATTCCAACGTTTCTCGGGATCCCGCATGGTGGTGGGCTACACAGTTGCGGTGACTGCCCAGGTGGAGTGGTACAGGCTGCTTTCTCTTAGTTCTCTTGTACTACAAGCACACGGTGGGGATACCCACCAGTATTAAACACTCTGCCGCTCCCCTTGCATCACGAACCTTTCCACCAGCCGTCTTCATTGACAGATGACATTGGGCAGGGTCTCGAGGAATCTACTTATGTCGCCTCTGGTCCTTGGTCGATGTTCGCAACCGTGACTGATCAGTAGTCCAAGCACACGACATGTGACGCGCTCATCCTTCGATTTCTTTCTATTACTGTATCGCATATCGGTCACGCGCCATTCATAACATCGCTAGCCACTATTGTTCCAATCAATTGACTAGCTCGCCTTGAACAAGCAATTGTGCCAATATCATTTTCTCGTCAAATGGCTGCAAGGACCTTGGCTCAGGTCGCTCCCACGGCGGATACAATTGCTCTGAACGCCTACATTTACGGCTACGGCGGACACTCTCTAGTGACACCTCACGCAGCTTTGAAACTTCTCTGGTGGACGGAAGAACGCATCAACCTCAAAGTCGATCGCGCCTTCGTCTTGTCCAAGCTACGCGGACAAGAACGTGACTTCCTTGACCAGACCGTTGGTTTTGGCGAAGCGGGCGGAGTCAAGAGCGACGCCGAGTCGGTTGATGTGCTGGGTAGCCTGACCAGTGAGACTTACTTGAGCTGGATCCTGACCCGAGCTCGACGACTGTTTCTCATCCTTACAGAGGTTGGTGTACCTGATCAAATTTTCGGTTGCATCGACGATTTATGGGACGACGACGATCTGCCTCTCACAATGGATAGCATCAAAAAGATGGAGCTCACGATCGATGACGACCCTGTGTTGGAAAAGAAGGTCTACGACACTCAATTCATCTATCTTCTCAGAGAACTCAAAAAAGGCAACCATATCGATTATGATTCGCGCGAGCACATTCCTCTCGAGCACGTCGATCAAATCCCACCTGCTGTCAGTGTACAGGAGTATGGCGGACGTGTTCACTTTCCAGCTCGGCCAGATCAAGTCTTCATGCGGCGAAAGATTATCCTCAGAGAAAAGGGTTCGGAGGAAAACGACATGGAAATCTTCAAACAGGACGTACTTCACGCCCAAGCGCTTGCTCATCCGAATATCGCTCCAGTATTTGCATCTTACACCTCTGGCGATGCTGGCTTTGTTCTCTCCAACTTTGTGGTTGAGCACACTCTGGCGACCTTTTGCGATCATCGCACGCCTCCTTCGTTCATGCGCGTCAGCGCCTCCAAACGACCAGTACTGTTACAGCAGTGGATGCTCTCATTAGCGGACGCACTTGCGTACCTCCACGACAACGCTGAGGCACACACTGCAATATGTCCATCGAATATTTGGATCGATCGAGACAATCACATCGTATTTGCGGACTTGGGCAGCTTGATTACGTTCCGCAAGGCGAAGAAAATCAACAATACAGAACTCTATGATTATGCTGCGCCGGAGTCGATATCTCGGCAAGGTCCGCCATCCATCTTTGATTCTGCAGCCGTGAACCCAGCGTCCAAGGCCAATGATGTCTTGCGCAAAGCCAGCATCGGACGCAAGTCTGCGTCAAGTATCTCGAAAGCTGCCAAAGGCGCGACCGCAGAACCCAGCTATATGGCCCGGCAAAGCTCCACAGCAGCTATCAGAGATAATACCAGGAGCGAGAAAGTCGACGAAATTGGGTCCACCGTTCACCGTACAGGACGATTCGACTTCACGCAGAAACTTCCATCAACCGTGATCGTACCGACCATTTTTGCCCCGGAGCAGACGACAGCATTCGCAAGCGATACGTCAAGACACACCTCCTCCACGCAGCTCACTGCAGGTTCCGCTTCACAATCACTCGTCAACGTCCCTTCCGTTGTAGAGCCCTCGCCAGCTCCACAATCGGACGCGTCTTCCTCGTCGAATCTCTTTGATCCCAACCAAGCCGACATCTTTTCTCTTGCTTGCATCTACCTTAACATTATCACATTCATGGTTGAGGGCAAACTCACAGAGTTTGTCCGCTTCCGCTCATACGCACTCAATGCTTTCAAACAGCGGCGTTACCGCACTGATCAGAGCTTCCACTCGGATGCAGATATATTGAGCAACTGGATCACTCACCTGGGAACTGCATGCGAAGGAAAAATCGCGTCAGAGGAGACTGCTGGCACCAAGGAATCGGTAGCTGTGTGGAAAAAGGTGCCGGCACTATTGGACCTGGTCGGCCGCATGTTGAACCACGACGCCGCATCGCGTCCGCCGGCTGACGAAGTCCAGCGCACCATTGAGAACATCCTTAAAACTGATGATAGACAGACGTCAAGTTCCACGGCAAGCATACCCTTGCCAATCCGTGGCTCCTCAGACGCTTCGTCGGATCGGATATCATCCAGTAAACATATGAGCGGCGGCAGTGACACCACACAATCCTCTATGGAGGCTGCTGGCAATATCAGGCGCAGTGGCGAAGCTGACGCTTCGGCTGGCACTGATGTGATGTCCCAAAGCAGTGCTATCGAGGATGAGGATGACACAACAAACCCCGAATTTGCCTCTCCTGGCCTGAGCAAATTTGGCAACTTTCGTCGATTCAGTCTGGTCAGCGTGCTTGCTGGCAGCGGAGGAAATCGAGTCGTCCCCCTTTCTAACGTCAATGGCCGCGAAAACATGGGTAGCAATGCTTCGCTCGGATTCCGTTCAGTTGTCGACCTTCCGCGTCCTGCCACTGGCGTCAAGAAAGATACAGCCGAGTCATCCCCGAATACGCTGCTCATTTCGGCTACCACGAAATCAAATCCGCCCTCCAAATTAATGCGGATGCAAGTCATGGACGATGTAAAACCACCCAAAGCTCATAAGACCAAGACTGGTGGCGGAGGCTTGCGCTCCCTGAAGAGCATCTTCACACGGTCGTCGAAGATGACGGCCCAAGCCAGCTGAGACAACCAACTTTTATCCGAAACTCATCCCTTCGTGAAGGGCTGATATTCACACTACCGTCGACTGCTCGAATTTTACCTGTTTCCAGTATGGTTTTGGAAGACACCGCAGTATGCCTGGCCCTTCACACGCCCTTTCACCATTCACTCTTGCAAGGCGCAATTTTATTTTAGTTTAAAACTTCGTTGTTGGGAAAACAGAATTCTGGTGCGGAACCCATCCTGTTCTGCTCGCGCTTTAACGAAGATTACGACAATCATGAAGCAGAATTGGTCGATTTTCTCGACGAAAAATGTAGCATTTAGTGACAGATAGCCTCAACGGCAGACTATTTAATTCCCTAATTGCCTCATGTCCGTCTCGTCAATTCCCAGTGGTCAATATCGATCCTCTAGTAATCTGTTCCTCGGCGTGCATGATATGCCATACCTAGGTGCTCAAGTGTGTCAGGGAAAGCCCTTGACCTCTACCTTCTCGGAAAGAGCGATCGTAGAGACAAGATGGATGATAGACGCTCTTGCACCGAACGTCATCTGGATCATCGGTGAGTGTCATGCGTTCTTGCTTGCTTGGTCTTCTCGTAATCGACGTTTTTGCTAGCTCGCCTCTCATTGCTAGTCACAGAAAGGACCATTGCGCAATATGCGGTCCTTCTATGATCGTTACTGCTGGTGACGATGTGTGATGGAAAATGAAGGTCCTTATCATTGCTCTCATCAAATCCTGCGTTGCCTTTATCGCATTGTCACCCAACCTGCTCTCTATTCTAGCTGGTCCAGAGCAGATCTCGGGTTAACGACACTTCAAATGCTCCGCATACAACCCTCCCGGCTCACTCTCACACGCCGTGATGTCGATGAGTTTGAAGAGCAGCCTCGTCGTGGACGTTGGCACCAACTTCAGGACCAAAAAGAGCACGAGCAACATAACTATCCGCAACCCAGCGAGATCGGTCGAGATCAGCAACTGAAGAATGCACCAGGGTTCTCAACTCGTCTGGGATTTGTGACAACGATCGCTCGTCCTGCCCTAGCGAGAACGGTATCTTCGTCATCTTCGAGGTCCTCTGAAGCGACGATCTGTGCCGAAGGAGATGGCGATGAGCAGGCCGTCCGAAACCAGGCTGATGGTCCAAAGAACTTGGACACGTACCCGAGACATTGTGCTTCTTCTGCTTCGCAGGATGATATCACAGCCCACATTCTCGAAAAAAATGACATCCCTCCTATCCCCGGCCCGGGACCTTTGGTTGCTGATCGAGCTTCAACTTCGTCTTACGCGCATCCAGAACACAGGATCAATGGCAATCACTCATCTGCACTGCCTCTGTCAGAGGCTGTTCTTTCACCATTCCTTTGCCAACAGAGACATTCAAAAGCCAAGCTGGACCATGGTAATCTGCATAGCACTTTGTCGGACGCGAACCTGGAGAAGCCATGCGATGACGAGTCTCCGTGTAGTACTTCCAAAGAGCTCTCAGAGACTGGAGACCGTCATAGATCATGGTCGGGCACACAGTCCACCAGCTCTTTTGCTTCCAACTCCAGTCGCTCAATGCCAAACTTGCGCAATGCGGCCTTGTCCTTGCACCGTACTGGAAACAGCCATGGTTCATTTGCAGAGTCGCCGAGGGTCGTCGGGCAGGCTGCTCCGCGTCGATTTCCATCTATGGTCAGTGCTGCTAGTGGAATCAGTCGTCTCTCCTCCAGCTCGCGAGGTTTAGACGCGGCTGAGGAATTCCTCATGCTGCGGAACTCGCCCCTGGACGAATTGGCTGAGCAATTTCGAAGACTTGGTCGTGCGACCTTCCCACGTTGTTCAACACAGTCGTCGACATTTCGACCACAGACCAGACGTCGGCCTTCACTGCTGAATGGTGACCCGTTTGGACAATATGACAGCTCCTTGGAAAGTGATGATGACCTGGCCGATTTTCTGTCATCGCTTGTGAAAGTCAGAGTCCCCACACAAACGGAGACCAGGGCTCCTTTTGATAAACCATTGCCAGATTTGCCGAGCCCGTCCTCAGAACGTTCACCGTCATTGAGCTTGCGTACACCAAACCGCGAAAACCAAGTCTCCTCTCCGAGCGTGCCGTCACGTAGTCCAACATCAAATCGATCTCCCACAGGCTGTCGATCCTTCCACCCTATCGTCAGCATCTCCCAATCCGTCAAAACTATCAAGGCCAAAATGATGCCCGCCACACCACATGTTCACGTTTACAGTGACTCACAGCCCGCCGAGGACCAGCCGCAGACCCCAGCAGATCTCCCTGCCAGCTCTCGGCATCAAACATTGCGAGATTCGCGTTTGAAGCATGATGCCGATGATGACGATTGCCTCAGTCCGACTTCACGATCGACGAAGTATCGTCCCTCGAGACACACCTACCCTGCTTCGCTCGCAGCATTGGCTTATCCACAATCGAGCACTCCAACGAGGGGAAGCACATTGCTCGTGACATCGCATTTGCTCAGCTCGCGTAACGGCCAGAGGCGTGCCACTAACGCAGGACGGGCCAGCGCTGACGAGGAGAATAGTTTCGATGGGAGTCGCGGTGATCTTGAAGACGAGCGGCGATTTCGGGTTGATAGGCAGACTCAGAGCAGCTTGGACGTGACTCCGCCAAAGGAGGATAGATTTGAAAGGTTCCTTCTCTGAGAAAAGCATAGCATGGCTCCACTAAGAACCCCCCTTTATGCACATGTATAGCGAGATTCGGTTGCTGTTGGCAGCATGCTATCTCTGGATGTAGACGAAGCGACGCATTGGGTGAGATGGCCGTCCAGGTGTTCAACATCTCGGATCATGTCTCCTGGTTGTACAAGACGTAGCAAATTGTGCGCATAAATCAAGTGAGTAGTTCTGTCATTCTCCAAACGACATTTCATTTATTCAAACTTCATGGTCGTGACCACTTTTCCAATTCCCGAGATTTCGACACTCACCTCATCACCATCCTGAAGGTATTTCGGCGGCTTGAAACCAATTCCCACACCACCAGGCGTCCCCGTCATGATCAAACTTCCCGCCTTCAGCGTCTGACCCGTCGAGCAGAACGAAACGATCTCGCGAACTCCAAAACAGAGATCACTCGTATTCGCCCTCTGACGCTCTTCACCGTTGACCCGCGTCACGAGTTCCAACCCCTTAGCATCACCCAGAATCTCCGCACTCACGATCGCCGGGCCCAGCGGCGCATAGCGATCGAATGACTTGGAGTAACACCACTGGGGCATCATCCCCGCCTTGGACTTCTCCATCTGCCAGTCCCGGCATGAGACGTCGTTGCCGGCGACGTAGCCGGCGACGTAGTCCAACGCTGACTCTGGTGAGACGTTGAGCGCATCCCGCCCGATGACGATGGTAAGCTCGCCTTCGTAGTCGCAGGTCTTCTGGGCGATTTTGTGGATCGGCGTCGGTGCGCGGGTGTCGGCGACGCATTCGGGGGATTTAATGAAGATCGTGGGGTTCTCGGGGAGATCGAAGCCGGTTTCGAGGACTTTTCAGAGGAAGATCAATCAGTCGGCTTGTTTTTCCATGATCGTCACCATTGTTCGAACAAATTATGGAGAATGTTGGCCCCTAATTCGTGACTATACATGACTTACTGTGCTCTTTGTAGTTCAATCCTAAACATCGAACGAATGGTACTTCCGCCGATGTGAGTGGGCTTAGAAGAGTCTTGACTTCATCTTCCTCGCCTGTCGGCTTGGCCAAGACGGCCGTTGGTCCTTCGAGGATCTTGACCTTGAGACTGCCGCTTTGGGCCAACGCATCGATGTCGTCCTTGTCGTTCACGATCGGCTCGCCGTAACGTACGTTGCCATCTTTGGCCGATGTGTAGCGAATGAGTCGCTTCCAAGCTGTGACGGGTGCCATTGATGTCGGAGCAAATGTGAATGGACGAAACGAGATGTGGTTATAATCAAGGCGGATCCTTTGAGGTATTGACTGCTTCGTTTGCGTTGCACGGCAGTTTCGAGGAAGGTTTCGCACAGCGTGCTTTAGGAACATTAAATGTACAAGTGAGAAACGAGCATCTGCGGGAATGATGGCACGAGAGCTTGATGCGTATCAATGCTATTGGGAGCCGTGTTCGTCCATCGAGTCAGTGATGATCATGATGCGGGACCAATGCTGTGGGGAAGTGGGACCAAATGACGCATGAAGTTTCATGAATTCCTTGCCATTTCACGTGTACCTAGGCATTAAATAGCTGCCGGCACAAGGGATGATGGTGCTCGCGATAGTAGTGTCTATATGCACCGACAAACGCTGCGATGGTGACTCCGAACATTGAGCAATCGTCCGCCACAAGTTACGTGTGAAACGAGATAACTTTCGAGTGATCAGATTCTTCTGTACATATAAATCGTGGCAGACGAGCAGCCCGAAGCTGATGGGTGCTGACACAAAGGAGAACATCTACATGGTGCAGGTAAAGAATAATGACAATGCCACAACCGCATAGCAAACCAAACGCGCCTCAAACGCCTTGAGAACTCGTCAAGAGTCCACTGAGCCCACGGAGTCTCGACAAAACGCCAGCCCAAGCATATCAATAATGAGGAAGAACGAAACGCAGGACAACATGCAGTCGCACTGATTAAGCCTTGCTCTTCTTCTGCTTCTTCTTCGGCGCAGTCTCGTCCTCATCATCTCCGCCCTTGCGTTTCTTCTTCTCTTCTTTGGCGGCCTTCTTTGCGGCTTTGGCTGCTTTCTTGGCTGCCTTCTCTGCCTTCCTCGCGGCTTTCGCGGCCTTCTCTGCTGCCTTGTTGACCTTGTCTTCGCTCTTCGAGGAGCTCTTGGCGCTGGAAGGAGCAACAGTCTCATCGTCGTCACTGCTGTCCTCGTCGTCATCGTCTTCCTCGGCCTCATCCACAGCAGCCACTTCTTCGATCAGCTTGCGCTTCTTCTTGCTCGATTCTGTGCCATTCGTGACGGGCGCTGCTGCTGGGGCAGCGTCGGCAGAAAGACCATCGGCATCTGCGTTGTACTTGCGAGCCTCCTTGAGGTCCCATTTGCCAGGCTGTTGCTGTTTCTGACCTTGCGGGCCAATGGAGACGTTGCTCATCTTGAGTGGTTTGCCCTCCAAGGCACGTAGTCTTCGCTCAACCATGTTCCGTCCAGCAACTCCGACAGCAGACTTCTCCTCCTCAGTAGGCTCCTCCTCTTGTCCAGCGCCGGCTTGTCCCCAATCGCTGAGTGCGTCAACGCGGAGGCCAAGGGTGGCCTTAGTGGCTAGCATTCGTGCAATTTTGCCCTTATTCTTGCCAGTTGCCTGACCAATCAAACTGGCGTGAAAGATGAGACCATATTTGGGTGTATCATGCTTGGTCTTCAGGGCACGGAACAGAGCCTTCTCAGCACCGAGAATTTGCACGGTAGAGGCGGGCTTCTTAGCGAGAGTCATCAAAGATCCAGCGTGTGCGATGAGGCGGGCGCCGACCAAGTCACCGACGAGCGCTGTAAGGTTAGGTGCGATGGCCTGCATACGAGCTGACAGGTAGTTCGCTAGCGTCGATCGGTACTCTGTGAAGCCAACAACTTGTTCGGCAAGTGCTTGAATGTTAACAAGATCTTCCTCTGTGATCTCGGTACCCATTGAGACCTCGGCAGCTGCCTTGATGGCGCCCTCGATCTCCTCAGGGAGGATTTCGCCAAGGTCAGTGGTGCCGCAGTTCGAGCGCATACCAACAGCGATAATGACGCGCGAGTAGGCAAGGTTGTCGTTGATAATGCGTGCCATCTCGGGGAAATGCCAGCCATACCATTCCTTTACTCGCATAGCGTATGTGTTCAGCTCTTTGTCCAGATCGTCGAGCAAGGCGATAGCTTGGATGATCATTGTATCCACCTTATCAGGAGAGAATTTGAGCTTATGCCGTGATAAGCTGTGGGAGAGACCAAGAGACATGGTGCTGATGTCTTCGGGTTTGAGATCGGAGATGAGTGAAGGCAGGTGTTCGCGAATTCCTCGATAGAGATCTGCCGTCGTCGAATCTGAGATGGGTGAGATCTGGAGACCGGGAATTTTGGTGATCGCATTGCCCAACTTGGGGTCCGCAACCGCGAGGGATATCTTCTTCTCATCCTTGAGATCTCCAAGCATGTTCGCGAGCATGGGTGTGACCTGTAATGAACTGTCAGTGGGCATGCAAAAAGAGAGGCGCGCTCGCAACGTAACGCACTTTGCCTTCGGTGAGAGCTGCCGCCTCTTCCAATGCCGATGCTGCACTGTCGAATTTGCGGAACTGCTTCAGCTTCATCAAGCTGCTGACGCCTTCCGCCGTCTCGGCCTCTTTTGCCAAATCATCGCGTTTGAGAAGCTTCTTGTCCCGTGCTTTGAAAATTGCATAACCAGCCGACGTCTCGGTGAGAATGAAGAGGGTCATCTCGACTATATGTATCGCCTGCTCAGGCGATTATAGTAATATGTTGTGTATTCGTCCGCGAACCGTTTCGGCCTTTGTGTTGCGAAAGGTCGTCGCTGTCGTCCGTTTGGGGCTCTGTGTGAAGCATTGTCAAAACTTCGACGATTGAACTTTTTCCGAGGAGCTCGGACCATCCCGCCAAGCCAGGCCAAACCACGCCGAAAACAGCAAGCCGACATCACTGCCGGGAAGCAACGCCGAACATTGCAGAATGCAGGAATACCATGCATGTATGGCTTCCCGCGGCCAGAACACGCTCCGTAAGGTGTTTCGGGACAGATGGCGACGTCTGTGTCCAATGCAGACTATATCAACAGTCGCCCTGCCATTCGTACACGACCCTCTATAAGCGGTGTAATCGGCAATACAGGCAGCCCACGTAGTCCCCGGACACCACTTCTGAATCGAAGCATCTCCTCACAATTTGGCAGTCCTGGCAGCTTCAGGATTGAGCAAGAAGATGTCGTCATATTCGAGCTGAATCAACGATATTTCGCTGCCGGGTATGCTGGCGAGAGTCGACCCCGAAGCATCTTACCATTCACGCCAGGGAGCTCGCACAGAGCTGGTGATTATGGTCAATACGACAAAGCACATGCGCGCAACATGCGTAAGTACCGGCTGGGAGAAGATTGGGCATCGAGTCACGAACTATATCAAGTCGATCTCGGAGCGCTCGATCTTGGATTGGTTGAGGATAAACTCGACAGGGCATTGCGCAAGATTCACGTGGATTACCTACAGATGGACTCTAAACCTCGGAAAGTGCTGTTGGTAGTTCCAAGCATGGTACCAACTCCATTGCTCGGCATCGCGCTCAAGGTTTTGTTTGGTCATTTCACGCAGCCGCCATCAATCTCCATCTTGACCAATCCTGTGCTATCATGCGCCAGCGCAGGTTTGAGACATGCTCTTGTGATTGACATCGGTTGGGAAGAAACAACGATCACGGCCGTCGGCGAATACAAGGAAATTATGCAGCGGAGAAGCGTTCGAGCTGGAAAAATGTTGACAAAAGAGATGGCTGATGTGATCGAACACGAGCTGGCTGGATCAGATGTCAAAATAACCTTTGAGGAGACGGAAGATCTCGTTCAGCGCATGGCATGGTGTCGTTCCCGGCGTGTAGACAGTGAGGAATCCCCTCAGGTGACCGTGGTGCATCTTCCTACGCCTGGCAGCGTGCCAACCACGGACTTTCCTATCGATTTCGTCAAGCTCGCAGAGCCCGCTGAGCGAACTTTCTTCGCTCCCCAGCATTTGCAAACTGATCATGACGATCATGATATCCCTATCCACCTACTTGCCCACAAGCTGCTCTTATCACTTCCAGTCGATCTTCGCTCGACATGCATCAGCCGCATCGTGCTCACAGGCTCGTACACCAATATGCTGGGTTTGAAGCAGAGGCTGCTTCAGGAGATTTCGTACCTGGTACAGAGTCGAGGCTGGGATGTCGTGTCGAACTATGGAAGCGCAAGGCAACGGCATGAAAGAGTGCTGTGGAACGAGCCTATCATCAAAGAAGCTTCAACAGGATCGACAAGTCCAACGGGTTCGACCACTCCCACGGCAGAGAATTCGCAACAAGATGTCACGGCGCACAGTCTACCACCAGTAGTATCACAAGAGTCGGTGTCAGCGTTGCAAGACCCGACAGTAATGCCTTTAGTCCCTGCGTCTGACCGAGTTCATGACGACATCCACGATCCTGTCACTATCAAAGCAGAGCGTGGCAAAGGTGGCGCCAGCGACTCAGACGCAAGCAACGTTGTCCGTGGCGTCGAGTCGCTCGGAGCATGGGCAGGGGCCAGCTTGGTAGCCAGCCTGAAAATCCAAGGGGTACACGAAATTGATAAAGATGACTTTAACAAGCATGGGTTCCGCGGAATATAAAGACATCATGACACAGTCGAAAGATAGCGAATGTTGTTCCTGGCGGCATCTCGAAATCCAGCATTCGCCCTCAGGATTGTAAAGGTACTAAAGGGGTGTTGGAAGCTACAATGTTGTAGGATTTGTCTGAGGCATGAAGTCCGATCATTATGTTATGTTGAGGGCATTTTCATTCGCCGAACGTCATACATGCAGTGTAAGCGGCATTGCTGACTGGGCCACTCATCACGTACGTTCCTCAGCTGCCGCCAATGCAGGGCAAACCGCAATTGAAGAGCCAGCAATTGCTGCGCCGCATGGTTACCGCCAGCGAACCCTCGCGTCCTCTTTTCCTTGCTCACCACTTGCCGTGGACGTTATTCGCTTACACAAATTGAGGTAAGCTACATTTCTTCACAATCGATCTAGTTGCTACCATTGCTGTTTGATTTGTGCTGACTTATTACACAGCGTCATTTGATATCAATAGTTCACCCGTGGACGCTCATGGTATTAGGCATCAGTCCAAGAGGAGCGCGAAGAGAACGAGGTGCTGCCTGTCGGGATCAGCCGCATCCCCCTCAAGCCCACCCGATCACACTTGTGATACATTCACAGCCCTGGAGGTCAATAGCAGGTAGCAGTAGCAAATACACACCTGCAGTCACAAATCCTACGTACAGTCACCTGCAAGAGTGGCTGATATTTCACCAGTCACGCCCAAACCCAGTTGCAAATCTCAATTCTAGATCCCAAGCTTCACAAGCCTCCGCAAATATTGATCGCGGCTCACCGACACCGACAACATTCAGCGTTGACGTATTTGTTCTTTGTCACTTCCTGGCCTTTGCATCATTCACTTGTTCCCGGCAGATTTGCATGTGATAGGTAGCCGCAGTCACTCCACTCTCCCACCACAATTGACTCTTTGCGACTTCTGATAATATCAACTTTCGTGACTACACAGCGTCGTACCTCATTTCATTTAACCTTCGCCTTCACGAATACGCAGCGCCTGCCTGCGTAGACTTACACGTCCTGCTACTTGCAACGCCGAAGATGTGAGGATCGCTTGATCGAGCAACCGATGCCTCACTAGAGACCATGCCACGCCGCCAATTTGTTGCCGACTTGGCAAAATCGCAAGCTGGTGTCTTGCCCGCCGGTATTACAAAGCTCCAAGCTGGTGACGACGACGGCGAATTTCATTTCTTCTTCACAGCAGATGGTGCATCTGCCGCCGTGAAGGCAGAACCTTTTCGAATAACTGCTTGCGTTTCAGAATTATCCGACTATCCGAAATCACACTCATATTTTCTCTATGCCGAAGATGATGCCCCAGCTCTCATATCAGAAGCCCTTCAAAACTTCCGAGGAACAACCGGCAAGGATGTTTCTGAGCTAGTTGACCTTGTGGCTGGCAATCTCCGACGACTCTCAACGAGTGAAGACATTCCGGACGAGGACGATGATGTGTACACAGATGACGAGGTCATGTCGGATGGGCTTTCGTCCATGGACGAGCTGGATGGTCTCCCCATCGACGCCTTCGATGAATCAGATTTCCTGGGCACAGCTGCATCAGGCCCGAAGGCAGGCTACGTGGAAAATGTCGGCCCAGTATTTCGTGCTCGACTCCGCAATGACATTCGTGCTGTCAAGTCGGCGGGCTTCCGAGTCGGAATGCTAAAACATCAAATCATCCATGGCGGCGCTGCCTATATCACCGTGTCGATCCGCATGGCAAAATTAAATATTTCACCTGAAGCTATGCGTGCCTGGCAGGTCGAGCCAAACGAATACCTCATCATGATCATCAACTACCCGAGTGGATACAGAGATTCAGAGGAGCTTCAGAAAGTGCCCAAATCGGAACTCAAAAACTACCTTGGCTTTCGTGTTGTTGCTGGCCCGTCCTACAAACCGCCTCTCGAGGACGCCGTCAGAGCGTTTTCGAGTGATGACACAAGGGGCAAAGCCAAGAGTGAAAGAAATCAATCAAGCTCGGCGGTCCGCAATACCTTCATCTCTAAGCCGTTATCAAGACTTCTCGAGACGAGTTTGCTGCCGGTGCTCAACATACGTTCGCTCGCGCTACCGTGGCACGGAGCAGAAGCTTGGTACGCTGATCTAGTAACAGGGATGGCTGCATCAGAGCTAGGCCATATTCCTCCTCAATACTTTGAACCAGAAATCATACGAAGCGACATCCCCGCCGTTCTTAAAGCGGATCACTTTCCTGAATGTCCGAACAACCACTCACTACCGCTCCTAGCTATGCAATTCATGTTGCGGCACTTCGTTCGCTGTACGGAATTCTGCCTTGTGTGTCATCGCAAAATTGACAGCGACGTCGAAGCTATCAAGCCCTACGTCTGTGAGCGAAACCTTTGTCTGTACCAATACATGACGCTAGGTTTCGGTCCTAATCTAGAACATGAGATCGCAACACAGCCATATGTTGTTGATCTCCTTGTCTCGTTCTGTTATGCTTCCGCGCAGGCAGGGGTCCTTAAAGATCTGCCAGATGGGCTGGCTTTGCTCCTCCCGCCACTGACATCCCGAGGGAGACTCCCGATGACAAGTTCCGATATAAAATACCTTGGCTGGGACTCGCACGCAGATGCTTCAGAGTCTCCGACCGCCAAATCACTCGGCTGGAACTTGCCCGCAGAAGCAGTGTACACTTCCTCGAACAATTCATCGCACCAGACGTACCAAGTTCGGTACGACCCAGCCACTCATGACATTCTTTTCCTGGACAAATTGATCACATCGCCAATTTCTGCGGGCACTTGGATACTAATAGTCGTGTCGACAGAAATGAAAAAAGAATTCTACTGCAGAGTCCGAGATGCCAACTTTTTTCCGAAGGTCGAGCTCGATGAGCCTGTGGAAATGGCAGTGGCGCAGCGTCCTCATAGCGAAGTCAAGGTTGCAGTGGTCCCAAGTACAGCAAGTCCTGCGAAACCAATCATCGAAATCCCGGCAGTCTTTGCCATCTGCAACCAAGACATCGAACAGCTAGATATTATTTCAAAGCAGACAGCAATCTGTCGTGTGCTAGACACTTTGCCTTCTGTGAAAGAAATGCGAGAATATGTCAGCACAGGAAGGTCTCTCAAGCAATGGGTGGAGAGAATCATGCCATCGGCACTTTCTCTGCTCACATGGATCATTGCAAGCAACCGCGCGTGCCTCATCCAAGTTGATAGCGATTACGTACCCAGCGATCAGGGCGGTACCGTAAGCCCGGAGCGCGTCTACGGAATGTCCAAATTCCTGCAATTTCGCTTTGCCATGGGTGCGCCGGATAAGGAGCAACGATTTTTGGGCGAAGTCAAAAGTGTGCAAGAGCGCCTCAAGTTACAATATCCGACCCTTTTTGCGTGGCATGGATCCCCTCTTCACAACTGGCATATGATCATTCGAGAGGGCCTTCACTACAACAAGATAGTCAATGGCCGTGCATATGGTCATGGCGTATATCACGCTAAGGATGCCGGCACATCACTGGGATACACTCGAAATCAACAGGGCAACTGGCCAAACAGTGCTCTCGGTATGAGCGGAGCGCTGGCTTTGAGCGAGATCGTCAATGCTCCCCAGGAGTACGTTAACACCAATCCCTACTACGTAGTAAGTCAACTTGACTGGATCCAGACGCGCTACCTGTTTGTCAAGGCGTCGGAGTTCTCCGATACCACTGCCGACGTCAGACCTGCGGATCCGCATCTTCAGGATCCCGCATGTACCCCGCGAGGTGCTACAGGAGAGCCAATCGTGATTCCCGCTTTTGCCATCAAGTCTAGCAGATTAGGTCCTGCTAGTCCAACTTCAAACCGGATGCACAATCCATTCAAGAAACAAAAGTTCCACACATTGGATACAGGATCCGCTGAATGCTCTCCGACATCAGGTGAATTTGATGCTGCTTCCTGGGACGCGCAAAGCATCGCCACCGAAGACGAAGACCTCGAATTGCTCATCGAAGAAGAGAATTCAAATGAGGCAGAGTCTCAACGAATCACGGGGCCGTCCACCGACTTCGTTCCGGGAAGCCTAGATTTTGACCATCTGCCGCTTATGGCGGTTCCTGAGTATGCTAGCCCACAGACAACCCGTCAGCTCATGCAAGAGATAAAGGCCCTTAGTAAGGTTCAGAAGTCTACCAGCCTTGGCGAACTTGGTTGGTATATCGACTTCGACCGAATTGAGAACATCTACCAGTGGATTGTTGAGCTTCACTCATTTCATCTTCTCGAGTCCACTGATACAAAGCTGCCGCTCGTCGCAGATATGAAAAAGCAAAAGATCACTAGCATTGTGTTCGAGGTGCGCTTTAACGGCGACTTTCCGTTTTCGCCACCATACGTGCGCGTGATCCGTCCTCGCTTTCTCACTTTAGCTGAAGGAGGTGGCGGCCACATTGTACAAGGCGGCGCGATGTGCATGGAGCTTTTGACCAACACCGGCTGGAGCAGCGTCAGCTCACTAGAAAGCGTGCTGCTACAAGTTCGCATGGCCATGATAAGCCATCCTCCTGCAAGACTGGCTCCTGCTTCGCATTCCGATTACGGCGCTCGCGAGGGCGCGGATGGCTACCTACGGGCTTGTCGCGCGCACGGATGGGCTGTGCCACCAGGTTTCCACGAGATGAGTCACCAATCGACTATAGCGGTTAAGCAGAAGCCATGAGGTCAAAGATCTTGTCGTGTTTGACGGCGGTCTCTTCCAGTCCCGATTTCTTGACGTCAATCACATGATTTGAAATGTATGCTTACGAAGATTATGCTTGTCACGCCCACCAGAGAAGAGCGCGTCGTCTCCTACGCATTTCATGTATTAACAATCGATCACGTATTCAATGTTTCAGCCGTTCCGAAGGAATGGTCACTACCGGACGCTCCAAGATGTCCTCATCTTCATTAATTCGAATATTGCGTGAAATGTTCTGGAGCGAATTGGCTTCTCGGATGGCAGATTAAACCATCATAGTCGTTCATTCATCGCAGTGTAGTAGCCATTAAATCGTCAAAAAAGCTATGTCCCCTGTGCGCCGTCAGCACCGTCATATGCAGTCCGCAGACTGAGCAACCTCCAATTGACAATACTCTTAATTCCTTCGCCTTTTCCGCACTCTTTGTTCCTCTGCAACCACGTCTCCCAAAGCTCTGACCACAAATTGTACACCGATTTCGCCCTTGAGTCGATCGACCCATTCTCCGATGTCAGACGCCGTCCAAACAGAATCGTACATTCCATTTCTCCTCAAGGTGTCTCCTCTCGCCGCAACGCCCCGTAATTCGCCCGTAAGACGATCTCCCAGAGATTCCACCTCTCCACTCAGCATTCCTTCGACGACGTGCGCAGGGACGAATAAAGAGAGAAAAGCCTGGACCACATAGGCGTGCTGTTTTGTGAAGGCATATTCCACCTCCGTCACAGATAATTGTTGTGAGCCGACTAGATACGCCAGTGATCGTGGGAGCGGTCCAGAAGAAGGCACCAGCGTGTCTTTGCGGCCGGAGAAAAGCGAATTATGAAGGCGATGCAGTGTGCGCATGTGGTATAGTCGCCAGGGAAATGTGCTGCTGAGAACACCGTATCGGGTGCGGAGTGCGGTGCGTAGGTGTGGAGGAAATGAGCCTTCAAGAAGCGAAGTCTCTTCCAAGAGGCTCGTGACGGATCTCAGAGAGGCATCGACTGGCAGATCGCGGATTGACGACTCTGAGGCTTGACGCACATCTGATATTTTGTCTTCTGATGACCAGAAGTTCTTGGTGAATCGCGCCAATATGCCTGGCTTTGATCCTTGAGCAATACCGAGATTTGATTTCTCGACGAGAGAGCTAGACTTATCAGACTCTCCGGCGTGCCCTTGAAATAAAGGAGGGACAAGATGTCTGCTTGGGGAAGGCAGTCTGATGGTTGATGTGGAATCGTTGAAGTTAACTCTCATCTTAGCCGGGGACTCGAGATTCAGTCGTTCTTCATAGCTACGGAATGAAGCTGTGATCGCTGTGGCGTTGGACGCGCTGAGAAGCTGTGAATATGCATCGAAGTTCTGCTCAGCCGCTTGTGTGCTAGCAGAACGGGCAGTGGCTGGACGTCTTGATGGTCCGACGTTGTTCTCATTCGAAGCAGAATTCTCCTCACAAATGCTTCTCGCTTTATGCAGCAGGTCCCTGTTCTCGGCACTGTGACTTGTTTGTTGACGCACAGATACCCGTTGTGGTGCTTCAGTTGCTGACGCTTCGGGCATTTGGTTATTGCTACCGGGAGGACGTGTCTTCCGTCCGAATTTCTTTACTCTCTCTATCGCAACGTTGTGATCAGAAGTCTCGAGGCTGGTCTGACCCTCGACGTGCTGCACTTCGACAGGACGACCAAATCTCTTTCTCTGCGCCAATTTCTGTACCAACGAGAATTGCGTCTGAGCTTCAGCAATGGACTCGTCGCATTTAGGCGCAACCTCCGGCTTGCGAGGACTGGAAGCTATGTTGAGTAATCCCGTCAAGTCGATAGTTTCTCTCCGCGTTGGTCTTGGACGACGTCGTGGCGGCTCGTTTAAGAGAGGAGTTTGTGCCTGGATCGAAGCTCGCGGAACCTCGTTCTGAAAGAATAAACCAGTTTCATCGTTTTCATCGCGCGGAGTGGCAACCTCCTCCGGTTCCGCTTCGTCCTCGTCATGGGCAGACTCTTCGGATTCAGTGTCTCCGTCATCGCCGGCGATGACATCGCTCTGAAACCGCGTCGCTTCGGCATCCGGCTGAAAGATCTCGCTGCTCGGCTCGACCTCCAAATCAGGAGCAACCAGCTGCTCGTCGTCCGTCTGCGGCGGCGTCAATATACGGCTCCCATCGGCTGAATCTTTCCTTTCAATTTCTTCGTCCTCGCTCTCTTCTGCTTCATTGTCTACATTGGGCCGACTCAGCGCTTGTGCTGGTGAATCTGCATAGGATAAATTGATGCCAGAGGAGCGGCGCCAGGTACGCGGTATCTTGGAGCGTCGAGGCTTACTCGCCTGGTCACTGAACAGGTCGTTGATGAAGTCACCAGAGCGTGCTCGTTCTGGGTCTATCGGATCCGGTTCGACCTCATGGGCTGCGCTGAGCGGTGCAGATGTGTTCGGCAACGCGTTGGCAGAGCGCGAGGCTTCCTCTTGCCAGAGATCGAGTTCTACATTGTCTTCGCTGTTCACATGTTCCTGACCATCAATGTCCTCGCCTAGATCTTCGTCTTCGCTTTCGCCCGACGACACCTCTATCGCTGCCTCGCGCCTAGATGCCATCGAATTTTGACCGCTATCTCGTCTCGTCTGAGAATCTCGGGGTCTGTCAGCATCGCTTGGTCGCCAACCAACGTCGGCTGAAAGTGACGTTCCTTCTTTCGTTTCGATCACAGAGTGACTGTTGATCGGTCGTCGAAACCCGTTCAGAGCTCCGCTAGACGGCCTCCAACTCATCGCATCGACTTCCGCATCCTGGCGCGTAGTTGGCGGGGCGTCAAACTGCTCACTAGTTTCAACATGCAGGTCTGGATAAATCACAGGTTCGGTGTCTTGCCCCTTCGGGGGTGATGAGGGTAGGTAAGAGACTTCCTGGACTGATGCATTGAGAGACCCAGGCAGCTCTGAGATTGTCGCCAAACCGGCGGAGCGGGTATGTGATACGAAGCTGGAATCTTTCGCAGTCTTAAGCGACTCCATTGATATCATACTGAAATCTTCATTTTCGGTAACTGTATTGTCGCCTGGATCATGACTATATCTGGCTCGGGCGCGCTTGCGCGCGCTCTCATGGGGAACCTCGAGCGCATTGGCGACAGGAACGTGTGCTGTGCGGTTTATCTCCTCGCGGTTCGGCCTTCGTAACGATGTTGCCTCAGCGAGCTCATCAACTTCTGCAGTTGTATCTACATGCGCCAAAGCGCTCCCTTGTGTCCGTCGCTTGCGCCTGGGCTGCCTGAGCACAGGAGCTTTTTCCTCGCCAATCTCGCCATCATGAACAATTTTCAGAGGACTGCTCTTTCGCATTCTCTGCCTTGGTCCTGGTGACGCCTCCAAGGTGACCCTCACCCGCCAGGGGCTTTCGACATTTGATTGTTTTGATGCTGGCGCGAGAAAGAATGACTTGCTAGGAGTTGCGAGCGAATGTTGATCGCGCGACTTCAAAGGCGAATACTTCTTGGATCTATTGGAGTGTGGTACTATCGGCGACGACGGCAAAGTAATAGGATCTGGCGATTCGTCGCGGCTGCGCAAAGCGTACACCATGGTGTCAGTCCGACGTGAGAGCCTTAGAAATGATCACGTTCGAGCAGGCATTCCGCGCATGCGATTCGTTTGGTTGCAATCTTGCATCCGTCGTTGAACTTTTGTGTTTTTCGAAGAGTGCGCCTCGCAATCGCCTCGCGCTCCGCAGTGACGCCAGTAATGAAGTCGCGTCGCGCGTCCCGCCAATTTAGGGTTCAACCGAATCGAGAGCGCCGTGTGTGAGAGTGCTTTGGTCGTCATAGGCAACGCGGAGGCAGGCACCAGACATTTACCCAAACCCTAAGCATCGACATCACCTGCGCCTGCACATTGTGATGGGACAAGACGCCTATCTCATGTTCCTGGTATTGAATAGCATTACATCGAGTGTGTTCCAGACAGCACTGTTGTGCGGACTTGTTTGTGAGTTTGTCACTCAAAAGTATGGGCATACATGGCGTTTTCAAAGAGATAGCCTCGTCCAGCGAGAGAGTATCGTTGGCCAAATATTCTGCTGCTCACCTCGCCACTCACGGACGTCCTCTTGTCATCGCCATCGACATAGCGATATGGCTCTTTCAGATACAATGCGGCAAAGGCGGCTCGAATCCGGCCCTTCGAACGTTATATTACCGACTTCTCCGACTCCTCAGTCTGAACATCCAGCCTATCTTTGTGTTCGACGGCCCCAATAAACCGCAATGGAAGCGCAACAAAAAGGTCGGCGGACCAGGTGTTCGAGTAGTGAGCGTACCAGAATTTCTCGCAAAGCAATTGCTCAAGTTGTTCGGCTTCCCGATCCATATTGCCCCGGGTGAGGCCGAAGCAGAATGCGCAGTCTTACAAAAGGCGGGCATTGTCGATGCTGTCATGAGTGAGGATGTCGACACACTCATGTTCGGGAGTGCCGTTCTTCTCAGGAATTGGACACCCGAGGGAAGCTCGAAGACGCCGACTCATGTCACTGTCTATCGAGCACAAGATGCCAAGGCCCAGACTGGACTCGACCCTAATGGCATGATACTCGTGGCTCTCATGAGTGGAGGAGACTACGTTGTCGAGGGAATCCCTGGGTGTGGGATCAAGGTCGCTTGTGATGCCGCGCGCGCCGGATTTGCGCATGAAATGTGCAAGCTGGCAGCCAATAAGGACGTCGAAGGTCTGCAGGGGTGGCGAGAACGACTCCAGCATGAAATACGCACGAATGAGTCAAAATTCTTTAGTCGGAGCAATGGACGCTTAGTGATTCCGGACGACTTCCCCCGTATGGATGTTCTTGGCTATTACACGCATCCATGCGTTTCGTCGGCCACCAAGCTTACTAGGCTCAAAGAGAGCCTCGTCTGGGATCAAGATATTGATTTCCCAGCATTACGCCTCTTCGCTGGGGAGGCTTTCGACTGGCGGTGCGTGAGCGGTGCGAAAAAGTTCATCAAAAACCTCGCTCCGGCGATGTTGGTACGAGAACTTCGTCTCCGCGGTAATAAGGAGCTTCGGCTTGAGCCTGATGCCCAACAAGAATATGAAAGGGAGCTAATTTCAGCCATACACGGGGAGCGGAGGCATGTCACTACGGATGGAGAATTGGAGTATCGAGTGTCATTCACGCCTTCCTCTCTTGTGCCAATTGACCTGAGCATCGAAGAGGAGGACGATGCCATTGCAGGGAATTTAGAAAGCGATTCTGATATCGAATCTGGCTCGCATATTGCTACGTTGGGTAACAGTGAAGTCCCAGCTTCTCCCACAAAATCACGACAATTTCGACCATACTACCCCGATCAGCCGGAAAAGCTTTGGGTAGCAAAGACGTTTTTGCAAGTCGGCAGTCCGTTACTAATAGAGGATCATGAAGCAAAGTTGCTTTTGCCAAAATCCGCTCCGAGCTCAAAGCGTACAGCTCGTGGACTGGGAAGCCGACCGACAGCCAAGTCGTCAGGAAAGAAGACCAATCGTTCGCTCAACGATATACCGGTGAACACGATGAATGCCTATGCAAAGGTCACAAAGAACGTACGTCCCGTGACCGCCTGTCTGTCAGACGGTAGTCAACTCGAGCCGATAGATGGTCAACCGCAGAAGGTTCGAAATGCCTTGCCCGACAAGTCGCACGCGCTGGAGCGGGTCGCCGAACTTCCATCTTCGACCATCGATGGCAAGAAGCCCGTTTCATCTTTCAGACGGCCCAACATCCGTGCACGATCCCAAATGAACGCCATGGCCACGCCCACAGATGACTATGGGCATGCCCCAGCTGTGCCTCTCTCAAGAGATGATGAGTTAGAGAGCCACCGTATATCAACGGAGGGAGGCGGACGACCAGAACCTGAAGTGCAAGGTACACCAAGACGCCGTAAGAGGGTAATGATGGTATCACCTTCACCTAGACAGACCCAGAGAACGATCAGCTCATATTACTCACCATCCCCAAAGAAAGTCGCTTCAAAAGCATTTAGCACAGATGTGGTCGATTTGCTTTCATCATCGCCAGCTCGAGAACTACCCCCGGATAGATCTGGCTCCCCAAGTCCAATCATGCCTCGCACTGATGTATTCAGACACGAGCGTGGCGAACAAGCGGTCTCCCCGGTATTTGTGAATGCCATGAAAGAAAGTCGTGCCGACTGCGAAAAGAACACACGAGAAAGATTGTCACCATCTTTAATCCTACCTGCAGGTGTCACGCCGCGCAGCAAACGTCGCAAAAAGCTTGCATGTCGAGGGAAGCTCACACGAGCATCAACTGCTCCTGTACTTGGCTACGACGATGACTCCGATGGTGAGGATCCCGGTGTGGAGAACCATTCGCACGAGATCTCATATTCATCCCCCCATCAGTCAAGCGTGTTGCGAAGACGATCAGCAGAGCAGGTCCAGAATGAGCCGATTGATCTTACGAGCTCGCCCTTACCAGCAAATCCATTCTCCGCATCTCCACAGGAGCGACTAGCAAGTCCCTCCTCGTTTCTAAGAAGAGGAACCCCATTACGCCAGGAAGATATGCCAGCAACGGATTCAACGGTGACACAACCGAAGAAGAAATTAATCATCCTTCGTCAGAGCTTGGTTGGCACTTTCAAAGAAGTCGACGTCGATGCCGTGGATCTCTCTGGCGACGGAAGTGGTTGGAAAGCCAGTGGTGGTAAAGCATCTTTGCGAGCAGTCGAAGGCGTCAGCCGGGCCAGATGGAGGCAGAGTGCCGTCGAAATTTTAGATCTCACTGGAGCTTGATTGTGTAATGACATGGCCTAACGAACGTATTACTGTACATTTGAGCAGGTTACCGTTTCTCGTCGGACAAACCACGAATGATAAACAATAAACCTTTGGAAGCACTTGAAAAGAATATCACGATCCGCTATGGTATCTGTGACACTATGATGTTAAGCACCGTTGGCTTTGGAATTGTAATTCGGGCTGGAAAAGCTTCAGTGTGTCCAGCTTTTACAGTGAACCTTCCATCAATAATTACAACTTTTAGGTCGGTCAATTGTGAATTGATTGTAACGTACGGGCTTGTATAAATTTGTTTCTAGAGAGCAGAATAATCGTGGAGAGGAAAGCTGCACGACATAGACAAAGTAAAGCGAGCTGTATTATCGCTGCATCCGTGACCTGTTGTTCGGTCTCTCACGACCAAAATCACGGCAACAAATTTGTTGCCCAGATAACACCGACAAAGATCTAAGGCTGCGGCCCAGCCGATTTCGGTCCGGTCTGCCTGACATTCGCAATTGACATTGCCGTGGTCCTCTCACGAAGCGGGCATTTCATAGCGAACGTTCCTGTTGCATGGGATCTTCTACGCGGTATCTGAGCTTGCGAATTCGAAGCAGCCCTGCACGCCGACGCAAAAATGGACACGACTGGAGTCTTCAGAACACTTAGCAAATATGTCCATCTATTTGCGAATTATAGTCACAGCACGAATCAGCGGTTTCCCAAAGACTGGGCCGTCGCTGGCTCTTGCCATGGCGGAGCGCGTCGTAGCTTTCACCCATGACAAGTTGCTCCAGTCTCCGCTCTTGATCATGTTTGCGTAGCAGGACTTCATCCATTTGCCAGGTTTCGGTGTCTAATAGGCCGATCTTCACGAAAAACGACGTCAACCGCCGGAGCGGCTGTAGCAAGGTTACAAACCGTGATTGCGCGGCGAACTGGATTTCTTGAGATATCGAAAGGTCCCGCCCGTCGGAATCTGTGTAGGCACTCTCTTGATGTGGATCTAGGTAGATCGTGAGGGATAAGCGGCCCATATCTTGCGCCAATAGTCTAACGACCTGGTTCACGGCACGCTCGTTCGTGCTGTCCTCGGTAATGTTAGAATATGTGCGATAATGGAAGAAAATCTCGAGATCTCTTAAATGATGCAGAGAATGTAGTGAGAGTGCTCTTGACAAGAATAGTTTAGTGTCAGTAAGCAGGGTTATGTAGTCACCTGCGTTCGGAGCATCTTTAGGTGGCAGATCAGGTACTAGGACGAATCGATTCGAGCTGTAGAATACCTGCCGCGCATCTTCGCTCATTGTTCGACAGACGAGGAAGATGGAGATTGGGGAACGATAGCATGCGCATGGTGGATAGACGAGGCCTTCCCGACAGCACAGCTCCCGCTTCTGCTTCCGACAGCGACTCGAGGCTCGCGGATATAAAGCAAAACGATTCTGTTTCCGTATAACTTCCCGAAATGGTGCGAGAAGGTCAGTATATCGAAGCACCCGCTGTCGCAACTCCATTGGTAAATCTAGAAACCGAAAAGACCCGCCGCGAGCCAGGAGTTCTTTTTCGATCATGTGCATAAAAAAGGCTTTGATCACCTTTATTGTATTCAGATCAGATGAATTGTAATGCTGACTTATTCCAACCTGTGACAAAGACAGCTTCTTCAAAGGCTCTAAGGCCTTGGCCGCGGAGCCTTCGCTGTCAAAGCCTGCCAGGCCGAGAACCAACGAAGTGCTGGGTAATTGATGACAGACCTGCAGCCATTCGCTCGAAGAGAGCCTTGTCTCACGTCGAGCGGGTCGACAAGGCAGGACAGGACTTTCGTTTTCCTCCCGGAGCCAGACATGTAGGCGCCGACAATAAGGTAGGATCTTCTGCAGAGGGCTACGCTCGGCCGCCGCGAGGGATATGACACCTGTACGCTCTAATGTAATCGGATAGGTCATGCAAAGCCATGGCAAGGCGTCCGCGGCAATGTCGTAGCTGACGAAACGTAGGTCGCTCCAGAGGTCAAGAAAGAGGTCAAGAAAGGACGGATCAACAGTAAGTCGGCTAGCGACGGTACCAATTCTGATGTACGGAAACTCATTGTAGAGTGAGTTGGCGGAGAGTTTCGCGGCGAATGTGTAGTCGTAGATACGCATTCGGACTGCCTGGGGGAGATCGTTGAAGCCTGCAAGGCGAGTGGACGAATGCAGACAGGCCGTTGCTTGGAAATGCCGGCAGATTCGAGTTTGTATGACTGTTTTGCTTCGCAAAATCTTAGTAGTCCTATTGTGCTGTCGAGCTATCGAGTCGCCCGAAGTAAGTGAGTCTTTTGTAGATTCACCACTCTGGTCTCTAACAGAATGTCTGGCATGTAAAGGCGTCGCACGAACGTAAGATCGGATTGTATCTTGGAACATCGTTGCATAACGGAGCAAGTGTACGAAACGTCCGAACGGGAACGGACCTTCCCAAAGTGGTCAGGAAAGTGAAAAACTAAGAAAGTTGATTAAAGATATCTAAGAAGACTAGAGGAAGAAGGATACGGGGGCGTGGACAAGGTCAAGGCAGCAGGAAAGGTGATGATCAGCGCAGTAAAGAGTTTACCGAATTATTATAGGGCGTTGCTTGCGAACTTTGCCATTGTTTCACAAAACCCGCGGCGCGATTAATTCGATGATACGGCTGAGCGCGTCGGCCTGATCGCCAACCGGTCGGCTTTGGCTCAGCCGAAATGCGGCGTATTCTAAGTTTCATTATTAGCGGGACAGCTCGGACGACTTCACTAGCGTCGCGCACACCAACTTGTCTCGCGTATCCCGAACAACGCGCCTTCATAAACAACACTCTAACAACTACTCTTCGTCGTGTTCAGGTTGGTGACTATGGCCAATATCGTCACTTTGAAGGTGTTGCTGATTGCTCTGTCGCTGAATAGTCGCTACAGTCGTTGTTGAAGCAATTCTCACTGCCACGAGTTGTAATCAATGCAAGAACACCCTCTGAAGAACGCAGTCGCCCTGCCAGTCCGTAGCTCGTCATTAAGTGCTCCACCCTCGTCGCCACAGGTTCAGACGTCCTCACCGCTCTCAGCAGTGCCGCCGCCGTCGCCACCGTCGTCGGATCGACCTCTAGAAGCAGTTGTGACTGCCAAGACTCAAGAAATGGTCTCAATTCGCTCTCGTGCTCGAGTGGCGCGCTCGGAGCCCTTGGAGTAGCTTGAATCGGTGCTGGAGCACGCCATGTTGCAGCCGAAGCCGAAGCCACGCATTAAATGCTCTCTGTGACTCTTTATGCGTTTGCCGGAAGATGAACATAGATTACGTGAAAACAAGCGGGAATACGATGTGCTCCCGGATAAGCCTGAAAGTAGTATAGATGCTACTGAGTCGTCAAAAATGGCTACCAAACGGGCTACGTCGAAACGATATATACGGAGCTGTATCGCCTATAGAGCAGGCAACGTATTCTACGACGCGGCTCATATTTTTATGACACTACTGACCCCTCAAGCCGTAGTAAGGACTTAATTTAATACTAACTATATCAGAACCTCTCCAGTGCTACTATATTGTCTAGTTACTAAGGCCTATTAGACCTTAGCCTAAGGCTAGCTTAATTACTAGGGTGCCTTAGGTGATATCAACACAAGGACATCACAGGGTCCTCGGCACGCGCGAAACGCGTCTTTCCTGAAACAGAAGAATTCACCGGCATGATCAAATGATACCAATGTGTATTTCGTAATCTCGTCACAGTGTTCTTGCTTTATCGTTTCATACATCTCCTTCAAACGGAACACCGGCATTAATACTGTTTCCTTCATTAATCACTTACATTGGGAATCTTGCATTTGAAACGTTGTTTTCGCTGGTTGCTTCGAGTAGACCTCGAAAATTTGGAAGCTCGACCATCCTTTATCTTTCGCAATGCTAAATACACCATGGATATGCTCACGTTGTATACAAAGACTAGCTCAATCAGTACGAATACCAATTCGAGCGCAGAGTCGACATCAAAGTACTCACAGTGCTATCTCGCCTGCATTGCTCGCCCGTGCGAGGTCGGTCGCATCAGAACACGCCGCTCTCACGCAAAAGCTAGCCACCGATTTCGATGCCAAGTCGGCGAAAAGAGCGGGAGAGCTATCGCGTACAGCAAACGCCATTGATGAATACGACAAAGCTCAGTCAGCGTGGACCGAGTTGCAAACACTTCTCGAAAGTGGAGACAAAGAGTTGAAAGAGCTGGCCGAGGAAGATATCGGGCCTTCGCAGGAACGAATCGATCACGCATCCACTGCACTACAGACGAGTTTGTTACCCATACATCCTTTCGCCCACTTGCCATGCCTGATCGAGATCCGACCCGGTGCTGGTGGAGACGAAGCTGCGCTATTTGCAGGCGATTTGCTACGCATGTATGAAGCATTTTGCGTCAGGCATGGCTTACGGACTACTATTCTCAAGTATGATGCAGCCGACGCAGGCGTTGGGGCAAATAGCGGCTCGGCGGTGCACATTCAGGAGGTGGTACTGGAAGTCGAATCGGCAGACGCTTACGGCATACTGCGGTGCGAGGCAGGCGTTCACCGCGTCCAACGGGTCCCCGCAACGGAGAGCAAAGGCCGTACACACACATCAGCAGCCAGTGTCCTGGTACTGCCGTCCCTGACGGATGAAACAGGCGATCTGGGCGAAAATAGCTTCAACGATCCCAAGAGTGATTACTACGTCGATCCGAAGGAGGTCCGTGTGGACGTGATGCGCGCCAGTGGAGCGGGAGGACAGCATGTCAACAAGACTGAATCTGCTGTGCGCTTGACGCATGAGCCTAGCGGGATGGTGGTTATGATCCAGGAAACACGATCGCAGATCAAAAACCGCGAGAAGGCCTGGCGACTGTTGCGATCACGCATCGCGCAACAAAAGCGGGAAGAGCGTGAGGAGGAGCTGATGAAGCTGCGAAGAGGTGCAGGTGCTGGGCGAGCAGGACGAGAGAACAAAGTCCGGACGTACAATTGGGGTCAACAACGGGTGAGCGACCACCGAAGCGGAATGGATTCAAGGAATCTGGATGATGTCGTGCAGGGTGGAGAATCTCTGGACAAAATCATGGAAAGCGTACGATTGTGGATGGCCGAGCAAGAGGTACTTGGTCTCGTCGCTGAGGCGGAACACAAGCACAAGCTTACCGTATGACAAAGGTAAGGGTTCGCAATTTGATGCTGTTCTTATCAACCGCCCAGCTCGTTCCAAGATGGATGTCTCCGACATGGAAGGACCTTGCAAGTCGGCAGCGCCACAGGCTCTTAGCTCGTCGGCGTGGAGCATCATTGAATGAGTTTTCGCGTGAAGACCGTCGCAACTTCTTTGATCAGTTGGTGAGAAGATCTGTGATGTGGCGTCTCGATGAAGATCTGTAGTATGACACGGCGATCCTCGCGTGGACAGCAGCGCATCGTATATGAAAGTGGTTTCTGCCAGTCTTGGAACCGCCTAGCAGCGCGCAGACCTGAAATTGCGGTATGATAGCCGCACAAGACTTCACCACAATGACGCGCTGAAGGACAGCGGTCTAAAGTTAACATTCCAGGTCAAAGTCGATGGCTTCCCGAGTTTTCAATTCCGTGGGCTATGCAAGTTTTCGGACAGCGTACAGCATCGTTGTGACAATTGACAAGGGCCTGGTAAACGGCGAAGCGGCTATATACTGGACATGAGGAGCCCGAAGCGGAGTCGAAAAACCTCGTCTATAGAAGAACGAGTAATAACTGTATCCTCTCAACACGCGCACAAGTGACGCAATCCACTTCTGGTCCTTCACTCTCTTTCTTCGGCAATGCATCCTCTTCGGCACTAGTCTTGGCCATTGTATTGAAGTCGCGGAATTTTAATGGTCCCACGGGATGAAACTCCAGTTCCCTCGCGATCCTCCAGGGCAAGCCATCCGCGGAAAGCCTGCAATTATCCTGGTTCGAGTTTCTCGGCGTCTGTGCTTTCGGACTTCACTGCATCACAAGGCCACCCATCTTCGACATCTGCGATACTCGAGTTCCGCCTCAACTCCTGCTGTCGATCGCAAATAGATGCAGAAACTTGCACATGCTTACGCCGAGAAACGTGCTTACCTTGCACATGCGAGGAACAGCTGTGGTGTGTCTTGGTGACGGTGGGCCTCGACCTTTCCTGCAACTACCTCTTGTCGTTGGTGACAGGACGCCCCGACGTGCGAGTCGCTCATTGACATGGCGTATCTGTCATCAGGCGCACATCTACAAAAGAAAGCTTATTGCTTTAGATAGCGGCCAACAAGCAATGGTTCCACATGTTGAAACTGTAGCTTTACACGGGTCCCAAAATCTAACGCATGGTCTTGCATCTGACAGACCCGGTCACCGACATGATGATTCTCAAACGTCCGAAACGTAGTGCTTGCATCGACAGGTAGGACATCGTTCGACAGACATTACTTAGTGGTGCATGACGGCCACCACCACCATCGCATGTAGAACCACAAGCTTGGATGATACCGGAGAGCTCTCAAACCAGGTGGTATAAAATGACTGCAGATCCCCGTCTCTTCTCCTGCGATGCGTGAATATCAGACCCTTTCTTGAAGGTCAAACTGTGTCTTTTCAATCTGAAGTCATTTCACCTCCATCTTGCCGTTTCCACGATGGCCCCACACTTGGACTCTGAGACTACGTATTTGATCGAACTCTTCGCACAGTGGCAGATCAAAGACCAAAACACAGCTCTGTACTTTGGTGCTGCTGTCCTTGGGCTTATTGCAGTATTCACAACCATCCACTGGACCGAGGTCATATTCGACAAGCTATGCAGTCGTTCATCGTCCCTCAGACAAAATGTTAGGTCAATCACTCGAAGAGTTAGTCAGATATGCAGAGTACGACACATCGGAGGCCTTCAAGTCCGTCCAGGACGATACATGCTATCAACGTTATATTTTGCGATTAACATCATCCTGGCATTCCATGACAACCCACTAGGAGTGACCGCCCTCGGAATCTTTGCTAAGCGGCTTGGATGGTGAGTCTGTATTATTGACACGAAGACATCACAGTGTTGACAATCTCGCCAGGATGGCATTATGCAACATGTGCTTCGCCATATTTCTAGGACTCAAGAACACACCGCTATCGCCCTTGGCAGGAAAGACTTATCAAGATCTCAATGTCCTACATCGCTGCGTTGGATATACGACGATTCTGTTTGTTGTGCTCCATGGAAGGTAGGAGGGCGAGCTTTGATGATATGGCTTGTAACGGTTCGAAACTGACGGTCTACAGTATCTACCCTGCCGCACTTTTTGCATTCCATGTTGGATACGTTTTGCTTGAGAGCGTACAGTACGCGGGTTACGTTGCTGGTGTGGCGATGGTCCTCATCTTCTGCACCGCCAATGGCCAGGTCCGCAAGCGCCAGTACGAGTTCTTCTACATAGCGCATATCATCCTCGTCGCCATCATTCTCGTCACCGGTAAGTATGAAACGCAAACGAACGATGTCGGCAAGCGCTGATCAGATCCGCAGTTGGTCTGCATCGCCCTGAGATGAAACTCAACGCCCTCAAGATCACCATTTTGGCAGGGAGTTTGTGGGCCGCTGATCGCGTCTTCCGCCTGTCTCGCTGGGCATACTTTGCCTTGGGCAACTACTGTACACTTACGCCGCTGTCAACCAATACCACCAAAGTTACCTTGCACCGCTCCCTGTTGGCCGGCCGGCCAGGCTCTCATGCATTCGTCTGGATTCCCGGAGTTCGGGCCTTCGAGGCTCACCCATTCACCATGGTATCGAATGAACCCGTCGAGTTTCTGGTCAAGGCGCACGATGGCTTCACGAAGGCTCTATATCGAAAAGCTTGCGAAAAGCCGGGCAAGAAGTTCCGCGCAACAATCGACGGTCCTTACGGCAATGCTCCTGACCTCGACAAAAACTACGACAGACTCCTCCTGGTCGCTGGTGGCAGCGGTGTGACATTCACCATGGCACTAGCCTTGGCGTGGGCACGCAAGCAGCGAGATGCTTCCAAAAGCAGCTTTCTCGACTTTGTCTGGGTTGTCCGCGATCCTGGTGAGCATTCGATTCGATTCGTTCCGAACAAAGCATTTAAGTATACTAATCGCGCCCACACAATAGCCAACTTCGAATGGTTCAACGCTGAGCTCGGTGAGCTCCTGGCTCATCCTCGTGTCAACGTCCGCCTCTATGCGACGGGAAAAATTCCACAAGCGATCACCGAGAAGATCTCTGTAGATGTAGCGTCATCGATCGAAGAGCAGCCACAGGTCGAAAAGGTCGAGGCAGACACGAAGATCACAATGACGACGACCTCCCCTCGCTCGTCGAGCACGTCCCTATCCTCAGGCCAACCACTACGCTCGATGAACTCGGGACGACCGGACATGTCGAGTCTCCTTGGCATTGCCACCGCGGGCCTTGGACATCAATCGAAAGTACTTGTAGCTGGTGAGTCGATCCTGTCGGTCATCGTCCCACTCGATTTGCGCCCCTGCTGACAGATTCTCCTTTCAGGCTGCGGCCCGTCGAGTTTACTTTCCCAATTACGCTCGGCCGTCGGGGCACTGCCTGTCACCTCGACCGCACCAGGCATTTCGACCTTCCTGGAGGAGTTTTCTTACTAGAATTTCTTCCATCCATTGTTTTCACTTTGCACTCCGGCGTTGGTTGAGTCGTCGTTGCATCTTTATGCCTTTATGACTACCTAGGTAGATGAGCATACGCGGGATACCCGAGATATACACGGGCGCACGGGGGCGGTTCGGCAGGGGGGAATTTGGCATCGATGACAATGCCTCGCATATGTGTGAATCTGCAGTAGCATGCGGTGTATACTTCCGCATGCATGAATTATTCTTCTGAGGATAGCACCGAATTCCGGTGGGAGGTGCAAAGCAACGGAGACGCACACAAAAGGCAGGCAGTATGATAGAACAGCTGTAGGAAATGCACAACCTTCGGGTCCACGACAGACATCGCACGGTCTCATGTTTCCCCCTTTGCGGGTGCTTCGACGAAAGTCAGCCCCTCCCCCCGGACAAAGAAGCCCAGTGTGGTGTTCAAAGCCCGCATTTTCGCCGCCGTGCTCTCCTCGAGCCCATGTTCGTTCACGAAGCATTCGAAGCGGCCTTGTTCGACGACCGCTTGGCGGTTCTGTGCTTCGCGTTGCGCATCCGCGAGGGTTGCGAATGCTGCGACCTTGCGCACGGCGACGCGGTTCGTGACCAAGCGTAGCACGGGGAGCGTCCCCCAGGGCGGAGGGAGCGGTGATCGGAATGAGAAGGGCTCTGGTGCTTGCTCGCCGGGATTTCTGGGTTTCTTCGGCGGGCCCTGATGGCGCGTGGTGATCACGATGGGACATTGCAGCGCTTTCATCAGGGATTGCGTGGCACCTGCCAGTTGGGCGTAGTTGGCTGGATGTTGCTGGACGGGCCGCATGCCTGCGGTGGTAGAGGAGAGCAGGTCCGCATGCTCTGTTTCGGATCTGTTCTGCCAGTAGAAGGCGGAGAGGGAGTCGAGGGCGACGAATGCGAGCTCCCGGTCGAAGGAGCGATGTGCCCGGGCGTTGAAGAGGTATGATGGGATCGAACGGACGGTCGCGGTTGTGGAGGACAACGTCTCCGGGCGGAGGATATGTACATGGTCCAATGCGGCGAGGATGACTTGATCGATGTCGAGGTGTGAATTGGCGCTGCTACTGCTGCTGCTGGCCTGAGAAATCTCATGCCTGATTTGTGATGCCAGTCGTGATATTGAGAACTTCCCATCGAGGTCAACAATGACCACACAGGCATGCGCGCCGCCATGGTCTTTGCAGAGGACAGCTTTGGCAGTGAGATGATAGAGAATATGAGTCTTGCCGCCTCCGGGTGCAAGCGACATCAATTCCAGCACGAATGAAGTCGATGATCGTGAATTCGCCGGCGGGCGTCGACAGTCAAAGGCCGATCTGATGACATTGTTCAATGCAGGCCATCCGAACCATGAGGCGTCGTGTTGTAGAGCATTGATATCTCTGAGCAACTGACATCTCTGGTAAACATGTGCTCAAGACAAATGTTGCGGCGGTGCGAGGCTGACGCTGAAAACTCACCTCGTCCAGACCGACCTCTTCGATCTCATCCATCAACGTCTTCCCCAGATTCCGCGCATCCATGATTGGTATCGCTCATCACGGCACAGAAACATCCCATATCGGAAGCACAACCGAACGTAGACCGAACACCCATCAAGCCCTTGGAGCGCAGCAACGGAGTGAAAGATCGCGGGAACGCCGCTACGAAGCCAGCCTCCCGACCTCGAGAACCTCACCCAAGACATGGCGCCGATGATCGAAGCTTTCCACGCCACCGAGCTCGCCGAACGAGTCAAATACAAGCCCGACGGCCAATTCCACAAGCCGCGGGTCGACCTCAAAGACTGCGCATTGAAGGAGTTGATCCAGTACGATTGTCAATTACAGGGCCCGAAGAATAGTCCCTCGAGCAAGGTCGTTTGCGAGCCCGTTCTACGGCTTTTCAGGAAGTGAGTCCCTCTTTCCTTATCGCCTCTGGGCTCCCTAGTGATGCAGATTCGCTCGAAGCTTCATCGTGGGATAGAAAGGACCTGATATTGATCTGATGTTTTGTCACAGATGTGCGGGAGGATTGACCGTCGAGACGACGGCGTGGGAAGACCGATTCGATTGAGCTTTGGGATTTACGCGCACGAGTGGAGTAGACGTCATTCGCAAACACGTCGGTTGATCACTTTCACGGCAGCTTACGATCCTGTCAAGATATGCTCATGATGTTGGCGGTAGCAAATCCCATGTGGAAACGAGAATCAAATTGTACACCTCCAGCGCCTCGCTCGAAAGATGCCCCCCCGAAAACAAAAGATAATAGTACAGCGGCAATATTGCACGGAAATCAAACAAAGCCATGCAGACTCTGTCGATGCCCTCCCTTCCGCCAATGCGCCATGTTATGATTGACGATGACGCCCTCGGGCATACCTAAATCCATTCCTCCCTGAATTTGTTCGTCCGTGCCGTCCACGCCCAGCTCCACGGCTTCGTCGGTATCACCCAGGTCTTTGAGGACCTCTGCGAAGGTGTCCTCCTTCGCCCGCACCCGTCCCCTCCCACGCGCGGAGCCACGCAACGACGATCCCTGCGCCGCGAGTTTTTCGCTTCGTTTCCGCTCCGCCTTCATGGCTCCCGCCTTGGCGGCTGCTGCGAGTTTCCTCAACGCCTGTTCCGCCATCATGCCTTCCTCGGTAGCCTTCTCGCGCATCTTACGCGCGTCCTTCTCCCTCTCGGAGAAGACGTCGGTGCTCTCCCAGGCGTGTCGAGGTGGTAACGCGGGGAAATGTTTGGGAATGTAGGAGGGCGGTTGTCGCGTCATGAGAGGTTCCAGGAGTTTTGAGAGATCGGGAGGTGCGGGCACGGGCGGCGGAGGATCTGATGTCGTAGGAAACGCGAGCGCGGGTGGGACTTGCAGTCCGAGTTGTGGAAGTAGTTGTGACGCAGCAGCCGCGTTGGGCATCTTTGCAAGCGAGATGGCGTAGTCGTAGGCGGTAGGCTTTGTTCGGCGCTGGTCATGCATTGAATGGCGGATGTGTGACAAGATGTCGAGCATATCTGTGGTTGCTGTCAGAGATTGCGAAGTATACGAGGCTGACATTCGAGCAGTCACTGACACTCCTCCACATGTGATCGAAACATCTCCATGGCCGATGGCTTGACACTGTCAAAGCCGACCATGACGAGGGCGGCACCTATACTCCGCAGCAGCTGTCCTTGCGCGAACACCGGATCTTGCATCGCCGGCTCGACATGTGGTGGGCGCTGATAGGGATCGCGCAGCGCATGGTGAACTCTCCTTCGCTTCTTCGTGTTGTGATGGTCGGGCTCGGGGCCATCGTGAGATCGTTTCGCGCCAGTATCTTTATCGCCGGCCAGAGATGCCATATCTGCGCGCGCGCAATTCCGTTATCGAGATGATGGTGACGGATTCTGCATCGCCGAGCGATGACACCACACTGATGTGAGTGTTGTCGCCGCCTGAATAGAAATACTCCAAGATGATGCAGTTTCGGGCTGGCTGTGAAATTCATCCAGCATGGTACAACATGACCTTTGGAAGCTTGAGTCGCGAACGAGAACTTTGCAAGCCTGAGGCAAGATATGGTGTCCAAACCAGCCAGGGAGGATCCAGCTCTCCCCCAAACCGTGAATTTTCACATTGATTCATGTATCTCAAGGTTTAATTATGATTAGGTCAAGGCCGACGCTACAATATACTGTCCTCAGCAAACACAAGTGCAGGTAATACCTCGGATACTACAGTACGATATACTTAGGTGGTAGTTGATGTCGTGGAGATGACGGGTGGACGCGCCTGAAGCAGGAGGAAGTCGCGACTGAAGTTTAGCCCATTCCTTCTCTGGTCCGACCGCGAGATCATAAGGCTGCGACGGGAATGGACGGCATGAACATACATAAAGCAGAGTCGCTGTAACCCATGCACCGGCTGGAACGTGCCCAGGCGTGCCATGCGCGACAGGATAGCAAGAACCAGCATGATTAGCGTCAGGAGGAGCAGATCTTTCGGAGCGAAGCCTCAACGCCTCTTCCGCTATTCCGGTTCGTGTTTAAAGCACTGCCCGCCCGTGCCATCACTGATCAATGCTTTCGCCGCCACGAGTGTTGGCAAACGTATATAAACCCTGCTTGTCCATCCGCCTCCAGGACAAGGAATTGAGCTGGATACGGTCCGAGAATGCGTTGGAGAGGGAGGAACGCGCTCCATGATACAGTATATCAATGGATTGTACATTAATTCCGCATCTACACATAGAGGGGCCAAGGCGTGAATAGATCCACCTGGGAGTAATAAACACACCAAAGGGGGCATGACGGCCAACACGTACGGGGGAGGAAACCCTTGCAGACGGGCGACGCGGCCTGTGATCTGCAAAGGTCCTTACAAGTCACGACCCGATAACTCTCGTCACTCACTCACTCACTCATTCTCACTCACTCATTCCCACTCACTCGCTCACTCGCGGCACTTCCTCCGCCTGTGCATGTGCGTGTTTGGCTCTCTCCGTCCCTCTCTCTCTCTTTCTTGCTGTTCTGATCGCACACGCTTGCTACGTGCTACCATACACTCCGCGCCGTCATTCTCACCCTCTCACCACTCTCACCACTCTCACCACTCTCTACCACGCGAGGCTCTCTCACCAAGGCAATGCTCACACCCGACTCTCCGTAGAGCAATTGCGTTCATCAGTCACTCTTTTATCCTCGCGACCCACTGCGCGCTGCACGCTCTTCTGCAGCCTTCGCTCGTTATGAACCGATGTCTTCCTCCAGTCCTTTAAGATCATTCCTTCTCTTCGTCTCCGTTCTCGCGACCCAACTACGCCCTACACATGCGATTGGAGTGAGGTTCACAACTCCGGCACCAGGCGCGGCATACCCTTCAGGACAGTTCGCTATCAACTGGGAGGATGCAGGTGAGGCGGACAGCGAAATTCAGGTTCTTCCACCGTGATTGACCTCCGTTACAGGTGGGAATATCGGCATCAACAGCCTCACAACCTACAGCCTCGCCCTCATAGTCGGCGGCAACCTCGACGATGACTCCCGATCACTCATAACGCTAAGTCCGGCCAATGCGAAGGTCAGCGATCTCGGCCTGGTCGCTCAAATACCCATCGACGTGGGCCAAAGCATTCAGAATGGATATTACCTCTCCATGGTGAGCGAGATTCCTCGGCGACAGTGTTTCCGCCGAACAAGCCCAACTGACCCAATGTTCAGCAATCAAACGTGTCAACCGGAGGTTCGGTGATCAACTACTCAAATCGGTTCACATTAATCGGACTGAACGGCACCACCGACCAGAAATACGTCGCCGCCGCCGCCTCCACCGTCGGCGACACGAACGTCCCCGGCGCGCAACTCAACACCATCATAAACGCCCCCTCGCCATCCAACCCTCCCACCTCCCCCAACTCCACCACCCCCGACAACGGCCCGCCCGCCAACAACGGCACCGCCCCCAGCACCAACGAAGACAACACCTACGCCATCGCCGGCGGCGCCCTGGCCGCCCTGCTCGCCGGCACCCTGACCTCAATAATCCTGCTCATCGTCCTGACCGTCCTCGGGGTATTCTGGTGGCGGCGGCGGCGGCGACAACAGCGAGCGCGCGACGCCGGCTCGGACGAGAACGCCGCGACCTCGATGTCCGCGCGGGAGCTCACGCCGGGCGGGCTCATGGACAAAGTCGAGCTGGCGGACCGCACCTCACGGGTCCCTACGGCGGCGGCGGCGATCAGACCGCTCGCGGAGCTGGACAGCCACGGTTCGGAGCGCTTCGAGGCCATGACGCCCGTGGCGGCGGTCGAGGCCGATTCGGCGGAGATCCGGTACGAGCTCGAAGGGGACTGGAGCGGGTGGGAGGCGGCGGCGCGGAGGAGCCACGTGCAGGGCTATGATCCGACGCGATGAGTTTCTTTCTTCTCGGAGGGACATTCTCACGTTTGGTTGGGGTTTGGGGTTTTACCACTGCATAGCGACTTGTTTTTGTTTTTTCTTTTGGAACAAAATTCGGGAGAGAGGGGGTTGGCCTCGCGGATGAATTTTATGACGACCGACCGGGGGCCCCTTTTTTATATTTATTGTTATTTTTTCCATTTGGGATGGACGAAATTCAAGAGGAGAAATCCACTTTCGAAACTTACAGGGTTTGGGCTTTCGGGTGATCCAGCTACGCAAGAGATATCCCCCTCAGTCGTGGGCACATCAGGCTACAGATCGGCGGCTGGACCGGAGCAGAATTTCTAACGACGGGGAGGGGGGGGGGGACTACTACGGGAGAGCATTTTGGAAACTCGAATTCAGACCGGAGATTCGATCTCTCTTTCGCCGGGAGATTTACAGAAGGTTTGTTGTCTAGCGATTCGCACGGGGTCGACCATTCGACCTCGGTGCGAGCGGAGACAAATTCGACCGGGCACGGGTGGTGCTCAATACTCGTTCTCACGTCGACCGTACGAGTCCCCCTCCTCGCGGCGTCCGTAGGAGGAGCCCTCGTTGCGTCGACCGTAAGACCCTTCATCCCGATCGTTCCGCGAAGAGGGCTCATACTCGCTGCGACCGTACGCCGGCTGCTCATCGCGGCCGTACGAGTTTCCGCTCTGGCCGTAGGAGGATCCCTGGTCGCGGCCATAGGACGAGCCTTCGTTCCGACCACCGCCGGACTCGGAGCGTCCGTAGGAGCTGTTCCCGCTCTGGCCGTAGGAAGATTGCTCGTTGCGACCGTAGCCGGATTGTCGGCCTTCGCTGCCGTATTGATTCCCGCTGGAGCCGTATCCGCTGCTCTCTTGTCTTCGACCGTAGGAGTTGTCATTGTCATCGTTGCGGTTGTTCCGGCCGCCGCCCGAGTTGCGAGATTCTTCTTCTTCTTCCTGTTGCTTGCGCCGACGCTTTTCTTCCTTCTTCTTGCGCTTGCGCTCCTTCTTCTCCCAATCATCATCGTCGTTGTCGTCGTCATCATCATCGTCGTCGCTGTCCTGCTTCTTGTGACCCTGGCGGCTCTCCTCGTAGCCATACTGTCTTCCGGAGCCAGTGACGCCTTGGACTTGGACTTCGCTCTCATATCTGCCACCGGGGTGCTCGTAGCGTTGTTCCGTGCGTTGCTCGTATCCACCTCCTTGGTGTGGGCGCACTTCACTTGACTCCTCGTAGCCGTAACCAGTCTTGCCAGTACGGCCATCCTGCTCGTACCGCTTGTAGTCCTCGCGGTATCCACCCGATGGGTATTGGGTCTGGGACATCTGAGCCTGACCATATCGCTCGGGTTGGCCCTGTTGACCAGGTCTGTGACCAGCCTGGGTGACACTTGAAGTGTAAGAGCCGTCCTGCTGATACCCGCCGCTCTGGTAAGAGGTCGTTTCAGCTTTGGATTCTTGACCGAAGGCACCTCCCAGCAGACCACCGGCAATGCCTCCCACAATCGAGCCCAGGGCACCGCCTCCGAGTGCCTCACCAACATGGCTGGAAATGGCATTGGAGGTCGCACTGGGAGGACCAGCTGGATTGACACCTGTAAGTCCTTCGTTCAAACGTCCCAGAAGATCAGACGCCGGACCACCGATGGCACCAGAGCTGGACGTGGTCTTGCCGTTCGGAATACCAAGAGGCTTGCCACAGCCATGACCGGTGTCGTGGACGCCCTCCTTGTGATTCCGGCCTTGTTGCACGCCGTCGCGGCTCAGACGGTCGCGCATATCCGCTTGTTCGCGTTCGCTCATCTCGCGCCACCAGCGCTCGACAACTCCAAACATGGTCGATCGTCCATCACGCGCGCCATCGAGACCACCATCACGCAGCGCAGGGTGGTGGAACACTCCATTGACAATTCGATCGAGTGTGCGAGGAATTTCGATTTGATCATCATCCCAACAAGCCACAATCTGTGGCACGACCCATGTGAGCACAGCAGTAGCGACCTTACCAGCAGGATCATTCAAAACTGAGCTGAAGTGATCCTTGGACAACATCGAATGCGTAGGATCGGTAGAGTTGTCGTCGTTGAACACGACGTGTTGCTTCTCCCTCGATGAATTGATGATTTCCTCGGAGCCAGTGTTGAGCTCGTTCTTGACCTGCTGGATGATGGGTGTGACGATTGGGGAGAGAAGTCCGAAGACGAACAGCGAGACTTGAGATTGAATCTGCTCGACCAGCTCTGGAAGCACGGGAATCTCGTCGATCGTCTTGGAGATGTTTTGCACGATGTTGTCGTGGAATTCGATGATGGGGTAAATCTGTCGGACAAGCTCATCCAGCTGTTGGGTGAATGCTTCGGGTTCCTTGGGCGAGATGTGCATGCTTTGCAGTCCTGCGGCAGCAGCGTTGGCTTGGAGCTGGTCGGCTTTGTTCGGCTGGTCGCTGTCGCCCAGGAGACCCGGAGGCAGCTTATTGAGCAACTCCTTCAAAACACTCGTGTCCGACTTTTGTGATGTCTTCAGCGCGCCCTCGAGCTGCTCAAGCTCCGATTGCGTTGCCTTGTCGCTCAATTCACCGCACACACTGTGAAGGAAATCAACGCCACCGAAAGTCCCAGTGACGATAGGGTAAACATTGTTGCGAAGGCCTTCGATCTGAATCTGGGTTCGCCGTCCCACGTGAGGGAATACATCGCGTTCTCCGAGCTCGATGAGAGCAAGCTCGACATAGTTGGAGTGCGCCGAGTAATCCTAGAGGAAGTAGTCAGAAATTAGACATCCAGAGTATCAAGATAACACCAGAGATTTCAAGGCGATTCCGACTCACTTCGAGACAGTGGGTAGCAGTGCCCAACAACCTTAGAGCTTCGAAATAGTCCTTGTCGTCTTTCGTCTGCTTGTAGCGACGCCCGAGGTCGATGCAGCGCCCAAGGAGCTTCCGTACGTGACCGGCCGAAGTGGTGATGCCCTTGTCTTCACTCGCAATGTATGTCTTCAATCCGTTCCGGTTATCCTGGACAGTGCTATCGTCAACATCCTATTCCCAACAATTCGGTAGCATCGGACTCAACATACGACAGCCAATTCTCTTCTCTCATCGACAGGCCCGCGTAGTCGCTGGTCGTATTGTGTGGCGTCCAAGTTGTCGGCATAGTCCTTCGGGTTATCTATGAAAGGAGTGAGAACCATGTCCTATACAAAGCTTCACGCGAGCTGCGCATGTCATACCAATGTGCTCCTCAGGTCGGTAGCAACCCAAACGCTCCTTGGTGACCTCAAACTCGCCAGTGCCATAGCCGAAGCTCATGAATCCCAAGACCCAGAGAAGAATCCGGATGGCCTCGGCGGATACGTATTTGACAGTGCCGACATCGATGGCCTGGGAGTAATCACGCAGCCAGTTGCCGAAGTAGACTCGCTTTACGTCAAGTTTGGAGAACTTCTTCCCTCCCATGGCACGGGCAGTCAGGAGGGTGAGGAGAGTGTCTTCGATGTCGCCATGGCGAAAGTTGGTGCCCTCGACCTTCGCATTGGACGCGATGTTGCCTGCACCGAAGGCGTGCACACGGGTAGCAAAGAGGACGAGAAGCAGGACGACTGGCAGCGTGTCGCTGTAGCTGATTCGGAACGTCATCGTCACCATACGCGGATGCAAGATGAACCAGCGTGAAGCGTTTTAGGTAGGTCGTCAAGGTTTGTCAGGAGTACGAATGACTTCCCAAAGAGTGGTGGGAATGATGTGATGTGCAGTGCTAGAGGGGAAGAAGGAGGAAAGCTGAAACACGCCCGCAATCGTGTGTGTGGAAGCTGTCACTGTGACATGCCTTGTTCAGACGGCTCAACCTTGCCCAGGTGGAATACAGCTCGAGCACCTTCCATCTGTGGGCATATGGACAGGCACCTGTCTGTTTTGCTATCGGTGTCGTGTGCCAAGGCATTTGGCGGGTCTCGACGAGCTCCCCATTGTTCTGTACCCACCTGGGCACCTAGGTACTGTAGGTTGGGTAAGTAGATAGGTAGCGATGATCGGCATGTTTCCTTAGGTACAGCAGTACGTAGGCTGACCCATTGCTGATGGGTAGAGATCAATTCGAAGGGCTGGGAAAATACTTCCCAGGCGGAGAGAAGAAGGTTCACGACCCTGTGATGACGATGAGGCAAGAGACTATTTACGACACGCGACGTCCTCGAGAGAGAGAAAGAGGAGACGTGAATTGATGCGCTCCAGGACCGTGATGTCCTCCTCCATACCTGCCCGCATGTCCAGTAACAGAAACCCCGATGCTTTGTTACTGTCCACGGGAACATGTCACTACAGCAGCCGTCATCGCCGTGGTGCATAATAATAATTAACAATACCTACAATCCAGGAGGAGGGCTGGACCCCTCTCTGGTTCATCATTTACAGCATTATCATTCCTGGAGGGAGAGACTTACCCCGCAGCGGACGGATCACGAAAACATTCCAGCAGCAGGCGGGAGTCCCGTGAATTGATGAATGGAATGGAATGGAATTTGCAGTAACAACGCCCGCCCGACGGATGAAAAGGTTAGGGTATAGTACCTAGGTATCAGTGCCGCATCCAGTAAATGCATCTTGCGAATCTGCCGGGGCTTTCGTCCACCACCGGGCGTCCTGGGAACTGCAAACATACAGTAGCTGTAGCCCAGATTCTGTGAATGCAGAGCAGAATACACTGTTGATGGCATGTCGCTCTCTTCCGATGCGTGCGTTCCAGGTTATTCGACATGATCATGATATCAATGATAACAACAATAATAGTAATAACAACAACAACAACAACAATCACAATGATTCACAATGATTCACAAAACGGCATGGCCAAATGAAAATGTGCAGGTGGCGTTCCTCATCATGCTATTGTCACACACCTGGGCAGGGTGGAAACGATCACATACAGCCTGGGCATTTCAATAAACATGACTCGTGCGGGCATGTCGTGACATTTCCCTCGATGACGAAGATTCCAAATAACGAACATAACCCTCGTCACCGCCGAGTCGTTCGCGTGTGAAACCCATCGGATGACATTCCACGCTTCTTTTGGAAAAAAAGAGAGACAACCACCTTGGGATCCTCAATAGTGCCGGCTCGCCTTCAAAACGCGGCTCACGCGCCGACCGTGGGATGTGCCCAGGCGCGCCCAGAGATCATCGGGCCCGATTTAAGCCCAAACGGGCCCTAAAGTGCGAGACCTCGAGCGAATTCCTCCCGGGGAATGACATGTCAACCGCTGCTCATTGGCCCGTCGATATTACCCATGAGCCGCGTCGGACACGATGAGCGTCTCTTTCGGAGCCGATCCTCCAGAAGGTCACTGGCACTTGTATAAACGAGCATTATTCATCAAGGTGGATCTCGAATCATGCATGCAGTATAATGTCTAGGCATGGAGAGATATATAATGTAGATCGCGGACGCTCGCTGCGGAAAGTGATCGTCCGAACAAACGAGTCGCCACCCGCATAGCCGTGACGCCCGACAAAATGGCCAACTCCGATGAGAAACACCATGTCCTCGACAGCGAAGTCAACACCGACGAGAGCAGTCGGCCCAACAGCCACGTCGAGGAATCCTTCACAATGCCCGACAAGGCCATCGATCTCGAGAAGGGATCTCACACGCAAGGTCCGTCCCTTTCGGAAATAAAACATCCTCCCAGTCTCTACGATCGAAACTCAAACTAATCGGATATCAAACAGACAGCGAAACTCTCCAGAGCAGCGGGATCCAACATGACAACAACAACACCGTCGCTCCCCTCAAGGGCCTCTCCTTCCTCGACCGCTTCCTCGTCCTATGGATCCTCCTCGCCATGGGCCTCGGCATCGTCCTGGGCAACACCGTGCCCAGCGCCGGGCCCGCCCTCCACCAAGGCACCTTCGTCGGCGTATCCATCCCGATCGCCGTGGGGCTCCTGGTGATGATGTACCCGATCCTCTGCAAGGTGCGCTTCGAGACCCTCCACCTGCTCATGCGGTCGCGGGAGCTGTGGAAGCAGATCGCGATCTCCTTCGGGCTCAACTGGATCGTCGCGCCGCTGCTCATGACCGGCCTGGCCTGGGCCTTCCTCCCCGACCGGCAGGGTCTGCGGGACGGGCTGATCTTCGTGGGCGTGGCGCGCTGCATCGCGATGGTGCTGATCTGGACCGACCTCGCGGGCGGCGACGGCGACTACTGCGCCGTGCTGGTCGCATTCAACAGCATCCTGCAGATCGTCCTGTTCGCCCCGCTGGCCACCTTCTACGTCCAGGTGGTGTCGCGCGACCCCGGGCCGGACGGGGCCAACCTGTACCGGGAGTGCGCCGCCTCGGTGGCGGTGTTCCTGGGGATCCCGCTGGCGGCCGCGGTCATCACGAGGTTGTCGCTCCGCTGGCTGATCGGGGAGCACAAGTACCAGCACTACTTCATCCGGTACACGGCGCCATGGTCACTGATAGGACTGCTATACACGATTATCGTCCTATTCGCCTCGCAGGGCATACATGTGGTGGAGCAGATCACCTCCGTGCTCCGCGTCTGCGCGCCCCTGGTGGTATACTTCCTGACCATCTTCCCCTTCACCGCCTGGATGATGTGGCGGGCCGGGTTCGGGTACCGGACGAGCTGCACGCAGAGCTTCACCGCCGCGAGCAACAACTTCGAGCTCGCCATCGCCGTGGTCGTCGCGGTCTACGGCGCCGGCAGCCAGGAGGCCCTGGCGGCGACGGTGGGGCCGTTGATCGAGGTCCCCGTGCTGGTCGCGCTGGTGTATGTCATCCAATGGTGCAGGAAACGCTGGAACTGGAAGGATTAAATAATGCAATCGAACCACAATAAAAACAGCAAAAACCAAAAGATAACGCCTTCGCTCAAAAGTATCCTCAGAACAAAACAGAATCCGCTTCAGATGTGTAGCTCGTTCGCTCGGGACCACATGTTCCACAACTTGATCGGGCTCACAGGGGAGAGCTCGGCGTTCTTGGATGGCCCCCGTGGCATGCCGGTGTCCAGAGGCCGCATGCTACCGTAATTGGCCCCGGAGCGCTTCTCACTCGATCTCCGCGGTATCAGCAACGTATCCGAATGCCCGATGATCAGGCCCGAGGCCCGGTATGTCGCCTTCAGCATCGAGACCAGCGATTCCAACGCGGCAGTCGTCAGGGCGGCCACCGGCGACTCCGAGGTCGTGGTCGTCACGATGAAGAACGACCGCCGCAGGTCGTGCAAGGACGTGTTGGTCATGTCCTTCCGAGGGGACTCTTGTCTGGAGGTCAGATGCGACGTACAGGCTTTGGCGACGGCGTGTACGAATCCCGTGCTCTGCCGCATGGCGTGCTCCAGCTCGATCGTGCCGAGCCCGAGGATGCTCTTCTCCGGCACACTCGCGTCCTCGTACTCCGGACAGCACAGCACGCCTCTTATGATCGCCCGAGTCTTGGTGGCCGCCTTCACGATCGCATCCAGTTTGGCTTCGTCCCATGTCTCCGGCGTGTGGACTTGCAAGCCGGCTTGCACCTGCATCCGACCCAAGATGTGATAGGCGTCGATTTTCAATTGCTTGATCGCGGGTTCGTGAGCGGCGGTGCCAATGATGATGATGTCGGTGATTGACACTCGGCTCATGATCGTCTCGATGTGTTTCGCTAGTGACGCATGGGGCTGACCCGCAATCATTATCAGCAGCAATCGGGGCGTGGCATCACACAGGGTCCATGCTGGCGAGAAAGGCCGGTCATCGGTAGTACTTGACTGTGACGGCGCTGGACTGAGGGCGGCTTTGGGCAGCGAGGATGATCGCGCGTGTACATTGATCATGTAGGACGGCGTATAGATAAGTCGAGGACTTGGCTTTTCACTCGTGTTCTCGGTGTCGTTGCTCGTCTTTGTCATCGATTCCGCCACGATGATTTCTGCCATATTCATGATGAGGATGTGTTTTGGAGTTGCTCAGCAGGAATCGACAACCAGGTCTGCTAATAGAAGAAACGATCTCGACAATCATGTTGAGGTGTGCATCTGCGCCGACGCGTTGATTAATATCCATGGAGATTGACCGATCGATCGACCCTTGGTACCCAACACGACAGTCACAACGCGACGGCCATGAATTGATGAGTTGCGTCGCGTACCGCGCACTCACCTCGCCAAAACTCGCTGCCCTGGCAGATGTTGGCATGTTTCGTGGTTGTTTCCAACGCCCAACGCTGACCGTTGTACCGTATGGTTGCTGAAGAGCACCTCCCCATCTCGGGTCAATTTGACCGGCCGTTTCGAATATGATGTTTTGAAACCAGATTTGCGAGCGCGTAATCGTCCTGGAGACAACCTCAAATCAAAGATTGAGATGCTTCGAGAGGCGTGGGTCATCAAACCATGCTCGTGTGGTGGCTGACCGCGTTGATGCCGCAGTCCATCTACTGTACCTAATCTTATCGCGTCTCCTTCCATATCGAAAGTGCAAGCTGGAGTGTCGCGTCGAGTGACGGTGACGTCAGAGCACGACCACTGTACACATCTCTCACAGCCCTAAGTTCTCGAAATGCTCACTCCAGCAGGGAATCGATGGTGGTTGATATGCAGGTATGATAGAGCAGGGCAGGGCAGCTAGTTACCAACATGTCCAGACAAGTAATATCACAGGAGTGGATAAGCATGCATGCAGGTGTCCTTCGGAGCCCGCTGAAGGATTAATGGATCGCCAGCCTAGACTAGCGACGACATCCCTCCTTGATGAACTACTACGGAGACAACACTGGCTTGACTCGGCGTTTCGGACGGGAACTACTTATCTCCACGAGAGCTTCGCATATGCCCGGACGACTACGTAACCCCGTGTTGAATCGCAAGCCGATTTCAGCCGCAGTCTCGTTGTGGTGTTCAGTTATATAGGTCCTCGAATACCTCACGGGAAGATGATGGAGCTCCGACAAACCTCTAGCCCAAGGCTTGTATAGCGAGCGGACAGCCATATTCTACCACTTGCTTAATTTCAAGCCCAGCAAAGCCGAGACGAGACGAACAACTGCTTTCGACAACTCAACACCATGGTCCCACCCCTCCTGACGCTCGAAGAGCACTTCGTAAGCGTTGTCGGCCTCGGAGAGCATCCCGCGGCGAAGATGTTCCCAGAAGCGACCGTGGCCCGCATGCAAGACCTGGGAGAGAATCGGATTCGAGAGATGGATGCCGGGAAAGTCACACTACAAGTCATCTCCCACGCGCCTCTCGATGCGTCATTGGCAGATTGTCGTCGAGCCAACGATCAACTCGCCCAAGCCTGCGCAGCACATCCTGCGAGATTCGCTGGCTTCGCAACGCTGCCGATGGGAGACCCAGAGGCGGCGGCCGAGGAACTCAAGCGCATGGTACAAGACCATGGGTTCTTGGGTGCGCTCGTCGACAACCAATTAGAAGACGGCCAGATGTACGATGCCGAGAAGTTCTGGCCGGTATTCGAGCAGGCCGAAGCCCTCGACGTTCCTATCTACATCCATCCCACCTACCCTGGCACCGACCTCGAAGACCACTACAAGGGCAATTTCCCTGACAGCACGGCCTTCATGCTGGGCACTTTCAGCTGGGGCTGGCATGCAGAAACCGGCCTTCACATCCTGCGCCTCTTCGCCGCTGGTCTCTTCGACAAGTATCCCAAGCTCAAGATCGTCATCGGTCACATGGGCGAGTTCATGCCGTACATGTTCGAGAGATTCGAACGCTCTGCACGCCTTTGGGGCAAGAGAGAGCGTGATCTTCGAACAGTTTGGAATGAAAATATCTGGATCACGACGAGTGGTCACTTTGCGTTGCCTCCTTTTGAGTGCTTGGTGAAGACCATCCCGAGAGACAGGGTCCTGTACAGTGTCGACTATCCTTTCTCAACCACGGAGCGAGGGCTGCAATTTGTGGAGGAAATCGAGAAGGCCGGAATACTCACTGCGGAAGAGCTTGAGGGCTTCTGCTACCGAAACGCCGAGAAGTTGTTGAAAGTGAAGCTCAGCGTATGATGTTCCTCAACATAGAACCGGATGAGGGGCGGTGAGTCGGATGTGGCCGGCGAATTCTTTCGTTTCTGACATGATTGCGGTGGTCGTTTCTCTTCGGTTGCGGTGTCCCGATCTCACTTCCACCAGAATGACACTGAGAAGCTGGGGGTCAAACTTTCCAGGTAATGCCACCAGCCAAGTGGTATATACAAGCTTTCGCCGGGGCCGAGAATCGCCTCCTGATAGGTAGCATTATGGCACAGCGGATATTGCGTATACATTTCCCTGGCTTGGGCAGCTCTCTCCGTCTGTCCCTCGAAATCCGGTCGGAGATAGAACAAGTCTATGCTAGAGGTGTTCTCCATGCTTACGCCACTCTCCTCAGCCTCTCGCGGATACAAATATGGAGTCTGATCGGGAGCATAGAGGCGGACGTATTTGAAACCGACAACCTGGCACAGAACATTATGGTATGGGTCCGTGTGAAGCGGCGTCTTTGTGCCTTTGGGACCAAGCCACGCATTCATGAGAGGCGCTTCGAACTCGTGGCTTTCTCCAGAAATACGTTCCGCCACTTTGCGATCAGCCTGAGGAGGCGGAGTCGCGTAGCAATAATCCGGGACGAGGATGTCTCCCCGTAATGTTGGGATCTGGGTGAATAGATCGTGCTGTGCTAGATATCCCACATCAGAGGGACTGGTGGGATTCAGATATTCTTCGACGAATTCGGCGAATGGAATGATCTTCTGTGACCAGCCGTCATCGGTGTAGCTACTACCTATCTCGATCGGGACCATACGCCGGCCGTCTAGGGTGGAGTCAAGGAGATATTTGTTATCCGACCACCTGGTCATGGCCGGCCAGTGGTCTATCGCCCCCGGAATGATTATGGGCGCCAAAGAAGCGTCCAGGTGATCTTGAAACTCAGCCACATCCAACGTATGTGTTGCACGTCTGATTTCATGCGTCGTCTCAAAAGTATCCGGCGGGTGGCAGGGCAGAAAACGAGGCGTAGGCGGCTCAGCAGGTTTCGGTTTGATCGAATATAGCCTCTGTAGAGTTGACTCTATCAGGGAGCGTCGAGCGGGACCTCCAGATATGATCAAGGCATAGTCAAGCACGCGCACGACATTTGCAAAGACATCGCTTTTGATGCGTAGGATCGATCAGCGGACTGACAGCATGATCGTCTGCTACAACAGGAAACTCACGCCGAATACGGTTTCGATTGCAAGATTGTGATCGCGGAATAGCAGCTAGCGTCTTCATACAAACGGCGCCAGTGGATGGGCACTGCGTGATATGGAAAGGTGTGCATCTTTTCATGCGCAAGGTCGAGCACCGCCTGAGGGTGCGTGCCGATGATGCAGAGAGGAGCTGTGCCACATGCTGCCAGAGTTTCATCGTTCTCAACGTCCAGCTGGCGGAGGAGGTCATTGGTAATGGCTTTGACTTGGTCCTGCAAGTTATTCGCGCGCGAGGGTGTAGATGGAGACGGCGCTTGAAACGTGTCGCCAACCTTTCGCTTCTTACTGCAACGTTCCTCTGCCGTCTTCATAATGATGAAGCAGGCTTCGATGATGACTTGTCTGAAGACGAGTTGACCACAACAGAGTGTGTTAAGTTAACGTACCGACCTTGGAAGGAATGCTCACCAGCACCTGGGCAATTTACACACGCGGTCGCTCGACTTGCCCTGCAGAGCGCAAGTGTGGACAGAGTTCATACGCGCGATCACGCTGTGCTGCGCTCTCCCTCTTGTCAATCCCGCATTGTGGCAACACATGACTTTGACTCGCGACAATAGACATATACAGTATACTCCGGCTGTTTTGCAATCATGTTCGCAAAATGCAATACGGTCCTGATGCTCCATGCTGTACAGTCAGTCGCTGGATCTCGGGATGGAAATCTCATTCGAGAAGCAGCAGAGAGCCAAGACCGCTAGTCTGAAAGGCAACGTGAAAGACCATTCGCCCAATCATTTCGAATTGCGAACTGCCATGCCGAATATTCTTCGTCGGAGCCATACCGCGGGTCCGAACCATCTATTAATCGATCGAGTTTGAATTCGCGCGACTCTCAGGGTCCCGCAGACAAACAACTGCCCCGCAAAGTGCCGACGGTGCACTGCCGTCTCGGCGGCCTGGCTACTGCTTTTGATCCAAGTTCGAACCTAGGGATGATGCTTGTATCATTCAAGGAAGTGATCCCGCCCACGATTCTACCCGCGCATTTGGAGTCTTCACGTGAAGATAGCGCTCACCCAATGGACCGGTCGTTTAATCATGATGTGATTGGGCCAGTTGATGCTTGAACAGGCACCTTTATAGTGGCGATTGTCATGAACTTTGCGAATGCGACGAAGCCAATCCGAAAGCCCCACAACAGCACTACTGGCCTGCCTCTAATTTCCACACATATATACATGTAGATCCCTACACCATGGGGAGACCTCCGCCTTGCGTTCCTTCGAGCATCCATCAATCGTCCCGGTCGTCCTGCTGAGATAAGGATAGATTCGTCAAGATGGTCGCCGTAAACAACCCGATGGCTTCGACCTGGCGCGAGAAGGACCCCAGCACCTGGAACTGGCAACATCGCTTCCTCAACAAGATCGACAACTTCCACAATGACAACGGCACCTACCCAGTCTTCAAAAAGACCGATCCGATCCCATGGTTCTCGCACTGGGCCGCGAATCGTTGGATTCTGGCCCATGCAGCCTGGCCGATTCTGATTCAGCTGGTATACACCTACTTCATGGGCAAGAACGTGCACCCTGTCGCGAACTTCTTCCTTTACTTCATCGCAACGCAGAGAAACGCCATGATGGAGGTAAAGACTCTCCAGCAAATAGCCCTGAAGACCGGCTTTCTGGACGGAGACAAGCACTCCCGCGATAAGGTTCCGGACGTCGCGATTGATAAGATCACGAAGATCATGCCTTTCCTTTCGATGACCCGCCCGGCTCTCTTCACCCTCTTCGGTTATCGTCGCTCGGCGCCTATCCAGATTAGCCCTTGGCTGCCAGTCGAATTGATCATCTACTCCATCGTATTGGATTTCTTCTTCTACGTCTATCACCGCGCCACCCACGAGATCGATGGACTTTGGCAATACCACCGCCGGCATCATACCACCAAGCACCCCATTCCCATCCTTGCGGGGTATGCCGACCACGAGCAAGAAGCGATCGAGATTGCTATCATTCCCGTGTTGACTTTCCTGTCGCTGAAGCTTATGGGCTTCCCGATGGGTTTCTACGACTGGTGGATCTGTGCCCAGTATATCCTTTTTACAGAAATTGCAGGACATTCGGGCCTCAGGACGATGTCCTGTACCGTCGGTCCAGCCGCGCCATTCTTATACCTGCTGGGGGCCGAACTCTCGCTTGAAGACCACGATCTGCACCACCGCGAGGGCTGGCGGAAGAGCGGCAACTACGGCAAGCAGACGCGCCTTTGGGACCGTATCTTCGGGACCTGCGTGAATCGAGTCGAGGCGAAATGGGAAAATGTGGACTTTGTCAACCAGGTCAAGATGCCGTGGTTCTAGATATTGCAGCGATCATGGGTATTTCCCTACATGCCCATAGGGGTTGATAAAACAGCAGGTTTGCCGACTAAGCCATCGGCCTTGGAAAGAATTGGATGGACTGTCCCAGGTGTCGAGATCCGGTATATATGTGCTATTCATTTCTCCCCTTAGGTATGAGCGCTTTAGAACTATGGCACGTCTTGCACCTAAATTACTCTATGAAAGGTTTATCGATTTTTTCTATTGCTTCATGCAGAAAGGCACGAAAGATATAATGTTTGAGGAGTGAGTGTCGTATCGTAATGAATAGGGAAGACAGCAAGGTCGAGAAGAGGAAATGAACATAAGATAAGACATGGGGAATTTTGGTCTACAAGTGTGCCATCGGTTCCAATCCCACCAGTTTCTTTCGCTGCCATGGGCGCCTTGGAAATTGAGGCTGATGTCTTGTCTCCTACGATGAGTAACGCAAATATCTACGAGGAGTTTGACAGCATCGATAGCTACAGATATCGTTGCCGCATCAGGATGAGAATCATGTTGGTTGCCAGAAGTCGTGTTGCAAAAAGGCATTTAGCCATTTTGATAGCATCAGAAGGTACCGCAGGCGGACTCTGAGACGCGGTGAGCATTAAATCGTGAATCGTAGCCCTAGGGCGTGGCATAAAAGTGCCCGCAGTTCCCGCCCATACAAAAGCACATGGCCATAAAAATAGACCGGCTGTGGCCCCGCCCGTCGTGTTGGTTTGTGTCATCATGTCCTATATCCGCCTTGAGTTCCGCCTTGGTTGGCCGAAGGGCGAGGCAGCTCCAGGCAACCGTTACAGTGGCGCAGTTTCGCTTTCTCGCCCGATGCTCCTGTTGGGCCGTCCATCACTGTATCATCATCACTCCCTACTGTGCCGCGCGTATGTGTGTGGTGGACTCCCCTTCACACATTATTAATCTCTCCTCTCGCATACTCTCTCTGTTATAACACCCGTCTTACATCTCACGACTTACTGTTGTTGTCCTTTTCATTCAGCACGGCAGTACGTCAGTACTGTCTTTCATATTCTTGCGCAACCCTTCGGACTGATCTCCTTTTGTTCTACACACTCACGAATTTCCTCTTGTATTTCCACTTCTCTCTGGGATATCTCGACCCAAGTCTCAAAATGTCGGGCGTTCAGGGACAGGTTCTCAGCCACATCGTCCGTCGCGGCGTTCAGCACGTCGTCTCGTCGGATGCCTACCAGCGTCTTCAGCAAGATGCTGAAGTCTACGAGGATGCCGGTTCAGACGCCAAAGTTAGCCCTCTGGAGTTGATTCCAGTCCTCGTTACCATCTTGGTCTTGGTCTTGATCACATCTTCCATTCAGTACACCGTCGGAAGCGTCGTGGCCTCGTTGACCATGATCGAATCTCCTGCCACTACTGTCGCCGCCGAGGTCTCGCTTCCTGCCTACTCCGATGAGCCAGATGCACCGCTCATCAAGGATGACCTTCTCCCATCGGAAGCTGTCGCCGACATCGAGGTTGCTCGCATGCAGCAGACCCCGGTCACTGCTTCGGTGAGATCGACTATCCGACTCCTCCGTACTAAGGCTGGCTTCTGGTCGCGCTGGAGAGGTCTCCGCGTGAGCATCGTCTACCACGCACTCCACAGCTATGGTGTCAACGCCTCGATGCGCTGGTTCGGAATGAATCCCATTACACACGCCATTGCCCTCATCTTCTTCACCGTCGGCTTCTCGCTTCTGCACATGACTTGGACTCACACCATGATTTCTATGCCATCTCAGAAGCCATTCTGGCGACGCATCGTCTCTTACAAAAATGCTCGACCGATCATCCTGCCCAACGTGGTCTTGGCCGCCGCTCAACTGGCGACTTACTACCTGCCCTTCGCTGTCGCCACCCTCGTCGATCTCCCCGACTTGAGCCGTCACCGCGCCGCCGACGTTATCGGAGGTGAAGACGTCCACTCGATCGCGGCGGCCATCCTTCGTATGCGCTTCATCGCCGTCCCTGCCACCTTCGTACTCGTTGCCTTCTGCGTCCTCCTACCCGCCACCGTCACCCTGACCCGCATTGAAGCTCTCCTCCTCCCCGAGGGTGAGGACACCATCGTGCCGTTCGACCGCCAGGCCATCCTCGCAGACGTGGACATGACCAAGCGCGGCCATGGACGCGCTCTGTTCGTCGCTGCATGGCGCTCCTTTGACGCTGCGGCTCGCATGAGACTCATCAAGGTCTACGCCAAGATGGCCGCCATGCAACTTGCTGTCGTCGCCATCGGTGGGTTCGTCATCTTCCTGCAGTTGTACTTTATCGGTTTCGACAGGCTTGCATTGGTGGCGACGAGCGGCATCGCCCAGTTGCAGCTCATGTCGATCGAGAACTAAATGCTGCTTTTAACGATGACTCCAGAGTGTCAAGAAGCGAAACCTCTCTTGGGTTTTCGTACATGGGGTGAACGGTCCGAAAGGGATTCTTCTGACCGCTCATGCTTGCGTGTAATTGGAGTTTTTGCGCCTTTTGCTTCCTGATGCTATGTAATTTTAGAGGCCTAGCTCGAACAAATTCACGAATTGATGCTACAATACTGGTCAAAAAGTGAGCGTCATTTCTCCACATGCTCTGTAACACGCGTTTTCTGACCTCTCTTTAACACGCGATATCTCAACAATGCTACGTCTGATATCGGCCGATAGGAGCCTGAATAAAAGGCCTAGACGTAAGCTTAATACATATAAGCACTTGTCTGGCGATTGATAGGAAGCTCGGCGTCGTGCAGTCCACGGGTAGTAAGCTTACTGTGGGGCCTCGAGGTTTCAAATTCCAAAGTTGAACATGATGTTCCGCGGCAAGTCAGATAATGCCGCATGTCGGATGAAGTGGAACCCAAATCCCTTCGAGATAGAACGCCTGATGGCACGCCTGATGACTCCAGGGCTTTGATGGAAGCGAAACCGATGGGTGAGTCAACGTCCGGGAAGGTCCGCCGGGCCCACGCCCGGGCGCGCAATGCTTCCTTTGCCTCTGTGAGATTCGCCTGTTCAGCCCTGGAAAGTCTCCTTGTAGAACAATCTCAAAGCCATGAGTCCCACAACATATCAAGCAATATGCCATTGCGGCAATGTTCGTTTGGAGGTCACTTTGGAAGATGCCTTGTTTCCAGAGGGCAAGACGAAGGTGAACCGGTGCAATTGCTCAATCTGTACTAAGCATGGTATTCTCGATCCATCATACCGAGTACTGGAACTTCTCATCTAATCGTGTGATGCAGGATATCTACTCGTTTACCCGAAACGCAGTGATGTGAAGTTTGTAGGGGAGGCCGAAGCCCGACTGAAAAGCTACTTCTTCGGACAGAAGCGCAAGCCGCATCGGTTCTGCCCCGAGTGCAGCAGCAATGTCTTGATCGATTTCGCCGACTCAGCTTTCGAGAAGGAAAGGCCGTTCCTGGCCGTGAATGTAAGTCGGTCTTGAATCATCGCTTGGTGCGATACACCATGATCTGCTCTGACGGCCCCGCTGGTCCGGCTGTTCAAAGACGTCAACCTTGATGGGTTGGAATACACGACATTCGACGGTCGGGGCCGCCTCGAGCCGCAGTACGATGTTTAGTATCACATCCGGTACTCTCTTCGAAATTACGAACTTGATGAACCGCTCCATACTGATCCGGAAGCGATCACGCTCAACGCGGTTGGGCGGCTATTCGTGACAAAACGATCCACGCTTATGGCCGGGTCAGCCTTCTTCCAGGTATCACTATCACCCACGTAGTCGGCCGGAAATGCGATGAAGGACGGGTACCTATTTGTCGATACAAATCCACGGATTTTTGAGCATGTGTTAGAATTTCTCCGGCATTTAATGCCGCCTGTGTTCTTGTAGTTGTTAAGATATCCTCATCTAAAGCTATTGTACTTATCCGAAGGGGCAACTAAAAAGTGGAGTAACGATTACTTTTTAATACTTACTATACCTAGTATTCGGGTTATAATCTTCGTAGTATACTGTTCTATGGAATAATTAATTGTTGCGTGTCGATGTTGACGGATTGAACATTAATTTTAGATATATATACATGATATTCCGACCAGCAACATCACTTCATCCGAACTGGTGTAGAGGTAACATTTGTCGCTCTCATCTGCATTAGCAGTGAAGGCCCGACACGCCCGGGGTTCGATTCCCCGGTTCGGAACGATCTATTTTTAGATTTTTTGAGGGTGCTAGACGATTTTAGCGTGGAATTAACATATTTCCCGTTCGACCATAAAACATTTACGCGTGGCAAAAATCACTTGTGGCTTTTTCCCGTTCGGCTACGAAACATTTCGATGTGGTGGGAGGTATCATTGCGGCATCACAGTGTGGTACCATGAGCCATTTCGCTTGGTTGCGTCGCGCTGGGGCATGTCAACAGCTACGCGACAGCGATGCCATGCTCTCTCCAGCGGTCAGCCCTTTAGAAATCGAAGGTTTTTGCCGATCTCTTGGTCGAGGAGAGGGACAATTTTCGAAGATCGCATGCAATCACCGACTGCTGTTTGCGAACATTATCATGTGGCTTACATTTTTCCCCCGGTCATTGTTCCTTGTTGCGTCGGTGGAGATGCGGTAGGAAGAGATGTCGTCCCGAGGCTGATAAAACCGTGCGCAGCGCCGCATGGAAAGCAAAGGAAAGGCTCATCACACGTCTGGTTCACATTCATGAGTACATTTTCCATCACTGCCTCACTACTGTAGGTAGCCGATAATCCCCTACATCCCCCGGCTCAGGCCTGGACGGGCTTGATGCGCACCATCAGATCCTTCTTCTCCCAGAGGATGAAGACGTTCTGGTCGGCCCAGTCGTCGCTCTCCTCGCATAACTCGAGGTCGAAGTTGTACAGGACCTTGACCAGGATCAGACGCATTTCGTGGTATGCCATGCTGCAATGAGGGGAGGAAATCCGAGTCAGCACAAATCATGAAAACAAAACCGTACGATCGAAGGCAGGGGAGGGAAAAAGGGGGGTGCATCACTGCGGGACTTCGACTTACTTCTTCCCGAGACATCCCCGAGGCCCCAGGCTGAACGGTTGGAAACTCTGCTTCTTGTCGCCCGCGTACTGCTTCTCCTCCGGCAGCCACCGCTCGGGCGCGAAGGTCTCCGGGTTCTTGAAGTTGTCCGGGTTGCGGTAGACGGCGAGGTGGGTGGCCATGACGCCGACGCCGCCCGGGATGGCTTTCCCGTCGATGGTGGTCGTCTCGCCCTCGGGCGTCAGCCGCGGCAGGCCGTTGGGCACGGGCGGATACATGCGGAGGCCCTCCTCGAGGCAGGCGTGCACGTACTTCATCGCCTGCAGCCTCTCGATGGTGATGTCCGACTCGTGCTGGAACGTGGAGCGGATCTCGTCGGTCAGGCGCTTCATCTGCTCGGGGTTCTTCAGGAGGTAGTAGGTCAGGCCGGAGAGCAGGGTCGCCGTGGTCTCGGTGCCGGCGACCATCAGCACGCTGGCGTTCTCGTACATCTCGTGGCGGGTCAGGCCGGATTCGCTGCCGTCGCGCTGGAGCACCAGGCCCCAGATGTCCGGGCGCGCGTCCTTTTTGTGTAGACGTTTGTCGACTCGCTCGCTGGTGAAGTTCTTGTGGTCCTGCATGCCTTTGCGCGCCGCGGCGAAGCGGGGCAGGACGACGCGGAAGAGGAAATCTTCAAAGGCGGGGAAGTATCGCATCATGTGGATCAGGCTGCCGAATTTGATGCTCTGGAAGATCGTCGCGACCCACGGGTGGTAGTCGTCGTTGTCCAGCATGCCGAGCGGATCGCCGAACGTCAGGTCGCCCATGACGTCGAAGGTCGTGAAGTTGTACATCCGGACCATGTTCCATTTGCGGGCCGGGTCTTGCGCGCAGCCCCGGCGGAGGTTGGCCACGAGCTGGTCGACGTATCTGAGGAACATCGGCTCCTGCAGCTTGAGCGCGCGGTCGGAGAAGGCATTGGAGAAGACGCGGCGCATGCGAGAGTGGTCGGCGTAGTTGGCGGAGGTCATGGCGACCGCTGAGCCCCGGACCGGATTCTTGTAGAAGCGAGGGTCCTTTTCCAAGGTGTGCGATCCCACCCGGTGGCCGTGGATATCGCGGAGACTGTCGGCGCCGGAGAAGGTGAGTTCATTGGGGCTGTAGCGGACGACGTCGCCGTACTTCTGGTGCAGGGCGTTCTGCCATTGTGGGAGATCCCCCGTCCACATGTGGTAGAGGACGGGGAACTTGCTGACGGCACATCCTATCGGTCCTGGGAAACTGCGGAGCTTGTGGAAGAAGTAGTTGTAGATGCAGTAGTATGCCTGGTAGGCGAAGAGAGCACCGATGAGCGAACCGACCAGGCCGATGAAGCTGGTCGGAAGCACGGCAGACAAGATGCTGTGGCTCATGGTCCGGATGAGCTAGTCGGCTGGAATACCCCGGCGTCGTCGAATTGGAAGAGAGGTGTTCGTCAGACAAACGGGCTTCACATTCGTGGGGACCACGCGAGACAGCTATATACAGTTTGCCGTGTTGTACAACAAAGGGAGATCGCCATCCTTTCGATGTGGCTCGACCTTGACCTTATATGATCAAGTCCAGGGCATCATCTCCGCATGTGTCGGACTGCCTCCGCCGTGCAGTCGTTTTATGCACATTATTATTTATGCACGCAGCAGGCGTCGCGGTACGATCGGGCATCTCGAGATGTGCAAAGGTTTGAAGGACGAGGATTAAGCTAAAACGTTCAACGTCCTCTCCGCCCATGTCAATGCTTTGGAATTGATTCGTTTGTCGTTTAGGAGTCGGGTCCCGCCTGCAGACGGGAGCACATTGGATACCACCTGCAACCTTGGAACCTTGGAAGGTAGAGAGCGACGGCCTATCATCTTTCGCCCTGGCCGTTCCCCGCATATTGTTGCACGTGTGCACAGTCTAGAATGTTCACCTGGGCAAGTTTGAGTTCAGCGTCATCAATGTAGAGCAGAGCGCACCTATCTTGAAGTTTCCAATGGTACAGTCCTGTCCCGATCAGAGGTAATCGGTGGTGTTCCCAGACGCAGAAATCGGTCATTTTTCAACAATCATCATCATTATCGTCGTCATCACAGTCATTGCCTGACCATCATAGCCCGGTTGAAAATGATATCTGAATGCCTGATTCTCTATCTAAGAGCGGGCAAAGATCGTGATATATGTAATCACGTCTTTCGTAACAAATACTTAAGGTAGTTGTTATGACAATCATCAAACACAGGAATGCTACATAGGCATATCCGAAACAGACAAAGCGGTATGTACCATACCGCGTACAAATACAAAGAATGACAAAGGACAAAGGGAAAACAGGAGTCAAATTCCACGAGCCCATCGGATCCACACTCACGGAATACACAAGAGAGATGATAGGTGTCAGCGTCAATCGAATCACATCGCAGGCTTTGTCTGTTCGTCGTATTCCAGCGCGGTGCACTCAACGGCCATGACCCAACACGAAATGCGACAAGTGATTGAGACGATCGTCTTGGTTCTATCGAACGACCTAGTGCTGTATTGATATACAAGTCTTCCTCCACAAATCTCATTCCCCTGCCAAGATCGAACCCATTTCAAGACCGCGCCCAGACATTCTTCGCCGACGAGCGGAAGATCACAGCATTGTTCACCTGGACAGACGGGAACCACAATGGACAGGAATGTTTCCCAGTCCATCTGTCCCGCTCCCATCTCTCACGTGGAAGGCAGCTAGTCGAGGGCGGCGCAAATAGCGCCTGCGACTCCGAAAACACCGCTTAGCTGAGGGACCAGCGCCCCAGCGGCATTGATGGCATTGACCCAGGCGGGGCATCCGGGCTGCTCCGGGCTCTCCGTGTGCATGCGCATGGTCAGGTAGAAACCACTGGCATCGCCGTAGCCACTGGTGGCGTGCAAGTAACCCGGGCCCTTGACATGTTTCGCCTGGTTGAAAACCTCATTCGAGGTCTCCTCCAAGGCGCGGTAGAAGGCCTCCTTGATCAGGGCGAGGAAGTCGTCGCGGAGCGCGGAGTCGGCGAAATTGCCGTCCATCGACATGACCAGGTTGGCTTTTTCCTGGTTGTCCACGGTGATGCTCTTTTCGCCGTCGCAGGAGGTCGAGTAGCAGAGTTCGAGGACGCGGTCCCAGAGCTCGTCGTGTGGAGGCTTGATTTGATCGACGATGTAACCATCGTTCCAGGAGTCGTCGCCCGCCTCGACTTTGGTGTCGTAATCCGCGCGTCTGGCGAGGCCGCTGGACTGGCAGCCCCTGAACTCGCCAAAGTAGGTGGAGTTGTATGTCGGTTGGGCCACGACCTTGCCCCATTTCTCAACGAGGTAGTTTCCCTCGCAGATCGGTTCGTCGGATGCGCTCGCCGTCGGCGCGGCGACTGCCGTGGTCGCGAAGAACACGGCCAGGCGAATGAGGTTCATCTTGAGAGACATGTTGCAGAAGACTCTGGCAGTTTCCGAGAAGCTGTGGAGGAGATGGCGATTCGAGTTGTAGATATGAATGGTTGTTTGATGAGGGATATCGACATTGTGATGGACAACAGCGGTCCTTTATATGTGCCACGAATTGGACTCGACTTGACTTCACATCTCTTCATCTTGCGAGTGTGATCAAATGATGCCCTCATCCACACGATACCCAGCAGACGTCATGATGTTGGTGTTACGATCAACCTGAGCGGGGCTGAAGGACAGAGAGTGGCCCTCATCGTGATGTTGCAGCGATCAAGTCGAGACAATCCCCTACTCGTCGATATACCCAGTCGCTGGTAAGGTGATGCTGTTGCGACCATGTAGGTCTAATCGTTCACTCACCTGCAATGCACCCCAGTAGATGCCATGAGCAAGACGAAGGATGGGAGGAGTTGCGCACGTGGACCGCCCAGGTCGAAGCTCATTTCCAACCAACATTCCGTAGGTGATCCCGGAGGATTGATCGTCATGGCTAATGTTCGATATCAGTCCCTACATGAAGACAGCCCTACTTTGCTCTTTAGGCAGGCTTTCATGTACAGCCCCGGAGGTGTTTCACAACTTATGACCTCTAAACTACCAAGCAGGCGCTCATGTGAAATGCTGGCATTTGGGCACTCTACATAGAGCAGGCGTTTCGTCGCTGTGCCGACTCTGTGCGGCGGTTGATCTTCATCTGATCACCACAGTAAGGCTCGATGTCGTTGTCGCTGCAATCCATTCTTTGTATCCCTCCAGGCCCATATACCTAGGTGTAAACATATATATATAAGTTCAAGCATTCCTGAGGATGTGTCCCGGGGGGCTTCGGGCTGTGTCAAACGGCACACACACACACGGCAGAGAAGACAGACGAGGAACTTTGGATTGCGCTCTCGGCAGCAGTTGAACTTGTCGTCGAGAATCGCCGCTCCCGACGATCGTGAATCGACAACCATTGGATGCCCAGGTGTACTACGATATCGATTGATCACATACATGATGACTGTCTATCTACTAGACGTAAACCCTCCAAATCTGGAATTGAAAGGCGCCCAAAAATCCTCCGCCGATGTGTAGGGCTGGGCTTTTGTTTTTTTGGGCAAAGCTGGAGGGCAATGAATGAGCCTTGCTGCTGGTTGGTCCACGACGGCCGACCGATCGTCAATTCCGCTGGCACAAACCACGTCACTGCCGCAAGGCGCGTTCTCCCACGTTGCGATTACATAGCCCGAAATATCACCACGACCGACTTCGTGTTCGCCATTCTACTGCCTCAATATCGGTCGCCTGCACACTTGGAAGTCGACTCATTCGTCCGGCGGGTACCCGACAAGTTCTCATCAATTGGAAAGTCAATTTCATCATTGCCTCACCGCATCGACTATCCAGCTATCCCATCACTTGCGAAGTCCATGTCCTTGGGCACTCCAATAATGTCAGCCGCTATCTGCGTCCCACTCAGCAAGAAATTGGCGACTGCATCCCGAGAGTAGGGATCCGACGAGTGACTTGCGATCAGCCGCTTCCACACCCGCCGAGCATTTGTCCTTTGAGGCAATCCCACCATTGCCAGGCCGCCAGCAACCATCTTCCTCGCGCCGCCTGCAAATCTGGCTCTTTATCAAAATCGGGCAACCACCACTCGATTCGAGTCGGATACCTCGTTTCAGTCTCCACTTGGAAATAGACATTCGGATATTACAAACTTGCAAAACGAAGGGAGGCCCGGTCACGCGATCATCGCACTGGAAAGATGGTCAAACCAGATGTGAAGCATAACTGTACGTACCGTCCCAACATGGACACTTCGGCTTTCGATGTGACTGACCGGATCGTCTTCATTCAGACTATGCCGATCTCGAACTGCCGACCACAGCCTCCGTAGACGACATCAGGAAAGCGTACCGCAAGCTCGCATTACAATATCATCCTGATCGAAACGCTGGGAAAGAGGCGGAAGTTGTGCCAAGGTTCCAGGCGATACAGGCCGCTAACGAGGTCCTGTGTGACCCAACTACGAAAGCTCAGTATGATGCGGACAGGCGTAAGGCAAGTCTGTATCCCTCTGGGTCATCTAGACCGAGTGGTCCCACCGGCAACCCATACCAGGCTACCTCAGCATATCCACCACCGCCTCGTCGGACACAGCCCGGTACCTGGCAGCGTCCAACTCCGACGGCCGGCCCGAGTTCAAATGCAGGACCAAAGGTTCCCACCGGGGCTGATCGCTTCAGCAATTTCGCAAGGCCGGGCAACTCGGCTCCTCCAAAGACCCCGGCCGCAGATCGAACAGAACAGTTCCGCGCATGGCAGAAGATGAACAACGGGCCAGAGCGCAACAGCGCTCGCTCGCCACGACCGCCGCCTGCCCCAGCACCTGCGTCAGGCCCGCCTCCGAAGGTCCCACCACGATCTCGTCCAGGTATGCCGACGGAGGAAAAGATTCGTGCGAGCTACGCATATCACGGACCTCCGCCAGCGACTGAGGCGGAGGAGAAAGCTACTGCATGGCAGCATTGGAAGCAGCAGCAGCAGGCGGCAGCAAACAACATGGGACGAAGTAACACAACACGGACTCCCAGAAAAGCAAACGGCTTTGATCCGAATGCACCAGGCTCGGACGAGCGACCTGCTCCGAGTGCAGGAACTCGGTATTCTCATCGGCATCGTTCCGAAGACATGGGCAGTCCGATGAACGCATATCCTCCGCCTCCTCCGGGACGACCGCCAACCGGACCAAACACTCCTGAACCTGCAGGCACACCCTTTGTCTCGCCACTGCGACCTCCGTTACGAACTCAAAATTCCGATGGCGACGATGCTCCATTTTCTGAGGCCAACCGACACAGCACACCATATGCTGCGTTCAGCGGCGAGAAGACCCAGCCCTCGAGTGGTCTTCATCGGTCTAAGAGCACGAAAGACGCCACGAAGCTCCCATTCGCGAATAATTCGTCCGGCCGCGCAAAGAGTCATAGTCCCGTGGAGCGCAATGGCCCTTCAGCATCTGCCAAGACATCAGCCACTCGCCCGACACCCTCGTTCGTCCCATATAGCTCAAGCGACGAGTCACCCGAGGAGGAATACAAATCCAGTGGCGATGCCCGAGCGAATGGCACCACCGCGAATGGAGCATCGAAGTCGACTGCTTTCCCAAATCGTCCGAAGAAGACGCCGTCTCGTCCCAGTCGACGAATGAACAGCACCACAACTTCCACGTCACAGACAGATGGGGCAGGTTTTGGTTCCAACCCACGCTCGAATGAGGCACCAGATATGCAGCAGCGCCAAAGCGGCACAAACATGTACGCACGTTCTTTCCTTCCTACTGACCCCAGCAACACTCCTTTTGATCGCAAGATTTGGACCTCAAAGATGTTCGGCTCGTCTTCAACAGCGGCTGAACCTGAGCATCCGATTCCGCACTGGGCAGTCCCGAGCTCGATTTCGCCCAAGACCATGCGAGATTCGAGCCGTGTGTCATCCTCAGCTCGCGGGATCATCGACAAAAATCGTTCACCTTCGGTGAAGGACTTCGGCACTGGACATGGGTTATCGCGCAAGTCCGAAAAGTGGGGAAACCGTCCACCCATCACGAGCATGTGCTTTTAAAATCTGCCTTTCCTTTGTGTTGTGTAGACATATTGGATCGAGTGGTCGCAGCCTCTGTCATGCTTCAACAGCGGGTTAGAGGACGCACTGTATCTCGTTCCAATATGGCTGCTGCTATAACAGACTTCACTTCGTCTCCTCTCTTGTGTTTTCTGGATGCTTGATGCTGACTTTTGTGCTTCATCTAGCTTTACGGTACCTTTCCGAAGCACCAATTCATCGACAGAAAGTGTGAGCGGCCGCACCGAAGACAACATCGATACTACTTTCTCCCCAGGAGGATGGTCCGGCACATTTAAAGGAGCGACAGATTACTTTCCAAATTCAACCCGAAAGGCATCACCCAGACGTGCCAATTCAAAGTCTGGTTTTGCCCCTGCCAGCGCTGGTTCACGAAAGGGAAGCGTTCCGACATCCGCACATGGCCCAGATGGAGTTACACCGACTAGCTCGACGCTGGAAACCCCGGGGGGAACCAAATTCAGCATGGAGCAATGGCAGAAAGCTTTCCAAGACGGTAGCTGGGTGATCCCTCCACCACCATCACGACCTCCCAAAAATCTGGCAACAGACCGTGGCCCGGGATACGACCCAAATCAGGCTCCATCCCACACCCAAGGCACTAAGGAGGATCCTCACGTCGTCACCGACAGTAGTAGTGATCACACCGGTGATGACGTCAACCGTCGTGCCCGCGCCGCTCATCCGAGTGCAGATGCGGACGCGATGGATATTGATACACCTCCGCCGGCCAGCACAAGGCCCGCAGAGTCAACAAGTGCATCCGATTCTGCTCCAGAGCCACGCCTATACTCTGTTCCCCCATCTGTATGGCGACAGCAACAGTCTGCGCATTCTCGGGAATCACAAAAAACATCGCCTCAACCACCATCACAGAAAGTAACCACAGATGCTGACCTCTCGGCATCCTTGCACGATCTTTCAAATGTCGAACCAATTGGAAACCCCGGTACGACAGGCGATCGGGGTCCCGGTCTACAGAATCTGAATGAATTAGGCACCAACCTACCATTCCAATCACAAGCTTCGTCGGTTCCCCCTATTTCCATCACCAAGCAGCAACAACAACAACCGTCACCTTTCGAACCGCAGAGGTTGCACACACCGGCTGTTCCCTCAGCACCAGAACCACCCACGCGGCTCAGCCAGACATCTTGGCACGCGCACGCCGCGGCCTTTGCCAAATACCTCGAGGCCTTCCACGCCTTCAGCAAAACTCTCCTGACGCACTTCGACGCTCGCGAACAGCAAGCCCAGGCGCGCATGCACACCGGCACAATCTGGCTCGAGGCCGTCGGCGATGGTGGCACAGCCAGATCCGTTGGTTTCGGCCACTATCTGCAGGGCGTTCGCGAGGACGAGGCCGTGAGGGAGACTTGGAGGGTCGGCTGTGAGAGACATGCTGAGGCTGTGAAGGAATTCGATCGCTTGCGCGGGAGGGTGGCTCAGTTGATAAGTGCTGGGACGTTCGCTGATAGTTGAGTTGTATGGAAGGGAATTGTCACTTTGAAATTTTTGCGTGAGGGTTAGCTCAAACGGCACCTCGGTTGGGATACTCATGGAGCGTCAATGGGCACAGCTGTAGTCGTTCAAGACATTTCGTTGCAAGAGGCATGGTTGCCTCATCCATGCATTTTGCCTGTTATTTGGAAACTGCGCCGCTCCTTGCCGTCGAAGTCACAAACTGACACACGCCAACGTATCGATATCCTACGGCACATAAAATCACTGTGAGACTGCACATTGCCCTGTGGAGTCTGGGACGACGTAGCACATCGCCGCCAAAACGACATACACCTGGGCGTACCCTAAATCGACCCTAAGAGTCAACTGCCCAAAGAGGTTTAGTCTCGCTTACAGCCACCCCAATTGGAAGAGGACAATGCGACAACATGTGCTGCACCAATGCTGAGGACAAGACAATTCACGACTACAACCCACACGACAATCGATCCACCGCGCATTAATTCCAAGTCACCACAGCTGAAGTGAACTCTGAGCTCCAAACGATTGCATCCGGCCCGAGTCTGCACAAGAGAGACAGGGCAACATGGCGTCAAACATCTTTGGCACGCTCAACCGGTTCATCTCCCGACTGGACTCTGATCCGAACGTCCTCAAATCACAGCCTGGCAACCTCAGTCAGCAACAACAGCAGCAGCAACAACAACAGCAGACCAACCCAGGCTCGGGATTCCAGATCCTCCGCAACACAAACCCGTCGCTGCCCCTCGAGCCGTGGTTTGACTTCATCATCGGCATCAACGGCCACAACATCGAGTCTCCAGATGCGGGGCTGTTCCTCACCGAACTCCGGAATTGTGCGCCGGGCACCACCATCTCCCTCGGGGTATACGGCGCAAAAGGCCGTCGGATCCGGGAGGCCTACGTGACCGTCCCCGAACGCGACGTCAACATCGGCTTGTCGCTGCAATGGACCCCTCTCGCCCTGATCGACGACTGCTGCTGGCACATCTTGGACGTGATGCCCAACTCCCCCGCCGACGTCGCCGGACTCCTGCCCTACTCGGACTACGTCGTGGGCTCCCCCGACGCCATCGACCTGCGAGGCGGCGACAGCGCCCTCGGCGAGCTGATCGCACAGTTCGTGGACCGCGCGCTCCGGCTCTTCGTCTACAACCACGAGTACGACGTCCTCCGCACCGTGACCATCACCCCGACCCGGAACTGGGG